GGCGGGCACGAGACATGCGAAATGAGGCATTGCTAACTATAGGATGATACAGCCACGATGACATCCAGAAATTCCGGCCCACGGCCATTCGCATGGGCAAGCAGATCAAGCATCGCGGCCCCGACTGGAGCGGCAACCATACCGCCAACAGCACCATCCTCGTGCACGAGCGTCTGTCCATTGTCGGCGTCGACACCGGCTCGCAGCCCCTCCTCAACGAAGACCAGTCGATTGCTCTGGCCGTCAATGGCGAAATCTACAACCACAAGATCCTGCGTGGCAAGGGTTTGGCCAAGTCATATCCCTTCAAGACGCACTCGGATTGTGAAGTGATTATTCCCCTCTACCAAGAATATGGCATTGACGCCCCGCGACACTTGGATGGCATGTTCAGCTGGGTGCTGCACGACAAGAAGGCTGATCGTCTGATCGCTGCGAGAGATCCCATTGGCATCACCACCTTCTACATCGGCCGCGACAGCAAATCGCCCAAAGCCGTCTACTTTGCCAGCGAGTTGAAATGTCTGCATCCTGTGTGCGACCAGATCGAGGCCTTCCCTCCCGGCCATGTCTACGACAGCTCGACAGACAAGCTCACGAGATACTTCGATCCCAAATGGCTGACCGAGCCCACCAACATCCCTACCACGCCCCTCGACTTGAAGCTGCTGCGCGAGACATTCGAGAGATCCGTGAGGAAGAGACTGATGGCGGAAGTCCCATACGGTGTGCTCCTCAGTGGTGGTTTGGACAGCTCGTTGGTGGCGTCGATTGCACAACGTGAGACATTACGTCTCCAGAAAGAGTATGCGAAGAAGCGGGCCTTGCTGTCGCAGGGAACCAACAGCCCTACGTTGAACGGCGTTGCCAACGGGCAAGTGCCGTTAGCCGAATCTCCCGAAGAGGAGCTTGCAGGCATTGACGAGGACTACCACCTGAGCTCGGTGCCTGTCTTGTCTCAGCTCAACTCTTTTTCCATTGGCTTGCCAGGGTCACCAGACACCATTGCTGCGCAAGAAGTCGCCAAGTATCTCGGCACTAGGCATCACTCTTTCACCTTCACCATCCAAGAAGGTCTCGATGCTCTGTTCGACGTCATTTACCACTTGGAGACCTACGACGTGACCACCATTCGCGCTAGTACTCCCATGTTCCTGCTATCGCGGAAGATCAAGGCCATGGGCGTGAAGATGGTCTTGTCTGGTGAGGGTTCTGATGAAATCTTTGGCGGATATCTTTACTTCCACAATGCACCAGACAAGGCTGCCTTCCACGAGGAGACGGTCCGCCGAGTCAAGAACTTGCACTTGGCAGACTGTCTCCGCGCCAACAAGTCCACGTCAGCTTGGGGCGTAGAGGCACGCGTACCGTTCTTGGACAAGCAATTCCTTGAACTCGCCATGGCCATCGACCCTGCTGAGAAAATGATTCAGAAGCCTGAGCGTATCGAAAAGTACATTTTGCGAAAAGCTTTCGACACAGAAGGTGAGCCCGGAGCCAAGCCATACTTGCCGAGCAAGATCCTGTGGAGACAAAAGGAACAATTCTCCGATGGTGTCGGCTATGGCTGGATTGACGGCCTCAAAGACGAGGCCGCCAAGGTGGTCACCGATGAGCAGATGAAGGAGGAGAACATGCGTAAAGACAAGCCCTTCTGGGGTGATGATCTCCCCGACTCCAAGGAGGCTTACTGGTATCGCTGCATGTTTGACGAGCATTTCCCACCTTACTGTGCCAGCACTGTTATGCGATGGACGCCTACTTGGAGCAAGCAGACGGATCCTTCAGGCCGTGCAATTGGCGTTCACGAGCAGGCTTACAAGGATCAGTAGAGCAGTCTTCTTTGGCGGCGATTTAGTTTCTGTGCTCCCAGGGGCGGGTTTATCCAGCATTCGATGATAGATGTATAACATAGAACAACATGCTCGAGAGCTGCTGCTTGCACAATTTCAACTTTGCAGAATACGTACAATGCTGACAACGCTAGCAGACCTTCCTTATCGAGTAGCTCTTTGCTGAACCATCTCACAAAACTAGACGAAATATTCGATCAACCTGCAAGTCGGCTCGTTGCCTTGCGTACTGCTCTGTGTGTTTTGTCCACATAGCACGCGCAAGCAAACCATTCACCTCAATTGTGAAGGCTAAACTCGCAACTACCCCCTACGCATGCAACAGCCGATAGCATCCCTGCATGACTCATGCTCGTATCGCCTCATTTATCCGTTAAGGAGCCTGTCCACTTCGACTTCTGCTCCAAATTTATGGTAATCTATCAAGGCAGAGGATCGTCAACATAACAAAGAGGCCGGACACCATGATCGTCCCCAGCAAGGTCGCGCTGACGCGTAACGTGATCGGCTCTCTCCTCTCCCCCAAACTCCAAGCCCAGCCCTGCGGAATCGACCTCACTCTTCGCAGAATCTTGACCTGGAAATCCGCCGGCACAGTAGATTTCTCGAACGAGTTCCGCAAAAGCTCGAAGACTTCGCAACTCGACTTTTCTGGATCGCCGAAACAAACCCATCTCGACCCGGGGAACTATCTCGTAGAGTTCAACGAAGAAGTCGATGTTCCATTAGATGTCATGGGACAGATATTCGTGAGGAGTTCGTTGTGGAGGAATGGGGCGAAGATTGATGCGGGGGTGGTAAGTATCGTCTTTCAATCTGTTCTAGTTTGCTTTCTGTTGCGCAGTTGTCGAGGCGTTCGATGAGGGCGCTTGACGCGACGCCGCTGGTTTTCGGTTTTGACACTGTTGTTTGATAGGTCGATAGCGGGTACAAAGGCTCCCTCGGGGCTCTTCTCCAAGTCTTGAATCCACATGGAATTACATTGCATGAGAATGCACGTTTGGCGCAGATTGTGTTCCATGAGATGAAGGGCGAGGTGGAAGAGGGATATAGTGGAGTTTACCAGAGAGCGAAGGGGCTGTGAGATGAATTAAGAGGTTTGGGGCGTCAAAAGCCGATCTGTAATCGTCGCTGCGCCTCAATGATTGAGGTGAGAGATTCAAGCCGCCCAAGAGACTACCCAAGGGTCTTGCAGTAAGTCCTTCGCCGAAGCGCGGTCTTTCGACCGCCATTGGAGGGTCTTTCTCATGAATGCCAGAAATTGGGATGTCTCTTCTCCTTCGAGGACAATCTCCTCTTCTTCTAGCGTTGTCGTCGTTGTTTCTGGGGATGCCTGGATGGTGAGATTTCCCTCGTCATCGAAATACTTGTTCGAGATCCGCGATCTCTGGAGAAAGTCTGATGGTGGTTTTCCGAGCAGAGTCACCATTCTAGCTAGATGCTTGCCGCTCGATTCTTCGCGACTCGGTAATCGTTCAGTAAAGAGGTGCTTGCCTTCTAGCAAATCCCATATCTGTATCTCGAGTGATCAGTTCTCGTGCCAGGTTTGACGCCAGCAACGCAATGAACCGCTTTAAAACTGCTTACCATCAAGCCGAAGCTCCAAATATCTATCTTCTCATCCCAAGTTATGCCGAGGACAACTTCGGGTGCGCGATACAGATCTGGCATGACTTCGCCTTCGAATGGGCCTTGGCCGAATTTTGCGTCTCCGAAATCGCAGATGATAGCGTGGCCGGGCTCGTCTGGCATATCGAGCTCGACAGTCGAACAGATTGTGCGGGTCGCCATCTCGTTTGTGCGGGCTGGGTTGTTCTCGCTCTTGTTCCACCAGCTCGTCTAGGTATGAGTGGTCTTCTATGGACAACATGATGTTGCCCTCCTGAATGTCTTATAGGCGTCGTCTCGTTAGGTCTGATCAACTTGTTAGAAGTGGAGTTCAAGGGAACGTACCTGTGTGCACCACGTGCGCTTCTGAGTGTAGATAATCGAGCGCGAGCAGAAGTCCATATATCATGGGTCTCAAGATTGAGCTGGGAATCTGGCCGCCAGCCATATTGCGGATGTCACGCATCGTGAGACTCAAAGGGCTGTGCACAATGCAGGTGTGCGGTCCAATCTCTCCGGGAAGCTCAAACGTATCGAGCATCCGACGCACCAGCTGAGTGCCAGGGTGATCGTCAGAGCGAATGTCTTGTATGTGCTGTAGCACTCTCACTTCATTCTGGGCCTGTCGGTGTCCTGTCATATAAATTTTGAGTGTCACGTATTGTTGCGTTCTGCACACCGCTTCAGCTTGAATTAATAACATTCAATGAAGACTGGAATTCTTACTCGAGGTTACGACACAGCCAGGCCGTAGATACAGAACCATAGCCCAATTTCAGAAGAATCTCATACTTCGATTCGAATGTTTCTCCGATTCGGACAGGGCAGAAAGCACGTCGGTCGTACCACGAGAAGGACTCTTCCTCGAGCAGAATGTCTGACCCATAGTATTCTGGTTCAGTTGCCGAGGAGTCTTGGGTCTCAGAATTATTGGTCATTGTTGGATATTATCAGCGAAATACAAGTGTCTGGAAGAGATGTTGTATTGTCTTGTACTCTCGTGTGCGAGTCACAGTCCTGAGGTGAGAAAGTTGGCCTTGGCAAGTGAGGCACAGAAGAACAGAAGAAGATGTGGCTGAGGGGAGACGTGAAAGGTTTCCATCGTGCTATTCTTATCCCAAACAATATGCTTCTTACCTACGAGGTACCCTTCTCCTTACTGACCCTCACTGTGCTCTTTTGGCAAAGTGATGGATTGTGGCCCGCACTGATTCCGAACCTCTCAGCTTGAGCATAACGCTATAATTCAAGGTCCGGCGCCCAGTAATGGACATAACAATCAATCTCTGCTCAGCGCGAAAACAGTCAAGCTAACGAAAAGTTGTGCTGACCGCCGTTAAGTAATGTGTTTTTGATGCTGGCATTAGTTGAAGAAAGGAAAGGAAGTTGAGCGCAGGCGGAAGATTTTGAGGTTGGAAGCGGCAGCGGCAGCAGCCGTGTTTGGTGCCAAGGCTGAGATGTGGCAGCTACGCTCGGGCGACCAGGGAAGTTGGCTTCCATCATGTGAAGGACACCTTTGCCCAATTTGCCGTCGACGTTGTGCTGTCTCCTGTCCAATCCTCCTCGCAGCCGCTGCCATTCACTTGGAAGCGAACTCTCTGCATCAACCCTCTGCCAACTCCATTCGACTGGCGCATTCCCGCATGAGCGCACGATAAATAGAACCCAGCCGCCCCTCCACGCTCCTCGAATTCTCACCGCCGAGCTCACAACATGGACTACGAAGCGCTCAAGGACCAGTGGTCCGAGATCGAAGATCGCGATGGAATCCGACTGTCGTGGAACACGTTTCCCTCATCGCGCATGGAGGCCAGCAGGCTGGTCGTCCCCATTGGAGCTCTCTACACTCCGCTGAAGGAAAAGGAGGATGGCACTCCGCTGCTACAATACGAGCCCGTCACTTGCAAACCGCCATGTCGAGCCGTACTCAACCCCTTCTGCCAAGTGGATATGCGAGCGCGGATATGGATCTGCCCATTCTGCCTGCAGCGCAACAACCTCCCACCACACTACAAGGACATCAGCGAGAGCCAGATCCCTCCTGAGCTGCACCCTCAGAGCACCACTATCGAGTACCGTTTGGCGAGACCGGCCCCTACTCCACCAATCTTTCTCTTCGTTGTGGATACCTGTCAAGAGGAGGACTCACTGAAGGCATTGCGGGACAGCATTATCAATGCTCTCTCTTTCTTGCCTCCACATGCTCTGGTGGGCTTGATCACATACGGCACAATGGCACAAGTGCACGAGCTGGGCTACACCGAATGCGCAAAGAGCTACGTCTTCCGCGGCAACAAGGATTATGGCGCAAAGCAGGTGCAGGAGATGTTGGGTTTGGGAGGAGCCAGACCTGGTATGCAACCACAGCCACAGCCCGGCCGACCAGCTGTTGCACCCCCAGTAGGGGGTGCTCAGGCACGATTCTTGCTTCCGGTGCAGCAGTGCGAGTTTCAGCTCACCAATGTACTGGAGAGCCTGCAGAAGGACCCATGGCCAGTTGCCAACGACAAGCGTGCCATTCGATGCACCGGTGTTGCGCTGTCTGTGGCAACCGGCTTGCTCGAGACCAGCTTCCAGAACTCTGGTGCACGCGTCATGCTGTTCACAGGAGGCGCGGCCACAGAAGGACCTGGAATGGTTGTGGGTCCTGAGCTGAAGGAGCAGATCCGTTCCCACCACGACATTGATCGCGACAACATCAAGTACTACAAGAAGGCGCTCAAGTTCTACGACACCCTCGCGAAGCGCGTGGCGCACAATGGGCACGTAATTGACATTTTCGCTGGATGTCTGGACCAGGTTGGTCTGCTCGAGATGAAGGGCCTAGCCAATAGCACTGGTGGCCACATGATCTTGACAGATTCTTTCACATCGTCCATGTACAAGCAGTCTTTCACGAAGATCTTTGATGTGGATGCAAATGATAACTTGAAGATGGGCTTCAACGCATCGCTTGAGGTTTTGACGACGAAAGAGCTCAAGGTTACGGGCCTGATCGGCCATGCTGTGTCTCTCAACAAGAAATCGAGCTCGGTTGGCGAGACAGAGTGTGGTATCGGCAACACTTGCAGCTGGAAGATGTGTGGTATCGATCCATCAGCCTCGTATGGTGTGTACTTTGAGATCGCCAGCCAAGGTGGTCCAGCTGCACCCATGCAACAAGGTCCACAAAAGGGCCTGATCCAATTCCTCACATACTATCAACACAGCGGAGGGCAGTACCATCTGCGTGTGACGACGGTCGGACGAAACATGAGCGGACCGAGCGGTGATCCAGCCATCGCACAGTCGTTCGACCAAGAAGCTGCAGCAGTTCTGATGAGCAGGATCGCAGTCTTCAAGGCGGAAGTCGACGATGGTCCAGACGTCCTCCGTTGGGTCGACCGCATGCTGATCAGGCTCTGCTCGCGCTTCGCAGAATACCGGAAAGACGACCCTTCATCATTCCGACTGGAGAAGAACTTCACCCTCTACCCACAATTTATGTTCCATCTGCGTCGATCACAATTCTTGCAAGTCTTCAATAACTCACCCGACGAGACTGCATTCTACCGACACGTACTGAATCATGAAGATGTGTCAAACTCGCTCATCATGATTCAGCCCACTTTGGACTCTTACACATTCGACCAAGAAGGCGCTGTTCCCGTGCTGCTCGACTCTACATCGATTCAGCCAACGACTATTCTGCTTCTCGACACTTTCTTCCACATCCTCATCTTCCACGGAGAGACTATGGCAGAGTGGCGAAAAGCTGGCTATCAGGATATGGAAGGATACGAGAACTTCCGAGAGCTCCTCGATGCGCCGAAGCAAGATGCAAAGGTAAGCACAACTTCAAATTGACGTTCAACATTCGAATACTAACTTGCTGCGCAGGACCTCATCCAAGACCGATTCCCTCTGCCCCGTTTCATCGTCTGCGACGCCGGCGGCTCACAGGCTCGTTTCCTCCTCGCCAAGCTCAACCCTTCGACAACGCACACATCCTCCAGTTATGGTGGTGTCAGTCAATCCGCACAGACTATCTTCACGGATGATGTCAGTTTGCAGACGTTCATGGATCACTTGATGAAGTTGGCTGTCAGCGGCACGGGATAGACGTGTCCAGGAATAATGATAACAATTAGAGGGGTGGATAGCGATGGCGTCTTGTTTCGAAACGAGGTATTGGTGGTACGAAAGCTGGTAATGCTATACGTAGAAGTATTCATGGAATCTGACCGCGAGAGCGAAAAGTTAAACATCACTATTGGTTTCGCATCATACTTCACTTCAGGCACTAGTGGGTCAACCTAGAATGAATAATCATTCATCCACCTGCTATCTCTACTTGCGAGACACTGTAGCAAATATAAAAATCGACGCAGACGCGGATGGGTCGACCGGACTTCAAAGGGGTCAAAAACAATCGTTCGCAGCCATGGCTCCCACTCGACAACAACATCGGAAGAGGACTGCACTCCTCAGTGCGAGAGAAGTTATGGTGTAGTGGTATCGCCAAGCGCTCTGTACGAACCGAACGACTTACTGACTCGGCCAATGAGCCATGGACGATTGTTCGGAGTGAATCTATTGGCCTGTTAAATGGAAGCTGGTTGCAAACAAGAGAGGCTGCTTGCATGCAGGATTTCACCTCAAAAGTGCGTGCGACGTTTGCGCGAAAAAAAGGGACGGTATGGAGGCAAAAATGATAAAACGAATCGTCGCCAACTCACAGCTTTCTGACCAAACAAGAAGCCATGGGAGAGGAAGCTTATTAACTCACTTCGTCTTGACTGTTGAGATGTGTGTCAGGCATTCGATCTGAAGAGAACAAACGACTTACTGATTTGACTATGGTGCCAGCGACGATTGTTGACATTCCGAGACAGCTGAATGCTATATAGACCCTCCGATTGAAGTAGAAGCTGTTGTGATATAATGAGACGGTAGAAAATGAGGGACGCAACGACAAAAAGGAGAGTAGTAAAGTGGAACACAGATCGCCGTTGTCCAAAGGCTCGCTCGCACCGAAATGGACAAATTATGTATGAACGTCAATGACGCCGGCTGCATTAAGAGAATGTAAAATGCTATGTACGCTGAAAGAGAGCGGAATTTCTGTCCTACGAAAGGAGGTGACAGTGCTGCAAAAAGAAGAGAACAACAAAACAAATCGCCGTCGGCTAGAATCTTTCCAGACAAAGAGTGGACTAAGGCGCGATATAAGTGATTTGATCGTGCCGAGAGTTCACGCTACAAGTTATCAGGCACGCGACTGGTAAGGCCGAGCGACTTACTGACTAGACTAATGAGCCGCCGACGATCGTTGGATGTGGACCGTATGAGATACTATACAATGCCTCCCTAAGCCTGGGAATGAGAGAGATAACAAGGACTCACGCCGTGGAAGAATAAAGGCCTCCAATGGGGTCAAAGGGTCGATCGGGAGGCAAAAAGACAAAACGTATCGCCGCCGAGCCGAAGCCTGTGGAAGGCGAACACTCAAGAACATCAACAGGATTTTTTGATCGTTTCGTAGTGCTCACAACATATGTGTCAGGCATTCGACCCGGAGCAATCGAACCACTTAATGACTCAGCTAAAGAGTCGACGACGATTGTTCGAGATGAAAGTGATTTCGATCGTATGTAAAGGCAGGATAGCTTAGAGTGCAAGAGAAAGAATAGACTCGGGGAAGAGGGTCTATTGAAAGACAAGGCTATGCTTCGATCTGGAGTGTCCACTTGCGACCCAGAAGATGGAGACAGACATATTGATTCGAATGCCCTAAGAATCTGTCCCCGCAACTTGTTTCAAGGACCACGGGGAAGACGAAGTGATGATTGAGCGATCATGAAAGACAATCACCTAGTGGTGTTATTAGCATGGCCGAGACAGGCTACTCCTGTCACCAGACATATAACCATAAGATCACTGCAGCTGTACTCCACAACATCGATCCGCGCAAAGGCAAAGCAATCTTCCGCAATGAAACGGTTCGACTAAAACTCAAAGTGAACGCCGCCAGAGCAAAACAATCGCTGCTCGGACGCAGACTGCTACGATGGGTTCAAGGTATTCGAACCAGGGATAGTCTCTGTTCCATGTCTACGTCTCGAAGCCATTTCTACCAAGCGTCTACATCAAGCAGTTGACGACGTACTGGCTGAGCCAATGCGCCGAACAGCGATCGTTGTCGGACTTTGATAGAACCCCCATATGAAGGTTAATTTGGCTGAAGTGAAGACGGTACAATGGTGAGAACTGCGGAAAGCAAACAACGAAAGGCCCTGGAATCCACGGTTTGATCTGAACGGTCGCTGCGGCGATGAAAAGGTCGTTTCGGGGATCGGCACGATCAGTACTCCTGGAAAGAATGATAGAATGAAGGGAAGGAAGAGAGACTATCGTGGGCAGCAAAGCAGTATGGACAATTCTGGATACTGTCTGGAGCTCAATAATGAAGCAAGTAGCGCGATCCGTAACCTGTTCGAAGGAGTGCAATACGCACATTGCTATCATGGTACTGCACTGACACACGTTTCGTTACCAGACAGAAAGAGAAAGCCTCGCGACGGATGAAAGCCAGTTTCAGCGTATAGCGAGCGTGGACAGCACGTTGACAGCATGATGCGAGTACTCTTCATCCTCTCTTCGAATTCGTCGTACCGCGAGTCCCGCCGAACAGCGTGTTTGACTCCATAGCACAAGCTTCGCTAAACCATATGATGACTGATACGACTCAAACAGACGGGCAAAGCGCCTCGTTTAGGTGATTCTGGAATGAGCGATGTCTGGTCACGACTCATCTGAACTTGCAAGCCGGAAGTAGGAGGAGTGTCGTTCCGTGAGGACTGAGATGACCCCTGAAATGAGACCAGCAGCTGTACGCCTCGCAAGGAAGGGAAGGAGAGAGGACCTTTGCTAGAGAGGACCTTTGCTAGGCAAAGGAAGCTCATCGGAACGGGTTCCTAAAGTCGAGTACGCGACATGCTGTCTAACTCAAGCATTCAGCGGATGGTTCTGGCCGGAACATTGTTTGTTCACGGGCTTGCCGGAGTCGAGGGTCTGTTTGTTCATCATTTGTCTCGCGAATGGCGATGACGCGGACCAGACGAAGGACTGCTCCCTTGATGTCCTTGCGCATGAGTCTGCACTGGAATCGAATGGAGCTCATCACGAGAGATGTGACGTGAAGCTCCGCTATCCAAACTGGAGCACACGACACCTGCTGGGCTTTCAATTCTTGACACGAGAATTCTGCGAGTCTCTTGCGCGTCGACGCTGGGTAGCGATGGGACTCGAAATTATCTCATTTCAACTTCGGCGAGCGCTCCGTCAGCACAGCTTGAGGGTGACTGTACGAGCTGGCGGGCGACACAGCAGACAGACCCTGCGACCTTGCGTTCTGAGGTGTTCTGAACGGCCGAGCATTGACTTGTTCATTTCGGTACCTGCGCAAGCGAGCCCAGTCTCGAAAGCACGCTGACTGTACTTCGTGGACGGTGAGAGCTCCGATGGAACGGGCCTGGGGTATGACATAAAGGCCATCTGAGATCATTAATTTGCCTCTGTCTTGAAATGCGCCTCCGACTTGGGGCTGCTGTGTCTTGTTCGTGCTCTAGCAATAGATGCCAGCACCCTAGGTCGGAGGCTGAGGTAGACTTGGTCATGTGCAGCTCAAAGCCCCGAATGCCATGCCGCTATTTCCCAGGAAGTCGCAAGTCTTGTTTGGCCTTCACATTCGCACCGTTAGCCAGCAATACGTCAGCCGATAAGACGTCCTGCAGAGTCCAAGGCGCATTGAATCAGCCAGACAAAAGCCCGCGTACGCAAGGTCGTCATCAGCGGAGGATGCATGGTCCCAATGCACCATTGAAGAGTCCGAGAGTACCTGCGCTGCCACATGAGGTCGTATACCCATGTCCTCCGAAATTCACCCCGCGCCTACCTCTTCAGCCTATTGTCAATAGTCAGCGACCGCGTTGATTTTAGTGGACAGGGATTCCCATAGGGCTCGCGGCCGCTGGGCCCTGATGTTTCATAATCCCGGTCAAGATCCTTGTGGACCGATGTCTAGCCTGGCCGATTGTGCCTGAGGATCACCTGGGTGGTTTGCAGTAGCGGATCACCAGATTGCGACATGGAATTTTGGAACTGGCTGACGATCGAGAATGAACGCTGGGGTCTTGCTGGGGTTGAAGTGTGGAAACGCCTGTCTCTGGAGCGACCGCACTTGCTACAGTCTTGATCACGCAGATGAGTGCGCAATGTTCATGTGCAATAAACCGCCGCTTGTCTTGTGGCCTGCTCCTGCTCTGATATTTTGGGGCGTGTCACCAAGCGCATCGGCGCCAGAAAGTCGGCGTCATAGTAGCTTCTACACTCGGATCAAGTGGACGATGCGCTGTAAGGTGAAACCGACGATGTACCCTTGGGACTCGATACATCTGACGCTAAATCCAAGAATGCAGTGGCATTGAAGAAGCGGACTTGTGTCGTAATCGTGCCAATGTGGAATTCCATACTGCATGGGCAAGGTGTCGGAATATTCACCTCGACAACTGCCTTGTCAAGAAATCCGGCTTGCATGTGGTTAATTCTCTGGAGGGCTTCCTACGCTGGCGCCGAGGTTTGCATTACCCGATGGCTGATCGTCGGGGGACTGGATGCCCATCAGAGCACACATGCTCCCGCGGTCGTGAGAACGCACAGCAGAGGTATCGATGATCGAAGACGTGAGGTGTGCTCGTATTCCAGTCGGAGGCTGGCCTCAGGGTCAAAGTTGAATGGCGACAAAGTGGCCTGAACCTTGAAAGCTTCAATGGTTGAAAGTCCAAGAGCATAAGAATTTCCCTCCAGATAACTTGGCCCTCGGCAGCGGCATGGCCCAATTACCGTGGTTTTGGGAGACAGCTCGATTCTCCGCCGATCTTGGTGTCGACGGTGCGTCTTTTTGGGAAATGCTCGACCACGTTCTTGCAATCAACGTGAAGCAGCTAGTGAGCGGGAGTGGAGATTGGACAAGAACCTACCTCATCATTAGCGAACTGCATGCCGATGTGTCTCTGTACCAGCAGGAGATAGCAAAGTGGTGATCAGCCTTGACACTATTGCAGTATAACGAGCGCCGCTGGAGGAACCTGGTCACTGGGAGGTGTAGCGCGCCTCTGTCCTGGGCACTGGGCGCAAACATGAATGTGGTGCCAGTGACGTAGAGGGAGCCAGTGGAACACGCTCAAGCTCTATGAACAAGGTCGCTGCGCGGCACAATTGTCGGGTTGTGTGTCAGCAATAGCGCAATTATGAAGGGTACCGTTCTCCCAAAACTGCGAAACGAATCACCACGAGTGCACATTGTATCATGCCCCGCGCCAGACTTCCTTTTCTCGCTGTTCGCCTGGATGCCGCATCGGGGCTGATCATAGACATGGCAGTCGCACTCTTGACTGGCCCAGAGGATCGGTGACGAGCGAAGAAAGGACACGATGTGCTCGGATCCTGAATATTTCCGTAGCAGAACAAGAATGTGCCGAAGATGAGCAGCACGCCATTGGTAGGGCTGGAACAGATGGTCCCGTGAGATTCTTGAGCTCTGGCGCGAGTAAAGCCTGTGAAGGCGACACACTGGTGCAATACACGCTCTGAGCAGGCGTAGGGCTGCGTGTTACGTCGTAATGACTTGTAGCTGAGCGGGTTGATTGTCAACACGTATGCGTGTTCGTCAAATATGCTGTTTCATGACATCCGCAGATCCTAGCGTAGTGCACGAGCGAATGCTGAACATGACATGCATTCGCATGGATATGTGGTTGCTGGCCAGGATTAAGGCTGTGCTCGGATTGAGAGGCTGCTTGAGTGTCCAGGATGTGGCCTTTATTGCTTGCTACAAAGTACGCGTTGTCCTGAGCTCTGAAGCAACTCATAATCTCTCAGGCCCAGAGGCACCAGCGGCCGTCGAAATTGGACGTGTGAGTGAGACCAACAACCAGCAGTCAGGAACTGCCTGTACCGCTGGAACGGTTTGACATCTGGTGCTATTTTGAGAAAGCACGCAACGGCCTGACAGCTGTCTGTGTGCAAGGCAGGCAAATGTGCCATGATGCGCAAGCTCCCCAATCAAGAGGCTGCGCACAACGTAGAAGGCGTGTACTGGCGACGAGTCGTTGAAAAGGGTTATGCATGAGTCTTCGTAAAGCGCAATAGGTTCGAAGTTGCGCGACGTGCTGCACTTGGCTGACTCGATTGGCGATGCCATGCAGGTACCACGATGCGAACCAAAAAAAAGTCATGCATGAACGCTGGATTGGGCCAACCCCACACGGCCATTGGCAGTAGTTCGCAGCTGAGTGTGTGAACTGGGAGGCTCGCGAGGCAAGAGCAGACGTGCTGTTGAAGCGCGTCGTGTTGACGTGCCGAGCAGCCCCCACAACAGGGCGCTCAACGAAAAGAGGTTGTGGAGGCCGTGTATACCAGAAATCGAAAATTGTTGATGTCGATCGCGTGTTCTCCAAATCTTGCACCCCATACGCACTCGGACCACGTTTGTGGCTAGCTTTGCACAGACGTTTGAGAGTGCCGCGGTGCCGTCTCCGTGTCGACTGGGCGGGCGGAGAGTTCATCTCGTCTCTGGCCGCGCTGTTGGCCGCCTGCTGCGCGTTGCTATGCTGACCTGTTTCGGTGCTGCAGTCTGCACGCTCGTCAATGGCGGCCTCGCGCTCCCCCCAATGCGGGCGCGGAGTGTGTTGGAGATGCAGGGAAGACGAGGCAGACGAGTGGACGCGGTGGTGACTGCCGAGCGAGTGGAGCACGGGCGTCGCGGAGAATCCGCCCGAAATAGTGGCATGGGGCTTCATGGAGCCAAAGCGTTTCGGCCTTCCACTAGTTACTCGTCCCTTCACACTCCAGCGTGCTCGAGCTAACCACGATTGCACCTGCCGATGCGCGGTCTGCTGCGCTGCTGCAAAAGTGCTTGCACATTCACGGCGCGAAGCGTTGCATCGCTGCCCGTGATTGCGTGATCACATGCCGCATGTCGCGGGCGAGGTGAGCGCTTCGAGGGCGAATCCAGTGCGCTCGCCATCACAAGCGGGAGAGTGTTATCGCGACTGGGACGATGAGGACAATGGGCAGGCTCCCAAGCTCCAGAGTCCAGCGCGCTGCTGCACGTCCGAGGTGCGCGTGTGGGTTTGATAGCCCCTACGCGAGAGAACGGCCGTTGTGTGTCCAGGAGGTAGCCGTAGCGTTGGCGCTCCCGCGCGAGAGGACAGCCGGTGTGTGAGGCTCCATAGGTCGCAGACGAGGCCGACGATCACTCTGCGGGACCAGAGCCTATCGCGACGTGAACTCACGACGGCGCAGGAGCTTGTTGTGAGCGGCGGCCCTTCTGTCACATCTGCCTCCGGTCACTTTCTTCACCCGCTGTTCTGTTGTTGTGTTGTTGCGGAAGATGCACTGTTCGCGCGATCCTCGACTCCCCCGACCAGCGACGACGACGACGAACGACGGCGAAAGTAAGGAGCTGCTCCTGTGAAGCCGGTGGTGCTGGCCTTCCTTGCTCGTTGCGACTGGCGGTGCTCTTGCCTCGACGCCGACACACCCTTGCTTGCCCGGGCATACCTCTGCAACACTACTCCATCCCGTCTCAGGCGCACGACTCTGCAAGTCACCTTCAATTCCAACCACGACCGAACCTCAAACCAACATTCATTGCCCTCGAAATCTAGGCCACGCGCAACTGCCTGGGTAGCCCTGCACGTCCTCAGCGCTGCGTTCCACGCCCTTGGGTTCGCGGGTGGATGTGAAACACGAGACCGACCTTGAAATCCAGCTTGCTTCACGCTGGCCGATTGCCGTATCGGCAGCTTATCTGGCAGACCAGAGCCAGAACCGGCGTGTCGAGGTCATCCTGGTTGCGTAGTACTTTATTCGTGGTCAGTATGATCCTGAGAACGACCACACGCCGCCTTGCGCCTGTCCAGAGCCCATTGAGCTCTGCATTCCTCACTGTCAACAACATGCGAACCAAACATGCTGACGTTCTGGTGACAGACAACCAGGGATAGTCCACGCTTTCGTCGCTGACATCCATCGCCGACGGCTTCCGACAAGCGCTGTGTCCTATATGGAGTCACGACTCACGACACACTAACCCGCCAATCTCGACCAAGGTTTCAGTGGAAATATGGATCCGGACAACGAGAGTGAGGCAATGTTTGCGCATCACCCCATGGAGGGGCACGCGCAATCCTTTCATGATTCAGCTGCTTCCCGCCGACCTTCAGCATCCACAATACTGTCGGCTCACACGTCCAGTCCGCGTTCGAAGCGATCATCTCGCCCGCCCAATGTATCGATCACGACAACTGCTGGATTCGTGTCACACATCACCCCTCCGTCCACGCCAGTCAGCACGACACCGAATTCCGACATGTTGTCTGTCAACCAATCGCTTTTTCACAATTACTTGCGTGCTCTGCACGTATTCGATCCAGCGATGAACCCCATGCCGGCTGAAGATGGATCATTATCAACGGTTCGCATCAAGCCTGGTGATCTTATCCTCGTCCACGTTATTCATGCGAACGGCTGGGCCGACGGTACTGTACTCAACACTGGCGATCGGGGCTGGCTCCCAACGAACTACTGCGAAGCCTACGATCATCCGTACGTCAGGAACCTTTTGAATGCGATGACCCAGTTTTGGGACCTACTTGGAGCGAGTGAGGACGCCAGCTTGTCGACATTTGTACGGCAGGATTATATTCGCGGCTTGATCGCCGGTGTACGCTATCTGCTCGAACGCGCGGACTGCTTACACAGAGATGCGAAGACTGTGCAGCACAACGCCGGCGTTCGAAGAATGCGAAAGGGACTTCTTGCGGATCTATCATCCCTGGTTGGGATCGCCAAAAGACTGCAGGAAACGATCGCCGAAGCGTTCGCTGGAGAGGTCATCCACGTCTTGCTGGATGACCTGATCGCAAAGGCGTGCAAAGTAGTCACCAGGGCGGTCGGCTTTACCGATGTTTGGACTCAAGAGACTGGCCCGAGCGACGCCGACATTCTCCGGCGAAGTGTTCAACGACGACTGACGCGTGAGAGACTAGATACTAACGCATTGGCCATCGATACGAATGCCCCTGGAGGCAGTGGGACATCGCCTGCTATCGATTCCGCAGTGCATTTGCCAGAACCAGACGATCAAACTGCGCCGAATGAGGCAGTACAACGCACCGAATACCGCGACAGTCGGACGTTCAGGCGATCAAAGGTGTTCGTGCCTCCTGAAGGCATGGCCGCGCATCGAATATCTATGATATCCAGCGAGCACACTCGGACGGGATCCGGAGCACTTGCGTCTGAGCGATTGACAAAGGTGCATGATGTATGCATCAGCCACATTGCAGCGTTCATTGGTCTTCATCTCCATTCACGGCCTTCTGCAGAGCTGGTGGCCACGACCGAGAAGTTGGTCGGGGCTTGTCGAGACATGCTCGAGATCGTGGAAGAGGTCTACGCTCACGACCCGCATCGAGCGATGCCCATTCAACAGGTCAAGGCAGATTTCGAAGCTCGCTTGGAAGAATTGGCCACATCGACAAAGGCCGTGTTCAGGTTTTCTGACTCCCCTGATGAGGACGTCGTCATGCTACACGATCAACATCAGCACCTCATCGCAGTCGGCACAAGCTTGATACGCAATAGTGGCGATTGTGTTGTCAAGACGCGACAACTCATTGAGCAGATAGGCGACTTCGAACTCAAGTCGGCGGGCACCGTGTCGAAGCTGGAGGTCCCACCAAGGTTCGACAGCATGTCCTCGACGGATGCTCAACTGAACCGAAGAACCTCGATGCTCCGTCGGTCCGTTGATGCAAAGATGCTTCCTCCGCCACCTCCCCGTCCCAAGGAAACGCACGTGGAGGTGGTCGACGTTCGGCCACCGTCGCCTACCGATACTATCGATACGGCGGCGTTTCCGCTGCCTCCATCCGTAACTGAACTCAGCAAGCCAGCATCAGCGATGCCGCCTCCGCCACGACCGCAATCTGCCACCACTGAACAGAGCTCCGTGGGCATTGAAAGCTCTCGGAGTCCGTCTGCGCTACAGTCTGAACCCACCAGTGCTCCTCGCAAAGACAGCAGGGAGATGTCGATTGCAGGATCGACCGAAACCTTTCACAGCAGTGCTCGTGACTCCCGCACTACCATTGTATCACAGCCATCCACGCGTGCCACAACTCCAGAGCACGCGAAAGACTCGCTGATGGCTGATGCCGCGATGATGGGAAGCTTTGCGAGCATATCTAGCATGCGGTCTCTTGTGACTGAGGATAGCATGGACGTTGAAGCGCAACTGCTGCAAAAGACATACATTCTTGAACTGACACGAAACAAAGACGGACAAATCACTGGCGGCAGCCTGCCTGCATTGGTCGAGCAGATCACTGCTCACGATTCGACTCCTGATCCGCAATTTGTAACCGCGTTTTTCTTGACCTTCAGGAAATTTGCGGAGCCGCGCGAGCTCGCGAAAGCGCTCATCGATCGATTTGAATACGTGGGCGATGGTAGGACTACAGGTACCCCGGCGCGCTTGCGGATATACAACTTCTTCAAAGGATGGCTGGAGACGTATTGGAACGCCGAGGTCGATAAGGAAGCTCTGGGTGAGATTCGATTTTTTGCTCTACACAAGTTGAAGCAAGTCCTGCCACAGGCTGGGGATCGCTTGATCGAGCTCACGCGAAGAATCACGGAAGGTTATGCCAAAGGCACAATGAATGGACCACTGGTGTCTGCGGTTGGCAAGTCGAGCATGTCTTTCACGCAGAACGACAAGGACATCCCGATCCCCAATGTCACCGCGAAGCAACTCAATGCGCTCCGCTTGGCCAATGGTGGCGGCGCTCAGTGCAATATCTTGGACATCGAACCGATCGAGATCGCCAGACAAGTGACCATCATGATGATGCAGACTTACTGCGATATTCGAGCAGAAGAGCTGATGAGCATGGATTGGGGCAATCCCAACACCAAAAGGGCGAAGAACATCCGCAAGATGTGCCTGCTCAACACAGACCTTGCTAATCTGGTGGCGGACACCATTTTGGCGCCAGACGAGGCAAAGAAGAGAGCCATGGTCATCAAGCATTGGGCTAAGATAGGACATGCTCTGTTGTTGCTCAACAACTACGACTCGATCATGTCCATCATGTGCATGATCAACTCATCCGTCGTGCAAAGACTAAGACGCACATGGGAACTGGTGAACAAGAAGACGAAAGCCAGGTTCGAGGAGCTCGACCAAGCCATCGATATCTCCAAGAACTACACCGCGTTGCGACGCAGGCTCGAGGCACCCACGACATCCTGTCTGCCCTTCCTCGGCGTCTATCTCACCGATCTGACTTTTGTCGTTGCTGGCAACCCAAAGCGACGCGAGATTCCTGGTAGCGTCACGGAATCTGGAGAGGTCGTCTCGGTCATCAACTTTGACCTTTACATGAAAATCGCAAAGCTCGTGAGCCACATGCAAAGATTCCAGGCGCCATACAAGCTCCGAACAGTTCCCGAACTGCAGACCTGGCTAGACATGCAGTTGAAGCGCATGCGCGAAGGACATGATGCCATGACGACCAAATTACATCGCCGGAGCACAATGGTCGAGCCCAAGGTCGCCGAGAAGCGCCTTGCTCCCGCTCCTCTCCCAGAAATCAAGGAAGAGCGACCACCAACTTCTGCAAGCTCGTATAGCGACTTCGGGAAGTGGTACAGCCTCAAGGCCGCCTCATTTTCAGTACGAACACTTCCAGTGCCCGAGATGGCAGACCACGGCAAACGAACGAGCGCGCATTGATTGCGCTTTTGCTGCTACGATATCACGCAAGAACTTTTTGACATAATTTTGACTTTTCTACACATTATTGGGATACGGTATGGGACGGCAAAATCAACAGGGGCGGAGCGGAGCCGGGGGTTTGGACAAAAAGCTCGCTCTCTTTTGGCATGTGTTATGAGATACCCATTTTGCGTCTACACTTTGTACTTTTTTGGTCTATACAATGGGCTGGTCGGAAAATTTTATGATAATCATATAGATCCGAGTATCCAGAGGAAGGGAAGAAGAGAGACACTGTTTTTTCAGAGATCGAGTTTGCTTCCCGTGTTTTGGGACGATCGAGTGGTTCTACAGTTTTATAGGAAAACGATGAACGATGTTTACACCAATACTACCGACGATAGCAGTCCCAATCTATCGTGCCTTTACTGTTAGCGTTGTAACACATAGAGTGGTCACGTTGCAACCGTCAACGCATCGATAGAGTCTGTTCTCTCGCGCGACGCGTTCGTGGGTCACTTAGTCACTACCTCTCGTGGTTTTGATTGCGGAGAATAAACAAGCGTCGCGTCCCAACGGATCGGAATGGTAAGCTAGTTTTATAAGTGTTGAAGTTTGAAATATGGGGAAGGCTGAAGACCGAGCGCTTCGTATACTGGATTGAGAGGAGCGAGTTGGCATTGTCCTGATTGGGGTAAGGGAGACGGGTTGACGGGAAAGACGGGATCTGTGATGGGAATGGAGTTTAACAGCGGCTTGGCGGGGGCATTTTGTGATAAGGTCGGTGGATGGGAGGTTTGTGGCCGAGATTTGGAAGTGTTGGTCTCTCTCTGAGGAAGATGTGGAGGTTATCGAGATGGAGTTCAGTGTGGCTCTCGGATCTTGATTTGCTGATGTGTCGGCGGGTCGGCTGGCGGAGGGAGTTGATGGGCTTGCAGGTGGCGTGGTAGCCTGAGGCATGTCTCGTCGCGTCGACACGTGTACGGTGGCGTGTCTTCACATTGTCAGATGACTGTGGACGGATGAGGTGGCAGTAGGATGAGGTGAAGCAGTACAGGCCCCTCATGTGCAATCGTGACGATGGCGACCAGCGCAGGCGAGGCGAGGTGGATGCAGCACAGTGGGAAGAGCCAGGTTTTTGGGGAGCGTCTCGCGTGCACAGAGGCAGCAGCGGCGAGACAGCAGCAGCAGAGCCCTGTCGCGGTGGAGGGACGAGTGACCGGGATGCCTTCAGCACTCTCGCACCACACTCCCCGTCGCCCACCACACACACGTCGTCGTCGCCTCGCTGTCCGCTGACCGCACGCCTCGTTCCCCATGCGCGACGCTGTGCCCCCTCCCTCGCACCACCCCTCGGCCAACCAGGATACTGCTGCTGCCCGCCGTCGGGATCTGCGGCAACATGACGCACCCACGGCACCTTCTCTTGCATCTGAACGCCAAGCCCCAGACGCCCTTCACCACCATCATGCCACGATAGTTCGAGCAGAAGCCGTGCATGCCAGCAACGAGCCCTCGCCCTACCACGACCAACACGCCATCGATGTCCTGAGAGAGCTCGCGCGGGGAGACCATGCTGCTGCCAGACCGGGTCCTGTCCTCGCCTCTCTACGCACAGCATCGGCCGAGCGCATGAGCATCAACCCTGCACATGGTATCGCAGAAGCTCTTCGGTCGCCCGCCGACACCACGCCTGTGACACCCACCGCCAGCCCGCCCACACGGCCGAGAGCAGACACCGAGCGAACAAACAGCGAGTCGACGAGCATAGCGCAAGTGCAATACACCATGCCAGACACCGCGAACATGGACGGCGCTTTGCCTGAAGACGATGGCATGCGGGCACTGCGCCAGAAGCTCCAAGAGATTAAGGAACTCGCTGTGTCGACGGAGGAGAAGGCAAAGAGGATGCATCAGCTCATGATGCAAGACTATGCCAGACACAAAGACCTAGGACACCTCACGCCGCCGGATAGTCCGGCGTCAGGAGGGCATGAAAGCGACGGCCTGGAAGCACCTCTGCTAGGAGCCGCAGCTTTGCCTATTGATCCTAGCAATCCATACAACCTACGACCTGGGGACCTCGATATTGTTTTCACTCCTCTGCCCAAGGCGCCGCGGGATGTCGAAGGCGATGATGATGAAGCTGTGATTGACGACGATGAACCGGAGTTGGGCTGTATGCACTACAAGCGAAATGTCAAAGTGCAATGCTTCGATTGCCAACGATGGTTCCCTTGTCGGCATTGTCATGATCAGTCAAAGGACCTGCCGTTTCCGCATGCTCTAAATCGGCACAAGACGCAGAACATGCTCTGTATGCTCTGTCAGACTCCACAGCCGGCAGCGCATGAGTGCATGAACTGCGGTAACTATGCCGCGTGGTACTTTTGTTCCAAGTGCAAACTCTGGGACAACGACACAAATAAGAGGATCTATCATTGCGATGATTGTGGCATTTGCCGTGTGGGTGAAGGATTGGGCAAGGATTTCGTGCACTGCAAGCGTTGCAATGTGTGCATATCCATCTCCACATCTGCTGCGCATCCCTGCATAGAGAGGGCTACGGAAGGCAATTGCCCGCTCTGTTTAAATCTCATGTTCGAAGCCAAAGTCCCTGTTGTCAGCTTGCCATGCGGACATTACATGCATGGCGATTGCTATAAGGATCTGATGGCGGTGACGTACAAGTGTCCGGTGTGCAGCAAAAGTGCTGTGAATATGGAGCTGCAATGGCGGAAGCTGGATGAGGAAATAGCGATCCAGCCCATGCCTGAGGAGGACCTCGAAGGACTGCTGCCGCATGTTGAAGGCTCAGAACAGCCTGAAGAGCAAACAGATGGCCAAGCGCATGCTCCACCACCACGAAGACCGAGGACCGTGTGGATAGGCTGCAATGATTGTGGAGCCCGAACTTGGTCTCCATTTCACTGGCTTGGCCTCAAATGTCAAAGATGCGACAGCTACAATACGAACCAGATGACACCGACAGCACACCACGAGACAGAAGCCGAGAGGCTGTTACGACAGCAGACACAGTCGGTGCATCGTCACGACTTTACTGGTAACGATGTCCTTCGAAACGCTGGCATCGGAATGCCCGATGAAGCAACAGAAGTCCAGACTCAATTCCTTCAGACTCCCGAGTCACCTTCCCAGCAGCCGCTTCCCTCGAGCTCGCCACGGTTGGCGGCTGGTGCTCAATCGCCAGGTCGCTACTTTGTTACCAACGAAGAGATCCGTCGACCGAGCTTTTCAGGACGGTTTTCAGCACCGAGTATGCCCAACCTGCCGACCTTGTCCAACCTACCAGATATTCCCCGCATGCCACGAATGCCTGCGTTACCAAACATGCCCAATTTACCGAATCTTCGACAAAACTTCCCTAACATGCCAAATATGCCAAACGTCGAGCTGCCGCGCTTTTCACCTTACGAGATGATGGATGCGGTGAGTCGCAGTCTTTCTCCAATGCGATATTACCTTCGAGGACTGGATGTTACGGACGATCAGGAGGACTTACCGCCCCTTGCGAGGAGAAATCTCCCAATGCTTCACCGCTCCGCGAGTATTCAGAGTGATTCTGCTGTTCCGAGAATGGGATCGAAGTTGAGATCAAGTTCGGACGTGGACTCTATCGGGCTCTTCGGCAGTGGAGATGAGGCTGTTCAGGACGATGATTCGGAGAATGGGCTCGAGACGGTGGAAGGGAGTAGTGCGGAAGAGAGCGCGGATGAGGATGAAGAGGATGATGCTGATATGATTGATGATGATGAAGTTGACGATGCTCCTGGTTTGCCGGGGAAGAAGAAGGACAAGTTGGAATTTGAACTGATTGGACATCGGTGAGAGAGTTATTGCATGGCGACGGGATTGTAAGCGGGCATATAGGTGCACCCAGGAAATCATTGATTTATCGTTGAAAGGAAAACATCTTTTGCTGAGCCTGAGGAATATCGTTCACTTGGTTTGTTCGAGGTCGGCCCATAGCTGTCATTTTGGACTTCGCCACGCATCTTTGAAAAAGACAATCGCAATCCAATTTGGAAATCTTGACTTCCGTTGTTTGTTCACGCACACACCTGACGCGCTTACCGAAATACCTCCTGCCGGGCTTTTGACGTTGCTTGGCTGACATCGCAGTTTGTGCTCCGCATGGAGTTCATCAGTACTATCTACGTATCATACACAAGGCCATACCCGCTCAGTCATCGTCTTCTTCCAAAGAAGGACAAGGTCAGTGACGGCAGCGGAGAGAACCTGTGTAAAGGGAGCCGCTGGAAAAAATAACGAGTCGGTCACCACGGCGGCATCAGGGAGTGGCACAGAAGAAGCAAAGGACAGACAGTGGCGTAGAGCCGAGCCGCGGCAACAAAGAGCGATCGGCCAGCACAGAAGGTCTGTACTCGTTTTCTTTTTTGGCCACGTACTACTCGTTGCATCAGCTAACACGTTTCAGAAGAGTAGTTCAGAGCCACAACTACAAAAGACGGTGCCACTAGCACTACCTCAAACCCAGGACCAGACTCTATGTGTCAGCATGAGCCAAGCTACTCGATCTGCACCACCTCAGCCCAAATAGTGCGAGGACTCTGACGAGGAAGCTCGAATTCCTCTCTGGACAGATTGCAGAGGAACTAGGCCGGGTGTCATCCGCTCCTGGGAGCAGCGAGAAAAACACCGTCTCTGTAAAAGCAGCAAAGTCCGAGATGGAAGCCAAAGTGTATAGTATATCCTCCAGCTTTGACCCAAATATCATCATCTACTTCACCGCGAACTCGAGATCTCAATGCGGCAAACTCCTCCTCAAATCCACAATCCTCTGCGTCGCAGCATCAAATTCCCCCCGATCAATCCACCCCTCCCTCAAAGCCCTCACAATCCCCTCATGTGCCTCCTGTCCCTGACTCACCAACCTCACCGACGCCAACACAATGTCCATCCCCGCCTGCACAGCTCTCACCGCCAAATCCCCCGTACTCCCCAAAGCCTTAATACTCCCCGCCTCCAACGCATCCGTAATCGTCACACCCCTAAACCCCAATCTCTGTCTCAACTCCCCTTGCACAATATTCCGACTCAATCCAGCTGGGTTGTCTGAATCCAACGCAGGATAAATCGCCCAAGACGTCATGATCATTTTGACGTTACTTTGATTGATCGCTGCAGTATAAGGTAACATATCCGTTCCTCGTAACTCATCAGCTGAGAGATTAATCGTCACGGGCTTGAGATCTGTATTCTCATCTGCTGCCGCAGCACCTAATCCGGGAAAATGTTTCGCTGTTGCGGGATAATTCTGTGATTGGAGAGCTGAGATCCACGCTGCGGCGGAGGATGAGACGATGTTGGGGTCTGAAGAGAAAGAACGTTGTTCACGATCTGTAAAGTCGTTTTCGTTTCTGTGGACGTCGAGGACGGGGGCGAGGTCGCCGTTTATGCCGAATTGGGAGAAGATTTGAGCTACGGTTTGGCCGGCTTGAGTTGCGGAGGTTAGAGGGTCGGAGGAGGAACCGATGGATTTGGCGGAGGTGGAGGGGCCGCCTGGGAGGCGGTTTACGATTCCGCCTTCTTGGTCTGTTACCAGGAGGAGGGGGTAGCCTGGGTAGGAAGGTGATTGGCGGTAGGCGTTTTGGAGGTTGCGGATTTGGCCGGGCAGGTCGTTGGCTTTGTCGATGTTTTCGCTGTAGAAGATTACGCCGCTGACTTTGCCGTCGCGGGTTGCGGTGAGGAGTTCATCGGGGATGTTGGGGGCTGGGTAGGACCAGATTATGTGGTGGCCGACGGCTATGTCGTCTGCGTCTGCTTGGACGAAGGTGGTGATGGTGGCCAGGAAGGCGGCTGTTGATACAGTCAATCGCATCTTGCAAGTATTGTTGTTGAAAGTATTTCAATGGAGTGAGGTCAACTAGAGTGCAGTAAGCTCCTGTTCATCCTGGGCGTGAGAGAAATAGAGTTTTGATATCCTTGAGCATCAATTACAGATGCGGCATGTACCTTGCCACAAGGACAGCCGCACAATATGATCACAAGTATCGCCGACTTCAAGATCTGATTGTAGCACTATCAGGTGTTGAATCTTGCAAGGGAGGTTTCACCATGGCACCTCTTCACCTTCATACACTTCTGGTCCTTTCCCTTCTTTCTTCCAATCAGGCACGTGAATGTTGAAAAATTTGCCATTTTGTGATCTGTCGGCCTTGAGGATGATGTCTTTGAGACTAGAGACGCCGACCTCAACAGGAAGGTCCGCATTTTGGCTTCCAAGATCGGTTCTCAGCCACTACGGTGATGTCAGTAATAGCTGCGTGCGAACAGGTTGACCACACTTACACCAGGAGATACGGCAAGGAACGTGAATTCCTTGTGATCTAGCGCGTACAAAGCCGTGAGCATGTTCATGCCTGCTTTAGTGACCTTGTACGCATGACTCGGTGTATTCGCGTGTCGCGAGGCATAAGAGATTGAACCCAGAGTGGACGAGCTTGCATAATATCAGCAGATGATATCAGAGTCGGACGGGAAATATCGCTCACATGTTGATGACTTTCTTCTCGTTCCCGCTTTCCAAAAGTGGCAAGAAGGCGGCAGTCACGACTTGTGCGCTCACGAGGTTGGTATTCAAGATTTCTCGCAAGTCTGCGGCTTTGACCGATCGCACTCCGTCCGGTGTAAATGACCCTTGACCAGCATTGTTTACCAGGACGTCCAGAGAGGGTGTGTGCTTCTGGATTTGAGTAACTCCTCCTTGCACGCTATCTTCCTTGGTCAAATCTTTGATAACGATGTTGACGATGCGTTCCTCAGAAGCATCAATCAATTTCTGGAGCTCCACGCTAGGGCCTCGCGTGATGGCAAAGATCTTGGAGACCTGTGTTCTGGGCAATTGAATGAGCTGTTTGACGAGTTCGAGGCCGATGCCACGAGAAGTTCCAGTGATTGCGTATGTCGACATTTTGAGCGTTTGCATATGAGTGCTCGGGCACTTTGGTTGCTTATACCAGCGATTTATAGCTCAGTCACCATCTTGTGCGTGTCATGGATCTCTCGTCGACCGGGATCGGTAAGAGGATTGCTCTGTCGTCGTTGTGAAACGGGAGAAGGCTGCGCTAACTCCGGAACTACTCCCTAAGGAAGCAACGACATTTCGCGGTCGCATGTGGACCCGGGCATAGGAAGACTGCGAACCCGAGCAGCAGAGGGAAACACGGATCGGGAGGCGCCATGAGAGCTCGCCGAATGTTGGTGTAGGGCTGCTGTCCGACGTCGTTTCGCTCCTCTTGGAGACGTTGTCTCGCTCTTGGCTCGATGCCGGAGCCTTGAAATTTTGATTCACTGTTTTGTTTGGTCGCGTCAAAATGGCTTGTCGCGCGTGATTGCGCTTTCCTTCTCGCGTTCTTCGTCACTTGGATACTCTGTTTCATCCACTGCACGCGAGTTCTGCTTTCATGGTCAACTCCCTCACATACGACTGGTACTGCAATCCGCGACTTCTCGCGTTACGAGGCTTGAAGAGCATCATTGTTCGCGAAGCACTCCTCATCGCCTAACCCTAGCGGTCGTTCTGCCGGCTTCTGCTTCACGCGTCACCCTACCCTTGGAGACGACGCACTCAATCACTGCGGACGTTTGCGGATGATGCGTGTCCGATGATGGAGCCTTGAGAGATGGAGTGCTCCTCTGCCCACACCACCCGACCCTTCAACTACGAAACGCCAAGACAAGCTTTTCCACGTCCGTAAGCTGAAGTGTTCCCGAAGCCTAATATCTGTCGCCAAGGTGCGGCAGTATACAACGCAGGCTGGACTGATGATGAGCGCTTCCCATCGACTGCTCATGAAACTAGCTGTCGCCTCCCAGGCGAATCGCTCTGCCGCGCCAAGATTCACTGCCGGAGGCTATCGAAGGAACGGCCATGTCCGCCATGAGCAACACCTTTGGAAAGACCGGGCTGAACCGGAGAACCATTCAGGTTGAACCACGCAGAGTCATCTAGACCTGGGTTGTCCGGCATGCACGATATGAGACCTCAACACCCTATGGCCGGAGTGCAGGCTACGGGTGGTCTCAGACGTTGGGCATAGTGCCGGGTTTGAGCCCGTGTCCGACATACACGTATAGGCGCCACAATAGATCCCACGAAGTCGACAATTTGTCAACCTCCACGACCTTGAAAGGTAGATGGAGAACATGCCAAGCTTGTGTTATCGTTATGCTGAGAGGCGGCAGACTTGTGTGTACCCACTCAACCACTGTAGCCAGACAGCAGTGCTACCACTATCAATCTTGCTCACAGCATTGATATGATATCCTTGCCATATCTGTTCGACCTACCTCAAAGAGGTGTTGAGCCGCAGTCCAAGAGTCCATCAAGGTGTATGCGCCAAGTCGGCGGTAATAGACGGGTTTCCTCGTGCAGGTGGGAATTTTTCATCCTCTCCCAATGACAGCGAAGGCTAAGAGCATAACCCACGTCGATGCCCACGCAGCCCACGTAGCAGCCCACACCGGATCCAGTAACAACTCTCCGGCTACAGTAGCCTATCGCGAACGTCACATTACCACAAGCCGCCCACTTTCTTCTGCTTTAAGTAGGAGGCGATCCGGCATGGACCAGTCGCACAATTCGCGCAGTACCAACAATGGGTGTCAACGAGAAGCAGCCTCACGTGGCTGTCGATACCAGTGACACAAGTTCTGAAGAACGACCCGCACCACTTTCAAGCGAGAAGCCGACGACCAATAGTGAGGCGGAACAACAAACGACAACTCCACCCAAGAATTCGAGATGGCGACGTATCGTAGGAGTGCTATGGGACTCCTTCGACGGAACACCGCAGGAACGACGCTATGTCCGCAAGCTCGATACGTTTCTCCTGTCGTACATGTGCTTGGCATATTTCATCAAGCAGCTCGATCAGACGAACATCTCCAATGCGTTCGTCTCGGGCATGAAAGAGGACCTGGAGCTGTATGGCAATGAACGGAACTGGTTAAATACGTGGTTCAATATCGGGATATTACTGGGCACGATACCTAGTCAGATGATTCAGCTCCAGCATATTCGCCCGAGCATCTGGATCCCGTCATGTGAGATCTTCTGGAGCATCCTGGTCGTTGCAATGGCGTTTGCGAAGAACGTGGAGACGCTGTACGCACTCCGGTTCTTCGTGGGTTTCGCCGAGGCTTGTTGCTTTCCAGGATTTGCGGCGCTGCTTGGTGGATGGTATGGTACAAATCAGCTTGTAAGTCCTCCCGGGTGATGATGGGGCCGACTGGTGCTTCGGTCGATGAAAGAATTGCTCACATCATGATGTAATAGGCTAAACGTGCTGCTCTCTTCGAGCAATCCTCTGCTATCGGAAACATGTTCTCCGGTTACCTTCAGGCTGCGCTGTACAAAGGCATGAACGGTAAAGCTGGCCTGGCGGGTTGGCAATGGATGTTCGTCATTGATGGGCTCATCGGCATCCCCATCGGAATCTGGGGCATGTTCGCAGTTCCAGATCTACCGCATAACACGAGAGCTTTCTACTGGACTGCAGCTGACAAGGAGTACACGATTGAACGTACTCAGAAGCTTGGAAGGCCCGCGACGCCACCTTTGACATTCAAGGCCGTGTGGGGCGTCTTCACTAACTGGAGGCTTTGGTTGTTCATTTTGCCTTACAACATGGTAAGTAACACCTTCAGGCGTCAGTCACTGTTGCTAATGACGAGAAACAGGTCGGCCAAGCCATCAGCGGTATCAAGTACTTCAACCTCTACTTGAAGTGGGATGGCTGGAGTGTCGTTCACACGAACCTCCTTCCAACCGGAGGCGATGCTCTCAGTGTCGTTTCTGCATTGTTCTTCGGCATCCTAGCTGATCAGACTGGATACAATGCCACTCTGGTCTGCCTCATTCAGGGACTCGTTGTTGTCAGCAACGGAATGCTTGCAGCGTGGTGCTCAGGCCACTCGCTCAACAAAGGCAGTCTGCTGTTTGCCTACTACCTTTCCTATGCTGGCCTTGCAGCCCAGCCGATCGTTATTGTGAGTGCCACTCCCTTTCATGATAGATCAAGCTTTGAAACATTGCTAACACTCACTCAAACAGTCCTGGGGCAACCACCTCGCAGCATCTGATCCCATCTTACGACAAATGCTCGTGGCATGCGGTAACGTGGCATCGTACACTTTCAACGCATGGCTTCCTCTTGTCGCTTTTCCGACTTACGATGCTCCGATATACAAGTATGGCTATCAGATCCTGGTCATGTTCAGTGGGCTGGCGGTCATCGGTGTTATCTCCATGCATGTCTTGAGGGAAAAGTTCGCACAGAAAAGTAGCAGGTCTGGGACGTGAAGAAAACACATTATATTGAGAGCGTGTAAGATATGGCAAGAGTAGGACATGATTTCACGACTAGCATTGGGATAGCATTGGGATAGCATTGGGATAGCATTGATTGTGGCAACTGTGTATGATAGCGCACGATAAAATAGAGCAAATTCACGCTGAGAAGAGGGCACAACTGTGTGCCACGAGCACGATTGCAGCATTGACTCCACTGATGCTATAGTGAATGCTGCTCGTGCCATATGTATATATCTCGCTCCTGGAGATCTTGTAACCAGAACTTCAATTGCCGAACCAAACTCCGGAATCCTCAACTCGATCAACAATGTCTTCGTCCAATCCTCCCAAATCTTCTAACCCGCCCAAGTCTTCCAACCCGCCTAATCCGCCCAAGCCACCTTACCATGCTCCAGGCTGGGATCGCACTCTTCCTGGTCCGCCACCTAAGAAAGGCACGCCAAGTTGTCCGACGAAATTTGGAGGGGAGTGGCTGGCAAGGGGAGGAGATGGGAAGACTGGCTCTGGTGAGAAGAAGTAAAGTGACTTGTAGTTGAGGGGTGACATGGGCTGTGTGTTGGGGGAGGTGATGGGTGAAGAGTCGTGTTGGGATAGTCGTATGTAGGGAGGAAATTTTGTCGTAAGACTGAGCTGAATCGTTCGTCAATGTATCTCTGTGAGCGTGATTTCGAGGTGAGGCTGCTCTGTTGGGAGCGACGCGCCCTGGTCAAGTCGTCCACGGAGGCATTTCCGAATATTGTGATCAGTCCAACCGTTTCGTTCCCGAGTCACTAACTGTCTGGTCTTCCTCACCCGCTTCTTCGTCTTCATCGTCGTCATCATCGTCTTCTTCATCCGCTTCTTCATCTTCATCGTCTTCATCGTCTTCATCACCGTCCATCTTCGTGGGCCTGCGCAGAGCTTCCGGTGGGTGCCAGAAGATGTCCCTGATAGCTTCAACATCGCTCTTGAGTAATTCCTTGCGACCAGGTCTTGCATCAATCGCATTTATAACATGCTGAACCAGACCCGCAGCCACATCGAGCTCGTCTTCGCCCATCTCTTCGGAAGCCTGGTAGTCCACGAGAACTTCTGAACGTTTGTGGTCAGTGCCAAGATCGATGTAGCAGTACACTGTGGTCTCCCCAACATCGTCATCATGATAAGGTATCTCATCGTCGATACTCCCTTCCATATAGAGTTTGCGCAACATGGACAATTGCCCTGCTGGACCTTTGCACACGAAGTCCCACAGTGATGCTGCTCTTAAACGACGGGCCATGGCATCACGCTCAATGTTCCAGACGTTCAATTTGAATGTGCAAGTGTTGTAATATACCGGTAGGACCTCGCAACGCACAAGATTGCATACTTCGGCGAGGGGTATCGGATACGGTGCGTCCAGTGGCTTTGTGTCTGTGTCGAAGTCTCTCAGATAGAGCTCGTAGATATACACACGAAGCTCAGCTGGCAGCTCCAGAAAGTGATTGAATGTTTCGCCATCGTCAGCCTCATTCAATTTGAGAATGGCGTTCAAGACACGCAAGCGTTTTGCCTCCTGAGAGCTCGCTAAGCCTCGTGCTATACAGAATGCACGCAGCTCAGCCACAGAACATTGATCGTAATTGAGCAAGCCCCGTTGTCCACGAATTTGCTTCTGCAAGAGCTCCTCTTTGGGTGTGCTGAATTTGACCGGGCGGCCAGCATCTCGTAATAAGGCCCGGATCTCTGGCTTTGTAAGATGAGCGTCACACCTCAACTTCCAGAAAGACTTCTGGTAATCCCACTGTCGTAACAGAGGATAACCACCAGTCCACAAGACCTGCACCATGTTGGATGGCTGAGCTTGTTCCCTGTGGCGGTGAAGCCGAAGACGTAGTGACGATAGGACCGGCAGTGACAACTCGTGCGCCGGAGAGTAGATGAAATCGAGTGCTGAGAGGTAGGTTCTTGTCTGATTGTTAGTGCAAATCGGAAGTGCTTCTGAATTTAGGGGTTGCAAATGACTGCACGCTCACTTGCAATAGTTTCGGCGGGCATCTGCAGTTCTCCTCAATTTCATCGACGTTTAGAACTCACTCTTCCTACTGCATGTGAGATACCACGTGGACAACGGCTCAGGATGCCTTGTGATTGCCTCGCTCGTCGTGTCGAACGCGTGCTCGTGACCAGCAAATACGTCCAGCTACGAAGCATTCCGTGCGTGTCCATGCGCTGTTCTATTCATTGGCCCGCTCTCGTGCCAGGTCTTACTCACTTCAACGATGTGGTCACGGTGTTTGCGTCTGATCAGCGTTGCAGGACATTGAGGTCACGATGCTTCGTCACCAGCTTCTTCCCTTCAGTCTCACGTTATGTCTTCTGTCGAGCTCATCGACTTTCTCGTCATTTTTTTTTTGCTTGCTTTCGAGTTGGAAAGGGCCAACATGCTTCGCGCTGTTGTCATTTCAGGTCATGTCGTACCTTCAAAAAGACTTCAAGCTTCGCCCAGACCCACATTCTGGCAAAAAATCGTTCCGACTCCGGCAAGAGATTCTCACGGCTGGCATGATGACATGAACATCGATCTGCTGGCTTTCATGCGCTCTTCATATCATTCCATTTCGTAGACAGCATTTCATAGCAACACGAAATTCGTGGCTCCAAATTCTTTCTGTACCTGCATATTCTCCGTCATGTCCCCCTCAGCCACAGCGACCGACGATCCTCTCTTCACACAGCAAGAGATTCCAGGAAAAGGGAAAGGACTTGTCGCAAATCGTAGCATACCGGCTGGCACGCTTCTGATCAGTGAAGAACCTCTCTTCACCACAGAAAGTCTGCAAGATGCGGACACAATCGAGAAAGACCTTGCCGCAATAGTCAAAGCCCTTCCCAAAGACGGCCAACGAGCCTTCCTATCCCTGCACAACAATTTCAAAGGCGAACCCAACCCATTCAGCAATATCGTCCGTTCCAATGGCTATCCTCTGGGCCCCAGCAGTGGCATCGGCGGAATTTTCCCTCTCGTCTCCAGAATAAATCATTCTTGCCTGCCCAACGCGCAGCATTCCTGGAACAGCACACAAAACCGCATGCTGGTTCATGCAGTTCGAGAAATCGAAGAAGATGAAGAACTCACACTTTCCTACCTCAATGGCGGACCTTCGACGACCCGACAAGAAATCCTAAAACAGAATTTTAGATTTACGTGCACTTGCGAATTGTGCTCGCTTTCCCCGCAACAGCTCAAAATTTCCGATGCGCGGCTCAAGCGCGCTCAAGAACTCGACTCCAGTATCGGCGACCCAAAGACTGTACGCAATGCTCCGGAACGCGCATTGAGAGATTGTAGAGCTCTTCTCGACATCTACCAGAAAGAGAAGGTGTCGGATCTGCGGTTGCCTAGGTTATACTACGACGCGTTCCAGATCGTCGCAATGCATTCGGACGCTGCACGAGCCGCGGCTTTTGCGAGAAGAGCGAGGGAGTCGAGGACAATTTGCGAGGGAAAGGACAGTGATGAGGTGGAGAATTTGTTCATGCTGGAAAAGAGCCTGGAGATGTATGAGAATTTTGGTGTGACAAAGAAGTGGAAGTCGAAGGTGGGAGATGGGCTGACAGAAGAAGAGGAGGAGAAGTTTGAGAAGTGGTTGTGGATGGAGAAGTCGTGATGAGCGACTGGAGGACTACACATGACGTGTTGTGTACGCATCCGCTCTCGCTTGTTTAGCTTGGCGAGGATATGGGCTATTTGCATCCTTCTGCGCTACCATTTCCCCGCTACCGCAGTATCAGTGAGAGCTATACACCCTTTGGCGGCTTCGGCAAACACATTTCGCGCTCCAGAAGTGGCTTCAGCCTTGGACAATCGCCATGAACAGTCACTCTCTTGAGTCCTCTGAACCTGCGCAGCCAATTGATCATCTCGAGCCTCAATGCGCTGCGTAGAGGCCCTGGCCGTCCATTACTGCGAAGAATCGTTTCCGGCTCGGACGCCCATATGTCAACTTCTCGAAGTGCAGCCAGATGCTGAATCAGGCCATCAACCTCTTGGACGTGGAAAGATATCCAGCTGCGATCAAGTATGAAAGCAAGGCGATGGACATGTGGCAATCTTCTTGGACTAGTGAACGAATGGAACCGATTGTGCGATTCAACGGTCCGGAACAAAAAGGTTTCAGACGATAGAAGATGGGGAGAGCTTCGTCGTGGAGCTATTGCAACGTCAGTCCGCAGTTTCTCTCCGAAAAGCTCAAGCACTTCCCTGATGGTTGACCCGAAGAATTGAGAGATGCTCACCGAGCTCAGGTCCGAGCAGCAATTCGCGCGGGATGGAATTACTGCGCCCGTAATTCTCCGCCGACCTTGGTATCAGGTCTATTCCACTGATCTCTGTGTGCTTGTCTCGGGTCAGAGGACAGAGACGAACTTTTTTTGCTTGCGACCAGATACAGACACCACTCTTTGGGAGTACCAGAGCCTGCTTAAGAATCATTTCACGTATCTCCAACGGCAAATCTAGGAGTCGAAAGGTTCCGCTTCTAGTCATGCCTTGACGAAGCCCGAGGAACATGGGGACAGACCGAAGATCGAGCGACCAAGTCGCCTGTGCAATTGAAGCTATGTCTGACACTCCGGGTGCATGGGCGACAATAGGCACCTCGTATGTCGACAATGCAGCACTGAATTTTCTGCTGAACGTCCAAGCCTTCGACTCATTCGATCTCTCGTCGGCCGTGCGTTAGAAATTTCTGAGACCGAGCCTACAGAAGACTCCCACTGCTATGTTGCCGTAATACTGGAATGTTCGGATGATCCATTGCATGATGGTGACCTCCGATTGCGCCTCGTTGTCGTCACTGAGAAGCGCGATAGCCATGATAATCAATTGTGCTGCAGTGAAGGGAGGTGCAGTGGTAACCGAGCCTTTGTGAGGCCCTATCAACTCTTGGATCTCGCGTTGGAAGCTCCGAAGGTCAGTGATATCGGATGCCATGCTGGTATGAAATGCAGGTTTGGATGGGTGAGGCCAGAAATTTTCTATTGAGGCACAAGGGCAGTCTTATCTACTTGCCTCGTGTTTGCTGCACATGAACGATCTCACGATCGCTCTTTCTCGAAATGAGAGCAGACTGAATTCGAATGCTTGAGATATTGCCGAAGGCGTGGAAGAACACTTCACGACTCATTTCGTTGAGCGTAGATTTCTGCGCATTGCACTAGTCTCTATATGCTCCCGCGTAGTATCAAGAAGAGCGCGTAGAGCAAAGGACGAATCGATGATGAAGTAGTCACCATGAAGCTCGACGTTACAGGAGATCGGCACCTCGATCCAATTTCCCCAGACTTTTCTGCATGAGCGGCAGCTACGGAGGTAGCCGTGCCTTAGCGTGACCCCTCCTTCTGGGTTTCACAAAGAGCCTACCAAAGTATGCAGGTACCTCCGTACCATGTCACTGCAAGTCAGACGCGTGGTCGCCTTCGAGGCTGACGGCCGAGTGCGACGCACTTCACGTTGATGTTCGTTGTAAGAACAACTGGCATTAGGATGAACCGGGCGGATGCCAATGGATGACTCGGCAGTCACGAGACCCTGGCTGCGGCCACGCGAGCAGTGACGTCGGCGCTAGGACCGACAATAGGACTCAGCGACGCGCAGCGCAGCGGCGACAGGAACGCGATGCCTTGAAACTGATGCCAATGATGGAGGTGGATCCGGGGAGGGAGAGGCGATGCTTCCGTACAGGCAATCATATTGCGGCCGATGAGCAACCCAAGTGCAGCCGGCATCTGGCCCGACGCATGTCACCAGGAATCGAGGTACTTCTCATGAGACACAGCTGGCGGGAGTGGGGTGGTCTAGCTCACGCAATGGCTCCCCCTAAGCCCAAACAGCCTCATCCTGTGCCTCGTGACCGGCTTTCCAGCATCTTCTGGAAAACGTACGACGAGGCAACTGCGCGCAACGGCCATAAGAGAGTCAGTGTCGCAGGCAGATGCAAGGTACCCGTCCATTGAGTGAATAAAGCAGCCTCAAGTGCCCACTCGTATCGAGGCAGTGAGACAAGTCACGCGACATCACCTCACTTGGGCAACGAGCTTACCTTACCTTGCCTGAGACTTCATCACCTCAACCTCATCCCTTCTCCTTCGACTCATCGACCAACATCCAAACCACTACCACCACGCGCAACACTTCAACTCAGCAAGACCAACCTCACCTCACCAGTCCTTCTCCCAAGCACAACAACCACCCAACAGTAAGTCTTTCACTCTTCAATAAAGCAATGGCGCGACTCTCTCCCCTGCTAGCACTGCCATTGAGTCACGAACCACAGCATAGCATCAGCTTACACCTCGCGACGCACCTGCTAACACTCTCTTTCCAGTGACTCGCACTCAGAAGGCCAACAACCGTGACCACGTCGGTCTCGCCAATGGCACAGCTGCTCCAGAAGAGCACCTGCCACGCTACTTCGCAAAGCACGGCTACGACGGCGTCAATCCATCCAGCACCAAGAAGCAAGGTCAAGGCCGCGGCAACTGGTGCGTCCCACATCTCACTCAAAGCTATCCGGTCACTTCCTATGCACTGCACCTTCCTTTTACCTATCCCTTACGTCACACCCCATGACTGCCCGAACCTCCCACTAACATGCAATGTTCCATAGGGGCACACCGGGCTACACTGAGCTCGACGACCTTCCATACAACCTCACCAAGCCCAAGCGTCGCAGCAACTCGACCTCCATGGCCGCAGGCCACAACCTCTTCAAGACCAAATTCGAAGCCGATGACGATGTCATCGAATATGACGAAGACATCCACGGCCCAGATCACGCTGAGTTGGAGAAGATGAGCACCACCAGCTCCTCCGACACCATCGAAGAAGAGGAAGTCGGCGTCAAGGACAAGGAAGTCGCGTCCAAGTAAGACACTCGAACAGAGAGAGAGGAGGAATAATACCGGAAAACCAAAGACACTGGCTCTGTACAGCACAACCAGAGACTGCTGCAGGAACGACTGATTGATCGAATTGACATGACTGTGATCCTTACACAGAAATGACAGGCTGGCGGCGGACCTCACTGCTGCCTTTCTGTCTGTTTCCCTGTGAGGTGATTTTAACGAAACTTCTTCTTTGCTGTGCGGAGACTGTGCTACTACTGAGATCAAGGGAACTCCAATGAGACACGGCGAAAAGCAGCCGAGCTTCTTCGCTGGCGAGGACAGTTTTTCTCTTGAACTCTTTATCAGGAGGATGAGGAGGATGAATTGAGATGACAAGAATACATCAAGCACAGAATAACCTGTAAAACCATACTGTAGTAACGATTTCTCACACTTACCAGTTCCCTTTCATCTGAGTGACGACGTCTCGTTTCCCCAATGAGCTCATTTCAACAGTGCTGACGATGTTGAAAGCTTTCGCTGCAGTTGCGTGCTTTGGACGTACCCAGGGTCCCCAAGCAATGCTGTGGAACAAGCACGGGATGAAAGGCCGAGGAGACGCAGATCACTGAGAAACCTACTACGATTTTCGATCGTGAAGGATCAATCTTTGCTTGATCTCTATTGCTGACTACAAACCACCTCTCGCTTAATGACGAAGGCTATCATCATGCTCATGTATGCTCGTATATCATGCAGTCATTACGTTGCGCGCCTTTTCTCGCAACACACACGCGCAGAATCCCACTGTAGGAGATTTAGCCATTGACAATCACACCTCCGTTGGCGTGAATTGTCTGCCCGCTCAGCTGCTGCGAATCCGTGCTCGCAAGGAAGACCACACATGTTGCAATCTCGCTTGGCTGTCCTGGTCGTCCCATCGGAGAGCTAAACTGCTTGATCGCATCGTCATTCATCGTTGCTGGGATAAGTGGAGTCCAGACTGGGCCTGGAGCTACGGCATTGACTCGGATACCCTTGCCGACGAACTGGTTCGAGAGACCACGCGTGAAGGCCACGATGGCGCCCTTTGTGGAGGTGTAGTCGAGGAGATCTGGTCGGCCAATGTAGGCGTTTATAGAGGCGTTGTTGATGATGGTGTCGCCTTCTTGCATGTGAGGCAGGACGTATTTGGAGAGGTAGAAGAAGGCTGTTGCAAACAGTTAGTGTCCGTAAAGAGGTTTTGGGGGACCTGCGAGAAGGTGGACTTACGATGAATGTTCGTGTTGAATGTGTTCTCCCATTGCTCCTCACTCAGATCCAAAATGCTGTTGATCATCATCTGGTATGCGTGGTTGTTGAACAGAATGTTGACTGCTCCCATCTTCTCTCGTGCCGTGTCCACGACCTTCTTGCATGTGTCTTTGCTCCTCAAATCGGCCTGGTATGCGTGTGCTTTCCCGCCCTTCTCTTCTACCAGCTTCACTGTCTGATCCGCATCTTTCTTCTCTTGGTCAGAGAGGTATGTGAAGAAGACCTCAGCGCCTTCCATGGCAAAGAGGACAGCGGTTGACTGGCCGATTCCGGAGTCACCACCCGTTATCAGAGCCTTCTTGCCTTCGAGCTTGCCAGAGGCCTTGTATTCTTTGGCACCGCCTTTGCCATCGGGAACCTGAGAGATCGCTGGGGCAGGTCCGAGTTTCTGTTGGTTGCCTGGGGCTTCCTGGTGTTGGACTTCGGGCTGGAAGCCTGCGCAGGGGAATTAGTACTGAGATACGGTCCAAGGTTGTTGAGGTACTTACCGATCTCGAAAACACCTTTGCTGGACGACATTGTTGGCTGTAGTGTGCTGTTGTCCTTTGTGCTTGGTAAGAGTTAGAGTTGACAAGAAGGGAACAGGATCGAAGAGTCAGAAAAGATAGGCTCTTTCTTATGTGGTTCTGAGCTCGATACTGCTCTCTCAACTTTTAGAACATGTCGTCATGATGAGTGCGAGTGCAAAGAGAGGAAGTGAGTGAACGTCACTCTGCTCCATTGTTGACCTCTTTCCTATGCGCGTGAATCTTGGCATTATCCATCCGCGTGTCAACGTTGATGCTGGACTCACTTGACCAGCGCGTTCCTGCAGCAATGGTGTGAGGAATAGGAAGGAGGAGGGAGTTCCGCATGCTTTGAAGGTCGGCGGGCAGCACTTTCACTTTCATTATGACCACATCAATTCGCGTCAATTTGCATCATTTGTCGGACTTCACCACCGCGGGCATCGCGTCCGACTTCACCTTCCTCTCTGCGTGCGTGCTTCTTGCCATTGTCGATTTGTATTGCCGGCCTTCTTGCTCTATCTGTTACAAGTTTGTCATGCTCACTGCTCGCAGTCTGAGGCCGATCAAACGGCTCAGAGCTCCGTCTGCAGCTTCCGTTACAAGACGATCCCTCACTTCTTCCACCAAGCTCTCAGATCCACTTCGTGTTCTGTTCTGCGGCTCAGATGATTTCAGCAGATACTCACTTCGAGCTTTACATGAACTGAAGCAAGAAAGTCCAGAAACCATCGGCTCACTTGAAGTTGTTTGCAGACCTGACAAACGGACCGGACGAGGTCTGAAGCAGGTTCATGAAGGTACAACGCGATGCACGCATTGACAGGAGTACAGAGCTAACCCGCTTCAGTCCCCATCAAATCCGTTGCACAGTCTCTCGGGCTTCAACTTCATCAGATCGACACATTCAAAGGCTGGACTCCGCCATCGCCATTCGACCTGATCGTGGCGGTATCCTTTGGTTTACTCGTACCTCCTCGGATCTTGAACGCCGCCAAGTATGGTGGTCTTAATGTCCATCCTTCGCTGTTGCCCGACCTTCGTGGACCCGCTCCTATCCAGCACGCCCTGTTACAAGGTCGATCTCACACCGGCGTCACACTGCAAACAATGCATCCGAGCAAGTTCGATCATGGCAAAATATTGTCCCAAACAACATTGCCCGGAATCGAGATTCCTGAGGAAGCCAGTGTACAGCAGTTGATCGACGTTCTCGGACCTCTTGGTGCGAAAATGCTTAAAGAAGGTATTCAGCAAGGGCTTTTCAAACATCCGGAGGTCGCCGACAGCGCAAATGGAGTCGATGAAGCTAATCTCGTTCACGCCCCAAAAATCACCAACGAAGATGCTCATGTGAACTGGGAATCTTGGCCAGCGGGCAAGGTTTCTCGCTATGGACGCATGTTGGATCTCTGGGACACCACGACGTATCGTGCATGCACTGGCAAAGATTCTTTGCGAGTCAAGTTCAAGGGACCGTGGCGCGTTCTCGACTCGAGTAAGATCTCAAGTGACGACCTGGCATATTCAAGACCTGGATCTCCCTTCGTGTGCCGTGTTGAAGGCGAGAAGGGGCTTCAGTTCGCCATTGAGACCGTGAACGGGTACCTGATGAGTCCACAGAGCGCCAGCATTGAATCGAAAGAGCCTGGAAAGGGCCTGCAGGTTCTGATTCAGGGCTTGCAACATGCGAGGAAGAACTCGTGGCTGTGAGTGGACATCCATTCTGGACTGCTCTCTGATCTTCGAGATGTTCTCATAAGCAAACATGTGCTGCCGGCCAGTACATAACGATGCAGAGCTCATGGCATATGCTGTGTTTCACGGAAGCTCTACGAAGTCCGCAAACAGAAGCGAGCTCAAGCCAGCATGAATGTCTCGTCTGCAGAAGTGCTGTTGCGCGAGGCAGAGAAGACAGATTCAAGGTTCACCGACAACTCCATGGCCGTTTACCAAGTAAGCACGCTCGCGCAAACGCTCTCGATCGCTGCCTGGATTCATGCGTCAGCTCACATTGATTTAGATCAGAGTCAGACCACAAGAAGAAAGAAGCATGTACAATGACTATGCCACAAAGGTCCGCACGTATCTCAACAGCTTGCATTCGAGCTATCCAATTTACGTGGTCCACTCCGGGAGATGGCTAGTTGGCGCACCGAATGGCGGACCTCTGCCCGATTCGAAGAGGATATGGCACGCGGGAACAGTGATTTCCAGATGGAGGGGAGGCATTCGGGCCACCGCATCGACAGACGCCTCCGAGGATGACGAAAAGGCAATGGTAGATGCTGATGAGAAGGAGTAGGTCGTCTCACGAAGCTGGTGCGATCACCCGAGACACCGCAGCATGTGCTCGTTCGAGTTGAGAACAGCAATGTACGCAGAATGCAGGGGCAACTCTGAGCTAGCAGAGCCAGCAACTACACAAAAGGTGAGCCAATACCACACTCTCGCAGAAACAACGTCTTTCACTCTTCACTCTTGCATATATTGTGTTCATCCCACCCACTGTATTCGCATCTAATCAGCCCTTGAGACACGAATCATGGAAGTGAAAATAAGTGAGGCTCGTCGACCCAACGGCCAAGGCTGCGAGCTACACAAAGAACAAACCATTTCGACGCTCTACTGGTATTCCGACACAGAGAAAGTTCACTTGCATTCCATCCTCCCTTGCCGTATATCGCAGTATGCGATGAAAGTTCGTCACTCGCCTTCACCAACCATCACGCGCGTTCACGCCTTCACGGGTTATCCAGGGTGACTCGATGCTGGCCATTCATGACCCGTGATAATAGTGAAGGTGAATAACACTCGTTCACTGGAACTTCACGCGGCCTGCATCTCTGATACAAGAAGAGTTTGATTCTTTGGACACGACTTGACTTCCTTCTCTTCACCAAGACCAAGAAACCCACCTCGCAGCACTTCACCATCCTCACGATTCGCAATACCATCAACCTCCGTGCTTTCAAGGTTCAAGCCACGCTGGCTGGACACAACACAACACTCACTCGGATTCACAACCACAAACTAGCTTCTCCTGAGGCCCATTTACCGATAACAGAGTCGGCCACTCCACAGCTATGGCTGGTCACAATCCAGTCTCGCTACTCAACATAGCAGGGGAACCAGATGCTTCGCGTAGAGAGCTACTCTACCGGGTCTTCGACACCATCAAGCCATATTTCAAAGGCTATGAGGAACCCAAACACAGCGTTGAGCAACTGGCTGTTATTGCAGTCCTCTTCAAGCCCGGCAAATCGTGGAAAGAAGCCTTCTATTGGACTCTAGAGACATTCCCCTACTGGAACGACGAATCTGTTGATTTCATCGCGTACGGTAGTGATGGTGGGGACCTCCACAACATCGAGAAGTTTCGTCTAGACTTCCAGCGGGCTTTCAAATCTCTGGAAGTCCCCATCACGAGGATTGGCGGCCGTCCCGTTCATGAATCAGACTGTTTCGACACGGACGGATGGGCAGTCGAGACAACCGCAGCTCGAGCCTTTCTAGGCCTTTGCAACATTCCGCCAATACCAGCAACGAGGTTTCCAAGCCTCTCACAAGCCGCCAGAAATGCCAAACAATTCCGCTTCCTCGACCTACCAGCCGAACTGCGCGAGAAGATTTATGCGTACACTCTCGACCTCCCAAGCAGTGGCGTAGCACTGGAAACGCGTCCTCAGCGCACGGACTCAGCTCGTGGCCCACGTCTCATAGCTCGCACGAGAGACCTCAACTCAACCATCGAGGCTGCTGACTGGTTTCCAGAAGAGTTCGACCCTACTCTTTCCATGCAAGTACGGATCTCCTCCGCCAAAGCCTTCATCGAAGGCCCTCACCTCGCCGAACACCTCGCTCTTTCACTCATCAATCGACAGATCAGCGAAGAGTCCCTCGCATACTTCTACAAGAACACCCATTTCGTCTTTCGCACCTTTGAAGACCTGCAGACCTTCCTCGACAAGACTCCTCGGGATAGACGAGACATGATTCGCCACGTATCCTTCATCTTGCACCCACGAGAGCATCGGACTCACACGAAGCAGTGCGCTAGAGTCTTACCTACCATGAGAATTTTGACGGGCATGAAGGGGTTGAGAGAATTAGACATTTGGATGTGGAAAGACGCCTTTGATGAGGTCTGGAGTAAAGGTGGCCGAGGAAAGAAGTGGAAGGACCTGGCAACGTTCCCAGGTGTGGTGGCGCTAAGAGCGATGAGAGGCCTCCAGAAGGTCACCGTGCATGGGAATTGCAATGAGGTGAAAGCCATCTTGGAGAAGGAGATGATACTTGAGAAGGAGGCCAAGAAGAAGAGGGCGAGCAAGAAGCGGGCGGCAGATGAGGAGGGAGAGGACGAGGAGGGAACGCGAGCGACCAAGAAGGCGGCATAGAGAGTCGTAAAGTACTCGGCAGAGACGTGCGAAATTCATGGATCAAGTCTGAACTCGAAGAAGGAACGCAGCTAGCGCTGGACGCTGGGTATGCTGCAACATAGCACGAGAATTCAATTCAGCTTGGCTAACGAGTGTTGTCTCTCATCAAGTGCAAGTTGCGGACAGTGCGATGAGCATGCAAAGTCGCTAGCCGTGTAGATACAGCTATAGTCTCCGGCACAAAGGGGACTATTGCTCGTCGTGATCATTGTTGTCTTCGGCGTAGATTGGCATCTCCACTAACTCGTTCCTCTGGGACTTGCGAAGCTGAGTGAGAGACAGCTTTTGCAGGCCGGAATTTGCTAGGATTACGTGAACTGTAGCTCCTTCGCTATGCAGTTGCATGTTTCTGTTCTCTGGGGTATGTCTTCTGCCAGCTTTATAGTGCTTCTTGTGACTTCTCTATGCTTCATCTCAGCACATCCTGTCAGCTTCCCGCCTCCACCTTCTTCTTCCCATTTCCATTCGCACTCCCTGCTACTCCACTTCCACTCCCTGACGTTGCCTTCGCGTTGAACAGCCCCGTCAAGGCCGCGATCCCACCTAGAACACCTCCCACGACGAAGAAATTCACCAACATGCTACCACCGCCCACATCATCAAAACTTGCTCCTTGTTTCCTCCTCAGTCTCGCTCTTACCCGATTCCTCTCCACTCTTTCCCTCTGAATCTGCTCATGAGTCTTGAAATGCCCTCGCGCATCGAAATGCGGCACATCATCGTCCAGCCCCTGCGCAAAACCTCCCGGTCCCATACCTCCACCCTGCGGATTCGAAGCAGCGCGCCCTTGCGCTTCGTGGGTATGTGACGCTCGCTCGGAAGCTTCCTGTCTTTTTGCGCCAAAATCACCCCAAGCACCATTCCGATAGAATGATGGAGGCGGACCTTTGAATTGTGTACGCCGGCGACTGAGACCACTAGGACTGCGGCCGCCGGGTCCAGAAGCGGCCATATGGGAGGAGTGAGAGCCGGAGGCATATGATGGACCGCCTCCAGCACCAGAAGAGGCATCACTGCGGAAGAAGTCACGATCGTAGCGCTGTTTCTTTTCAGCAGAGCCGAGTGTTGCATAAGCTTCGGAGATTTTGACGAAGCGTTGTGAGGCAGATGGGTCGTTCGGGTGGAGATCAGGATGGTTGGCTTTGGAGAGGGTGTAGAAGGACCTGTTGTCCGATTCACAGTCAGTGGGTTGTACATAGAGGCCTGAGACTTGGATTCCGCACTTCTTGATCTCCTTAGCAGTAGCATTGGTCGGTACATTCAGCGTCTCGTAGTGGTTGGCCATTTCAGCCTTTAGAGATGTTGAGGGATGGAAATGTCGTCGCGAGCACGGCGGAAGACATTGTGAGGGAGGATGAGTCCGTCGGACAAGGCATGATCGCGCAATCATGCCCGGACGCCGACATTGACGAGAAGACGCGTAGCGAGTGTGAGAAGTGAGTGAAGATGGAGAATGAGCGATGGTATGTTTGCTAGCAAATGATGTAATCGATTGTACCGCGAATTTTGGCCGCTTAACATCAATCGGTCGCCGTATCTTCCCCAACCGCTGCCCTCTCTACTCACTACTCTCTACCTTTCTCTCCGTTCTCATCCCTTGCTTGCCCAAACTCGTCTCTGCAAGCTGCCATCAACGAAAGCTCGCTTGCTCCGGCTCAAGATGCAGACCGAATACTTGCAAAGCTGGAGCGCTTGCCGATATTGCCAGGCGCTCTCGTTCCAAATCGTATGGCTCGAGCGCTGCCTATTGTTACGCGAGACCAGCTGAAGATGCTGTGTGACCACACTTTGAGTGCCTCCCTCAGTATAAGCATGTTGGCGGAAAGCTTCTCGTCTTCGTTCCTTCCCTTACTGGCCTTGGTCTTATTCTAACCCACACAGAAGTCATGCGCTTACTTCGTACTGATTCAGGTCTCCTGGAGGAAAAGAACGAATATGTCGAGGATTTTAAATACGCGATTCTCTCACATACATGGCTACGCCAATCGGAAGGAGAAGAGGTCCTCTTCGCTGATCTGACCGACATGACTAAAGCGCGACAAAAAGCTGGCTGGAAAAAGCTCGAATTTGCGATCGCCCAGGCCGCAAAGGAAGGACTGCAATATGTGTGGATTGACACTTGCTGCATCAACAAAGAAAGCTCTGCCGAGCTAGCGGAGGCTATCAACTCCATGTATCGATGGTATCAGAAATCCGAAATTTGTTATGTCTATCTTGACGACTATCAAGACTCTGCCTCGATGGGTGACTGCCGCTGGTTCAAGCGTGGCTGGACTTTGCAAGAAATGATCGCCTCTCCGAACCTCCTCTTCTTCGACGAATCTGGAGAGAGCATTGGACATCTAAGCGATCTCATTCAACAAGTCTCAGCAATCACTGGCGTGCATCAGGACCTTCTCAGTGGTCAACGCTCGCTTTCGACATTCAGCATTGCTCAAAAGATGTTCTGGGCTGCTAATCGTGAGACGGCGCGGATCGAAGATCGTGCGTATTCACTGCTCGGTATTTTTGATATCAGCCTCCCAGTCATCTATGGCGAAGGGAGCCGCGCCTTTCAGAGACTTCAAGAAGAACTCATACGAGTGTACAACGACCAGTCCATTTTCGCATGGGGCCTCGCAGACGCCGCTCGTCCACACAGTCCACACAGAAAGGACAGAAGTCTCCTTGCTCCGTCCCCTGATGCGTTTGCAGCTGCCGTCCACTCGAAATTGGCGGTTGTCAGAGGACAAGGTTATCAGAAACAGTGTGAGGTGCTTGGCAGGAACATACGTTTCAATCTGCCCCTCTTCGACATGCCCCGATGGGATGGAATTGGGAAAGATTACACGCACTACGCGGTCCTCAATTGTTATATCGAGGACAGCCCAAACCAGTGCGTTAGTATGGAATTGTTCAGTGCGGGCTATGGAGATCTCGTTCGCGAGTCTGCTGGCTACTGTGACATAGTGGATGCATCGCAGCGTTGCACCAGCTGGCCATTTACTGTCTTACGAAACTTTGACAATGCAGGGATGCACATCGAGGACTATGTCCAGCAAACGAAGGGCCCAATGCTTTTGATCCGAAGCTGCGCCAACGATCCAAGTATTGGAATCGATTCTGGAGAGGGTACTGTGGTACTGGATTCATCGCCACCGAGAATTATTCTGCGCGATGCCTGGGACGCGGGTCAAAAGCTGTTCAGATTTCCCGTCTGTACGAATCCGCTGTCGCCGGAACAACCTTCACAAGGCAGGCTCAGCCTACCATCCTATCTTGATGGCGCAGTGACCATAACTCTAGATGGTGTGGCCTGCGTCAAAGTCAACATTTGCGTGTTTCCCGAGTCTCTACCGGATGGCTCATTCGCTTTCACAAAACAATCACGATTTGACTTACGCTACGAAGCTCTACTGGGAAGCGCTGGCTTTTCCTTTCGAGTACCCATGTCTTCACGGAGGTTCTACTTCCTGCTGATGCGCCGCAAGTTCAAGATCCTCATAACTGGAGTAAATCGCCACAGACCTCTCCTTCAGAACGAAGACCGCTTCCAGCTCATCGAATTCTCATGCAGCAGTCGCAAGGGGACATCATCTTTGCTATCGTCGCTTTTGGCCGTGCCTCCGCTCATCATCTACTCGCTGCTCGTATGGCCGTTTTGGTGGTTCTTTCCATTTTTCCACGAATTCCGGGTCTGGTGGAGGCTATTCTTGGTGACCGGAATTGTTGCAACAACGGTGTCCATTACAGTGTTGATTCTAGATGACGATACTAAGGCAAACAAAGGAACGTATGGCGTGGTCATGGCCTTCATCGATGGAGTACTTGGCTTACTACTTTTCCTATCCTTATATCCGAGGATCAAACCCATGTTGGAGAAAATCTAGTTCCGGCAAAGACGTGTGCAGGGACATCTCTTGTTAGCCATATACAAACTATGGAGAACACAACGGCGTAGATTCACGCAGGACGGCATACAAGGCGCGTACAATGGTACGGAAAGCACAGGTGCTCAGTGGAAATCACAGACTGTCACCTGTGACAATGAGAAGCCGTATTACCGCATCCATGGCCAATACGAATCTGCAACATGATCAGTGCATGCCAAGAAGACGGATTGCGCCTACCGCCTGGCATTTGAAATTGTCACAATTGCAACAAGTAATCCTACCATAGGCTTCTACCTCAACTACTGCTTCACACTCAACCCAATTGAGCTGAAATACGCACACCTCTCCTGCTGGATCGCAGGCGGACACTCCATCTCCGTCGCATTCAAATTCCTCTCAAACCTCAATCTCTTTCCGTCCTGCCCATTGAGCGCAGTCCCAGTCCACTCCTCCCACTTCGGTGTCCCAGCAACTCTCTTGTTATTAGGATCCAACGTCCTGATGAAACTCGTCCAGTAGCCCTGGATCACCGCAGTCACACCCTCGTTCACGCCTCCAATGCGATAGCTGTCTGGTGCTCCGCCACGTGTGTTCTCCGGGCCAAAAATCGCGTGAACTTCGACTGTGTGCTTCACGCCTTCACCTGCGGCCTCCGCCACTGGATCAACGACGTTCCAGTGGTAGTTCCATGAAGGGACGTTGTATCTCTCCAATGAAGCTGACACCAAGATTCCAGGGCAGTTGTATCTTAGCTCACCATAGGCGTCCGCAGCTTGTCTCCAGTATCTCCCGCTGCCATTGAAGGAAGGAGTGTCTTCGACAGGGTACAATTCGTTGATTTTCCCAAGTTGCTTGATAGTGAGTTCGGGGAAGTTGTTTTGCAGGAATGTCGAAGTCTGGCCATACGATGTCGTGTTCTTGGGAGCGAAGCTCGTCCCTTCATTCGTATCATCTCCGTAGATTGCCGGGACCCGGACGAATTTTCCTTTGACATACGCGCGTGTGGTATAATCGGCGATGAAATCGAAATCCAAAGTAGGGCCATACATGTATAATGCTGCTTCCTGCGCTCCAGGGTAAGGTGTATTGTAATTGACCTTTTGCAATTCCTCTGCCGAGAGGCTTCGCAAGCAGCTCAGTGTATCGTTCCATTGAGCAGTGCAGTTGGTCCGGATAACCAGGTTGTCGTAGGCGAATTGGCTCTCTTCAATTGTTCGCACAGGAGGGAAACTTTGGCTCTCGGCCGCAGTGCCAACAAATAGTCCATCGTCTCTTCCACCATACGCTGTGACCTGCAGACTCACGCTTTGTGCTCCTGCACTCGCGCCTCCGATAACCACATGTTCGGGATTTCCGCCAAAGTGGGAAATGTATTTCTGTACCCACTGCAAAGCTTTCCGTTGATCTTTGAGGCCGTTGTTGATGCCAGCATCTCCTTCAACTATTTCCTTAGATGCAAGAAAGCCATAAGGTCCGACACGGTAGTTGAAGAGTACGACGACAGCATCGTACTCTGCTGCTTGGATAATTCCAGACCCATTGTATTTCGCATTCGATAGGCCGTTGAAACCTCCGCCAGAGATGAAGAAGAAGACGGGTAGTTTGCTGTCCTTGGTGGCGTTGCTCGGCGCGAAAACGTCGAGGAAGAGGCAGTCTTCGGAGTAGTTGCCATTGGGAAATGTGAAATCATTATCGTCAAGATCTCCTGTCGGTAGACATAGCTTTCCGTGTTCGGTCGCGGAGATGGTGCCATTGGAGGTCTGATCGATAGGATCTTGCGGCTCTGAGAAGCGGAGTGATCCAACGGGAGGAGCGGCATAGCGTACACCGAGCCATTGGGTTATACCATTAGAAAGCGCGGACCCAGCATATGTTGCGTAGTCGAGGGAGACAGTAGATGAGAGGGCTGAAGCCAGATGACTACTGCCGAGCGCAAGCAGACTCGCCAACGAAGTGGAAGACTTCATCTTGTCCTGCTTTCTGATTCCTCGCAAGCTATGCAAACAACAGCTCCAGTCCAAGGAATGGGCGACTCTTCCACCTCAAATCACAGCAGGACTCGTCAGTCAGCAAAAAGCAGAAGGAAAAGAAAGCAAAAGTCCGAAAGCAGTACAACCTACGCTTCCTTCATCATGCACTAGTGCTAGTGACAGCGGATCATACTCATCAATGAATGACACAACCAACGCACGCGAAACAAGCTCGCGCGGCCGTGTAGCCAAGGACGTCGTCGGCCGTAGTGGTAGCCCAAAGAAGTGCGGTCGTCCATGCTCATCTGGTCGCCTACGGCAGATCTGTGGGCGAAGACACCACGGTAGTCAATCGCGGGAAAAAGGTGGCATTGCTCCCCTCTTTCCGTGATTCACGACGCTCGATCCTTCCTCCTCATGTCGTCAGCAAACGGCTCATGTGCCGATATCATCTTCAGGCGGGGTATGGCGGACAGAAAACAATGCCGCGAGTATGTGAGAAGTAGACCCAAAGCAGGCTAAAAGGCGAAGGCGCAGAATGAGATGTTGTGGAGCCTCCACATATCCCGCAATCGCTTGGGAGCAAAGGCCGTGCTCTGCCGAAAATCCCTGCAAGCACGGCATAGCCACGTGCGGGTACGCAATGAATCGGAACACATGACCCGTTACATACTGGAAAGCGGAAGAAAGGCGATGAGCAAAAAGATTTGTACAAGTACAGTTTGCCACAGTACAGGTAGCCGGGTATCAAGCGAGCTAGCTAGCTGGCAACTGAGGCAATTGAGCAAAGCAAAACTTCCATCCTGGTGAAATGCTTCGAGTGCTCGGAATCTGCTCTATGGTCCCCCTCCCATCATTCATACAGCGTCTGGTGATACATTTAACCTTCAAAGGTGAGCGAGGTTCCGACCTTGTGGCCAGCCTCGTTGAGGGACTTGGTGTCGAGGGAAAGACCGAGGCCGAGAGTGGTGCCAGCGTTGAGCTTGGTGCTGTAGGCAAGAGCGGCGATACCACGGTCGTTGATCTTGGCCTGTTGATCGATTAGTATGTGAGCGCCTTTGTTAATGGGACTGAATGCATACCTTGGCGAAAGAGAGAGGGTCAAGCTTGTACTTGGAAGCAAGCTCAAGACCGCTGGCCTTTTGTGCCTGCACATCGTAGCCAGCCTTGGCACCAACCTCGACGGCGGAGTTGACCTTCTGGTAGTAGCTTGCGGCGATGAGAGTCAGGTTCTGGGAGCCGACAATGCTGGCGACGTAGCTTGGGGTCTGGTAGCCGAGACCGAGAGAGTAGCGGGTGACAGCAGCCTTTTGCACATCGTAGCCAGCCTCACCACCGACGAGGAAACCGTCAGAGCCGGCGACAACGTCGACGATGGCATCGATGTTGCCCTTGGCGGTGCCGTAGTTGACGAATGTGCGGGCGTGGACGTTGGGGTTCTTGAAAGCGGCGTTGATCTTTTGCGCGGCAGAGCCCTCCTTGGATGGGTTCCAGAGGTTCTGAAGATCAACCTTGACGCCTGGAGCGACAACATCGGCGAGCTCAACCTTGCTGTCGAGAAGAGACGCGGTCGACCATGCCTGAGTGATGGTGACACCTTGACGTTTGTATGTCAGCCCAAATTCTCCTTCAGCTCCTCCTCCACTAGGCACCCCGTAGGCGAACAAATAAGCACTGGATTGCAGCTATGTAGGGAGTGGTGTCATGAATGTGACACCGCGCAAAAAGCCTCGCGGATACTGGGTCTCCTGCTTTCGTGGCTGCTTTTGCGATTTGACTTTCTTTTTGCTCGTTGCTGGAGGTGGTGGGACTGCTGTGGGTTCTGAAAACGAAAGAGATGTGTTGTGCGTACCCTGAGGCTTGAGAGTGTGCTTGCCCTCGATCTGTTGCAATCTCGTTAGCAGGTCATATGTTCTGCAGCGCTGGGGATACCTACGGAGCCAGCAGTGGCGCCGTCGAAGCCCTGCTTGCCCTTAATGGTAACGTTAGTACCACTTGGGGCCTTGAGCTTCACATCGAGAGTGGCTGCAACGCATCGTCAGTTAGACTGTTCTTCTCCGCCATTCGCAGCTCTTTCGGCACAAGACAAACCTTGGCTGGTGTGGTAGAAGTCCTTGTTGATGAGCTATGCCTCCTGTCAGCGCACTTGTTCCTCGCAGTCTTATCTGCTCGCGAGCAATTTACGGAGCTCGGGGAGAGTGCGTACGTCGTTGGCGGCCTTGCTGAGGTCACCGAAAGCTGGGATTGGCAGAAGCGGCGCGAGCGTTCGCTCGGCCTTGTTCTCTGCGGAGGAGAGGAAGCTGCTCATATTGTCGGCGGTAGAGGGTTCGGATGATGCAAAAAACGAGCTGGTCCAAGATCGGGTGGTTGAAGATTGTGTGCGGTTTGTCGATGGAAGATGCGACTGTTTGAAGGTGTCAGGAAGCTCAGTCAAAACACAAGATTCCCGAAGCGTGGCCGCAACCAATGGGGCAGCTGCACTTCCCACGCGCGATGAATTTCCGGAAGGACGCAACTCACTTTGATGTCGCCCAGTGTTTCGTCCTCGTGGTACAGAAAGGTGCTCATCGCCATGGCGGACGGTGCTTGCGGGCGCGCATTTGTTGTCACTTGGAAGGTGCTGTAGTTTGCAAAGTTGGCAGCAAACGGTGCACATATCAAAGACGCAACGTGAGCACTCTGCACGGCTTGTGCCGGCCTGCAACATCCAAGGCCGCACAAAGAAGAGAACCAGCATGCGGGGCGTGGGATGCTTCGTGGCACCTCACTTGCTACTTGTGAACGCCGATTGCTGTGGCAGGAGTAATGTAGGCTGCCGGCGCAAGCATGCAAACGAGGAGAGGATATGCTGCAATCATTGAATGTTGGAATATGTATAGTGGTTGCCTCTGTTATTAGCCTACAGTAATGTTCAAGACGAGAGTCATCGTAATGACTGGTGTCAAGTCTCAATCTCTGTCTCCCTCTCCTCCTCTGCACACACGAAAGTCTGAAATATGGTATAGTCCCTCTTCCTCGCCCATGCTTTGCCTGTCGGCAAGCATTTCCGCCCTGATAACTCAAAAGGGAAATTCTCAAAGAACGCCTTCGCCATGATGCCAGTGTGCCAAAGCACAAAGTGGCAGTCAAATTTATCTGTGGCTCCCCTGTCGGGAGCCGGTCATGAACAGCGCCGTCTCCCCATGCCGCTGCTTCTGCATGCAAGAAGCCGAACATGGGAGCTGGGCCATCGTCTTCCACTCGTTTCAGAAAACAAACGCAAACTCTGCTTTTGGAAGATGGACATGGAAACGTCAAAATGCGCGCTAAAAGTTCTGCGCGATGCCAGAATTGCCTTGCTGGTAATTGCCTGGTTGCTGTATCCGTGTGTTCCGACGTGCACTAACGTCTTGAACGATCGGCATACCGTCAGGATTGCTGGCACCTCCATATGTGCCGTCGCCATACGGGCCGTGCTGGCTGTAGCCGTACCCGGCAGATGGGTTATATGCATCGTAATTCTGAGGCGGTGGATCGCTGACATCGGAGTGGCCACCTGCAGAGTACGTCGAGGATGCGTTTGACGGCCCACGCTTCATGCCGGACGGGTTTGCTCCAGCCACTGGTGCTTGTCCAAGCGCTCCGACCTGATCGCTGTTCATAGTCTCGCGTCGCTGGTGCAGCATAGCGTCGCCGCTGTTTCGGTCACTTCCATCGGCGGCTCCTGCAGCCATGTACGCATTGCCGTTGCTACCAGCATCCGACAGTTGACCTTGCGTATGGCCGCTGGTCAATGTGGTCGACATTTTCCTGGACGCGCCCACCGCAGCTCCCCATCCTCGGTAACCGCTGGTGTCCTCTGCCATCTCCGTGCCGTTCTCGGATGCAACAGCGGGCAGCGTGGGGTCATTGTTCGGATTAAAGCCATAGTCCTCAACCTCCTTGCGACGCGCTTCCTCTGCGGCCTTCTTCGCCTTCCGTCTCCGCCAAAGGAAAATGCCGGCCAAGACCAGGAGAGCGACTACAACCACGGGTACAACGACAGCAATGGCGGTAATTCCTCCAGTGCTCAAGCCGCCTCCGCCGCCACTGCTGCCGGACGAAGAGCCGCCAGTGTTCAGCGCCGGATCAGAGGATGTCGCGGAAGAGGTGATTTCAGTCGTAACAGGAACACTGGAAGCAGAATTGGTGCGCGTTACGACGATCGTTGTCGCTGGTGGGGCGGTCTCGCCAGGCGCAGTTGGAGTCGCGGTGACTACAGAAGTTACGACTTGAGTGGTCGGAGGTACGGAGGATTCGGATATGGTCGAGGTCGATACCGGTGGCGCAGAACTGGTTGTCGGCGGCGGCGGCTCCGATGAAGTGGTAGGCTCGACAGTGGAGGACGGAAGCTCGGAAGTAGTTGGAGGAACAATGGATGAAGTTTCGACAGAAGTCGTCGGCGCTTCGGGCGCGGTGGTCGACATGGTTGTGGTGATGGGATCCGAAGTGACGGGCGCGCTGGACGTGTCCGCGATCGAGGTCGTCGCTGCGGCACCTTTATATCGCGCCAAGAATCAGAGTAAAGTCGACAAAGAAGAAGAATAGAAGAAGGGTGAGCAGGTCAGCAACGACTCGACGTACTGGATGTGGTGTTCGACATGGCCGGCAGAAGCGAGCGAGCGAGAGTCGAGGAGTCCCTAGTCTGCGCAGTGCTCTGGCCGTGCTTGATTGGCTCGTGTGGCGCAAACGAGCGGCAAACTCAGCTGCTGCTGGAATGTCACGCTGGCATCTACCTGGATCGGGGTCGGGGCCCGCCGACTTCTGGGCGCAGGCGGTATAGCAATGGGAAAACACGACAGAGAGAAATGGTGAGACTGGTGGTGCAGTGTGGTGTGAATGGGAGAAGCGCAGAGCAGGTTTGGTCGTCAGCAGTGGTGACGCCAGTTGCTGCGTTCGCTGGCCCACTCTCGACGGCTCTTGCTGGCTGTTCGACTCGAAACGCTCATCCTTTTGGGCCCGCCAAGCGGGTGTACGAGGGCGCGCTCGTGAAAACATTTGTGCTCGCTTTTCGTCGCGCTGCGCCTGCTGAAACCGCTGCAAAACACTCGTCGTTGCCCTCGCCGTCGCTCACGACGACCCATCTGCACACCCACCACACTTCCACGCCATCGCGATGCCACGAGAGGCGTGCGCCTTCTCCTGTGCCCGTCGTCCAAGCCTTCTCGAACGTTGAGCTCCCGCCCACCGCGCTCGCCGAAAGCGCCCAGATCGCCGTGTTCCAATTTCGCTATCATCTCCTCCCGGAGCTAGTGGCATTTGCCAAACCCCATTCGGCAGTTCATCTTTCCGTTGCAACGATTTCACCGTCGATAGTGCGCGCGCCCGTCAACACCGTCGTTGCCATGTGCGGACATGATGCGGTGCGCTGCCAGGATCCCGATGTCTGGATCTCATGGGATCCTGAACTCATACAACCTGCTCCTCCACTTCATCGCCGACGTTGCATGAACGTCTTCACGAATTGCACCCAGCTGCCATCAACGCCTCTCCACCTGCCAAAGTATCGCGGAAGCTCGACTGGTCTGCAGCCCGCTTACAGCTGTAGCGTTGCCTGCCCACCAATCACGACATGAAACAAATACGAACGGCAAGCTGACGACCATGAGGCTCCGCTCCTATTCCTATCCGGCCGAGGCCTGGTTGACTCGGTGCACGACGGGATCCCGATGCAACATGCGACTTCGATACGATGCAGGCTATCGGGTGCAAACACCTTCCACGTGTCAATGTTCCTAAATCGAGTCGCCATTGTTCATGATGGAGTGCTTCAAAGTTTGAACAACGCTGCTTCCAAGCATCTTGGTCTCGGTCCCTTTTGACGGGAGCGATGTGGCTGATGTTCACCAACACCGCTGAAAGGAAACTTGAAGAAGCCCAAGACGAACAGCTCACCAGTGGCAAGAGCCAGCAATTGCCGTGGTCACGTATGAGCAACACTGTCATTGCGAATTGTGACCTCGCTGTTACACCTGCCGCGTTGCTCCAAGATTAAACCCCACCTCGACCGAGATGCACAGTAGATCTGTCAGTGTTAGACTTCATGCTGAACATGCGTGTGCGTACACCAGCATGGTTCGTAGGGAGGTGCTATGTTGCGCCTGCAGCCCGTTCGCTCAGTCATGAAGCAGCTTGTTTGTCATGGAACACATGCGCTACGAGCCCCTGGCATACGCAGCGCAGCCCATTGAAAGTCTAGCCCCTAAGCAGGCAGCACAAGAAGCTGACAGTATCGGTGATGTTGACGAGAAAGAGGGCATAGGATTCGTACTTCAAGAAACTGCCCAGTAGCTGATGCTTCAGGTAAAAGGGCTACTAGCGTCGACTACGCAAGAACAACTTCTCTTCTGACCTGCACGCCACTCCTCCGCAATCTGCCTATAAGTCAAGAACTCGACCTCATCACCAAAGCTCTGCAACCACTTCAAGAACCTCTCAACCATGCCAATCACATGCGCCATCCCACTCGTATCCGGATGAATAATAATGCTAAAAATCACCGTATCATCCCTCCCATCCGCAATCTCACTCCTCAACCATTCAAACCTATCCTTCCACATATTCTCCACCACTCTCACATCCACATATCCCGCCGAATTCTGCACATTCGGAAAGAATTGCAACGGAGTCATATCCTCCGCATACCAGTTCGCAGGAATCTCTACCAATTCACTTTTCGGCAAAGCCGTGAAATCCGGGCTCGGAACCATCCAGTCCACGGCATTCGCATCCGCGCGGAAGTCTATCGTCGGCAGCAGAGCGGGATCTCGAGGTAAGAAGTATGGAGTGCTATCAAAGTGCGACAGCGAAGAATCCCACAGAAAATCGTATTTCTGCAAAAGTGCAATCGTTCGTTCGGATAATTGATATAGTGGTGCACGATACCCGACCGGTTTCTTGCCAGTCAGTCCTTCGATCAATGAAACACATTTCTTCAACACGTCTTCTTCTTGCTCGGCGGTCAGTTGCGATGCGGATTCATGTGCGTAGCCATGGATGGCGATTTCGGCTCCGCTAGCTACGATCGCTTGTGTCTGCTGAGGAAAGGTCTCGATGGAGTGGCCTGGGATGCACCAGGTGACTTTGTCGGATAGACCGAGTTTGGAGAGGAGTTTGAGGAGACGTGGGACGCCTGTCGTAGCACTGAAGTAGCCTGATGAGTAGTCTGATGTGGTGTTCTTGGGATTCTGGCCTGTCCCGAGCCAGCCGGATACGGCGTCGAAGTCGATCGACCAGGCGATTTTGATCTTGGGTTTGACAGAAGAGGAGGACATTTTGGATACTAGTAGTGCTGAGTCTTAGGATGTCAGGATTCGAAGGATCGAATGTGGAGTGAAGCTCGGACAGAGGTGTAGCTGTATAGCTTTCCTGTCTCACTACGTAATGGTGCCTGGCCCAGAGCTTTTCTCTGCGAGACTGCACTAATGCTGCCAGGCACGGGAAAAGACAGGGCACTCTACTCGCCTATGTTCGCCGCTGCCCGATTGGGCATACGAGCAGACCAGCATTGTGACCAGTAGTCTTGACTTACTATCACAACGGTACACTTGCCAGACCGTACATACTTTGTGATAACTGTTGAACTACGGTATAGCAGCATCAGCTTTATTCCCCCAAACTTTACTCCCTTTCACATCCTCCTCTCTCCACACCACCCTCCCTTCCATTCCTCCATCCACACTCAGACATTGCCCACTCATATGCCCACTCGCACGATGACTTGCCAAAAATGCCACCGTCCTCGCAACATCCTCTGCTTGTGCGATCTTCCTCAAAGCAACCGTCCCTTGCGCCTCGAAATACAATTCTCTCGGGTCATCGAGTCGATCTCCAATCAGCTCCGTATTCACCCAACCCGGTGCCACAGCATTTATTCTCGCCTTGGAATTAATCCTCACAATTTCATTCTTGACTGTAGGAACAAGCCCGTATTGCAATCCAGCTTTACCTGAAGCGTATTCAGCGTGACCTGCTTGGCCGAATTTTCCACATTCGGAACCTGTGACGACGATGGATAGATTGTGCAATTCTTCCCCGCCGGCAGCTTTTTGGCTTTCGATCGCGGCGAGGATGAAGTGTTTTATTGTGAGGAATGTTCCGCGAATATTGACGCGGTAGACATTTTCCCATGTTTCGAGCGGCATTTCCCAGATGTTGGGGTGAGATTGCTCGTTGGTGATTCCGGCATTGGCGCAGAGGATGTTGATGGGGCCGAAGTGGGATGTGGCTTGTTGGATTGCTTGAGAGATGGAGGTTTCGTCGGAGATGTCGCCTTGGGTGTAGAAGATGTTGGGGCTTGAGAGGGCATTGGGTCCTGGTGGGCGTAGATCGTGGGCTGTCACTTTGCAGCCATTTGCTGGGGATTGTCAGCAAGGAGTCCGTTTGTGAGTTTGGAAGTATGTGCTATGCTCTCACCGAGAAGCTCTTTGACGATGGCGCTGCCAATGCCACCGCAGGCGCCGGTGACGAAGGCGTGGAGGCCTTCGATTGCTAGGAACGACATGCTGGGCGGAACACAGTAGAATGGGTATCTTGTCTGTGTGAACACCTGTCGCAAGTCCACTATTTATCCTGCGAATTTCTAATCGTATGAAGCTGCTGCATCGAGCTGTCCAAAGTGCGAACCTGCAGCAGTTGCTTACGTAAATGGCTTGCTGATCAGCTCTTCAAGACATGGACGTATTGTGTGAGAAGTTACATGTATACAAATCCTTAGAAACGCCCGTCGTCATGCGGTATGTACTGACTGAGTGCATTGCTGTGGCTCTTTCATCTGGCAGTCGCGCTTCTGGGGTAGCAGGCCCTCTTACCCCGTCGAGGCGGTTCCTGCTGCACTTTACCACTACCACAAATGCCCAGAACAACCCGCAACGGTCTTGTGCACGTGTTGACCACGCAACTGTCTGCATGGAAGCTGTGAATCATGCTCGTGGGCATTCTCTTCAACAGACATCGCAATTGGGCCCAAACAAAGCCGAACGAACTGGGCCTGCGGAGATCTAGCCAGCTTGAGCTTGGAATTAACGATACCTACTGCGCAGCACGCCTAATTGGGGGAGAATGACGCCCGTCCTCTTCGTCCAAGCGGGCATCCTATGTGGTATGACGCCAGTGAGAACGGTCGAGGCCAGCGGTCATCATCGCACAGAGGAGTGCCACTGGTCTTCGTCATCCCAGCTTTTGGTCCTCGAACGGCCCAGGTCCATCTTCTGAGCTCTGGTCCAACAGCTGGCTGTGGTCTGATGCATCTCCACGAGAGTCTCCCGGCCAGCGACTTGCAGCCGAGTTCCTCAGATGCGGCTGAGAAGTGCGCGAAGGCCAATTGGAGAGGTCAAATGCCGTCATCAGCCAGCGAGCGGACTCGTCCAGCATGTTGAGGCCAAGGATGCTTCCTCTCACTTTTTGGCCCCCGGAAACTCATTCGATTTGCCGTGGTTCGACGTGGAGTGCGACTCCCAACACGATGCAGCCTCCTGCTTATGTGACTCCTTCCACCGATCACAGCAGCTCCCAACCCAGCTGCCAATTCCCACGTGTTTCTCCACGAGACTGGCTGGCCACGGGAAGGACTGTCATCCTGACCACCACGCCTCCACAATGCCATCGGACGGAAGTCATTGGTGTGTTGGTACCCGGAACCATTGTTTGAGAGCTGTGCCCCGCCAGCGAGCTATCGCATAGCGCAAGTCAGCTTTAGCATGTGATGCCTCTTTATGCTCGCAAGGAGAGTCCAGCACCAGGTGAAGTCCAAGAAGTCAAACACGACAGGTCACGGCACGATCTCGCGAGAAGACGATCCTCAGGCATGTTGGCAAGCATCATGTCCGATCGACTCAGCCTCGTTCGCGGGACCAGAGTGCCCGGTTGCACAGCGGAACTCCACATGACAATTTCGGGTTTGGCACACCGACGCAGGTCCAGGACCGCGTAGCATCGGTGATGGATCCTGGTCACACGCAGAAACGCACGCAGCACACGCGGTGACCAGACAGCCTACCTCGCCAGCGCCTATAGATATCTAAGGTCCAGTCGAAGTGTGCGCCATCTGTCGCGGATCTCCAACACACCGGGAGCCACGCAAGCTGCGCGCAAGAACGCCTCTTCACGCAGAAAGTGTCTCACCTCTGTGGCTACAGGACCTCGTGAAATACGGTCGATCCCGACGTCTAAGTTTTGTACCTTGCATGTGCCATGTGTGATTGGACGAGGCGGCAGGCCTCCCCGTTCTGCCGAATAGCCACAGAGCTGACTACCATGCCCTTTCGAGCGTCGTGAAACTCAGGAACAGGAATGCCCTCGTGCAGATGTGTGCAGGAGCACACGAGCTTGTTCCGCGCCACCGCGCAAAATAGAGCACTCCAAGCAGGTGGAAAGAGAGCGCACAGAGAAGACTGATAGAGTTCTAGAATACGGAGAAAATGCTGCAGAGTCTTGGAGCTTCGCCAACAGCGCGGTTGAGCTCTCAACCAGCGAACACATCATCCGTCCGAATGGGTCGCTTGCGCAGAAAACATTTCTAGCTCGGACGTGCTGCATAAGGCGGAGCGGGAGTGGGCGATGCGATTGGCGTTTGATTAGGAGGAGGCTAATGCACTGGGGATGCCAGTCTCAGCTGTTGTCCCCTTCGGCTGATGGACACGAAGGTCCGGCCCTTGACTGGCACTTGCGTCGACCAGTGGGCGGAGTGATGCGCTGTGCAAGCATGCTCACGACGGCTGCTGCCCACTACCCGTACAAGTAGACGAGACTTCCGCATTCCTGAAAGTCTCTCTTCTCTTGTCACGCTTCACGGGTCTGAAGGTCGCGCATTCGCCCACACTCTCTTTACCACCATCACAGTCGTTCCCTAGAGATCTTTGATAGATCTGCACACTCATTGTGTCGGAAGATTTCTCACCAGCGAATCAGCGAACATACGCAGTCGGAAATCGCAAGTCGATCCCCAAACATTACCGCATCCGGAAAAGTCTTGGACTCTCAGCATCACCATGTACACCAACAGCTTGCTCGCCGTGACTGGCGCATTGCTCTCTCTTGCGGCCGCGGTGCCTCATGCGGATCCTCACCGCCACCATCACAAGAAGGACTACGTCTACGTGGAGCATACCGAAGTCGTCTACGAGACCGTTCCAGTCACCAAGACCGTTTGGGTTGAGCCCGGTCACTCTGTTCCAACTCCTTCCAACCCTCCAGCCGATAAGCCTGCATCTTACCCCAAGCCATCATCTCCAGAGGCACCAAAGAACAAGGCTCCTGCGCCTCCAGCGTACTCTGCTCCTCCACCGCCTGCGTACTCCGAGCCAGCGCCTCCTGCGTATTCTGAGCCCGCACCTCCTGCACCCAAGCCTGAGAGCAGCCCACCTCAATATGTCCCACCTCCACCACCGGCCCCGACATCAACCTCCACATATGTTGCGCCACCAGCTCCCACCTACGCTCCGCCACCAGTTCAGGAAGCTCCTGCTCCAGCCCCTGCTCCAGCACCTTCGCAAGAGTCATCTGGAAGCACCAGCGGTAAGAGCTCCGGCCTGAGTGGCATGGCTTCTCCTGGCAAGTCATACACTGGCGAGCTCACCTGGTACGATGTCGGTCTTGGTTCATGCGGATTCACAAACACCAAAGATGAGCACGTCGTTGCAATTTCCCACGAGATCTTCGACGCATACAGCAATGGCAACCCCAACAAGAACCCATTGTGCGGCTGTACCGTAACCATCACCGGAAAGGACGGCTCGAAGCACCAGGCCAAGGTTGTGGATCGCTGCGTGGGTTGCGTGGCAGCCGACTTGGATTTGTCGCAAGACTTCTTCAACCTGGTCACCAACAACGGCGATGGCCGTGTTGGCGGTATGGAATGGTGCTTCGACTAAAATTGGAGAAATGCATCAAATCTCATTCTTCCACTTCACGACAAAACATCAATTCGCGGCATTTTCACCCTCGTCTACTTTGGTGTTTATCATTTTGGGAGAATTGGTCACCGGAGTTCATCTCTGGCATGGGAACAGACAAACCCAAAAACGGCATGGGAACATACGAGCACTTTCTCAAGGAGTGACTTTTTGACGACGAGATGTTATGACAGGATACCAACACACTTTTGGACAGACACCACAGCTTCATATCCCAGGGGGAAGAGCATGGAGAGTGAGAAGGCAGGACTTCCGCGTGTATGGTCTTATCGGCCATGCGAGACGGTTGCTGTTGGCGACGATATAGAAAAACTCTTGTTCGTGTCTATAGACTTTTCTTCTGCAAAAACAAGTTGTTGCACACAAAATCACCAAATCACAAATGATACAAACAGTAAAATGTCATCACCATGTGGCAGGCTATGCTGGTCGAACGAAACTCTTCTCTCCTGTCTTCCCTGTTCCCGCGACGGCAGTGACAATGCCGGGTCGTATCCCTCCCTTGCTTCATTGCCTGCAGCGACGAGATTACTTGTATACTTCTTCACCTCCGTTTGTTCACCGATTGTTTCAACTGCATCTATCGTCACAGAACCATCACGTCGCCGCTTGTTCGCATCGATGTCGGCACAAAAGCCTAGAACTGCGACGCGAACTACTGCCTCCACTTTCCCCTTGCCGCACGGCAGGAACGTATCGATGACTGGCTGGATAACTCCTGGCCAGTGCGGGACGTACGAAAGTACGCTCCGCAACTATCATCGCGGAATCGTCACCACGAGAATGCTCAAATTCCGAAGATGCCAACCCGATATGCAAAGACGGCAGCACTGACTCGTCCGCCGCTGCAGCCTTGTTTAAACATAGCAACAACTCCTTTTTTACCTTTTGCAGATCACAACATCCGCGTCGTGTGCGTATGTATGCACACGTTCCTCCAAGACTCCCAAGACTCAAGCGCGTGGCATAAAATACTTCGTTGATCTCAACCTCATCATCCTGGATTCCTGATCTTCCACGGCTTTTGTTGTTGTGGGACGTTTCACCTCGAAGGACATGGTCTTGAGAGAAGTCAAAGATGCATGGATCTGTGACCAAGCAGAGTGGTGCTTCGAGACCGCGAGCGGTATATGTGTACGTTATGCTGATTCGCAACTCGATGGTGCGTTCACAAGCATAGCAAAGGAAGCTAAGTCGTACTGTTCGAGCATGGAACCATGGATCTTTGTGCAATACGCTGATGCATTGTGCTGAAAGTTGCGTGCAGCAATGCCTGTGTGATTCTGTTACTCCAGTGCTGACCTCAGATTGACGACGCTCGAGCAGACCAGGAGAGCGCATAGGCAAAAGGCACGGGTGCCGCATAGCTTTTCAAAGAAGTACGTAGATTTGATAGGTATTACTGGTATCTTGAGTTTCTGTCTAATGATTGCTGTCGCCATGCTTTCTTTCTTCTGCCGTCTTATATTTACAAAGGAAGGCCGTCAAGGTGTATCTGCTGTATTTCATCTCTTTCCACGCACTACAGCGCATAAATTGCTGCGAGCAACAGTCCCATGGCACCAACACTCCACATGACTGCGTGCTTCTGTCCAGCAGAAGCCTCAGTGCTTGTGGTCGCGGGTGCACTTGTCGTCGAGGACGCAATCGTCGATTCAGGTGTTTCCGTGGCACTTGACTCCGTTGTGCTACTGCGCATTGTCACGACTGGGGTGGTGCGTGTGGACGAACTCGATTCTTCTAGCGTAGTTTGTCCGCTGCCGTAGGTGCTCGTTCGTAATGTGTCCGTTGCACTGCCTGAAATGAATTGCACTCCGTCTGTCCCAAGCGAGAAAACATAGTCGCCAAGCGATGCAGCTGGGCCGCCGGGTGACAATGTCGCGCCTATGATGGCGAGAGCATCTGTATCCGTAGATGGGATAGCAGCTGTCAATGTATAGCTCTCGCCAGTGAGGACGATAACGGTGCCGATCGTGGCCAAGTATGGCAAGACACCGCCATTAATAGGCGTGGCAGTTGGTGCATCGGATGTGATGGAGTTCATGGTGTCTGGGGTCTTCGGATCGTTGTACGAAGGTGGAATGGCCGGGGTATTTGTTTCAGAGTCTGTAGGCCGTGCAGACCAGCTGACGTATGTGGAGGACAAAGAGAACAAAGCGGATGTTGAGTCAGGTGCGACGCTTTGGAATGTACCCAGCGCTTCTGTTAATATTGAGAGTGCTGGAGCATTTGGGATATGCGGATCCACGCCCGTTGTATAGGAGGACATTGTCCTACCCGAGCTTTCATGCTTTGGCGCGGGCGCGTGCGTAGGCGCGTGGTCGGCTGGCTCGGCTTGCGACGGAGGCCCGTAGCTAAAAGTTAAAAGAGGCGCTCGTGTCGATGTCGTAGCTTTGCGTGACGCTTCGCTATTCGCTGTGGACGGAGCGCCACTCGTATTTTCGAGAGATGTATGCGTTGCGTCTGGGCCTTTTTCTGGTTCAGCGTGCGGTTCGTTCGTATTTGAGCTGTCGTCGACGCCAGCTTCTGCTGTGACGCGTCTTGCATCAGCTGGCCGAGAGCCAGTTTCAGAATCAAGACAAAGGACATCGTGGAAGGCTCAAACTTGGTTGACTCTAGAGAAGAAGCGCTTACGACATGGCTATCTTGCGTTTCGTCTGCACCAACGCCTGATGTGACTGGTCCAGAGCCGTCAATGTCACTGGACGATGCTGTCTTTTCAGGCAAATGCGAGTCTGGAGTTGAGGCGGCAGCCGCTGGCGTCGTGGTCATCGCCGCGGGTAACGTTGGCTTTGCAGCTTCTGCATGGTCTTGAAACGCAATAGATGGACCAAATCTGTAGTTTGCAAGGTTCGTAGAGTCGAGCTTACAGGTTGCTTGTTCGGGCGCAGGATCTGTGAGTATAGTCGGTATTGCCAGTAGCGGATTGACGTCGCTACAGATGGCGGAAAATTCCGGTCAGCATCATCTCCTCATTGCCTATGTTAAAGAATTTGCACCTCGCTCGGCATGCATATGCACTTGCTGGCGCAGTCCAACTGCCGATTGATCCCTGTGCCAGGACATTGTGTCGAGATCTAGTCGGAATTGAGAGTAGGACCAAAGTCGCTGTGAATAGGTCCAATGGTATACTTGAAAGCGTCGTGATATGCAGAGATCGGTTTAATGGACATGCACGCTCTGCCAGTCTTGAAAGTCCTACTGGGAGTAGTGACAACTGACGGGAGACGTGGGACGAACTTCGGAGGGAGTGTGAAATCCTCCACGAAACACAGGTTGTCGTTATTGCTCTGCACGGTGAAGTAGATGAGTTCCGCGTCGCCTTCGATACCGAAGAGAGTTGTGCTGGCGGAATGCTTCGTTGCTGCGAGACTTAGTTCTGCAATGACAAGTGAACAAACTGGCCATGATTTTCAAGCCTACCAGCTGCGCATAGGCAATAGAACACCAAGGCGATTAACGGCTGTGTTAGTAACGAACGAGAATGTTGCAGGTTTGGGCGAGTGAAGGATACAGAAGGCCACTCATTCGAGGCCTCCTGCTTGCGGAGCCATGATGAAGCAAAATTGTACTGACAGACCTTGAATTGGCTCCAGAACCTACATATTCGCGTACGCTTGAAGGCGGCAGCAGAATGCTGCGCGATATCTCGCAGGCAACGCATGGTGAGACATGCAACGAAGATGTCAATTGGACACATTTTCTGTGACAGTGGATTCGTGCTTGAGAGCGATCTTGAATCAAGTCTGCGAGCGATCTCTTCAGAGCTGCTGCACCGTAGAGATGCAGCTCGATCTTCAAACAGGCCTACAGGATGACTGTGGAGGCGCAGATTTGCTTCAAGCAGGACCGGGATATCGTGTTTGCGCGCTTCGTGTGGCGCACTGCGTGTAGTATACGGTCATTTCAGGCGAACACAGATACGGCGAGCATTCCCCGGCTTTGAAAGCGAGACTTGATGATACTCATGTCGGAGATGGAGTGGTCAGCGGAAAGACGATGTGGGAGAAGGAGCGTTTCGCGCTAGGCCCAAAGCGCGTGCAGCCCGCATCACTCCCGAAGTTCGTAGCAGTGAAGGTCGACTCGGCCATGGGAAGTCGTCCACTGTAGCCATTGCCGTTCCAGCTCCATTCACAATGCAACGCGTGGTTGAGCGCGTTCGGAAGGCGGAGCGCACACTGTCCAAGAAGAGGAGCAAGGCAGCCGAGCACTTACGGCGCTCAGAAGCATGGGAACGCAACCAAACCCGAGTGAGACAAGTGAAGGAGCACACGGCCAGGCTGCGTGAAGACCGCAAAAATCGCGCCATCGACTGGGAGACTGGAGCGCTGGCCCCACGCAGAGATGTGGGCGACAAAGCAGGGAAATACGGCGCCCTCGACATTCCGTATTTCCAACCCCTCGACAAGGACCCAGAGTCACGACTGCCCGAGAATAAATGGCCTTTTCGAGAAGGCGATCGAGTGGTCATCACGCGTGGGCGAGATCAGGGCAAGATTGGAGTCATCAGCGAAGTGGACCACGTCAAGGACGCTGTCAAGGTGAAGGGCTTGAACATGATAGACGTCGCGCTTCCGAAATGGATGAAGGAGCGACAAAATGACAAAAAAGATTATAACTCCATTGAGCAGATGATCAGCAGAAAGGATGTACAGCTGGTTTATGCGCTGCCTGATCTCGAAACGGGCATCCCGCGAGATGCCATCATCGAGAAGCTGGAAGTCGTTGATGGATTCAGAGTGATACCAGGCTCGAACACTTTCCTTCCCTGGCCGCCGAAGGATGATTTACCAGAGGAGCACGAAGAGTACGAAGATGACACATTACGGCACGCAGTAGAGGAAAGGACATTCCGACCCTTCTTGATACGGCCGCCTATGCCACTATCCGTCATTGACGAGCTGCGGAATAAATACTCGAGGTTCAGGACACGGCACGAATACGATTACAAGGTACAGAAAGAGCTGGAAGACGCAAAGGTGGAGGAGAGGAAGGGCTTGATGAAGACTATGAGGACTCCGTTGCAAGAGCTGGCGGAAGTGAGGGAGAAGCAAAAGGCCGCGCACCAGAAGGAGTTGACCGAGGAGCAAATGGCCAAAATTGGAGAGATCATTGCACAGGAGCGGGCGAGGAAGACGGAAGACGGTGTGCCTGCCCCTATGCCTTCCGCTTATTCTTGAGCGCAGGCCGCATGTGCAAACAATGGAGTGTACGATACCCATATACAGAGGCAGCCAAGCCGATAGAGTACGTGCTTCCTGCGACCCTCCAGCGCAGCTTCACTGCCTGATATCATGCGACATTGGATTGGGAGAGCTCCCTCGTCTTCTGCAGCGGCGCGCGACTGTGAAAGCCGAGCCTGACACAAACGCAGCTCAATGCTGCTGCGGCATTGAAGCAGCATTCCAATACGAGGTGATGCGAGACAACCATAGCTCCCAGCATGATGAAGACGACCCCAGCCCAGCAAACTGCTACATTTACGGCTATCGACCTCCAGCATAGTGAGACGCACAATTCATCCACAAATAAAAGCAATAGCGGAAGTCTATAAGTCTCTATTGGTCTTTCTGGGATGTAAAATCATTTCTGGCATGTAAATCTTGCCATCCACCTCTTTCATGAACCACGGCATTTCGTTAGGCACAACAACATTCTCCGGATGCTCGACATCTTGCTGCTGATCCTTGGGTTCGTATTGTCCCATCCAATGTTCGAAGATCGGATCGCATAAAGAAGACCACCAGTCGAACGTGAGCGGTCTTGTTTTCGGCGCGTAAGAAGCAGCGCGGTATACACCAGGTCCTCGCGCTATGCCATCGCTGGACTGTTCTGGTAGACCGCCATTGAAAATATCGCTCAACTCGTGATGGTCTCCTTCTGGATACTGAGATCTCGGTATCGGCAAGCCAGCCACTTTGAGACCAAGCCAGAGTGCCCAGGAGGGGAGAATTGCCTCGCTGGCAACTCGAAGACCATCTTTGTGTTGTGAGCGATGAATAGCCTCTAGGAGGTCATACGACGCCCTTGCCTGAGCTGGCGTCGACATATAGATAGGCGTATCCTTCTCCATTGACTCCATTGACCAATTTCTGAATACCCAGTCCTTCAGTCTCTCGACCAGGCGAACATCGTTGAGCTGTCCTAAGAGCAACAAATCCGCGTCATGGCCGACTCCGAACTGAAAATCATCATCCTTGGGGCTCGGAGGTACGAGTGGCCCGATCGGCTCAACACTCTTAATCCCATCAGCGCCCCAGATTGTTGCACCTCCTTTCAATGACTTGTTCACTTTCTTTGAAAAATCCTCATACGATCCATGCACACTCTCCATATACATCCACGATGCTCGTTCTCGTGCTTGTTTATATGGCTGTACCCTGCCGAAAGCGTCAAATGCTTGCAACATTCTCCCGACATTTCCTGTAAATCGTGTGTCCATCTCAAACTGCCAGTAGTGATCAAATTCTGGATAGAAATGCGCGAATAACTGTAGTGGTTGCATGATTTGAAAATAGGGCCAGTACTGTCCTACTTTGGGGTACCAGCTTCGCTGCAGATTTTCGTGCACGAGGACTGCAATGCTGCGGAACTCGGGGGGCACGGAGTCCTGAAGGACTTCGTTGTATAGAGTATTGTTTGTGAATACATCTGCACATGCATCACCGCATTTGAGGTCCACGAGTAAGAAGACTTGATAGTCTCCATTCGTGGCTAGGGCGGTCTCCGTGATGATTGAGCGTAGGTTCCAGAGGTCTTCGGGATAGTACTTGTAGGTGCTCAACGTACGCAGAATGATGGCTTGCCTGCCAGTTTGGTGAGGACGTCGTGGCTCATCAGGCTCAGTGGGGTCGAAATGGCGAAAACGCGGTTCAGGTCGCTGCTGCAAAACCCCAGCCTGGAATCTGGCACGGTTTACGTCGAAGCATTTGTCTTGTAGTGCGCCCCAGTCGACACCACTCCAGATGGAATTAGCGTGTTGTTGTCCGTCCGTTGTGCTGTAGCCGTATGGTCCATAGCGTCGCTCAAATGTCGTCCATTCCTGGCTCAACCGTAGTGCTTCGTAGGAACCGAACGTGGGCTTGGGATAATGGATTCCAGGCAGCTCGCGAAGCGACTTCGGCAGATCTACGTGATTATCATCATCGATGAGAGTGCCCCTGATGCCTTCGCATGGCCTTCGTGAGTGATTGTCCTGCTCCGCGGAACTTGGTTGCTTTGATAGCGCTTGTGATTCATGTTGCTCTTGACTGAGTCTATCGATGCGAAAGCTTAGAACGCTGGGCCAGTACAGCGCTAAAACTATGAGACTGAATGTTAGAACCGCCGCGATGATGCGCAGTGTGCGGTTGGTGTGAGCCTGCATAGATCCAGATTCGTCATGGGTTGCGTATCATTGCAACCCCATCATGGAGCATCAGAGGCAAGCAGACTTGACCAAAGATTGATTGATCCGACGCCTTGGCGATGGAGGATTCAACATGAGAGCCGGTGAAATGGTTAATCAAAAATGGTTGGGAATGTACGTGAAGGCTCGATTGGCCAAACAGAATTGCGGCACAAAGTTCAGTCTTGGCAGCTGACCTGAACCGGGAAAGCACCTGCAATCGGTGCAAGTCCTGCAGAAAGAACATTGCATCGCTTGAATGCGCTTCATTCATCGAAGAACAGAATAAAAGACATTGGATACCAGCGATGCCTGCCCGAGTGACTGATGCTGGCTTCAAAACATCCCATAACGCCTGCCAAAGTACAAGCAAGACCACACCACGAACAGCCCCCGGCATGTCCATTGGCACGCTCGCCGTACCGGCAGACCTGTGCTACTATCGCAAAGGCCAACCGCAAAACCAGGCCCTGCCTTCGATGTTCTTCGACCTTGGTGTCCCTGCGGCCTGTTGGTTCTCAGTGATCGTTAGGTTCCTCTTCCTATTCGAAAGGTAGTAATTTCGAGAACCATGAGAACTGACTAGGTTCTACTTTCAGAACACTACGCTAGGTGTATCTCTGTCTTTGCCTGCCGTCTGCTGCCCTCTTCCAACGGCACTGAGCTTGGGGTCTTTCCTAACTCCACGCATGCCAAGCTGGCCTCGTAGCTCTCTCCCACCGTGGTCCCGATGCGAATAACCAAACAGCCTATGCGCAGGTTCCATTTCGCAGCAAAGCGACATCGGCAGTTAGTTGTCTTGCTGAACAGCCAGCGCGAGGGTGCTTGCGCCGACTTATTCGAACTTTAACAGCTATGGTACGGTCTTGGTATTGGCGTCTGCCTATAGCAAGCTGAGCTAAGCGAGAAGATCGCCGGAACTGCATATATGCTAACTGTATGGGCAAGAAGCGTGCAACGAAGGCCATGTGGCTGCGGCGTGGGATTTCTCGCAGAGATCGGCTTGGAGATATAAAGATCTGATTAGATCTTGATATTGCCGAGTCTCTTTGAGTAGTGCAGTGGTACACATCAGTGAGATTCAGGCAGAAGGTGAGATCTTTAGCCATCTCAGGCACTGTTCCCTCGCTGACACTGCACTCGGATACTACATCGCATCAAGACAAACCATGAAGCTCTCCTTGGCTGCCCTGCTTGTTGCAGCGGCCCCATTCATTTGTGCTGCTCCCACTTCCGACCTCAGCACACTATCTTCCCGCCAGACCTCCTGCCCAGGAGGACGAGATCGGGACTACTGTATCTACAACGAAGGCTTCCGAGTCTGCTCGAACAACGCAACGGGACGCCCTGATCAGGCTTGCGTTGCAGCCTTCGCGCAACGATGCAACCAGCTCTGCCCAGCGCCAGCAAAAGCTAGGGATGTGGATTCTGCTCCAATTACCGAACGTCAAAGCAGCTGTCCCGGCGGGCAGGGCAAAGACTACTGCAAGAACTATGTTGCCTGGCAAGTCTGTCGTCCTCCAGGTGCACCAGCCGACTCGAGTTGCATCCGACAATTTCACGCGAGATGTGATGCTGAATGCTGAAAGTTTACTTCGGCGATGGAAAGGACCTTGTTCTTGTCTTGGTTTGGACGATTCAATTGAGACTGCTTCAAGGATGACTGATCACTGAAGATCATCAATTGTGCATGTTAGAGCGGCTTACCTGAAGCGTGAATGTGTTAGCAGACCAGTGCACCATATAACAACAGTCTGGGGCCTGACTTGCCCGATGCATACGGCCAGCATTCACTCTCATGTCTATACTATCCTCTTCACTGTGATTGCTTGCGAGTGCTTCAACGCCATAACCCCTCCCTCCTCTTTCCACGATTTCGAGGGCGTGTCTCACGGTGTCTTCCATGGATGAGCGTCGCAGATGTCACAAAAACACGATCTTTCACGATCTCGCTGTCACTGGCAAATGTTCACATCTGTGTAGCAATGCTGAACTATCAGAAACAATAATTGCAATGGACAGTTGAGAGCGGAGTCTCGAACGATGGGAACGGGACGATCGTTCTTCCCCTCCGCCCATCCGAGCCGAGGCCGCATTCCTGCCTCACGTCAATGACCAACTGCCTGACTTCAGGTGTCAATACAACGACAAACTACACTTTTGGTACGCCTGGAATTAACAAAACAGAAGATACAAGCATTCGACCTCGCCAAAATGACTTACTCCATCTGGCTCATCATGACCAAGGGAAATCCCTTCGACAAGACCGCTCAAGAACTCATCTCCGATACACTGCCCAACCTCTTGCTCTCTTCAGACCAAATCCAAGACTTCCAACCACACGTCACCATCACGCCAGGTTTTGAACTCCCAGAAGGCAAAAGCGCGCAAGAATTGCTCGACAGCTTAGACTTCTCCGAGTACAAATCCCAACACAACGAAGTCGTCCTCGAACTTGACGAACTTCAAGCTGAAGATCCTTTCTTCCGGAAACTCAACATCGCCGTCAAGGATAAATCTAATCTCGCCAAATTTGCTTCTCAATGTCGGGATGCAGTGGGAAAATCTGAGCCTGAAGGTGGTTATCGACCGCATATGAGTTTGATGTATGCGGATTTGCCGACCAAGGATGTGAAGAATAAGCTGGCGCTCATTCAGATGAAGTTGGGGTTCGCTATTGGTGATATTTTTGCTTGCTGTGGTGGAGCTTTGTGTATTGGTGGCAGCATGGTAGTGGTTGACACTAGTGGGCCGGTGAAGGGCTGGAAGGATTCAATTGTGGCGGAAAGGAAGACAGATTTTGTGCAGTGGAGGATGTCGAGAGATTTGGTGTGAGGGGATTTGAGGCATCTTGTCTTGTGAATTTTGTTGCGATGCTTGTCGCATACGATCGTGTCTTTGGTTACATATGACGGCCGTTGAATGAGTTCATGAGGATGCGTGCGAAAGGACAGGATGTGCATTATCAGTGTGTGCAGTAGGAATATTTGGTATCCCGTACTTCGAGTGAGTACAGTTCATTGACCACCGTGCTCTAACCACAATAGCTATCCCCAACACACCCAATTGCGCTGCCGAAATCAGAGCCACCGACTTTCGTAATCTCCAACAGAGCCGCGATCAGCCCGCCAATGCCTTCACCTGCGATCAAGCCTGCTGGGACCGCATATCCGTTTCTTGCATAGGATTTTCGCCGTCTGGCTGACCAAACGTATGCTACCAGAGCTCCGGCAGCCATTGCAATGGCATACTGTGTGGTTGGTACCATAAAGGCAAGACCGAAGACTGATAAGTTCGGGATAAATTTGTGATGTCGAGCCGGAATCAGCTTGTATCGAGCGTAGACGATGAAGATGGAGAGGACGCCGAATGCGATTGCGAGATAACCACTCACTGGTGGTATAGGAAGGGAGGAGAGTGTAATGGCTTCGGCCACGGCGACCTGACAAGACACGTTAGTCGAATGGTGACGGCATTGAGTTATGATGCTTCTTACCCAAGCGCCCAAGGCAGGCACGCTGAACGAGCACTCCTCAATTGCTGCGTCTAGAATGCACGGATATGCCGTTGTGAACAGAAGAAAGAGGCCCACACTCAGCCAGACTGCCACGAAGCTACCACAAAGTTGGCAGTAGAACTGTGCTCGGTGAGAAGCACCCAGGAGGTAGCCAGTGCGCAAATCGGAGACCATGTCGGTGCTCTGTGATGCTGCACCAGTGGCTACGATGCCTCCAGCAAGATTGATGAGCTGTTTATCATGGAGGGAGTATTGTCCGGACGAGGTCACTCCACCAAAAACCAGCTGAGAAGCTTTTCCGCAGTATGATGCTGGGGCAATATCTGCTGTAGCGGCAGACTGAGTGGCGATGCAGGAGAACAAGAAACCGAGAACGACGGACAATACCGCCAGTCCGACGCTCATGTCATATTGTACTCCAAGCACGATGCACGTGAAGATGATCACAAGAAACGTGCCAGTGGACCACATCCATACCGGAACTCTCTCGCGGGGTGGAGCTGGGTCATCGTCGTCGTGATCCTCCTGCAGCAGGAACGTGCTCGCCTTGTCCTTGGTAGCAGTCCAGCGCTGTGTATTTGGCAGCTTCGAAGCATATTCCGCTATTATCAGCTTGAGACCTTTGTAGAGTGCTGGAGAATTCATGCCGACTTCAGTGAAAGTAGCGCACATCAAGATCATTAAGCCAGGCCAGAGCAAGAAATAACGGGCCGAAGGTGCGTTGACAGGATCGTCCAGATCTAGCGACTTGTAGTTGATGATATCTGGATTGCTTGCCGAAGCTTTACCAAAGGTCAAGCCTGTCCGAAGCGTTGCGGGTCCGATAATGCCCCAAGCAAAGATGGCACCGACGAGGTAACTTATGCCGACATTGATACCTGTGAGCATGCCAACTCCGAAGAAAGCTGGCGTCAACTCGATGTACCAGCCCCAATTGCTGGCAGCTATGATGCTCTTCCAAGGTGTGGTCTTGTAAATCCACCAAGCGATGTTCCAGTCCCAGATGATGCCAGGGGCGTAGATGCTCGTCACTTTGAACAGGCAGGATGCCACGAAAGTGCTGACCAGAACCCATGCTTTACGCATTGCATCTCCATCCAGACCTACTTCGTGCAAGCTCCGAATCGTAACAGCTGTGGCCGTCGGCGTTGGGAATATTCCGCGCAAGCGAATTATGTAGAACTTTCGAAGCGCTACGCCGAAAAAGCAGCCATAAAAAGCGCATGTGGCAGTAAATGTTGTCAGACGCCAGAAGTCTTCTCGTGGTGTGGGCGACATGAGATTGAGGCGATGCAGAGCAGGTATAGCTCCTTCGAACAGAATCGACAGACTCCCAGCTCCAGTCGCTATGCTCTGCACTGCAACATTCTCACGCGGTCCAAAGTAGCCTCCTCCAAAGCACTTTGGCAAGAAGCTACTCGCTGGTTTGAGAATGGCGAATCCAAGTATGGCACCAAACAGGGACGCCCCAAAAGTCCAGCCTGTCTTCAGACATAGGTACATATTGCTAGCAGACACTACAGCGCCAAGGACGCAGCCCACGAGCAATGCTCGCACTGTAAACTGTGCCGGCTCATTGGGTTGATTTGGAAGGTCTGGAAATGGTCTCGTGATATCCAGCGGCTCATCGTCTTGACCATGGTAGTCGTCCGAACTTGGAGGTATGTCAGAAACAGCGAATGTACTTTTGGACTTGTCCTGGTCCAATGTCCGTTCGGCGTGCATTGCGGCAGAATTTCTGTTGAACGCCAGCAGAAGGGCAGCTTACCTGCTGCTGGAAGAACTCAGACGTCTATATGCCATGGTGCAAAGCACGTCATGCAAGACTACACAACGTTGTCGATAGAATCGGTCTCTTCAGTGGCAGGCTCCACACGCGCAGGCATAGGCGAAGCATAGCTCGTCGATTGTGTGGAAACCGTTCGCCGGTTGATTCTCGCGGACTCGTGATAGAGTGCTGGTTGTGGTTACATCTACCTTGGCAGCCTTTCTTGCATGATGGCGTGCTCGTGGACACTCGCGACCGGGCAGTACGGACTTGCTCGTGTGAGGCGTGGGTCGATCAAGGCTCAGCGAATCTCAACATGCTCTTCGCAAGACACATGGAGGTCTCGGAAAAAAGATGCAGTCGCATGGAGTTGATCACGCAGAGTACACGCGCACGTGTTGAGAGGCGTGAATCGCGCTTGCGCAAAACGAATCCTTGCCACGGCAAAACATTTCTCCTCCCTGCTTCCTGGCTTGGCCATAGCGATTTCCATTGCGCAGGAGGTGCCTGCCACTTCTGCAGAGTCATCGCTCCAACACTTGCAGGCTAGCATGCAATCTGCGGTCTCTTTGAGCTGATCACAGCGACTGCTGAAGCTAGTTTTCAATTGTACAAACCAAGAACTTGACCTTCTCGCAGCCGATAGCAAGACCTCTCCCTCTCAAGGATCCAGGTGCGCGCCTTTGTTTTCTTCCCTCAGCATCTAAGGCGGCCTTGTTATGCTCCGCCAAAGCCAACACTTTGCCAGTAGCTTTATCCTTCATGACACATTGGATAGCACCTGAAGGACAGAGTCAGTCAATGCGAACCCACGTAAACAGCCATGCCAGGAAGAGAGGAGTCAAAACACTCACATAACCTCTTTCCGGCACTTCTCACAAAATTCTCGCTCCTCACCACAATCCCTTGAGGAATAGGTCTCAAATACGTGATATTCAACGTCCTCGACAATCCGCCAAAGTCCCAGAACCCTTCTTCTGCCATCGGACCGGCAGCCATACTTGTCGTATTGTCGGACATCGTCGCAATCATACCACCGTGCGCATTCCCCATCGAACTGCACATCCCGGGAACGATTTCAATCTCAAAGACAACATGAGTTTCCATTCCTGTCTCAGTGGCTTGTGTCTTTCTGGCAGAGATGACTTTGGTGTGTTGCATAACTATGAGGTCCCAGCCCTGGTAGTGCGATTAGAACAACGCACTCCATTGCCGAGATGAACTGCAAGACTACTCACATGGAAGTCTGGGTTTTTGGCGTAGCCATCGAGATACGCCTGTATCCTCTCCACGGGGTCGGCGATCGAAGTATTGAAGAGGCCTACGACATTAGGTTTCCGTGGAGGGGGAGACGAGGACATTTCGTCCAGCAACGAAAAGCTCAGAAAAACACGTCAACTTTGCAACTTTGTCAGAGGAATGCAGTGGTAATCGAACGACACGATAGTTCCCATTGTCTTCATCGAACTTATTGCTTGGCCTGGTGATCAATAGTGAAGTTGCTAGTTCAAAGATATCCCGAGGTTGGGCTGATCGCCGTGACCGCGACCGTGACCCGCGCGGGACGTTCGGGCCCTGAAACTCAGAACGAGATGATGGGATTCTGCTGCTTGACTCGACTCGTAGGTCAAGAAACAACGAACACTTGAGGTATATCACCGAGCACAGGTAACCATAGGCCAGGATCCTGTCCCCGGAGATAGAGAGGTCTATGTTCCCTGGCTTGTTGGCCGACACGACGATTTTCGAAAAGGATCCACGATTCTTGCGCTGTCATCGTCTCATAATTTGATACAGTAATACGCATCACAGATACCGATACCGATGACTTTCCTGCAAGCGTCCTGATAATCAGTCTCATCCACCCACGCCACCTTTGTCCTTTCGCCCTGTCACATGCATGCGTAAATCTAATGAGCGCCGTTATATACAGATTGCACCCGTGTAGTGACCCTCCCTCAGTCTCCTTGGGCGACAGTAATTTGCGGCTGATCGAGCCCTATCGTGAAGGGACGTGATGCTTGAGCGTGTCTTGACTCGACTCTTCACATCAGTTGTGATTGACCGGTGGCCTCGGCGCTGTAGATGCGAGCCAGGAGACTGCATAGGCTTGCTCGCAGCGACGGTAATGACTGGGGTAGGGTACCGAAGCATGCTTTTTAATGGACCGCTACGCGTTCCATTGACGCAGTCTACTCTTGCCCGAAGCCGACAGTCTCTTCCACGGCCCAGACAAGCTTCTGCTGTAACGCGTCGTAGCTCTTATATGGCGGCAGGTCCAGTCGGTTGAAGCAAGTATGCGACTTTGGCAATTGGTTTTCTTCGCCAGACTTTTCGATTGTGAATCGTCGAGGGCCATCGGAACCTTGTAGATCCTTGAAACCGTTGACCGGAATACGTGAAGTACCAGTGGCGAATTGCAAGAGGCGGGACTTCTGTTCTGCGTCCCAGTTCCTGACAACCTGTTTCATATGTTAGCTGATTGTTCTTCAGTCTGCAGTATTGGGAGCAAACTTACCTTCCAGAAGTTCTGGATGACAACATCATTCTCCGTGTATCCACGGTAATCAGTGTGCTTCTTCCAGTCATCAACATCGATGTCTGCTATACCTCCGATGAGTAGCTCTAGCTCGCGTTCATCGAACACGTTGACTAGATCTGCAGGGATGAGCTCGTGGAAGCCGGCGACGAAAGCGTTGAACTGCTCCTCGACACGCTTTTGAATGCGCCACTCTGTAATCAACTCCACATATTCCTTCTTGTTCTCGTTCGTCACTTCGATGTCGCGGCCACCGGGCTTCAGGTCAACTGTGACCTTCTCGCCGAATCGTTCGTCTTCAACGGAGAAGGTCGAGTAAATGACATCCGTAATGTCGTTCTCCATGGTCCATGTCAATGTGCGATGGAACTCAGCATCGACACCTTCCATGTCTTGCAGGTTCACCTTCTTCTTGAGTATCATCTTGTAGAAGGCGCCAATAAAGAATGCATCCAGGAAGCGTCTGTGGAAGATGGCCAGGCCGACAACGCGCCCAATGAACTTGAAGTAGCCCAGATGCTCAGGGTTGATGCCAGAATGTGGATTGATTTGAAGAGTGTAATTGTCGTGAGCACTGTACTCGAATAGACAGTAGAAGGGGTTGAACATCTCGTGTGAGAGAAGGAAAAAGAATTCTCTGCGTTGTTGTTAGTAAAGACAGAGCGAGAAAGGAGCGGACAACTGACCTTGAGAGACCACCGTAGTCCAACCCATCTTCGCCATCGAATTTTATCATCAGGCGCTTCTTCAGATCGTTGGGACTTTGTCGCATGATCTCTGCATACGAATCTTCGAATATGTGTGTTCTGCGGACCTTAACGTGACACTGTCCAGACAAGATCCGAAGTGCAGGCTGCGATCGGAAGTAAATCAACTTCCTTCGGAAATCACGCTTATATTGTGGCACGTTCTGGTCGAGCGATGACGGCAATCGAGGATCGTCCCATGTAGTAGTTTTCGTGTTGTGGTCCACAAAGTACACGCGCGCAGTGTTTGTAAGGCGCATTTCCCAGCCACTAGGCAGTGGTCCAAGCTGGGAAACTGGCTGCTGCTGGATTGTACTGTTTCCGGTGGCGTTTTGACCATACATCCTGATGTATTGCTGTCTCCGGGGATCCACCCACGTGGTCGTACGTGTGTTGTGGTCAACAAAATATGCTCGGCCTTCTGGAGTGTGGCGTTGTTCCCAGCCAGCAGGCAGTTCGCCTGTGCCTGCGGTAGTAGCACCGGTGGCCACCATCTGCGCAGCGCTGGCAGCGTTGGCAGCGGTCGTCGAGTTGGAAGTCTGGCCTGGGGAGTTTTGTCTATCAGACAAGGTGGGAGAATTGGCTCCTGTCCGATCCTCTGGCAGCGTGCGGCCTTGGTGCCGTTGGCGCTCAATGTTCGTCTGCTGCTCTAGCTGTGCGCGCTGCTCGCCCGCGTTGTAGTTCGCTGTTGGTCGGATCCATGTTGTCTGTCTGCTGTTATGGTCCACGTAGTATGTCCGACCGAGGTTGTCTTCTCGTCGCTCCCATCCAGGAGGCAGCCTTCCTTGTGCATCTTCAAAGGCACTGAAGCCTGTGCCGTCTGCTCTTCTGTTCGTCGGTCCACCAGTGCCATTCGCGGCTGCGGGCGGGGCAGCGGATCCGTTGGTCCCCGTGTTTTGTCGAGACGCCGCAGCAGGGCCGGTGGCAGTCGACGGAGTCTGGAGCGATGCAGTTGATTGTGCACCTACTGGCGTAGAAGGAGTGTGCGCACCGTTCGTGGAGGGTCCTGCCGAGCTGGCCATGGGTCGTCCGCTGTTCTGGTTACCGTTTGCGATAGGTGCGCGCAGGTTCGTCGACAAGTTCAAGATCAGTTTGCCGTTGACCACGAGGTTGTCGTTTGATTTTCTGAGATCACGAGTAATCATCTCTGTGCGCAATTAGTATGCGAGTACCTCCTCACATGAGCCGACATTTAACGTACCATCACCACCAGCATCGAGGTCAATGACGCTTCCGATGCGCACATTAACGACGCCGAGGAAGCCTTGGTCCTTCTTCTTGAATTTCTTCTGGTCGAAGATTTGCACGGCGAGTATGCTGTCTTCATTCACACGCCTGTTCACATGATTAGCATGCTATGTGCGTTTGCCGGGCAGCTGCCCATAGCTCCACGCACATGTCAAAGCTCTCGTTCCAATATGGGTTCAGCGTCTTCTTGATGACCCCCGTAGTCTTCGTCTGCTCGCCATTGATGGTTGCGACCGCAAAGGGGTCCGGAAATCCTTTAGCAAATATCAGCATATCACCACTTGCCAGCAGCGTTGTGCTCGCCACGTACGGAACACATCCCGCTTATATAGGCCATCTGCTGCTATGACTGTGAACAGGTCAGTCGACACGCCCTAGACTGTCCGCACAGCTTTATCCTCTTCCAACATACTGGTGACCCGCAGGTTCGGTTGTTCCGCCATGGTGTCCGACGTTCTCCTGCCCGATGCTTGCCCTGGAGGTTGGCGGACGGCGACCACGTGCTATAACCAGCACGGGCGAAGAGGGCACCAGAATGCTCCCGATTCGGCGGCGCTGCAGAAGATATTGCGACGTCGACGATGGCGGCGGCGCTGCGCTGGGAGGGTGTTCGTGGGGTGGTGTTCGTGGCCGGAGCAGATGACGCTGGTGAATCGGATGAGGCGCAGCAGGCAAAGCGACACGACCTGACTTCGCTTGGAGGGCGCTACAACTGCCCGTGTAATGCACAAACAATAGGATGCACCGCGCTTGTCGTCTGCGGTGGTGCGATGCGAGACCGCGTCGTCAATCGGGGAGTGGGCGGCACTGCTGGGTGAGGGCGTAGTTGGCAGTCGTTCTTGCTGGCTGAACCCGTGCCCCACCCTCGCGCTCTTCCGAGTCTTGGAAGGAAACATCCGAGCCAGCACCTTTTCTCTCTTCTCTCCACTCCAGCACCACTACAACCACTTGATACCGCCTTGCCGCCAAACGACATGCATTGCGCCACACTTCTATCGGTAATACTGACGAGGCGCGGCAGAGCGGCATGTCGGCTCGACCATGTTTGCCATCGCAGAAGTCGAGCGCAACGCATTCGGCTCAATTAGCCACCATTTCTGGCGACGCTCTCTCGATTGCTATTCAAACAGCATTACTAAGACTAAGTGGTATATCCTGTCCAACGCCCAAAAGCCCTCACGAAGTCCTCCCGAGCCCAAATTTCTTCTTTCCAACACGACAAGGCTGCAGTCTGCCCTGATTCCCGAGCTGAGATCCTGCCGCGGAGTCGTGATCCTTTCAAACGTGCCTCTTTTATCCAGCCATCCAGCACCTTCCAAGACCAGACTCTTGCATTGCTCTTCTCCTTCATTCTCTTTTCTCCGTTTCAAGGACTAGCCTCAAACAGTCCGGAACCACATTTCTATGTTGCTCGAACAGCTTCTGACACACCCGCTTCTCATAAAAGCATCGTTCCAAGACCCATCTCCAAAGCCGGAGCGCTCGATACGACAGCGCTTGTTGTCACGTTCTCGCGAAACATCAAAGCCTGGACGGGCCACTGGACCCAGTTTTTCCATCCGTCATTCAGATTCAGCAACACATCTTGCAAGACCCTTTCACCCCACCCTCGTGCCCACCAGCGTCCGTCTAACAGATTTAGTATGACACAGTGATAGCTGACTATGACCAGAGCCTGTGGGATTCTTCGCCGGACCATGTCCGACAAGGTTGCACTTTCTTGCTTTGGCCAGCATAATAGAGATGCTACGCCACATCCGGAGGTTGACTGTGGTAGTAGACTTTGGTGCAGGCTCCGCAACTCATCGATCGCGAGCGCACATGCTGCTCGCTCATTTGGCAGCATGGCCTCGATGCCAAGCATATAATCGAGGTGGTTCAATCCAAGATCCAGACCTTCCGGCAACAAAGGGTATGTCGCAACAGCCTCCTGCCATCCTCGCGTCACTATCTGAGCAAATGGACCCTGGGATATCAGGTACCATCTTTCATGTGTTGCGCTGCCGACCTCTCCAGCAAGGAGCATCAGATCGGCCATTCCATCCAAGGCGTTGGGAGGCAGCATTGCCCCTGGTTCAGAGGCGTTTCCAACAGACTGTGTCGCTGCAGCATACCCGAACAGCAGCGCAAGCCAGCGAGATACATAATGGGCACTCGCTGCCTCCACCGTGCACACCTCATTGGCCCTCTGCAGCTGCATTGCGGCTAGATCCATATGCTCAATCGCGCAACTGCGCAAGGAGCTCGCTTGTTCCAGCATCACCGTCGCTTTGTGCAAGGCAACCAGGCCCAGTAACGCGTTCAGAGTATGGTCATGGGAGAATGCAATCTTGGGCAGCTCGTTCTTCCAGATATGCACAACGAAAGCCTGGTCGCTGATTTCACCGAGCACGCCCTTGGTGTACGACATGTAATGGTGCATCAGTTGCAGATCTAGTTGCCAGTTGGCTGAGCCAGGACTTCGGGGGAGATGCGCTGTCAATCTTCCGAAATTGTCATGACCGGCCGCCAATAGGTGCTGTCCTCCGACTGGATAGTGAGGATGTGGAGGGCTGAACGGCGAAAAGGAAGACCTTTCGAAAGTGTGCTCCATGGGCAGCGACAGAGTCGATCCAGCCGCCAGTGGAGACCTGCTCGGCAGGCTGGGGGCCGCTGTTGTAGCCTCCGATGAAGAAGCTATCGACTGTGTCCGGTCCTTCTGCCTCTTCTTGCTATCTTCTCTCGGAACGAAAGGTCCTCCAGCCAGGCTGCACGGTACTCCATGTCGGTTACAATTGGAGCAGGGCGCTTCTTCGTTGCATTTGACATGCCGTCGCTTGCATTGCGCGCAGCCTTTGCGGCTCTTCTTATGTCCGACCCGCGGTGCTCTGCTCAAGAATTCATACATTAGTCATGAGGATCTTGTTGGTCTTACTTGTGTAACAAACGAGCTGATCGACAGCGCAGATAATATACCATCGCACCGACGAGGCCTATTGCGCTGTGAATTGGCGAATACATTGAGCCAGCCGCAAAATTCCAGCCGCACAAGACATGGGCATGAAACGAAAAACAAAAACATCCAAAAATGCTTACTTCAGCTCTGCGCCATCCTTCAGTTGTCCTGTCTTCTTGTTGTGTCGGCTAGCAGGGATCTTTGTGGTGGCTGTTGTCGCCTGAAAGGTCGCGATCGTAGCAGTCGGTGAAGCACTCGTGGCCTGATACTCTTGCGTCGCAGTCGGCATAACGAGCGTAATCATTGCCATTCTGGCAGAGCTCCTGTTGCTTGTCGCATCGCCTTCGGGTAGTTCAGGCGATGAGGGCTGAGAACCAACGGACAAAAAGAAACTACAAGTTGTCGGGTGGTGGCTATGGCTTTCTCAGCTGCCGGATGGCTTGGATGTAGACACTACAGCGGTCTGAGTCTTTCGTCCAGTAAGTTGCCAGCGTAGGTACTCTTGGATGCACGCGCTACTCGGATGCAAAGTGGGAACGTTAGGGTTCTGTACCTGCGTGACGGAAGTGGCAGTGGCAGTGGCAGAGGTAAGGCGATGTATGGCGTCTTTAGAGAAAAGGCGTGCGGGTGATGTTCAAATGCCGTACGCGAGCATGCACGAGACATGTGGAAGGGATGGTCAAGCTACTATAAAGTGACTAACTGCTTGCCTTGCCTGGCCTGGCCTTCTTTGCTTGCCTGTTAAGGCCAAGTCATATCGAGTAAGTGACTACCTCAAGGTCAAAGCGCAGCGAAACTACATTGCGCAAAGCTAGAGAGCACGCGGGCACGCACGCGCGATGACGATCTTTCACATGTACACACAGACCGGCCCTTGTTCAGCGACCGTCTCCTCATCTCAGAAAGTACAGAGTACCGTGGAGCACGAGGTCAGAAGCGTGTTGGCGGGATAAGGACGAGGGGTCCAGAGAGTGCAGACACGCGAACACGGTGTTTCTCATTCGGGTATAGAACATGCAGCCGAAGGGCCTTGGCACAGTTCTTAGTTTCGGCTGACACATAGCTTCGCAGCCTCGCGGCGGTGATCTTCATCGATAGGTAGGTATTTTGGTGCTATTGAAAGAGGCCGCCCTGTTACCTGGGTCTCTTTGTAACGACCTATATGAGCCATTCGGAAGGATGCCGAACGCCTTGCTCGGAATTCTTCGCTGAAGCGGAGTCGATCGTAACTCGTGACTCGATATGACCGGGATCGAACAATGTGACAGAGCCACGGAAGAGCGTTGCAGTGAAGTGCATCGCGGACTTTTGGTTGACCGATGGATAGGCTTGAGTCACACACTAGCGACTGCGAGTCTTCATCATCTCCGAAGCCAGTATTGTCGACATCGTGGGTGTATGTCACGCGAAGCTAGGCAGGTGAAAGCATAGCTGGATACTGGCCAGTTAAGGCTTGAGACCGGTGTAGAATTGCATGATGGTTGGTCGTGGCCCTGCTTGCTTGAATTTAGTGGTTGCAGATATGAGCTTAGTGGACAAGCGATGCATGCTGCGACCCTGCGCCACGTGTCGTTGGCTTCCCATGTGCACCATTTCGCTAGTTTATTGGCACCGCAAGACCCCCTCTTTGCGCAAGAAGGATCAGAACAATCCGATTCTTGCGTGTTGGCTTGCTCACGTCACCGACGCCTCCCGCATGAGTCCGACCGGTCAGTCTCAGCTCGTTGCACTGCCGACAGATGTCGTGAAGTTTGATTGCGCTGTGCGATTTCGCATGTGAAGGTACACGTTCAAATGGCCTTCTTTCCATCAGACATTGCTTTAAGCTGTCGACTTCGAATAACCTTAAATCGTCCGGATGAAGTTAAACGAGCGTCGATCAAGACCCACTGCACATAGGGCTATCCAGGTGGCTGGAGACCGCAACCCACTTCGTGCTGATGAATACCAGCACTGTGCTCGATCGTGCCAGCGCTGCAGCTGAACAAAGGTCGAGCATACATCGTGCAGATTGAGCGCCCTGCGTCCTGGCGGGCATCGGCAGCCACGTTCCAGATGGTTCATCACACATCCACCAATTCAACTTTGGCCTGCTACGGCCGTAATACGTCCAGTGGAGCAGCTCGTGAGCACACATACCGCTCTCGGTAACGCAGATCTTTAAGTCGGAGCCGATCAACACGGGAAGTGAGTTCCTGTGCGACAGGCTGATAGCGGTGTTCGAAATATTTAGTAGGTCAATATGCTTGTTGATCATCCCTGTACGAAGCGATGCTGTATCATTGATGTAGCAGTCGTGAATAATTCTTTACCAGTTGACCGGATCGACGAATGCTTGAGCGTCACCAAGGTTAGGCTTGGGCATTTGATGAAAACTCCTCTTTCGTCGGCATCGCATTGATCAAGCGATTGTCTGATGAAGTTGGCCTCCGATACTTCCCTCCGTGCCGAATTGATCGTGAAAGAAGATGTGATGCAGTCGTCTGTTCAATAATCAGCAATGGAGAGCTACAGCAGTACGCGCTGAGCTCATACCATGACTTTCACTCACGACTGACCACTCATCCTGAACGATGCGGGCGACCAGTCTGCGCAGAGTCTGCGACGTCGGCCACACCATACTTTGGCGCATCGACTTCACCCAATCATCACGGCCTGTCAGAATCAGACAGCGAGATGTATGTCACCTCTTCACTCTTGCACCAAATCTTCACCACACTATCACGGACTCTTGAATCTGGACCAACTCTTGAACCTGACGGAAATGCCTTGAATGGCAATGGCTCTTACTCCAACACATTGCAGAGTTTTGTGGCTTCTTTCTGATGCCCGATTCTTCATCTATTAAGCCTCTCCTCGAAGCTGAAGCACAACAGTATCCGGTCCAATCTGCTCGTTCACCTTCCTCTTGACTGTCGCCGAAGCCAAAATGCGCGTTGCGGCAGTGCAGAAGCACCTCGGAATCTTTCATCACCAAATGTAATTCAGTCTAGGTCAAATAGCAAGGGATAGTCGCATTCGGACGTTCGCTCAGTATGGGTTGTAGCCGCGGCCACGGAAACCGCCTCGGCCACCACCGCGGTATCTAATACGTTGTTAGCAAGGTACATTATGCGCCGAAGGTACGAGAACTTACCCTCCGCGTCCGCGAAACGGCGGTGGGCCACCATAGCCTCCCATAGGAGGACCATAGCCACCACCACCGCCGCCGTAGCCGCCGCGAGGTCCACCACGGCCCCGACCTCGACCGCCCCTAGTCATGCCTGGCAGATTAGTACGCTTTGGAACGACCTGTGTGTCCGGTCAGTGTGCTGCATGGTAGATCTGAAGGGACAGGAACATACTTTGATGTTGCGGTTCCGGAATACGCTCTCGTTCAGCACCAGAGCGCTCGTAACGAGCTGAGGCTCGCTGAACTCGACGTATGCATACCCCTTGGGATGACCCGTGAACTTGTCCAGCAGAATAGTGACTCTGTTGATGCTCCCCACGCTCTGGAAGTGCGCCTGAATTTCCTCTGGACTGGCGCCATAGTCCACGTTCCCAACGAAGATGCTTCGTCCGTCGATGTCCTCTTTGCTTTCCCGCAAGTTGTCCGACTGCGAATCCATTGAAGCCTGCATTTCGCGCAACTTGGCAGCTTCCGCCTCCATCTCCTCCACGCGCTTCTTCATGGCCGCAATCTCCTCCTCATCATCGCCCAGGTCCTCGTCCTCGGGCTGACGATCAAGGTCGTCGTTGTTCGGCTTAGTTTCCTCGTCGGCCATGGTGTGGGATGAAGCGCTGGATTCGGTCCTAGTAGGCTCGTTAGAGCGGCTCGAGGTGGATGGAATGGGCGCGTCTGCCATGTCGCGGAGAAAGGTACAAGATAAATTACCCAGCTCCGGTCGTGCAACAAAACTCTCGCGCAACGTACCGAGGGATGGATGTATGCAGAAAGATGACAAATACAGCGGTGATGTTGATGCGACCCGTGTATTTGAGTAAGAGGCGCAGAAGCGAGGGTGTTGTCGCAATGGAAGTGGAATGTCTGGTATGTGGACTGGTCGCGATTGCCTCGAGCTTGAAATGCCGCGCTCGGGTGCTTTCCGCTCGGACCAGCACGTGTTTTCAACGATGTGAACACTTCTCCAATTCACTTCATGCCATACACATGCTTTCATATGATAGCCACATGCAAGCAATCGACCCGCTCACTAGAGCTGTGTCAGGCCGAGTTGCGAATGTCCATGGGCAGCAACATGAGGGATCAACCCCGTTCGAGCAAGCAATGCGGCGATCAGACTTTCTCATCTGCAATCCTTCACCACGCTGGCTGATACGCGGCTGCGTCCGGGTGTGTGACTGACATCGCCTTGAGGTGAACTGCAGGATTGCGCCTTGGTGCCACACAAACGAATGTCTAATTGAAGGGACCTTGCATCCTGTGTGACCGGTTCACCTGCTGCTATCCCGCTGCCTGGTCCACAGAACAACTCGCTCTGCGGCTCAACAGAAGAAAGAATGGCCGCACTGGACAAACTACCGGCCGAGCTCGTAGAGAACATTGTGCTGTCCTTGACGCTACACGAAATCTGTGCGTTCAGGCTAGCCAACCGCTCGATTGCGTCCAAAGCATCACAGGACCACTTTCGGTCCTTCTATCGCAGCAAACGCGTTGATGTTGACGAGCATGGCCTGAAAGACTTTGTCGTGGTCACTGCAAATGGAGGCATGGGCTGCTTGATTGACGACTTCACACTGACCGGACTGGTATACAACTCATTCTACATCCAGTCCCAATTGCGCTCCGGCAACGTCAGAGAAGACAACTGGCGTGCAATCACCGAAGAAGAGAGAGTCGCTCTGCAGCGACAGCTCAACACGTTTAAGCGAAGGGAGCAGGCTCAGATGCACTTTCTGCAGAGCGAGGACGCTCAAAGGCTTTTGGTCAAAGCATTCCGGAACATAGTCAAAGGAAGGGCCGCCAACAGGCCACTATCGCTCACCCTCGACTTGGCTGTCTACCGAGACGATCCACTGATCCGCTCGACGCCTCTCCGAGGGGGAAGCTGGCGCATGATCTGGCAAAATGCAGCTGACACGTTCCAGCTCGTTCAAGACGCGCTCGACAGAACGATGTTGCCGGTGTACAATCTTCGCCTCTTCCCTGTATATGGCCAAAGTGGGCAAAAGAGGTCAAGCTTGGCATGCAATGAGATCGGACCAGTCATCAAATATTCAGGGCTAGAGTCTTGTCTCGCTAACCTTAGATCGCTCACGGTAACTTATTCAGATAAAAGCATCTTGTCCGATGACCGAGACGCAGAACTGGTAGATGCGTGGGACAAAGCGGAAATGGCGAGACAACGACATGGCTACCGGGGACTTCTGAAGCAGACGCTAGAAGCTGCAGATCCGAGCAACTTCACGGGTCTGCTGAGCTTTGTGCAGGCATGCCACAACCTGGAAGAGCTCGAGATACATCGATATCGCTTGACCAGAGGTGCCGGCTCTACTGCTCATGTTCAGGGCGACAAAATGTCGCACATACTGTTCGCCCGCCTCACACTTCCTCATCTACGTGATTGCAGGCTTCGAGGTTTCCGTGCGAGCTCCGACGACACTGTCAACTTTCTGCGGCGCCACAGACTCCACAAACTGCTGCTCAAGAATTTTGCCCTCTCCGCTGGGTCTTATCGGGTCATATTTGACCACTGCACAGGGGATGGAGCGGATATGGAGCCAGGGCAGCCCGACCTGAACAGGATCGAGTTTGAAGATCTCTTCGAAGAGCGTTCTGACGAGTTCGGTATTGTCAGACACAACGCGAACCGACAGTGGCTCGTACTCTTTGCCGGGCCCGACCAGGAGCACGACTCTGATGTTGGTGGGAAGCGCGGTAGCAATATGATCCAGCGATGGAGCAGTGGCACCAAGCGACCGATCCAATATACGACTCAAGACTCGAGAGATCCACCCATCCAGGGGAACTTGACGCGCTTCAGTGAGTGGCAAAGGGGATTCAGCGAGGAGTTCGGACCACCAGACTTTAGATAATGAAGGGATGGTGCATGTAAATATCGACCTGAACGACGGTTTATACTTCGGCTCATCAGGGTTGAAATCTTCGACACTACGTTCTCTGCTTTCTTCACGTTGCACGTGTCGCCCATGTTGTCCGCCGATGAACCTACACATGTGCATCCCAATGGGGCAAGAGAGTCGACCACTACGCCACTCGCACTGCTCAAGGGCCAAGCCTGATGGGTCGCGTACCTGCTTACTCCGAAACCCGTACTAGTGGACCGCATGTGCAATAACACAAACCAGCGCAGGCAAGCCGTCTTGATGTATGATCAGACCTGCGCTGCCGGTCCTTGCTTGACCCCACGGGGATTCTGCACACTGTTTGAAGGATTCGCAAGTTTGATGTGTCTCTCCACGAAGCATGCAGCCATCGGCGTGACTGCGGAGAAATGTGGCGCGCAGCTTCTTCCAGCAACGAACGATGGGTGAGAGCATGCGGTATTTTCGCACGCTTCCTTGCACAGTGAGCAACGTCCTCCCTGTACCCGATCTCACGCCTGGGATGAGGGATCTTGAACGGAGCACGACCCCTTAGCGGATAATGGTCTCGGCTTCTGTACACAGCTTGCGCGGCTTCTTGTCGACGCTGGCTGTGAGGCTCAATCACCTCTCGTGGTACCTGTGGTCCCAGCATCGGCGGACTGCAGCTAGTCATACCACACAGACCAGACTCGGCGCATGCTCGCAGACCGTTTGGCCGCGCAGTCGGGAGCGAGAAGTGTGCGGTGCGGGCAGGGTTTGCACCACATCGAAAGGTGGAGTAGCTCGGCACGCGTCGCATCGCCTCGTCAAGCCAGCCAAGAAGTTGGAGACCATCGAAGGGTGGAAGTATGACGCTGAACGGCCGCATGCTGCCCTCGCTGCGCTGCCGCCGCAATGAGGCGCGAATCGGCACTACTCTGCCAGACGGCACGACGAGCAGCAAAGCCCCAAGATGCGGCACACTCGCCTCTTCTGTTCGTCCTCACCAGCACCACCCAGTCACCGGTAAGGATACCATTTCCGCCCACTATTAGCTTTTTTGCTCTGCTGCACCCGACCCTCACTACTACCCGCGTGGCACTCGAGACGGCTCCAACTCTGTCAAAGAGGGCCCGACACCTGGTGTTGGCTCAAATACGCCCGCGAGCTTGGTACATCCGAGACGTACCACTGTTCTCCTCCTCCACTCTCCAGCCTCTCGGTGCGCATCACTTTCGAGTCGTCGACAGTCTGGTAGGCTCGATCGCAGGGCACATACACCGCAGGCCGACACTCCTCACGTACACAAGGACAACCAGCTCTCGGCCGGCATGAACAATGCGTCAGGTCGCTATTGAACGACTGCGAATAGAGGAATACGGGTAGATTTTCAGATCAAAGAGCTCCGAAATCATAGGACCGCCGAAGCATGGGCTTGTGGAGTGAAGGAAAGTGATACACAAAATGGCGGATAGAGACCTCGACCATGGCAACATATACGGAAGGAGCGAGACGACTCTCGCAGTCGTCATATCGATGCTGCTTCTGTGCACCATCTTCGTGGCACTTCGTATGATATCGCGGGTGGCAATCGTAAAGAAAGTGATCCTGGACGACTATTTCATGATCCTGGCCTGGGCCATTACTGTTGGTTTATGCGCTTCGATCTGTGTAGGGACCGTCAACGGCCTCGGACGCCATGAAGTTGATGTGCCAGATGCGTGGCAACCGGCATTGCGAAAGTCCAACTACGCTTTCGCGGTGCTCTACCAGCCGGCTCTGATGGCGACGAAGACATCGATTCTGGCCTTCTATTTGACCTTCTCCAGCGCCGAACGATTATTCAAATGGTCATGCTATGCGACACTTTTCGTCGTCAACGCTGGTGGGCTGGCACTGACGCTCGTGACGGTCTTTCAATGCAGTCCGGTGTCTGCAGCATTCTACGCGATCACTCCAGCCGGCGCGCAATGCACTGATATCCTCACGATCTACCTCTCGTCAATACCACTCAACATCATAACCGATCTGGCGATACTGTTTCTCCCGATGCCGGTCTTGACCAGTATGCGATTACCGAAGAAGCAGAAGATAATCCTACTCGTCACCTTCAGCTTCGGTATTTTCGTAACAGTGGTCGATGTCGTTCGAGTACATTACCTGCAGTCTGCAGCCGAAATGCGCCTGGCTGAGATTGCGAATGCCCGCGCCAGCGATTCGTCACGAAACTCGATCGAAACCGACTCTTCATTCTATTTGGCATTCTCTTTTATGTGGTCAGCAATCGAGGTCACTGTGGGGATTATGTGCGCTTGCGTTCCAGGTCTGAAGCCATTAGTCGCGCGATTCTTCCCCAGCATGCTCCGAGATCCGGGAGACGCGCCTTCGAAATTCGGCTCGATCTCAACACCTGATGCAGAGGTGCAAAAGGTGGCACCACTTGTTCCAGATATACCAGAGGACGTCCATTTTCGCGACTTTGGCAGAGCAGCCAGCAGTCAGGAAGAAGAAGAGGAGCAAGGCCCGATGGGCATGATGGAGTTCCTCACTACTCCGGACATGGGTGAATTTCACCCCATGGAGCGATCACCTACGGCCCTTACGAATACCACGCGACACACTGTTCCGAATTCGCCTACGTTCTTCGACTTCGTCGACATGAAGCAGAAGAAGAGCTTGGCTTACCTGACCACCAAAGAATCCATCTACCCCGTGGCGCTCGTGACAGTCATGTTCTTCGTCTGGGGCTTTGAATACGGTCTGGTCGATGTCCTCAACAGCCAATTCCAGACTGTTGCTAGCGTCACTGTCGCTCAGTCGGTCGGCATTGGCAGTGCCTACTACTGTGGTTACCTGGTCGGACCGATCACCATCGGGCACTGGGTGCTCAAACACTGGGGTTTCAAAGCATGCTTCCCCATTGGGCTGAGCATATATGCTTGTGGGTGCTTGATCTTTTGGCCAGCAGCTGTTCTGACATCCTGGCCAACCATCCTCGTCACGAACTTCATCGTCGGTTTCGGCTTGTCGATGCTGGAAATCTCAGCAAACACTTTCATCTCGCTTTGTGGCCCGGCGCAATACGCGGAGGTTCGACTGAATTTGAGTCAGGGAGTGCAAGCTGTCGGCGGTGTAGTCGCTCCACTGATTGCAGACAAAGCCTTCTATCACAAAACCTCGAACGCACCATCCTTGATCAACACGCAATGGGCATATCTCGGAATCTCCCTCTTCACTGTCGCGCTGGCCGTCATGTATTTCTACATCCCGTTACCAGAAGCCACAGATGCTGAGCTGGAGGACGCCGCTGAGAGAATGGACAGTGCGCATAAACGAAGGTTCGGCAATGTGCGCATCATCTGGTTCATCCTTGCCATAGGCGCCTTCAGCCAATTCTGCTACGTTGGAGCCCAAGAAGTTGTTGGCACCACTTTCCCTCCCTACTTGGAGACCGTCATGCCGCGCCTCGATACTTCAGACTTCTCCGCGATAGCACATACAGCGTTCGCCATCTCAAGATTCCTCGCCGCGGGACTGTGCCTCTGGATCACTCCTCGCGTGCTCTTGCTGGCTTTCTGCTGCGGTACCATCATCTTCTCTGCATTGTGTATGCATCTTACAGGTGGCGCCGCAGTTGCAATGCAAGTTATGATCTTCTTCTGTGAAGGTCCCATCTTCGGTTTGATCTTCGCGCAAGCGCTCCGAGGACAAGGCCGGCACACCAAATTCGCAAGTGTCATCCTTACAGCTTCTATTGGCGGCGGCGCGATCTTCTCGCCTATCTCAACGGCTCTGCGAGCGAATGGGCGGAGCGTGCCGTTCAGTCTTGTCGTTGCTGTTGCGGCGTTCGCGGCGACCACAGTCTTCGCAGTGGTTTTGTGTCTTTCAAGACCGATGAGATTGGTAGCGGACCCAATCAAGGACCCGAGCGCTTCGAAGCCTGCCTCGAGGGACGAGAGACCCGGGTCGACGAGTAGTCGAGCCAGTCGAGCGTTGAGCTTTTTGAGTTTGGGAGGTAAGAAGAAGGAGCGGGAGTCGGCGGGTGTGGAATATCGGGAGAGGAAAATCAGCACGCCTATTGATGAATGAAACGACGGATGACGAAACAATGGAAAGTTCCTTGACATTTGTGATATCCCATTTGATGCGTTTTTAGGAAGTTTTGGGCGACGGTGTATAGGTGTATATGAGGATTGAAAATGGACTGGGGTGAGAGCTTTGTACAGTCGCTCTCGCTTCTGGTTGTTGTACATAGTTGCACATAGGATGAGCATATTCTCTGAAGCATTTGTGCCAGACACAGCAAGTCGCTATCAGCTGCTAAAGCCTCGTATCATGAACACATCCAGTATGTCCGTATCGTGTCGAGACATGACAAATCCCCCGCCTTTATCGTTTCTCCGGTTCTTGGTAGACATCCTCCTTTCCTTATGGCTGACACCTCTACCTTCACCTTCACAGCTCGTGACTCTCGAGAACATAGCTGCAGGTTTTCGAATAGCCGTATGGCACATTCGATGCGTCAGCTCATGTCGTACTGTGCTGGTCGAGCTGTCCGCTGTTCCCCAAGGATTTAGTAAATATGCACGCTGAACGGGCTGCAGTACTGAAGGCTTGTTTGGTGCGCCCACGAATACAGGCTGTCTGCGGGAACAATTACACTAGCGCGGCAGCAAACTAAGGCGTGTGGCGATAGAGCGTGGCGCGGGTAGGATGGGCTCTGTCATGCAGGAGCCGACACTGCGCAGGTAGGTCACCGAGCTTGCGGGACCATGCTGCTCGCGATGCTTCACTTGCTCTCTTTCTGGTCCTGAACGCCCGACAGCGCTTCATAACAGTCCAATGCTTCTACGCGGTCGGAAAGAGCTTTGACTCGTTTCGTTGGGAGCTTGAATTTCTCGCGAGTGTTTCGAAATGCTGTCGCGCGTGTAGATGCCAACGTGAATGCGGTACCGGCCTGGCAGACGGTGGTTGCTTCAGGGTTTGTCGTCGACGCGCCAGTCTTCTATTTTGGTCGATGTCGTGGCAGGTTGCTAGCCACGAGGTTTCCTTCGTTGTACTATCACCGGGCATACGCCCGTTGATGAGCCGCGGCATCAAGCAATATTACTTCCTTAGTCCTTCTTTTCGCCCAATGTATCGTAAGCCAGCATTCCAAATGCCACGAAAATGAAACTCCCACCGATATAAGTCGCCAGGCTTGGGCTTAAATCCCATACCAGCCAGTCCGCCAATGCAACAAAGAACACGCTAAGAACATTCGCCATACTGCCGAATACAGGATCAGTCCAGATTACCAGCACAACAAGTAATGTAATGCCAATGACGCCTGAGAGGACTGCAATGACAAGCCATAGCCATTCGTACACCGTGGGGAAGACAAATGTCTCAATGCCAAAAATGTGGAAAATTATAAGCGCGACCCAAAGTACGCCGAAAGTGTAGAACCCGGTAAGAGCGGACGCCGCGAGCGTGAGTGGGAGAGAAGATTCTTGTGATTCAGGTCTGCTCGAGCAGGCCCACTTCTTCAACAACACCTCATACAAGCCAAAGGCAACTGCTCCGACGCAAGCGATGATGTTGCCGAGCAGTCGACTCGCACCAATGGCAGCATGTTCGGAATCAGCATCCGAGGAATGGTCTGCCGTAGTGTCGCCGTATGCAATGGTGAAAGTCCCAGCTATGCTGAGTGCTACTGCTAGCATGGATATCCAGCCTAGCTTCTCCTTTAGTATGGGAACGGAAAATGCGGCAGCAAAAAAGGTGCTACAATTGTAGATCGCAGTCAGATCAGCTGGTGTGGTGAGACTGAGCGACGTGAACCAGCTGAAGCCGGAAACGGTAAGTACGACTGTCACGATGGCCATAGAAGTGGCGAGGAAATCGAGTGGGCCACCTGTTCTTCCAGGGCCTTTGATGACCATTTTACTACCATGTGTCGCAAATGCATCGATTGTGGCGATCGATTCTCGAAGCTTATTATTGTATTCTCGAACCCATTGCATGTACGAGACTTGTCGATTGCACCAGCGTAGGTAGAACATGTGGATAATCCAAGGCAGGGCCAGAGCAGAATGGGTAAGGTACATCGTTGCGACAGGTTTCTTCCAGTCTAGTTCATCCTCAATGTATGCAGTGGCTTCCGTGTTGATCGTAAAGCCCAACACGCAGGTCGCCAAGGTTAAGGCGATCTTCCAGGCCGGCACTTTCTTCTTCGGTGGAGGGCCATCGAGGGACCGGTTGCGATAGTGGCTGACAGGTGTCCGTTCGCCAGCAAGTTGGTCGCCATCTTGGTAGTCTTGGAGTTCGGATAGTTCGATGTCGCTTTCTTGAGAACGTCTTTCTGTTTCTAAAAAGGGCTGATCTTGATCTTCGTCCTCTTGGAGCTTTGTTCTCGACGTGGCATTGGGGGCTAAGCGGCTCATTGTCGCTGTGATAGGCAAGCTGACAAGGGTCGTTGGAAGCGGACTTCAGGACTGTTATGCCATGTCTGGATGACCAATTGTTTGCGAACCAGGATAGACGGAGTTGTGTGACGGATCGTGCCAGCGGTTCATGTCACGTTTGATATTGGCAGACGGTAGGCGCGATGATGAGAAAGGAGAGCGTCGGTGCCAAGTGCTGATCCTAAGCGCAGCCTGTAAGGCCAGCGTTCAGGCAGAACAGCGGAACAAACCTCGGTGCGGCTCGTGTCCATAGGTCGTCGACTAACACGACTCTTCTCAAACAAACAACCTGCACCGGCACCTACGCCCTCGTCCAACACATCGTCCGCCGGCCGGCCCACCGCACCGCTCAATCTCCTTTGTCCGCCCCCTTCACGCCGGGCCCAGCACATTCACGAGCCTCGACGGCGGATCTGGGCGACGTCTGCACCACCACGACCAGCTTCCGCCCCTCCAGCTTCCGCCGCGAGCTCCAGGATGAACAGCATCAGCACCCTCCCACCGCCTCCTCACCTTCTCGCCAACAACCGCCTGTCGCCCTCGCGAGACTTCAACATGTCTGCCTCCCGGAAGCGCAAAGCTTCCGAGGAGCCCGACCACGACCGCATGTCCACATCGCCCACCATCACCGGTCGGCAACTACCACCTCCACGCAGCAAGCGCACCCGCACAGGCGCTGCCCAAGGACGGCCACTCGCTCTACCTCGACTGCTAGAGACTCTCTCCGCAGACCAAATGCGCCAACTCTTGCAAAACATCTGCGACCAGCACCCAGAGCTTCAACAAGAGATTGTGACCAAAGCTCCACGGCCTTCAGTCGAGTCTACACTGCAGGTCCTCAGCAAATACGAAAACACATTCCAGCAAGCGTTCCCGCTCGGCAACAGACCGACCTCAGACTACTCATACAACCGCGTACGAACACAGCTACGAGAACTGATCGAGGCTGTACGTGAGTACACTCCACATTTCCTTCCGCCACAGGAGACAGCAGATAGCATATCACTGCAATATCTCGACTCCGTCACCAATATGATTCACCGATTACCCGACTGGGATACCTTTCAGCACCAGCGACACAAAAACGAAGCATATGACGAAATTGCAAAGGCGTGGGCATTGGTAATCAAAGAAGCTGCGAAGCGAGCCGGCGGCTTCCACTTGCAATTCGGAGGCTGGGATCACAAGATAGTGGAACACAACCAAAAGAGTGGCGGGAAGATGGCGGAAGCAGTGAATGAGGTCAACATAGCTCTGGGCTTCATGCAGCCAGCTTCCTCGTCGTCCTCACAGCAACCTCCTGGCGTCAGTGAAGAGCGTGCGAGTATTCGCCAGCAGCTATTCTCTGGCACTTACGGCGGCCATCAACTTGGAATCGGACAGCATGGCTGGTAAAAGATGAAAGAAAGAAGGGAGAGAGAAGTTTCATTTGTAGATGACCCGCCACTGTGCATTTCTTTGCAGCGTTTTTCAGCATCGATTATGGGAGGAAGAAGCATTTGCGGGCGCTTGGAATTTGAGAAGATGGCGCATGGTCAATGCTCGGAGCTTGATGACCTTTTTTTTCCTGCGCGCTCTGGGACATGCTGGAGTTGCAAGGCAGGTGGCTGTTTCAAGTGCAATATTCTGTTTACTAGACACGGCCGATACAACACACACGAGACGAGTGCGCATTTGGTGAGGCGAAAGGAGAAGAACATTGCCATGATCGTTTCAGAGATCAAACTGTGAGAGAAGGCAGCAGCAGAAGCGAAGCTGTCCACCATGAGTGACTTTCATGTCAATTCAGGAAGGGGATGAGAGAGAAAGAGAAATCAAAGCAGTTGACTATCACTATCGCATGTTGTGCAGATTTTACTTTCTCATGCCTTTTGTTCAAGAACACCATTCTCTCTGGTTTGTATCGCTTTCCCATGCCTCCCTATCAGCCCGCCTCTATAATGCCGACTGCACTGCCCCAGAGAACACGCTGCTCTCGGAGAGGAGAGTAGCAAGTCTGTGTCGTGACGGCCGCGTACAGGAGACATGTGATCACAAGCGTGTAGTAGCTCCCACCTCACCGCCTCACGTAGATGCTCCACTGTTCCTTTTGGCCACATGATCGACGGGCAACAGGGTTGTCACTTCGCAACCCAATGTCATAGACGATATCGACAAAAACTCTTTGGCATCATTTACCTCAGTTCTATCAAAGTGGTTCGAGAACAGAAAGCTGTCTGGTCGGCATGCCGGATTTTGTTGTTCCAGGAAAGTTCCTTGAAATTGAAAATTGAGAAATTGGATGCGAAAGAAATGTCCTAACTAGGCTCCGTGCATGCATCACCTTCACGCACGTTCTGTTGTCTTTCTATACTACGAACAATATACATCGAATTTGTACAAAAACGCCTTTTTCATCATTTCTCATGCGGACCATAATATCCAAGGACCAAAGATCTCCACGCTAATGCTCTATGCAAGTCATGATAACTCTTTACAGAAGAAGCAAGGTAAACAAGAAAGCGCCTGCCATTACGACGAAACTCGTCTCAACCATGGTGCCGGAAGAGTCTGGTAGTCCGCAGCATTCTCTGGTATATTGAACACCGTTCGCCGCGGCAGCGACATGGAAGACTGAGCCCGGTTCAGGAGAACCGTAGTTGTAATAATCGACGAGCATGAAGTTTGGTGGGCGATCCCATTGTTCTAGAAGATAAGTTAGTCGGAAAATAGGAACTGAGAGGTCGGAGGGGCCGCTCACGAGTGCAGTCAACATTCATCTTTCCCAGAGCTCCAAAGACAATCTCCTGACTATTTGTCAAATTCAGTTCCGCTGTGTTCGGAATCAAGATCGCCTCGTCGCCTGTTGCGATCCCAATACTTGACAAGTCGACCGCAACGTTCAAGTTGTGGTTGGCGAGGTACATGTATTGATCTCGAGCAAGAGTCTCGTTGAGATCAGGCGGGCGTTGGGCATCGCAGGGGAAAGACTGGTTTGTGGGCGAGAAGGGAGTTTCCCAGATGTGAGAGAATTCGTCCAAGATGTAGGGGACACGGGACTGGTCAGCATCGTAGTCCATGAAGACAACGAGTCGGTTGTTGCCGAGGATCATTTCTCCGAGCGTTGGCCATTGTTCGCGGTATTGGGGGATGTAAGCCGGCTCGTAGAGGTATGGCAGGAGGCCGGCGTTGGTGAAGGCGGGCACGAAGTTCTCGACATCAGTGAAGTCGCTGTTACCAATGAGCATGGTCAGGACGTCGTAGGGATGGTCTTGGAGCCAGCCGCGAATAAGCTCCAGCTCGGATTGAAAAGTTCCAGCATTGAGCTGATCACAAGAGGTGTGGCAGTTGTAAAGCGTCTCGTTGACCCAGTGAACTTGACCCTGGAGCATGCGTACTCCATCGTTGAGCTGGGTGAGGATGGGCAGCTCTTGGTTAGAAGCGGCATTGTTGGGGACAACGAATGCGGAGTTGTGGGATGTGATCATGGAGATGTTTGAGTACTTGCGCGTGCAGAACTCGGGCCAGCCATTGCAAGGGACGGTGTTTGTGGGTCGTGCTGCTGAACTGGTGGAGCTTGCTGTGCTGTTGGAAGTTCCGTTTGTGGGGGATGCACTGCCGCCGATCTGCGTGAGTTCTATCGAACGTGTCGATGCCGTGATCTGAGAATTGGTTGAAGTTGATGTCCCGTTCGTAGTCCCGGTCTGTGATGCGGTTGCAGTTCTAGTGACGGTGCTCTGGCCGGTGACTAGCAGATATGTGTACTGAGAGCCCGTGAAGGTGAAGGTGGGCACATCGCTCCCGGTGAGGGTGATGTACGAATTGGTGAAGGAGAACTCAGAGGCGGTGCCGGTTCGTGTCCGTGATGCGCTGCTGGTCGTGGATGGCGAGGATGTTTCCGTGTTCGACTCCTCCTGTGCTCTTGCTCCTGCTGCTGCCAGACATAGCAGCCAGATGGCGTTGGAAAGCATCTCTGTCGCTGTACAAACAACGCCCAACTCCTTGCCGTGCTACTTCACCAAATCAATGAGAGAGAGACAGCATGGAAGAGCTCCTCGGAGGCAGAAAATGAGCAGCAAGCCACCAAAGTCAGGACCATTGCGGCTCCAAAACAGCCTTTCCATCATGGCACCAGCGGCGCCGAAAGCCGCGCTACTGCCACCGTTCAGCTATTCACGATGATCTGCAGGTCGTGTTTCTGGCGCAGCGTGGCCTCCACTTTCGTCATACTTCGCCCGTCGCCGCGCAATCCCGGCGAGATATGTCTTGGCGAGTCGATCGTGCTGTAGCTCAATCTCGTCGTGCCATCGCTGTCGAAGTATTTGCAATTCCGCAGATGAAAGGCAGGCATTTGGGCGTGCTGGACATCGGTCATGGTGTAGGCAAAAGATGTCTGAGGCTGCGGAGTAAGACAGAGTGACGCAACGATGCTCGCTCGGGCTGTGATCCGAAGCGCGCGAGCCCCTGTTGGCGCGCGGTGAAGTTTGATGGCGCCGAGCGGTCTTGACGTCGCCGCTTGCTGCACGCCACGCATTTCGCTGCTCCTCAGCAACATTTTGGGTGTGCGCGTGTGTGTACGTGCTCTGCCACGCACTGCTGCCACCTACCCGCGTAGGTTCGATGATGTCTTTGCTACCACCGGTAGGCTAGTCGCTCTCCCGCCCGATTCTCTCTCCTGCGCCCTGCTTGAATTTCTTCTCCATGACTACACGCCATTGAGACTGTCCTACTTCGTGAACGGCTCTGCTGAAGTCGTCGTCCAGGAGCTGTCGCTGGAGAGTGCGGAGGAGATAGACAAGCAGACAACATGTTCGGACGCAAGAAGAAAGACGAGGGTCTCGCAGATGCTGGCTCCGACTCCGAGCGAACAGTGACCCACGACTACGAGCCCACCAAAGCACAAATCAAGAGAGCCACGCGACAGCGATTCATCTGGGCTCTCCTCTCTTCCTTCCTCCTGCTGATCTCGGTGGTATTCTTGATTCTGGTCGAGATTGGAAACACGAGCATCAGCAGCACCTTGAACAAGATCTGGTTCATCCGACTCGATCTTTCCGACATCATTCCTGTCAGCGTCCCCAACGCCGTGCTCATCAACAGTATAGCCCAGTCGCTGGGTCTTCACGATTTCTACACCGTCGGGCTATGGAACTACTGCGAGGGTTACGAAGGTCAAGGCGTGACCAACTGCTCCCCTCCCGAGACCCTCTACTGGTTTAATCCCGTAGCAATCGTCCAGAGCCAACTGCTGGCAGGAGCAACCAGTGAGTGCAGCCCACTTCCCTAATTGTCACCACCACGAGGAAGGAGCATGAACAAGCTAACACATATACCCCACAGTCGCCCTCCCCGCCGAAATCAACGACATCCTCGACCTCATCCGTCTCGTCTCCAACTGGATGTTCGGCCTCTTCCTAACAGGTCTCATCCTCGACTTCATCGTCATCTTCCTCCTCCCCCTCAGCGTCTTCACTCGCTGGCTCTCCCTCCCTCTCAGCATCATCACCTTCATCGCCGCCCTCCTCACCACCGCAGCTGCAATTATCGCAACTGTCATGTTCATCATCATGCAGAACGCCATCACATCAGCCACAGAATTGAACATCCGAGCAAGCATTGGAACACAAATGTTCGTCTTCATGTGGATCGCTGCTATCGCCAGTGTGCTGGCTTTCGCAATTCAACTGGGCATGTGCTGCTGTTGCGCGAGTCGTAGGGATGTGAGAACGGGAAGGAGGATGGGGAGTAAGAAGGCTTGGACTACGACGCGGTCGGACGGTGCTGTGGAGGAGACGAGTGAGAAGAAGAGATTGCCCACTTTCGGGCGAAACAAAAGAACTGCATAATTGTGGATATGAAAAGTGGATTGGGGAATAGCATGCGTATTGGGTTCAGAAAAATCACTTATGTATTAGCATGGCGACTTAAAGCATCCTGCGCGATGGAGCATTGTTTAGATTATGAGCTTTCTATGATGTATATGAAGTACAGTATATTTACGATTGGCATCGGCTGTGGTATCAAATGACGATAATTTTTTCGTCGATATTTCGAATCTGCGCAAGCTATGGACGAGGTAGAGCAGCAGATGTTAGCCCTGCTGAACTTGCACCGACGCACAAGCTTATCTACGGGACATGAAGTGCAAGCGAAGTCCTTCCGAAAAGCAGAATCAATACAACGAACAAATATTCAAAGGGCAAGAAAGCAGTGTTTCAAATCGTAAGAAATCATTTCGTACTGCCTAATATACATCTAATCATACACTTCTCTTCCACTTGCGCTGATCAACATTAGGGTATCTCAATGTGTCATCCATCATACAAGTCTACTGTCCTTGCCTCGACAAAGCAGCAACAGCATCCTTGAACCCAGCCTCGTACGCTGCACCTCGTCCCTCAACAGAGTGGTGTTGATTGGAAGCGCCAGATCCTCCGAGGGTATGGTGCTGTTGAGAAGGACCGTTTCCGCCCGTCAATCCCGCACCTACTCCTCCGAGGGATGAATGATGTTGCTGTTGAGGTTGCTGGTACTGCTGCTGGTATTGCGGTTGTTGCTCATACTGCTGCTGCTGAGGACCGACGCCCTGTCCGTAGCTCGTTGGGTGCTGCTGGTGCTGCTGAGGAGGATATTGACTACCTAAATGCGTATTATCAACACCTTGCGTGATACCTCCAACGCCACCAGAGGAAGGGTGGGAGCCATACAAGTTATTGTTTGAGCCGGTGAAACCTGGCTGACCTGCGTGGGTGCCGGTCACGCCGTGAGCACCTCCGGTTTGCTGGGTGTAGTTCGTGCCCGTGGTGGGGTCGTCTGGGTAGTCGGTTCGCTTGTTGCTGAGCTTGTCTTTGGCCTTCTCCATCATGGTGCGGTTGTCGGCTTCTGGGTAGGCACCTGGGACGCTGCTGGTGTTGCCCAAACCGCCTTGGTGCTGCTGGTAGGCGGCTTGTTGGCCGCGGGAGTATTCGTCCTGGTGGGCACCGCTGTAGCCTGATCCAGGAACGTTGGAGCCGAGACCGGTGCTGTGGGTGTTGCCAGTCAGGCCGCTGCCGTGTGTGTTACCGGTCAGTCCGCTGCCGTGGTTGTTACCAGTAAGTCCGCTGCCGTGCGTGTTACCAGTGAGACCACTGCCATGAGTGTTGCCGGTCAGACCACTGCCAGAGTGATGGGTAGGGTCGTTGTGGTGGTGAGAGGCACCTGCAAGGCCTGCTCCGCCAGCTGCACCTGCAGCGAGGCCATTTCCTACACCTGGTCCGCTGTGTCGGTCGGTGAAGCTAGGGTCCTGGCCGAGAGGCTGCGCAGAGGAGTTGAAGTTGGAGCCTGTGTTGCCGTAGGTACCAGTAAGACCTGTGTTGCCGTGGGTGCCCGTCAAACCTGAAGAACCGTGAGTTGGGCCTCCAACACCAGAGTGAGTTCCTCCCGTCAGACCAGACCCAGTCGAGCGATCAGCGTTGATTGGGTTGCCGTAAGCATCGTGAGCATTGCCGTGCTGGCCGGGAAGGGCGTTCTTGACCTTGTCACCAGTAGTCTGGTGGACTCCAGTGTGGTGGCTGGAGTGGCCGATGCCTTCTCCGACACCACCAACCTTGTGACCTCCTGCAGTGGGGATGGCCTCTGGGTTATTGGCAGCTGGGTGAGAGCCTGGGACAAAGTCCTGGCTGTCTTGGCCGGTCAGGCTGCTGCCGTGAGTGCCGTGAGTACCTTTATCAACAGCGTCAGCTGCAATTCTTTGCCCCTTGGATGAGTATGGGTCGAATGGCTGACGAGCAGTTGTCTTCTCTGTCGAAGTACCACTCAACCCTCCTGCGTGATGCTCACCTGTGTTGTGTGTACCTGAGGTGTAGCCACGCGAGCCAATGTCTCCTGCTTCACGACGGTGGCTTGATCCAAGGGCGTCGTTACCCGTAGTGGAGCTTCCAGTGATACCGCTACCGTGTGTGTTGTGTCCAAGGCCGGTGCCAGTGTGGTGTGTGTTGCTTCCGATGCCGGTTCCAGAAACTCTGCTGTTATCACCACTCACAAGTGGGTGGGTGCCGCCTGTAATGCCGCTGCTGCCATGAGTGTTGGTCGAGCTTGACAATGGGTTGTGCGAGCCAGTGGTGGTGCCATGTGTTCCGGTGCTTCCATAGGTGTCGTTAGAGCTCGACAATGGGTTATGCGAGCCGGTGGTGGTACCATGCGTTCCGTGAGAGCCTCCGGTGAGACCTGTAGATGTACCATGTCCGGTGCTGCCATAGGTATCTTTAGAGCTCGACAATGGGTTGTGCGAGCCAGTCGTGGTTCCATGTGTACCGTGAGACGTTCCAGTCAGACCACTACCCGACGTGTTGTGTCCGAGGTGCGATCCCTCTCCAGTCAGACCTCCTTGAGGGGTGTTCGTCGTTCCATGAGTGCGAGTGCTGTTGGCCTCCTGCTCCCGGAGCTTCTGGTCCTCAGTTGTGCTGTGGCTCTTATTGCCCGAAAGCTTATCTTCCAACTTGCTGATGAGACCCATATTTGCGAATGTCCTTGTGTTGCTTCTTTGATTGTATCGAGTCTGTGGCTTGTGAAGAAAAAGAAATGCTACAGCATGCAGTCGCAGGCAGATATATCAATCGCGAACCTCACAAAGCACCAGACCTACCTCATCGCACGTCACTCCATCTCGTGCCAACTATCGTCTAACTGCACTCTCACAATCAAGAAACATCATCTGCTCTGCGCATGCCAATGACACGAGATCCGCAAACGAATCTTGCGTGATGACGAAGTCGCCTTCATACCAGCCACTTCTCTCCAATCGTTCTGTGGAGCCCGCGGTATATCAGGCCAGGTTTTGTGTAAGGTGTTGATAACCTGGGACCATATTGCGCAAGCAGTGCGAGCACGCGCTGCTTCGCGATGTCGTGGCAAGCGTCATTGTTGTGGGCGGTTCTGTTGATAAACAGGCTGAAACGTCTCCGGTATGACGCCGAATGATGCGAAGGAGAGGTGTGGCATCCTTGTCGGCCAAGATTTGCAGTGGAGCTGCGACGAAAGAGGGTGCAAAGCCCCATCACAGCTCGCGGACCTACCTGTTCTGGCGAAATGGAGGTGAAGGTATGATGTGGCTGATGAGGGGTCCAGCATATGAGGATTCTGCTGAGTTGTTCATATACATTTGACATTGGAGACGCCGCCACGAGTCTCGCGACAGGCGGCGTCATATCTCTACTCTCTTCTCATCTCGAATAGTGTTCAGTAAAACATGTTCGCCGCTCCAGGACTGCAAGCGTCTGACAAGCAGACTCGCCCCTTCAACACAGCAGTGCCGGCAGAATGATCGTGCCGCACATGGAAAGCAAAATTGGGTATCCCGAGAAACCAGTACCGCCCATTCGTCGAGGAAGCGCACGCCCGCGCTTCAACTCAAGACCGCAACGCCGCCTTTTTCAGAGGAGCATTATTCCGTGCTCCTATTTTCCAGTCCTCAAGACGCCGCGCTCGCTATTCCCACCCATTTTCTCTACGCGTTGCGTGAGGATCATCAGGTCATAAAATTCGTATCGTGCTCTCGTGTTACAACAAAGAAAAGGTTATAGTTTCGGTCTCGCTAGTAGCAGTAGCGTGGCCAAGGGATGAATGGTCTCGCCACCGCTGTCATCGCTGCAGACCGAATGTTGGTTTGCCCAGCAGGGAAGCTGGGTCGGTGAAGATCTTGAGGAAGGAAGACTTCTTAGAAGGTTGTCGGCGATGTTGAATCTTGGCATACTGCACCATCGGGCCAACAATGTCAGCTTCTTCCACAACCGGGAATTTGGAAGGCTGCGTGGGATCTTGGAGTGATGGCATCTTCTGTAGCGCTTGCGTCTCGGCCAGCGGTTGCACAACGGGGTTCTCGCCGCTTGCTCGAGCTTGCGCGTTTGCCATTTCATAGTTTGCGCGCCAAGTGGCATCAATCTCTGCCCACTTCTCTTCGGTGAGCTTGTAAATTTGCGAGGTTATCCCGTGGTTGTCGCTGACGCGCGCAGCCTGTCGCATGAACTCGACACGAGCTGACTCCCAGTCGTCCCGCAATTGCCGGCAGTTCTGTGCGTCACAAACTTCAGGTAGGTAAGGTTCAGGGTAAATGTGAAAGTTTGCATGCCCCAGCTTGATCGCCCAGCGGTCTGTCTCCTCGGCGATTGCTAGGTGAGGGATCTCTGAAGCCGGTTGCAGGACGTGACTGGATCGCTTGTTGATCGATGCTGCCGACCCTTTTGTTGACAAAGGCGGGGTCGGGAAGCCGCGTGTGATGGGTGTTGACACGGGCGTGTTGGCCATGGATGGAACCACACTCGGGGAAGCCACCGATGGAGATGTCAGAGGTGATCGCAAGGCCTCCTGGGAGTCACTGAAGTAATTCGTCATCATTGGTGGCAGAAGCGGTGTCGTCGCGAGCTCCTGTCGCTCGCATGCATCATCTTCGGGTTCAGGGATGCTGATATCGACCGGCCTGGAGGTGATTGACGACAACGCCCTGGACCGCTGTGGAGTAGCTGGTTGATCGTGAAACGATGGGCGCATTGCTGGTGTCTGTGGAGTGCTCGCAATGCGCATCTCGCGCGCATTCGGTGCAGTGAAGGATCTTGTAGATGGAAGTCGCAAAGAAGAAGAGCGAGAGGCTGGCGCACTCCGGAGGTTGACAGTCGAGACCGAGCCATTGGACTTGTGTCCACCAAAGCGTTTCGAAAAGTGGTGACTGAGGCGCGAGGTGAAGCTATCGGTCATGTTCTCGTTCGATTTGCGGCGCTTTGCTTCTCTCTCGCCGCCCGGTAGATAACCGCCATCGAAGTAGTCGTCGCCGGGAATCCACTCTAATTCCGCGATCGATGCCGATCCATGAGGAGAACTTTCGCGTTCTCGGTGGTAACAGAAGGGAGTGTCGCAAATGCACAGTGAATCGCGTCTTGATTCAACAAAATCCCATTGTTGATCGTCGCGCTCGGCGGGTTCTTCCACGAGATCGTGCAGTGTTGTTTTCTGCGGGTTGGCCGGGGAATCCGGATTGGTAACGAGTGATGATGTTGAGCTGGGGTAGCGATTGTGGCCGCGCGAGGAAAAGGTTGGAGTCGGAGGGAAAGAGTATTCCGACTCTCCAGAAGAGTCGCGCGAATGAGTGGGCGAGGGCAAGAAGGGCCCCATGGCGTCCTCGGACAGTTGCGAAGTGTTGAGCCTGGGAAACGAAAGACTGCGTGTGCGGCTCATGTTGTACTTCGACGTCGCGTCACTGGGACCTATAACGCGCAGACACGAGGCATAGTGGTTGTTGATGGCTATCCGGTGCTGCGGTGGTAGGTTGGTTTCAAACTGATCCCGAAAGGTTCGCTGCTGCGCTGGCCACGACTCGACGCTTAGGATGTTGCTCGGTCCAGATTGGTCAGGTCCTCGTCTTGGGCGCGATGCCAACACTGTGCTTCTGTGCCTGGTCGCGGCGGTCAGCCAGACACGAATGGATGCGAGGCACGTCAGATGTCGAACGAAGAAGTGTAGTGAGGAAGAAAACCAGAGATGTGCACCGGCGCGGACAAAAACACGAGCTGATTGGGGAATGGAAGCGGGAAGATTTTGGTTTTGAGCTAGCCCGGCGAGGTGGGAGATGGTCCGACGCACACCTAGCGCGGCAAGCATAGCGTACCGAGCGGTGGCTCCTTCGTCACGCCCGATGCCCGGCAAGCCCACCACCACGCCCAGCAGGCGAGTGTTGAAGAGTGACGCATCCATTCTGCGACCTGCGGGAACTGCAGGTACAGGAGCACTTTTGCTCCCACATCAAACACGCCGCAGCAATCCAAATTGTCCAGGCCTTGCAGCAGCAGCAGACAGCAGACGGCAGCCATGGGTGCAACTAGCGCAGGACTTCCTGGACAGGCCGTCCAGCAGCCGACGTTCCTCTTCCTGATTTGATCCGATGAGAAAAGAGACCTGCTTCTCGACCGTTCACAGCTCCACAGCACGAGATTATTCCGTGGGGAGGGACACATCATCGCCTGCACAGCCTGCACCGAGCACCACCAGGGTCCCAAGCAGCAGCCATCGTGGCAGGCAGGCAGCGCTTGTCGTCACGCCGCTGTTGTAGCAGTCCAGCAGTCCACGTTTTGATCGTCACAGCCTAGTTAGTTCTACCGCGCCGGCGTCAACACAAGTCTGGTCGATCGTTGACAACCTGTCATTCGGCACCTTCACACCTGCTACACCTGTTGTGCCACGCTGTAAACCGTCCACCTGACAGCTTTTTGCTGGCACGGCTGGCCAGAATCGGGTCGTGGGGAATTTTGAAGCTCGTTTACATGTAGGGAAAAGCTGCGGTGAACCTGGGCCAGCAGCTGAATGCCTGTCACTCGCACAATGCGTGTAACCACTCTGCATATCGGCTGGGATTGCACGGCAGCTGAGCGGAAGGAAGTCGCCAGCCGTGTGCCACTGTGCCAGCCGCTCGTCTTTTTGAGATCAGCCACAACCTTTCTCGCAGCACACAGATGCTGTAGCAAGATCATTGTGCATTGCTGGCACAAAGTGGTGATCCAACACGATATTGATTGCAGATGTCCATCTCGTGATCTTCACGCATGTCAGCCGCAATGTCCTCAACATCAACTGTCCCGACCTCGTCCGTTGAGTGGTGGACAGACACGACAGCGCTTGGCCAAAGCAAGGCATGCGATGCCTGCGGTCGAAAAAGGTCTTGCAAGCGAGGAAAAAGTTCGCTGCGGGGCATTTCGATTTCAGACTTTTTTCCCACCGGGCCACTGGAGCCTCTTCCTTCGACTCTCGAATGAGCGTTGCTCTCGTCATCAAGATTTATTGACAAAATGCGATCTATTTCGAAAACTCTGCTCTGAGTCGCTGGCTTCGCACTTCCGACAAAAAAGCTGGAAGCGTTGTCGTTCTAGCGCAGTTGCGCTGGCAAGTCATGTCACTGCGTCAGCATAAGCCTGCATGCAGGACGCGTGCGGTCCGCCCTCCCACTCGTCAGCTATTCTGCATCCAAACGGTGATGGTCAACAAAAGGCGTTGCTTGGATGTTTTGAGTGTTGCGTTCGCGCAGGTACAATGATAGGGCTGCATAGAGCGTGACAACGAACAGCGATACTGCCTGCTCTCGCTCAACGCTGCCAAGTTGCATTTGCAAACAAGCCTGGCCCTGGCTCCAGGGAACCGGTACTGCTCAGGAACAAACGTCGGCGATGATCACAAACGGTAGCAACTGCCGTCAGACCGCCTTGCACGTGAGTTCGGGTGTCGTGCTCGCTGTCACCGTCGCTCGACTTCACGTAGTCATTCGAATCGTCGATGGTCACCATGCTTTTGTAAAATGCGTTCGCGCTTCACGACTGCTGCTATAAGATCGCCGAATTCATCGAGCTGCCGCGATCGTGGTGTGCGCCGCGCCCGTCGTGCCAGCGACGCGCACCACCAAAACCTGGTTGCAAGCGGAACACAGCTTCTGGCAACGCTGCCGGCCGGCGCTGTGACCGCATCGCCAGTGAGCCGACAGAGTTCCGGGCTTCGTCACTCTGGTAGCGATACGGGCCATGACACATGGCACTTTTCTATGTTTGTCGACGCTTGGAAGCCGATGCGCAAACGTGACTGGCCAAGCACGTGTTGAGCGAGCCGCATCCGAGTCCGCCAGTGAGGTTACGCGACGGATTCCCTAGCAATCCACTACTCATCAACGAAATCCCCATCAAAATTTGGCGAACTTCAGTCGAACGGATCCGATTCGATTGATCGCGAGAAGGTCCTCGGCATTTCACATGCTTCACGATGCCCAATACTTCCGCCAACGGGCCTTCTGCTCTTCCGTTCCTCTGAAGGTAAAGTCGACTTTGGTGATGTCGTCAAAGCCTTCCTCGACCTTTGGTTCGCGGTAGCGACCTTGAAAGCCGGAAAACGCCATCGCCGGCAGAATTGTTCGATTCTCCGGGTTCACCTATGGATCGGTCAGCATGTCACGTTGTAGCAGATGCAGATTGACGCACAAGGCCGTCAGACAGTGAACGCAGGGTGTCGTTGTGCTCGCAGAGCTTCGCTGGTGCTGTGAAGTGAACTAGGCGAATCGGCACTTGTAGCCTCTTCGCAAGCTGTATCCAGACTGCTCTCGTCTCGATGTCTGCGTTCGTGTTATCCACCACGACAGCTTTCTTGTCCTCGAGATGCTGTGTTGCCACTTTCACGCACTTGTCACGCGTTTTGAGAATGTCCTGATTGACACGTTGATACCCCAGCGTCTCCATGTGTTGCCAGTAGAATGTGGACTTGCCTGCCCCTGGCGAGCCACAGAACAGCACAAGTTCCACATCATTCTTCTTGGTGAATACAATGGGGCTCAGATCTGTTTGCGAGTCCAATCTCGGTTCGAGGTAGGCCGCTGGATCAAAGGATCTCACGAATGGTTTTGGTGCCTCACCTAGGAAATACTCCTCCGGAGTCTGGAACGGTATGCCTATGTTTGCCGCCCAGTCTCGATCCGAGCACGAATGATCCTTGCGTACTTTTGCAGCTTTGTCCCCTTCACGACCTGCAGCGTCCCCAACGAAAATGCAATTTGCAAGGTCGATTTCAGCGGCATCGTTGAGTCCGTAGTCATGCAGCAGCTGATCCCACATGCCTGTGCGCGGTTTTCTGTAGTTGTCCTTTTGTGTTGCCGCGTAGATCGTTATCGGGAGCTCGAGCACATTCATGACCGCTGTCACTTTTGCTTTGAAGTTGCTCAGACTCTTCATGTCACCTGCTTTCTTGGGCTCGGGCTTCAGGACAATTCGGCTCTGGTTGCTAATGATGACCACAGCATAGCCGTCCGCGTTGAGCTCCTTCAGCTTGCCCGGTACTGTTGAGTGCCACCACTGCCAGTCATCTGGACCTTTCGAGAATTGCAATCCCGACTTCGTGACTATCAGTGTGCTGTCCAGGTCAAACGCTGCGACCTTTACTGGTTTGGGTCTTGTAATGGTGGTAGCGCCTTCATACCGCCCAACAAGTAAGCTGCCGTTGACATCGTGAAACTTGATCTTCTCTGGTTCTTTCTGCGATGCGGGCTTGAAGAAGTTCGAGATTGCTTTGCTCGTAGTCCCAGTCACTACTTTCCGCTTACTTGGTGGAGGTGAGATGTCCCGGTCTACTGTGGCGCTGCGCTTGAGCGAAGCCATTCGAGCGGTGACGTGAGCGCGGGCAGGACAGAAGCTCCCGACAAGACGTGTGATCCTTGTTCTGGATGCAATGCACATGAGTTCGCGGCGGAGAGGATCGCGATTGACGCGTGTGAAAGAGCGGCTCGAAGTTGACGCGTGCGCACCTGCCAGCACTTCGTCGGGAGCCTAATGTCGGTCTTGCCTCCGGACTGAAGCCTTCACATGCAAGAACAACCCGCGCAATCGAGCAGCACGAGCAGCGGACTTGATGCAAGTCCAGCACCGCCAGCAGCGTGATACACGCATGTAAGATGCGGCACCTTCGACCGCGAATTCGCTTTCCGACAAGCAAGAGCTCAACCTCCCTGGAGCTTCACCAGAGCACCCCAGCCTGGACACTCCATCTCCTACCTAACCACATTGATCCCACAAAGGCAACATTCATGAGAACAGCATATCCATTCCCAATGAAGAAATTTCTGACAGACAATGAAATGAAACCACCAAACGCAGGGACAGTCACATCACACATACACTTTCAACCTGATCACGGAGCATGCCACCCATATCCTTGCCCTAGGCGGTCTGCACGTCAAACTTCACCAACACATCGCAAGAGCAGCGGGTGTTCAAGGTCAGCTCCATGAGCAGGCCAACGAACAAGGCAAGGTAAGCTGCAGAAAGCCAACGTTAATCCATCGAGAGCCGCATGAGAAGTGCTTCGATACGAAGAGCAAGAGATGATGCGTGTATCGTTCAGTCATCGATGGGAAGTGAGGGTGGAACGCATGATTACGTTGAAGTAGATTCTGTATTCTCCCATTCAAGAGCGGCGGTGTTTCGAACTCATCACCGACTCAACTGCCGTAAACTAATGTTACAAATTCACACGGACGACAATCGTCCTTCTATCCGACGATAGTCTCTGCCCAACTCCTGTCGCGCCACGCTATGCAACAAGTTCAGGCCATGAAGTAAACTGAAACCGCGCTGCCATTGGATCGACAGTCCCTACTGCTTCCGCTCTTCCTCTTGCCCTCGAAGCAATCAATTGCCGCATATGCAGCTCCAAGTCTAGGGGCCATCGCTTCCAGTGCTGGTACTATCTCTTCACAGCACGGGAGAAACGATCCCATCGACCCATCGACAATGGCCCGATTCGCCATTCTGCTAGATTCCACCAATATAAGTCAGAGAAAAAGCCGTGGCTCCGATGCTGCAGTTTGGTGTAGAGTGCTTTTGGACAGACGACATCTTGCAGATAATGCACGTAATTCTCCTAGAGCTTGGCCTTCACACCAGCAGGACCGTTAGCAGTGGCTGATGCTTCCTTGTTGAGCTCGACTTTGCCATTGCCCTGACCCTCGCCGAAGAAGATGACTTGTACAGTCAAGTCATCGCGATATCTCCGGCTGTAGGGCGAAGGCAAGGTGAGAAGCGCCGAGAGCGTGTCCTGGTCTTTGCCGCCAAGCGCGTTACGCACGAGATGTGTCGCTGCATTCTTATCCTCAACCACGAATCTCTGCTCGCCCGATGGGATGCCCCATTGCTGTTGGCGCACAGGAGCACGCTGACCTGACCCGTCGCCTTGATCGTGGTGCTCGATGGGTAGTGAGCTTTTCTGGCTGCTGAACCACGACTGTAGCCATCCATTGCTTGAACCCTTCGCAGTGGCTGAAGCTTGCGTCTCAAGCCATTGTCCAACGAGGCCAACGACCTCCTCGTTCGTGAGCATCTCCCACAAGCCGTCTGTGGCCATGACTACGAAATCGCCGTTTGCAGGCTCGATCTTCGTCCTCGTGATAACAGGTTCGGCAGTCACATATGGCGGCGTCTTCAAGTGCTTGCTAGGCGAACGACCGAAGAACTGTCTCTTCATCTTCTCCTGTGTCTCGGCTGACCATTTGTATACTGCGTCTCCAAATGCTCTGCTTGGCTCCAGACCACCAAGGATACGTCCGTTCATGGTCACATATGGCTCACCAGGATGTTCTGCTCTGAGGCGAGCATCTTCCGAAGGTGTGCCTCCAGTCTGATCGATGGAGAGTGCTGTGGCTGTCCATTTCCCGCTGCCTCCCCGTCTACCCAGCACCGCCCTCGAATCGCCTGTGCATGCCACGCGCAGCTCTTTCGACTTTGAATCGTAAAACGAGAGAAGAGCGCACGACCCTGATAGGGCAGGCGCAAGAATTTCAGCTGCGACGACCTTGGACTGCGCCTTCAGCACTTTCTGCACAGATTCGTGTGTGATCTCGTTATCAAGTTTGACAAAGCCCTTCTTGATAGCAGCATCGATGGCGTCCGCGGCAGGGAAGTTGATCTTCGGATCTTGCAGAGCAGACTTGTAAGTCGCATTCAGCTCGCGAGCAACGTATGAAACGAGTGTCTGTCGCAATTTCGCGGAAGTCGTCCAGCCTGAGTGACCGTCGAACACACCCCAAAACATCCAATCTGAGCTCGTCTTCCCATCCGGTGCCGCAGCTGTAGTATTGGGCACTTCTACGATCTTCTCAACATGATCATCCTCAATTGGGTCGTTACTGGGTATCTGCACCACATCATAGCGGACTACGCCCTCTCCTCGACCAACCAAGTAGCTTTCCTCGTTCGTCCGAAGCTTGGCTGTGGCCTGTTCTGGAGTGAGCATCTCCAACACCTTCCTCCCTGAGAAATCCGTCTCTTTGCTGATGGGCTGATCCGCAGGAATCTGAGCCGTGAAGAGTTGGCCCTGCTCCACAATCAATGCCTTCCTCACTGCCTCTGGCACTACTGAATCCTGAGCGAGTGCACCTGTTGCTAGATCTGCCGCTGTTGATTGCGCTGTTGCTGTAGATGATGTCGAATATGATCTCCCCTGGCTGCCACTCAGAGCACTAGACACTGGCGAGACATTTGCTGGCTGCGATAAGGACTGCGATCGCTGTTCGTACCCGTAGTATAGAGCGGCGGCGCCAATGCCCACCGCGGCAGGGATGGAGTATTTGCGCGAAAGGCGCATCGACGACTGCAGCGGCTGGGCCGTGCGTCCACTGGCTATTGATCGCAGCTGGTTGGCATTCTGGGGACTGATTCGGAGTTTCTTGAGAGCAGAGCGCGGCGTAGGACGGCGGAACGCACGCAGGTTCTGGATCACTGCTCTGCGCATCGCCACATGGGAAGAATGATGGCGGGAGTGGTGGTCGAGGCGTGAGAGGCGCGGTACAGAGAGCGACGACGAGATGATGCATGCGGCAACAAGCGTGAACTGTTTTGTGCATGTGACCCGTGCGCACTTGTGCTCGCTTGTGCTCAGCTTATGCACACTAGCGCGAGAGCCAAGCCCTTCCCACAAACCCAGACTTTTCGCAAAGAGCTCTGGTGCGTGAAACTTCGAAGACGACGTCGACGACCACATCACCCAACGAACCTCTCTCGATCCGCCCGTCGCATCTCCTCACCTCTCGCCATGTCTTCCAAGACCCAGACCAAGAAGCCCGCGGGCAAGAGCGGCCGCTCCGCCATCGAGGATGTCGTCGCGCGCGAATACACCATCCACCTCCACAAGAGAGTACGTTCAGTTTGATGAAGTCCACGGATGGCCGGGATCTCTGTACACTCTTTGTCGAAAGACGGGTGTACAGAGTGAAGGGCATTGGACGGAAGACTGAGACAAGAGCATACGTCTAACATACTTGAAAGGTCCACGGCGTCAGCTTCAAGAAGAGAGCTCCTCGTGCTATCAAGGAGATCCGCGCTTTCGCTGAGAAGGCTATGGTACGTACATTTCCGCTTCAATGGATATGTTGTCACTTTCAATCAAGAATTGCTCGCTAACACTCTCCTCCACAGGGTACCTCCGACGTCCGCCTCGACCCTCAGTTGAACAAGAAGGTCTGGGAGTCCGGCATCAAGGGCGTCCCTTTCCGCCTCCGTGTCCGCATCAGCCGTAAGCGTAACGACGAGGAGGGCGCCAAGGAGAAGCTCTACTCCTACGTCCAGGCCGTCAACGTCAAGAACCCCAAGGGTCTCCTGACCGCCGTCGTTGAGGACCAGCAATAGATCGCTCGGTAGGCTCCGATGGATGCAAGGACAATAAGGACATGATGAACAGTGGCTTCTCTTTTCTACATTCAGAGCAAGGCGTTACATTGGATGGATGAGGATACCCTCTGCTAGAACGGCCAGCCTGCTCAACACGAGCGGAAACGCAGTCGCGGTTAAGGGCAGAGTACATGGCACTCTAGCATTACGAGTGAAAAGTACGTCTCTATGACAATCAATTGAAAGAAAAGCCTGCCGTTCATCACATCGTGAATTGGTTTCATCCTCAATATTGATCTCGCGATGCCACTCGCCGCCAATTCGTGGGCCGACATGGCTCTTGATAGATACCTTCCACTCAACTGTACTCCATGGGCTCATCTCTGTGCTAAGTTGTGCTCGACAGCACATCTTGCACGACTGCATGACCACTTGTGCCAGGGACTGAGGCCTTCAGCACCGAGACGCGCATGCAGGCGTTTCGAACCCTCCACACGCGCATGACATATACCCACAGTCATGGGCTCGAGCTACACATACTCGTGTCCGATATTGGAAACTCGTTATACCAACCTCGTTTCATGCCTCTTCCATCCGAATTCCAAATTCTCCGAAACCATCACATCTGACTCGCATTTACCAAATGGCTGGAAATATCATTATATGTCGCAGCCAAAAACATATCGCACGCCAGTAACTTCAGAAGTTCTAAACAAGAATGATTTTGGAGCTTAATACTCTTATCACAATGCGTAGCCGGACTTCACACAATCGAACGCGCGGGAACCTTGCCATTTTTCTAACGACAGACATCTGTAACCACATTCGGTACGGAGAATAAAATGGAATGCGAAACGTCAATGTGTTGGAAGTAACTTTTTGAGAAGGCATCATTCAGCCCAGTCTTTCCTGTTTGGTATCATGTCAAGTATTAGGCGATGGCGAATATGTGTCGCGCGCGAGCTGTTGGAGCAGAACCACGAAATGCGACTACGAATCTCCGCGAGGGGCGTCTTTATCATCATGGTCCTGAAAGACCATTCACCAATGTCATGCAATCTAGCCCGACCCGTGAACGCCTCGCTGAGATGACCTAATACCCTCAAATGGCATGCTCTTCAGACATGTTGTCGTGGTTCGCCGTCTACTGTTCGATTTGGTCCTTGAAGCGAAGGACGGCATTATTCAGTAGCAATCCGTCAGCGCCTTTGGGGAGGCTCAATATGCTCGGTTGCCGAGTGCGTGCGCGATCATTGCTGTAGTCGGACATGAGGACCAGTCCGGCTTCCTTCACGCTAGATACCAGCGAAGGTACGAGATCAAGCAACCGTGATGTGCAGATCAAGCCCATGAAATTGTTCGACTGTGCAATGCGGACAGACTCTTTGATGCTCATATCCCGCCGGCCACAATTAGTGACTATGTTCGAGTTGAGCACAGCATCGCCGTTGATCTCAGGCGCCACGCCGAGCTCGTTGCAGAGAAGGACGGGATCTGTCCGAGTTAGCTATGATTTCTGCGAAGTGCCAGCTCATGGGTCAATACTCACAATTCGGCTGCTTCCAGTTCAACGCTATGCAAACGTCTGGGTTGTAGCTTGAGAAGACGAAGCTCCTCTGCGGGCTGTCGTTTAGCTCGCGCAAGTGCCGCGCATGATCAAACACGACCTTGAGCACGCCGTCAACGACCACGTTGATGTTTTGAGTAGGTCCAAGGCGCATCGCCTCTTCTTCGGCCCTCGTGGGGTAGCAGACGTGCATCTCCAAGTGCAGATCTGCTGGCAAGATCGCCAGGAGAGATTCCAGCGAGCATCGTGACTGAGCGATGATCTGCTGTGCTGCAGCAAGATTGTCGCGATCAATGCCGGCACTGACAAGATCCTTGATCACACCTTTCCCCAAACCAGCCTGGATTGCCTGATCTCGAAATTCTTGATACGTCAATCTGCTGACCAAGTCGTTGCGACTGCTCGGTAGCGACCAGTTATTGTAAAGCACAGGCACGCCATCAGCGGTCACCTGCACAAATAGCCGCAAAAAGTCACCAGACAAGCTGCTTCCAGTGATCAAATTGCTTGGATGATTCTCAACCTGGCTGGTGGCCTTCCAGTATGTTGCGAAATGGGTGATCTCAAGCGGAATCCCATGGAACGGTGTCACAACTTGGTAATGGAAGCTGACCCTGCCTATGGCCCGTAGTCGCGGGTCGAATAGTTCGAGATGCCAGTCCCCAGAGCTGCTTGCCTTGCCTGTGAAGACACGACTCGAAGCTGCTGCACGGGCAATGACCTTACTTCCAAAGGTGGGGAAAATGTCGAAATCAATGCTGAAGTTGTCAAGGTCCTCAATCTGGAACGAGAGATTCTTCATGTCATCCTGTATGGGCAATGGGAGATTGCGTGGGATGAGGTCCGACGATTTGGATGATATCGTCAGGCGTGCTGCTGGATATTTGCTGTCTCCATAGAACTCGATTGCTTCACCCTCTTTCTCGCCAAACGATAGCTGAATGAAAGTTTTTGTGGTATCCAAGAAATTGTGCCCGTATCGTCGCAGTGGGATGATCGGCGGTGGCAGCTCGAGAGAGGGAATGTTCTCAGCGTCGGGATGTGCTTGAGTGGGGGTTGCTGCGATGGTCAATGGCGGCGGCTCTCCTGGCACTGGCTGCAAGTCCATCGGGTCTCTCGCAGAAATGGCTCCGGAAGCAGCCCCAGCTTGCACGAGAAGTTGCATGCAATCCAGCTTTCCTTCCCAGGCGGCATAATACATTGCGTTGAGATCTTTCTCATCCAGCGCGGCAGGGTCAACGTGGAAGTCAAGCAATTGCCGCAGGCACTCCAAATGTCCTTCGCTCGCAGCGTGAAAGATTGGCGTCCATTGATACAACTTGTCGGGCTGATCCATATCCACGCCGTATTCTTTCAGCATCTGGAGGATCTGCGTATCACCGCCAAAGCGAGCCACCAGGTGCTGAGGATACAGCCCTTCCGCATCAGGGAGGATTTGAGGCCGGAAACGCAGGATCTGTTGAACAATCTGGGCCGATCCATACTGACAAGCCAAATTCAGCGGGATGTGGCTCGTGCTGCTGGTCTGATTGACGATGGCGCCAACTTGCAGCATTTCCTGGACAGATCCCAGTTGAGAATGCACAATCCCGTGTATAAGGGGCGTGAAATGGTCGAGATCTCTGGAGTCCACTGTATCAGGTGCGGCTGCGACCAAGACTCTGATCATATCGACCCGACCATGCATACATGCGTAGTGGAGGGGCAGACGTCCATACACATCCGGTGCTCGAATGTTGGCATTATTGGCAAGAGCTGCCTTTAGTACGTCTGCCTTTCCACAGACGGCAGCCTCGTGTATGCAATTGCGCTCGTTGATCGAATCTGCAAAATTAAAGTCCACCAGTCCTGTGGCATAGAGCACCTCCTGTGCAGCGGGTGCGGCATGATTGACAGTGGTCAAGAAGATCCGGCTTATGCGCTCAGCAGCCTCCGGACTGGCTGCTACGCGAGACGACCATTCACGGACGAGGCCCACATTGCCGGCGTTGATGGCCTGGAAAACCTGGTTGTCGACCTCCTCGTCTTGAGCTGATGGCTGTACTCGGTTTTCGAGCTCAACAGCCGGTGTGTATGCAATCTTCTCACCTTCTGCCCATGCTTGCAACTCGAGCAAGCCGGTGGTAGCTTGATCTGATAAGTCGCTGATCACATCTCGATTGAAACACGGTTGCACGTCGACAGCTCGAGAGAGATAGAGCTCTTTCGTTCGCGACTGTCATCACGTCAGTAAGTCAACAGGAGCAAACACGCTAGACATGAAGCACCTTTGAGGTTTTGTCCCACTGCCATAAGTTAGCTCAACCCAAGGCGTAGTGTACGAAAATAAACACCTTCTTCAGGATCTTGGAGAACGCTGTTTGGTTAACCTCGACGAATTGTTGTAGCTTGTCCAAGTCATTGCTGAACAGTCGGAAGCCTTCGTCTAATGTGACATAGGTCGAGGACAGCTTGGATGCTGGGGTAGCACGATGTTGTACGCCTCGCTTCTTGTCGAGCAGTGTTCGCAGTCGAAGTTTCAACTGGATTGTCGTCAGAAGATTCGGGTTTGATCAATCGCTGGGCTTGCCGACCTCGGCTTCTTTCTGCAGGTAGAAAGTGTTGACCTTCTCAAGCTCGCGTTCAAGTCTGAAGAAGAAAGTAGCCTTGTTCGCTTGTAGCGATGCCTGTGAATCCTGCAACGGCTCGCCATTGGGACCTTGGTGCAGAGCCGCGAGAACAGGCGTGGCGCTCAGCTTCTTGATGAGCTAGAACAAATATGAGCGATGTCCCTGTTCTTCTGTTCATCTGTCCTTCTCCTCCTACCTTCTTGAGCGCCTTGTAGTCCACGAAGCTGGCCGCATACTCGGGTATGTCAAGCTGTCGCTTCTGGATGTGCTTGCCGAACTTCCTGACATGGCCCGTCTATCAGCACGTGCGCTCTTGTCCATCTGCTGGTCCACCGTTGCCACCAAATGAGACGTACATGGTCGGAGAGGGAACGTGCGGTGTGGTCGCGGCGTGCGGTGCGGTTCAAGCAGGTGTCCGCAAGGCACGACGGCTACTTGAAGCTGGTGTTCTGGAGGAAGTTCGGGTGGTGGTCGGTCGACATGGCGAGGTGAGGCGCGTCTCTCAGATGACATTCATGATCGGCAGGTGTCTGCCTCGACGGCAAGTCAGAGGGCGTGTCGCGGCGGGTGTCGGACTGGCAGTGGTGGAAAAGAGCGGTAGTCATCACCAAAACGTCCTCATCAACCCAGCCCCACTACGCTATTGACTTTCACGCGCCCCTCGTGCGCACGGCGGCGACGTCAAAGCAACTTGCCGCCGTGCAGCGCGACCGACGTCAAATTTGACCAGGCGCCGTCAACAAACACACTCGACGAATGGATCGCCCACGTGCATGCACCATCTCGGGATCGTTCCGCTGCTACTGCGAGGTCCACCTGCAGCGTGCTGCACGATAGCGTGATTATTCCAGACACCACGACCACTCGACCTGCTCACCCATCGGGACAATGCTACATCACATGCAAGATCGTGCGAACCGAACTTTGGCCCATACTACCGTAGCAGTGCTACCTCTCCTTGTGCTCTAGGCCACTTCCCGGCACGAAACCTGAAGTCCTGGCCATGAAGATGTAGAGCCATTAGCAACCCTCGTGCGAAGCCCATACCTGCGGGAGCCAATTCATTCGGCGGTCATACATCTAGTCCACCTCTTCGCTGTAGAATACCATTCTCGCCCGTTCCCAAGTCTGGCATGACGAGCAGGCTCTCAGAGGCCGTACACTTGGGCCTTGACCAGGACTGTGCCTTTGTCCTTGACTCCAATACCAGGAAAGATGCACGCCATTGCCCTCTCCACACCTCCCTCGTCATATCCACGCAGTTCCTGCATTCGCGACTTTTCAAATTCCGTTCCGCTGCATAGCCAATAATATTGGTAGTCGGCAGTGGCAGCGTCCAGACGGCCTCGCAGCTTCAGTGAGTCCGCGAAAACGCCTGCCAACGACCGCAGTACCTTGTCGCGCTGTGGGCTTGAGATCTTCAGCTTGGTGTTCATATGCCTCAATTGCGGAATGATGGACATGAACAGGGACTCTGCGTGTTCTTTGGCACGTGGCTGGATTTCCTCCCTGTCGAAGTCGCTGTTGTCTTTCAGTCTGTCTGCACCAATTTGCAAGATCAGATGTTCGAGTGACAGCTCTGCAAGATATCAGCTTGGACCACGCACAACATAGACGCAGCTTACTATCTCCCGCTGAACGTTGCAGTCGATTTGCGATGGGCATGGCATCGCGCCATGAGGACAGGAAATTTCGAGGTGTTTGCCACGGAACTGGTTGGGACCAGATCCGATCATACAAAGAGGCACCAATCAGCCCGCAAAGGAGGTTTTCCGCGGTATTTTCTCCTTCGCCGAGAAATAGCATCGCATTGCTATTCCAAGACGTTTCGTCGGCTGAAAACATACGTCTGTACAAACGTTCCGTGTTCCCATCGGGGTCTGTCATCAAACTAGGAGGAGTTTCTAGCAGGTCACAACCTATGACGATGGTCGACGCTATTCCACGTATAGCGGATACGGTCGCAGTCACTCGCTGTTTCAGGTCATCAACCAAACGAAGGTTGGCAGGATACCTGAGCCCAGCGTCGAGGTCAATTGTTGTTAAGACCGGATCCGGAACCAACTGCTGTGGTGCTTTGGGGCCTTCCGCCAATTTAGGTCGGAACGTGGCAGCTCCCCTGCCGCTATCGTCTTCGGAGCCCGGCACAGCAGCACCAATACCTTGCACAACTAGCTGGCACACGGGCTTGGGGGCACCATTCGATGTGTCTCGGTCGACAAAAGTTTGTGTCTCACTTGGCATACTTCTCCCATAGCTTGACATCTCCGGAAGGCTCTCTTGGCTATTGATCGCCAATCCGTTATCTCCAGACTGTGGTCCACTCTCGGCATGGGCGTGTGCTGTGGTAGAACTCCGTTCGTCGAGCGCGCGGACCCCATCTGCCTTGTGGTGCGTCCCACGGCTCGTGGAACCATGCTGCTCTTCAGTAGCATGCTCTGCTTGCTTGTCGAAGACGTCGCTTTCCTTCGATACCCATTGTTCCGTGACTTGGAGACTAGTATCTGCGCTTTGCTTCCCTGCAGAGCAAAGGTCATCGAGTCTTGTGTCATTGACACGGGACTGCTCATCCTTGTCACCTACGCGTTTCTTGCTTCCTCGGCTCACCTCACTCTCGAGTGTCTCTTCTGCGTTGCGTTTTAGTCCTAGGATTGGGACTGTTCGGTTTTTGTCCTTGTGTAGTGAAGATGCCGATGATTTGTTGGCTGCATCAGCAGACAGATCGACGACTTCGGTGCTCTTGACTTTCGCAGCACTGTCACGCTCATCCGAGGAAGTGTTGCCACTTTGAGAATTGGGGATCTCGCGCGAGACGTCGTAGCTCACCTTTGAGCTCGCTGCGAGGCCAGTGGTCTGGAAATGTGGTTAGGGATTGACGTCGGGGTTGCTGTTTCCACGACTCACCCCTCTCCTTCGAATTTTTGTCGGTTGCATCTTCTGGCCTCCGTTGGGACGCGACTTGATGTTCACGTTTCCAGCAGGAGATACGATGTGGGGGCTCCAGCTTGTAGCTCTACTGTTCGACAATTTACTTGGATTGATGGGCGACGGTCGTGACGATTCCCTGGATGCCTGCTGTCTAGTCCTCCGCTCCTCTGAATTCAGCTCCCGCGGCGAATGCGGCTCAGGCAGGGGATCACCAAAGTACAGCTTCTTCTGTGCAACACTCAGCACCTGCATTGGCTCCGTGAAGATCCTGAAGCCTCCGAATGCATTGTTAATCCACTGTCTGAGCTTTTTCGCATCGGGAGTGCAGATCTCCTGGCGTTGGGGCTTGATTTTCAAGTCGTGCTCCCTGATCAACGTGTCCAGACTGTCAAGCTGGGCCGCCAAATCTTCATAGCGTCCGTCCTCATTCTCGTGGCTGGCTTTGACGTCCAACAGAACAGTTCGGAAGGCGCGCTCGCGATGAGGATCTCGAGAGGTCATAGCGTTATTCTGTGCTGAGAGCCTGACCCAGTAGGCAAAGGCAGCGAATGGCCGAAGAAGCTGAACAAGGCGACCAGGAGCGGTGGTGGATTTGAGCGAAGCACGGCGTCGGATCCACTACACTTCTTCGAGAGACGTTGACCAGCAAAGGCAGGAACGACGCCCACTGCCACGCGCCCCTGTCAAGCACGCGCGCTCAGTTGCAGCCTACTCGAATCGATACCGCGTTAGTGACACCACTCCATTCAGCGCTTCACCGAGCGATTCCACCTCTCGTGCAACTTTCCCTGCTCCTCTGCACGCGCCACCACCGCGCGATCCTCACGCCTGTGCACCGAGTGGACCTGCAGCCTTGCTCGACGATGGCGGTAAGTTTGTTCCCAGAACAAAGATCCCCCGGGAACCCACAGTTGCCCTGCCATTGGAGCTAGCTGAGCACTGTGCACATACGGAGAAAGCTGTCAGAGCTGGCCGTGGTGCTTCACTTCACTGCCTATCCTTCGCACCTTCCCGATAGTCTTGGTTAACACTCTAACGCATTGTAGGGCGTGGTCTCAACCATCGCTCGAGGGGCCAAACAGCTTTTCATTGCCTGTGACTACGGCACTTCGAGCATGAGGGTAAGTGATCCTGATAAATCCTGGCCAGTGAAGCAGGTCCGGCGAAGTGGTATAACCAAAATTGTCGAGTTCCCATGTCTGATGTGTTTGCAGTTCGCTTATAGGTTCCATGATCCCGCCTCTACACACAGACCGAGTGTTGCCGACATCAGAGACGTTACATTCAACGGCGAGCCGGCATCCCCTCAACTCCTTGCCTTCAAGAACGGCAAGACGATTTTCGGCCATAACGTGGAAGAACTGCTGTTGGCACGAGACGATACTGGAATGCCAAAGCTTGCACAAGATGACGTTGTGTCTTTCCTCAAAGTCGGCATCTATCCCAATTTGGAGGCTGAAGCCCTTTCCAAGGAGATCGCCGGACAGCTCGAGCGCTTGCGAGACTTCTTTGACCTAGAGAAGGACACTGACGCGCACGTTATTAAGGTCCATGTCTTAGCCGCCCACCTGCGTGAAGCTTACAAGTACGTCCTGGATCAGATCGCCTGCGATCTGAAGAGTCAGCTTCGGCATGAGAACAGTGAAGAACTGGTGCGACTGTTTCTCAAGCGGCTCCATATTCTGATGCAACTAACTGGAGTTATAGGATGTAAGGGACGCGAACATCAAGTTCTTCTTCAGCGTTCCCGGTATGTGGACACCAGCAACCAATTGGTGTATCACTGAGGCTGCGGAACTGGCAGGTCTGAGCAATGTCACACTAATCTCTGAGCCCTACGCCGCTGCAGCATATTTCTTGGACGACATGATCATTCAGAATCGCAAAGTGTTCTCCAAGGGTGCTCGTATCCTCTTCATCGACGCAGGAGGCGGCACGTCCGACGTTGTCACTTTCGAACTTGTGGATGACTCCACCTCTGGGGCCACTACAAAGATGGTCGCTGTTGGCATGGCTGACGGCAGGCTTTGCGGATCAGAGTTCGTTACCTTGCACTTTCTCGAGTGGCTGAATCGCAAGATTGAGACCGACCATGAGGCTTTTCCCGGAGGCAAGGCCACGTTGCTAGCCGACATGGGATTGAGTGCTGCTGAGTTCAAAGACCGCGCCACCAAAGTGTTCACATGTCTGAAACACAAGTATCACACGCAGAACCATGAGCCGTACGTCGTTCATATCGATGGGAAGCGTGGCGCAAAGAGGAGGACGATCAGCGTGGACATTGAGTGGTAAGGATTATCATAGTCGTTAATTCCACACTGCACGATTGCTTGCTAACGTCCGCGCGTAGTGACCAGCCCGGATGCGATCACTTGACTTGCGATAAGATGGAAGAATTCTTCAAACCCGTTTTGAATCAGAACTTCGACATGATCCGCAAGTGCCTGGAAGAGGATGATTCGATCGAGGCAATCATTGCCATGGGAGGCTTTGCGAAGTCACAGCACTTCATGAGCCGCCTCAAGGCTGAGTTCGGCGGAGTCCAACGGCTTCGTGGAACCCGTGCTGATGTCAAGCCTGTCGATTTCGGCAAAATCCACATTCAAGATGGGAACGAGACGATGATTGGTTTCAACCACCCTGTCGCCCGAGGAGCATTGTTGCGGCATCACGAAATTGCACATCGAGATCTCCCTACACAAGACTGCTTCATGGTCACTGAGGAGGCGCCCTGGGACCCGGAACAGCATGGACCTCGAGACAATCACACTATCGTCAAGGGTGAGGCCAATCCGCACGAAGACTGGGTCAAAGGGCTTTCGAAGACCATCATGCCTGCTGGACGACGTGATGTTGAGAATGCTATTTGGCACGTGCGACACGTTCTTAAGAATCATACGCACCAAAATCTCCAGATCTACTGGGCAGCGCAGGCTGTCCCGGATGGGACACCAGTTTTCAGAAAGGAAGACGGTGAAGCGAAAGGTCAAACCGTTCCTGGCATCATGCCTTGCGGAACTCCTGTTTCTTACCCTTTGCCAAACATGCACGAGCTCGCGAAGCAGTATCAGAAGTCACTCAAGCTACAACATCCCCAATACATCCTACGACAGGCAGATGAGACCGATGACGACGACTATACCAAGGATACCGATTATGGAGCAATCAAGACCTGCAGCAAGCGGACTCCATCCCACGACCAATTCAGTGAGCCATCCAAGCGGAGAAAGACGGACCAGCTGCGACCGGCACCGGCTCAGAAGACCAGATGCTGTGGGAACTGTGGTCATGAGATGATGGTCACCTCTGTACGATCATGGGCGGATGATATCTGCGAGAATTGCGATGACGAGGCATTCTATGCCACCATGATCTGGGTTATTGTGCAGTACTCCGGAGCAGAGATACTGCTCACTATACAAATGGCGAAACCGGATCGCTTCGAGGATGTGGAGGATGGCCTACAAATTGGACCGGAGGACGTTATTGAGCTGTACCGAAAGTCCTTCATTGATAGCAACTTCAACCCGAATGCCCTGACCTAGATAGCTTCCGCTTCTGGCAGGTTTTGGTGGTGAAAGGCGCTGCTTGAAACTCTGGGCGATGGAGCGAGGGCGGGCTGAAGTGGGAAAAAGAGAAAGCAGAAGTAGAAAAGTTGGACTCGATAGTGGTAATGAAGCAAAGCAGGACTTGAACAAAAACTTTCGTTCCACCGGCTCTCTGAACAACAGAGAGTATCAGAGGCAAGCTGCTCAAAGCCCCGGGAAGAGCTAACACAGCAGATTCTCGGAGTCCCAGAAGGTCTGATCTTTTCAATCATGGGAAGTCACTGTCATTGTCATTCTCGATTTGCAGCTATGCCTGCCGCTATCGGTATATGGGACATAAGTCGAATGAGTTGTACAACTGGAGATGCCAGGAGCAGACTAGCCTGCGCTCGGACTAAGAACGAAAGGCATGATCATCTCGACCTCGAGGCTGAACGGCAGGACGATTGATTCTCTGCCCATTGTAGAGAAAATAGCAAGTCGCAGAAAGCTTGACAACGTGTTTAGGAGTATACATGTCGACGAGAATCGATAGATGCGCCAGGCCGTATTTACACACCATTACCTCAAGCATCCTAGCTATTGCACCGTAGTCAGCTAGTTAAGTGCACTCGTGCTATGCAACGTAGAGAAGTTCTCCGTCAATAGGTTCATGAGTGCAAAGCAGGGAGTCATGTGGAACTCATGGAAGAGCGAACACGATGGAAATTTTGATAAACACATATTGGTGTCTCCCAATTCCGTGTTAGACAAACCTGATCAGAGGCCAGCTGCCGAACATCATTGGAAGCGCAAACACAATCAGAATTTCGAGTGTACCTATTAGTCGCCCCCAGTTAATCTGATTGTTGAAACAAACCAGGGAACAGCTACTTGACATACCTGTAAGAAGGGATATGGAAAAACTTTGAAGATATCGGAGACAGCTGTATCTCGACTTTGGTCTCAGTTCGGATCGAAGTCGAAGGCGGAGCTCATGAATCGTCGATGTTGCTAGGTAATTTTGTTCTCGTTAAATATCTCAAAGGCAGCTAATTGAACATCCGACGCTGTTCAGGGGTGGTTAGTAGCGAAGAATGTCGCCGGACCAATGTTGATCCCCACCTGTCTGCGAAGCTCGATCTGTTTGCTACGTCAGGAAGACGGCATAGAAATACCGGACAGCTATCAATGCTACCATGTTGTGCGATGACTGCGGCGAGAAAGCCGCAAGAGCAGCCAAATGGAGTGTTTTGATCGTGGGTTTCGGCATCATACCGAGCCTTTGGGTCTTGCATGTCTCGAGCACTGTTGAGAAGGGTAGCGTGAAATCTCAGCTGGAGATTGCATCCTACGGAGGATCCCTTCAGATTCGAGCAGTGTCAATCTTGATAATGACGAACGTAGCAGAGTGGCACAACGCCGAAGAGAAGTCCAGCTACAGTCGTCTCACCCACCTCATACCGTAACCGGCTCGAACATGCCAGCACAGTCCCCCAATGTGGCTCAGACCTACCCAACAAGGCATATGTCATCTTGTCAAGGAGTTGAATTTGGGTAGTGCAACTCTATACAAACATGCCTACCCGCCGAGCCCTTCTGCTTCTTGGCAGTATACTGTACATTGCAGGAGGCAGTAAAGTATATTAATTCTCCCCAAACTTCCGAATATTGATGCTGAGCATAGCATACCTTGGCATCGCGTCTCCTGACGCGGCCGTCCAATCCCACCCTCGAGGGTTCTGGTGTCAGCTGGCTGATGATGAACGTGCCATTTCCGCGAAACTCTGTCTTTCGTTCGTCCGTCCGGTCATCATGATGCGAAAGTCGGATACTGTGCGAGTTGCAAACTCCGTTCTGTGATGCTTCGCTTTCGGAGCGGACGTGATTTGAGCTCGTGAAGTCCGAATGTTGATGGCTAGTCGGGAAAGGTTTGAACCGATGATGGTGTTGTGCATCGGACACCGAAGCAGGCACATGTCGCTCTCGGACTTTGCACGGCGTGTGCGAAAGCGACGACGACGAAGATTTGCGCAGGCATGGCGCAGACTCTTTCGCGCGTGCAGCCGTTCAGCATGGTGCTGTCTTGTGCATGAGAGCGGTCAACCCTCAAATTCCCTCCTGCTTGAACGGATCCGGCCCATCAGCATCCAATAACGAGATCTTTCTCCCATCTTCCATCTCCAAATCCCAATCCGTAGTCTCAAACTATTCCAAAGCAGTCAGCATCTTTCTCGTTCCTGTAGCATGCACACCGTCGAAAAGATCAATGAAGGAAAAGCCCACTCACCAACCCCATCCTCGTCCTCCTCACACTAACAAACCTCATCTTCCCCATCCCCTTCGTCCCCTTAACCCAAAACGAAATATCAATTCTCCCATGCAACTGATTCATCTCTCCCGCAATCCACGGAATCTTACTCGCAAAATAAACCTCGTCACCAAGTACTTCTCGGGCTTTGGAATTCGTGCGTAGAGCGTATAATGTGCTGTTTACAACGCTACTGCTTTGTTTCTGGTAGTTGAAGATTGCGAGACAGGAGCCGGTCATGATTACGGCGAAGAGTGGGAGGGTGCGGATCCATTTGGAGGATAAGAGGGAGGTTTGGAGGGGTGGGAGAGCGCGGTCGGAGCGCCGTTCGAGGAGAGGGCCGCTGCCGGGTTTGGGGGCTGCGATGTAGTTGCGGCGGGGCTGGATGGCTTTCCGGAATGGTCGGAGGGGTATGCGTAGTCGTGGAGGCATTGTGGATGGTGGTTGTGGTGATGAGTTGGATGGTGTGTCGGAGGTGAGAGATGCGCGCGCTCGGGAGTGCCAAGAGTGGAAAGTGATGATATCAGAACGCATTTGCATTGCTATGCAGGAAGCATCAGAATATTTCAATCACCGATCAGGATAGTATGAGACGAGGCAGATTGTGAGTGTACAATTATGTCGTTGTTCAGATCTGTTTATCACATACAAAAACCTCAAGCTCATGACGGCGAGGTATCAAAAGTCGCTCGGAACGCTACAAAATGCAATGCCAATATCGCTCCAACGCGCAAAGGCAGATGTCGTCCTCCTCTAGCTGACCAATTGTCAGTCGTAGGGATCATAGATCTCTATCATCTATCAATCATATCATCATGTTCAACACCCTCAAGCCACGTCGCATCAGCGTGCTGACGCAGACCGGTCAACCTGAACTGCATTATCCCAAAGTGTCGAGCCAGGATGTACAGGCGGTCAGGAGTACCGGTGAGGTGAGGCGCATCGGGGAAAGTTGTGGAGTGCAGCGTGCGCAAGACCTCTCCACTCTCGTCGGGGTTGCACATGGCTGCATTGTCACCCGATCATGTCGATCATTTCCTCTCCGTCGATGCAAACCACAGTCGTAGTGCTCTCGGGCTTCGAATCTCGTACCACAGCGTCGGCTACGGCCTGACGTTTTATCGTGTCCTGCACTTCGAGGAGATATTGCGGTGAAGCGGTACACCGCAGTCCTGGTCGGTAGAGGAGCGACGCGTAGTCATATCCTTCGTCGCAGAGGACAGGCGCTGATTTCCAATCGAGGTGCACTTCGTTGAAGACCTGCTGTCGGACGCGCCGTCGGTAGTAGGCGTGTCTTGCTTTGGCGGAGGGATCAGGTGTCGCGTCGGGCATTAACATGCCTTCATGAAAGCGACTTCGTGTTGACGATGTAGAGCTGGTCGACTGAATGGAATCGTCGGTACACGTCGATACATTTCTCGGTCGGGTTTGCTCTTGTCGATGCATCATCTGTTGAGGTAGTGGTGACTCAGAAAGGCCGAGACCGGAGTCGAGTCGCTTTGAAAGTTCTTCTATGCTTTGTGTCGACGGCACTGATATGGGGAATGCCATGGCTGGCGACCGTCGAGTCTGGAGGTGTTGAGGCTTGGTGTCGCAGTCTGGGGATGGCGCAACCATATAAAAAGAGAGTCATCCAAGCTAACGGCCGTCCTTCATATGACGGCCAAGCCGCGTGACTCTCCGATTCCGGGGTAGTCTTGAGTGGATCTTTGCATGTGACCGACGCTTCCACGAGCGGGAATCCGACGGCCGTTTGGTCCAGAAAACGCCAGGTATTGCGCCACCCAGACTCGTGACAGCGGAGTTTTCAGCCTTCACCCAATCATGTCGATGGCATCGACAGAACGACGAGGCTGTTGGCTGCTTTCGCAAAAGCTGTTCACGTCGCGCATCATGCGTTCGTACTGAGCAGCCTTCTTGGCCGCCATGTCGACGGCGGAAATGGTCATGTCGACTTCGTCGGCGTAGAAGACATCAAAGTCTTTCCAGGCTCGCGACTTGCGGGTCTTCTTCATGTCGTCGACGATGTTGGAGTAGATTTTGGGATGCGACATGCGCAGACATCGACTTTGTCGCACTTCCGGAGGCACCGGCATCATCATGGCCTCGATATGAGCGTCAGAAGTCTTGCATGGTGGCAATCGAGCGATCGACTCATTGCTCGAAGTGCTAGCAGTGCTGCAGCGGGAGGCTTGTGAGTTGTTGCTTCCTTGGCGGAAAACCCGGCGGTTTCTGCTGACGGGCGTCCGTGGTGCCTCAGTAGTGTCCAGATCCTGGGCAAAGGACTTGCGGGAGAAGCACGATATCCGCATGGTGGCCAATCGTTGAAACTGTCGAACGTGAAGACGTGGGTGGCAGCTGTGCAGCAGCGATATATTATTATCAGAGTCGTCCGACGCACTGTCCGAGCGTTTGTTGTGACGTTGGATTCATCCAATAGTCCCGCCTCGTCCAATCCGTCCGGCCAAGACTGCGCGCCGCAGCAAAGCAGATTGCGTTGCACGTGCACTGGGGTCCCGTCTCAGGCGAGCAAGGCTATGCCAGGCTATGTTTGCTGCTGCGGATGTCCCGAAAAAGTGAGGCCGCACATAGTGTGTTCAGCGCAGTTCCTTCGCAGCAGTAATCGTGGAGGCGATGCAGCGAGCAGTAGGGTCAGCTCTGGGAGCTGGGCAAGTGAAGGCTTTTGTGAGGCACAGCAGCGAGGGTGAGCTTCCCAGGGCTGCAGGCTAATTCTGTTAGTCCTGACCTGCTTTGCCGATATCCCGCATAGGCGCTACGACTCTCACCCAATGAAGTCACCATGTATTTCTGCGACCCTCATTCGCGGGCTCCCACACGGTCACACCATCCGATCACGGTCCCTATCGGTCTTTGTCTCTGCGACCAAGCCTTCACAACCTGCAATGACTTTCTTGGCCGCGCCCTCAAAGAAGACCTCATTCCAAAGAGCCTTTCTTGGTAGTTTTCTTGGTGTCTTTCTTTGTATCTTGGACGTTTCTCCTCGGCATCAAGGATCATGTGAACCCATGCAGCACGTTGCGGAGGGTGCAGCAATCAATGTCTGGGAGGGTGACATTTCGGAAAAGCACAGAGGCGCGACCAGCCCGGCGGCGACGTCGGCCACAGCTGCCGATCCACGCAAAATTGCTCTTATTGCAGTATACGGCAAGAACGAGCACGATAACCAACAGGCACGGTTTGTGATCCCTACTCGTAACTCCAAACAGTGCCATCCGGTACGTACCTCGACGCCGAACCCCACGTCTGCACGTCTGAGGCTTGGATGCGCTGCATTCGGGAGCGAAGCTGCGGCTCGCCTGCAGCCAAAAGTGCTTGTCTCTGCTGGCCGCACGAACTATTTCACAGTCTTCTTTGCCTCAATGTGTTGCATTGATCTCGCGATCTAGTGGAATTTTCTATACGTTCTATTGATGCGACTACATTTGCTGCCATAATCATCCTCTTTGTCCGCGGCTCACGGCACGTAGACTGACTAGCAACGCGTGGACAATGCCTTTAAGAACATGACGTTCGCAGGAATGAAGATCAGGGACGGCCGAACGCCGCGTGTGACCATGAGGATGAACTTTGCAGTGCCATGAGCCGTTCCTGTGACGTTTTCGACGCTGTTTTTTAAGCGTGGCAAGACATCAATTGTGACAGTCGGCCTTTCGCGCAAAACTTCGTCCTCGCGCAATGTCACTGTGCAGTGTCGGACGCGTGGTGTCGTCGCTCCGTCTGCCCGTTCATCGGCGGCGTAGGCAGCGAGTTCCGTCAGCAGCTGGGATGTTTCTTGGGATCATCCACGTGAGTGTGTTGGCCTTCACCGACCGGCCTTCCTGCGAATCGTGCAGCTAGATGACTATGTTAGTTTTGGAAAATTGGCGGAGATGACGGTGGGGCGCACAGGAAGATGTTCTCTCGAGCATAGCTCTGCTGGTCAGGGTCATCCAACACGTCTTCGACCAGGAATTGTTTCTTCACCGCTTTCAGGAAGTGCATGTCGGCCCTTCGTCTCCTCTTGAAACAGAAGTAGCACACTGTGTTTGGGCCGATCAGGTCCTGCAACGTCTGCTGGAGCAACGGAAATGCGGGTTCAAAGTACACGCAATCGGCAGCGAGCACGACATCTGGATGCTGTGGAATGCCCTCCGGAGTCGCGCCTCCCCAGTCGTAGACGGCGGCCGTCACTCGATCACCTAGGGCATTGAGCGCGATATTCTGCTGCATTAGGTCGTACATCGTGCTCATGTCGGTGATGTGGATGACAGCATTTGATCGACAGCCTGCGGCGACAGCCAACCTATGGCAGTCAACACGTGTGGGCATGATGTCGCCAGAGAAGGCTGTGGTCCTTTCGCGCTTCTTACCCAACTAGTCCGCCGCCGGCACCCAATTCGACGCTGAAAGCACAAAAGGTCAGCTGGCGATGCGAGTCTAGACACGAGCTGTGGGATGACGGCAACAAACATTGACGATGCAGTCCGTATGGCGTCCTGCTTTCTCCGCAAGATGTACTTGGTCAGGATCATACCAGCTGGCCAAGCCTGGCCGCCATTGCCTTTTGCCAGGTCCTCGTGGAGGAAGAGAGGAGGCGTCAGCAGACCATCGAAGTCGACGGATTTCGTGGCTTTGGGTTTGTGTTCTGGCGATGTGACCAGATCCTCTGAGAGATTGAACTCGGCCTCAGCATCAGAGCCGGGGCTCAACAGAGACGACATATCGAGCGTTTCGAGACGAGGTTGTGATCGTCGGGCTGGTGGTGGGTGTCGTCCCTCCCACTCGGTCGGCGGTCGACTGAGTTTCCACAAGTGCCTTCTGGGCACGTTCTCGGCACGTGCTTGTCTGGTCTTGACTCTATGCACGTCGCTGCATTCTGACAGCTCCAGCGCGCGCGCGTAAAAGTTCTGCAGTGCGAGAGGCAGCGTGCGGAAAAGAGTGGCACTTTCTAGAGCGCGCGCAGAAGTCACGGCACATCCCACCGCGACAACACCGTCGCCGTCGCCCATCTGCGGCGATCGCTCCGCTGCTTCGCCGCCTCGTATCTGCCATGTCCGCCGACAGCGACAACAACAGCGACATCGCACCGGCAGACGACCGCGGTGGTGTTCCATGCAGCAACGTGGGGCAGTCCAGCCTTGCCATTCTGCTTCATCCCCGAATCCCAGACTTGTTTCACGCCGTCTTCCCAGTCACGACTCGCGACGCGCGAGTGAGAGGGAGGTGTGCCCACATGCCGACCCTGGGAGGCCGCCAGAAAATCGCGCATCTCCAAGGCCGTCGCCGTCGCAGCATCTTGTCCCGTCGCGCGCCAACACGAGCGCGGAGCAGCGCCCTCCTCGATCGCATGCAGCACACCTGATCTCGCGGAGAGGGCGCCAGCAGCAGCAACAGCCACTGACACCTCGCACACCGGAAGATCAAATCACCATCGTCGACGCGCTACACACCAGCTGCAGTCTAGATCGCGCTGGGCATACCACATACAGACATCCCGCGGCGCACTGCTCGTCAACTTCACCTTCGAGCGATGTGCGCCGCTGCAGAAATGACGTCCCGCAGCTCGCTGTGGCTTGGAGCACAATTGGAGAGAGCTCCAGACTGTGAAGCAACGGTGCCAAACTCACCATCTTGTACCACCGTAGCGCCATCTGGTTCCTAGATTCTCCGTCCACTCCAGCTCGAGACCTGTTGCAACAGCCTTTTCACATGTCAAGCCTTGCGGCATTGCACTTCTCCATGGGGTAACGATCTTGTCTGGACTTCACGCCATGAGTACGTACCACAAACTACTGTGTGCCTGAGGTTGACTACCTATCGTGTAGAGTGGCTGTGGCCGTGCAACAGAGTCACTGCGGTGCACGGCTATGGTGGGCAGTCTGCGTTGACTCCTACTTCTCCTTGCTGACAGGCACAGCGTTGGTAGCTCGTCGTGGCTATTCAAGCGTTGGACGCGGCTGCTTCAGACGTCAGACTAATCATTTGGAAATTGCTGAGGCATGAAGAGAAATGCTATATGGTGAACTGCACAAGTCCAACAGGTAAGCAACGACGGCAACGTCGCACGAAGGTCAAGTATTGAACGTACCTTTCGTTGTGGCTGGTATCCCTTGCTTCGAACACAAGACATTCTTCTCTCATTCTTTCGAAGCCACCACCCAGCAAGGAGATCAGATATGGCCACTTTACGCGCAAGACGCGCTTCTACGCGTGCCTGGAAGATGAGCCTCCTTGATGAGTCTGGAGAAGTCTTTCTCGCTATCTCCCAGCAGTCTACAATCAACACCGGACTCACGACAGAGACTGCTGGGGCCTGCTGCGAGAAGGCCGAAAGGGCAGTGGTGAGCTGAAACGGCTCGACGCAGGAACATGGCACGACTGGTCGCGCGAACGCTTGCAGGGGTTTCATGCACCTTATGTGCCCTTTTCACGACAGCTGCAGCAGTCCCAAACGCAGCGTTCCCGTTCAACTCCCAGGTACCAACAGTCGCGCGTGTGGGCCAGCAATACAGCTTCCAGATATCCGACTCCACTTTCGAGCCCGAGTCCTCGACCTACGTCTACAGCATCTCGCAACAGCCAGCATGGCTCACAATCGACAGCGCAACAAGAACACTGCAAGGCACGCCCGGGACGAGCGATGCTGGGCCAGAGACATTTGTCTTGACAGCAGCGGACGGATCTGGAGCGGCGCAGATGTCATGCACATTGGTCGTTTCAGCAGATCCGGCGCCACGATTAGTTGGAGATATTAGCGAGCAGCTTTCAGAAACCGCGAACCTGTCGAGCAGTATGCCACCAGTGGTGACACTGCTTCCATCGACACCATTCAAATTCGACTTTGAGCAGGAGTCCTTCATCGATATTGTGCAACGCCAGCTCTACTATTATGCTACTCTTGCCGATCACACGCCCTTGCCATCGTGGCTCAAGTTCGACGCTGAGAAACTTACATTCTCTGGAAATGCGCCTGATCTCAGCGCGTTCCCTCAGTCATGGGTGATCAATTTGATTGCTTCGGACGTTCCTGGGTTTTCTGGTAGCACCGCATCTTTCACCATCGCTGTTGGTACGCAGCAACTCGTTTTCGTGCCAGAAGAGCAGGAGTTGAACATAACAGCCGGAAAGGATGTTAATATCACTACGCTACAGAGCGAGCTCTTTCGCAATAATGTGAATCTCAGCCCACGGAGTCTGAGAAGTGCTATCGCGGATACGCCTTCCTGGCTGGCCTTCGACTCGTCCACGCTTGCGATCACGGGGGAGGCGCCGGAAGACTTCGAGACAGGAAACATCACCGTCACCGTGACAGATGAATTGGGAAACACAGCAATGGCTGTCATTAATCTCATAGCTGGAAAGTCGTCGTTTTTCAATGGGCAGATTGGTACATTGTTAGCACAGGCTGGGAAGAGGTTCTCGTACCACCTGGACGACTCATTGTTCAACGAACAAGATCTGGACATCAGTGTTGAACTTCCAACTGCAGCTACCTGGCTCAGATTTGATGACGAGAATCGCGAGCTGACCGGCATGGTACCTTCGAGCGCTCAGGCGGCAACGTTACGTGCGACCATCACTGCAAGGAGCGGCGCTAACGATGAAGGCCAGTCACAAGTTTTCACGATTGACGTCGAGGCTGCCACAAGATCCAGTACTACGAGTGCTGTTATTTCACCGACCAATACTCATCATGCAACGCCGGCCGCAGCTGCTGTAGACCAAGAGAAGCCACCTACTTTGACTAGTGGCGGCATTGCAGCGATCGTACTCGGATCCATTGTCGGAGCCTCTCTCCTGCTGCTGCTTCTGTTGTGGTGCTGTCGGCGCAAGCGACGGCAGGACTCTTACGTGCAGAATTCGCCTAGATCGAAGACCATCTCTAAACCGCTGGCCCCGCCACAGGGCGAGGACATCGTACCAGCAACAATGACTGATCTAGATTTGGAAAAGGCTTCCGAGTTGGCTCGTGTGGACTCTCACGCCCCTGTCCCGCCTCCGAAAAGTGTAGAACCCCCTCCGCAGATACATATCCATGGCATACCGGAAACTCGCTCCTCATATTTCAAGCGCTTTTCGCGGGTCAGTCATGCTTCTTCGTTGGGCGATGGCGAAGACGCTATCAGAAGAGATGAGAACATACCGGAATGGGGCGCAAATTCTACCGCTCTGCACATGCCGCACGACAGCTTCTCTGTACCCACAGAGATGGCACGACGAAGCACGCATCTCAGCGATACGAGTCCGAGTAAAAGAGCTCAGATAATGCACAAAGTGCGCGCACACAGAAGAAATCGAAGCAGCGTCAGCTTCAAGCGGCTGAGCCTGGGACTTGGCATCACAGGTGCGGGTGCTGCTGCTGGCGCTGGCGCTGGAGTGGCAAGACACAGTTCTCGGAATGGCAGACTTCGGCACCGCAAAGCCAGAAGTAGCTTGGGAGTACTGACACCTACACGAGAAGCAAGCTCTGCGGGCTCGTTCAGGACGATACGTACGAGCATTCTCTCCGCTACGCCTTCTGATTTTCCCGAGCCCGGCCCATCGAGACAGTCGTACTCTGCTTCCGCTCCGGTACTGTCAAATAACGGTGCGAGCGTCGAGCTTGATCCCAAAAGGAAGAGTATACGGATGGTCGCGCCAAGCAACAGCATACATGCCTCCGAACGTGAGCGACCTTTGGTCGATAAGCGTACAAGCTTCCTCGCAAAGCGCCGTGGGAGTGGACATATGCAAAGCATCCTGTTCTCCAGAGGCACTCGCTCCGCTTCAACCAGTCTGCGCCGAAACGATTCTCAATCTGTCGAAGCCAGTGTGGCCGGGAGCGTCCGTCGTGCGAACAGAGGCACTTCAGGATTGGGAAGCAGAAGCGCGTTGCCGAGCCAGAACACGCTCACGAAGTACTCCGAATCGTCATCTATTGAACCCAGGGGACATCTTGACTCGCCGCATCGTGACTCCAGACGATTTAGCCAGAGATTGAAAAACGTCTTCGTTCCTGGATTCCCTCGAGCCATCACGCAGTCAACGCTTGGCAACGACGAAGACGGCGTGCATCCGGTCAGTGGAAGGCAGACGCCGGCCGAACGCAAAAGCTACGCAGAACTCGAAGATGAACAGTGGATTGCAGAATTGACCAAGCCGCGCCACGAAAGAGACTGGGTCCGTCCTGGCGAATCCAGTCCATTGACAGCTCCGGCTCCGCCTCCAAGCCTCGCTGCCACAGCGCAAAACAGCCGCGCTGGCACTCCCTCAGCAACATCTGGCGCATCTCCGTCACGATCGGAACGTTGGCGAGAAGCACAGCAGAAGAGTGCTCGAGAACGATCTGCTTCTCCCTTATCTCAAAGTCACGACCTCAATTCCTCGCCTTCTGTCATTCGCAAACACAGACAACCAGACTCAGGGAAGAAGAACCGCATGTCCGCACCCATGAGTCTCGTCTCTGCGGATAGTATGCACAAAGGTCGTCCTCGGATCAGTTATCTCGACAACACATCGAATATGCCCACAGGCAGCACCCACGAACACGACTTTGCCACAATGGCGGGCAGTGAGAGGGATGATGCAAATTGGGTCACGGACGTGGAGTCTTCTTTATCCAGCAGTGAAGACGAAATCCGAGGGACGGGCTTGGTTATTCCGCCTTTGGGAGGAAGTGCGAGGAAAGATGGAACAGGGAGGAGTGATTGGACAGGGACAGCATTTATTTGAGAGGTAATGAGATATGAGTAGTATACTTATGAGGATATGAGAGTATGATTTATGATATTCATTTGGCTTGAATCTCACGCTCTCTGATAGGTCGTGTGAACACGATTCTTTTGAGAGGTAGGCTGGTGAGCGCTGAAGCGCTCGCTTTGCCGGAGAGGGAGGCGAGTTCTGGTAGTGATTCGCTGACTGACGGGATTCTCGGGTTCTCCGAAAGATCTCAAGGGTGAGCTTCCGCGGATGAGCTAGCCTGGTGAGCATACACGCGCTCAATTTGTCAGAGAGCGAGCTGCTTTTCGAGCGAGAAATGGCTAATGGACAGTGCTCACAGACGAATTCCACGGACGACATCTAGCTGGTGGGCTAGCCATGCGGGCACACAAGTCTCCCATTTATCAGAGAGCAAGCTGCTTTTCGAGCAATAATTCGCTAACGGAATGTGTTCTCAGACGGACTCTACGGACGACATCTAGCTGGTGAGCTAGCCCTGTGGGCATCCAAGCCTTCAGCCTGTCAGAGAGTGAGCTGTTATTCGAACAATGATTCGCTAACCGACAGTACTCCCAGTCGTAGTCCATGGATGACATCCAGCTAGTGAGTTAGCCCTGTGGGCAATCAAGCCCTCAGCTTTTCAGAGAGTGAGCTGTTTTCCGAGCAAAAGTTCGCTGATGAAATGTGTTCTCAGACAAAAGTCGTTGAAAGCTCTTTGGTGATGGGTGAGCTGGTGAGCACACCAGTCGGCAATTCATCAGAGAATGGAACTGGTATCTGACCAATGCTTCTCCGACGCAAGTATCTTCGGACTAATCTCGTTGATACGGTCTTGACAAGAGACAAGCTGGAAAGCACACTGATCAGTAGTATGGGCGGGAGCGCGATGCTTTCTGGTGACAACATCGCTGACTGGATGCTCGCTCAGACGCAAGGCGTCGATTGGGTCTTTGAGGTGGGCTCAGTTGGGAGGCACAAAAGCAACTCTCGCGCCAGAGAATAAGAGGATCGATGCAAAATTCATTCGTTGAGGAAAGATATTCTCTGAAATATCGTGTCGACGCAATCTCGCCGGTGGGCCAGATTCGAAAGCACACCAACGAGTTCCGTGCCAGAGAGCAAGGGAGTTCTTGACCTAACATTCGATCAGGCAACTTCTTCTCTGACAGGTCTCGCTATCATGATCTTGCCGAGAGGCAAACTGGTGAGCCCACAAGCCACGGTCTCCTTGGAGAGCGCATGGTTTTCGATTGTCGCCATTCTCGCTAAGTCAGTTCCAGGAGGTACTCTCTGACGAATCTCGGCCACACGACTCTGCTGAAAGCCACGCTGCTGACCATACAAGTCGTTGGAATGTCAGAGAGCTGCATTTTGTTTCGCACAAATTGTTCTCATGTGACCGGCGCAAGACAGTTTCAGAGACATCTCATACATGCAAAGCTGCTCAGGGGAAACTTACAGGCTGTACAAGCCATCCAATCTGGTCAGAAAATCCTTAGAATTGAGAATGAATCGTGAGACTTAGAAGTCCATGTAAGGCACTCTCTGGCACGACTCAGAGACGCAGTCTTGCTGAGATCCATGCTGCTGGCCACACAAGCTATCAGCTTGTTAGAGACACCCCAATCTTGAAACATAATTCGGTGATAAGTTTGCGATAGGAGGCGCTCTCAGATATATCCCGAGGAAATGATCTTGATGAAAATTAGACTGCTTGCCACACAAGCTGTTATCTCGTCAGAGAGACTTCAATCTTGCAATAGAATCCGGCACTAAGTCGATGGTATGAAGCACTCTCAGATATGTCCTGACAACAAGATCTCGATGGAGGATAAACTGCTTGCCACACAAGCTATTATCTCGTCAGAGATGCAGCAGATTTTGGGGTTTCAATTGTGCTAAGTCCGAGATTCGTAGCGTTTTCTGAAGTTCCGTAAGATAACGATCTTGCTGGAATGGAAGCTGCTGGCCACACAAAGGAGCGTCTCAATAGAGGGGCCGGGGGTTCGACGGACAAATTTGCCGAGTCAATAATACAAACGTTCGAAGGCCTACGATTTTGTGGAAAGTGACTCGAAGAGCCGACCACATCTATCTGCGAGTCTCTCAAATTGGTCCACAGAAAGTAGAAACGTAGTATTCGTTTCGAACTTTGACTCCGCCTACAAGAGCAAACGCTGAAACAAAAGTATTTTTCTACGTGCTATATACAGCATGCTGCGCGTCCTCCTATACACGCGGGTTAAGATTTTGGTGCTCCGAAATCAGTAGCTGCTTCTCTCCCGGACGGATCACATCATCGGGACCAAGCTGTACTCCACTGGCTATAGCATCCATTTTCTCCGGCTTCGCGAATTCTACGCGGTAGTAGATGTTCGCGCCCGAAAAGGTCAACTCCAGACGGTAGTAGACTTCGTAGAACTCTGCTTTCGCGCATCTCCAGCAAATATGGTTCTTCTTGAGAGCTATCGGCACTTGACGAGTGCGACATGTCTTGCAGTATCCACGGAACCACTCTTTTAACTTCTTGCCGGGTATTCTATCTGGTTGTTTCCACTCGAACTGCTCTTGGGCTAGATCCGGCAACGTGATACGAAGAGCGGCTCCAAATTTCTCGATGCCATCGCGGAGTTGATCGCCGTCGTTTGTGGTGAAAATGGGGCAAATTTCAGGTCTCTGATTTGCCGACCAGAAGACTTGTATCAGGAAGTCCTTCTCTCCATCCAGCGCTGGAACACATCGGAGCTGCCAGAACGTCTGTCGAGTGCGAGGACCTTCTGGTACGATTGTTCGCCAACCAGCTTTGGCATACTTGTCGCTGTAGAATTGACTTGAGCGAGCCTTGTGACGTTGCGGCCTGGTCCGAGCAGCATCGCGGTGGTTCCCGAACAACTGGTCAAGATCGGGATGCTTGTCGGATTCGTAGACCTGATCTTCAGAGATGCCGAAACTGTCTGTGACGGGCAGATATCTCGTCTCTTTACCAGCGTACTTCAGCAATGTACCAGCAAGGGAAGGCGAGGCTGTGAAGAAAGTAAATGTAAGCCAGGGCTTTCCTGTACCAATTTCGATGAATGACCTGATGTCATTGAGGGAACTCTTTGTATTTCGCTGTGGAGCAGAGACCATCATAACAAGACCAATTTGCTCTTCAACACGCGCTCAACGCGATTTCCACCATAATGCGAAGTCTGTGCAGTGACTATGGTAAAGCGGCAGTCATACGCTGATTCTCCAACACAAGCAATCTTCTACTCCCGTGGAGTAGGATTGAAGTTTTCCTCAGCAATCTCGTCTTCTTCCAACAACACAATTACATGCTCGGCACCAAGATCATTTCCCGGCAGAAGTCTCTCCGACTCATACGCAAAAGCGTTGTTGAGTGCTTTTTTCGTGTATTTCGGCTTGGCCATCTCCCATCTCACCGAGATGCGCTCAGGAGTCCAACGCAGAATCACACGATAAGCAATAAAGTACACGGCCGATGTACCATGACTCTGTGGCTCGGCAATGAACCCAAGACTCCCGAGGTCGGGTAGCTCAACAAACAGGGGCGGGCCCCATTTCTCAATGCCGTCTTTGAGTGTATCGTCAGTTCCAGCTACCATGATCGGACTATGCTCTGGACGCGCGTCTCTAGACCAGTATATCTGAAGTGCAAGCGTCTTTTCGTGAGGTTCGACAGTTCTCTGCTGCCAGTAGTGTCTTACTGGCTCTCGATCGGTGGCGGGAAGAATGGTGCGGACACGACTCTTGGCAAGGTAGTGCACGGGGTCGTGAGGGTCTTTTCCAATGAGGGCCTTGTTTGGTATCATGGTCGCAGCCCGGCGGCGGGACGGCCTCTCGATTGATACGAGGGCCAGATCTGGGTGCTTTTCTGGCGCGAAATCTTGCTCTTCTGAAAGGAAAAAGCAGTCATCGGAGGCCAGGCTCCGTCTGGCGCTTTGATGGTACTTCAGAAGTCCACCACGCGCAACAGCGTGGACAAATCCTGTAGGAGTCCTCGCGCCTCGCTGTATGTCGATCTTCTTGTGTGCGAAGGCCGCTTTGAGTTCCAACATGAATTGTTCGGATTGAGCGAAGCCCCCTACTACCACCACAGCGCGAACACGATCGTCCAAAAGCTGATTTACCAATGCGATATTGTTCTCGATCACGGGCTTGGAGAACGCTGCAACTTCGGTCCTGCTCAGCGTTAGTAATTGAGACATACAGTGCATCGTATTCGTATGACTCACTCGTCGAGAAGAAATTCAATGGTGTTTTCTGGCCCTCTGACACGGAATTCTTGTGGCCAAAGTGTGCTGGGACTAGAAGCTTTCTGCTTGATGTCCTCGAAACACTGTTTGGCAGTTGCATTGAACTGAGCTCGGGAAAACCCCAAGGCAATGGCCGCATCCGCTGTAGACATACCATGTACCGTTTGAAGTTGGTCTTCAAGCCACGAAAGAAAGCACTGGTTCACGTATTCGGAGCCGCAAAGTCCTCCGAGTGCCGTTCCCACTGCCTTGAGTTGCAGTTCCGGACCGGTGCTCGAATTCTGTTGCAGCTCATATGTGACCAGGTCACTGGTGCCCCCTCCTGCGTCCAAGAGGATCATTCGATCGCCTCGTCGGTACTGAGTGCGTCCATGTAACTTGATGCTGTGTGCCCAGAAACCAGCCGCCGCTTGTGGTTCGAAGATGAGTTCAACTTCGTTAGATTTCAGACCGGCCCATTCGGCTGCTTTGAGCATTGATCTGTTGCCGGGTGGAAGCCACATTCCTGGAACGCTGATGAAGACCTTCTTGGCCATACTGCGAGCTGACTATGAATTAGTTAGCAGCAGTTTTGAGAAGCCCTGCAGATATCTCAAGCTTACCTCTTCGTCGACTTCAAGCTTGAACTTGATGCTGTCCACAACATAGGCCTCCACTCGTTCCAGTATAACACGGAGATGCAGAGCAAGTAAGGCGACTTTCTTCACTTCCAAGGTGGCATCTTCCGAACAGCCGAGCCAAGCAGGATCAAGCTCGTCCAGCCTGTCTCGAGCCGTTCTTGCAAAAAGCGAGTCTTCGAGGGATCTTGGGTAGAAAAGAAGCTTCAAGTGTTCAATCACCTGATCGTGCCTCAGTTCCTTTCGTGCCAGCATGCGCTCCACTTGCCAACCCCAATAAAATCGCCCCTCGTCATCAAACGCAAGCTTTTGGGGTACCGCGGCAGCTTGTCCATCGAACTCGAGATCGATGATGTCCTCATCTTTCGGCGCTTGATCGGCAGCACCAATCCGGAAACATCCCTATAGCTCGTCAGTGAACATCATGTGAAGAAGTTTCTGGGAAGTGATGGAGAAACGCAGTAAACCACGTTGAAATTGACAGGCAGATTACATGCGCAAGGTCGCATGATGAAGTGAACGGGCGCTTACATGTAGTTTGGTGGTGCCATAGTCAACAGCGACATGGCGAACCATTGAATCTTGCTGCTGAGGGCGTGCGGCGTCAGATTGACGGCGCGAGCGCTGCGGACGCTACGTGATGTTAGCCCGGTCGAGCACTGAGCTTCAAAACGATGACGGGGATCTCGAATGATCACGTACCGCCATGGTGTGTTGTGCGCCTGCTGCGCGGAAGTCGCTTGTGCGGGAGCGCGCACTGTCGTAAACGTGTTGTGCGAGCGTTGTATTGTTGTGGTGCGAGAAGAAACAAAACAGTCTCGCGCACCTGCCGGAAAAAGTGGGTCTGGTGAATTGACTGAGCAGCAAACAATTCTGAAGTGGCAACCTTTCGATCCCTCACTCACCGCAACGACACCGCACTCTTCATCTTCAGTCACACAATAAGTCACTTAATCAATCCATCCCTCACTTTCTCCATCACACTTTTGCAGTGCCGCGTCGAAACCAGCATCATGTCGAAATCGGACGAGCACCGCCTGCGCGCCTTCAAAACCATCTTGGATGACATCGGGGAAGACAATGGCAGATATCGCAACAAGCCAGCCCAGCTGGCTAGAGTCGCTGAGCTCATCGGCAGTCAAGACCTCAAGCTCCGGCCCAGGCGCGGCGAGGTGAAGACACCGACAGCTGAAGTCTTAAGAGAGGCCTTGTTGAGCTTCTCGAGAAAAGGCCGTGGCAATGTCAGCGCCGAAAGCCTTTTCCAACGAGGGCCCCGTGCGCTTGATCAGCATCAGAAGAGGAAGTTGGGATACCCGGAAGAAGCCCGCACGGAGGTCGCCTCGAGCAGAAGTCGCAAGACTGAACTTGAGCGATTGAACCCCGAGTGGGCTCAGCCTGTGCAACTTGGAGGCGCCGATAGCGCCCGCAGTCAATCTTCTGCTAATGGTGGAGAAGCAATGAGCGCTTCTACCCGTCCGTCTGCTGCGCTGGCAGACGCAGAGGTCCTGCCACATCTCCCTTCAACGACATCGGGCACAACATTCCCGCCATTCCCGCCTGCTGTGCCGTCACTTCCAACGTACCGTTCAGCACTACCGCCACATGCGCAGTTCGAAACAGTCACGACCAATGAAGATCATGTGCAGCAAGCAAGAACAGATGGTACGGACGTCCGATCCACACAGTCTCATCTCGAAAAGTGTGGCAGCAAACGCAAGCACGAAGCGGAGCCAGAAGACGGGCTCCCACGCAAGCGAAGTGCGCTCGGAGATGAAGCGCAGCCTGTATCGAGTATGACAAGCCGCAATGAGAACGATGAAGCTATGCCAGCAGTCCGCGGAACAAAACGCAAGCATGAAGCAACTCCAGGAGATGCTGGCCCACGCAAGCGATTCGCGAATGCACCCGGTGCCGAGTTTGCAACAGACGAAACGAGCGCAGGCCAAGGTGCTGAAGGATTGCCGGTCTCCTCGAGCAGTGAAGGGCACGCAGCAGTGGCGACTTCAGCAAATCTGAGTGGTACCTCGGCTGAGGCACCACAAGATCCACAAGATGTCCCAGCAGTGACACGATCAGGCCCAAATGAATCAACAAGAGCTTCGAATGCGGATACGGAGCCACGGTCGATTCAACAACCACAACTGCTCAATGTTGGTCAGACCATGACCTGGTATGAGCAAGAGCCGACTGAGAATGCTGAAAATCGGCATGGCACCAAAACTGGTCCAGCTCCCTACCCTGCTGGACTGAACAGAGTTGAGGGCATAAGGGAAGAGATTCAAAGCATCGTGATGTCGATCGAGAGCGCGACCCATTATTTCCTGAAGACGTCGGGTATGGGAGATATGAATCCATCAATTCCGATGAATCCGTGCGAAGACTTGGCGAAGCTGTACAAGAGGATCTTTTGCCAGCCTTCTGGATCTTGGTGGAAGATTGAGGCCGCCCGAGTTCTCAGCACTAATATCACAATGGATGAATGGTTGAGTGCCTGCGTAGGCGCTATGATTCACGAGCAGGTGTTTCTTAAGCCGGTTCCTTGGCGGTCGCCAAAGCAGTTGCTCGACGACATGAAGCATGCCAGGCCGTACTTCGAGCGATTGCTTCTGGACTCGTGTAACGAAGGTGAGTGCTCTCGAGGGCCTGGCTACCTGATATAACTCAAGGCTGACCGTGTGATGTAACAGATCGATACCGAGAACTTGATTTCTACGTGTACAAATCCGGACAGGAGCAGATTGATGAAGGGACTGCATTCGAAGATGAACACGTCACGCCCGTCGCCACAGAACTTGCCAGCCAATGCCTCATGCTTGTAGTCCAGCAGATGAGGCAAGCCAAGATCGGTGTTGCGATTTCTGACGATGCGCTCACGAGAGCTATGACCGAGTACACCACAGTTTTTAAGAGAGCCCTTTTCCTACGAGGCCGGTGTGAAGTCTCCCCATTGGATTTCGAGTTCGACTGGCCAAAGCCAAAGACACCTTTCGATCGTGAATGGATGACAGAAATCCGGCGCCAGGATGACTACGCCAAGGATGTGCAAATATGCGCATTTCCGGCCTTTCGTGCGCGAGGGGTGAACCAAGGAGTCATGGCATACTTCTCAGAGGCGCGAGTTTACTGTTCATTGAAGCCGCAGCTCTGACCACGCCATGCCTTGCTTCGTCGGTATGCAATGATGTCGGATCACGATGACTAAAGGCAGGATACGAGGTGATGGAGTGGTGGCGATATCCATGGGAAACAGGTGACATCTTGACTAATCGAGGATCTTCTCAGCTTTGACTCCCAGCCTCTCGAGGGTTGATTGAGTTGGCTGAGTCGACTTCGTGGGCATATCAATCCAGCCTGCTGCGTGTGCTCGGTTGTGCGACTTTGACTCCCGCCTCTGGTGGTTCGAGTTGGTTGCGTAATCAGAACATTGTCGATTTGGGTTCGCGATGCGAGACCGATTTGAGAAACCTTTCTGGACCGACATGGGTATTACGATTCTCTCCTTCCCGCGGATCTGCGAGTCTTGTCTCAGACGTTATGGTAGAGGAGGTATGGGGAGACAAGCTGCAGTTTGGACGCAGGAGCAAAGTAGTTTAATGACACCAGAATCGGGCTTCGGCATGCTCAATTATCTTTTGACGTTGCATAGCTCCGCCGAGACATTTGGCAGCATGTCATGGGAAACTCAGAGGTGTGGAAGAGGAAGGGAGGTCGCTTGCGACACAGAATTTTGCGGGAACAGCCGCTAGCCTCCCTCTGCACTCATCCAATGACCGCCGCCACCTACTATCTCCAACGTCCCACGTCTCCATGCAAGTGACTCGGTGAATGTCTATACTGAAGAGCAGGTTGTATAGCTCAGCACACTCTCTCCTTGTCACGTCTCGCACTAATCACACTTTGCGCCGCTCATTCACCAATATGCCACCAACAGGTAGCACAGAACTTCTTTTCTCCACCCATTACCCCAACCTGACGACTTTCTCCAGAGACCAAGCCTCGACCGATTGTTGTTTCTGGCCCTTCTGGCGCCGGAAAATCCACTTTGATCAAGCGTCTGCGCGCCGAGTACCCTGATCGCTTCGCACTCTCCGTCTCCCACACCACCCGCGAACCACGAGCTGGTGAAGAGCACGGCAAGGACTACTGGTATGTGTCGAAGGACGACTTCAAGAAGAAGGTCGAGGAGAATGGTTTCATCGAGCACGCACAATTCGGCAGCAACTTCTACGGCACAAGTGTACAGGCCGTGAAGGATGTGGCTGAGCAGGGAAGGACCTGTATCTTGGACATTGAAATGGAGGTGAGTTCATGAGGATACATGTAGCCGCAGAAGATGGCACACGTACGAGCGCATCTGAGGAGGTCCTGACAATACGCGAAACGTAGGGCGTCAAGCAAGTCAAGAAGACAGACCTGAACGCACGATACCTCTTCCTCCAGCCCCCCTCTGTCGAGATCTTGGAGCAGCGGTTGAGAGGACGGCAGACGGACAAGGAAGAGGCCATCCAGCAACGACTGAAGCAAGCCGAGAAGGAGATTGAATTCTCGAAGACGCCTGGCGTCCACGACAAGATCATTGTCAATGACGACTTGGAGAAGGCATGGCTGGAGTTCAAGGCATTCTGTGTGCCAGAATCATCCTCGTAGCAGTCGCGAGTGTCAACGTTTGACCGGCGTGAGGGTCACAAGAGATCATACGACAGAAGATACAAGGTCGAAAGTCAAGTCAACGGTATAGAGGCGAGGCTGCACGAAGCCGGCGCATCGGTCAATCAGCCTACATCACAATGTCAGGGATGACATCTTCGAAGTTCCATGCATCTGCTAGGCCTAGACCCGATACAACTCATCCGCGCTCTAGGGCTTTAGGGTGTTGTGCTCGCTGATTGGCTGGACTTAGCCACAAAACTGATGCCAACGGAAGCGATATAGCAGTTCAGCACAGCATACAATCAGGCTTACAGTCAGCAAAACGCTCCTCGATCTCCGCACAATAACAGCCATTCAGAAGCGTCCGAAATGTGCTCATCGTATATCTCGATGTCACACCACCCACTGTACCTTCCCAAAACGACCAGTTTCGGGCTGCCAAGAACGCCTGAGGTGCTTTGAGCATGTTTTCTGGAAAGGAAGTTGTGCTTGAGATATCGCCGCACCTCGTCGAACCAAAGAAATGCAATCGTCGGCGCCGCTCCCGCTGCCTTAGCACGCAACCCCACGTGCGAAGAAGGGCCCTGGACTGCGTGGCTGTCGAACTTTGTTTCGAGTGAAGTCTGGGCCTGCATGTGCAAGAGCGGTCAGCCATCTTGGGGATGAGCAGATATGAAAAGACTGATCCTCGCCCATTTTCTGATCCAGTTCTGATGAGACAAAGGTGCTCAACTCCATCCCAAGCTCTGGCTCTGGCAACATGACTTCCACATCGATACGATTGGTACTGATCGTCCTCGCCTGTCTGTGGACTCCTTCTGCCTCTGCCTCAGAAGCTTCTCAAAGACCTCGCGGGTCTGGCTTCATTGGATATGGTAACTCCAGTCCATCTTGATTTGTATGTCAAATCGGCTAAGACTACCAGGCATCTCGATGTACAAGCCCACCTGCGCCACAGCTTGTCGTGATTCGGTCAGCAATCCGCTCAATTGCAATGGCACCACGGACCACCACCACATGGTGAAGCGCATGGGTGGTATGTCAATGGAAAAACCGACTCCAGAATGCTACGCCAACAATGATCGCTTTTTGCAATCCGTGGCGTACTGTGTCTCGCAGCACTGTCAAGACGTCGAGCCCTGGAAGGTCGAGCAGTGGTGGGCGAGACGAATGCCGGGTAAAATTCCTGGCCAGCCAAAACCGAAGGAGACTTATCAAGAAGCGCTGGCGAAGGTCATCATCCCACCAAACACCACTATTCCCGCAGACGAGATGCTCATGGACGAGAACACACTCGTGGCCGGGGATACCTACCTGGCAAATTTCAATGGCGATGATGTATTCGAGAGCAATGAGTCGACGCACGTTCGCTTCGGGTAGGTCACTTGTGTGCAGTCCTGCATGTATGCTGACGTAGAACAGTTTGATCTTGCTCACCACTGGCGCGGCGATTCCCATTGCACTGTCCCTACTTCGATTCGTTCCATTCCCGAAAACCTTCGTCAGTCGGTTCAATGCTGTCCTTATTGACCCGCCTGTGTTTGGTACGAAACACAGTGTCGCCTGGCTCAACACCTTTATCGCTCCTACTCGCGGACAGGCGTTCTTCATCGCATATCTCTGGACCATCAACATCGTTCTATGTTCTGTGGGATATCACACAAGGCGGCCCAATTCCTGGTTCGCAACGGAGGCACAAGAGATCGCGACTTACATCTCCTATCGAACTGGAATCCTGAGCTTTGCCAACGTTGCACTCCTCGTGCTTTATGCTGGCCGGAACAATGTCCTCCTCTGGGTCACGAACTGTTCACACTCTACCTTCCTGCTTTTACATCGCTGGATCGCCTTTATATGCGCGCTGCAAGCATGCGTGCACTCTGCCATTCTGCTGCAAATATACGTCAATCAGCCAGACTACGATTATATGTCTGAGAGCAAGAAGCCGTACTGGGTCTGGGGAATTGTCGCCACTCTAGGCTTGGTCGTTCTCCTACCAACGTCGATCCATCCGATACGGAGAAAGGTCTACGAACTGTTCCTTGCGTGGCACATTGTCATTGCCTTCTTCATCCTCATTGGCGGGTACTACCATGTCGTACTTTGTTTCGGCCATCAATGGGGCTACGAAACTTGGCTGCTCATCGCGTTCGCGTGCTGGGCTTTTGATCGTGTCATGCGGATACTTCGCATCGCTCGCAATGGAGTTAGGACTGGTGCGGTCACAATTATTGACGAAGACTACATTCGGCTTGACATCCCTGGAGTCTCTGCTGCGGGCCAGGCCTACCTTTATTTCCCGACTCTGACTTGGCGCGTCTGGGAGAACCACCCGTTCACCGTTGCAGGAGCATTGACTGCCACAAACACAGCGCAACCATCTGAGCTCAGTTCGCGATCCAGCATTCAAGATCCTGAAAAGCTGCCTACCCATGAAGTCCGGCCCGTTGCTCCTGACGGTAGGCGATCGACACCAGGCTCCTCCCAGCGACTGCAGGCATATCGAGTTGGCCTCAGTTTCTTCATTCGCACGCACACTGGTACCACCTCCATGCTCCGTTCTCGGAAGACTCTTCCAGTTTTGATTGAATCCTCGTATGGGCAGAATGTCTTCGGCGACCACGGAGGCAGCGACCTCTCCTCTTACCCAAATTTGATCTGCATCGCTGGTGGCGTTGGCATTACTGCCGTTCTACCTTTCCTAGCTAGTCACATCGGTCGCAGCAAGCTATTTTGGGGCGTGCGAACAGGCGGGCTCGTGGAAGCTATGCATGATACCTTCGCTGAGCCCGCATATGCTGGCGCTGACATTCAGATCGCAAGGGGAGAAAGACTGGACTTGAGGGCTATTCTGGAGAAGGAGATCAAAGCCGATGCAGGTACTGGCACTGCGATTGTAGTGAGTGGACCACCGAGCATGGCCGATGATGTGAGAGTCATTGCAAGTGAACTTGCCGCGAAAGAGGAGGACTCTGTGATCGCTTTTGTTGAGGAGAGCTATAGTTGGTAGGACAGACAGAACAGGGCAAGAGGTTTTCCATGCTCTCACAGCTGGCAGAAGCCAAATTCAGCTGATGATCTGGGCAGCCAAGTCCACAACTTTACTCGCTCAAAACGCCAGAGTGCAGCGCCTTATCACCAAGTACAGGCTGGACATGACATCTCGAATTACTGGAAGAGGGGAATTTTAGATGTCATGCGAGCGATCCTTCTTCTATGTCCAGGGGACCAGCGACATTTGAACACATTTAGCGTACGTAAACCTTCGCTCTCGGCCATTGTAGAGCGCGAGACCCCGAAACGAGGAGAGTTCGGTGTCGCGCGATCCTGGAGATCCAATGCGCGAAGCTTGGCTGGAGTCTTGGCTTTACCAACGACGATGCTCTCTCCTTAAGTCAAGGCTGCATTACTCAACCGGCTAGAGACCAATCTCTAGCTGACCAGCTCAATCCATTTGGCACGTTAATCTGAAAGGCATTTGTCAAGACGCATGGCTTGTCTCGATGTGGACACAGATGCGAATCGAGAGCTCGAGACAAGCCACTGAACACAACATGCGTATGGACAGTATATCCTCATACCACCGGATGCGTGCACGGCTAGCTCGGCGATGAAATGCCTATTTAGGTCTCGAATGAGCGACCGCGAGCTAGTCTGGCCGGTCTCGCGAGCTCGCTATCCACCATGGAGGTTAATCGCCCTAGAGGAGAGTAGCCAGAGCGGTTTGTCAGTCTGATCAGCTTGTGTATCCACTTGACCTCATACAGAGCAGTCGGGCTTCTGTGGCAACGAGGCCGAAGACACAGCGGAGGCGATAACGACGGCGGGCAAGATGGCGCAGTTTAAATAAGGAGGCACAGATATGCCTGACGACAAGATGTGAAAACAGCAGCGTTTGCATCATTCGAGGACAGTTCTGAGTCTACGCAACACCGCGAGCACTACAATGTCACACCCGACGATTGACACAAAATACTTGATAATCGGAGCAGGTCCAGCAGGATTGGCGTTGGCTGCTTTCCTAGGACGCCTTGGTTCGTGACTCTCAGATATCACGCTGCGAAGCATTGACAATACTAATCCATGGCAGGTTTGGAAGGTATTGTGATTTCAAAAGCAGCATCTACAGCATATGCGCCTCGGGCACATTGCTTCAACCCGTTCGGCTTTGGTAAGGATCGCAGCTTATTACGACGTTGGCACTATGAGCTGATCGAAATCCAAAGAGTGCTTTCGCGATATCGGTATCGAAGATGCTGCTTTGGACATGGCATTTACTGGCGACGCTACGTACTCGATGCGATGGTGCCGCGACATGAGAGGCACGAATTATGGACATGTACGGGGCTGGTGTGAGCATCCGCCCACGAAGGTGTGTCATAAGTCACTCCCTGTCGTGGAACGAGCTTGGAAAGCTGAGGAACGGGACAGAGCATCCTGACCGATCTATCTCCTTGCGGCTTTGCGGAGTTCACTCAATCGCAGATGGAACCACTGCTGTTGAAGACTGCCTCACAACATGGGTTCACTGTGCGATACTCCACCGAGCTGATCCATATTAAAGAGACGACAACAGGGCAGCCTCATAAGTCTCTTTATGAGTGCTCTGTTCGCGATCTGGTGTACGGACAGACATATATCATCCGAGCTTCGTACGTGTTCGGCGCAGATGGTGCACGAAGCCACGTCGGACGAGCACTGAGTTTTCCTTATACTGGAAAGCCAGGCGGCGGCAAAGCCTGCAATATACTTTTCCGTGCTGATCTCTCTCACATCATGATCCCCGAGCGACACGCAGGTCTTCATTGGATCCTGAAGCCAGATCGGGAGAATGGATTTGGTATTGTAGCGCATCTGCGCATGGTACGGCCGTGGAATGAATGGATCCTGGTTGGTTTCAGGGGAGATCAGAAAGATCCTTTCGAAAACATGACCACCGAGAGTCCAGAGCTGGTCAACATCATAAGCGAGCTCATTGGCGACAAATCAGTCGTCATCGAGGTCTTGCGCTTAGACCCATGGAGTGTACGAGAAAGTGTGGCCGACCGCTACGACCAGCACGGTCCGAACGTATATCTGCTTGGCGACGCTGCTCACCGTCATCCGCCTGCCTTTGGTCTCGGAAGCAATACCTGCGTTCAAGATGCATACAATCTTGCATGGAAGGTGGCGTACGTTGATCGTGGGCTTGCAGGACCGGGTCTACTGGCTTCTTATTCGCGCGAACGTCAGCCCGTAGGATCGACTCTGGTCAAAGCTGCCAATGAAGGCCTTCGTGCGCACGCAGTAGTTTGGGAGTCCTTGGGCATGTTCTCTGAGTCTCGATCAGAGGGCGCCAAGCATTTGAAGCAGATCACCGCCTCAGACGAAGCCGGTAAAGCTGCGCGTCAGCGTCTGTCTTCTGCACTGGACCAGATTGGACACGAAATCCAGAGCTTGGGTATTTGCTATAACCAGTGGTACGACGACTCTGATGCAGTATACACGCATGACGAGCCCGGTCCTCGCTCAGGCATTCCTGAAGACCCGGTTGCAGACCCGCTGATCACGACATACCCGGGCAGCCGGCTCCCGCACGCGTGGCTCGACGTCCCAGATCGTGGGAAGAGGATATCCACGCATGATCTCGCCGGTAAAGGGGCTTTCTGTCTTCTGTTTGGCGAAGGCGGCGCATCCTGGGGTGATGCAGCTAAAAATATCACGCTAAAGACTGGAATTCCGATCAATGCTCATGGCATTGGACTTGGACTTGAATATATTGACATTGATCGAACTTGGTCGGCGCGTCGAGAAGTCAGTGAGGATGGATGTATACTGGTACGACCGGATCGGTTTGTCGCTTGGCGTGCTCAAGAACTGGAGACAGATTGTGAACAGAAGCTTATGCTTGTGCTGAACAGTATTCTTCGTAGGGATTGATTAGTCAACTTATTATTCGGGCTGAGATAAGAGTGCAACGGAGCGACAGAGGCTACAGTATGTTTTTTCCCAAGTCTTCTGACATTGACGTCTAAATTCTCCTTAATTGATCAAATATCATAGCTCCATTGATCCGGTCTGTGGCTGCAATCGGGCCCGAAATAAATCAGGACACATGGAAATGGAAAGTTCTCAGCCTTGGTGGCTTTTATCGTGCAGTTCAGCTGGAATAATTGTGTTCCAATCAGACTGCGGCCCAACACAAGCAGCACTTTTTAGTGGAAACGTGGTCAGGTTCTTGCATATGCCGAGGATTCGTCGTGCAGGGTTTCTATTCCTGCCGCATCCTCTACGGCGCTTGCTCCTAGCAAGGCTGTCGCGACGTATCAGCTCAATATGCCAGTATTTCCTGCAGCTTTCTGCTTGTATGATACCGACAAGTGTTGCGTTGCTTTCCATCATGAGCCTTCGATACAAAGTCCTGTTTTTGGCGCTCACGCTGCTCGTCAACACAGCAGAGTGTGTGACACAAGCTCGACTGAAATTCGAAAAATGGTTCCCTTACTATTCCGAGGAGTTCCAAAGCATTCTGTCGAACTGCACTCAAGAATTAGAAGCATACCGCGTCAACAACAGAACATTCTGCTACTCGAACTGCGCATGCGTCGCCGACTGCATACTCGAAGAGGTCAAGGAGACGACGAAGTCAAACATGGCCTCGGCATCGATCGTGCTGGGTTTAATGCCTTCTGTACTGGCTTCGCTAGCACCAAGTATAGCAGAAATGGCATTACTGTCAGCACGTGCTCCCTTCCTAGCAGGCATATTGTGCTTTGGCTGCCCGGCAGCACGTTACGGCGGTATGCCAGATGTCAAGGCCGTACTAGCCGCGAAAGACTCCAAGGTCCTGGCAGCCTTCCAGAGTTTCGTCCAGAATAGCTCAGCGAGCGCGCGAACCGTGCTGAGAATATGTCTGTATGGACTCGCCCTGGCATCAGTGGCCAACACCGTCGAGATGTCCATCAGAGTTGATATCAGAACGATCTCGGGCTGGCGGTGCGGCCAACTGTTCATGCCACTGATGTGGAGCGAGATGACATTTGTTACTTTCGTATTAGGCATGATTGCTGTGCGGACGAGAAGATCGAGACCGACCGGCGATACAAACCGAGAAGACGATCAGCAGTATTTGATAGCCAACGCTTCCAGGACAAGATCCACTGTCAGCAATTTCCGATTCGACATGGACAACTTCCGCCGGCTGGCGAGCGCCGAGGACACTGCAACGACGGAGCCCATCTGGTTCTTCTCGCTCTTTGCTGCAGTAGCACAGACTTCGTTCGGAGTTTTGGTCCTGTCGTCGCTCGTGTTCATTTCCATCGTCGATTCGATACCACTCTTCGTTCGATATGCTGCTAGTTGCATTGTTGCGCGCTTGATTGTGACTTTTGAGCTGACAAGCGCAAGGCTTGAACGGACGGAAGACCAGGGTTCTTATGGTATGCTCGAGCAGTCTGGAGTGGAGCTACAAGATGTTAATGCAGCTCGAAACTCTGTTGTCAGCACAAAATAAATGAAGGTGCTGGCTCCTGGGTGTGAAAGAAAGTGGACTGTATGTGAAGAGATGAAATCACATCAGGACGGCTTCTGCTCGGCGTACGTGGCCGACAGTAATGAATCCTTTCATCGTCTGCCTCACGATGAGAATGCCGAGGGTTGTAAAAGAACGTGGTCCAAAACGATCCAGCGCGAACAGTCTCCACTGAGTCCGGCGTGAAGCATTCCATGTCTGCTCCATGAGGCTGCCTCAGCTCATTGTCTTGTGCGCTTGTCATCAATCGATTCAGAAGGCATTAGAACATGCTCGTCTGCGTGATGTCTGCCCCCGGGGACGCGTTTTGTGTTTGCAGGTCGGTTTTACGTCAAATTTGGCCAAAAATAAAAAATTGCACACCCATTACAGCACCCCCACGACGACGGCGAGGACAATGGCAAAAAGAGATGCCCTCTACTGGATTCGAACCAATGACCTCATCATCACAGGCTACTGAGGATACTAGTGATGCGCTCTACCCCTGACTATGGTGTTGTTAGTGAATGGTGTGGATGTGAGTGAAGATGAGTTGACATACGCTAAGAGGGCTATGATTGGCTGTAATTGATGTGTAAGCATAATTCTCGAACGTATACAAGTGCTTGCAATATGCTGGGCCGAGGCGGTGTGCAGAGTGCAGAAAATGAAAAAAAAATCGTTCACTTGGTTCGGGGTGGGTCTTGGCTTGGCGCTTAGCCTCTTTGGGATTGTTCCAGACCGCAGCGCTACAACTATTTGGCAACGTCGATGAACGTATAGTAATATCTGGAAAGGGTTCTGCCCATGATCGAAATATCATTCAATGTCGTCCCAACTATACAACACAAAACGGCTCGTGTCTTCAGACCGGCACCTTGTAGTCCTCCGCATTCATATGCTTCGGCCATACGCCATTTTTTCCAGGACTCAAAATGCCCTTCGGATCCAAGGCCTCCTTGATCTTCTCATTCAACTTCAACTGCGCATTATTGTTAAAGCTATAGGTCTTGGCGATCTGGTCCATGACCGCAAGGTGCGTTCGGTATTCTCCCCAACCTCGTTCAGCAGCGTCGTCAATAAGAGTTCGGATCAGCCAGTGTGCACGCCGTCTGCTGTCTGGATCTTTACGGTCGAAGACAATACAGACAATGTGGTGCATTTCTCGCATGCCAATGACGAAAGTTCCGATGAAATCGAACTTGGCTTCCTCACAGCGTTTGCGGGTGACTTCGTATTGAGCCACAGCATCGTCACCGGAGACCTTGGCGATGGGACTGAAGAAGAGGTGAGATCCGTTGGGTAGCCTATCAATATCCATTAGTGAAAACTGATATATCAGCACGGATTTATTCACTCACCAGTCCACCCATCTGAGCTCTGTTGTGCTGGGAATGCCTTGAAGTGTGTCGTGACGAGTCTGCAGGACGAGATTGTCCGGCTGGTCTTGTGGCTCGAAGTACTTGGCTCCCTCGATCGTGAGGAACGACTGCTTGATGACCTGCAACATCACTTGTCGCACAGGCTCTGGTCCATAGACTGCACCGTAGAAATTCCACCGCCCAAGATTGAGCTTTTTGGCGATATCATCCAGCTCTTCGTCTGTAAGCAGTTCGGGAGACTTTTTGTACGATGCACGATTGCCCATAACAGCAGCATCGAGCAAGATATGGCGCATGGTAGGGACATTCTGCAAGACCATGCCCACGCGGAGTGGCCGGATGATCTCGATGGCTTTGTGTAGATCGGAATCCTTGGGGAAGGTGATCATATATGATTGGTATCCGCCAGCTTGTACCTTGTCAGCCATGTTCTCGTGTCAAATAGTGTGTTACGTGGTACTCACGATTCACCATCAGCCAAATACCCATCTTGACGACGATTCCAAGCGACGATTGGGTGAAGATGCCATCGTTGTAGGGGCCAAAGCCATAATTGAACAAGCCAAATGTCTCGTTCCATGCCTGATCTTCTGGCCTAGCATTCGGGTCTGCCTTTGGATTTGGTAAGCCCCCCATGCCACTTCGCCACAGGGACCCGTCTGGCAGTACGACTTCCATTCCACAATGCATCATCCAGTGGTCGCCATATGGAGTGTAACCGACACCTCTCTCGATGGTATTGCCGATCACTGATCCACCGCCGAGATCTGGAGTATCGATCCAGAGCTTGTCTCGTAGGTTCCTTTCGACGAGGTAATTGTGAAGATCCATGAAGGTGACACCAGGCTCGACAACAGCGAAGGCTCCATCTTCGTTGACTTCGAGCACTTTTCGCATATTGCGACCCATGTCGAGACCGATGGATCCGGGAACTCGAGGTGCACTACCACCATAGCCTACGTTGCGGCCGATTGAACTACCGGCGGGCGTTAATGAAGCTCAGAGGACGGGTGATGATCTTTCACTTACAAAGGCCAGACTGGAATCACGAATTCATTGCACAGCTTCATGATTGCTTGCACATCGGCTACATTGCGTGGTGCTACCACAGCACTGCTGACAAAATATTCCTTCTCAGCAATATAGTACATCTACAAAATTCGTCAGTATTCATGCCACCAATGATCGGGGCCAAGACTGACGTCGTGTGCTTTGCTGGGCTCCATATAGTCTTCCTGTTGAAGTTCGGCATCGCTCGATACAACAGTAGCGTTGTCAGTGCCAACAATCTCTTGAACAGCACTCATAAAGTCGTTGAACTTCTCAAGTGTTGTGTTAGGTGGCAAGCGCAGAGGCCGAGCACCAGCATTGCCACCTTCTGGGGCGCGAAATGCAGCGGAGGCTGGTCCGATGCTGCCATCTTCGCCTTGTAGTTCATCGACTTGCTTCATTGTGACAGATTTGCTGGTGGAATTGAGACTGGGGTAGAGCTAGAGGGGACAGGTACCACTCAGAGGCATACGACGATTCTTATATGTTCACCATTGTACGCGGCAGTACTGCTCCGTCCTCCAGTGGTTCGGCACTTAGATCTCTGAATACTCTGGGCGCACCAGCTTGATCGTCGTGAGGGGTCCTGCCGAAAGTGGGAAGCGTGTCGTCGGAAAATTCCCCACACGTAGAATGGCTGTTACACAGTCACCTGATGTTCTGTAGGAGGTATTGCCACACAGATTCGTGGCCAATGATATGGTTGTTATATCGAAAATCAAGCGTCAGCATATCGAGCCCAGCGAAGGAGGGTGCCTTCTCACGTGGCCAGCTGCATGCTTCCAAATAGATCAACCAGCTTGTGTACTTGGCTCATATCCGACTCGTCGTACCGACTGAGCAGCTGGCTGATCAAGCTCTTGCCAGCGAATCCGTTGGTTTGATCGTAGGATTGCGCGTGCATGCTCTCCGAGCTGTTCAGAATCAAGTCTGCCAGACACCAGAATTCTGGGGCGTGCCTGGCGAAACCAAGTCTCTTCCAACAGTCAGCAGCACGAGTTGGTGTCCTCTCTTCAAGACCAGGCGGATCACTTCTCTCCAACCAGATCCTTCTCCAAGCGTCGAGAGCTCGTCTCACAAGGGCAGTTTGACTTGTTGGTAGCGGGTGACAACGAGCATGGAAAAGCTGTACGTGCAGTGCTGCAGAAAGGTCAATTAGATCGTGCATGCAGGTGACTCAGCGGCTCTTTCGAGCAACAAGACTGCTGGCAAGGGAGATTCTGGACGAACTTACGATGAACGAGAATGAAGAGGTTCAACGAGCTCATTGAGCGAAGTAGAACCTCATCTGCATCTGATAGACTGTCCGCCCACAGCATCGAAAGAACTTGATGTACCAGCGGCTGTCGTTGACCGAGCTCAGAGAGCGCATATGACTGAATGGCATCAGACCAGGCTGACACATTATCCGCTTGGAAGCAAAGTTCTGGGCAGGACAACGAGAATCGAGCTTCGCCTGGAGCCATGCGTGGTGGAGTGTTGTTGAAGATGACGTATGCTGTGTCGAGGAGCACAACCTACAAGCATATAATAACGTGTAAGCATTTGCTGAAGGCCCATTGAGAGATGCGAAAACTCCCTTCCTGCTGCACTTACGTATGTCAATGTGCGTATCAGCTCCTCTCTGAGAGCAAACTCTTTCCATGCCTGAACTCTCGATGGGCCTTGAATGTAGCGCGAGAGGTCCCCATGGGAGATGTCTTCATTGCAGACGCTTCTAAAGATGCCGATGATGTCCGTATAGCGAGAACGTCTGGCTCTTCGTTTCGCTGCCTCGGCGCCTTCCCAGGTCTGTAGCAAGATCACACAATATGCTGCTCTCAGCGCGTCTAGGCGTTCTTGAAGCTTTGCGAAATTATGCGCGCTGCTGTCCGTTTGCAGTGGATCGTCTGTCAGTTCAGGTGCTGAGAATACCCATTCTTCAACCGCATCGAGCCAAAGCAAGGCAGATTCTCGATGACCTGTTACGGGGCTGAGGCATGCTCCGAGTAAGGCCATGACCGCGAGGAGCGTCGAAGGGGATTCGGCAATGGCGAAAGTTGGTTTGTGAATGATCGGACAATTCGGATGCCACAATGCCCAATATGCGGCCAGGTGGAATTGCAGCTGGGAAGGTGTAAAGAAATCATAGCAGGCAGTTTTGAGAGATTCGGGCCAACCTAAATCAGAACCTGTTCTCCGAGCAAGCAGCTCGCTACTGCGTTCGATGGCCGCGACAATGTGATGAGACTTTTCGGCCACTGTTGCGTCAAGCTGCGAGTCGACATACTGGTAACCCAGACAATCGATAAACATAGCACGCTGTTCTAGACTTCCGCAATCAAACGAGCTCGCAAGACCTTTCGTATCGGTGAAATTCGACAAGAACTCGAGGCGGCGCACGTTGGGCTCCAAAGTCCAGTCACCACGATTAGTGGTACCATTCGGCAGCGGTAAGTCGTCAGTCGCATCGTACGTGTACGTCTGCGATTCGGGGCTAGGATCCGAGAAGGGTTCGATTGGAGGCCAGTCATGTGGATTAGGCGTTGTGTTATCGTTGGGCATCGAGACCGACACGGCGTCTTCAGCTCCGAGCTCACGTTCATTTGCTTCATCGTGCGTACGCTGCAGCCATTGTTCGACATCAGACCGACTACTCGTTGCAGCTTTTTGATTAGTACTTATACGATCGGTGTAAACGCATGTCTGCTTCCGGTGCGCGCACGGAAGACACGGTTGAGTGCCATTGCAGCCTTTCTTCTGACGTATACAGGAATCACAAGACTTCCTCTTGCGGCCCCGTTGCTGAACTGCGATCAGGCTGGACGCGGTTTTGGTGTTGGGTTTCGCCTTGCAGGTCTTGAGGTGGCGAACAAGAACATCGCGGCGTGCGAAGGCTTGACTGCAAAACGGGCAGGAGAAAGGCCTGTCATCAGAATCTGCCCGGATGGGTTGGAAGTCAGCGATCTGCCCCACCCGAGCAGGCAGTCGATAGTACCTACGCACGCTCAAGTTATGCCTCTGCAAGTGCTCCAGCTTGCCATACGTCGCAGGGCAAGACTGGCACTGGAAGCTTGCGCTTGCCGCCTCCATTGCACAATGTGTTCGTCGGCAATTGTCGAGTGTATCAGAACTTCGGGAATTCCCCACCGGCTTGTATACTGACTGCGGGTCGTCGAGCTGAGGGTCTTCACTAGAGCAGGTTGTCAGCTTCCCCACTTGCATCTCCGCGTGGCGCAAAAGTGTAAAGTGGTACCTGCACATTTCCTGCTTGGCGTTCTGGACCTCATTGAAGTGGTGTTCGTTCAGTCGTCAAATTCCTGCCTCAGCTATTGAGTAGTTATTCTGCTTCGGTGTGGAAAGGAAAAGTCTAGGAAAAGTCAATGCGCCAGACCGACCATGCCATTCTTAAATCAAGGCAATCGCTTCAAGAGTGCGAAGTAGCTCCTTCACGTGCGTAATGCTGATTAAGAATGGTATTTGCCGTTGTCTAGCTACAAAGCATAGCTTGACCTTCATATCGCTTCATAAATTAATTCTCGCTGCCATCATTAGCTATCGGGGCGGTAATGGTGGCGGCGCAGGCAATGCCCTTGGTGGCAGTCGCGGTTCTTTTAGCAGAACGAGAGTCTGATTGTCGAATGCCGGTACCGACTTCCTTCGGATCTCAAGATATGGATATCGATCAATACCGTACTGATCTCACATCAGCTATCTGCTATCAAGAAATTTCGGGAAACAGGCTTACCGAGACCAAAGTCGCATGAGGCTGATTTATGCGATACCCATGCCACGTCAAGCTTTGCCAGGTGGGCTCAAAACCGCACAGTGGACCAAGTGAGCTTTCGAGATCGGCAATCGTCATATCGCCTGTTGCCAGTAATCGATGGTTGTAACCGTACTCGTTTTCAACGATAATGCTGAATTCCGGAAAGATATGCACTCCTGGTATGCTTTCGGCAGACATTGATGAACAAGACGACGTTGATCTTGCCGATGCCATGGAACATGATCGTGCGCCCAGCCAGTCAGACAAGGACCCAGTCGTGCCAGTATGTTGTGAGGTAGATGAGAAGCGGGACTCTGGACTCGGTATGCTGCCAGAAGGGAGCGACTTAACAGCTCGAATGATGTCGTTCGTGATTGTTGCGAGCGTGAATTCGACGTCGCCGTCCATCCGTTCCAGTTCGAAGTTGATCTCGCGAATCGCGAACGCGACATCCAATGGAATTTCAAGTGTGACCTCGACCGACATTGTGTTAGTGTTTAGCATTTTCGAGCAGGTTGTATACCACTATGCTTGATCTTATATTGTCAGTGAAGCCGTTGCGTGTTTTGAGCTAGTCGTTGAGTCGGTATGGTGACCCTGTAACGGCCTTCCAAGCAGCTAGAGCTGAGGGATTTAGACTACCAGACTACATGCGCATCTGGCCTGTGATGGCACTAAGTGGTATCGTGAAGTTTCGGTCTCTGTACTTGCTCAAATCCTTGCGTCCGATGACCTTTTCAGCCTGCTCGAGCGAAGGAGCGCCTGCGTGATTCGTCATCTTCTTGAGCGTAACGGCAACATCGTTCTTGAGTTACGAGCGGCTGCATCGTGTCTACGGCCGTCGTGCGAGACATGAATGATGTTGAGGGTGTGGTTATGTCGCGTCGTGGACGCGGTGCGAGAGATTTGTTTCCGCCACAATTCGTCCCAGCACTTTCGCTGCTCAATGTCACCTGATGGCCATTCGGGGGACGAGACAGAAGTGCAAGCAAACGGAGGCACGAGCAGTGTCAAACCAAGACCTGCAATGTGTCATCTGCATACACAGATTTAAGGAATGTAAGCTCAAGAACCTTTCGGGGCTCTCCTGCCAATAAGCTGCCCTAAACCCACTGCCAAAAGGGTCGCAAATTGCCAGAGAGCGTGATATAGCCTGTTGTCCGATCCCCGAATGCAGGTGACAGATTGTATATACGTCCTTCACAGCCTCGCCTTCCCTTGCTCTTCCCTCGCTTGCTTCTCATACTTCTGCACATCGAGCCAAGCCATCTCGCCCATCGGCTTCGCCTGCACGCCATATTCCAGCGCGTTCGGACTACTCGCCTGCCGTACAGCATATCTCGCTGCAATACCCTGGCAAATAATCGCGCCACGATACAGACCAAACGCATCGCCCCAGGTGAGTTCCTTCTCCGAGTACTCCCAGTCTACGACTTCATGATACCATTGCAACACCTCTTTCCTGGTCGGCAGGCCGGGGGTGTTGCCATCTTTGAACCTGTCATTTGCACGGCCTATGGACTTGGCGAGAGGGCTATCGGCAGACACCCAGGGAGATGTGAGATTGACAATGTCGGACAAGGGATGGCCAATGGTGGCCATTTCCCAATCCAAGATGCCAATGACGTATGGCTCTGTTGGGTGGAAGACCATGTTGTCGATCTTGTAGTCTCCGTGTACGAACGTTCCGCGATCTTTGGGCTGCGTGGCCGGGTTCGCGAAGAACTTCACCATATCATCGTAGTGTGGAATAGCGCCAACAGGCTCTCCTGTCTCAACATCTTTCGTTTGAGCTTGGGCTACACTCAAAGTCGCAAACGTCTTCAGCTGTCGGTTGTAGAAGTTGTTCGGACGTCCAAAATTCTCCATGTTCACACTCTTGGGCGATACACTGTGGAATTTGGCCAGAGTCGTGACCGCGCTCTTCCACATTGCTCGTCTGTGCTCCGCTGAGACATCTGGGATCAAGGGATCCGCGAAGATACGACCATTCAGGAAGCCCATGATATAGAACGCAGTGCCCACCACGCTGTCGTCCTCACAGAGGCATATCGCTTTCGGTACAGGCACAGCTGTATCTTGCAACGCTGCTATTATCCGGTATTCTCGGTCGACCTGGTGGGCGGTTTTGGAGAGGAGCTTTCCCGGAGGCTTCTTTCGCATGACATATTTGGCGCCCGTGGAGTCGGTGAGGAGGTACGTTGGGTTCGATTGGCCATATCCGAACTGTCACAAGTGTGTCTTAGCGTTGGGTTTCTCGAGCATGTACTGGACTTGGCTGGAGGCTGAGCGTACCTGCTTCACATCTATGGGTGTCTTGATCTCGGGCGCATTCTGATCGATGTATTTGGACAGATTGTCGAGGTTTATGGGTTGTCTGATGGGGCCTGCCATGGTGGTGGCAGTCTGGTAGGCAGGACTACATGCTGAACCGTCGCCCAGGAACACTGGACGTCTTCTATGGCGCCTTGGGGAAGCTGCATTGCCTTGGACCGAGGCTTTCGACCCGCATTGACTCGACTTACGGAAGTGGGTCTGCTTAGTCACCGACGGCAATCTGACACGTGAGGGCAATTGGAACCGGCAAACAAATAGACTTGTTTCGAATCTAGGTGAATAGAAGCGAAACAGCCGGAGCATGCTCTGCCTTCATCTTCCAGGCTATCAGCACTATGCCTGAAAACTCCTCACCATAGTCCCCAATGCACCGCAGCATCATGAATCTACGCCTCTGCACTAATTCTACTCCCCTTCCTTCGCCGCAGCTTGCATTGCTTTCGTCGATTCGAGATAGACTTTGCTGTCGAAGAATTCCTGAACTTTGACAAACTTCTCGCCTGTCTCGTTGAACTTGAAAAGCATCACCACTTCAAGCCGGACAGGGTGGTCTTGAGGGGTCAGAATGTTGAAAAAGCCATGAAGCACACTTTGCAGACTTTCTGGGTCATGTATGATCGATTCTGCTTCAATCTGGCGTAATATCGAGTCAGAATGTAGGCTTTCTCGTAACAACATTGCAGGACACTAAAGCAAGCAACGTTTTGTGTCTCTTGTGATTGTCAAGCACCCGCCATTCACTGTGCCAGAGCTGATACGGACGTGGTGATGCATGAGGGGGACCAGAGGACAAAACTGCAGCACGTACCTTGAAATCTTTGAAACTCGGAGCGAGGAAATTGATGAAAAGGTCCTTGAATTGCTCTCCATTCAATGATTCCCGACCCATCGACAGAGGGCGTGCCTCAAAGGTGAAGTCTTCGGCCTGTGTGGCTTTTGTAGCCTCGTAATCCCACTCGTTGTATGCGTGCACCAGTGCTTGCACAGTCTTCTTCATGTTCGCTAGTGTCTCAGACAATTGGATGGTAGACATCGTGAAGGACTTTTGAATCACCTTGGATAATGGTTTGAGTAAGTTAGGGTTAATCGATCGCGGTAATTCTCTGGAGCAAAGCCGCTATGGCAAAGTCTGTACAACAGCTTCATTGCTGATTATATATCCTTCTGTGCTGTATCATGAATAGGTGGTCAACGACGCCAGTCCAAACTCCTCGACTCGGATTGATTACGATCTCGAGAGGAGTTAGGGATGTGTCTCCGCCATGTGTAAGACTGTGTTACCCGGAGTCTTCGGACCACGCACCACTCTTACACCCGGTGGGATTCGTCCCAGGTTCTTCGTATTCTGAGAGCTTGAGTAGCTTGTACCTGAGCTTCTTCGTGGCATGGCCCTGGCATCACCGCTGTGATCGACCAGCACCAAAGCATAGCGTAGTATCTTTGCACTGGCCTGTCACATAAGTCCAGAAGTACCTTGCACAAGCGAAAACGGCACACAGCTGGCCGTTCGAAAAGCCGTTCCTGCAGCGGTGCCTGCTGAGCAATGACATGGTGGCCTGCCGTAGATAGGTGTTTCGGGCCAACGAGTAGATCCGAGTTACGATTCACGATGGATGCGAGGTCTCATCTGCCATACCAGTGGTTGGCGAGAGCTCTCCAGAGCACGGCATGGAGATGACAGAGCATGGAGATAGGACGGGTTTCTGTGAAGTCCGGATAGTTTGGATGAGGCTAGCTAGGAGGTAGCTAACGTGTTTGATAAGCGAGTGAGCCAGATAGGCATGTGAGCCAAGCCAAAATCGATCGATTTTCGGACGTGCGGCACGACAACGCAAGCAGGTAAGATTTCTAGAGAAGTACTTTAGGAAGCAAATTAGGTACGCATAAGCAGAATCCGAAGTTGAAAGTTTCCCCTGCCTTCTGGTACTTCGTCTACGATAACTTTTAATAGTCCCACTACTTTTAAAGTAGCGATTTCCTATCCTATATATCATAGCGCCTCTAAACTTCGAAATATCATAGAGCCTCTAGAGCAGAAGGTATCTACGTATTCGCAAGTCGATAGCGCCTAGAGGTGTCGAGATTTGCATTTTCGCAGAATCTCAAATCACGTGGTATTTCGGCTGGCTCACATGCCTATCTGGCTCACTCGCTTATCAAACACGTTAGCGGGCTGTTCCGCACACTTTCACGTGACGCGTCACGAACTTCGACTTTCTGGCGCAGCACTTTTGCGACAAGTACAACCACGACAGTCGTTCTACGAACCGCCCACCATGCCTCAAGCACAGCCAGAACTGAAAAAGGTGAGACTCACGCCGCGATATCGGGAAATGTTGGACAACATCCGGCTTGCAAATGTCGACGATGAATTCGGGTTTCCGAGATGCGCGCAAGTGATAATAGCTAATGAGTGCAACAGTACCTTGACAAGCGCGTCGAAGTGCAGCTGAATGGCTCGCGAAAGGTCATGGGAACACTACGAGGCTACGATGTGAGTTTATGAGCGAGGGCGATCTGGAGTTCAGTCGAGACTAATTGGGACACGCAGGTCTTCCTGAACATCGTCCTCGACGAAGCTACCGAAAGCAAAGCAAACGGCGACAAGGTCCGACTCGGCATGTGTGTTATCCGCGGCAACTCCGTGGTCATGATGGAAGCGCTCGACAGAATAGGAGGAGACGACCGTGGACACAGAGGGTGAAGAGGAGTTGGGTATGATTGACTAGAAAAGCAAAAGCGCGAACTACGCTGCAGCCTCGCGGACGAGTGCGTTGAACGCGTCGACATATGGCCACAACAAGCGCATTGGACAGCCTGATTGCCAGGCGAGGATTGGATTGAATGGGCGGAGGCGTTACGGCGCCAGATAGGACTTTGAATGCCAGGGTAAGCCGCCCACAATGCTACTACAATTTGAAATGTTATTCACACCAATATTCCACAGAACGAGGACCTGCAATGCGGTGCAGGGCTTCCAGGTAGACTCCGAGCTGGAAAGCTCCAGTGTTGTTCCAGCCTTCCAAGCAGGATCGGAAGAAGCATTCGATCTCCTCCTCACGCGCGGTGGGTGCTCGCGGCGTTCCTGTTCCTTCCTGCCAGAAAGAGCAGCCCACACTCCGTGCAAGATCCGGCCGTGTCGATGCCCACTCAAGAAAAGGCGAATCCGGCTAAAGCACTATCCAAGCCGCCAACAATAAAACTATCACCTTGCCCAACAATCCGCCACTTCTAGTTCCAGAGGCCGCATTTCGATTTTGCTGTTTGTTCACCCCATCATCGCCGCAATTGCTGCCATTCGTGTTTGAGATATCAGAGCAAGCTGTTTCACGCTGATTAGCAAGCTGCCCAACCGTGCAAGACAAGCAACATACTTGAGGCCATGTCCGTGCTTGCACTCCCAGAACTTGAGCTTCCTGGCGATGTCAAATACATCGTGGAATATGGTACCGACATCTTTGTCTTTCGTGTATGTGATCTGACTCCTTGCAAAGCGGTCGAGCTGGCGTGAAGGGATAGAGTGGTAGTTCTAACGTCTCGGCGAACAGTAGCGTCTGTCAAAAGTAAAAGAACGGAACCAAAAGGCAGCAAAACGATCACGAGAGAAATCAATACAAGAAGGAATGAACAAAAGAATGGGCAGCCTCTGTACAAGGAGTCTCTACAGAAATTCGTCACAGATGTATGTATGGGCACGACTTCTGCTACAATCTATTTCCAGTCTGGGTAGCATCCTCTATTCGAGTCAGGCTGCCATGGTTCATTGGAGCGGAGGGCACTCCGATGGAAACGCGTTCGGGTTCTCTGAAATGATCTTCATGAATGCCATTGTTAAAGTGCGTAGAGCGTGCCCGCTTGCAAGCATTGTGAGAGGGTAGCGAACGTCATGTAATGTAAAGGAGTTTTGGTTTTCGTGGTCAGCCGGGTCGGGGAGAGTTTTGTGGTTCTTCCGCGTGTGGCGTCGCTTGTCGTTGCTTGCGTGAACGGCGGACCCTTGCGATTGAAACCGTGGCTTGGTTGTATGAGGTGTTGGGGTCGATTGGTGGTTCATGTGGGTGAGAAGTGACGACCGTTGTGCAAGAGATGGAATGCGCACAGTGCGTTTTGAGTGGTGTTGAAGACGATATTCAGTTGCGAAAGGCAAGGCCACCAAGTTGACGTATGATGCGATCTATGAGTTCCCCTACGACACTCGAAACAATTCTGCAGCTCGACACCAGAGTGCTCATTTGATAACTAGATGTAACTCAGGACAAGTCGTGCAAATGAGCCATTTTCCTGGGCGAGCTCGACCAAACACCGCACCTTTGAATCGCCAGACATAACCGACAACATCCAAGCCAGGAGACGTCTGCCTCGCTTCTCCAGTTCCACTATACCACAAACTTCCAGTCAATTTGTGCCAGGCAGAGGAGAACGGGTAATTTTGTCGAATTCGATGCTCCGATCAAACTTCAACACAGCTTCCTCATCCTCTTCCAGTACCGCCTTATCTCTCCCTCCGACCGGGACCCAAACCCGCTGTCGTTCACATTTCCGATGCTTCTCGAAAAGATCCAGGATATCTCCCAGTGTCGCGTCTTCCCCGAGTCGGTCTGTGTCATGGATCTTGACGGGCGACCTCAGGAAACTGGCAGCTCTGAGATGGAAGCCACCCTTGCCTATGCGCACACGCGTCCACGATGGCTGTGGCTCAGGAGTCTCATCTGCGAGCTCACGGTCATATTCAAAGATGCTCCATACTTCAAGACGGTTGCCAATCTTGAAATAGGGATGTCTGTGGCGTATTCCGACTTGGAGCAGTGCGTGTTCCAGTGCAGTGTCCTTGCCTATATTGGAATTGAGCTCGTAAACCTCGGAGTCGAGAAGCTCGCGTGATAACGGGATCTGGTCGCCTGGGATATTCTGCGACTCGAGATGCATGATGCTCTTCAGTTTCTTTGATCGAGCGATTGTGGCGTTGAAGTGCTGGTCGACGTGCTGCATGACAAAGCGGTCTTCCAAAGGCAAGTTGACGAGAATCATCTCGAGTAGTTCGGTAATCCCAAAGACACGTGGTGCAGCGATAGCTGGGGCCGGCACGATTGTGGTAGGCTGAATCGGGAGCTCGAGCTGCTGGTTTGTTAGATTCTGTATGTGCGACCGCTGGCAGCAAAGACTTACATTGGGCGACACCTCTTTTTCGCCTCCTTCAACTGCCATGCCTTCTTCTTGCGGTCGCATTGTTGCGACTCGAGCTGTTGTCGTTATCGAAGTTTGAGAAGTTCTGCGAATTATTGCTCAGCGAGCGAGTAGTTGCTTGATGAAGGTGAGATTAGTGGTGAGACTAGTAGACTGTACTAGCGTGAGCACCGGGCACAATATTCACGTTCTATTCACCTTCAGCGACACGTATGCTTGGCGTATCACTCCATCGCGTCCCACTCCATTCACTAACGCTACAACTGAAATTGAGAAGACCAATCGGCCGTGATGAAAAAGAACATTCCATTCCTCAATGCAGCTATCCAATCTTTGGCGCCCGAACGGAGCGACAGTTCAGAAGCAGAGTAGCCATGGTCCATCACATCGAGCGCACCGCTGTGGAGAGAAGGTTATTGCACTTTCGAATGGCCTCTTCAGCTGAATCTCCCCAGGCTCAGGTGTGCATAGAAGAGATGCCTCTCACCTTCAAGGGAATTGGTGACCTCCGTGATGTTGAGCTCATGTCGAGAACCAAAAGATGTTGTTCTTCCACGAGTGACCTTGACTTATCGTTCCACTACAGAATGCCAGGTCACCTGCCAAGGGCCATTGCATACGTGCCTGACTTCTCCAGGTCTGTAGCATCAGGCGTGCCGTTGCCAAACTCCATAGGCCAAGCATAGCAGCCCTACCATCACAAGTGAAGGCCACTCGCACACCAATTTCGCCGAATTGATCAGAGATGGCGCTGGCCTTGCTTCGTCCGCATGCATTTGCTCATTGCTCTTGCTTGTCGCAGGGTGCCACTCGCCCGGTCGCTTCCGACACTGCACCTTTCCGTTGCGTTCGCGTTTTTGAAAGCTCTCCAAGATATCGCCCAGTGTGGCATTCTCTCCCAGTTTGATATCCTGAACGACGTACCCACATCTGTGCTCTAGCAAAGCTGCAGTAGTGCAACCCCTCCTTCCTGCCCGCATTCGTTTCCAAGATGCTGTTGAACTTATGATATCTCCTTCAGATCCCATGCGCATGAAAATGTGTCTCACTGACAGCTCTTGCGGAAAACAGAGTAGACCTGCACCAAAGTGTTGATGCCCCATACCTAGAAGGGCGGTCCTGAGAGCCCCTCTTCTCTCCAGGATTCTTTCCAGTTCGTCGCAGGGAGAAGACCATCGATAAATGCAACGTTCGATATGTCCATCAGAGATATCTTGCAACTCGAGGTGCATGATAGTCCTTAGTGCCTTCGAGCCGGCGATCGTGCTGTTGAAGTGCTTATCGACGCGCTGCAGGACAAACAGATCCTCAAAGGGCAGGTTGATTAGCACGTTCTCGAGCAGCTCCGTAATTCCGAAGACTCGTGGTGCAGCAATTGATGGCATCGATTCCGCCATCGGAGCAGCTGGCCGTGACGACTCGAGCTGCCACTCTGTCAGGTTGTGTGAAGGTGCAAACGCTCAAAGAAAGGACTCACCGCGAGCGCCGCTTCCTGCTGGCCGTCGTCGGCTGGCATGGCGATCTTTGGTGACGGTGTGTTGAAATCCGGTGTTGATGAATCTGTGCGAAGCTCGGCGAGCTTTCCAAGTTGTCTTGGGAATGGAGCAAACATCTGCTCTCCAGAAGCACGACTAGCTGCATTAGCGCGAGCTGCACCCTTGTTACTCACTTTCAGTTCACTGAGCTCCGTTCACTAATTTTGCAAACCAAGTTTCCGCTGTGAGATAGGAGCCTTGTGATCGAAACATATTCCATTCCTCAATGTAGCTATCCAATCGATCATCGACACAGAATGCCTAAGTCTTCAAGGTCCAGATGCCAAACAAATTCTTAACTTCAAGCGCTTGAACGCGACACAACAGTTTCAAATTTGCAACAGAGCAAGGTAGAAAAGAATCCAACGCCGAGGTATTCCAAATCATATTCAACCAAGGACTCCAGTAGCGCCACCCATACCGTCATAGTCATTATGTACACCACTCGTGTACAGCGCTTTGCATGCTTCGCAGGGTCAAAGTGCGATCAGTGTGTGCCGTTTGCATAACCATTGGTATAACCATTGGCGTAGCCGTTGGTGTGGCCATTTGTATACCCGTTGGCGTGGCTCTTGACTCCATTTGTGAACCCGTGTCCGTTTGTGTAGCCATCGACTCCATTAACGGTCCCGTGTCCGTTCGTATACCCGTTCTTAAGGCCGTTTATGCCATTGATGACAGCATGGCCGTTCGCGTGGCCATTGACTCCATTGGTAATAGTGTGTCCGTTGGTATGCCCGTTCGTCATCGGCAATCGACCGAACTCATCCCTCACAGCATTTCCAAATCTGCGAATCGCCTCGTCGATCTTATCGAACTGCGCAGCAGCATATGTGGCGCGGAAGAACATGGTATCTCGTCTGGCAATCTTGTCGGCGCAGAACCACCCGCCCTTCATCAGCAATGTGCCGTGTCGGACACATGCCAAGAAGATGTCATGTTCGATCTCCTCAAGCGTCTTGGTGCCGTTGATGTAGGCAGGGTGTTTCTTGTAGTCGACCTGTAGCCAATGGAACATGCCAGCAGTAGGTGGTGACCACGAGACGAGGTCTTTGGGAAGGTAGTGCTCGCAAGCTTCCATCATGACATTTCGTCGTTTCGTGTATTCGAGGCGGATGTGCATAAGCCAGTCGAGGTAGCCCTGGTGTCCCCACGTCTCATCGAGGAGCTTGAAGAGGACGATCTGACTGAAGCCAGAAGGCCCTTGTGTGCAAACGTCTGCGTGTGTGCGGAAGCGATTGCAGATCTGTTCGGATGCTGTGATCCAGCCGGTTCGTGAACCCGGTGCGATCACTTTGCTGAAAGAGTCGGCGCGCATAACACGGCCATCAACGTCTATCGAAAGGAACGACGGTACGATCGAAGTCAAAAATTCTGCGTATGATGATGGTGGCGGTACCGGTGATGAATCTTGGCCGGTATAAGGCTGCATTTGTAGGAAGTAGTATGGTTCATCCTCGAAGATGTAAAGATCGTGTTTCTGGCAAACGGCGTAGATCTGTCGTCTTCGCTCAATAGATTGTGTCGAGCCAGTAGGGTTTTGTCCAGTCGGTACTGTGTACATGAGGAACGGCTTGGGGCCTCCACGTTTGACTGAGTCCCAATTTGAGAGCATTTCGTCGAGTGACGAAGGAAGCATTCCACCTGCATCCATGGCTACTGCGGCGCATCGTACACCCATTGGGATGGCAGTCTCTATTGCTGCAGGGAAGGAATATTGCTCGGTGATGATGAAATCGCCAGGTCTGCAAAACATCCTCAATGTCATGTCCCAAGCTGCAGTAGATCCAACAGTCATGGTACAACTCCAGTCCTGGTAAGGAGGATTGTGCACAATTTCAGTATGCTCGACGAGCCATCTCAGAAGTTGAGGTGCTCCATGGCCATGGCCGTAGTTCAACGCGGTCGCCAGATCGAATCCCGACTTTCCCTCTGCCATGTCGTGCATTCCCATCGAGATGATCTCGGTCTCTGCGTGCCCATTTTGTTCTTGCCCCAAATAGGACGGTCGTGGGATTTTGACGTCGAGTTCTTGGAATGGAAAGTATTCGGACGAAGGCAGACCACCGCCAAGAGATATTAATCCAGGTGTATCAAGAAACGCAGCGGCTTCTTTCAATGAACTGCCGCCTCTAGTCGTCGTCTCACGAGTCAGTCGATCTGATAACAATTAGCGATCACGCTTGTATACATGCAGCAGCTCGAATGAGAGACACTACTCACGATCCCACCTTTTGGCGAGGCTCTTGTGCAAGTGGCTTGTTCGACCCTGGACGAAGGAATCAGCTGGGCACTCTCCACAAGGCTGCGCGGCGTCGTTATCAGATCCGTACCTTGAACCGACTCAGGTCGGCAGAGGCAGCGACCCCGGCCTTGAGGGTGCCGGACGCGGCACGCCGCTTTGCAACTTTTTCTATCGTCAGGCGATCGGGTATGGGTATGGCAGTAGCGTCGGTGTCCGCATAGGCCTCCACGCGGAGAGAGTCAATGGCAGCGGGTGGCGCCATGGCAGCGATCGGTCCGCGGCGTGCTGCTGTTGTCTAATCGTGTGGACGGGAGCGACAGTGTTGCGTGGGATGTTGAAGCGCGTGGAGGATATGTTACGAACGGAAATGGGGAAGTAGTGGGTGGGCGGGCGTCTGAATAGGCAGCTGGTGGGCTTGACCGCCCCTCTCGGCCTATCACACCTTGATGGAAATGGCCCGAATAGGTGGAATGCCACGCTTTCCCCCACGAGTACCGGCGGGACGGACTGGGACGATGTACAAGTGTGGGATGAGAAGGCTGACGAAGGTTATTGTTGCATCTGATAAGTTTATAGGAAGCTTGGGGTGCGCAGGATGTGTGTTTTCTCTGTTTCCCGTGAATGAAAGGCGAATGAGAGCGGTGAGATGCTGGTGAATGCAGTCACACGAGCTCTTGACATGGCACGATAGGGCGCTGCGATGTGGTAATGGGAACTGCGAAATTGCGGTTCCAACCGGCAAAACGCTGCCACGGGCAAAATCCGTTCGTCCTGAGCGGCCGCCGTCGCCTGCATGCACCCCCCAGACAACTCTAGATGACGATAGGCACAAGCTGCCACGAAATGCCCATAAAGTTCCTGGGCGCACAGCTCGAATTCACTCACCAGCGCTCCGACTGTTGTCGTCCGGGGGCGAAACCGAGGTCCGTCGTTCCATTCCCTCACAACTCCTCGCGTCGGGGGCCCGGGAGCGTCGCCAGCAGCAGCAACACATGAAAGATTGGCAATGAGCGGTGACAAACGTTCCAGTCGGCTGGTGGGCCTCACCGACAGCGCATCTACACCATGATCCGTATTCGCCCATGAAGCTTTGGAGCTTGGAGCTCTCCACTGGCCAGCGCAGCGCGTTTCTTGGTGCCGGACGTATTGCCGAAGAGGCAAACCTTGTGGACTTCAAACATATGCCCATCTGACGATGATGAGAAGCTCGAGAAGGGATGTGGGAGTACAGGGCGCAGAGGAGGTGAGGTCGACTTGATGGGGCCTTTCCTGCTGTGTGACAACGCAGGAGCGGTACGGCTTCCTGCACCATGCAGTTCGCATATGGGGGAACGTTCCGACCTGTCCGCCTTGCTTCCTGCCACAAGCGAAATACCAGTCTCGCGGACGCCGCCCTTTCGGATGCGACAGACCGATTCCACCTGGATGAGGATCAATGCCAGGACAATCTCACCGTTGTCGGGCCCGCGAGATGGAGGTTTCGCTCGGGATTGGGGACCATTGGCCGGAGTCGCACCTTGCATCAGACGGAGCTCTTCTCACGCGACACGCCTCGCTGACTGATTCATGCCGCTCGGGCCTACGTCTGACCGCAGACACTCGTTGCCTCGTATAGATCTCGTTGCTGTGAGCCATCGACCGGTGTCGAGCAAGTGGCGTCACGCAAGCTCCAGCTTGTGTCATTGCATGTGAAGGAAGGCTGGTATTCACACCACCGGGCGCGAAATTTGCATTTTCCCTCCGAGGTAGGAGATACAGAGTGGAGCTGTCGCTCTTCTTCACAGACTACTTCTGCAGCGAGAGATGCTACTGCATGCAATACTGCATAATTGATTGACATGTCCGGAGCGGCAAAGCAGGTAAGCGAGCGACTTCAGCATCGAGGCGAGCCAGCCGATGCACATCCTGACAAGGTAATTCAACAGAGCTACAGCCGAGGAGGCAATATATATGTGATTCGGGTCCAGAGCAGTCTCAACACGAGATGCAGCAACCACAAGTAGCTGGCCCTAACAGGCCTTGAAGGCAATCTACATTGCAGAGCGCTGAAGCAGCCAGCCCTACTCTCCAACTGACAAACACAAAAGGCAACTCCGCACAAGGATCTATACTTGAGTACAAGTCCCATGCTCTCGTTACTCGCCGATCACATATCACACCAGACCGGAGTGTGCATCTCCGCTGTGAAAGCAGAAGGATCATTATCCAACACTTACCTCGAAATATATTACCACCCCGCGCTTCTCCACCTGAGCACAAGTCCGCACATCGATTATGTCCGAAACGAAGAGAGGAAAATCCACTTCACTCGCTTGATCGCGCAGCCTCGTTGAATATCCAAAATCATCTCCATTCAAAACTGCTCCTGCGAGGGCTCCGAATCAGTGATAGCAAGTAGAATGAACACCAAGGTAGGCCTTTCAGAGCATTAATTATTAACCTACTAAACATCGAATTACCGGTATGCCTCATAGAAGAGAAAGAAAATTGGCACAGCCAACAAGCCACAGCACAGCACGAGATCTTTATACCCATCGTGGCACGCAGGTAGCAACAAAATGTCTTTCGCTGAGTCCACCAAAAAGACGCTTGCTCGCTCCAAAACGCAAGTCATTATGATCCTCAGATTTCATATCTCTCCCTGCCTTGTCCGCTCCAAAAGTCGCGACTCGCACCGCCAGCGCCCATTTTCAGCGAAGAACACTTGCTTGAGTCACAGATCCAACCCTGCGTGACATGCACTCAGCTAATACTGCTCATCCGGACACTCGTAGGCTAAATGCCCATCCTTTTCACAGAGCGCACACCATTTCTCCTCATCACCTTCGCTCTTTTTCTTCTCGCCCTCCTTCGCCACTTTCCCATTCTCCTCTTCTCCAGCCTTCTCCACCAGCGGATCCATATTCTCCTTGCTCGAATTCTTCCCAAATGCCCCCAAAGACAATGGTGCGGGAGCAGCACTAGGATGTCTCGCATGCTTGAACGACGCCGAATAGTCCTCGTCCGAATCCGGAGGGTGGTCACCCGAAGCGTCGGTGTTGGTGGAATCAGGATGCGACTGGAAGTGGTTACAATCCAACGTGTCGTGGTCGGCAGACTCACACATTTCGCAGTACACAGCGGCGGACGAGCTGTCGGAAGGCTTACTTCCGCTGTCGATATCGCCGTTGGTGGCTGCTATTGTGCGTTTGGCGTGCTCGGCAAACGTTTGCTTGACTGTGTCGCTGCGCGAGCGCGCATAGGGAGCTTGATCCGGAGTGGCTGTCATTTCGCTCTCATTCCGTGCATGGCCATTAGTGAGAGCGCTGTCCCGACGCAGCTGCTCCAGTTCCTGCTCGAGAGTCTCCTTTTCTTTGTGGCTCTCATCGAGTGCAGCTCGCAGTTTGTTGACTTCGTCCAGTCCCGTGATGCTTTTGCTAGAGTCCGGGCTGGTCGAAAAGGAGTGGATGATTGCCTTTAGTCCTCGGATCTCATCTTCTTTCTGTTCCAATTCTTTCGGCGAGATGCCCCCGCCATTCGAGGCCATGGCAGAAGCAGCCTTCTCCCTCTCTCGCTTCAATTCCGACCTGCCTCTTTCCACTTCTCCCCGCAGAAACTCGACCTCTCCTCTCGCCTCAGCTTCACCTCTCCTCGCGTCTTCCAGGCCTTCTTCGAGTTCTTGCACAAAATCTTCCAGCTGCTTAAGCTGCCTTGCTACCTCGTCGAACTCCTTCTTGCTCTGATTCAAGTCTTCGAGCTCTCCCAACCGCTGTGACAGTTCCTGGACCTGAGCGATCAGATCCTGTTTCTGCTCTTCATAAACGCGCTCCGTCTCTGAGCTCGCCATTTCCAGTGAGTCCAGGGTACTGCGGAAGTCGGCTCTGTGGGCATCAAACTCTGCCGTCAGGATTTGGATCTTCTCGTTCTTTTCCCTCAGCATCTGCCGGAGTTGTGCGGTGCTGGCATCGTCTTCGTCGCGGATAAAAGAGGGCTTGCGGTCTAGTTGGCCTTCTGTAGGCAAGAGTCCTGATAGTTCCTTCACACTGGCCTCCATGTCTGCCAGATTTGCCGCTTGCTCGGCCAGTCTCTTATCCCGCTCTGCAAGCTCCGCTCGCAGCCTGTGTAGTTCCTCGTCCGTTGCTCCACCCATCCGTGATGATGCGCGTAGAGGCTGTGAGAAGGACTTGGTGGAGCTTTGGCTGCCATTCCTACGATCTGCGGTTCTAGCAACTCCGACTGGTGTTCTCTCCTCTTGAATGTCATCAGGTCTGTGGCCGAGTCGTGACCCAGTCCGCGAATATGGTCGTGGAGTGGGCACGGCATTGGACGTTCGTCCGGATGTAGAAGCTTTCAGGTTCGGCTTTCCTGGTGTCGTGGCTGTTCGGGTACCCCTCGTGCTGCTCGCAAGCGGGTTGCGCGCAGGGGTGGGCTGTAGATTGGGCGTCTGCCTCCGCAGTGGTGACTCTGGCCGCGGCAGAGATGGCCTCCTAGGCTTGAACTGCGGGCTATGTGGCCTGGCGCCAGGACCGAGCGACTGCGAGAATTTGGGAGCGGCGCCGCCATTCATGCCAGTGCTGTAGGTAGGGGTGAGGGGCGTGGAGGGGAAGGAACCAGGCGACTGTCGTTTCTCGGCGCGGTGTACAGGCAGGAAAATACCAGCGCCGGGGACGGAGGTGCGGAAGTACTGTGTCCTAGACAAGGTGTCAGTCAGATGTTCACCCTCCTGTGCCCTCTGTGAACGACCCTACCCATCCACGTCGCCATCGTTCTTGCCCCGCGCCGCAAAGTCCTTGTCCAGCTCAACGCCCACGAATGTGCCATTCTTCCCGCGCACGCTGCCCACGAATTTGACGATGCCGAACATGTCGCCGGGCACGTTGACGACATCGCCGACCTCCAGGCCTTCGCCGTCCATCCTGACGGGGGTGACGCTCTTGTGTCCGTTGAGGGCTTGCAGACTGGCCTTTCGCGAGGCAGCTTGGGCGGAGGCGCGCAGCGAGGGCGAGGACGCGGTGCCGAAGGACGGGCGCTGCAGGCCACTGCGCGGTGTTTGCAGTGCCATGTTGATTATTATTGACGTTCCGGCGGGAGATCCGACAGGCGCAGCTGCACGTCGCGGTCACTGGCTGGGGTTAGGTGGCGTCGCTCGCCTGCGTGTGGAGAAGGTTGTTGCTATGCCACGAGCGTCTGCAGCAGCGCGCGCAACATGTCCCGTACTGGAGCAGCAGCGGCGCAAGATACTCGACGGCGAGATCGGTGTTGCTGCTATAGTCGCCTCGAGGTCGTCGATCGGGCCATGACAAACGCATGCGCGCGGGGAGGGATATTTGACAAGGTTCAAGGTAAATTAATCTGCCCTTTTCCTCGCAGTAGAATCGCCCAAGCACAGCACGACGCTTGCCGTTTCTTCGGGCCCTGCAGACAGACGCGAGAGCGACGCAGGAACGACGCGTTCATCTCTCACCATCCTGTCATATCGCGCCGTGGCTGCGAACAGTCTGAGCGTCGTGATACGTCCACGCGCATCACGACAAACTTGATTCCCTCGACGCGCAAACAGTCGAGACCCTGTCACGCAACCCAAACTTTCGGAAGCCTCTGCCGCTAACTAGATCTGCGCCCAGTTTCACGCCCAGACCACCAAATCTACCCAAACCCGACCAACTGTCTTCATCGTCGTTGAGTAGCGTCGTCATATCGATCATCAGCGTGAAGGCCTCATGTGCAAAGCCGAAGTGCAACACTGACCAAAGTCTCAGCAAGAGCTCCCATTTCTCCCACATTGACAAGCAGGAAAGTAGTACATCAAGCTTTCTCCTGAATACACAAGCACTCGGAGTCCAACCGGATACCGGATGACAAGTCGACAGACTGCTGGATGTCCATGGCCATGGAGTTTCTTATGATTGAGCGTCCTCCTCGCGCACGAGGTGAAGGAAGGGATTCTCGAATGATCTTGGGGCTGCACCGTCTCAAATGTGGCTCTAAGGACGAGCAGAACAATGTTGAGATGACCGCACACAATGCTTTGATGTCATACTGTATACGATGATAAACTAATCATAGGGTGCCTCGGCACATGCTGGCGAGATCGTCGAAGCCAGTGCTCGTTCGAAAAGCAAATGGGTATCATGCAAATAAATACAACAGCACACGTGGATGCGCCAGGTCTTGCCTTCACAGAACCACGCAACGCGATGCGTGAAAGTCCGTGATATGATATTTCTTCATATCGATATCGTCAGCAATGGATGGCGCCGATTCCCAGAACTGCAGCACGGGAGCTGGAGGATCTCTTGAATGAGTGGTGATGCCCGAAGCTTGCTGGTCGAGCGATGTGCTCAGGCGTGAGATTCGTCGACGCGTCGGTACGATACTCTGGTGCCAGTCAGGCTTATTCAGAAGAACGCCGACAGCTGGGAAAAAGTCACCAACCGATCACTGATTTGCAAGGAGCTGTAACGCACTCTTGAAGGCGTTAACCACTTGGATGTCTAGCATGGACGTTAGCCACGGCAACAGAGAGGAGCATGCTATCGTTGCACTCACAGTGCAGTCGCTTCTGGTCCAGGTCATATTCTTCACGCTCAACATAGGCCATCTGCGTCTTGAGTCTGCAACAAATCGTCAGTGGTAAGGCAACGATGGGGAAGCAAACTGCTCACCGCTTGAAGCTGCGAGCTGTCTCCTTCCTGCTGCCCACGACTGCCCAGGCCTCAAAGAACTGGGAGAGCATCAGTTCTGCTCTTTTGATCGTTCAGACATGCTACTCACATCCATGAGCTGGCGACAACCACCCATAATCTCGCTCTCGCGCTGTTCCAGGGCAGTAGTCTTCTTATGGTACTCATAGATGAGACCTTCCCAGTCGAACCCTTCGATTGGCTGGTCAGGAAGTTCAGACGCGTCCTCATCGTCCACGGAAGAGTCGATGTCGTTCTCTGCCTCATCCTCGGTGACTGGCTGATCTTGTACAGGCTTTGGAGTTTTCTTCGACTTGGACTTTTTCGGTTGTGGCTTTGCCTTTTGTTTTGGCTGTGGAGTGCCTGGTGCTTGAGCTGACTGAGGTGGCCGTTGGGACAAGCCTTCAGTATTCATATCTGTTTCCCGCAATGACGGGCCTTCATCCTGTGAGACGTTTGTGACAGTGTTCACCGTATCAGTGCTATTTGCACGGTTCTTGCCGCGGGTAGACCCTTTGGTTGTGTCGGATTCAGCATCATCTTGCCTACTGGAGGCACGCTCTGCTCGCTCGTTCATTTTGTCATGCGAGCGCTTTGAAGACGCGTTCGCGGACTTCGATGCAGCATCTGGCTTTGCCGGCGGAGGCATGGCTTCACTCGAAGCGATGTCTGTCCTACTTGCCTCCATCTCTCTCTGCGTCGGTGAGGACGGTGAGCTTCCAAGCGAGCTCAGCGGCGACGAGGGCTGGTTCGAAGTCGTGTCAGGGTTTCCCTGAGACTCAGGTGAGAGATATGTCGATGGTAGCATGGCAAGGTCGAAGAAGTGATCGGCAAAGCGATGGCAAGCGCGAGACTTGGTGTGACGCGACTTCCAAGCGCGCTATCACGTGATGCTTGAATAGGATTGGCAGCTGCGATGGGTGACGGCGAGCGCGTTACCGCATAATAGCATTGGAGGCCGCATGTACGATGTACCGTTGGCTGTAGTTTTGTGTTCAAAGATACAGAGGCTCTCATTTATCAGTTGTAGCGCATCATCATCAACTCCATCCCCATCTTGCCCAAAGCAACGCACGGTCCGGCCTCGCGCGATCACGCGGACGCGGCGGAAGATGACCTCAACTCGCGATCCAGATCTACAACATTCACGCACGTGTGGTGACCCGATCTTTCTCATCACCACACCACGCTTCCAGAAATCATGTCGAAAGCATAGATCGATCCCTGAGCGATAAATCCCTCCTCCCAACGATCATCAACATGATCAGACATCGCTTCCCGCTGTTCCTCGACCGATTAGTAGCCGTCGCCGCAGCGAGCGCACGCTGAAATGGATTGTGACATATGCTCTCGCCCTTTTGGAGAACGCCGCAAGCCTCTGTGTGCTAGTTGTGCGCAAGTCTCTCTATACGATGGACGCCTCAAGCAGGCCGCCGCATTGATCGATCAGGAAAAACATCGTGCACAAGCAGAGGCAGTAGTGCGACCGGGCAATGATGGAGTGCTGGCAGCCTTGCCTGAAGATGCCGACCTCGACGCTATCACTACTGGTATGAGAAAGCATGGGCTGGAGCGCTCACAAGCACAAACGACGGCCGCTGAGCTGCGGATCAACAGCATCGTGGACAAGGCCGCCGATCTGAAGCGCGACCTCGAGCAGTTCAAACAGCATATCGCAACACAGAAAGAGGATGCTGCCAACCGACGTAAGGCGCTTGCGGTAGAGAAAGACGAATTTGAAAGAGCAAAGCCTCGAGCTACGGAACCAGTGGTATCGACTACCAAGAAGGCATCTCAAAGGCTTGAGAAAGTGCGCAGTAGGATTGTCGATGCTCGACTCTTGCTGTGTCGCGAAGCTGCGTTGGCGATGAGCTTTCATCGACGCAAAGGTGGAGATGGAAGGTCTGAATACGTCCTGGGCAGTATTGTTGTGCCAGACTTGCGAGAGCTCAACATCAGAACACAGCCTGCAGCGAAGGCGCCCTTAGTCGGCGGGAGAACTATTGCAGAACCACACGACCTGGTCTCGGAGAGCTTCGAGAACGTTGCACGTCTGCTGAACCTCTGCGCGAATTATCTGGGAGTGCGTTTGCCAGGAGAGATCCTACTTCCTCACGAGAGGTTCCCTCGCGCTGCTGTCATGCCAGAGAAGTCAAGCTATAAGCATAGCGACATCGTCTTTCCTGGGCTGTCTTCCAGTCAGTCTTCAAGTCCTGCGGCATCTCGCATCATCGAACACAATTTGCCACGCCCTCGCCCTCTCTGGCTCGAGAAACCTCTCGCTCAACTGCTTAAGGAGGACCCCAAGGCTTACGGACTGTACATTGAAGGCATCACGATGCTCGCTTACAACGTTGCATGGCTGTGCAAGTCGCAAGGTGTCGATGCCATCAATGGATTCGATGACATCTGCGCTGTCGGCAAGAATCTGTATCAGCTACTGCTCACGCAACATCGCAAGCACCAGCCACGGCCAGCTCTCGACCGACAGACGACTGGCACATCGAGCAGAGTGACAGCGACATCGGCCAAAGACGCACAACAACAGAGTGTCACTCATCTTGGGGTCTTCTCGCACACTTCAGCTGCGCACAACCTCTTTGCAGCCGAAGCCTCCGAACTCATGAAGAACTGGCGACTGGCGTCATCTACCCGTCTTGCGGACAAGTTGCGCAGCCATCTCTACAACGAGGTTTCTCGCGCCGAATGGGATGTGGTCGAGATGGAAGAATGGGACGATGAGAGTGCTGGCGATGCACCTGTACTAGTTGGTGGCTCTCGGCGCCCCTTTGAGTCTCGACATCCTGCAATGAGTGTCATGACTGTTGCGGCGCATGATGGTGCTGAAGAGGACAGAAGCTCTTCTGCTGCGGATGAGAGTCAGAAGAAGAAGCAAGCCAGCGGGTGGATGAAGGTAAGAGGGAGAGGTGGAGAAGGGGCCTGATGCGACACAGATCCGCAATGAGATGGTATGATTGGAATGAAACGGTATGGTTACGAGTCCTACTAGATACCCCTTGGCAATACAGTATATGAATGACGCTCACGATTGGGTCGGACTTGACAGACCTCGCTGTGAGCCTGCTCTCCGTCCGAGGCAATCAGATCTCTGGTCTCGTAACCAAATAAGCCTGCTTCGCATCTTCCGTCTCTCGCCCTGCTAGTTGTCTTTCATCGTCTCCAGCTACCTCCCCGTAACTGGCCTCGTCGTCTCATCTCCCGTCTCACCCAATGTCTCACCAAGCGGATTCTTCAACGCCTCTCCTCCCAAACTCCCCAACCCTTTCTTCACATCCTTGAACTCTTTCACATCCCCCGCTGGCCCATCGGGCACTCTGTCCAGTTGGCTTTGGAAGAGATGCGAGGCTTTGTTCTGCAGATCAGACGCGTTAGCAATTGGTAATAATTGACATGTGGAATTTGTGGAGGGAAAATGGCTCGCGAGACTTACTTCACCCATTGTTCGCAGTGCTTTTCTCTCCAAGTCGCGTTTGAGTTCGGGTGGGATGCCGACTAGGTAGACGTAGGCTGCGAAGATGGCGATGAGGACAAGGATCGCGGCCGATATGATGGTGAGTGAGGACATGGTTGTGTTTTGGGAAGCTTAGGTCCTGTCTTCCAAGTTCAAAGGTAGAGTGTTGTGAGTTTTGGAGAGTGGGTGTGGTCTTGGTGAATTATGTTCTTGTTTGCTTGTGTCAGTTGGTGATGTATTCACGGCTGCCGGTCCGAAAGTGTTGCGGTTGCAAACGGTCGCTCCTACGCGTACATCTTGCATGTGATTCTTTGTATTTAGCAGGTGCACTTCGCTCTTCGCAGTCTTGAACATCAGATGGGGTTGAATTTGGGTGACGAGACACTGAATTGCTTGTATATTGCTTTCGATACACCTTCGTCATCCGCCCTACCTCTTGATCCACCCCTGAAGACATGATGTTATCTTTCACACACATCTCGCCTGCTGTGCCACATGCATTTCCCTGTTTTTGAGTTCAGCAGTGCAAGATCAAGTGAACGTGTAACGCGTTCGTGACCCCACCATGATGTGTTCTGGAACGCTGCCCCGCTGACGTAACAAGCTCAGTCGGTGAAACATTGAGGCATGCTCTGTTGGCGACACGCAAGCTAGGTAGGAGCTATTGACAGGATTGGACTGTGAACCTCTGTTGTGAAGTCCTTCCTTCGATCACCATCACTCTGTAAGGCCTCTAATCACAAACCAACAATCCGATCAACGATTTTGCATCAGGTTAGCGAGAACGAAACTCAGTCGGCATTTCAAGGTTCACTGACAACTTGTCCCAGTCAACATGGCCTCAAACGAGTACTACGGAGGAGGTGGTGGCGGGGATGACTATGGACGTCGAGATGAGCGTCGTGGGGAGGGCGGCTATGGAGGCGGACGTGACGAATACGGATCTGGAAGACAAGAAGGAGGATACGGAGGTGGTAGACAGGGAGGTGGTGAATATGGAGGAGGTAGGCAAGAAGGCGGTGGATACGGGGGACGAGACGAGTATGGGGGCGGACGACAAGAGGGCGGAGGCTATGGAGGTCGCCAGGAGGGCGGATACGGCAATGATTCGTACGGTGGAGGTCGCCAGGAAGGGGGTCGATATGACGGAGGCCGCGACGAGTATGGCTCTGGTGGTCGACAAGAAGGCGGTTACGGAAACGACTCGTATGGTGGCCGCCAGGAAGGACGTCAAGAGCAAGGCTTTGGTCACCAATCTGACCATGGACGTCAAGAGGGTTCCTACTCTGAGGGCCAGCGCTATGGCCAGGGCCACGGCCAGTCCAGCGGTACCTCGTACGGAGGTGGAGGCGCATACGGAGGAGGTTCTGATGACTTATCTGGCGCCGAGCACGAAGCCCGTCAGCACGCCGGCGACAGCGGAGACTCGAGCCTCTTCAGCACTGTCCTTGGTGCTCTCTCCGGAAACAAGAATAAGATCCAGGAAGAGGACATCGATGAGGAAGATGCTGTCCGGCAGCACAAGCAGTACTATGGCAATGAAGGAGGATCCGGCGGTCAAGCTACAGCAGGGGGCATTGGCGGTGCAGCTGCCATGCAAGCTCTGAAGATGTTCAACCAGGGCGGTTCCTCGTCCGGACATGGCAGCAGTGGTGGCGGCCAGAACGCTTTCATTGGCATGGCCATGGGTCAAGCTGCCAAGTTGTTTGATCAACAGAGTGCACAAGGCAATGTGCAGAGCGGGGACAAGCAGAGTGCAGTCGAGAGTGCAGCCAAGATGGCGCTCAAGATGTACATGAAGAGCGAAATGGGTGGATCGGGAGGTGGCTCGTCCAGCGGCGGTGGTGGTCTTGGAGGCCTGATGAACCTGGCTAGTAAGTTCATGAAGTAGGCCTCATGCAGTTCTACGAAAGAAGTGCAATGATGCTACGAAGAGATGAAAAAAGACGTGCGTATACAAACACTTTGGTGAAGACAGCAAACAAGCAAGCTGGTCGATAGAAGCCCAAAAGCAATGCGTTCAAGATACTGTCCAGTGCTATGTTATGCATCATATGCAGAGTTGTGGTGCTGTTTCCGTGAGATTGCCATTCCGGTGGTGTTTTGCATTGGAAAAAGGAGTCGCAAGTTTGAAGGTTCGTGTCGTCGGCTTGTCTTGGGACGAACGGTCGCAAGGGCAAAACCGCGTGAGAGAGGAGATTCGGTAACGGCGAGCGCAACGCGTCCATGCCAGCGACGACACCACCTCCGTGCAGGACGGCAGCGCAATGATTGTATCGCACGGCGATGCCAGTTCAATCGCGCGAACGAGCGCCCGGCGGTCACGCTGTCGCTGTTCACGCTCCTCATCACGCGCCACGGCCGCATCACCCCCTCCAACACCACCACCACCGCATCGCCGACGCCCACGAACCACCGCGCCCCGACTCGCCCGACACGATCCAAGTCCTGCCGCGCACCTTTGGCGTCCCGGCCAACGGCAGTCATGTGGCACCTGCCAAAGATGAAGAGCTGCCAGGACAACCAGCGAAGAAGAAGAGGAAGTTGAGCATCAGGACCACGAACAACCATAGGCTGGAGTCGTTTGGCTTCGGCGCTCAACCCAAGCCGCCCGCTATCATTACGCGTGCCGCACCACATTCTCAGCTGCGTCAAACGATTAATGGAGTTACCACCGCGCTGAACGTCGATGAGGATGAACTGTCGCGGCCACCCACTCCTGACCGGATGCCGAAGCGCGTGACGCCATCGCCTGCGCCTGCGACTGCACCACCAACGGCACAGCCAGTACAAACCGCTCCGGAGAAGAGAAAGAAAGAGGATCGGCGGTCACTGCGGAGCCAGGATGAAGGACCCCGGCTGAAGAGCGAGCTGGCAGTATACTTTGCCAACTACGAAGATGTCATGTTCGATGCGCCTACCGAGGAAGAGGACTTCTTGACAGTGGATTCCTCGTTGTACATTGCAGAAGATACGGCTAAGAGGAAAGATGGCGAGCCCTCCCCGGCCAAGTCAAAGAAAGGCACTCCACGAAAGGCATCGGCCAATGGCACCACAACCCCAGCTACACCTTCACGGAGTGCTTCGCATATGACAATCGCAAGTCCGAGTGTAAACCTCGACTTTCTGGCCAAGACTTTGAGCGAGACGCCGGATGATCCTCTTACAGACGAACACTTCCTCAAAACCCATAATCGCGCTGAACGGAAAGAAAAACAGCTTAGAAACATCGAACGCGAGCGCGCTATGCATGAGAAGGTGCAACTGGAAAGGCTGCTAGATGGCTTGCAGGGCCACGACTGGCTGAAAGTACTCGGTATCACCGGTATCACAGACGGCGAAGCAAAGAGGTACCAAAAGAAACGCGACTATTTCATCAGCGAAGTACAGGCGTTAATCGACAAATTTGCGCAATGGAAGGAGCAAGAGAGGAGACTCCGAATGCGGAAAGAGGCTGCCCAGGCACGACTAGATGCGGCTACAGATGAAGGCGATAGTACTGCCAGCAGTGTCGAGCCACCGAGCAGCGACCTCAATGCCTCGGCAGCTAGACAGCTTCAGCAGGAGACAGTCAACGCCGTAAAAGCATCAGCCTCGTCGAAATCCAAAGGCAAATTACCCATGTACAACGCTACCTCCGCAACCTCAAAAGCTTCAACGCCGCTGTCTACGCCCGGTCTCATACGCACAATGCCGCCGCCATTGCCTCCTAGCCCCGAGGTGCCCATCACTAGCTTCTACTCGAAACGTCACTTACGAGACGCCGCATTGAGCAAGTCACGCCAGACGACGAGAAATGTCACAGCATTTGGACATCCTGTACCGGATCTGCCCGAGCAGGAGTTTGCTTTACCAGAGGAGTTGACCACTCCCGATGCTTTGCGCGCCAGAGCAAGGGAGAGAAGGCGGAGAAAGCGAGAAAGTGTCGCGAAGACTTCGGGGTCGTAAAAGCCCGCTGTGTACGACAGAAAAGTAGTCCAGCATTTCACTGGCGTTATGGCGGATGAGATGTAGGGTAGGCGGTTGCGAATCGGGAGGTCATGGCACGCGCTTAGGTCTGCAGTTCCTTTTTGGAAGACATAGTTGCAGTGTGTATTATACTCTGTAGCTTCCGAAATCGGTATCGATCGATGATGCTAATTGTACTATTTTGCACGTTCTCGCGCTCAAGTTTCATGCTTTTCGCTTTCAGAGATTGGAACTTCCAGCAAGTGCAGCACAGTCGTCTGACCCGGCAGACCGGGACCACTATTAGCTTGGCGAGTCGTGAGGCTGCACATTAATGTACTAACAGCAGCGATGATGACCCTTCATAAGAAAGACTATGTGCAGGGGCGAAACATGATGCCATAGGCCGTGCGTTGAATTGTACAATGAGGTTCGCTTTCGTATATACAGTCATCGCTACACGGTGACCATAACACTGGCATTCTTATACCAGCTCAGCAATGCATTCTCGCCAGACCGCATTTGTGTGTCCTCGACATATGCCCAGCGTTGAAAGAAGTCTTCATGCGTCATGACTTTCGTCAACCTTCCCGTGATCGCTCTATATATATCTTCCATCACGCCAAAATCTGTTGGGAATAGAATATCGAAGTATCCTTGTTGTACAAGTGGTGTTCGCACGAGGACTGTTCGACGTTGATACCGTGTCTGCACGACTGGCGCATTGTAGCCAACAGTCGCTTGGGGCAGGCTGTGGAAATCCGATGTGATGAGACGATGTGCTGGGAATTTGTTCGCCAGGATTTGGAAGAATTGCATCAGTCGTGTGGGAATGTATTCCGGGGATGTCAAGTTTGGTGCAAAAGGCATGCGGTGCTTCAGATTTCTCAACGCCTTCGGTCCGCTCAAGGGGTGTGCATAGTGTCGATCTTGACATGCAGCATCTCGAACTCGCAAGAAGCGAGCCGCGACAGGATCCAGCGTGCGGCTGTAGAACTCGTAGAAGTCGCCCTCGCTGTCGATAAGCACAGAGCCCTGCATGACCTCCTCTGTGAAAGGGTCGTATCGAATCACATCGTGCGCAAAGTTATCGAATACCTCCATGGCCAAGAAGAAGCAAGGTGTGGGCACATAAACATCCCAGTCGAACATGGATTTGTTGATAATTTCAACCTTGTCCTGATGCCCTCGTGCTGAAGCCGAGGACTTGAGTTTCTGTCCCTGTAATTGCGCGAGTGCAGTCGAAACTTCGATGATTCTGAACTTTGTCCGCGCGTACACTTCCGGATCTGTATGTCGAATGTAGTCCAGGATGTTCAACATGAGTGTACCGTTTCCAGCTCCCATCTCGTATATCACCAGATCATGGTAAGGGTACAAGGTCAACTTGTAGTTCGCGACCATATACCGCGCAATTGCTTCTCCGTAGTAAGGCCTGAACAACTCTGTTGGTGTATGCCATAATTGTCGCGCTTCATTGTGCTCTTTCTCGTCCAGTCTATCCTCGAACTGTGTATATCTTTCCCCCAACAGGTTGTAGAACTCCGGATCGTCTCGTATTTTGCTAAACTCGAAGGGAGCTCCGGGTGAGAAGATGGTGACGTTCTTGCTGAAGTAGCCATAGTGTGGGTTGTACAAGCTGTCTTCGATGAAGTCTCGCATTAACATCTTCACTCGCCGTGGTCGCTCCCGCCTGCCGCGCAAGGCATCTGAGGTCACTGTCGGGTACCGTTTGAACTCCTCGGCCTTATCGCTGGGAAAGTGATCGGTCCTCTGCTGCCAGTTGCTTTCGCTAACTTTCGCAGCTCTCGTGGCTATGTCTCGTCGGTGGCATGTTGAGCCTTTCGGTAAGGCACGTTGTACAAATCTGTTGGCATCATGGCAGAAGTGGTGTCGGGCCAGTTGGCGAAAGAGACGGTTGACCGCTGGTGAGTCCATTGACGACTCTGAGGTGATGCCCTGTCGCGGAGCTCATCTGAGGGTCTGCCAATGCGGAGGTTGCGACGGAGGTGAGGTCGCGCCAGCTCCACTTCCCGAAACCTTCCTCGAGATCATCAACTTCATCGTCACGTCTCTCCTGCTTGCCTCTCATCCATTCTTTCCGCAGTCTTACATTTCCATCGGCCTTCGGCATGCATTCTCCGTAATTGTAGCAATGGGGCTATTCGTAGACATCTGGCATCGGGTGTGGGACAGCATAATCGATAATAGACAGAAGTTGACAGCGACGGGCGGTTTTCTGCTGGGCATCATCGTAACTTTAGGATTCAAGGACTTTTACCCCGATCTCGAACATGCTTTTCAAAGGCGCGTACGACAGGTGAGAGGACAACAGCAACACCATCCACGGCCAGGACAGGCAGATTATGTTCGCCTCGAAGATCACACCAAAAGGAAATCTCTCGCACCGGCTGCTGCCAATCTAGATACCCGATGGTCCCAATCAGATGCGATCACGGCACAAGAGGAAATCAGTGTGGGCGTGGAGGGCCTCATCGGTAATACTCCACTCATCAAGCTCAAGTCTCTTAGCGAAGCGACAGGATGTGAAATTCTTGCAAAAGCGGAATTACTCAATGGTGCGGGCAACAGCCCGAAAGACAGGGTTGCTCTATCGATGATCACTCATGCCGAAGAAGCCGGCTTGCTTGAACCTGATCGCGGAGATACGATTTATGAAGGCACAGTCGGCTCAACTGGCATCTCACTGGCAGCAGTAGCGAGGGCCAGAGGATACAAAGCACACATGTACGTAGCACGCCGAACATGTAGATGCACACAAAGTCTAAGTTTCTCACAGTTGTATGCCCTCGGACGTGGCGGTCGAGAAGTCCGACCTCCTGCTCAAACTCGGCGCCATAGTCGAGCGCGTCAAACCAGCATCGATCGTCGACCAAGGCCAATTCGTCAACATGGCTCGCCGCCGAGCACAAGAGCACACAGATGACCCCTCGAAACCTGGCCGTGGCTTCTTTGCAGACCAGTTCGAGAACACGGCCAATTACCTTGCACACCAAAATTCGACTGGACCAGAAATCTATCAGCAGACAAATGGCCAGCTCGACGCTTTCATCGCTGGCGCAGGCACTGGAGGCACAATCGCAGGTGTCGCACTGGCCCTCAAACCGCTCCTTCCTGAGCTCAAAATCGTCCTCGCAGACCCTCAGGGATCAGGTCTCTACAACAAGATCAAGTTTGGCGTCATGTTCTCCCCAACCGAGGCCGAAGGTACGCGACGACGCCATCAGGTCGATTCAGTCGTTGAAGGCGTAGGCATCAATCGTCTGACCACCAATTTCAACGCTGGCATGCATCTCATCGATGACGCTGTCAAAGTGACAGACGAGCAGGCAATGAAAATGGCAAGATGGCTCGTGGAAAAGGAAGGTTTGTTTGTTGGCGCTAGTAGCGCTGTGAATTGTGTTGCAGCGGCGAAATTGGCAAAGCAAGAAGGGTGGCAAGGAAGCGGAAAGAGAATCGTCACCGTAATCTGTGATTCTGGCACGAGACATCTTTCGAAGTTCTGGAAACTGGCTGGAGATATCGGAGGCGAGGACGTGGAGTTCGATCTGGATGAAATTTTGCAGGATGACAAGATATGAAGAGAGTCCCTGAAGATGAAATTGTCGATTCGGCAGTCTCTACGGCCCGTTTACAGCTTTGCAATAGCTGCACCACTTCTGCCCTTTCGGATGACTCTTCGCATTCGGACACGCCGTTGGGTCGGACTGTCCGAAAGATGGCTTGTCTGCGGAGTCCATAGCCGGAGGTTTTCCGCCGTACTTGGTTCGAGAGATGATTTCGGCCTTCTTGTTGCCTTCGAGGCGCTATCAGCGTGGTGAAAAGTCAGTCCCATGATCTCACCAGGAGAATAACTTGCCACTGGATGGCGACCAACCTTCTTATTGGCATGATTGACGGCCACAGCCTGAGCGACAGAGGGAGCGACTCCGGCACCCGTTGCGTCACCTCCGAACGGCACTCCGACCAAATTGCTTGCGCCATCGACCAGACCAGATTTCTTGCTATCCTTGTTGCCTTTCCCGGGACCGCTCATCTTGCTTTTGAGCTTGTTGAACATCGTGCTTGCGTGCGCTAATGCTGCAAGCCTACCTGGAGCCAAGGCACGGTATATATAAGAGGTGAGACACAGTCGCTAGGTGGCTCAGCAACCTGAAGGATCCATCTCCTGGTCACATTCCTGAGAACATCTTGGCAGTTGATTTCTGCCAAGGTCGCGTGTTTTCTATCCCTGCAAGCTGAGATACTGTTCGCAACGAATCTTCAAGTCTTTTTCTGATGGGACTGGTTGCGGCAGACGAAGTGGAGCATCTATTCGTACGGTTGTGGAAGCTCATTCTCAGCCGCGATGCACCCACATTTGCTTCCGCACCTCGTCGTTTGGCCGACTTTTGCGCGACTATGGTCAAGACTACTGTTGCCAAACGCCTATGCTCAACAGGATCAGATACCAAGCGAATACCGTGTTGGAGACGTCTGGATATGTTGTCCCGCGAGAAGGAAAACGACAATGCCACGACCTGGACATTCCCCAACGCGAAAGCTATCGATGTCCTCCAGCACGACCGCGTGGAGCAAACGACCTACACCGGCTGAGATGGCTCAGCAGTCGATCCAAGCTACGGCCATGAGTGCTCTTTCCACCAGAGTATGGCCATATGTCTTGGATCGACGCAGTTGATCCGTTGTTACTCAGGTATCGTAGGCTTGTGTGGAGCTGCGCCGATTCTCTCGACTTCTCGTAGGGTTTTCTGCGGCAAATGGCTATCGTGGCATTGCAGCACCTAGGTAGCATTTGAGCCCTACGTCCTAGGGGACACAGTCAATTGTCTCGCAGATCAATCTAATGCTCACTTGATTAAGCAGCACCTTTCGGTCGTTGTCCACATCTATACGCAAATGACAATACCGCCGATACGATCTTCAAGTCCCATCAACATGTAACGGCATGAGCAGATCTCAGATCCTCAAGGAGATGGGTTCCTCGTGAGCAACTACTGTCTGGGTTGAGACTGGTTGCTCTTGCTCGCGGAGGAACATTCGTCGCCAATACACAATCTCAGGCAAAAAGACCCAACCCGTAACGCTCCCAGCGACTCGCTCCCAGCGACTGCAGCAATTTAACTACTGCAACTTTGGAGTTTCAGCAATTTAACTACTGCAACTTTGGAGTTTTAAATAGTCCTGAAGGCGAACCACATGTCAGCAGCTAAAGCCCAGGAAAGAATAGATGGGAGGCTAAAACAACGCTAGTAGATTGACTCTGCAGGCCGAGATCTTCAGCCCTAACGGAACAATCGGAACCCGATGCTCCAGCCTACTTGTGTCCAAACTTTCGTTGTTGTTGACTTCCACTTCCCTCTACATGTCTTCATAGCCTCTCTGGGTATCGACAGGACACGAATCCTCATTTCTCCGAAGCAAGAGTCAATCTTTCAAGTCCACAGTACCTTTCTACGCGCAGTTCTCGACCCCGATGAGTAATCGGACGAGGGTCACTGGCCGTGGGGGCATTAGTCTGTCTCGTCTCTCCCCGGAACCCTTGCGAGCACGAATGCATTGCCGGTGAGGAACGAGAGTGCAATCAGCAGTGGCATCGCACGCAGCGCGCACCCTGCAGGATCACACAATGGCGCTCATTGTGCTTTCTTCACACTGTCGCAACTGCCGCAAGCTTCCGACGACTGACTCGCCCCTCAGGCCTGCACTGGAACTTGAGAGACAGCACCCCTAACTTAGGGCTGCCGTCAAATGCGAGAAACAGCCGTCAAGTGATACTATCATCCTCTTATACCGGTAAGGTCTTCCCTTTCTATCTCACCTCTGTAACATCTTGTATCGTTGTTTTGCTTCATCATCACACGCTCATTGAAGTTCCATCGTTTTCACGCGCGCGAGAAACACTCGCTGTGCGCTACTTTCCACTCACTCGTTCCTCGAATATTGCCAAAAACATTCAGCTTCAGCTATGCATCGAGGCTCTTGGCCACGTGCGGTGCTGCCGATTCTGTTGGGATCTAGCATCACGCGTTGCTACGCCTTGGCTCTACGCGATAATTCCAAAATCTCGACACAGTCCCCTGTTGTTTTCAACCTCAGTGTAGACAGGGTTCGCGAGATCTCTGACTATATTCTCTCTCAAGATCAGGCCGTCTTCGATAACATACTCTCTACCGTCACGCCTGAAACGGCAACATTCAACAACACCCTCGCTCCGTGGAGCCGTCATCGAGATGAAGTTGCTGGGTTGATCGCCCCGTTCAATTACATTACAGATCCGGTCGCGTACAATGCGACTAATGACTTCTTCGCCGCCAGGAGTCCGTTTCTGGCCAATGTGACCAATAGCGAAGAATACTGGCCCCTGGTCAAGGCCGTCTATGACAACTTGGCGAACGAGAACAAGCTTTGGACGCCTGAAGGAAGACTCGCTACGATGTTCCACCAGTCCCGAGTAGATGCTGGCTTGAGCATTTCGAAGGGATCCGACAGAGACAGGTACACTGCGCTCGTTCAGGAGCAACAAAATCTCACTCAAGCATTCAATGCCAACGCACAGAAGCCCGCCGCGCCACCCAACCTCTTCTTCTCGCGGGAGGAGTTAGAAGGTGTCGATCCACAGCTGCTTGCAACTTTCGCCAACGGCACAGGAGCTGACGCTGGCAAGCTCGGAATCGACGTTCTCACTCAGGCTTCTTCAGTGACCCCCATCGCCAAAAACCAGCGAGTGCGTCAGGAGCTTGCCATTGGATACAATCGTCTCGCAAGAGATAACGTCGACATCTTGAAGCAAGCGTATGCTGGCCGCGATGAGATGGCCCAGCTGCTCGGGTACCCGAACTATGCTACGGCGCGACTACAGGACACCATCGCTGGGAGTCCGGAGAACGCGCTGGCATTGATCAATGAGATTGGTGAAACACTCAAGCCAAGCGCCGCCGATAGTGTGGATCAGCTCAATATTATCGTCAAGCGGGACAATTCTACTGCGAGCGCATACCGCTGGGACATAGAGTATGCAAGAATCGCCATCGACGAAGCACAGACGAACCTTACAGATGACAACTTCGGCTCCTACTTCGTGCCCACTTTCACGGTGCCTACTGCATTGAAGCTGTTTGGCCAAGCCCTCGGATTCGACCTGCAGCTAGTCCATGGCAACCAACTGGATGCTTTGTCCCCCACTGGCAAAGGCTCCGATATCTTGCCCGCGCCTCAAGCCAGCCTCTATGAAGTTCGGAATTCAGGATCGAATGACTTCGCTGGCTACTTCTACACCGATATCCTCGCACGTCCAGACAAGATTAGCAACAGCACTCAAGGTACCGCAATCCAAAGAGCGTCCATATCTGCCAATGGTACCAAAACCTATCCATCCGTAATTCTCAACGGTGGCTACTATCCGACTCAACACTTGAGCGCGAAGGCTTTGGCAAACTTGTTCTGGCAGATTGGCGTTGCTTACTGGCATCTATCGTGCGAGTCCGAGTTTGGAGATCTCTGCGGAGATGCCGGTGCCCCCGCAGACTTCTCACAGATGCCTGGCCAGATGATGGAAGTATGTTCTCCCTCTTTCCCCTCTTTTCAAGCCCATGTCAGACTAACCACCATTCTTAGAACTTCGGCTTCAATCCAATCGTCCTCCAAAAGGTCAGCAGACACTGGAGCTACTTCAGCCCCAACGACACCGCATCCTGGAAACAGACCCACGCAAACTCCACCCAACCTCCCGAGACTCTTCCCTTCGAAACTGCCAAAAAAGCTGAACAATCCAAACTCACATTCAAAACCCTCGATACTCTCTACAAAGTCTGGTACAGTCTCTACGACCTCCAAACCCACATGCCCTCTTCCCGCGAAGCAGCTAAAGACCTCCCCATATCTCAAATCTACAACAAACTCGCCGTCGACGTCTGTCTCGTACCCTGGGGCGAATCACTTCCACTCCAACGCCTTGCGAACGGCTCTCCAAATTACGAATGGGCCTGGGGTCAAGCGACCTATCCAGATTGGGTGAACTATTGGTATGGAAGATGGTACTCTTGGACTTGGGCGAAGGTCTACTCGGAAGATGTCTATTATGCAAAATTCGCGAACGATCCGTTCAATGCTGAGAATTGGAGGGAGTATAGAGAAAAGGTTCTCGCGAGAGCAGGAGATCCAAAGCAGTTTGTGACGGATTTCTTGGGACGGGAGCCGAGCACGGGGGCTTTCTACCACGATGTTGGGATCATCTAGATGGTTTTGCAGGCATTTTATGTTCGATGTAAATTTACTTAGGGGCCTTCTTTGCGGAATAGAGGTAGAGGTGTTGGGACTTTGATGAAGCAAAGCGGAGGAGTGCTCTGTACATCTACGGCGCAATCGCCCGCGACCTCTTCCAGAAATGGCGAGGAACATACTGTATGAATGGAGACTTGCAACCTTGCATGTTTGTTTTCACGTCTGCTACATACATACAATGTACGTGTCCGCACACCGTCAGCACGCGGAGTCGTCTTCACATACGCGTCTTCTCCTTCATCCACATCATGCACATGTATCTCATCCGTCCATCAAACATGCCGAGCATCGACCCCGCCGCCGGCCAATACAGGAACACACAAAAAAAAAGTGCTGAATTGAAGTCAAACAAATCACCCAAAACCACGCTATGCTTTGCTTTCTTTTTCCTTTCCACTGCTGTACTTGGCTTCCCCGGTTTCCTCCTACCATCAAGAATTTCCTCGTTCATTGCCTCACTTCCACGCACTCAAGCCCGCCCAAGGATCGCCTGAACTACCATTTGGCTGTTGCTGACTTCTTATCGAATCCTGGCTCGCGTAGCCTCCAGGCCCGGAAGGATATCCACTCGCCTGCATCGCACTGTAGTCCTGGCTCGGTGGAGGGCCCGGCGGAGGAGGCGGAGGCTGCCAGCCTTGTGGCACAGATTGATGGCTGCCGTAGTTCTGTTGCTGTGGCTGGTGCTGGCTATACTGTGTTGTAGAGGGTTGCTGGTAGTTATTGTATTGTTGGTTGGGTGGCGGCGAGAAGTATTGTTGGTGAGCGGGAGGCGACATCGCGCCGTATTGGTTGGGGTTGTAAGTCGCGGATTGTGGCTGTTGATGTTGTGAGGGTTGTGAGTAGGTAGGATATGGTGCAGGTGATTGCATGCTGCCGTTCTGTTGTTGTGGTTGGTACCGAGGCGTGATCGGAGGACTGGCCGCGGGATTGTATAGGGGTTGCTGCTGCCCATATGTTTGTTGCTGGAGGGGCGGGGGACGATGCCCTGAACTCCGCTGCTCACCAAAGCCCGGTATGGGGGATGACGACTGAGCGCTGGATGGACTGATGCTCATGCGCTCCATGAGCTCTTTCATCCGAGCCTGCTCACGTTCTGCTCCACTGCCCTTCGCAGCTTCAATGGCGCCGAGCAACTGACCGCCCTCTGATCTGCGGTTCTCCACAAAAGAGTCCACGTTCTTCTTCAGGCTGTCGACGGTCTCTTGCATCTCATCGTAGAACTGTCGCGCTCGTTGCAAGCCTGCTTGAAGGTCCTTGTACGCTTGATAGACCTTCTTGTACTTTCCAAGGACGGAGTTGCGCTGCCTCGAGAAGGCTTCGTACTTGTTCTGCTCGCCGCGGACTCGCTTGTCTTGTAAAAGGTCGCTGTATGTGCGCGTGAGCTCTTTCATCAGCGATGACTGCTTGTGCACAGCCTGCAGGATACGATTCTGGTGCGGTCTGAATTTCTCCAGCTCAGCTTTGAAAAGGGCATTCTCCTGGCTTGTGATGGCCTTCTTGTTGAGCATGATCACGTTTGAAATGTCGTCGCTGTGAATCTGTTGCACAATGTCAGCATGCTGTGGGCTCTATGAATTTCAAAACAGTGACAAACCTTCTCCTTCAGATCCTTCAGCACTTGCGCGCGCTCACGCTTTACAAGCTGCAACTTGTGGATCAGCGCTTCGACGCGCTCGATCTGCTCAGCAACGGACTGCCGTGATTCGTCTTCGAAATCCTCGTCGAGCAGATTGCCTTCATCCATCACGCCAGGACTTGTTCCATTCTTCTTTCCAGCGCCGGCCTTGATCATGGCTCGCTGGTACAAAACATCTGCCTCGTCTGTCTCGCCCGCAGAACGCATCTCGTCCATATCAGACTCATACTGTCGGAAAGTACTGAACAACTGTGCATCACTCGTTGAAGCTTCCTCTACAGCAGCTCGGTAGCTCTTTGCGTCCTGCCGTAATGTTTGTGTCAATCGACTCGAAGGCTGCTGTGTCCATTCAGCACCATACTTGCTGCGCATTTTCTCACACACGGACTCTTCCATGTCAAGCTGTTTCGAACATGTTTCGAGAGTCGACATAATGTTCTGCTTCTCCTCTCGTAGCTGGTCGAAAGTAGGCCCGAACGGATTGTGTCCCGCGAGTTCACTGCACCAGTTGCGGAACTCATCATCAACGCTCATCGATTCCTGATCCACGGCGCCTTTGAGGATGTTCAGACTCCCGGGCAGTTTTAGATAATCCAATGATGTTGCCAGCTCATCATCCGCAGTCTCGACTCTCTCACCCTCAGCTCGTATTAACTTGGCCTTCTCCTCATCGTACAAGCTGGCGCTCTCCGTCACTGACATGGGCACGATTCGCTGGAAAATGTCTGGACCAATGATTCGCTGAATGTCTTGACCCTGATAGAGTTCGCTCACTGGAATCGCCTTGGCCGCTGGCAGTTTCGGTATGCTTGGCAGGTTTGTTTCTGAAGGTACTGGCTGGTGGTAGATCATGTCGTTGTCCCGATTGTACTCGGCAAGCAGTTCCTGTATTGATGCGAGCTGCTTTTTCGTCATGTCTGCCAGTATCGTCCCTGTTTCTGATGCGAGATTGCTGTTCGCGGGCGCACTACCAGGAAAACCGTTCGCCAAGCGACTCGCCTCTTTACTTGCGGTGTTCGCAGCGTTCAGCCGCCCAATTGCTTGCCCGTAGCTGTTGGCCTCGTAATCCGCCACCGCTTGATAGTATTGTGCCACACTAGCCAAATGATGTTGCTTGATTTGTACCACGAGGAACCATACACGCTCGAATACGGCCCTGGATACGTTGTCCTGCACGCCCTCCACAGCCTGAGCATAAAGATAAGCAGCCTGTGCAGCCAGTTTGGCAATCAGCCCTGGTTTCTTCTTATCCACCACCTGCTTTTCAATGAACACTTCCTGCCCTTGCGCCAACATGATGCTGATCAACGTCTTGACAGTCTCTCTGCTCAGATCCGTCGAAGGTGCGTGTAGAAAGTTCTCGTTGATGTACGTAAACATTCCCGCGCTTGCCTGAAATGAGTGATAGGCCGTCTTCAACCCGGTGTCCTCATGGCGGTTTTGATTCGCAGCATGACAGCTCAATACTGCTGAGATATTGAAAATGATGCTCGCTTTCTCAAACGCCAGGCTGTACTGGCTGGTGGGTTTGTGGGTAAATGCATCGAACCACGTAAAGCTGATTTTGATGTGGTTCTCATCGACGGGAAATCGCAAGTCCAGCAACTCGAGTTGTCCATAATATCTGTACAACAAATCTCTCCCCGCCGCGCTGTCTTTCCCAGCACCTCGCATGTCCTGGCGCAGACGATTGAGAGCGGCGCATTCGTCATTGTATCGTTCGGGATCGTCGCCGTATGCGGAGCGAATGTGTTGCTTGATTGGGATGATCCAGTCAATCTCGTTCGTCTGCTTCAGCGGACACGATATCATGGGGACCTGCATGGCGGCGGCGGAGAGTTGCCTCGACAGGCCGGGGCGGATGGGCAGCATGTCGGAGGAGCGGACAAGGTTGGAGGTGGTGTTGCTGCCGGGTCACGGGACGACAGCCAGCCTGGTACGCGGTCGGTCGGTAGGTTCAGATGCAAGCCGGTTTGTTCAGCAGAGCAGCAGCAGCAGCTCGAGGCCCATCACCGGCGCCTGCATGCAGCGGATTTGTGTGACGGTGGCGTCTCGGGTGTGCTCCTCCACTTTTGTCTGACTTCTTCTCTCAGTTTCCTGCTTTTTTCTTCGATTGTCCTTCTGTTTCTGTCCCTGTCGCGTGGTGAGTGAATTTGGGCGCCTGAACCACGTTTGGGCGTTGAAGGTGTGACGTGGGATGGCGGGCGGCGGCAACGCGAGCTTCAGCACTGACGATCGCTTCACCCACGACCCATTCTGCGGCCGACTCGCAGGTGAATGATTCCAACAGCACCAACATATATATATTCTACTTCAGCACTGCCAGCGCTTCGCTGCGGCCTCTGCTGCAACGAGAGTCACGAGGCTGCCTCACACACGTCCAGTCGAAGGATGCAAACGGCCTCTTCTCTACCACATGTTAAGCGCCCAACCCGTGGTAGCTCGCGCTTAGCACTTCCGCGAGAGGCGCCAGCAATGCCTCACTGCGCCATGACGATCAGCCGTCACAAGGCTGAATATCGTAAAATGCTGCTGAAATCGTAGCATGGAACTCCGAAAGCCGTGCGCCGATCAGAAACAGTCTCACTTTGAGACGTCCATCCAAGACAGCGACAAGGACACCAATCTACAGAATCCACAAGAAATTATCACTCCATCTGCCAGAGATCTTCGACTCCAAGCGCCTATGCTGCCACCCAAAGACTGGCTCTCTATCTGCTGTCGTTGTATTCATACTCATATTTCATCAGCGTGATTTCTCCAGCAACGATGCGCCTGCCAGATCCGGACAATACTCCTCGCAACACATTCACCAACCAGTAGCAATCATCTTGGACACAACCATCATCGCCATGAGAAGTCTTTCCTCCGCCTCATCCGCCGCTTCGCCAGAAGTCCCATTATCAAAGCACACAAAGCAATCCCCAAAATCTGCCAGAACATTAGTCTATCTTGCCAAGCCTCACGATGGTGACTTCCAATGCCAGGTGAAGCACTATTGCCGGACAGTGAAACTTCCTTCGTTCGCTGCGGAAGAGGATTGCACCACATCTCATCACACCCTGCCATAGTGTTTGGCACAAAGGTTCTTGCCATTTCGGACTCCCCCAGAACATTCCCATCTGCCGCAAGAGCTTCCACTTTCACGACCAGAGGCGTTGGCAGGGAGGATGTCGATTCAATCAGCGCCGAAGTCTCGAAGCCGTTGCGCGGGTAAGTTGCCAGCTCGGTCCAGCTGATTTCTCCGTCGTTCGGTGTGGTGGTTGTAGTACTGCCACCGTAAACACGCCAACTCGCCACTTCAGTTGCCCCATTCCAACTCATGTGAATGGCAGTTTTCACATTTTGCTCTCCTTCCATTTCGTTTCTTCGCGAAAAAGCAACCACAGCAGGCCTCGTATCCGGCCTCCCTATCCAGCCCTTCGTCTTCTTCGCACGATATAAAGCCGGGGTTGCCTTCTTATCCACCACACACGCCTCGAATACAGGCCGCGATTCCGGCGCAGCGGAGTATTCTGTCATACAACCTGTATTACCCCAGCCGATCAGCACATTCCCGTTTTCCAGAATTTGCATACTGCCGCCGAGTTCTGCTGCGCGAGGTTGCGAGGCAGTGTGATAAGTTTCCAGAATCGATACTGTTCGTGCTGGTTCGTTGACGGAGAGCAGAAGGCCGCGACTGTAAGGTCGTGGTTTCCGTTTGGGAGTCTGACCGTTGTCGAAAAGGCTGATTGTGAGGATGCCACTCTCATTGCGGAGCAGAGTTGCATGATGGGGAAAATAGAACCAATCTGAAATCTGTTCTCCTTCTCCTTGACCATTCGTGGTTGCTGAAATCATACGAAAATCTGACCTCCGCCCTCCAAGTCGCCATACAATGCGACCATCTTTGCCATCGATCAAGTAGATTGCAGAAGCATGCCGAGCACTAATCAAATAATCTCCACTGCCGTGGAGTTTCTGGACAGAATTGATATGGAAATAATCCCATGGTGAATCGGATTGATGGCCATCATAGAACGCCACGGCAGTTTCGTTCAGATCGATGTGATCGGAAGCTTTCCATTCGAAAGTTATAGCTCCATTGCTCAGTCGTTGTTCCTGGAAGACGGAGTCGTGTAGCCAACCAAGTCCGGGCACGCCGTATGCAGAAAGATCCGCCGGAATAGGGCGATATTGTGTTAGAAGAGCTGACTGCGATTTTCCAGGTTGGTTGTCAACTAGTTTGAGCTCATGCAGATCCAAAGCCGAAGAGGTTCCATTATACTGGATCCCTTTGAGGATCCTATAGGTAGAATCGAGGATCAACGCTTGACCTCGTCCACTACCTCCTTGGTTGAAAGTATGCAGCATACAGAGATAGTGCCGATCTCTCTCGCTTGCTTGCGAAGAATATGGACAAGGCTCAAAGACATATGCCTGGGGACCAGATCCCGTACTTGCGCTGAAGGTATCGCTTCCTGACCAGACTAAATCGCCGAATTGATCATAGATCAACGGTCCAGAAATATGGTTTTTGAATGGTGAGATGAAGATGTATCCTGGCGACACTGCAGATCGATCCAGGACAGTGACATTGAGGTAAGGTACTGCGATGTCTGGGCGCTGGGATCTCGGGGGCGTGGATTAGTCATGCGACTAATAGCGGATTGAATCAGATGGAGTCGAAACTCACCGACTTGAAGGGATGTGTCACGGTCGGACCATCCATGGTCTTCTCCGATTACATGGAAAACAATCGCCCAGGTAAGAAAATCATGCATGTAGAAGCTGATGATGAGAAGTAACGAATCATCGATCGATTCCAGCTGCTCCAGTATCAATCACCGTACCGTCTTGTTGGAACGAATGACGAAGTACTGAAACAGATGAAAGGAAAGCATGGTGTGTGTATGATTAGTGAACCCTAACGAGCCCTCAAAAATCAGCCATTGTTGCCCCGAAACACGTTTCGTTGCGAGTGGTGACTGTTGATTATTGTGTATCTCTGTGGATGACCACTCGGGCCCACATTGCACAGTAAGATCGATGTTACTGTGCACTAACGCTACTACATACTGCACCATCACACTAGCTAGCAAAACGAATGTCTCCGTGCGCACATGTTTGACCGCGGTCCGCGCGGCCGCATATGTCCGCGCTTTGATCGGGCTGCGAATGAGCCCGAAAAGTTAAAGCCCTCGCTTGCCATGGTCTTTCGTTGCCCGATTGATCAGAACTCGTGAAGTCGTTGTCGTCGTGGTTGTGAGGGATATTTTCTACTCCTTTTGGGTGTAGATGTAGTCCAAGTGGGCTGGGCTGTCTCCCTCTCTCTTTTCCTTTTGAGTGTAGATGTAATCCAAGTGAGCGGCTCCATCTTCCTCTCTGCGTTCCTTTTGGGTGTATATGTAATCCAAGTGGGCTGCTCCATCTTCCTCTCTTCTTTCCTTCTGGGTGTAGATGTAGTCCAAGTGAGCGACGCCGTTATCGTCGCGGGCCACGGCCATGTTTGCAGGCAGAGTGTCGATGGGGGCAGCAAGGGCGATGGTCGCCATGCTGAGAGCGAGGATGGAAATGATGGACGGCATATTGTCGCTTGAAGATCTTGTTCGCGTAGTTGATGTGTTGTGTTTGGTATTGCTCGTTGTTGACTGATCGATGGAATGCGCTTGTCTCAGTCGTCAAGATCCCGACGGACAGGCGTAGGGTTATTATGCTGCGGCGTTGAAGCCATGACGAGGCTTCGAGAAACGTCCCGTCCCTCATCTTGCTGCCGTGTCCATCAGGGGTGATGCTAACCGAAGTCTCAAGCTGACACAACCACCAGTCGAGGCCAGAGTTATGGGACCTATTGACTGCGTTGGGTTAGGAGAGTGATCAGTGATCTCTGAGCAGAAGGTTGGCCGCATAAAACTTGCATAACTTGCATTAGTTCTTCTTCACCCTCTACCCGACCTGCACTTGTGGCGTTAGTGCCATCGACCGGATCCCGCGAAGCGCAGTCTAAGGAGGCACCAATTGTCGTTTAGCTCGTACCGCCTGAGACATACAAAGAGCTATGTGCGTCAGTTGTGCGCTTTGACTAAATCAAAATCCTATCTGGCTAAATCAAAATCTCCTCTCGAGGGACACTGCCGCCTCTCTCGCCCTCGCCTTCGGCTCGAGCTCGTTCGTTGCCTAATAGAAATAATACTATCCTTTTTAGGGGCCTATGCCTTACGCGCTCGGGTATCGTACGTCGTCGCTGTGCTCGTTCCTCGCTGCTCCGAGTACTTACTTCGCTCGCAAGCTCGCCTCGCTTGTCCGAGCACAAATTTGGAGTAATATGTGGGGCGAGATTTTGATTTAGTGAGATAGGATTTTGATTTAGTCAAGGCGCAGTTGTGTGCGTTTGCGTGCTAAATTATTACATTCGCCGTTGCAGTCTGTCGTCAGAAAAGGTTACAGTGCTGCCAAAGTGCGGACCTTAACTTTATTCATCGTGGATTGATGGATGATCCCTGTTCTGACGGGTCAAGATTCGTGGTCTGGATGCAGAATATTAGCATTTGTCTGAAGTGGAGTCGAGATGTCCGATTGAGACAACGACAAAGACAACACTACTGTACAGGTCCCCATTCCAAGCTCCTCTTCCTCCTATGCTGCCCTTCGCGCGTGACTCATGGTCTAATGAACACCTCGCCATGCGTAAATTTACAGAGTTCCTTCGAATATTCGATAATCTTAGACAAGTGTGTTGCACAGAATACATGTACAAGAGGATCCATCATGAGCCTGAGCCGGAAGCTTTCTTCTTTGGCTCTTCATCCTTCTCTTTCGAATCCTTGTCCTTCGCGTCCTCCTCGGGATTGTTGTGCTGACCAGAGATATCGTGCCAGATGCGCTTCAAGAATCCTTCGTCCTTGTGGCTGTCAGTTTTCGAAGATGTCGTGGATGTGGAAGAAGTGTTCTTTGACGAGTCAGTGTTCATCTTGTTCAGATTCATGATCCGTTTCGCGCTGTTGTCTCCCATTTCATCGGCCAGCATTTCCAGGATCGTGCGCTGGTTTACCGACAAGTATTTGGGCATGTTGACCTTGAATTCCACGCGAAGATCACCCTTTGCTCCTTGTCGCGAGTTGAGCTTCTTCATACCCATGCCGCCCATTGTAATCTTGTCGCCCGTCCCAGTGCCGGTTGCGACCTTGACCTTGACATCGCCATCTAATGTTGGGACCGTGATCTCGCCTCCAAGCACGGCAGTCGTCAGGGGTATACTGGCAGTATACAGCACATCTGAGCCGTGCCTCTGGAACTTCGAGTCCGGTGCCACACGAATGAAGACGTACAAATCTCCCTTCTGTGTAGCTCCGTCGGGGTTGGTGGATTGTCCAGTAGCGGGATGATCACCCTCACCAAGTACTCTCAACCGCATGCCGTCTTCCACACCACCAGGAATATCCACTGTGACCGTCCTCTTCTCTCTTACCGCTCCATGTCCTCTGCATGTGCCACATTCGCTACCTCGCGGAACCTGTTGTCCAGTTCCTCCACAAGTGCCACACGTACTGGCCATCTGGAAACCACCCTGCATGAAATGCACTCTTGTCCCAGTACCATCACAGCTCTTACAAGCACTCCTTTGAGTTCCTTTCTTTAATCCTGACCCAGTGCAAGTCTTACACTTGACCAACGGGTTGATTGTGATATCTTTCTGCACACCCTTTGCAGCATCCATGAATGAGATGTTCGTCTGCACCTCAATATTCTCACCCACCATAACCTCCTCTTGAAATCCTCTTCCTCCAGGTCTCCCTCTCCTCGCTCCACTACCGCCGAAAGCTGAGAACAAATCCTCGAAATTGAACTCCGCCCCTCCAAATCCTCCCGCAGCACCTCCACCACCGAAGCCTCCGAATGGATTCCCACCCCCGAAAGGGTTTCCTCCGCCGAAAGGCCCTCCAGCTCCTGGACCCGCACCTCCTCCAGCCGCATTTCCATTCGCATCGAATGCCGCTGAACCATATTGATCGTACATGTCCTTCTTTGACTTATCGCTCAGGAGCTCGTACGCGCTTTGCGCTTCAGCGAATTTCTCTTTAGCTTTGGGATCCGGGTTAGTATCCGGATGGTACTTTTTCGCAAGGCCATAGTAAGCCTTTTTGATCTCGGATGCGGTCGCGGAGGTATTAACACCGAGGGAAGCATAAGGATCCTTGATCTGGAGAGGCGGGGAAGTGTGGAAGGCGCGGGTTGTTCGAGTGTTTTTTGTGCATGGCTGTTGTATTCGTGGGCGATGGTGAGTTGTAGTTGTGAATGTCCGATGGCAGTTTGCTGCTGGGCCGCGGCGATGCTCGTGGTAGCGATTTGGCGTTGTGGTTGATGGCGATTTCGCCGCAAGTATACGCAGCGGCGTCGCTGTCGCCTTGGGCAACAGCGCAGGCGATGCTAGGCTCATTGTAATTGCTGTGTAGCTACAATGCGTGAAAGATAGAGATGGGATGATGGCATTCTCAAAGTTTGGTCGGTGGTCGGCATGCTTTGCCGAAAGTGGTGGTCCGTGCACGGGCCGGAAGTGAAGGCGGAACTGAAACGAACATTCGACAGAGTTCCAAGACTATGCTACGACTTGATTATCAGCAAGCTATTGAAGGTGTGTCTAGATACTAGATGGTCGGAAATCATGCCTCGGGCATCGGTATCGCTGCAAGAATACTTGCAAACCGGGCAAAACAGCGTGAGCTAGCTGAACATCTAGCTGAGCCATAAGCTTACGCAGTTCCATGCTTGATAGGTTGGTCTTTCGCAAAAGAGTACGTTTCCCGACTCCCAATTCAACGCAAAAAAACATTGATGACATCATCAAGGTGATATTTCACGTAAACCCATTCTGCAACTGCCGAGATTCGAACTCGGGTCTCCGCCTGGTTCATTGCATAAGAGCACAATGGGAAGGCGAAATGCTAACCACTACACTACAGTTGCAGTATCTAAGTTGTTTGGGCATTGTATATGAAGCTCCAACATAAGGTGGAGCTTTGGGAGGTGTAGGGGGAGGTAAGTGAACAAATTTGACAAGTCTTGGCACCAATCTCCCCGCACATCCCCACATGTTCTGAGCTTGCTTGTTCGATCTTCAGCTTGTTCCTAATTGTCCTGGATGGTCTTAGGTGCTGCTTCTGATAATATAGTGGCATCGAGAGCCGTATGGGGCACAAGACTGCAAAATTCATCATTTCGATCTTTGACCCTGCATTCCTCCCGTATTGCGGGCGGCAGACATGTCAAGCAGCATGGTGGTAACGAGTATGAAACCGAGAACATGCTTGCCCCATAGGAGAAAGATTGAACGCCGCGTCACAAATCATAGCAACAAGATATATGCAGCCATTTTTTGAACCAGCTTCAGTGGCATAGCCGGAACACTCGCACCGCTGGAGAGTCGTCTTTCTCGGGAGAAGAACGATACCATCGCAAGAGCCTCAACAGGTTTCCGATAGCTCTTTGCATCGACCTTGTGCAATCCGGCTACATTCAGAAGCAAAGCATTACAGCCATTCCAGAAATGGGTCCTTCTGCACATTTATCACTCATAGTTGCCGAAATAAAGCAGGCCCATCGCGGTCTTGTTCAGGGGATTATGCTGGCCAAGACTATTCTGACCAACACTGAAAACGCCGTATCTTCGAAGAAGAGTCTGATTTCTGGCTCCAAGTGCCGAAAGGATCAGTTTGAGCCTTTTTGTCCAAAGGTCAGTATTGACCAGAGCTGTCATGTTTCCAATGGTCCAAAACGCAAATTCCAGCTTTGCAGAGAAACAGCTTGTCCAATCCCAGGGTATAAGGAGAAGGTATTTGTGCCTCAGACAGCTCCACAGGATCTCTGCGCCACGACAGGAAGCGATTGTCGTCATCCATATCCGGGAAAAGACACTTCAGACGATGCCTTCTACGGCAGTGGTTGTAAATAGGTGGTCGTATCCCAGAGATCCCTTTGCAGCACGATTCAACTAATACCCGTATCAAGACTAAACTAGTAAGCAGTTCTCAATAGAGAAATATGGTACAGTCTCATCCGAGACGACTCTATACGGTATCGTACCGCTCCATTAATGTAATGCGTAACCTTGCGCAAGGTGGACTATTCTGCTCGTGACATTATGTCACTATCGATCTGACCTACCTGATTCTCCAGCGCTCGTGCTTAGGACAGCCGCGAGCATCAAGCCATCTCAGATTCTCCAACTGCTTTGGTTCTCTCACCATCTTCGACGGCCACCTCTTTCGCCAGAACGCTACCCTTCTCCTTTGCGAGCAGTAGGTCTGGGATCACAAAGGGCGGGGATTGAAATCTGAGATGCCAAAGAGGCCATGACTCCAGCGCCGATGCCCAGGCTGGTGAATACGGTTGGAACAGCCGATGTTAGAGTTGGAGCGGTACCTGCAGCACTGAGTGAGGAGGAGACAGTAGACAGGCCAATGATCGGGCGCATGCGTCGAGACGAGCACTGCAGAGCCTGGACGAGCCACAAGGAGCTGGTGCGAGACAAATTCGTGGAGGGATCTGAAGTTGGGCGATTTTCAATCATGGCCAAGCCGGCGGTTCTGTGGATCCTATTTCTTTCGCTGAATACAACAATAAGCAAGTCAGGGACGATTTCCGCCTCTTCGATTTGAAGCGGATCACCCCTAATCGTGGCTGGACTTGATTTCGATATCCTCACTCTCGGCTTGGTTCTCTCCTGCTTCACCTCATCCCTGATTGCTGTAGCGAGCCTGGATCTGGTCGCGAATAGCCTTGCACTCGTCGAGCAGCTCCTGTTCAGCGCGTCCAGCTCCAGCTGCTTCATTGGATAGCTCAGCCACACGGACAAGCTCACGCGCCATATCCAGACGGTCTACCTTGTCGACGCAGGCGAGCACGAGGCAAGCCCTTCCGTAGATCCGTAAGGGCAAATTCTGGAACTCGAGCAGAAGGCGAGCTGCTGACCGAGCATCCCCCTCGTGTTTATCGGCAAGGGCTTCAGCCATCTGCGCACGGTCGGTCAAAAAGCTGTGAGCGTTCGTCTTTGATGAACGTACCTCGCGATCGAGTTCATCGAAGGCGCTCAACAGTTCGCTGGGACGGACATGTTTTGGCATTGCTTGTTCTGGCATGTTGTGGGAGAGGCTGCGGTGTCCAAGAAGGTGAAAAGAAACTATCGCGGGCGCCTTTGTGTGTTGGTAAGTTTAGACTGAAGCGCACGAATTGACGCTGAGGCGCTTTCGCGAGCTTTGAGTAATTCTGGTGTGGGATGTTACGAGCCTCGTCACTTAGATTGAGCGGTAGAGCTGATGTTTGCACATGCAGGCACGGACCAGCGACTGCTTCACTTGCAGATGGGCTGCAGCTAGGCCCACCCGTCCTCCCACCACACTTGCCTTGGCAGACACTTTGCAAACGTTCATTGCAATCTCCGCTGCGATTCATTGCCGCGTCCCTTACAAGTCAACTTCCCAGCACCTTCGTCTGAATTCAGAGTCTGGAAAATGTCGCAGAACCGAATTGTCTGTCTGAAGCTGGAATCCACATTCGTCCATCATGTATTGGCTCGCTCTTGTCGGGCATGCTCTGCTACGGGCAGAGGAGTCGGAAAGTCTCGTCGCAACGACACTTGAATACAGGCAGAGCATTGGCCTCGATATCACCGGGCTGCGCAGTGTCAACGCTGTAATGAAGGCTCCGAAGAGACACACCACGAGTGGGTCAACAAGTCGCGCTACTTGAGCGAGAGACGCAAGAAAATCCTTCCCATCCGTCTCTACAAGCAGAAGGGGATTGGCAAGGACAAGATCGCTATCCTTCGCGACGTCCATCGCACATATTCCCGACAAATTAGTCGACAGACTGGGTCGAAACTCTCGACTGTTGCCTATCTGAATCTCTTCCTCTTCTACAGCCTCTTCTTGCAGCACTGCCTCCTTGAGAACTTCCTCGGAGCTAGTAATATTGCAGAATCGGTCGCTCTGGATGTCACGTTTCTACTCGCGTTCGCTATGGCGGTAAAGGCTTCAGGCCTTCACTTCTCCGACGTCGATCCTTACTTCAATCCGAATTCGGCTGTCGTCGGCTCTGATGGCAAAGACGTCGCTAAAGATAGCGATTTGGATGATCAACCTCTTCGTCGGCCTAATCGATCCGGAGTCAGAAAGCGCGCTTTTGCTGACGATGAGGGCGAAGACGATGCCGCCCATCCTCGAAAGCTCCAAGACAAGAAGTCAGATGATACTGGCGACAACGGTGAAGGTGCCGACAACGGCGACGACGGTGGCGACGATGAACCGAAGCAGAAAACTACAAATGCAAAAGCTCCGACAAAGAAAGCCACGAATTCGAAGAGCAGAAAGTCAAGCTTGCTCGATGGTCCAGAATCTGATCCTACGAGGGATAAGGTAAGTGATCTTAATCATGTAGAGCCCTTTGCTTCGACCTTGCCCAGTTCTCCCTACAATTGTAGGCTTTGGCTGCAACACTGCTTGTCTCTGTCATTATCACGGGCTAAGAGCCAACGATCATGAAGTTCTTGCGCGAGCTGGTCCAATTCTCAGAGCAGAGACAGTCAAAGAAAAGCTTGTTGTGATTCTGAACTGAACAGTTGCTGCGCGGGACCGCATCAGAAGACGAATTGTGAAGACAACTAGTGTCTCGTTCAGAGTAGCGAAGGAAAGCCAACGACTCCTTTGCTATGATCAATTTTCAAAGACGTCTTTGGAAGCGTGGGGTTGCCCAAGGCAACTCGCTCTCAAGAAGCTCATCTCGTCGGTGGTCCACTGCTTTTGCCTATTCATCGGCATGGCTCTCGAAGGAATGCTTGAAGCAACACATCTCTCCTGAAATTCGAAACAGACTCAGGGCGTTGAAGGCGCAAATGGCGAGGGTGGCACGCTGAAGATGAATTCAGAGGCACAACTTCAAAGTCGGCTTTCTCTAATTCAATTTGGCCCTTCGATGCTGCTTAGTGTGCCGATGGGCCAGGTGACGCCTTACAGGAAGAATCAGAGACAAGCGCAAAACGCACTCGGAGGTATTTTCGTTGGCGATTGCGAGCGTATAATGTTTCGTACGCCTGCTGCGAAGAACGAAATCTCGATGTGCAACTATGGCAAATCTGTCTTCCTCGTCAGGGCCTTGCACGCGATTGGCAACTACTTCTCCAGAGGCGATCGTAGTGTTGCAGCCAAGAAGTCGCTTGTGGAGACTATTTAGCAGATGACACTCGTGCAACTCATCCGCCAATACATCAACGCCGGTCAAGGATTCCGCTCCAGAAATATCAGAAGATCAAAGCGGAGGCTGTGCGTGGCAAGGTGACGGCTGGCGAGACTGGTCCATGGATCGAAAGCGCTCAGCGGTACTTCGATGGCGATCGCTCCCATGTGCCGGCTTACAAGTCTGCAAAGAATGATATCTGGTCTCAAGAAGATCGACAGAAGCTACAGGACTACGCCATGATGATCTCCAAGGCATTCGGAGTTAAGCGCTCCAAGCTCGTTGATAGTACAATCTGGATGATGGCAAAGTAGAGCAACCCTTCTGATCTTAACAGGAACAGCCTGGCCGTCCTACTGAAGGAGCGCTTGACGATATTGCGTCTCATCTGCAACGAGAAGTAGGAAACTCACGACGACCAGTTCACGCTCTACGCGGAGATCATTCTCCAGTATTGCGCTTCAAACACCGACAAGCCAACTCTCAAATCGTATCACGACAAGTGTAGCGATCGATTGGGCTCCTTTTGGTACTGTAGCTCAAGAACTCCCCCAGGATCAGTATTGCTTACCGCGAGCACGGTGTCAGCACGTATTCTAGTTGGTCTTCGAAAGTTCCTGACAGCTTTAAAGAGCAGCTCAACAATATGCTCGTTGGGTCCTGGGTCGTCAACTCTGCTGAGCTCGACATGGCAGAACAATACTACCCCGAGCTCGATCGCGTTCTCAAAGCTAAAAGAGTCGACACGAAGTTCTACAATTCAGATGATCTTCCAACGTCTACTGCTGCTCCTACCCATGATGAACAGCTTGAAATTGAAAATGTCTTCACCGGTGCAGAGTCTCTTTCCAGCAGCTGGGGTTGACGAGAACGACGTGGTTTTACCTGCATATGACCCTACAGACGCTATTTCTTCTTGCAGCAAAAGCTCATCCAAAGGCTGGGCTAGCTGTGGCACCAGGCTACAACTTCAGTGGCGAGATGCAGATTGACGAGCCTATGAGTGGTCCGGATGATGAAGATTTCGCCGCGGTAAGCCTGGTCACAATCAGCAGAACGAAATGTCTTCGATCACGCAGGAATCCATCAATACTAGGAATAATCAGATACTGGCCAGAGGTTCAGAATGCCGTCGAGCCTTCGCTTGTCTCCAAGACATCGCAGATACGATCGACGAGGACACGATGGAGGAGCGGGTATGTAGAGCAAAATTTGGGGAGATCTAGTCCATGGCAATGATCAGTAGCTCTGCATTGACTAGCTTCGTCGTGTTGATGTAGTCTAGGGGTTGGATAAGCAACGCTATGGTACTGCACGAGCTGCTGCGAGTGCTGCCGCAAGCGACTAGTCTGCCATAAGTCGACCGTTCACTTGTGGCTATGCGTTTAGCAGTAAGCTCTGGCAAAATTTTAGAGACGTGGTTCCTATCTTGTGTCTAGTACTTTTCTTTTGACTGTGAACTTGACGTTGCCCATCACTAGCTCGAGCACTGAGAGACCCCAGTTCGTCGCTCACTCCTGCTGCACGTCCGCACCCGCCATGGCAATGGATTGTCAGTAACGCGACTACAAGTATACAAGGTGGTCGGTGATGCTGAGATCCAAGAGGCAGCTGACTTGGACGGGAAAAGGCGAACATGTCATCTGCACGTTATCGCCATCGTTCAATGTTGAGCTTTCGTAAACACAATGGTCAAGGATTGCGGCGGAATAGCCTAGTTCATTTCGGGCTTATTTTGTGTGCTTGGCTTGACTTTTTTGTTCAGCGCACTTCAATAGTGTTACACTCGCTTTTGGATGTTGTTGTTCCTGCGCATTGCATTTAGAACACCTCGGTGCGCTCGATCTTCACCTCGCTGACGGGGCGGTCACCGGCACCAGTACGGACCGCACCGAGCTTGTCGACAACGTCCATGCCCTCGACGACCTTGCCGAAGACGGTGTGCTTGCCGTTGAGGTGAGCGGTCGGGCCAAGGGTGATGAAAAACTGGCTGCCGTTGGTGTTTGGTCCGGCCTGGCAGAGTAATTAGCAGTGATCCCAACGAAAAGGTGGATCTCATCGGGATTACTTACGTTCGCCATGGAAAGGGTCCCCTTGGCCTGCAAGATGTTAGCCAAAGATTCTTGTGTCCAAACCATCGCTCGAACCAAGTCTTGGTGTTTCGTAGATCGTGGCAGACCAGATTCGTCAACTTACATCGTGCTTGAGCGAAGGTACGATCTCGTCTTCAAACTTATTGCCATAGATCGAGCTACCTCCGCGTCCAGTGCCAGTTCTGTTGATAGAAATTGATGTAAGCATGAGTCTCGAATATTGAAGTCGCTTTCACGGATCGCAGACGTACGGGTCACCACCCTGGATCATGAAGCCTGCGCATTATCAGCATTGTGTCACATTGACATGTCTCTAGCTGCGGAATCCTCACCAGAGATGATACGGTGGAAGATGACCCCATCGTACTTTCCAGTCTTTGCAAGAGTTGCAAAGTTGGTGCAAGTGCGTGGAGTCTGCTGAGAGAAGAGCTTGACAGTGATGGCTCCGAGGGTAGTGTGGAGGATGACCTGAATTGATACAGGTCAGCAACATGAACTTCTGCTTGTCCGCATACGTGCAAAGTATCTGCCAATCGTGGGAGCCTTTGGGCTTGGACTGTACGACCGCTAACAGAAACGCTTCCTCGGTCTTACCTTGTCTGGGTTCTCTACGGCGCCTGCGGGCGCTGGAGCTTGAGCAGCGGCGCTGCCAGAGCTGCCGCTACCGCCGAGGAAACTCTTGATCTTGTCCATTGTTGTTTTTGGTGGTGTATTGTGACTGTGTTGATGGTTTTTGATGTTTGTCAACTTCCAGTTCATCAAGAAGTGACGCCTCTATCTTGCAACGACAAACGTTTCACGCTAGCCTCTTTGGGCTGCATCAGCACGGTTTCACATGATCGCATACTGACTCGAAATTCATGCACACATGCGCCTGCTACAACACAAGCACTTTCAGGTAGCTTCCGCAAAATTACACATTGGATGAGTACGGCAAGGCACATGTCTTTCTCGCTTGGGGCATTGCTTTCACGGCAGGCTCAGTCGGGCAGCTCTCCGATGTCCAGAGGCGGGTATTGCGGAGGATAGACTTCGACGAGCGGAATCGACTCAGCAGGGTCGTACCGCTGAAAGTCTCGTCGGCCATCAGCGTTTGTGAGAACTCGTCCTGGGATGCGTGGCAAGACAGCCTATGGTCTTGGTTCTCGGCGCAATGGCTTCGACATCCATATTTGACTTTGGGGTGGCAAGCGGGTCCAGACAGCGAGCTGCGCGAAGTACGGGAATAAGGCAGAGTCGAATACATCACCTGTAGAACATCTGTATAGTGCTCGCGACCTTAATTCCGAGCCACCAGGAGATGACAGAATGCAGAGCCCGTCGGCAACTTGTCGAGTGTCACACGTCGGCCGCAGAGGGCCCACTCTGGTGCCAATTGCTGACCAGGCCGCTGCTCGGGCTTTGATGTCACGGAATGGCGGACGGGGGCATGGCCTTTGTTGCCTCTTTCACACATCTCGGGCAAGATGGCGCGAAGCGACGGCGGTGGGTATGGGAAGTTCATCTACAAACACAATTGTTGCCATGCTGTAGAGCGTAGAGCGTGGAGCGAGTGTCACGAGTGTCACGAGCAGAAGACTGCGAAGCTTACTGTTCATCGCCGTGTGATTGGCGCAGATGAGATCTTGGGGATTCCAGCGGGGATAATGGCCCAAGACGTGTCGCATGTGAAAGGGCCGCGGCAGCGACGTCTCACGCATGACCACTTCGCCCCAGATGAGCGCCGATTCACATGCTTAGCACGGTCCCTGCACGATTAGAATCAAAAACGACCGACGGCCCCGTCTGCGTCGCTGTGGTGTTCCTCTTTCCATCGCCCAGACCAAGTGCATAGCGGCTGGCTAGTCTGCGAACGGCATTTACCTCGGCCAGAAAAGCACCTGCATAATAGACGACTGTCGGCGCGCTGCCTCTCGCCGCCTTCCCACCACGCACCTCCACCTCCTCTCGCTGTCTTTGCATTGAATCGAAATCACAGCCATCATGCCTGAGAGAGTCATCGTTGTCGGCGCCGGCCGTGAGTACCTCGAACAGCGCGATCGCGACAAACCAGCTGACGCCTGAGCAGTTTCCGGTCTGAGCGCTGCTCACACCATCTACTTGTCCGGCGGCAATGTTCTGCTTCTCGACAAGAACAGTATGTGAAGTCGCGGAGGGGAGAAATGGGGAGAACGAGTCCTGACAAGCTTTCTAGACTTCATGGGTGGCAACTCCACCAAGGCCACTTCCGGAATCAACGGCGCCTTGACTCGCACACAGGTCGACCACGGCATCGGCGACAGCGTCAAGCAGTTCTACGACGACACCTTCAAGTCGGCTCGCGACAAGGCCCGCCCAGACCTCATCAAGGTCCTCACATACCAATCTGCGTCCGCCGTCGAGTGGCTGCAGGACATCTTCAACCTCGATCTCACACTCGTCTCGCGGTTAGGGTACGTGCATTGCTACGAGCTCGCACTTTTCGCGCTGTACTGACACTTCCAACAGAGGTCACTCCTTCCCGCGAACACACCGTGGCCACGATGCCAAGTTCCCCGGTATGGCCATCACATACGCCCTCATGCAGCGATGGGAGGAGCTGTGCGAGAAAGAACCAGAGCGAACCGAGTTGATCAAGAAGGCAAATGTCAAGAGCATCAACATGGATGGCAACAAGGCGACTGGTGTTACATATGAGCTCAACGGCGAGCAATTCTCCGTCGACGGCCCTGTCGTGCTTGCGACCGGTGGTTACGCTGCCGATTTCACAGAGGACTCGCTCCTCAAGAAGCACAGGCCCGACACCTTCGATCTGTCGACCACAAACGGCAACCACGCCACTGGTGATGGACACAAGATGTTGATGAAGATTGGCGCCAACGGAATTGACATGGACAAGGTGCAAGTGCACCCAACTGGTCTCGTCGACCCCAAGGACCCAACTGCCAAGACGAAGTTCTTGGCCGCTGAGGCGCTCCGTGGTGAGGGTGGTCTTCTGCTGAACTCCAAGGGTGAGCGATTCGTCGACGAGCTCCAGCACCGTGACTTCGTCTCCAACAAGATGTGGGAGGAGAAGGAGAAGGGCAACTGGCCAATCCGCCTCTGCTTAAACAGCAAGGCATCCAACACACTCGACTTCCACACTCGTCACTACTCTGGTCGTGGCCTGATGAAGAAGATGACCGGAGCTGAGCTCGCGAAGGACATTGGCTGCGGCGAGAAGAAGCTCAACGAGACCTTCACTGCATACAACAAGTACGCAAACGGCGAAGAGAAGGATCCATTCCAGAAGAAGTTCTTCCACAACTTCCCAGTCGAGGTCAATGATGACTTCCACGTTGCCGTTATGGAGCCAGTGCTCCATTTCACCATGGGTGGTATCGAGATCAACGACAAGTCGCAAGTGCTCAACTCCAAGGGCGAGCCTTTCGAGGGTCTCTTCACTTGCGGTGAGTTGGCTGGTGGTGTCCACGGTGCCAACCGTCTTGGTGGTTCATCGCTTCTCGGCTGTGTCGTCTACGGACGTGTTGCCGGTTCCAGCTCGAGCAAGTACCTCTTCCAACAAGTCCTCAACAACTCTGGTGGCCAGGCCGCATCGCGTGCAGGCCAAATCAGCTTGCACATCGACCCAAGCCAGCCAGGCAAGATCTCCGTGGAGTGGGGCAATGGCGCCTCTGCCAGCAGCAGCGATAGCTCTTCACAGATTCGACAGCAAGGTCAACTATCCGCCGCTCCAGTTATGGGTGGCTCCAAGGATAGCAAGGACCCCGGCCAGGTTACCAAGACGAACGATATCAAGTCGTTCAAGGTGCCAGAGAAGGAGTACTCGCTCGAGGAGGTTGCCAAGCACAACAAGAAGGAGGATCTCTGGATTGCGGTCAAGGGTGTCGTGATGAACGTCACTGACTGGGTTGACGAGCACCCAGGTGGCCCACAGGCCCTCTTCTCACACATGGGCAAGGACGCATCAGAAGAGTTCGAGATGTTGCACGATGATGAAGGTACGTTGCTACTCTTGTTACCTGATATTCAAGACCATTTGCTAACGCTCGCCAACAGTGATACCAAAGTACGCCGCAGAGATTGTCATTGGACGAGTCAAGGGCCAGGAGGTCACACTCGAGTACTAGGCAATGAGTTTGACGAGCGAAACATGACATCTTTATTTAACGCTTTCTCGGAGGCAGATCTCTTCCGATGATGTAGGAAAGTTCCTCTTGGGAGATCTTTGAACTCTTTGTGTGTTGTATACCTGTGAATACAATTTTGTGTCGGTTTCACTTTCTTTTCCCGAGGCCTGTTAGGTCCTGGAAATCTCCAACACCACTACACTACGATATACAACCAGGCCTTCGTTCGCATCGCAAGCTGATGGCTGTTTGAATTTCGCAATAGCCACAGTCGTGCCTGTCCGTCAAGCTGGCGAACAAAGAGGTTCGTCGCTATCGAGAGGAATTGGTTTCGACAAGCAGCTTCTTCGAATTGCATTTGTATCTCAGACGATCTTCTACTCCAGAATCTCGTCCAGGGCAGGCATGCAGGCCGTGATCGCGCATCGTCCTGGAGAGAGGGCCACTTTCCCGTGATGACTTTGAAGAGCGGCAAAAGGTACATTAAGTCATGTCTCCGTCAGCTCTGAGCAACACCTCTCTCCGGCATGGAAGGATGCTCCAACGTCAAGTCTTGCTCGTTGCAAAGCTTGCAATTCCAAGCCACTGACAATTGAATCGCTGTACAGCGGGTTCGCGGTGTAACATCCACTGCAAATTCTCTGTACCTCAGTCTTAGAACATCACGCGTCGGTGAGCACAAACGCTTTCTCTGCCAACGACCACGCTGCGAACAGCTGATGCTCAACGTCATCTTCCACGAGAAGCTTGTTACAGATCGTATGGCTTTCGCTGTCTACCCCGTTGAGCTCATCCATGGTCGCTTCTCTCAGCCAGATCTCGAAGCGACTAAGGTGCGGTAAAGTGGACCACACTGGTTCCGAAAGCAGGAATGTCGCGCCATTGGCATCCTCAGTAGTGCACACATCAAGGCGTAGAGTGAGATCTTGCAAGTCGGGAAGAGTCTGTAGTGCCAATGCCACCCACTTCTCGTGTAGCTCTAGCTCTTCTGATAGCTCCTCACCATCAAATGAGGCCAAGCGGATATGCAGTGTCTGAATCTTTCTAGCAGCGCTTGGTATGCCGATTGACGATCCTACGTTGGCGAGTTGAAAATCGACGTGATCGCTGAGGTGTAGACTCGAGCTGCTCCCTATGTGTTCTCGATATTCGTCGCTGAATCGTCGTGATACCTGGAGGAGTTGAGGGAGTGGAACACGTTTGACCCTCAAGTTCGGCGTCGTCTTGCTTCCGAGCTGTTTTCTGTCTTCCACCGCAGCTTCGTATATCATATCCCGGAGCTCGCGGGGTAGATCGAAGAAGGGGAAGATGTCGCGCGGTTTCGAGGCGCCTACGTTGTGCGAGGCAGCCATGATGGCAGGTCCTTGTAGGTGGTGGCTTTTGCGTGGGGAGCTTCCAAGTGTGCTAAATTTCCAGAGTCGTCGCCAGAAGTGCAATGCAGTATGTTCGCAAGCGGCTCCCGCGGCTCAGCCCAGTTGCTGTCCTTTGCCAAGCTCTCAAGCAGAACCCTCTCGCTCTTTCTTCAGGCAATGTCTTCTCGAGCGATTGCCTCAGCTCACTAGCGGAAGGGCTCTATCCGTTTCAGTTGATCGTGCACGACGCTATATTAGCTGGACAGCGAGCGAAGAAATGGGAGGCCTGTGTCTCTCTGGAGGAGACGAGTCTGCTTTCTGGCGATCGCTTGGGAACTGCAGTGCTTGCTAGGAATCGTGAGTGCGGCGCGGTTCTGACTTCGTCTCTGACGTGCAACCCGATATTGCAGCACTGCAGCAAGATGAGCGACAGACGTGGAGAGGTGTCGCGGCGACGTGCTGACTATCAAGCAGTCGGGATGTGCACTAGCTGCAGCTGCAGGGTCCAGTACTGTCACGCGACGCGTTTTCAGCTGAAGATGAACTCCTTCAGGATGGGAGAACTTGCGAATTCTGGGTTCAGCAAGATGCAACTGCGCAAACTATCAGCATGCCGTGGACAGCAGTGTAGAGTGAAGATGCAACATACTTCATGAAGTGCGCCAGGCCATTCTTTCGATGCTCCAAGAACCTGGGCCGGAATCTAGACACCATGCTCTTGCGGGGAAGCTCCGGAATCTGGGCTTCTGCATGTGGAAATGCCCTTATCAGATCTGTTCGAAGGCGATCAAACTCCGAGTATCTGTGGATGCAACAGTCAGCAACTTCGCATTGGCCGTGGGGACGCGGAGCTATGGACAACCTTTTGTTCAGCGGCATGTCGCCTCCGTATAGAGTGCTCACGGTCAAGTGCCATACCACATACGCGCCAATGCTGCCATTGCCGGACACGACTGAATAGTCGTCTATCGTCACCGACTGTGCCCAACACGATAGCGCCTGCTCGTCATCATCCTTCGAGTGGTCCTCGAGAGTGATGGCGGCCGGCCGCGCCTGATCAATCGTGAGGATGCTCGCGGAACTGGCGGTTCTGCGGTGGCGATTCGTACTCCAGAATGGGGGAGCATCAGTCACACCTGAGCCGTTCCGAAGATCAGAGGATCCGGATTCTCGCTCTGGTGCAGCTGCGGTGGCGGGCGTCTGCAGCTCTCCCCTCGCCGCTGGCGCTCCATCTGCGTCGTCCAGGCGGGTCCCCATGCGATACGCAGGATGTTTGAGCCGGATCCTGGGCACAAGCTCCTCGAGTGTGGTATAGAAAAGACTTCCTACCCAGAGCTCCAACGGAGAACGCGCGTCCCGCCGTCTACCAGGGTACCTTTCGGCGCCAATGACTTGCAGAAAAGAGGTTGAGCACAGGTGGTGGTGGCCTGCAGTGCGGGCGTCCTGCAGGTCAGCGCAGAAAGCAGCAGTCCCCCAGTAGTCGGGAGGGTCCCAGCCATCGGCTGCTTGCGAGCATGTGCATGGCTTAAACGTCCGCCTTGGCACTGGCCAGAGGTTCCATCTTCACAGACCACAGTGCAGACACTATATGCAATACATCGTCGGGGAGGAGTGCGCTCCAAGCGACGACGGGAAAGCAACCTCGATGCACTGGACTACTTGCACGGTCTCTGCCACCCAAGAGCTGCTCTTTCCGGGCCAAGGTCCTAGGGAGAAGAGGTGAGAGGCAAACGACCTCAGCTTCCGAAAACGTTTAGTGCACTCAATTCGATGGCCCTAGCGCTGAGCCGGCGTGCATGAAAATAGCTGTCGGCACACGCATTCAACGTCCACAGCTCTCTCTTCCACACCACCACACCACGAGACGAATCGTGCGCATGTCGCAGAGCATCCGACCGCGCTCGCATGTCGGTGGCAAGAGTATGGCGCTCGGCTATGGCCACGACGAGCGTCCAAGCTCCATCCATGCTTTCGTGCCGTCGTGTGACCCCGTTGCACTCTAATATAAGTCAAGCCTCTCCCGGTAAGTAGCGAAGGTTGACTATACTTGACATATCCGCCCTGGGAACGTGCTGTTGGGACCGCGTCTGTCGCTTTCACATCGCTTTGTCGTTCTTGAACATCTTGCAAGAATCATCAGTCGCTACTCCTTGCTTCGAGTGTTCGCTGTACAACAACATTCATCAGGTAAGATCTCCACTCCCAAATTGGATAGCACGATTCACAGTCCAAGCTTCCGCCTACGCTCATGGCAATCTCTCGCCCGTCAATCCTCCTTTGCGCAGAACAACAAGGATACTATCCACAGCGCGTTGACACCGTACTTACAGTTTTGCTATAGATTCTACTGTACCATTCCAAAGCATAGCCATTTTAATCAACACGCGATCGAATTACACACATCACGATGAAGACCTCCACTACAGCGGCCGTTGCCACCTCCATTCTCCTCTCGGGAGTCAGAGCCCAATACACCATTGATCCTCAATCCGTCTCAAAGAGCACCCGTGGTACGTCCTACATTTATACCATCCTCGATCGCAGCACCCTCTAACATTGCACCACCACAGAATTCTGGTGCCAACAACAAATTACTCAATGTCCACTCATCTGCCTCGACCAAGGCAGCTCGACCGGCTCGACCGAAGCCAACGAATGCGACTCCGATGCCCTCACCTATGCCTGCGTCTGCGATGACGGCCGCTCGCCCAATGTCTCCGAGTATAGCAACACGCTGCCCTACAGTCTCTGCACCGAGTGGGGCTCACAATGCGTCTCAAACTGCAACGGCGATCCCACCTGCGCTGAAAAATGCCGCAGCGACCACCCCTGTGGAGCGCAGAATCCTACACGCCAAAACACCAGCACCCTGACACAATCGAGCACCGCCGCGCCATCGGGCACAGGTAGCCAGAGTGGAAGCAACGCGCAAGTCACAACGGACTCGGACGGGAGCACGGTGACGGTGTACAATGGTTTCGGTTCATCAGGCCAGACAACACAGAACGAGAACGGAGGTGTCAGCAACGTGCGCGTCTGGGCTTTGGGTGTGGGTCAGACTTTCGGGACACTGAGCATCATGGGCCTTGCAACATTGGGCTTTGCTGTTCTGTTGTAAGAGCCTAGCGATTGGACTTCTGTTCCCGATAAACCTCAAGAGGAGAAAGCAAGAGTTGGATAACATATTGGATGCAAACAAAGTTGGACACAATGGGATGTGGCCGACACGAGGCACAGCTGCACACGCATGACACAGAGGAACACCACATCCAGTCCACGCGACTCGTGCGAGTCCGCCGGTGTCACTGGGTTCATGAGGCGGAAAGCTCTTGGTCACACGACATCAGAGATCTTCCTGCCCTCTGCACCCAACTTCTATTACTATCATTGATGAGGCGTATGATCGACTGCATAGCGAGCATTGGAGTTCTTGATCTATTGGTGAATTAATTCGGTCTCTTCAAAAGTAGCGTTTTGGGTAGCGAACTTTCTTTGAGCGAGGCTTTAATGCAAAGACATTTTTTCAGCTATAAACATTAATACCAGTGCGATCTTGACCTGTCCATCTCTATCTACCTGCATGATGCTGCTATTGTTCTACGTGCTGTGATGTGTGTTATGATCGTCGTCGTCTGTTGCGCCCCTGATCGCGACCGTTGTCGTGGCAGTCTTGTTGATCCGGCTTTGCTCAACGGCCTTCCGGACTAAGGTTGCCAGACTGCGACGCACGTGCATATCGGTACCAAACTACAACTCCAGTGGGACGGCTTTCTTCAGGGACAGGGTCGGAATCTATGGTATGATTTCGGAAATCGAGATGCTATTCGTCCTTTTATGATGCGAATGTCCTGTTCTCTACCGCCACGTCCACCGCTCTTTTGCCGTTGAGAACATTCGTCGTTGCAATAACAATCTTCCTGCCGCTGCTTTTCTCGAGTTGCTCATTTATATACCGGAGAGCAGCGATTTCGGCATATGTTACACCGCCGAGGAAGAAGACGACAGTAACTTTGGGTCCTTCTTTACTGCCTCGAAGGGTCTTCCTTGCATGAGAAGCATCTGCATCACCTCCCTTTTGCGTTACGTCCACTGTTGCGCCTCTAATACGCGAGATCACGTCCTCGAAGCCTTTGAATCCGCTCCCAGCAGGAGCTGCCGTGCCAGTCTTGGACGAATTGGTGAGGAGCTGGTGAAGATATGACTTCTGCAGGATGCATTGGACTAGTCGCACGCTGAGGGGAGCGTAACCGGAGAACACGTAGGCAATGTCTTCGGGATCAGCTTCCTTCACATCGTCAGTCCACAATTGCAGCGACTTCCGCACCGCATTCCAATCAGTCGCGGTCTGACCGGCCGAGCCGGCTATGGGGTTCAGATAGCCTCGATGACTTTCCCGTGGCACGAAGAGGCCCATCTTCTCCAGATCTGCGAGTGTGAGCAGATGTTGGTAACCATACGCTTGCAATATCTGTCGCTTGAAATGGTCCAGATCTCGCTGGCGTAGTCCATTCATCACACAGCTTTCGAGGCACAGTAGGCGCAAGACTGTACTGAGAGGCGCATCTCGCGCGATCAATTCCTCGATATTCTCGTGCAAGGTTGTTGCATCGGTCCCGGCAAGGAAATTCTGTTGCACTTCGAGCATACGGCCAAAGGATTCGCTACGTGTGATCTTCATAATCTCTTCCGCGAGGCTTGTATGCATCTTCAAGCTCGTTGATTCAGCTTGATACGAAGGTAGTTTCGCTACTACATTCTTGAGATCGGCCACTGTTTGATCTTTATTGTGCATGGATTCGCTATCCGAGGCCAATCGACGTGCAATGCGGTTCAGTGCCGGGCCCACTGTCGCGAAATTGGCATCTCGAAGGTCAGGATATAGTTTGTCGTTGGAGTCTAGCACAACTTTGCGCTTTGTCGCAGCAGTCGGAGCTGGTGTAGACCCGTTTTGCTGCTGCGATGCGGCAGGAGGTGCGCCACCCAAAATGGAGGAGTCCACTTCCGTAGTGTTGTTGGCAATTCCAAAAACCTCATCAAGCAGACCCTCGTATGTGAGTTGCGTTGACAAGACTGTCAGAAGGTCGATTTCGCGATCAATTATGATCAGATTCTCGATCAACGAACTCGGTGTGAGGCCAAAGGAAGTCAAATAAGTATTAGTTGGATCTGCTGAAGCATTCACATCGTCCTCCTGCCGCATCCTCAAGAGCAGGTCTGCAAGTTGTTTGGCGTTGTCACCTTTGCCTAAGATGCGCGGTATCAGACCATACTGCTTCTGCAGCAGCATCAACGCCTTTGCGGATGCAAATATGCTGGTCAGATCCTTTCTCAGGGTGAGACTGCTGAATGCATCGTCAAGCTCCAAAGATAGGACGTCTGGCTCGAGGGCAACAAAGTTCAGATGCAGCTCTGTGATGGTGGCCTCTCCTAGCACGCCATGCTCCTCGAGGATCATATTACTGACCAAGGTCCTGCGTGGCACCCATATGATTGTGAAATCATGCTCGATCTTGCTCTCAGTCCTGATCAACTTGATCTGCTCTGTTGCTGTCAGCTAGATCTTCTGACGTACAATCAGAAGCGATCAATATGTAAGCAGGTGATCCAGATGCTGCACGAGAGGGAAAGCCTCGTGCAGCTTTGTAGAAGATCCAGAAGCTGACTCAATTTTGGCATCAAGACTGAATACGCAGGGTAGGAGAAATACAACTGCGCACTCTACTTTTAGAGCCGTGACAGATTGCACTTTCACGTACAATCGATGTTAGAAATGCGACATACCGGCTACCATGCGGATCTTTTTCGCATTCTCCCCTCGCACCATGAAGACGATATTTCTTTGGCTGGAATCGACATTGTGGTTCTCCAGGAAGAAGGGCTTGTCCACGCCATATTCTTGAAGGGTACTGAACTTGACAATCAGTCCGATAGTGCCGGCCAGCGACTTCTCTATCACCAGGTTCTTCTTCCCTCGAACCTAGGCAGATGTCAGCAGACAGCTTCAGCGACTTGAGCGGACTTGCGCATAACCCACGCTCTCGAGTAGCAACAAGAGCTCCCTTCGAGCTTTGTCGGTGATTTCTTGGGTATTTATGGCCTTTGCGGCCGAGTGGGCAGCCATGGCTACATGATTGGAGGTGTGGGAGTGGGAGCGAAAGTCGTGTCAAGAATGACGCCGAAGCTTGATGCGTCGCGTGCGGCGGGGATGTTTCCGCTCAATGCTCTCAAAAGTTGCCCGCTGTGACTCCTCATATTTCAAGCGACTGACTATATGAAATCTTTGCTGCGCGTCTCTCGTGCTGCCCGCATCTCCTTCTCACCGCCGCTACTTCGCCTCGCACGTGTACAATACCCACTGATCGCGCCGAACACTCAGCCCCAACACCGCCGATACCACGCCGAGGAGGGCATCATGGGGAAAGAGAAGTTCCAGCTCAAGGTGCCCAAGGGCACGAAAGATTGGGATGGCAAGGACATGGTCATCCGTGAGAAGATCTTCAGCACCATCACTGAAGTCTTCAAGCGCCACGGCGCTGTCACCATCGACACGCCCGTGTTTGAACTCAAGGAAATCCTGTCGGGCAAATATGGCGAAGACAGCAAACTCATCTACGACCTGGCAGACCAAGGCGGCGAGCTCTGCTCACTGCGATACGACCTGACAGTTCCCTTCGCACGATGGCTGGCCATGAACTCGAGCATTTCCAGCATCAAGAGATATCACATCGCCAAGGTCTACCGCCGAGATCAGCCTGCCATGACCAAGGGCCGCATGCGAGAGTTCTACCAATGCGATTTCGACATTGCTGGCGAGTATGATTCAATGATTCCCGACTCCGAGATCTTGCGCATCATCGTAGAAATTTTCGAGGCATTGGGATGGAAGGGACGATACACGATCAAGTTGAACCACCGCAAGATCCTCGACGGTATCTTTCAAGTGTGCAAAGTGCCAGATGAGAAGATCCGAACGATATCTTCAGCAGTGGATAAGCTGGACAAGTCGCCGTGGGAAGAGGTGCGGAGGGAAATGACTGAAGAGAAGGGCCTGGATCCTGCCATTGCAGATCGCATTGGCGAGTACGTGGTAGGGAGAAAGGGAACTGAGGAGCTTTTGGCAGAGCTACAGAAGGACGAACACCTGGCCGCAAACGAGTCAGCAAAGGCTGGTCTTCAGGATATCCAGACGCTGTTTGAGTACCTCAAGGTCTTCGGAACTCTTGACCGGATATCGTTAGACATGTCGCTGGCACGAGGGCTCGACTACTACACTGGCCTCATCTACGAGGTCGTTACCGAAGGGTCAGCGCCACAGACGAGCGAAGGGCAAGCACTACAACAGGAGGCCAAGAAGTCATCGAAGCCGAAGAAGGTGGCAGACGGAGACGAGGATAGATCAAATGATCCTACGGTTGGCGTGGGATCGGTTGCCGCAGGTGGTCGTTATGACAACCTAGTCGGCATGTTCAGCGGCAAGAAGACGATACCATGTGTGGGAATCTCATTCGGCGTGGAACGGATCTTCAGCATCACCAAGCAGAGACTTGCGGCGGACAGCTCCGCGGCGCCAATTCGAACAAACGAGGTCGATGTCTTCGTCATGGCATTCGGAGGGAAGGGCTTCGAGGGTCTCCTCAAAGAACGCATGGAAGTCGCCACACGGTTATGGGATGCTGGCATCAAGGCCGAGTTCTTGTGGAAGACGAAGCCAAGGCTTCCAGCCCAGTTCAAGGCCGCGGAAACCAATGGAGTGCCGTTCGCCGTTATTCTCGGAGACGATGAGTTGGCTGCAGGCAAATGCAAGATTAAGGAAATGGGCCTTCCGGAAGGCCACCCCGAGAAAGAGGGCGTGTCCATTGACATGGCGAATCTGATCGAGGAGGTGAAAGTTCGTATATCCAGACAGGCGACTACAGCCACGCTCTCGAATGGTGTGAGCAGCATCAGCTTGGATGTCGAGGCCAAGGAAGCGCCCAAGACAGACTAGACGACATGATTGAGACAGTGTTCCCCTTCTTCGGATTGTCTGCTTAGACTTTCTGTCCGAGTTGTCGCACCTCGGTCGCCAGACAAGATTGCACAGCTTTCACGATACCCATTGCAGACGTAGAGCGTAAATGAAAATACGATACATCTGCTAAGCACGACTGAGAAATCACGAGATCTTTCAGATGAATGTCCCGTACACCAGTATCATAGTGTACAATGAATGGTCATGTCAGCTAATCGTCCGCAGGCGCCGCAAGTGATCTCCCTCTCCACAAGACAAGTTTCGCTCCTAGCAAGTTTCTGTCTAGGCTGGCTGTCTCTTACGCCTTTGCTCATTCTGCCATCTGCTCACCCGTGCGAGGGAAAGGGAGAGGAAATCGGCAAGAGCCTTCCGAATCAGTGGCGAGCCTGCATAGCACCAGCAGAAAGACCAACCTTCACGTCAAGCAGTGACCAAAACGTGAAGTGACGCCTTCTTGACATCGACCAGCCATGAGCTGTGCTCTGAAACGGAAACGTCTCTGTCACAGGGTGTTTGTGGTGTCTCGCCGCCACAGAAGGAAGCCGTCATTGCAGAGTATCACACTGCTACCGCGGCAGCATATATTACTGAGGGCATGGCGACCCTCACCTGCTGAGTGCACCTGCTCACTCATCAACACAGGCAGTCGCTTCCATCGTCGCCCACATCCCTCGTGCTCCCGCCCAAACCGCTCGCTGCCACGACTCCCAGAACACAGAACACACTCCAGAGCAGGCTATCATTCCATCGAGACCGCCATTTTGTATCAACAGCCTACAGTCCAGCGAAACCAGCCAGCCAACAGCCGCTCTCAATACAAAGTTCAGCAACTTCCACATCACCAAGACTCCTGCTGCTCAGATTCCACATCACTTGCGCCCATCAAACCCCGCGAAGACAACCGAGAACACCCACCATGGATAGTAGCACACCACCCAGCCGCGACACTGCCTCCGCCCCGCCCGACGATGACAATACCGGCCTCATCATCGCAGCCTCCATCGGCGGATTCGTAACCCTCGTCATGGTCACTGTCGTTATTATTGGTTATTGCGGTCGCAGAAAGCGACGCGCAATTGAAAGGGGGGAAGACTTTGACGAGGGAACAGGACGCTGGCGGCTGGTGAACTGGGGATATGGGAGTCCAGTGGCATCCGGCGGGGGAGGGGGATGCGGGGGAGGGCCTTAGTGGTTGGTTGGTGGCGAAGAAAGAGCGGAGAACGCGAGAGGGGAGGGGATGGTGTGGTTGGGGCCTGGGCAGTAGAAGTCAAGAAGACGGATACCTGGGGACGAGAGACGCAGATGCGTTGCTGGCTTTCTTGCTTCTAGAGCTTGCTCCATCAGGGTCGGCTCGGTAGCTGTATTTCTCTTGCCATGGATCTACGACACATTGGATCATCGTGGTGGTCTTTCGAATTCTTCATAGAGTCATGTGTGATGATCGTTTCGTCTTAGGTGCCGAACTTTGTTTAGTGATACAACCCTTTGAAACCCCATCCAATGCTGTGCGCTCCCCTATCCATTCGTCATTCTGTCCATACACACCTCCAGACCTCACTCACTGTCCTGGTCCTCACTTCAGGCCTCCTCGACTGAGACTCCAGTTCGAAATCCTCAGCTGCTTTGTCGGGCGGGCCTCCTAAGCCCACCCGACAAGCAGCTTGTAGGTCGCAACCTCAAAAGCTCTCAACTCAATACCAATACCATTCTTCCCCACCTTGACTTCTTCATCTTCATCTTCCAGGATATTCGACTTCCACGCCTTGTGCACCTTGATCGGTCCCAACGCAATCGTGCCTCGAGAAGTACCACCAAGTGAATCATAAATTCGCAACACAACATGTCTGCCGTCTTTCACTCGGAGGTCGTCGACACTGACATCGGCATCGTCCTCGCCACGCTTCACGGTGTCAACAACGAGGCTAGGCGAAGAATCAGCTGTCAACTTAAAAGCGGAGAAGAGTTCCTTCACGCTTTGAACTTCTGGATGACGATGAGCAATCATCGGGTTGTTGAACTCCGCCGCGGCGCGGACTGTGCGGTGATCGAGAGGGCCAGCGTGCGGTAAAATCGCCCAGCGAATCTTGTGGTGTCCCATGTCAGCGTGGGCATCCGGTGCCTTGGGTGCACGGAGCAGAGACAGACGCATCAGTTTGCCGGTCGTGGCGAAGCCGTACTTGCTGTCGTTGAGGATAGAAACACCATAGCCGTACTCGCTCAAGTCAGCCCATTTGTGGCAGCAGACTTCGAACTTGGCCATGTCCCAAGACGTATTGTAGTGAGTAGGTCGTCGATTAATGCCGAATTGGGTTTCGTACGAAGCTTCAGTATTGGTGATGGTCGTTGGGAACTCAACCTTCAGGAACTTCATCGTTTCGTGCCACTCGACCTCTGCCTCAACTTCCACATACGAGGTTTCAGCTTCGTCCGATGCCGCATTCAGCGCGATAGTAGTCTTGATCCATGATTTGTCAGAGATCTGCGTCTTCGTGGTCACCGCCACGCGCTGAGTCGAGTTCTCCGTAATCTCAGTCTTGCCCGTCGCCTTCAATTCCTGCCGCGACTCGAGGTGGAAGACTTCCACATCCCATGCTTGCCAGTACAGTGGCTTGTCGTCAAAGAGCACGAGCTGGTTGGCCTTCCCTCCTTTAGGCAGGACTTCTCGATCGGCAGCCTTGTCGTAAAGCGAGGTGATGACTCCACCAGCGACCGTCAATGCCAGTTTCGAATTTTGAAGCGAAAATGCGCCATCGTCAAGCTCTTTCACGGAAGCTTCTTCGGTAGCGCGTTTGACGAGAGTCTGTGTCCCAGCAGGCTGTCCAACGACCTCTGGGTAGCGGAGTCCAACAAGCTCCTGATCAGTACGTGGCCAACCCAGGGTGTTTATTGCTACGGGCTGAGCAGTTTTGTCATCGACAAAACCCAGCGACTTCAAGGCCTCGTGCAAGACCTTCTGGCCAGTCTTGAACACCTTCGCATACTCTTTGTCAGAGTCGTCATAGCACATCTCGATCGAAGATCCAGGCAAGCAGTCGTGGAACTGACAGAGCAATACACTCTCCCACATCGAGTCAATTTCCTTCTTTGGGTATTTGTAGTCCTTGTCATGCAAGGTGGCCATTGTCGCGAGATACTCAATGTTGTGTAGCAGTACCTCCGACTTGCGGTTGCCTTTCTTGTTGTTCGCTTGCGTAGTATATGTACCTCTGTGAAGCTCAAAGTAGAGCTCACCGTACCAGGTGACAAACTCCGTCTTGCCGGTTGCTGCGTTCTTCTCCAGGCGATCGAAAAAGTCCTCGACGCTTCGGCCCATATGCACACGAGGCAGGAGTCCGACATTGTCTGCAATACCGCGACATCTGCGGAGCTTCTCAATGTGGCCCCATGTTGGGCCTCCACCTCCGTCACCTTTACCGAACACAAGCAGAGATGTAGGATCTTGATCCATGCTCTTGTGCTGTGTGACTGACCGCTTTACGTCGCCAAAGTGTGCTTCCGCAGTGTACGTCTCCGAAGGTGCCATGTGGCATATGACCTGACTGCCATCGAGACTGACCCAATTGAAAGTGGTGTGGGGGAAGTTGTTGATGTTGTTCCAGCTCAGCTTTTGAGTGAAGAAGCGATTCATGCCAGCGAGCCTGCAGAGCTGAGGGATCTGCGACGAGTATCCGAACGTGTCTGGAAGCCAGAACGTCCTGCATCGCTGGCCAAATCTCGACTCAAAGTATCGCTGCCCATACAAGAACTGCCTAACCAGTGATTCTCCAGAAGGCATATTGGTATCGTGCTCCACCCAACTGCCACCAATGGGCTGAAAGTTGCCCTTCTTCACATGATTCTTGACGCGGTCGAAGGCATAAGGGTACAACTCTTCCAGCCACTTGTACTGCTGTGCCTGACTAGCACAGAATCGATGCTCCGGGTAACGATCCAGCAGGTCACACTGGTTACTCCAACTCCTCACGACTTTCCTCTTTGTCTCCGCCCAAGGCCACAGCCAGCAGGTATCAATATGGCAGTGTCCAATTCCGGAGACCAACACCTCTCTCAACGGATCCTTCTCCGTCAACTCATACACCTCCGGTCCATCCACCTTGTCGCCCACATATTTCTTCGCAATCTTCCTGCATTCTTTAATCGCCTCTTTTGACCCATTGCCAGCAATGAACGCGTCAATCACCTCATTCGCAATCGTCAACGCGCGATGTTCCTCCCACGAATCTTGCGGGAACTCTCTAGCCGCATCGCCCAAGATCCAGAAATCATAGAACAATGCTCTCGCATCCAAATTCACGCTCACCAGGTCCGCCAACTGTAATCGGAAATATCGGTTCGGATCTGGAGGCTGGATGGTATCACCGCCAGTGGGATTGCCAAACATCCCATTACACGCCATTTCAATATAGATCGTCTCTTCCTTTCCTGTGCGATAGCTATCTGGAACAATCCACTCGATCCTCTCGCCATTGCCGGTCAACCCTTGCAATGGCTTGCCATCATGTGTCCAAACCAACCCCTCACTGGAGGAATCCCAGTGTAACTCGACTCGTTCTTCATCTTTCCATTCTGTAGGAACAGTAAACTCGACTCTGAACCAATGCGTGCTCCAACTGGGGCCAAAGCTCTCGCCTTTGCGTGTCTTTTTGTAAGTGTTCTCCGAATCGGTAGCTTCGGCGAAGGTGGGGCGTGTGAGGTCGGGTGCGGACCAGACGGATAGGTGGACGTGATCCTCGCCGAGTCGGCCATTGTAGATTTTGCCTAGGAGACCTTGTTCTTTGTATTGGCCACCTGAGGTGAATTGGTTCAAGCGATCGCGATAGATGTCGTGGATCAGCTTGCCTTTGGGACGAGCGGCAAGCTGTGGGTATTGAGCTGTCGATGAGGTCATTGTGTTGGTGTTGTGTGTTTCTCCGCCCATCGTGCAAGACGGATGAGATGTACAGAGATGGAGAGGAGCAAGAGTTGGTTGTGCAACGGAGCGAGGTCAGCAGGTCTTGAGGCGTAAGCTGTCGGGTGTATGCAAGCTGGGCACAGCTCTCCGCCTCCGCACTGGGGTGCATGCAAGGAACGCCGCGTGGTTGCTCCGGTTTCATGTGATCGTCACCGCCAAGGTCAGCATTACCACGCCAGTGGGACATGGACGATACTGCAGCATGCACGTAATTATCATTAGCATTAGCACAGAGCTACATATTCTGCAGTGTGTTCGTCTACTGTACTCAATGTACTCTGATGGGTATCGTCCAAAGCGCCAACCTGCTGCGCACGATCAATGCGGTTTGACCAAACATTAGAGCGCTTCCTTCTATTTGTATCCTCCGTCTCAAGCTCAATGAGCGTGCGTCCTCACAAGCAGTCCTACAATTCAGCAAGCGCCTGTTCGCACAGTGTTTGATATCTGGATGGGTCGAAACGCTCTCTCTTCCAACGTCTTGCCCGGCCAGCTTCGATGTGCTCCTTCTTCTTCCTCGCCTTTTGGTCTTCCGGTGCAAATGACCAGAAGCTGCGACTCTTCCGCAGACTCTTCTGTCGAGACGGTCCATTGGAAGGAGTTGACGTCCTGTCAGAAGCTGAGTTGCCATCTCTGTCGCGCCTCGAAGGGGTCTCGAGCCTCTGAAGTGCTTGCGCACGATGAATCTGTTCCTGTGCGCGTTGCACTCCTTTCATGTGTGTCTCGAGCTGTGTCCGCATGGCTGCAAGGTGATCTGTGATTCGATTCAACATTGCCACATCCAGACACTCTTTGGGTTGAAACGTTGGCTTGAATGTCGCAGGTGCCATGGATACTGCCACTGCTGTTGCTGTGTGAGGTTCGCTGTACCGCGTATATTCGGGCTTCTTCGGTGTGCTTGGGGTAACAGCGGATGTCGTAGTCGTGTCAGACCCCCTTTCGAGACCATCTGTGGCTATTGGTGATATCGGTGATATTGGCGAAACTGATGATCCGAATGACAAAGTCGAATTTGGCGACACAGGAGACACAGGCGAGGCGTGGTCTGGGTCTTCGTAGCTAGTGCTGAAGTAGTTCAATTGCGGCGCACTGACAACACGAGCGCTGTTCTGAAAGTCAATGGAGAGACGCGACAGCTTTGGTCGAGGGGATGGGCTCGGACGTGCGGTCGAGAGTGGGTCCTGGTAGGGCTTGGGAAGGGAACCCATCCGCACAGGGCGCATGAGACCTCCCGTTGGTGTTGTCTGGCGATGGCCAGGAGAAGGTCCCGCGGGATATTGCTCGGAGATGACTTGTGGGCATGGAAGAGGTGCAGGCGACGAGGTCGAAGGCGCAGTGAGTGATCCTTCTCGCAGCAAGAATTTCTGCACCGGAGTGGCGTGATCATGATCGGGATAGTCACGTCGCAAGCGGTTTGGAGTCATGAGCTCCGCGAAACTGTGATGGCTCTCGAGATCGTCCATATCGTAGGCTGAAAGCACAGGCGAACCTTGGAATGAAGCCAACGAAGTGTGTTGGGTGTCTGCCACGCGCTGCTCGGGAGATGACAGCATCAAGGAGCTCGCACGAGAACAAGGCCTGTCGAAGAATCCGCTATCAGGCAAAGGTGGGGAGAAGGGTCGAGTGTTTTCGACCTGCCGCACGACGAAGGGGTCCTCGGACGGCTCTCGTACGTGGCGAACACACAGCGCTCGAGCATCTTTGGCAGTTGGAAGTGCGGTCAAGGCTTCAAGGTAGTGTCGTTCAGCATCGTCGAAGGCCGGCAATTTGGCGACTGAGTTGTGGTGCATCATTCGCGCAACCTCGTTGAAGCAGAGGCCCAGGTAGAAGTTGATGAAGGCGTCCTGCAGTGGATGTGTGTGGTCGTCGTCGTTGGCATGGGCCTTGAGGATCTCGCGGCAGAGCTGGATGCACTGGCGATATTTCTCTTGGATGAACAAGTTCTTGATGAGCTTCTGAGCGTTTCGCCAGTCGTCGGCGGAGGAGTCTGTCATTGTGCGCGCCATCTCCTCTGCCAGTGGCAGGCCGCGGGGCGGAGATATGTGCGGTATGCGGAAATGGGACAGGATGAAGTGCGATGCGGAAGGCCGACATGCAGAGCAGAAGGTGCCAAGGCAGCCGCAGTGACGCTCTATTCTGATTGATAGCGGGCATCGACGGGCATATCGAGGCCAGCGGGTGATGAAGGCGCAGGGATGTTTGCGATGATGACTGCGCAAAAAGCTGTCCACGATCTCGAAGGCGAAACTGCACCGCACCTGCACTGTTTTCCACCGCGCAACGTGGGCGCGCGCGGCGCACTCGTTCCTTCACCTACCAACGGTCTCGTCTATTTGTGTTGTCGCACATTCCGTGTCCGGCGTCGGCTCTCACACGTCCAACGGCAGCGCGCTCGCGTGCACAAATGAAGGCTTCATCATGATGCCTCGCACTGGAGTTGGCTCCGACGCAAAGCAACCCATGTTCCCTTCGGCCAAGTCTTGCGTGCTGCGCGGGCACGTTGCGGCCTGCTGGAGTGAGGTCGATGGTGAGAATGGAAGGATGTGGTGGTTGTGGCGCTCTGATTTAACCCTCAGCGAGGATCCCTGGGCGACCCAAGCCGCTTCGGGGGCGTATTTACGTCTGGTTACAGAATCCTTGCCTTATCATCGTCAATCCAGTTTGAATCTCCGACCCTTCAACAGCTCAATCTTGTTCTCGAGAGGCAAGCATCGCGATTTTAGCCACCAGTCGAAAATTGCTAGCATGCCCAGTTCCAACGCGGCGGTCACACCGTGGCTGTGGCGCCGTCAATATCCAGGTCGAAGGCAGCAAGAAGCTGAAGTTGGACCGATTTGACGCGCCTCCAACGTCCTCCGCAGATGCGAACGCACGACGCAGCAAATGCCGTTGAACAGACGTACCAGATCGAACCTGTTCGTGCCTTCCGTTCATAGGTCGGTTCCAGCAACTTCTGAACGTGTCTTGCTGCCGGCCACTTGCTCTGCAAGCCCCCCAGTCACAACAGAGATGACTCCCGAGCGCGTGGCATTTTCCCCTGCATCTGCTGGGCGGCATCCATGCATGTCCTACACCATGCTCCTTCCCCAAAACCATGTTGCACTTCGCATGTGACGCAGTGGTGGCTTGTGTGCCTTTGTGAAGGCAGCGTGACTTGACCCGTCTCTGAACAGCAGTCGCATATTTGGGGTCGAGGAGCTGTGTACCATCTTCAGGCTCAGCTACAATGGTCACGATCCCGGGACGTTGGGCTTCGTTTCTTCATGATCAACTGCTAACGGGGTCGTTTGCTTGCATCAAGGTTTGCCTGGCCGTGTAGACGTGATGACGTGGGTAGATCGTAGATGCAACAACGCTCAACTATCAACGCCTTGAACAGCACCGGCCAGGTCGTCTGTACTGCGGCAGACCTTTTACTTGACTTGTAGCATCTCGCACGACAGAACAATCGAGGCACTCCTGCTCGCCGAGCAGTTTATCAATTCAATCTTGGAACAGCATGCCTTGGGATCACATTGAAGGGTACAGGCGAGAAATGGAACAGCAGCAGAATGCCAGCTGTGCTGTTCGAAGTCGCAACTAGTTTATCACTGCTGGCTTTGCGATGCAGTCGCTCCTGCCGATCCAATCTGGCGATTGGTTTGACTCCTCCACGTACGCAATCGCGGTGGATCCTTTGAAGAATGGAATTGCATGATTGATCTTATCCAGCAACATGTCCTGCTTTGCACGACATTTCAACACACTCCATCAGGTTGCGGTCTTGTCAGCCTCCTCATACTCCTTCTGGTCCAATTCTTCATGCCACGAGGTCTCTGCTCAATCCCATTAGCCAAACCCCTCAAGACACGACTCATAGAAAACACTCGAAAGAGAACAACATACTTCCCAGACTAATAGCCTGATGCGCCATCATCGTCGTCTTCGTTCCACCATGCCAATGCGTCTCACCCGCCGGAATATGCACTACATCGCCGACTTGCAATCTCCGTGGCTTCTCGCCTTTACTACAAATCAATCCTTCGCCGATGGTCACAGTCAGGATTTGTCCGCGCTCGTGAGTATGCCAGTAAGTCCTTGCACCAGGCGTGAAGCAGACGTTGTTGCCCATGCAGTCTTCAGCAGTGAAGATTGGATCCATGTGTACAGAGCCAGTGAATGTCTCTGTGGGTTGGCGAGAGGGAGTGGAGGGTTTTTGGGCGGCGCGTGTTAATTGCATCTTTGTTATGTTATGTTCTTGATTTTTGGATATTTTGGCTGGCTCTTTCTGCTGCTGTGAATGACCGGGTCTGCCGTCTGTACTTTTGATGGCTTGGAAACTTCTCTGTAAACAGAACGACGAGGTGTCGTTAAGCTGGTCGAGCTCTCTCCACGTCCAGCTCCACCGATATCGCAAAGGCAGAGAGCTGACGACCTGTCGAGCTCTGGACCAAAACCGATTGCCCTGCCCATACGCACAACTCTTCTCCTGCTGAGCTGACAGCTCACTATCTGAGCGCCAACTTTAGAAAATGCGTATTCTCCAACGGCGTCTCATAATACGCTTTGGTCTCCACAAATCCCAATGACTTGTACAAAGCTCTGGCAGATTCCATAGACTCCAATGTATCCAACACCATAGCCTCATATCCCAGCCTTGTAGCTTCCGCAATGACTTTCTCCGCTAGAGCTTTACCAATTCCCATTCCGCGACCTTTGGGATCAACGTATAATCGCTTCATCTCGCAGTGATTTGGTATGCTCAGTGGTCGCAGACCCACACACCCGACGGCTTGGCCTTCGTTATTGCGAGCGAGATACAGAGCTCCTGTGGGTGGAGCATATTTACCGGGCATGGATGACATTTCATTGTCGAAATCTTGGAATTGGAGATCGATGCCTAGCGACTGGGCGTAGATCTTGAACAGTTTAATGGTGTCGGCGAGGTCTTCTCGGTTGTTCACAGGCTCGACAGTGAAGGTCGCCATCGCTGTAGATGAGGTGTGAGTCGCTGTTGTTGAAATCTAACGCAGTTGTAGCTGCGGATGAGTGTTGGAGACGGAGTCATATTCGAAAGGCAATTGTCAAGTCGAAGGGCGCGCTTTCGGGCCCGTCCCGTGCTTTTGGCAAACGCATGGCATCACTTATTCAGGATGGTGCAGCAGCAGCAGTTATTAGCGGAGAGCAACTTGGAATAGTGGAATGTGTTCGAATGCATGATGTGAACGTCGAACCTCTGCAGATGAGTACCTTGATGGGTCCGAAAGCGATACGGCTTGCTGAAGGAACCGTAATTCAGTCTCATCGACCGAACCCGCCAAATCCAGCCCCGTCCTTCTTGAAGAAACGTCCAATATTCCTCAAATTCTCATTCAGCGTCGCAGCCGGACTATCCGCATCCATGCTAGCCCTAGCAGGCCCGCCCACAGGCGGCGAAGTCGTGCGACTCGCCACGTTCGCCGAAGCAGTGCCATCTCTGCCAATGCCGATATTTGGCGTCGAGAAGCGATCGCCCGCGTCTCTCGCAGCATTCATGAGAGCAGTACCAAAGTTCGAAGGGTCAAATCGGGCTGGCAGCGAGGGTGTCGAGTTCGCAATCGCGTTGTCCTTGAGTGCTGAGAGACCGAGACCAGCAGTGGTCGGTGCAGTTTGATTCGTGAGCTGCAACGCTGCAATGAGTGGATTGCTGGCCTGTAAGCTTTCATTCGCAGGACTGGCTTTGTGAGCGTTGAATAGTTCGATGAGATGACTCTGCTCTTGCTTGCGCGTAATACCCTTGAGCTCAAGCATTTTGCGAAAGTTGGCTTCAGAACGGTCGCGGATGTGTATGAGATATGCTTGGACCAAACCTTCTGGTGGTGACGCCCGGACTTGCAAGGTCTTCAAGATCGGATCGAGCTTGCCTGTACTTTGGTTGACGCGCTTGACGAAGGCCTGGTTAAGAGGAGTGCCGTCTTCTTCCTTGAGCGTTGCCAGTTCCGACAGACCCTTCTTGAGCACGTAGGTGTCCAGGAGCATCTGCTCGGAGCCGGTCTCTGAAACAGGTCTACACGCTACGATGTTCGTGATGTAGGTAGTGGTAAGAGCATCGACCAGGTTGTCGCAATATGCTCGCGCGTATTGTGGCTTGTGGAGTAATCGCAGAATGTCCTTGCTCCGATCCTTGACGCGTGCGAGGAGCGAAGAGACGTAGCTGCTCTGGTCGCCCACGCTTTCCATCTTGGCCCATTGTATTGAGCGCATTTCTCGCCATGCAGGCTCGCACTCGGCTTCCGCTTTGTGGACTAAAGCGCGTATCGATGCAGAAGCGACGCCCATGAAAGTATCGGCCTGAGCTTGGAGATCGACTTTGTCGCGCAAGTCCTCATCAATCCGTGATTTGATCTTCTCCTCGAGCTGATTGGTAGTCGTGTAGCAGTAGTCAGCGGTATTGAGAATGATGACTGCATCTTCCACACTAGGCCCGCCAGTCTTCTCGGAGAGGAAGAAGAACAGCACCTGCTGTGCATACTGATCGAGATATTTCCCGAAAGTGGTCGAGAGCTCGGACAGCCGACCGCCTGTCGACAATTTCGCGCACTGCGCAAGCGTGACACGATAGTGATGGAACAGCTCCGTAGACGAAGGTATGACCAGCTGCGAGTGGAACTCCTCCTCCGGTGGCCGAATGTGCTGTTGTCGATACCTTGGGATCAAGGACGCAAGCTGCTTGTCCTGCGATTCCACCCATACACTTAGGTATGGCTCGAAAGCCTCAGAGATGGCCTGACTGAAGCCATGCCTCTTCTCTCCCTCAGCCCCTGATGCAACAGTGTCCATGCTCGATCTCGACTCGCCAGAAGAGAACCGCCTTTCTAGACTGTGCTCGAAGTCGAGCGTCTCCTGCAAGCACGACAGAAGCAGGTTCACGTCCGGTGGCTGTCCATCCGCGCGCCGCATGCTCTTCTTCAAAATTTCCTTATAGTCGTCTCTTGTATTCTCGCAATACGCGTTCGCCAGCATCTCGTTGACCTTCCACTCTCGCGGGAACAAAGCGGCGTGCTCAGCATCGTACGTCTTGAGCATACGATTGAACCACGAATACCTCCTCGAGATATTGTCCAAACTGCCAGCTTCATCGTTGCCTCGGAACACCTGCCGATATTCCCTCAACTGTGTATTGCAATACCATGTGATGAGTCTCGCGCGAGCATGTTCTCCCAAAGCATCCATGACCTGGCACGCTTCATTCAGCATGCCTCTCTTCTGCTGCACCTCACTCCTCGCAAATGTGACTTCAAAGTCCTCGCAGACTTGCTCCAGCAATTCTCTCTGCACCTCGCTCACATTCTTGGACAAGGTAGCAATCTGGTCAATACTCCTATAGCTCTTAAAATGCGCCATGAGCTGAATGACGGCTTGCAGAAGGTGGGCGCATTCGCGGTACTGTCTCGTCTCTGACAATCCTCGCAACTGCTCATATGCAGTCGTGAGCATTTGAAGCCTCTTCAGCACCGTCATCGAGAGTGTCAAGTTCCGTTTCGTGCTGTCCAAGCGCTTGATATCTGCTGTCATCTCGGTGATGGTCCTCTCCGTCTCCAGCGCTCTTTCCCGTACGCCATCGATCTTCGCGAACAAAGTCGCGAGCTCGGCTTTGGCATCTTGAATGCGGCGGACGCTGTCGCTGTCGGAGGTTGTTTGTGCTGTGACGAGGGAGGAGATGGATGAGTCGAGGGAGGCTTCATAGTTCTGGAGTTGCTTGGAGACTGCTGGTACGGATGAGAGGGTCGAGGGATGCGAGAAGAGGGCGTTGAGATGGTCTATCGGGTCGTAGTCGACTACGGAATACTCAGTATATGCGCAATAACATGAATCCACGTATGAAGCGTGAGCTATGGATGCCTACCAGCATCGAGGGCGTCTGGAGGCGCGCTGCCATCTCCCAGCGCCATTGAGGGTTAACACGCCGCACAGGCAGACATGTGAAGTCACAATACCCGGCAAGATATCGACCTTTTTTTAGCCAGATGTGCTATGGAAGGGCAATCATTGTTGACAGCTGGAGCTGGATGGATGTTGGCATATGCAAGTGTCCGTGCCTGACGGACTTGAGTCCGCGCTGCTGTACTTCGTCCTTTCCTTTCTTACGCTTCACATCATTCTTCCTGGCCGAATCTACAAGAACAGGTGTCTTCCATCAATTTCAGAATTGTCTTTTGGCTTTGACTATGTACGGATTCCAAGTGGCATCACCAAAAGGATTCGTTATTGAGGCACAAGCCAAGACCCTAATATCAGACTCTAGTAGCTGGTAGAGGATGAAGTATCCATATGCCTCAGCCATGGATTGCCATCCTCGTCCATCCAGCAGACTTTGTGCTACCCAGTAAAGTCAAGTTCCAAAACATCCCACCGCCATGGTACTGTCAAGGCCTCTTCCCAAATAATCAAGTCTCCTTCCAAGCACCATCGGTGTAGCTCACCGTCTCCGGATACTGCCTCGACCTCCTTCTCGCCCCCACTCCATCATCTTCCGTCTGCCAAGGTCTCTTCCTCGCCTCGACCAGCTTGTTCATAAGCTTGATCTCCCGCCCATCGAACCTCGCACTCAAGTGCTGGGCCAGAGCTACGATAGCGAACTCTGCATATCTCAGCATTTCCGTCCTCCAGCCTACATCCTTGTCCTGCACGGCGTGCAAAGCAGCTCTTCCGCTCGTCCCATTCATTCGTACGATCAAGTTTTCGCCCTCGACTTGCTGCAAGATGCTGAGAGCCATATCCTGTCGAATTTCCATAATAGGCTCCGTACCGTGGAGAGAATCGAGTGTCGTCAGAATGAGCCACTGGCGCCGGCCACGGTGGTCGTTGTATTCTGGTTCTGGGCCTCTCGGTGAAGGTACGTGAATCGAAGGCGTGGTCGGGTTCGCTGGGAGGCGAAATTGGATCTTTGCTGCGATGAACATGTTATCCAAAGCCTTCTGGGCATAATCGAACAGTAGAGTGCTGAAAGTCTCGTCTTGTGGATCGCGTTGCAAGGCACGACCTTCAATGACAATCTTGAGGACGTTTACGACCATTCGTCCTCTCTTGTACCAGCGACTATTTCCCTCCTTGCTCGGATCGGGGTTTGCAGCAGTTATTGTATCGAGGGGAGTCACGAAAGGTATGGCCAGCAGCTCTCGCAGCGCGTGATCTAGCTTCTGTCGCTGATATATCTGCCTGCTAGACAGCGCAAGATTCGTAACTCGAAATTGGTTTCGGTGTGGAGGAAGTGGTGTGACTGCTCCAGTTCCAGGGACATTTTGAGCCCAAAGTCTCACAGATCGCTTTGCCCACGTAGCTGGTGTCATGCTGTCGAACCAAGCAGCATACCAGCGGGAGATGCAGATGAGCGTCAGGAGAGCGCAATCGAATAGAGTATACCTGAGGTATGTATTATTGAGGTCCTGCGGGAGGCTCACCGCGTCTAGCCAAAGCATTTGTCCATTCGAGAAGTGTGCGATCGTGGCTTTTCCAGAACATAATCGAAGCACGTCGGTCGCCAGATGTACGAGCTCGGAGCTACTCGAGTCCATGATCATCAGCTCGCACATATCTCTGCGCAGAATGTGTAGGCGGAGCGCGAGCGGATCGTTGTCGTACTTCGGATTCAACTTCGATGCGTTTCCAGGTCGGAAGCGCAACTTCACCAGGTTATTCTCGGCTGATGGATCTCGTCGCGGAGCCAGCGCCCATTGTGCTGCATTTCCGGTCATTTGAATGGCGTCCTGACAGACTGTATCGAGAGCCCAGATATCTGTCGGGCGGAGACCGTTGAAGGTCTCCTTGTCGATCGCTCTGCAATCGAGCAGGATGTCGAACATGAGGGAAGCGCAGCACTCGATGCCTTGGCCATCCGTATACGCGTGAGAGAGGTTGAGAAACTTGGCCTGAAGTTTCTCAACCATGGAGGTGGTGGCCGCGGCGACTGGCTCTGGCTCTGGCATGGCGGCCACTGGTCTTCAGGCGGCGACGGCGGATCGATTGGTCGACTGTGTCTCGATGATCTGGAGAAGTCAGGGTGGTCAGCATGTGTTGTGTGCTTGCTTCAGGTGCGAGTACCTTCTCGGCGCGGCAAGATGCTACGCGCACTTTGCAGTCTGGCGTTCCGGACGCGCCGTGTGCGTGTTTGTGCGAGAGTCTCGAAGCGAGTGGGCAAAGCTGTTTGCTTCGGACGCGAAGTTGCTCCGGTTACTGAAGTGAAGTTCACGTAGAGCACCAACGATGAAGCCTTCGAAGTCATCGCGACATAGCGCATCTTTCTCCTGAAAGACATATCGTTTTCTGCTGCCTGGCTTGACTCTGGTCAACATCTTGTCGTGAGAGTTGGTCTGAGACAAGCCTGTTCTCTGGCCACGACTTTGATTCTCTGCCCACCAGCTTGACCAAGGGCATCACGGTGCCGCACAAATCTGTCCGAGACAAGACTCGGATGTGCGTAGCTTGGGAGAGAGCAAGTGAATCACACGTGCAGTGGCCGGAACCTCAGAAGGAATGATAGATGTGCTATCTGATCAAAATCCACTTGACCATGCGCAGCGGTAGAACGAATGGCCACAAGACAACCTCAAAGAACTGCAGGAGTGATATTCCTAGCTTCCAAAGCATCGCCAGCAATGTGCAGACAGCGAGTGCGTGCCCTGCTAACGATAGAATAGCTTTCAGTGCTTCGACCTTATCTTTTGTCGGAACTTCTGGGTCCTGCAATAACTCGAAGAGGCCCACTCTAGGCATTTGAAGTGAGCCCAAGTAGCGAAGGAACACAAGCAGGTAATCGAGTAAATGCTCCAAGTGATCCACCTTCTCACCTTCAGACTGTAGACTGGAGGACTTTTCGAATAAAGAAGTAGATCTTATGACAGATCCTGTAGAATTGACACGTCTTTCCACGCAAGCACCGCTCTGCACATCCCTTTCGCATCCCAACGAGCACTGTCTGTTGCCAATTCTACCGCTTGCTGTCGCAGCAGCAGCTCGTGGGACAGCAGCAAGTTCCGGCTTGACGAGTCGCACACGCGGCAGATGACGAAGATCTGGCACAGACTCCGAACCGGCAAACGCACATCTTGATGAAGTCGAATCATGCGCGAAGCTATTATCGTCCAACGCAGACGCAGACCGACATCCGACGTACATGTTGCAGGCAATGTCAGGAGTTGTTCTGGGCGCCGAGCACTTGTCCATACAAACTTTATGATCCGCTGCCGCCGAGCTTCGCTGGGCGTATTGTTTCCTGGAACGTCGGGGAGAAGCTGGACTTCTACCGTGCAGTTCATTATCATCTCCCTGAACTTTTATTGAATTATCTGGGCAGTGGATAGCAGACGATTGAGGAGATCTTGGCGTTACATTTGCGGTAACCTGTACCTGATCTGCGACAGCGGTGGGTGCAGCGGTATCCTGTGCGGGCTGGCCGCGATGTAAGATTCTGCTTATTTTTGCGTTCAGATTGTCTCGTTTCCGGACTGTCAGAGTCGGAGGTGCGGGAATTGTTGGTTCCTCGTCGCAGGCATTGTATGGGGTAAATGATCGATCGTGAAGGCGCGAACAGTTGGCATAAGCTCCTTCATGGTCCTCGACGGTAGCAACATTGGCTTGGCCGCTTGCAAACCGACGACGGTCGTATCCTTCACTTGATACCCGTCTCGCCTTGTCCCTGTAGTGTTCCAATGCCTCAATCTGCTCTGCTGTGTAGCCTGGGTATGCAAATGGTTGTGGCTCTCGAGCTGATGGCATGTGGACCAACTGGTCATCCTGCCTCTCGCCTGTTGTGGTGCTGAGTGTTGTCCTGTCCTGTGCGTTCACGTTTGCTCCAGCTCTTCCATTTCCCCCGCTCACTTTCCTGCCTTCGTTGGCTTTCGTCAGGACTGGCCGTCTCTTCACTGCGTGCGTCGGCGAGATCTGTTGCACTGCATTCTTCCGCAAGTTCAATGCATGTCCAGGTGATTCGGGTGTGCGCGGGGTCTGCGTGCCTGGGCTAGGCGATATGAGACCAGTCCACGGGTTTGCTGCTCGTGCTGTAATGTAGTCGTCGCTATCCTTCATTCGACCCATTGATCGCTTCCAACCTTGTTGCTTGCGTGGAGTCGTGACTCGTTTTCCACCAATTCGGCTCGTTAGAATGGATTTCAGGCTTCGTCGGTGCTCAAGCCGCCAGTGAGGCGGGCAAAGTTCTGGAGACTGTTGTAGATCAGTGATGGCCGCAGGCTGCCATTCGCTGCAATGAAATGATTTGAGGTGTGGAGGCACATGAGCTGTGCTCTGAGCGAGCTCCATTGCATTACTAGAGCGGTAGTAATGAAGCTGGAATGTAGCGAATTGGCACAGCAACACCAACAATGGGTGCTGTTCGAATTCGCTGGACTTACCGTCGGACTTGACAATGCGAATACATTCGGCAGCCGCTACCCCACAAACTGAGTTTCAAGGCAGGCGCGCGAACAGTCCTTACTCACCTGAAGCCATATCTGCAAATTCACAAAACTGACTGTGGTGTTCCTCTCGCCCCGAGCTTACAGAGTGCGATGAGCTTTGCTGTGCCTGGATCATGTGCTCCGGTCCTAGTTCAAGCAAGTTCGGGTTGAGAACAAGGTGTCACCTCTCTGCATTTCCCGGTTCTTCACGCTGTTGGTGTACAGATCCAACTGCGACCAGCATGACATCTGATGTCTGGACCAGGTCCTCGTGATTCTGCTCAACCATTCTCTCGGGATCAAAGCCTACACTATCCGCCAAGGCAATGGGCAGCATACGTCCGTCCGCAAATGGGGCCCCAGTGATCGTCTGCACAAGAATGCGATCCCAAGAATCTCCAGTATCAGTGGCGTACCAAGCAGCAGAGCTAGGCGTGCTAGGATCCGGCAAGTCCGGGCGAAAAATGCTTGCAAAGCTTTGAGCATGATGACAGGATGGCAAAAGTAACGATTAGGCTGTAGGCATGGATGCAGGAAGCAGCGTGACGCAGGTACTGCTTCCAACACACCACTCACGCATATGCATCAGTGCTCGTCATGCCGCCTTATCGCTGACGCGCGTAGTGAGGCGAATGCTCAGCTCGGAGATCCAATGGCCAGCTCCCACTCCCTTTGGGGGATTTCACGCAGCATCTCCGTATGGCACAAAGGACTGCCTCGTGATGGCAGCCAAGAGTTGCAATGTCGTAGAATAGGGTGTCGAGCAAGGTTGATGTGCAACATGGAGATGAAAGCCAAGCGGTTTCTCTGGGCACGCAGACGTTGCGATAGCACAAAGACCAGCTTGATCGCGGTCGTGATACTGGCGCGCAAATTTGGGGGGGTTGCAAGACAGCAAATAGGTGTCGCTGGAGCCCGTGGTCGCAATTGCTTGTGTCGCGGTGATATCGAGTCCAAGAGTCTTGGGGCGGGCAGGAAATGGAAGTGAGTGCGTCTTCGACAAGAAGCCAAGGGCAGGCAGTGAAACGTTTAACGGTCGCAACAAACGTCGAGGACCAGGCTTTACGGTGCACCGCGGGCAGCGTGCGGACGATGTGGACGCATCGGAATAGCGATGTTCGTTGAAGGGGAGGATCCGGCGTGGAGAGGGTCTTGGATGGGCTTCCAAGCAACGTCAAGAGGTGGCAGACCCGCTTCGGGCGCGTCTGCTCTGCTACGGTTATGCGGCACTGAGGTGTGTATGTAGGTGAAGACAAAAATCGCTCATGTACGCGCCGACAATCGGTTCGAGCGGTGTGTTCCCACCGACATACGTTGCTTGGTTGCGCTTTTTAAAATTCTGCAAGGAAGCGAATGCCGGCTCTGCGTTCTGGCAGAATCACAAGCTCAACCTTCAGTCGGCAGAAGGCGGATGACCCTGCAGGCGAGCACGCGAGTCGTGGAAGCATCAAGTTGCTCCCACGGCGCAGGCAAACCGAAGAAACGGCATCCTGGCAGCAGCGTGCAGCAGCCCACCCAGACTCGCAAATCGCGATGTCGCGGCGGGCGTAGGGCTGCCGTTCCAGGACATGCGATACGTGTGGCCTCACTGGAGAAGGGCAAAATGAAGGAACATGTGAACAGGTGTCAGCGCACTGATGTGGTGCTGCGCGTGGGAGATGAAGCTATCCACACTACAGCATTGAACGCGACGATAGACGGCGGCAATCTCATTCGTGCATTCATTCGCAGTAGCACACCCGTCGGCAGTCTGCTCTGACGTGGTGACGGTGTTTGTTGTGGGCGTTGCCTGGCGGCACGATTCCACGATGGAGCCCTCATTTCGGCGCTCGCCCTCGTGTCCACGATGGCTCCCGTGTAGCTGCGTTCCATCGCAGACGGGCGCCGCGCCTGGAGCACCATAGCGCCGCCGAAATTGGCCAAGCGTCTGGGAGATAATTATCGACGAAACGACAGCGGAGATCCGCAGCGTGACGCGCTGGACGGCGTGTGGGCGTCGTGTGGGCAAATGTTTGCGAGCTTGCAGGCGTGCCTGGAGCCGCCACGACACCAGAGCCTCGCGAAGGTTGCGGAGGTACTTGTCGCGATGTAGAGCCGTGCATCTCTTGTAAGGCTCTTAGCGGCATCTGGAAGAGCTTGACATCATGACGCTTGCCCTCGTCGGGACGCATCGGTGGCTGGCAGCTCTGGAGCTGCGAGCTTGTCTGCCGCCGCCGTGCCTGCGAGAGGAGCTCTGCTGCAGCTCGCCCGCGTCGCGCATTGGGAGCGATGGGAACCTCTCGGGTCAGCAGCTCGCAGCGCACTGATTTGCGGACGAGCTGCCTCATCGCCGACGCACCGGCCAGTTTTGCATCAGGCCAGTGGGCGGGCTGCAGCCAGTCTAGCCGCGTCGGGGGCTAGCGGCCAAACCTTCGCAGTCAATCGTGGGTTTTGTTCGGGCCTTTCAGGGCCTGCCTCAGCAGCACGCACGGTGGGCTCCCGCGCAAAATGCCTCACGCTCGTCCGCCGAAGCAGCGCGGTATCGCGTGTGGCGGCCTGTGGATTACGTTATTGGCATAATCTGTCAACGGTCCGACCGTGGCCTGCTCCCATTCACCACCTCCATCTCCAGCGCATGGGTCTCCCTCGCTACTGAGTCCACTGACGAAAGCTCGGCACGGCGGCACAGCCCGCGCCCATCCATCGCTAGTGTTCCAGTGCGCTACCATTTATCCTCGCCAGCTCGCGCACTCTTGTCCGAGCCTTCTTCCCTTCAGCGCGTCTTTCCATCTTTCACCACCCACCGACGAGCGTCACCCATCGACAGCGACATTAACTTGCATCGCTACACGGCACGATGGCCGCTCCGCGCGTGAGCTTCTCCGACAAGGACCTGGAGCAGAATGGCGAAGCTGGCGCCGCCGCGAGGTATGCACTGCATCCCCCATCGCCGCCGCCGCGCGCCCTCGCGATGCCGCCGTGCGCAGAGCTCGTAACGACCTGCGACGGTGCCGCGTCGACTCGCGGCGAGCGCTCTTCCACGCGGCAACAGCCACTGACAGCACCTGCAGATCGAGAAAGTGGTCGCAGGCTCCGGGCAACATCGAGGATCTAGGTAAATAAAGCCCGCCAAATTGCATCACTTCGGAATGGAATCTAACCAGCACGAACTAGACGAGTACACCGCACTCCAAAAGTACATCTCCACCTACAGAGATCCAAAGCTCGCTGCTCAGGAAGCTGCTGAGGGTCAGGAGGAGAAGCCAAAGAAGTCGTGGCAGGTTCGTGGGCACTCATCACCTCGTCGCACTGTGCACCTCACTGACTTGCACGCAGTTCTGGAAGAGCGGTCCCAAGGCTGGCGCCGCCGTCGCCAACGATGACGGCCACGTGCCTGACGACTGGCTCGAGGCCGACATCAAGCAGGGTATCTCTGACCACGATGTCGAGACTCGCCGCAAGAAGTTCGGCTTCAACGAAATCATGTCCGAGAAGGAGAACATGTTCCTCAAGTTCTTGGGCTTCTTCCGCGGACCAATTCTCTACGGTGAGTCTCCTACAGCTTCCCGATCATTTCCGGCGAGTATTGCACACGCAATGCTTGCTCAATGGACGTGTCATTGCCACACCTTCGCTTCTGGGATTTGCTTTTGCTGCAAGCTCCGCACAAGCTCCCGTCGCAAATTCCTTGGCACTGCACCATCCCGCACCACTGCAGGCCCTGCACAACCTTGCACATGAGCAGGACATGAGCTAATTTCTTGGCAGTCATGGAACTCGCTGTCCTCCTCGCTGCTGGTCTCCGCCACTGGATCGATCTGGGTGTGATTATCGGTATTTTGATGCTTAACGCTATCGTCGGTTGGTACCAGGAAAAGCAAGCCGCCGATGTCGTCGCAAAACTCAAGGGAGATATTGCCATGAAGGCTACCGTCATTCGCAATGGTCAGGAACAGGATATCAAGGCTCGTGAGCTTGTCCCCGGTGATATCATCATCATCGAGGAAGGTCAAGTCGTGCCAGCCGACGCTCGTCTCATCTGTGACTACGAACAGCCCGAGGATTTCGAGAAGTACAAGGAGTTGCGCGAACAGCATGCTTTGAACCCAGAGGAGGACCCAGCTGGGTCTGAAGACGCTGAGGGTGATGAGGGTGAGGGAATCGCACACCAGGGCCACTCCATCGTCGCTACCGATCAATCTGCCATCACCGGTGAATCGCTCGCCGTCGACAAGTTCATGGGAGACATTGTCTACTACACCACTGGCTGCAAGCGTGGAAAGGCCTACGCCGTCGCCACTACCTCCGCTAAGCACTCCTTCGTCGGTCGCACTGCTACTCTTGTCCAGGGCGCCAAGGATCAAGGTCACTTCAAGGCTATCATGAACAGCATCGGTACGGCTCTGCTCGTCCTCGTCATGTTCTGGATTCTCGCTGCCTGGATTGGTGGTTTCTTCCGCAACCTCAAGATCGCTACCCCAGAGGAGTCCGATAACACCCTCCTCGGCTACGTCCTGATTCTGTTCATTATTGGTGTTCCAGTCGGTCTTCCCGTCGTCACAACCACTACTCTGGCCGTCGGTGCTGCTTACCTCGCTGAGCAACAAGCCATCGTGCAGAAGCTTACCGCTATTGAGTCTCTTGCCGGTGTCGATGTGCTCTGCTCTGACAAGACCGGTACTCTTACCGCCAACCAGCTCTCCATCCGTGAGCCATACGTCGCTGAAGGCGAGGATGTTAACTGGATGATGGCCTGCGCCGCTCTCGCCTCTTCTCACAACATCAAGTCTCTCGACCCCATCGACAAGGTCACCATCCTTACCCTCAAGCGCTACCCCAAGGCTCGTGACATCCTCAAGGATGACTGGAAGACAGAGAAATTCACGCCTTTCGACCCTGTCTCCAAGCGTATCACCACCGTCTGCACGCTCCGCGGCGACCGCTTCACCTGCGCCAAGGGTGCTCCAAAGGCCATTCTCAACCTCACTGACTGCTCCCGCGAAACCGCAGAACTCTTCAAGGAGAAGGCTGCTGAATTCGCCCGCCGTGGTTTCCGTTCTCTCGGTGTCGCCTACCAGAAGAACAACGAGCCTTGGGTCCTCCTCGGTATGCTTTCCATGTTCGACCCTCCACGTGAGGATACCGCGCAGACCATCGTCGAGGCCCAGCAGCTCGGTGTTCCCGTCAAGATGTTGACTGGTGATGCCATCGCTATCGCCAAGGAGACTTGCAAGATGCTTGCCCTCGGTACCAAGGTCTACAACTCGCAGAAGCTCATCCACGGTGGTCTCTCCGGCACTACCCAGCACGATCTCGTCGAGCGTGCTGATGGTTTCGCTGAGGTCTTCCCAGAGCACAAGTACCAGGTCGTCGAGATGCTGCAACAGCGTGGTCACTTGACTGCCATGACTGGTGACGGTGTCAACGATGCTCCATCGCTCAAGAAGGCTGACTGTGGTATCGCCGTCGAGGGTTCCACCGAAGCTGCTCAGGCCGCCGCCGATATCGTCTTCCTTGCCCCAGGTCTCTCCACTATCGTCTTCGCCATCAAGACTGCCCGCCAGATCTTCCAGCGTATGAAGGCCTACATCCAGTACCGTATCGCCCTTTGTCTCCACTTGGAAATCTACTTGGTCACCTCCATGATCATCATCAACGAGACCATCAGCTCTGAGCTCATCGTCTTCATCGCTCTCTTCGCCGATTTGGCCACCGTCGCCGTTGCCTACGATAACGCTCACTCCGAACAACGACCAGTCGAATGGCAATTGCCAAAGATCTGGATCATTTCAGTCATCCTCGGTATTGAACTCGCTATCGCTACCTGGATCATCCGCGGTGCCATGTACCTGCCATCCGGCGGTATTGTCCAGAACTATGGCAACGTCCAGGAGATTCTCTTCCTTGAAGTCGCCCTCACTGAGAACTGGCTCATCTTCGTCACTCGTGGTGCTCAGACCCTCCCATCGTGGCAGCTCGTTGGCGCCATTGCTGGCGTCGATATCCTCGCTACCCTCTTCTGTATCTTCGGCTGGCTCAACCCCAACATCTACCAGGAGCCTCTCCCATCCCCAATGTCCAGCTTCCAGCAGACCGCCAACGGACACACTGACGTTGTCACTGTTGTTGTCATCTGGGCATACTCCATTGGTGTCCTCATCTTCATCGCCATCACTTACTACCTCCTCAACAAGATCCCAGGTCTTGCCAACCTTGGCCGCAAGAACCGCAGCGTGCACGACACCCAGATGGAGAACATCATTGGTCACCTTAGCAAATTGGCGCTCAAGCACGAGAGGGATTCACACGGCGAGAGCCAATGGACCATCGTCGGCAAGGCGACTGACGAGGAGGAAGATGATTAGATGCATAAGATACCAATTTGTCTCGTTGTTTCATACTAGGGATAAGCAAATACAGTCTTGTCACCATCGACAGTGGATTTAATATGCTGCGTCCCAACACTCGTTTGGGAGCGCGCTGTAGATATTCCTCCGGTGTAATGTTCAAAATAACGAGTTGCCGGTTCACTACATGTTGTCCTTCTCCCTTCGCAGGGAGCCCGTAAAGCCGTAACCGGCCATGCCGTGCTCATTCCGTAGAAATGTAGCCCGTGAAGGTTCGGCCCATGATGCTTTTGCCCTTCAACGTGGACGTCTCGTCTGCCCTCTCACATGGCCAACCCTCCCAGCCTCCCAAGAACACATCATCACCGCAATCGCTGCTTCTCCCAGCGGAGAAGCTTGTCCTCCATGTCCCACATCTGCATCTTTTCGTCATCTTTCGTGCAGGTCACGGTCTCTGATATTCCCTGTCGTCGATCATACTAGCAGTCCACTTGGTGCGTATCAGTAGATTACCCTATACCCTCCACTTACCGTCTACCACCAGTCGGCAGCGATTCGGTGGCGACACGGACAGAAAGAACAAGCATCTTGATATCGAAATTCGAGCGCAAGCACTTGCCTGAAATTCTTGCTTTCTTGTCTCATGATCGTCCACGTTCGTCCACAATCGTCCTGTGGGTTGACTATGTTACAGTATTGGTTTGGACCCATTTCTTTTCCTTACCTCCACGTATTCTGTGCGTGTTGTCCCCCTGTTCGATGGGGAGCGGTTGCTGATCTGTTGTCGTTGTTATTCGCTATTGACGACGTAGTAGTGTTTTCGATGTTCGGATGGATTTGGAGACCGCTTTCGCACGCAACGCGCTTTGCGCGGCAGCTGGCTTTTCAGACTTTTTCCCCGTCGCGCCCCATCGACTAGAAGAATATTGGTTCGGGTGTTGCAGTTTGATTTGGTCGAGACTGGGCCTCATGGAAGGACCCGAGTGTTGAGAGATTTTTTTCTGCTTGCTTTCCATCCTCGTGATGATGAACAGCTGTTCGATGAGTGCCCCATGCCACCTCCCCGACACAGTAGTTCACCAGCCTCCTGTTCTGTTCAATGAGAGACTTACAGGACTCCGTGGCTACCGCGCCCCTTGTGCCAGAGTGACACCATCCCCAGTCTGGGACTCACTAATTCGCCGAACACGCATTATGCACCCTTGAAGCGTTGTCGAAACCTGGAGACACACTCCATCATTCTACTGCTTTGGGTATGCAATGAGACGCTAGATTCAGACCAAAGCCGGCGGTCAATACTCTTTTCTCACGTGGTGTTGTCTCTCCTGCCGGTAATCGAGGATTCACATCGCTGGTCAGAGATCCGACTGCTTGGCAAATTCGGATATCGTCGCATTTCTCGGGTTCCAATGCGAACGCTCTGGAGTACGGTTGTATGCATCAAATCAAAAGTGAGGCAACGCCGTCAATTGATCGTGTATCCTCCGTCCACCACCATAGCACTGCCTTGCACAAACGTAGCCTTTGAGCTGCACAGGAACAACACAGCATCTGCAACCTCTTGCGCCGTGCCTGGTCGATTCATCGGCGCTATTGCTATCGCTGCCGAATATGTCTCCATTTGTGGTCTCGTCATGGGTGTCTCAATTATTCCTGGACAGACGCTACGAAGAGGGGCGGAAATGTGTTAGCATAGAACTGTCTCGCTGGGGCCGGAAATGAGGCGCAAAAGAAGAAAGTGGCGCCAGTGCAGCCTCACCAATTCACTCGGATGTTTTCTTTTGCGTACTGTGTTTGATTGGAAGAGCGTCATTGTCAGCGGTGAACTTGTCTCTCGTGCACACGCCCTCGGAAGGATTGCAAACTTACGTCAATGGCATCGCATCTGGTCATGCTGATGACGGCTGCTTTTGAAGCGCAGTATCTGGATTGGAAGGTCCGTGTCAGTCGGTGTAGAGCAGAATGAGGTTACATTTTCATGGTTGGCATGGACATACGCAGCTGGGAAGTCAAGTCAGCACTGCATCAACGTTTGACGAGCTAGTATGACACGGGGACAACTTACGGGCAGCAGGCCGTCCGACGATACCGAGCTGAGAAGCCACGTTCACGATCGAGCCTCGATTGCCTGGACGACCGTCATGAGTTGGAAGTGGTTCCTGACGAAGCATCATCCGGATCTCCGCGCGAGAAGTGAGCCAACAACCACGATAATTGATGCCATTGATCTTATCAAAATCGGCAGCGGAAGTCTCGTGCGATGTTTGTGGTTGGGATAATACACCCTAGGGAAGTCAGAGAATCAACCTCATAACAGCATGGCGAGGCGTTGTGGGCATACCGCGCAGTTGGCAGCATAATCGATGCGGCCGAAGTCTCTCCCAATACTTTTGAACAATTCGTCGATCTCGGCTTCCTGAGAGATGTCCAGGGTTTTGATGACGAGGAACAAGCTGTTGGTTTCCACACAATCTTGCAGCAGCCGTGCTGTTTCTTCAAGGCCAGCCTGAAGGTAGTCAATAGACGGTAAGCATGTGTCTCGAGATCAAGATGAACTAGTCGATCGCCTTATCTTTGCGGTGCGAGCAAGTAACAGAAGCTTCATCCTGTGATGAGATATATCACAGCCTTTGAGAACAACACTTACAGCATTAAGATCTGCAATGACAAGTTTGCGGCATCCTTCTCGCACAAAGGAGATGGCTGTGGCCTGGCCAATGCCTGGGTATCGAGCTCAGTCGGGGATTGAAGAGACATCGCAGGACCGCGTACCTGATGCCGCGCCTGTTACCAGTGCGACTCCTGGGAAAAGAGACATCGTGCTGTCCCTGCTGCAATCTATTGCTCCTGCATGGAAAGTGTCGAAAGCATGCAGGCAACGAAGTGGTCAATTATCTTCCTCGCCACGTTCTCCGCCGAAGCGGGGTGCTCTCAAGGCGATAGGCCTGCCCTGCGAAAGCTTCAATCCTTGAACAGTGGGTATGATCCATCCTTCGCAGTCTCTTGCTGCGCTTCACCTGCCACATGTCCGACGACTGCTTGATCTTGACCTGAATATGTGAACACTGATGTTCGGCTCTGAGTGTTTGGAATGACCACGAGTGCCGCTTGCGGCTGGCACCATCGCCACACGCTGGACACTGAAAATCCAGTTCGATACTGCGTGAGCTCGCTGACTTTGCAGTCTCGTCCTACCTGTCGCTAGGATGGAGGCCTCTTCGGATGATTCAACAGAGAGAAGAGATCATGATGAATATCGAGCGGCAGGAGCCTTGCCTCGAAAACAAGCACCAGAAGGTTCGACGCGCCAGCTTCAATGCGCACTTTTGACGAAGGTGCAGTGCACTACGATGGTGATGGTGCCGGTAGCAAGTCGTGCGAGGGAGAGAGTCGCAAGAGCACACTCAGCCAACCGCACCCGCCTTCCTCTTGCTGCATCATGCTCCATTCTACATCCAGTGCCACTGACATGCATCCGCAAAGGCCTGTACTCGGCGCAGAACTGGCAGCTGTTCAGCAGACGGGGATGAGCAGCAGTCTTCCGGGCGACAAGGTCACACCACCGACGTGGCGTCAATAATGATAGAGCAGACACTGCGGTAGTGCACCTTCACACGCACCACCGCTGCACTGCAGACCGACAAGCCACGGCGCGTCCCTCGTCACGACCCTTTCTATCACGGCACCAGGAGGTATGCTCTCGATGCTGGTTCGGGCGCAAGTGCTAGCACCATGCTCCCTGCACTGGCCGGCAGGCCTACGGCCTGATACACGCCTTCATGACGAGAATCTCACCAACATGGCGGCGATTGGAATGGAAAAGACATCGAGGCCACTGGGACAATGCGCGTTGCATATGCTGCTTCGGGAGCGACCCTTTCTGCCAGATCTGCATCCTGCAGCTCACCAACCAATGGCATATTTTGGGTTTCCAACCAAGTCCGACTACAGACTTGTGGCTGCAGAGACAAGCGTGTTACTCCACTATGCTGCACACAGCACGGGCTCGTGCTGCGATCGACCACACGATAGAAAAGCCCGCCCGCCGCAGAGCTTGGTAAGTTGTGCTCAAATTGCTGCTTTCATTTCTCATCAGACTGCACGAACATCATGGGCATTCTCACGAAGCTCAGTGAAGCGCTCACCGATCTCAGCGTCATTCTCTGGGACAATGGCATCGCTCTTGCCAACCTCGTGACTCCAAAGCTGAAGGAGGGAAATGTAGTACCCAAAGGTGCTCCGGGTCACAATCTGAGCTGGCCACCATATGTCGCGCCCTCTCAGGGCGACTCTCGTTCCGCATGTCCAATGCTCAACGCCATGGCGAACCACGGCATACTTCCCCACGACGGAAAGAACATCAGTTTCGAAGAGATGAACACCAAAATTCGACAGACCTTCAACTTCGCCAGCTCCTTCTGCTTCTTCGTGCCGAACTTCAGCTCTCGATTCCTGAACAAGTCCTACTCCAAAGACCGCTTCGATCTCGCAGACCTCAGCTTGCATGCTCCAAATGCTATCGAACACGATGCCAGTCTCACTCGACACGATGCCGCGCTTCAGCCAGACCAGGGAAAGCCAGACCTTGAGCTCGTTCAACAGCTGTTGGCTGAGGCCAGTGAAAAGATGCCAGATGGGTCACCTCGCCTCACCGTAGATGATCTTGCACGAGCACTGTCAAAGAGACGAGCTGATGCTCGCCGCACCAACAAGGACTATTCTGAGAGCTTCTTCCACAATATGTTTGGCAGCGCCAAGTAAGTCCAGATTGCACGTCTCGCGGTAGTCTCATGTACTGACCTTGGTTAGCTCATCGACAATGTTGACGATCTTCGGTGGACGCGTGGAAGACCTCATCCCGATGCTTACAGAGGAACGTTTCTCCGAACACTGGGAGCCACGCATTGTTGACCGCTATGGCTTGACTATGGCGAAGTTCAACTTGACTGTAATCCCTGTCGAGCGCAAGGTGGATACCAAGCCCTATGAGAAGCCTAATCAGTAAGAGGGAGATGGCATCGACGGGCCCGTCTTGGAACTCCACTATAAAGCAATGCAATGGGGGTCATGAAGAGAAAGAGATTCGGCCAGGACACGTGGTGATGGAGGCCACGCAGGAAGCGTGGGGCATTGGGTTATAAGAGGTAGGATAATTACGATTCACGAACTCAATTGATGCAGCATCTCCATCTCGCAATCATGGCCATTCACCCGTCTTACAATGCCTTGAACTCGCTTGGCTTGGGCGATCAGCATTCGGCAGGAGGTACAGGCGGGCGGTGCATGTGTGCGTCTGAAACCGGTTGCGAGCACGCGTACTCCACTCTTTGTGCAACAGCAAGCCACCATCGACCAGCGGCCACCCAGAAATGATTCACGCCTCATCGCAAATGAAGCTTCGTTGGACGCCCTCGCATCTCACGTTTGCTCGAATGAAAGCCCACGAGCGCCACAGCGATCTTCTACTGCGGCCTCTGAGGCGGGCTGAGTGAACGTGCTCATCTGTGTGACCTGAAGGTGAAGGCGAACGTATGCCAAGGGCCTTAGTTTCACGTGCTGCATGTCGTCCTTTCGCTTCAACTAAGCTTGTTTCTTGAGCAAACATCAACTTCTCCTTATGGTCATGTGCTTCTACTGTCGTTTTTGACGAGTGAAAGGGGCACTTCGTATTTTCTCTCTCGACTGAACATTCGACAGCACCCCAAACACCCAACGAGGCACAAACAGCACTCCGTGATGCGAGCAAAATGAAGATGCGGAAACTCCTCGACGTCGCCGGCACTCTGGTCCTTCTCCACTCCTTCGTCCCCTTGGTCTCGGGCCAGAATTGCTACTATCCAAACGGCGATGTTGCGAGGACGGATGCATCGTGCTCAAGCGATGGCGGCGCATGCTGTCCGCTCAATTGGGAGTGCTTGAGCAATGGGCTCTGCTACCTGGAGAACGCGGACTACTATGGGCGGTACACGTGCACTGATCGATCTTGGGGCGGCGACTGTCCGCAGTATTGCACTTCGAGTAAGTTGAGCAAGGGGAATCTGCGCCGGACCGCATGGACTGATTGAGCCATTCAGACAACACCGCCGCTGGAAATGAAGCCATCATGTGGTGCCCCGATGGGAGCTGGTGCTGTGACAAGAACCGAGATCCTAACAAGCCGACCTGCTGTGACTGGGATGACAAGGAGGAGATTGATGTGCCCAATTTCTCGACCATCGCTTCAATCGCGAGCATCCCTAAATCACCGTCTGCCGTTCCCGCCTTCACCAGAGACAGCACGAGCGCCGCAAAGCCCACCACATCAGACGATGCAACCACTCCCTCCTCGAGTCGAGAGTCCACCACCACCTCAATCTCACAGCCCCCGTCAACCATCACTAGTCGAGTCACTTCATCCGACTCCACCGGCGGGACCATCGTCATAACATCTGTGGTAGTCAGCCAACCGAAGCCCACCTCCACAAGTTCCAGCTCAGATGACAACTCCCCCAGCAGATTCAGTGACAACAAGGGCACGATCATCGGTGCCAGCATTGGCGCAGTCCTCGGAGTCCTCATCCTCGCGGCCCTAGCTTTCTTCCTCTTCCGCCGGCGTCAAAATAAGAACAAACACCAGAGTCCTCCAACATCAGACTACTATCCTGACAATCACATGACCTTCATGTACAACCACAGCAAGAACGCGCACGAGATTGACTCATTCCCCGTGGCAGATGTCAACAATATCAGCGGCGGCGGTGGCGGGGCACGGGGAAAAGATAAGAGCCGGCCAATTAGTGAGTTGACAGGCTCAAACCATTTCATGCCAGGGGCAGGAGATGGGAGTCCTGGAAGTCCAGTGAGCAGTTTGGGAACGAGTACGGTGAATGGAGTGAGTCCGCCAATGTACAGTCCAAACGTCGGCAGCAACGGGGCAGCAGGAGGAGGCTGGGGAACGACACCAGTGATGAATAGCACGATTCTGCCGGGCGTGCAAGAGCAGCCGGAGCCGCAAGAGTTGCCACCAGAAGGGAACCCGCCGAGGGAAATGCAACATTGGGGCACAGCGGCGTGGATGGGAGCTGCAGCGCCACCGCCACCGCCTGCGAAAGCACAACATCAGCAGTCAGCTTCGTGGTCGCGGCCGACATACGGTCAGCAACCGCAACAGCACGCTAACGTGCCCTGGCATCCACCCCAAGAAGTCTGGCAGCAGCAGCCAGCAGGACAACAGCAGCATGGAAAACAAGAAGTGACAGAACTGCGACCAAGTGAACCAAACAACGCGAATACCACATACCAACCTTACAGACGGCCAGGCCATACTCCTCAAGGCTCGATCGGAGCAGCAGTCGCTCAACGCAGCGACGAAGACGATCCATTCGCCAACAAAGCTCCAAGCAGCAGCGGCAGCGGACGCAGCAGAGCAAGTCGAGTGAGCGACGAAGACGCACTGCGAACTTCGAGCCCGGATCCTCCACAGCCGATACAAGGGGGTCTGAGAGTGGTGAATCAATAAGAAAGAGCGAGCTGGAGACCGTACATAACACTCAAGGTGAAGAGGAGAAAGGGGCGAGTGGCAAGCGAGTATGAGTCTGCGAATCGCAGCTAATACCGTACCTCTTATACAACAACAGCGAAACTGGGCCGTTTTGTTGTCGCGGCGACTGTGTAGAATTCTCTCGGAGCAGAACCCACTTACTTTTCCCTTTGTAGCTTCATGTACATGGCATTCAGCCTTTATGAACGGGGAAGTTGTGAACACGTTGGTGATCTTCGGCAGCGTGTTCATGGCTCAACTGTACGATAGTGTCTGTTGTCTGAGGAGGTCCTTTCCTAGCCTTGCTCTCTGAGTGACACTGCGATTGCATGCGGGAGGTTTCGCATGGCATGCACGGAAAATGATGGTTCGTCGTAGCGAGCTGTTCGACTTTGGCTGTTACTTCAATATTCCACCGACGAGTGCTTGGCTTTGCTCCGACGTATGGACCAGAATAGTAGTGACGTTTCAATCATGAATTGGAGTTTGGGCACGAGCCCTCATCCTGGGAAGCGAGCCAAATGCGGACTTCATGTCAAATCAAGCACAGCATTGGCTGCTGCTTAATGCCCACCAGGTTCATCCCAAATGGTGCTCTATTGTGGTTGCGTTCTCTGTTGCAGTCAAGAGTTGCAAGATAATCATGCTTCGGAGACTTCGTGCAGAGTCGTGCCTGAATGTCATCAAGGAGGCAGTTGCCGCTCCTGCTTGGAGCCAACTATATGGCAAGCCATTCGCGTGGAATTTTGACCATTTCGGAGGTCGTCCTCCTTGAGTGTCTTATCAATTCTGCTTGTTGCCTGCGCGACAGCATGCTCATGAACCATATTTCAGCACAAACTTGAACACGAATCCAGTGCGCAAGGGCCGGCATGTCACTTCTAGCGCCGTACACGGATTTCGCACCCAAGCTGAACGTCGCTACTGTTCCCACCTTATACTCTACACGTCGATACTGAGTGAGCGACTCGCATTGCAATGTGTCACCACTACTCCCGCACATCCTACCGGGAGTGAGCTACCTGGGCGTCGTAGCACAATTCTACAGCACACCTAGCAAATGTCGTCACTTGTGACTCCACGCGTATCAAGCAACCGACCGCAAGTTGCGTCGTTTTTGTTGAGCTGTCTGATGGGCTTTGCTTGTGAAAGTGCGTTATGTCAGGTGGGTTTGGGCGTGAGGCCGTTGGTGGAAGACATTCGGATTTTTCGAGTCGATCGGTCGAGGGAAGTATTCGGAATTCGGCTGGAGGTCATGAGGAGCAGCGATCTGATCTGAACGCGGTGAGCATTCCCTTCAGGGGGTACAACGGACTTGCGAGCGTTGCACCCGCCTCTGTGGGGGTGGTTTGAGGCTGCGGAGCTGTGACGGTGCTGTGCCACGTTCTCGCCGGCGCAGCCCAGCAGCTTATCGGCAGTGTTGCTCGACAAGTGCAGTGGAAGTGGTGTGAGAGGATGCGAAAGTGCATGGAAGGACGGGAGAGGTGGCACTCGGTCGTGCTGACGACGCCTGTGGCCTCGCGCTGGGTGCTGGTGCTCAGCTGCAAGAGCTATGGGAGGGGGAAAGCCGGGAGCACTTGCTGGAGCAAAGCTTATGCACGAGTTACTGCGGCGACAGAGCACGACAACGTCAGACGCGCCGCCGCGCGCAGTCTCGATCCGTCGCGGGCGCGCACAGCAGCGACGAGCGGTGCGGACGAGGGAGGAATGCCGCGGGAATGAGGTGCTGATGATGGTGATGGAGGAGGAGGAAGCTGATAAGCCTGCTCGACGGCACTGGCAGAGGCAGCGCAGCAACAAGAACAGGCAGAAACAGCGCGACAGGGAAGCCGATGCCGGGGGCGTGCCGGAATCACGATCGCGTCCCAGAAGATTGCGAAACGCAGCGGTCGAATCAGGGCGCGCGCAGCAAGGCCACCTTCGCCTTCAGCTGCGCTAGCTCCAAATCCAAACGTGCCCAAAGTCTGCCAAACCTGTCCCGCCGCTTTTTCTCTGCCCGCGAGCCCAGCCAGCCAGCCCGCCGTTCTCGTGATCCGCCCGCTCGCCAGCAGCTCTCCCGCCGTCGTGCTGCTGCTGCTGCTGCCACTGCTCCCTCTGCCACGCCGCCTGCATACTCCCACCGCTCCCCATGTCAGCGACTACACCGCGACCACAAACAGCCTCGCGCCCCGGCGGCCCGGCAGCGCAGAGGCGGCATCGCGGCGTGTGAAGAGTGGCAAGTCCAGCTGCGAGGGAGGCAGCGTCGCAAAAGCCCAGCTCGGGATTTCGCTGCTGGCTGGCTGGGCTGCCAAAAAGGCATGACCTGCCAGTTCCTGCCTCAGGTTGCAAACGCTAGATGCCTTCCATCCTTCTTTCCTCTCCTCTTGCACCTGCCAGTCAGCGCTCGCTGCCCACACCACTCTCTCACCATTCTCTTCTGCGCACCTTGCTTGCCGACGCGAACACGCACCCGCCGTCTCATTCTTCTGACTCTCAACAGTACTGTCGCCGCACCCACACCATCTCCACCGCCGCACCACCGCCGCTTCCACCCTCACCCAAAGCGCAGCCGGATTGGGAGGCCCGCTCCACGACTCGATTTTCTCGCGCCATCCTTCTCATGACCCATCGGTACGCACTTCACGGGCATCAGACGCCGTCGGCCAGTCGTCGAGAGTGCTTTTCGGAGACCTGAGCGTGTCCCGTCGTCGCGAACCGCTTCTGACCTGCCCGCTTGCAGTCCGTCCGTTGTCGAGACCGCGCACCACACCACACCGCAAACGCTGCGCAGCACTGTTCTGCCCTACGATCTGAGCGTCGACCGTGGCGGTACAGTCATGCGACGCCAAATTGACCTCCTTCCCGTCACCTAACCCACACGCGCCCTCCTACAGACGAGATAGCATGACAGACGCCCACTTCTCTGTCAAGCCTGTCAACGGTCACGACCTTTCTCACCACATCACTCCGCTCCATCCCGTGTCGCACCAGCAGCGTTATCATGTGCCCCTGGTCAATGGCGACCCCGAGGACGACGGCCAGATCAGCTGTATCTGTGGCTTCGCAGACGACGACGGCTGGACGGTCGCGTGCGACAAATGCAACCGGTGGCAGCACCAGTCCTGCTACTACCCGCAATTCGACGAGCGACAGTTGCCAGAGCATCTACAGCACTACTGTGTCGAATGCGAGCCTCGGGATGTCGACGTCCTTGCCGCGCGGCGTCACCAACTTGCCAAACGCGAGCCCAGTGAGCCGCTCACAAACGGCATCAAGCGGGCAGCATCAAAGAGCCACAAGAAGAAGGTCAAAGAACCAGCACCTGCATACACAAACGGATGGCCGATTGACAAACTGAGAAACGACCGCAACAGTGCCGGCCCACGCGATCAGCAGCCGCCGGCCAAGCGACCCAAGACGAGCCATCGCACTTCAGACTCGACCACCACTACTACTACCACCACCACCAAAGGCCACTCACGGAAGCGCAACGCATCCACCGCCAATCACCGACGGAGCCTCTCACGGTCGCCCGAGACACCCATCGAGCGCTACTCGGATCATTTCCTCCAAAGTTATGCCGACGATGAATGGTCGGTGACTGACAATAATCTACACGATTCGATTCAAGTCACCAACTCGCTTTCTGAGTGGGTCGAAATGCATGAAGAGGACTTCGAGGAAGAACACGGGCAAATCAAGGGCGAAGCTCTGATGAGATACGACGATGACCTCGACAACATGCCAGGCAAAGCGCAACTTGTCATTGTTGAGCGGCAGGACGACGATGTCTTACATCGCGGTCAACCCGTCAAGTGGAAAACGGTCACAGTTCAAGAGCCATTGCCCACGGGTGCTTACATTGGCGAACTCAAAGGACGTATTTGCTTCAAGAAGGAGTATCAGCAGGACTCTTCAAACCGCTGGGCGGAGATGCGTCATCCTGAGCCATTCGTATTCTTCCTCCCGAAGCTACCCATCGTCCTGGATGCCCGTACCGAGGGCACCGACCTGCGATTCGTGAGACGGAGCTGTTACCCCAACGCACGGCTACAGGTCCTGATCACTGGTAAGGCCGACTACCACTTCTGCTTCTTGTCCAGCCGAGAAATTCAGCCAGGCGAAGAGATCTCCATCGCCTGGGAGACCACAGAGGGCATGCCGCACCTGATGAAGCCGAACTTGACACAGGACGAGCTGGAACACTTCTCGACATGGGTCTCCACAGTTCTGGCCAACTGCGGCCCTTGCGCGTGTGGTATGCCGGTGGAAGATCTCGACCAACACGGCGCTTGCTACATGGCCCGCTTCGACAGACGTCTTGGACCTGGTGACGAGCGGCCGGCGAAAGCACCAAAAGCCAAGAAGCGGAAAAATGGACAGCACATATCGCCATTGCATACGCATTCTGTAAACAGCCGCTCCGGAAGCGAAGCAAGAAAGATAGATCCTGACGATGATGGCACTGACTCGCGCTCCGCGTCTGGTTCGGCTGGCCGAGGGTCTGCGAGTCGCGACATTACACCCAACACGCATTACTCTACCAATGGCACTGGCATGCCAGAACTCTCGGAGCGAGAGAAGAAGAAGCTGGCCAAAGAAGAAGAGATGTTCCGACGGCAAGAGGAAGAGAGCATGGGCAAGGCAAAGAAGAAGCGCACCAGTGATGGCTCAAATTTGAACACACCGAGTGCGACAGCTTCGAAGCAGCTCGGCTTTCCTCCCAATGGATCGTCAAAGAACTCTGACACTGCCACATCACGGCAGACATCTGTCAAAGCTGCAGGCGGCCGCAAGACGAAGACGCAAAAGTCTATCACGAAGCCTCCCAGTCGCGTGGTCAAGCGACCACGACCAGTCTACGTTGATGCTGTCACCCAGTGTGACTTAGACCAAGAGGAGGCCGAACGTCGAGCACCAATCCCGTCCGCACGGAAACCGTTCAAGTCCTTGCGTCAGACTTTACTAGAGCGATGTGCACGGAACAATCGTGCCATTCTGTCGTCTGCGCCGTCCAGTCCTGTCTCACTGCAGAAGAGCCCCCGACAAGAAGATGCAATGGACATTGATCGGGACACTCTGCGCGATCGTTCGTCACCAGTGCCTGTTGAGCGGCCGCGGTCGGCCAGCTCCGGGCCCAGGGCTGACAGCGGACCCGTCGAAGACGCAGAGATGCCTGACGCCGGGGACGAAGCCGAACCGAAGCAGGAGCCGCCTTCGGATCTCGCTGCAACGTCCAATGCCATCGCGGACGATGTTGGACAACTACACAAGAAGTCGAGTCCAGTCGAGCCGTCGCCAGCCCCACCATGGCCTGCGAAGTCTTCGCCTGGATCTGCAGCATCCGAACAGACCTCGTCAAAGCCAGCGGGCATGCGTCTCGACATGCCTCCGCCTTCGGCAAACCCATTCAGCTCGTCGTCGGCTACGTCTCCTGCTGGTGGTCCAACAACTGGCAGCGGTTACATCGCCCAGTCGCCCGCAAGCATGACACCTGGCTCAATTTTTCCTCCCAGCGTTGCAGCCGCTGTCGCTCCCAGCCCAGCAAAGAAGAAGCTGAGCCTGAGCGATTATACTCGGCGAAAGGCTAAGAAGGAGGATTCGGAATTGAGCCATCGCGAGAGCAGTCCAGCTTCGTCAACTTCTGGCACTGTAGTGCCGCCACTACAGCCATCTTCCGCGCTCGAAGCACGTGCAGCGGAGGGCACTGCCATAGAAGAAGACATCAAGATGGAAGAGGCGGTTGCGGGGCCGGCGACAGCGGAAAGTGCGCCTCCGACAGTAACGGCGGCCTGAATAGAGAGCACTCTCACGAAAAGATGTCTGTTTGATCTGTGTCCGGTTTAGCGTGGCGCGTGGTGGGATGGGCTTCTCTACTATTCACGATTCAAGAAATGACGATGCAAGAAGATGCATGCTAGAGTATTTGAGGAAGAAGGGCTTTTTTGGAACGGATGGATTTTACGACAAGACGGAATCATGATGTGTCGCCCACCTGATGCTGGGGATGCAACAAGGTGTGGCTTGACTCTTCTGTACTTTATACCTGACCCACTGCGAGGCAGCTGGCTTTTCTCTTGAGTAGCATACTTAGTCCACGAGATGCGAACAGAAGAAACTGAACCAATGAAATTTTGAACATGTATGTAAGTGCAGATTTCCTTGCTCTGATCTGACCGACACTTCAGCGGCTGCATGGCAAATACAATTGCACTAACGGCGGCCGGTGGTTGCACAACTGTCAGTGTGCAGGTGCAACAAAGGCATTGTGGAACGTTTCGGAGGTTGCTGGTTGCCCCGGGTGATGGTTTGTTTCGATGGATCAGCGCCGTTTCGAATCCGACAGCCGACATGCGAACGCCAACAAACTTCAGATCACTTTGCGACTCGCTTCACTGCACTCAACACTAGATCGTGATTCTGATAATAGCCGAAGAAGAGGACGACGCGGTTTATTCATGATGCTGGTGTGAGACAACAGCAGCAACCACATTCCTCGCAAACACATTCCAATCGCTTCAACACCGGCAAGCTGCTCCATGGCGGCGCCGAATTCACCACACGGCTATGGCCCACCGCCGGGCTATGACGACGAGGAAGCACACACACCGACAAACGCATCGACCATGCGTCTGCTCACGAGTCCCGAGGAGGGCGTCTACGCAGCGTCAGTACCGCCCAGCAGCAACAAGCCCTCTCCGCATGATTTGTTTCTTCGCGCCCAAGAACGGTTGAACAGTCACAACCAGCGAGCGCACCACAGTAGCCAGGACCCTCATGCCTACCCTCCTCCATCACCTACAGCTCCATCGCATTATGCCCGCTCAGAAGCTCCTGCGCCCCCGGGCGAAGAGCTCAGCTCCCTCTTGCGCGAGGTCGAGAGCGACTTGTCCCAGTCGAGCGCTCCTCGGTCTGCCGCAGCACACCCCCGAACGAAGCGTTACAAAGTGCGATTCAATCAGCAGCAAAAAGGCAGCCTAGAAGAGCAGCCAACGCCAAGCATGCCAGAAGAAGAAGACATTAGCTCATATAATCCTTACAGCAGCGGCAGGCCCGACAGTCCCACGAGAAGTTACCGTACAGGCAGCCCAACACGATCGTACGCGCCACACTCTACCTTGAGCAGTCAGCCGTCCACCTCCAGGCTGGGACGGCCACCATCGGTGTTGGACAACGCACCAGGCATGCCTCCCCCGAGCGACTCATACGACCCTTTCAGACCGAATTCGAGGGGCTCTACAAGTCCTTCGAAAGCTTTCACGCCACGCGGGAGTCGCGAATATCCCAGACCTCCAGCCACGAACGTTCCCTACGAGCCAGCGGACATCAATGGCGGACCACGACCAGGCACGCCATCTTCGGCATACGGCGGCTCGCCTAGGAGGCCACTGCCACCGCAGCCACTTTTTGCGGCGGGAAGGCCGCCGTCAATGATGAGCTTGGATCCAAAAGAACCAGGCATGACCGCAATACCTATCGAGGACGATGATACTGATCCGTTCGGGCCACCGACTGGAGATAGTGACCTGCAGCGCCCTAGGCCGGTCTCGCGGCACACTTTCCAGTCGGAGTCCACTCTGACAGATGACTTTGAAAAGGAGCATGATGAAGATCTGCATGGCCCTGCTCCCGATGGCTTCCAACAGAGACGAGGTGCTCGTCCAGCTCAGATGACGAGGAAGGAAGTGAAGCTGATCAACGGAGAGCTCATTTTGGAATGCAAGATCCCGACCATTCTCTACTCTTTCCTGCCAAGGAGAGACGATGTCGAGTTCACGCATATGAGATACACTGCGGTGACTTGCGATCCGAACGACTTTGTCGACCGAGGCTACAAATTGCGCCAGAATATTGGCTCGACAACGAGAGAGACAGAGCTGTTGATCTGCATCACCATGTACAATGAAAACGAGATCGATTTCACGCGGACGATGCATGGTGTTATGCGCAATCTGGCGCACTTTTGCAGTCGTGCAAAGTCCAGGACCTGGGGCAAAGATGGCTGGCAGAAGATTGTCGTCTGCATTATTTCTGACGGACGCGCCAAAGTTCACCCTCGAACACTGGATGCGCTGGCTGCCATGGGGTGCTACCAGTCGGGAATTGCGAAGAACTTGGTCAATCAGCGAGAGGTTACGGCACACGTTTACGAGTACACAACACAGGTCTCGTTGGATTCCGATCTCAAGTTCAAGGGTGCGGAGAAGGGCATTGTGCCCTGCCAGGTCATCTTCTGTCTGAAGGAGAAGAACGCCAAGAAGCTGAACAGCCATCGTTGGTTTTTCAATGCATTCGGACGTGCACTAAACCCAAACGTTTGCATTCTGCTGGACGTTGGTACCAAGCCGGGCGACGACTCGCTCTATCACTTGTGGAAAGCATTTGATCGCGACTCGAATGTTGCTGGAGCTGCTGGAGAGATCAAGGCCGCCAAAGGCCGGTATTTGAAGGCTCTGATGAACCCACTGGTCGCCTCTCAAAACTTCGAGTACAAGATGTCCAACATTCTTGACAAGCCACTAGAGTCTGTGTTTGGGTATATTACCGTGTTACCCGGAGCGCTGAGTGCTTACCGATACCACGCTCTGCAGAACGACGAGACAGGTCATGGCCCGCTCAGTCAGTATTTCAAGGGAGAGACACTCCACGGCCAGGATGCAGATGTGTTCACAGCCAACATGTATCTCGCCGAAGATCGTATTCTCTGTTGGGAGCTGGTTGCCAAGCGAAACGACAGATGGGTGCTCAAGTACGTCCGAAAAGCGACAGGAGAAACCGATGTGCCAGACGCCGTACCGGAGTTCATCTCCCAGCGTCGTCGATGGCTCAACGGTGCCTTCTTCGCTGCCGTCTACTCTCTCCTGCACTTCAAGCAAATCTGGAAGACCGACCATACGATCACCCGAAAAATCCTCCTCCACATCGAGTTTATCTACCAATTCGTCCAGTTGCTCTTCACCTTCTTCTCCCTTGGCAATTTCTACCTGACATTCTACTTCATCGCCGGCTCCCTCGCAGACAAACGTGTCGATCCCTTCGGCCATGGCATCGGGAACTTCATCTTCATCGTCCTGCGATACGTCTGCGTTCTCACCATCATGGTCCAATTCATTCTCTCCATGGGTAACCGACCTCAAGGCGCTGTCAAAATGTTCATGGCCTCGTTGATAATCTTCTCGATTATCATGGTCTACAACACGTTCGCGGCCATATACATCGTCGTTCGGCAACTCTCAGACTCTGAGACAATCAGCTTCGGCAACAATGTCTTCACCAACCTCATCGTCAGCACCCTCTCCACGGTCGGCTTATACTTCATCATGAGTTTCCTGTACATGGACCCTTGGCACATGTTTACCTCTTCAGCTCAGTATTTTGCCCTCTTGCCTTCGTATATCGCCACCTTGCAAGTCTACGCTTTCTGTAACGCTCACGACGTCACATGGGGAACCAAGGGTGACAACGTGCTGAAGAAAGATTTGGGTGTCGCAACTGCCAACAAGAACGGAACTGTCGAATTGGAAATGCCATCGGAACAACTCGATATCGACTCTGGGTACGATGAGGCATTGAGGAATCTCCGCGATCGCGTCGAAGTCCCAGCACCAGGTATCTCAGAATCCCAACTCCAAGAAGATTACTACCGTGCAGTCCGAACATACGTCGTCATAGTATGGATGATCTGCAACGCCATTTTAGCAATGGCCATCACAGAAGTCTACGACAACACAAGTGTTGGAGAGAATTACTACTTGAAATTCATCTTGTGGTCTGTGGCTTGTTTGGCACTTTTCCGTGCGATTGGAAGTTCGGCTTTCTTGGTGATTAATGGCGTGCATTCGATTGCGGAAGGCAAATTGAAGTGGAGTGGCAAGGGGAAGAGTGCGAATGGTAGTGCGATTGGGGGTACGAAGAGTGTTAGTTCTGCGGCGGGGAGTTGGAAGAGTAAGATGCCGAGTTGGATTTCGGATTCGGGGAGTTGGATTAGTAGTAAGGCGAGTAGTTGGACGCCGTCGAGTATTGGGAGTTCGTTGGGGAGGTAGAAGGTACGAGCGATGAGGGGGAAAAGGGTGGGGGCTTTCGTATTTGGCGTTCTGGGGTGGATATGGATGCGATGCGATGAGACGGACGTCTGGGTTACGATGCGGCATGTTTATATGGCTATGGTAGAAGTCCCACGCGCTATGCTTTTCACGAGGCGGGATAAGTGGGATGTTGTGATGATTAGGCATGAGCGAAAAGAGCGAAAATGAGAATTATTGTAATGATATCAACAGGCACCTTCTCTTCCCAAGCTTGGAATGATTTGCTAGTACAAGCTACCAGTGATCGGCTGTATGATTCAAGGAACATTTACTGCAGTGTAAGAAGGAGATTCGGGGGGAAATCTGAGTACTGGGACATATCTCAATTATCGATCCTTACGCTAAACGCAAAATCAAACAAACGCTGAAAGAATAACTCTCATAAATCCTTCGCCAACCGCGACACTGGCGGAACGTATATATGCCTCGCGTAGAAGATGTAATAAAACGTCGCGACAATTGCTACACCTCCGTAGACTGCCGAAGCCCAATTCATAGTCTCCAAGGTCGGATGATTCGCCAGTGGGAAGAAAGCGAAAATAAACGCGAGCAGAATATAAACTATGCCGACGACGTTTGCGAACCAGCCTAGTGGGACTCCGAGATCGAATCTTCGGGGTAGAAGCTTTTCGCCTCGGATTCGTTTGAGCAAGATGCAGCCCATGGAGGTAAGGTAGGAGGTGAGGAGTGCTACGACGCCGATGGAGAGGATCGCGTTGAAGGTTACGACGCTGCCGAGACTGATGAGGGAGAGCAGTACGGTGCAGATGAAGCAGACCAAGACGGCATTGAGCGGGATGTCGAGACCTGGTTGGACGTAGCTGAGGACTCGGGCGAATGGGAGACCGTGGTCGCGGGCGAAGGCGAACATTTGGCGAGAAGCGGTGGCGATGTTGCTGATTGCAGAGCAGAGGGTGAGGGTTGTGATGATGCAGGTCATGACTGTTGCTCCGGCTTGGGATTGCGTTGCGTTGTAGAAGGTTCCGATGAAGGCAAAGTTGTATTGCGGTTGAAGTGCGGCTTCGATGGGGCCGATGCAGTAGGCGAATGTGATGGCCATGATTAATCCGGTGATGCCATTGAGGACGAGGGTCGAGACCATGGCGAGAGGGATTGTGCGCGAAGCGTCACGGACTTCTTCTGCCTGGTAATGGTGATGAACGTTAGTAAGCTGTGCACATGTCTTGCTTGATTTAGTGGTCTTTCACTGACCATATGTACTGCCGAATCAGGACCAATCAAGGCATAAATGGGTCCAGTAAATCCCACGAGTGCGGCGAGACCCATTGAAGGCCAGTCTGAGGTCTGATGCCAGTCTGTCCAGACCGCAGAAGAGGGCTGTCTGGGCGCGAACACCCATAGAGGGATAAGCACAGCGAAGAAGCCAAAGACCAGAAGTATGAGGACGAGGCCTTCCAGAAGAGGGAGCTTGCGAGCGAACAAGCTGTTAAACAGTACCGCCACGCTCGCTGCTGCAATTGTCAACAGGACTCCGTGCCATGGCTTCGGCAAATAATTTTCGTCGTTTAGAGCGATCAGTCCTTGGACTTGGGTAGCTACGGTGAAGCACTGTCTGCAGATGCCAACGTTCAAGAGTCAGCCAGGTTCTGTCCTATCGTTTGTCGGATATCGTACCCTGCTATGCCTGCATGAAAGTCAGTCAATGTGCCCACGATCAGAAGCTGCACTACGCACCTGCTTGCCATCCCAGAACACAAAACCAGCCGACAAGATAGCTTAGGAGCTTCTGGAAACCCGGTGGGGCGAACTCGGAGACCCTGATGAGGCCGTGTCAGTTGTCTACACATCGACAATTGGCTGCGAAAATCGCCATACCAATGATACTTGTCGAATATTAGCGATACGTTCTTCGAGTCTGAAGTTTGTGGCAGAATGTCACTCACCTGTCCGCCAGACGTGGGCGCCATAGAACTCATTTCGGCCATTGTTAGAATGGCACAGCCAAAGCCAAAAAGTGTGACGATATAGATCCATATCATGGCCGGAAGACCGCCATTCGGGAGAGTGTAGCTTGCGGAGCTCAAGACTGACGCCCATGTCATCATTAGGACGGCGGCGAAGCCAAAGATTGGAATGAAGCTGAAGTTACGCCGAAACTCCTGCTGCTTGCCCATTCGATACATGTCTCTTCGATCGACGACCGTGCCTTGCTTCTCAGGTGGCAAGTCGGTCCCATTGAAGTCCATGTTGTCGTCCATGGTGACTTGCGATAGGGCTTCTTTGCCCGAAGAACGGTCGAGGGGTGCCATTGTGAATAGTTTTATTTGTGAGACGCGCACTTTCAATAGATAGACGACCGGGGGTCCAGGTGGTCGTAAATCTCCGGATGTCGAGGATACCACGCGGCTATCGTCGTCCACGTGGCGTGGTTCGAGCTCAAGAAGGTCGACAAGAGTGAAGAGATGGGGTGATGGATAAGGTCGAGATTGACGGATGTAATTCCTCCACTAGTCTGTCCGGATAGACGAGTCCAACGCTTTCTGCAGGGACAATCTGCCTAGTTAGATGAGGGTTCCGAGGTGAGCAGCAGCCACAGCTGCTTGTGATACGTCTGAAGTGGCATGCCGGGATCCCGTACAGGTCGAGGAGAAGGGCTGGTTGTATGCTGCCAGGGCTCCCGGACGTCTGACGACTTCTGGGCCATGGGTCTCGAGTCGTCGCACTCGCACAGGAGAGGGCTGTGAAGAGGAGCCGCGAAGTGAGACCGCCACATGGTTTGCTTGACTCTGGTATGGCTCGTCCGTTTGCCCTCGTCGACGCCCGCCCGCGCGCATCGTGTCGTACGGCACAGCAGCAGGAAGAAGCTTAAATCGCATCATTGGAGCTTGGCGCGATCGGGCGTGTCGATCACCTCGTCTCGCCTCGCCTCTCCCACTTCTGCCGACTCTCCTTGCACACTACGGTATCAACACCCTCACCATCAGCACAGCTACAGCGTGCTTATCGGCGACCAGCTTCCCATGCCACATTCGCCCGACCGAGTGCGCCCACGCCGCTGCTCCCCATGTCCATCACACGCAATCAGTGTCGCGCCTCCTGCAAGCGATTGCCGTCGTGACAGCGCATCCTTCAGCACCTCTCGCGCCGGCGGCCAATGAAGGCGCTGTCCTGCTGTGCCATTGAACTCAAAATCCTTCGGTATGCGACTCAGGGAAATGTGAACCGCGACATTCCACGCCTTCTGGTCGTGCATCTCGAGGCGTTGTGGTGCCGGTCAGCGGCAGCGCCGCACAACATGCTCCCAGGTTTCGATAGCGTCAGTACCACGGCGGATAGTAAGCTCAGCAAATGTTCCAACAATAAACACACCCTCGACGCGCGAAAATACCATCAGCAGTGACATGCTATGTGCGGATGCTGTTAAACCCGAAGAGGCCACGGTTGGAGCTAGGAATGCGCTGCAGAAACCCTTCTACGGTCCTAGTAGTCTTGCTTTCCTGTCGTCGTTCCCCGGGATCTCCATCTGCATATGCGCCGTTAACCGTTATGCTGCCGCGCGGTCAGCAGAGCACAGGCTCACATACCCGCGCCGTAGCGAGCGCAACCTGTCACGCTGCATCACTCTCGCCTACTTTCTGTGTGAGTCTGCTATCTGGAAGTCGGCATCCTTTTGCGATGCATTTCTCCACATCTTTGCCGCTCTTGAACAACCCCATCGACCAGAGCTAGGAGGGGACACTGAACGAGCAGCGCAGTCCGCTGCTGTAGCAGCACTGCTATAGCCATGGCTACTGCTGAACTGCCTGTCCTCCCGGACATGAACTCTGGCCCAAGGAACTTCATCACCACCGATCAAGATCATGGCGGCATTGCGCTCACAATTTGCACACTCATGGCTACTTGGGTTGTGCTTTGCTTTGTGGTCCGTTGCTACATGCGCGCAACAGTCAGTGGGCCTTTTGGAATGGACGACATAGTCTGCTCTGTCGCAACAGTATGAGCCATGCGCGCCCAATTACGTATTTGAGGCTAATTCGACACCTGCATGCAGATGTTTGGCATGCTTCAGACCACAGTATCCTCCGTATCAATCTCCTACGGCATGGGTAAAGCTCTGGAGTTATTGACAGAATCAGAGATCGTCAAATCCGAGAAGGTAGGGCAGATCAGACAAGTTTGTCCTCGGAGTTCCAAGGCTAATTCGATGTCAGGCCATCTACGCTGCTCAATTGCTCTATCTCATCACGAACATGCTCACGAAATGCACTGTGGCTTTGCTACTCGCGCGCATAGTCTTCATCAAGAGCCGTGTATACGCCTGCTACGGAGTACTCATCTTGTCCTGTGTATGGGGAATTTCAGCGTTCCTGGCACAAGCCATTCGGTGCTCTCAACATCCACCATGGCAAATCGTGGTCGATCAATGCCCCAACAACTACCGCTCGTGGCAAATTATCACGGCTTTCAACATTATCATCGAGATTCTGCTGTTCGCAATGCCCGTGTGGCTGGTGTACAATCTGCAGACCGAGCTTTCGAAAAAAGTCACAGTAATCTCGGTCTTCTCACTGCGTCTGCCGGTCATCATAGCTGCGATACTACGAATCCATTACCTGGGCGACATGCTAGGATCTTCGGAACCTCTTCTAAGAGGCGTCCCTTCCTTCATCTGTCTCAACATCGAGATGCATTGGAGTCTGATAGCCGCCACTATTCCAACCCTCAAGCCTTTTGTCGGGGCATTCAACACTGGATGGGGCACGTACGATACCCAAGGGATCAGCGGATACGGTCAAGGAAGTGGAAACTCATATGCGTTGCGCTCCCTTGGTAGGAGAAGTGCGCGCAGCGGCAAAGCGGGCACACCTGCGGCTGGCACGCAGAACAGTAATGCAGAGAAAGACCCCATCGATGGGCGACAGAGTTGGGGAAAGAATGTCACGCATGTTAGGTCCAATCGGACCTCTACTGGCAGCGACGATTCGGATAGGATGATCATACGGCAAACGCAGACCTGCGAGGTTCATATGGAAGTGGAGGATAGAGCGGATGACTTGCTGGTGGATCGACGAGAAGACTCGATTGAAAGCGCTCCAAGAGATCCACTGTCTTTGACGCGGTGACAGAACTAATGCTACGCGAGGTTTCGGCAAACGAGTGGAAACACAGGCATGGAAATAAGGTTCGAAAGCAGCAAGGACAGGGCGATGAACACTCGGAATTTTTCTGCATCGCTTTGCAGTATCCATGCGAAAATGCCGATACGCTGGGTCCCGCACGCGGCCACCATCCTCTGGAAGTGAAGGTGGTCTGTGATTTTGTGGAATCAGTTCAGCTGTTAAGGACAGCTGCCTCCAGATTGTTCGCTTCGACTATTGGAAGTGGAGTACGAGAGAGAAAGCGAACAAGGTGGCAATGCCAGAGTCACATGCTTTCTCGTATAAGACACAATTCTGTGTGGGCTGCAAAGGCTCGCACTCTGATTGGAATAGATGATACCCAGGCAGTTGGCGTTTGATTCAAATTTGACAGTCTAGACACTCGAACACATCCACTCTGATCTGTTCTCCCAACTCGGCTCAATGTCCAAGCCTAAGGCATTGCTACTCGAACTTGTTTGAACCAATCTCAGCGTTCGGAGCTACGAACTAAAGACCTGATCTGATTTACAGGCTGTAGGCCATTTGGTCCTGTACATCCCAGTCGGGTTTCTATCATGGAACGCCTGTCATCAATTCCGCCACCTCCGAAAAGCTCAAAATACCACCCTGTTCATCTTCACGCACCCGTCGTTTGCTGTTTCTCACCATCAGCGACGTCTTCGTCATCCTCATCCTCGTCGTCATCGAAGTCTGCTGGGGCATTCTCAGCAACCATTTCCACCTGACACTCCGGCAACCAATGCAACCCCCTTATAACCTTTTCCTTATGACAACGCCACAACCCCTCTCTCCTCCGCCAATACATCAACATAATACTCTCCCTCTGCACGTTCTTTGGATGCCCAAAACCTTTCAATAGAACATAAATAATCGCTTTCCCGCTCAATTCATACACATCAGCAGCAGTATTTAAGACTTCGAAACCATAGTATGGGTTTTGGGATGCTATACGTTCATGGTGTTCGATGTAAGCTTGCCAGCTATCGAGGACTTGTCCGGCAGAGTGTTCGAAGTCGGCGATGAATTTGGGGGCTACGTATTTGGTGAAGAGGGTGTTTTGCCAGTCGCGGGCCGTGGCTGCTTCCATGATTTGGCGTGAGAGTGATTCGAGGGTTTTGGCGGTTTCACTTGTGTAGGTGTGTTTGCGAGAGGCCCAGGGTTTGGGGTTGAGGACCTCGAGGGATTTGTCCATTTGTCGTCATGCTGTTGACTGACTGTTTTTGAGCATTGAAGAGGACGCTGTTCACATTATATTTTGTGGTACTGGCTGGAGCTGGTGCTTTTGACTAACAGCCACAAGTCGATGAGACTGGTGACGATGCGGAGTAGAACTAGTCAAGGTTTCGTTTACTGTGGCTAGCTTTCATTGGTGTGGTCGTCTGTGGCGTCTGTGGTCTGTGCTCATTGTGTACGCGGATTCGTGTTGGTTTTCTTCCTCCAACAAAGTGCTAATTGGAAACATCCATACGACGGTTCGCATCCACCAACAATGCCTTCGATGACATTGTGAATCCTACTGCTCCTCCACGGGACCGAATTTGAGCTTGATCCCTTCGCTACTGGCTCGCGGCCGCGGCACGAATTGGTCTCTGACCAGCTCCAAGTCTGATTTATCGCCCTCGTGAATCATCGCCCGCGAACCCAGGGATGAGCGGAAGAATTGCGCCAGGCCTGCGTAAAGCTCAGCATATGCAAGGTGGATGCCTATGCAGCTTCGTGTGCCTTTGCCGAACGCAGCCTGGTACACTTTCAATGGTCGGCCATCTGGGGCGAGCGGCTCGCCCAGCCAGCGCTCAGGAATATATGAGTGTGAATTGGGGAAGATGCTTTCGTCGTGTGCAACATCATAGTTGTCCATGCCTACAAAGACGCCGGGCGGGATCACCCAGTCTCTGTATATGAGAGGCCCATCGAAGAATCCTCGCGCTCGGCGCTGGGAGACGCCATAGGTCAGGCGAATCGCCTCCTCGATGCACGCGGAGAGATACGGCAGCTTCACCAAGGCGTCCCAGTCTGGCATGACAGAATCGTCGGGAGCAGCTTGACACAGCTCAGCGAACAGGCGACTGCGTATTGCGGGCTGGTCGATAATGTTGAAGCAGGCTATTGTGAGAGACCGAGCAGTCGTTTCCACTCCGGCACCAATGATCGCAATGGACTCCTGGTGCAAGCGATCAAACGACAATTCCTCGGGTGGAAGTGCTCCTTGAAGCAACGCGCTGAAGATGGTTCGGTCGCCTTCCTTCTTTGCTGATGCCGGTGTGGCAAGCACCTTGTTGACGTTCTCCGCAAGAAACTAGGCACTATCAGCTTCAGCGTATCGCGAAGATACGACAGCTTTCAACTCACAGCCCAAAACTTCAGCAGTGGCGCCATGCTTGGGTTAAGCCAAAGCATGATTCTGTCTGGAATTTTCTTCATCAGAAACATGAGTGCTGGAAAGTGGTAGAACACATGCGCAGCTCCCAGCAATTCGACCAGCGCCTCATTCGCGTCCGCACGGAAACCGGGACTCTCGAGAAACTTGATATCTTGGTCGAAGCAGGCGTTCACGAGATTATCTGCAGCGTAACAACCCCATAAGCTGTTAAGGTGCAGCACATCACCCGTGCTGGCATACTCCTCTTCAATCTTCTGCATTGCCCTCGCGGCATTCTGCTGAAAGCGCGGCGTGTCTTGCGCGACCCTTCGTCGCGAGAAGAAGGGATTCAGTGCTGCTCGGCGTGGTCTGAACAACGCTGGATCCTCAGTGCCGCCGGCGGTATGCTGGGTTTGAAACCGTATGCCGAAGCCTTTGATCTTCCAAGCCGGTCGGGAGTTGTTGTACAAGGTGTCAAACCAGCTCGAATCTCGGACATGGAGCTCATGTGGGTTGATCCTGACGATTGGGCCATATTTGTCATGCCATTCTCGGACAATGAAAGGAAATTCACCACCTTCTCCGGCGAATAAATTGTAGTATAGCTCTGGAAGGTAAGATACTGCGGCCAGTTTTGGACCAGGGAACTTGGCCAGCGGACTGAAACATAGATTGTACACGATGATCCAGACACGATAAGCTGCGAACGCGCACGCGCCAAGAATAAGTATGTTCGAGTCGAGCGCGACCATGATGTGCAGTATTGCCTCTCAACGTGCAGAGTAGGAAAGAACGAATGTTGTACCTGCTTGAGAAGCTGACTTTATGTGCACTGTCTCTGCAACCACGAATCGAGCTGGTAGCTGCAAGTGCCATGGCAGAGCCGACGAACGACTGGGCAATGCCGCTGCATGATGGTGTCCTACTCTAACTTACTTCTGCAGCTTCGTGGGGAAGATGCGTGCCGCGCTGTGGAGATCTGCGAACGTCGCTGCAGCAGAGCTGTGCAGTCAACCCAACGTCTGCACGCACTTCGCGAACACGGATCGCAACACAAACACAGGATGGAAGCACAGCGCAATTCCCGGTTCAAGGTCACAGAAGCAATGACTGCAGACGCTACCAGGAGTTGGGCATCAGCAATAACAAAGCCTCAGGAGTGGAAAACCGCCGGCCGCTTACAGAGGCGAAGGCTGAGGTCGCTTAATTCAACGCCAGACATGTCGGCCGATATTGCGCTTTGCAGGGATCGGATACAGACCTCGCCAAGCACTTCACCCTCAGCTGCCTGTGTGCTTTTGCCTCGGCCAAGCTCCTCCCTGTCGTACAATTAATTGGCTGCTGAGATTCCTTGGGAAACATGATGAGAAATGCGACCGGACTTCTAGAGCGTGTATCGTAAGCAATGACTTGTTGTTCCAAATTGAGTGATTACTGAGAGCAGCAGTCCGAGGAAGGCGCATAGCGTTGAAAGATCAAGCACAATAGAGAACTCACACCTTTGATCGGATCCTTCGAGCACGGCCAATATGACGAACTTCAATGCCATCTTCGAAGCTGTGTCGAAAGGGCCCTCTATCTACGCCTTCGCGCTTGCTCTTCTGAGCTTGGCGATCGTTTTGGTGTACAGATTGTTCTTCAGCCCCTTGGCACATATACCGGGGCCAAAATTGGCAGCAGTAACAGGTCTGGTAGAGACGTATTATGATCTGGTGAAAGGCGGACAATTTATTTTCAAGCTACAGGAGTGGCACCAACAATATGGTAAGGCACCATTTCTGGGATTTGTACCCTACAGGATAGACAGAGACTAGACGCTGAACACATTACCAGGACCCATCATTCGAATCACTCCATGGGAAGTACATATTTTAGATCCCGAGTTCTTCGACGAAATGTACAGTGCAAAGTCGAAGAACAACAAAATCGCTCATTTGAAACATCGACTGGGAATCACTCTGGCAACTTCGGAACAGATCGAACATGCAGAGCATCATAGACGGCGCTCCGCAATCGCACCATTGTTCGCCACGGCACGCGTCCGAGAATTCTCTGGATATCTGCAGTCGTCTATGGACAAGCTATGCTCAAGGTTACGACAGGAATATGCTGGTACTGGTAAAGTGCTTCGTTTGGACGACGTCTTCGCAGCATGGACGACAGATGCTGTCACATGGTATGCGATGGCAATGTCCTATGGCTGTGCGGAACACCCAGACTTTAAAGCTGAATTTACCAATGCCTCCGAAGGATTGATGGAAGCGATACATGCCTTGACTCACGTTCCGTGGCTTGCAAGGGTACTGTCGATGGTGCCTCCGAAAATGCTAGCGAAGTTGAATGCGCAGATGGGAGCTTTGGGGGCGTTCTATGCGGTAATACATGGATTGAGTACATCGGTGGCGAACGCTGGCTAATTCCTCGAGTACAGGAAATTGACAAGCAGATTCGACTGATCATGGAAGGCGAGAACAAGGGTTACGAGGACGTCGCTCATCGTACGGTGTTCCATGAAATCTTATCCTCCAAGATCCTTCGGCCAGATGAGAAAACCCCCGAGGTTCTGTATGTCGTATTCTGTCCGCTGCATCTGATAGATCAAGATCTAACATCATGTAGATCAGATGAAGCGCAGAGCATAGTACTTGCTGGAATAGAGACTACTAAAGCAATCATGGTGACAGCGTGTTTCTGGGTCCTGGAAAAACCCGAGGTCAATGAACAGCTACGAAAGGAGCTCGAAGCAGCGATACCGGATCCCTCGAACATGCCGAGCCTGTCGTCACTGCAAAACTTACCATATCTGAGCGCCGTTGTGCAAGAAGGTATTAAATACATAAATATGCTCTACTCGACACATCGCTGATAAACTCAACAGCGACTCGACTCATGGGAGGAGTTGCGCAACGTCTTTTCCGCACCAATCCACGCGCACCCCTACAATACGGTGCATACACCTTGCCTCCAGGAACCATATTCGGGATGTCAATCACTTTGCAACAGATGCATCCCGACATCTTCCCTGGACCGCATGAGTTCAGGCCTGAGAGATGGCTGAACGGTGGCCTAGCACCTAACGGCCGGCCGCTGTCAAGATACCTCGTTGCTTTTGGCAAAGGTCCTCGTATGTGTCTCGGCATGAACCTTGCTAATGCAGAGCTGTACATCGGCCTTGCAACGTTCTTTAGGAACATCGACGCTACCTTGTTCGAGACAGATAGAGATGCTGTGGATGTGGCTCACGATTACTTTTTGCCCAGGCCGAAGCATGGGACGAAGGGCGTGAGGGTCACTGTGAACCAACAACATTAGTTTTCAAAGTCGAGAGGCTGCGACCGTCACCACCAGGACTATGTTGGATGCTGTGCTAATGCCCAAAATCGGACACTGCAACTGCAAATATTTACAAGCCGGGCTAGGATGGGCCCGATCGACCGATGCTCAATGCTATGCGGAAGTCTCGACTCATTCGTTGCAAGGGAGAGAATCACGATTCTCTCACAAACACATGCAGGTGAAGGCCTTAAAGTGAGGAGGTGAAGTTGGAGCCGACCAATACGCATGCAGATAGCTCAGCTGACACAGCCATGGCTTGGACTAGCGTCGATCGTGATGCTGAAGGCGTGTCGAGGCTAGGCATGCCAAATCGAAAGAGCAGGCTGAGCACTGTCAACACAGCTGCGTTCTTTGACCTCTCCTTCAACCCAAAGCTCATCGCGGGCTTCAGTGCTGTACAATACATTCGAATGAAGACTGAGTGCTGGTCGTGTTCGCCCAAAAGCATCGAGCGCGATAGGATTCCCAAGCTGACGCAGCAAACTCACAATTGGCGGCTCAATCATGCTATTGACAGTGTACAGGTGGTTCACGTCAGTAGCTCGTGTTTATCGCCTCCGCATGCCGCAATCTATCGCACGTGGAAAGCGCGTGTCTAGAGCCGGAAATCAGCGCAAGAAGCATGTTCCTCCCGAAGCTTAAACCAAGCTAAGCATGACGTTCAAGACCGCCTTGCCGCTTGACCTGTACTATCACTGGCCAGACCGTATTCGATGTTGACAGTTCACAGGCTGGAGTCGACAACAGAATCTCTATGCTGCAGGGTTGACAAACCTAGTGCCTGCGGCGTTTTCTCACTCAGCCAGTAGCAGGACGCGAATATCATCCCACGAGGATCCCACGCTACAAAGAAGTTCCATACTGGGTGCTCGCCTTCTTCTCCGCACAGCCTCGTCGTCTGTGGCTTAGCATAACTTGAGGGGAACAAACCAAATTCGAACTTTGAGGTGATCAGAAAGAGCTATTTGCAGCAATTGCAGCCGTGTCGCCTCATTGCTAGCCTGAATGTCGCCGCTAGCACGGTGTATTGTCGTAGATGGCTGCCAAAGTACTGAGGGCAAGGTGTACAGACCATCGAAAACATGGGACTAGCAGCATTCCCCGAACATTGTGGTGGCGGCAGGAGAGCCTCCCAGCCTTGGGACGGGCTATAAGAGGAACGTGTTGGCCAGCATCTGGACACCCTTGACGCTCTACCCAGCAACAGCATCTTCAACCACCAACATGAAGGTGGTCACGGCAGTTCTGCTGCTTGCAGAAGCAGTCAGCGCCTTCCCATGGGTCCCTCAAGTGCCCGGCGTGGACTCGTCCATGCTCGTTGAGCGCCAACAACCAGGAACTGGTCCAGGCTCCGAGGCAACATGTCCCTTCAATGCTAGACATGTGAATGCCGCGCCAATCACTACCAGATTCCCATACAATGGTGCTATCAATGGCACCAAGGGTAAAGGTATAAATTCGCACCTCTTATTCGTCTGGTATACCCCGGCTAATTGTGCTCAGAGAGAGGAGGATTCCGAGTACCTGCAGTCGGCGACAATGATCATCGCTACATCGCACCAACTGCTACAGATATTCGTGGACCATGCCCTGGCTGTAAGGAATCTCCAACCTACACATGAATCGCATCGGCTAATTGACGCTCTAGTGAACACTGCTGCCAACCACAATTTCTGTAAGGATATTGCCTCACCTGCCTCTCATCTGTGTACTGACGGATGACCTTCAGTGGCCCGAGATGGCATCACGACCTACAAGGAGCTTGTCGATGCTCAACAGAATGTCTACAACGTCGGATACGACTTGGCCAACCTGCTGGCATTTCTCGGACTTCAAGCTGATGGCGATCTCGTCACCCAGAAGCTGTCGATCGGCTGTGATGCCACTGGACGAACGTCGTTTAACCGTGTCTTGACTGGCAGCCAGCCAGGTCTGGTGGGGCATAACAAATTCGAAGGAGACACAAGTCTGACCAGGTATGTGTACACACTCGAAGCGCTTCGGCTCGTTCGACTTGCTAATGCTTTTGGTAGAAATGATTTCTTCCTCGGCAAGGGAGACAACTTCAGATTCAACACCACGCTCTTTGCAAGCATGACGAGGACGACTGGCGCCAATTATAACCTGCAGGGTTTGGCCAAGTACCGCAAGCAACGCTGGGTTGAGTCTCAGAGAGACAATCCCAACTTCTTCTTCGTGAGGCCATCGGCACCAAGATCTGTAGGCATGGGATCACTAACACTTCAACTAGGGTCCACTCTCGCTTCTCCTCTTCGGTGCCGCCTCATTCCTCTACGAGCTCTTTCCAAATGGCAACCGAGGCTATCGACCAGACTTCGCAACTATAACATCCTTCTTCGTCCAAGAGAAGCTACCTGACAACTGGGTCAACCGCGTAGAGCCATACGACAACAATAGGGTGACACAGGAGATCCTGAAAATGTATCTCCTCGCTCCGGTTGAGTTCGGAGGCAACACCGCTCCTGGTTCCTTCAATGCGCTGCCCAGAAATTTTGGAGCGATTCGCAATGGTAAAATATCTCCTTCGATCACGCCAGCCGAGACGTCGTGCTTGCTGTATCAGTTGGCCACTGGTCAAGTGCCGTCGACACTCAACAGTGTCGTTACTCCGACTGTCGAGGCATTGGCGTTCTTCGCACAGTTTGTTGCACCGTCTTTTGGTAATCTGGGCTGCCCGAATCCTCTGACTTGAGAGGTCGTGGCCGGGGATGGAGACTTCGGAAACGGCAGAGCGTTCAACTATGGCTTCACGAGCTGAATGTGGTGCGATAGCTTTTTGGGGCTGCAAGTGCGATGTTGTATTTCAAGCAAACAGTGACCAGATAGTACCTGTCGTGTTGCAGATTGTTTCGGCGCGAATTAGTCTTGGTTACAATCCTTCCACAGCCCCACTGTACTGAGTACTGGTGGAAAGTAGCGTGTGAAATCCTCGCAAACCGTTCGCACGTAAGGACGGGGCCAGGCCTCCCACCAGGGCCACCACGCGACTCAAAGTCAGTGCTCGTAAGCCACTCACACGTGGCGGCTGAAGTCTGCTGTGCAGCTATTGGCTCCTCAGGTCTCTTGGAGGAAGTGGAAGGCTGAGCTGCGTGTGGTTGACCAGGATCAGCTTACGAGCACAAAGCTGATACGCTGATGCGCTGAAAGTCTTACTCGTCGGCGGGCCTGATCTGATAGAATACAAAAGCTGGACCTGCAGCGAGACATTTTTCGAGTTTCACAGCTGCGGAGGAAAGCCAACGAATATGTACCAACCGGCGTTCGAGAGTTTCAGCCAGAGGCCAAAGACGGCCACACGCAGGAATCAAAATGCTTTGTACACAGTAAGTGGGAATCGTTTGCTTCGAGGCGGACTGTTATTCTTCTTCACCTAGATAATGTGATGCCATAACTATTGAACAGGACATATAGCTGACTTCTGCAGCTGATTCGCGACCAACTATCTGTGCCAACATGGCTGGTTCTCGGTGGTCTGCTTCAAGGCACGGCCATGGCCGTTCTGCCTTACCGTAACCTCACCATGGTCCTGCCAGCAGTCCTTTTCGTCGCAAACAAGTTGCTGCGCGCTGTCCTGATGACAATTGGAGTTCTGCCAAATCCACTCATGTCCAACGTGATTCCATATCGCGTGGCTCCAATCATTCCTTCAGAAAAAGGCCAACAAGACAAGCCGGCCGAGGAGCAAGTGTGCGCCATCATTCTCGGAGTGGTTTCTCATCATCCTTTCGGCATGTTTGGTCCAGGTTTCAAGGAAGTTGGCGATCGTTTTGACGATATGGTCGACGAGATGAGCCAAGATGCCACAAGGCACGGTTTTCTAGGTGCGTCGGCGTGGGTCAATGCCGCTGAGAGAACTTCCGGTAGGTGGATTGCGAAGTCAGATTTCACTTTTGAGAGCGTCTCCGCTGACGAACGCTTGCAATGTGCAGGCAACGAGTTCATGAGCATCTTGTATTTCGAGAACGAACACTACCTGCACCAGTATGCACACGGCCCGTTGCATACGAAAGCTATGCAGTGGTGGAGAGAGGTGGAAGTCAAGATCCCGTATGTTGGTATCATGCATGAAGTATTCGCGTGTCCAAAGAGGTCATGGGAAGGCATCTACCTGAACTACCAGCCAACCGGTGAGTGCAGCCTGCGGAAACATCTCTGTGGAAGCTGACGTCTCTGGATTCAGGTATTGGTTCCACGTCCAAGGAAGTTACTGGACCAGACGGGAAGAAGGCCTGGATGAATCCACTTGTCAAGATGAAGGGACCATTGATGTACAGCAAGGGCCGTATGGGTAGGCAATTCGGTGATCACGAGTGGGATGCTTTCGCTGCAACTGCACCGCCTGGAATGGAGTCGGCGTAGCGGGAGAGATCTTCCCTGAGCAGCTGTCCATCCTGTAGACGATTCTGTCTTCGAATTGAAGTCAGTATGGCAAGTGCTAGACCTTCACCATTTACTCACTTTGCTGGTTGCAGAGCTTCTCTGCGCTTAGAGTGGTTGAAAAGCAGTATGCAGTCCGAAGTCGGTTTTGTGTGTAAACTCCATAGTTCTTGACACGTATCATGAGCCCTGGCTCTCACTTTCTTCTCCAATGGTATCTTTTTGCACCTAGGCTTGCTCCTGGAACTCCTCATCTATCGCCATAGGGACTTGAGAGTCGCTCGGAAAGGTATCTTGACTCCGGCCATGAATGGGGATGTTGCCAGCGCTTGGGATGCCGAGTTGGTAGACTGGGCCGAACTGGTTGACTGCTGCGAAGAAGGTGTTCCGGTGGAGCTTGCGGTGTCTACGGAGCTCATGGTGTCTGACCTGGCGAGCCTGTCCCGGATGGAGACTCTGCCTCGCATCATCTTGCGTGCCCAACCCATGATTGCTGTCGATGTTCGCGGTGGCCCTGCAACTCCTATTGCCGATCAGTCTGGAAGACGCGTGCCTTTTGAAGTCGTGCCATGGCGTGCCTTATCAAGACGCCGAGCCTGCGGTGCTACACAGAATCGGGTGTTGCGGCAGCCCGCACCGCTGCGCTAAACACCGCAGCGCAGGGCACATGACAAGTTTTTCTGCATTTTTGTGCCTCGCGTAATGCGTCATAACGCAATTTGCAGTGGTCTGGCATGCGGCAGGATCTCGGGTGTGTGACTTCCTTCGAGAACGCTCGGACAATCCGACAATGTTTACCGCTGCCAAGCAATACCAACCCACAAGGCTGACGACAACGCTGCAGAAGATCTCGGCGGGACCGGATCGTGCGAGATGAATGGACATCACGAACACTTCATGCCCCCCTCCGCTGACTGGCTGTCGCCGTGCTATTGGCAGCACAGTCGCTGCACCTTCGGCTGCCATTCCGTCCATGTGTCTGGGCACCACAGTGCTTGCAGTCGTGAGCGGACCGACCGATCCTACTGTGAGGCCACACCGAACGCCAAGCCTTTCGAAAGCAACAGACGTTGTGGATGTGCAGATCTCGATGATACAGATGGCGCTGCTTGCGTAACAGCCGGTTCTTGAACGAGAAGAATGTCGAATCCACGCGAAATTCCCGGCTGATCCAAATTTGAAGTTTCCATGTTCAGCATAGGACGACAGGAGGCAGATGGGAATGAACTGTGAACACTTGAAATTTCTCCTGACCGAAGGCATGGGAACTGTTTGGCCTGTTCCGCGGCTCAGATCTGATGGAAGCCGAAGGTATCGGAAGAATTTCGGCAACACGGACGTGTGGAGTTCCTCCCCCCAAACTTCCACTTGCCGTGTCGACCTGTGGCACAGATGTGGCTTTGGCGAGTTCCAGGAGTCGACAGGTCAATATCTCGGTGCTGCTTCCGAAGCAGTCAAAAGGGCAGTCTTCTCTGAATGGCCTACTCGAGTATTTGTCGGACCACTCCATATACTGAAATCTTCTCAAAACAGGTAGAGAGAACTTTCAGCGCTTAGCACACAAGTCAGCACCAACGAGCCCCGAATCCGTCGAGAAGCTGGATCAGGAAACAGCCAAGGTTCACACGTCGCGTGTGGAAAGTCTGCCTTCGAATCCGTCAGCACAGAAATGCCACTGGCAAAGGGCCAATGAGACCAGTTCTGCATGGACTTCAGTAACCATCGATGAGCTGAGAGTAGGCATGCTGGTCGCACAATTCGTCATGCAATACACGGGAGAGGTAGAGATGCTGCACTTCTTCGGTGAGCTTCAAGTCCCCAAGCGCGGTGAACAAATGATTTCGGCGGCTTTTGAACTTGCAAACTTCTGCTTACCCGCGCTTGGCTGCGGTTAAGAATGCTTTCCTTCGTTGGTGGCTCTACAGCTGAGTGGTCATACTCTGCGCTAAGCTATGCTTGGTGAGACCGCAATCTCTGTGCTAGTCCGCCACTCGGTCAGCATAGCCAGCATCGATCGCGCGATCAGGTGGGGGATGACAGCCGCGGAAAACTTCTAGTCGAGGTGTTTCTCTTGGACGCGGATGTTGTTGCCAACAGCACGCCAAGAAGTATCGTCCTCACAGAGCACCTGCTGATGCCGCCAGAACCAGATGGATTGGTGAGCCGAAAAGACTTCTTCCGCAGATTGAGTTGTGCTCACGCCATACGAAGTTGAAGCTGGAAAGAATTTGCGTGTGTTGGGCAGCCTCGACTGGCACATGTGTCGCATCAGGTCGCCGTTTCTCCCGGATTTTGAAGAAGTCTTTTCTTGATTACGGAGCATAATCCAGATTTTATGTTACACCGACAAGTCACTGTCATCTCGTGATGGACTTCTCGGCTTATTGCTATGGGCCTGTCAGAGCTAGCGGTCTCCGTCGGTTCAGAACACGACATACCACATTCGCGCGATCTCGCAAAAGCCAGTGATTGGCAGCTTCCTGAGACGATTCATTTGAAATTTCCTAAAGAGTCTGTCTGCCGACGTGCTCATGTCGCGGGTATATGCATACTACTTGACGGTCTGTTTCTTCCTCTTTGTTATTGGCGCTGGTATTTCCAGATCTCCTCGATACATCTTCAACCGAATTGGATCACGATTGACGCATTCTGACGTGTCAACGGACTTTGTGCTAGGAGACCAGAATACGACGGCGCATACGACCGTCCTGATTCAAGTTTGCGAGATGGTCGTGACATTTGATCCTGTTGGAGCTCTTGAACATCGGGACATTGGTAGCGTCAGATGAAGGAGATCCGCTCGAACTTTTCTCGAATGTTTGACTCCGGGCTTAGGGCTCGCGGTGATCAACAAAAGACATGGTCGACATCTGTACACTGGTTGCGTTCGTTGCAGGTCTTATCAGGGTCGCATACTTTGCGTGCCGATTCAGCCGCCCTTCTTTGCATGGAAGACCATGATTGTACCGCAAAGTACTCCAGGTTGATTTGTGCTGCCCTGGAGCATGAGTGACATGGCCACCGCATCTCACATGTACGCAGCCGACAGCTGTTCTGTGTGTCGATTCGAGACACCGTGTGTGAAGGCATCGGCCAACCGAAGCAGCAAACACGAGCAAGCGACCTGCGATATTCCTGTGGCTTGTATCAACTCATACTACAATGTCCGCACAGCGGCTTCTCTCACTAATAGACAGAATCTCCAAACATCTTCTGGTTGTTTGCCAAGGTGTCCCCACTTATCCGGCCGGGGTTTGCATGACATGGGTGAAAGCACGTTGCCGGTGCTCAAGCATGAGTAGCGTCGTCCCGCTGACATCCAAGCTGAGGAAGCTGAGAAACCCATAAACCCCTCTGTACTCCATGAGCCACGAATGACGAGTCATTACGAGCCCTCCGATATGTTTTCCAGCTGAGGAGCCCTACAGTTCTTGAGGCAAAGGCTTGGAGCCTTGTCGACCTCAAGTCTTATCAAGGGATTTCTATGCTTATATGATCCATGGACAAAAAGCCCGGCGATAGCAATCGCCAGCGGAAGGACCCACCGCCACACACGGGAAGCGTCGGACTCTTGCTTGCGATGTCGACCACCAAGCCCACGAAGCAATCTGGGTCGAGTAAAGCCACCAAGCAGAAAGGTGACAAGGACGTAGAAAGTGCATCAGCCGACCAAACTCCAGAGGAAAAGAAGAAAGAAATCTGCGAGAAACTGGAAAGCTACTGCCGCGTCTACTGGACCAACATCAATAAACGAGAATGGAATCTCGACGAGTGGGTCCACATGGCTCCGATATTCACAGCTGACCCAGCCGTCGGCACACTTCCTCAATTGCAGACTTTGGCCGATTTTGTTGAGAGCAGAAGACTTCTGGCGCTGGAACACCCAACCTACAGCGTGCGAGAAGTGGAGTTGAGCACGGAGCTGGATGAACCGAATGGGCGAGCGGAATGCTTTTTGGGATTGGAAGTTTCGGGTGCACCGGAGGGTGTGGTGAGGCAGAATATGGGAATCTTGGAATTTATGCGGGAGGATAAATTGGCTATCAAAATGGGCATGACGGCTCCACCTGGGGAGGAAGTGCCTGCGGAAGAGTGGCATTGTGTGGCGTATAGGAGTTTCAGAGGGCTGGGTGGGATCATGGCTGCGGATTCTTGACGAGAATTTTACTCTCCTCGTCCACGATTCCTGTTGCAGGGAAGGTCTGCGGAGCATAGCCCTGTTTGCGCGGAATGGAGTTATTGAATCGGAACACATGGTGCGTGCTCATGGAAAGAAAAGAAACGGGATATTCGAATGACAGAGAATAGAACTGCGTCCTGTGGATTCCATATCTACTCTGATCATATCGTCTTTATGACTCATAGGTATTTTATCATCATCATTTTTGTCATTACGCCAATTCCTTTGGCTCGGAACCGCACTGGAGACCAGGTTGGTGCGAGTGAGAGTGAACAGCGTTCTTCTTGGCGTGCGGGTGAGCGCCCCTAGACTTGACCTTGGCACCAGAGGTGCGAGGTGGAATGTCAGAAGTGTCCATTGTGTACTTGGCGACGGAAGCAGCAATTGCTTTCTGTGAAATTGTCAGTTTGCGTTTGGCAATGGACATTGAGTGAAGTGATAGCACGTACCGTGTTGACCAGGAAAGGCTCGAAGGCGAGGTTGGTGTAGTTGTCGCCGACAAGGTGGTAGTTGGGGTCGTAGGCGACACCTTCGAAATGGTCAGTACAATACTCGAGCGGCCTGCAGTTGAGTGTAGCTTACCAGCTTGTCCACCCCACAAGTCAGCCTCCTCCTCAGTCTTGAGAGCCTCGGCACCAGTGAAGATACCACCAGCTGGAATGCCAACGTCAGTGGCAATGAAAGGTCCGTAATCAGATCGTCCGTTGAACTCAGAGTCCTTGGTTGGGATGCCCTGCTCCTTGAACCAGTCCTGGAAGAAGTGCTCAATCTTGTCAGATCCTGGAGGAATGACGACGCCGGTGGTGTTGCTGAAAGTGCTAGCATCACCGTCGTAGAGAGCGTACTGCCAGTTGGGAGAGGCGATCATGTCGAAGTTGAGGTAAAGGGCGATCTTGTCACGCTCCTCTTGTGGGAGGTTGGCAACGTAGTATTCGGAGCCCAAGAGGCCGTACTCCTCAGCAGACCACCAGCAGACACGCAGAGCGTTCTTGAGTCTGTACTTCTTCTTGGCGAGCTGGATGGCGGTTTCAAGGATACCAATAGTTCCGCTGCCGTCATCGTTGATACCTGGACCAGCAAAGACAGAGTCGGAGTGAGCACCGATCACAACGACGTTGTTCTTGTCTCCGCTCTTGGAGTCGGCGATGATGTTGTAGGTCGTTCGGTTCTCGACGACACTGTCAATCTCAAGCTGACCAGTCAATGGGAGAGCTGCCTGGATAGTGGTTGCGTTCTCTTGCGAGATACCTCCAACTGGAGCGTAGTCTCCAGTACCTCCAAGAGTACCAGCGACGTTGCCTGGAACATTGTTGTAGACGACGGCACCAAGAGCGCCAGCAGCCTTGGCATTTGTAGCTTTCACTGCAAAGTTGCAAGTTCCTCTTGAAATCAGAGCAATGGCACCGGAAACCTCAGCAGGGTAATCGGCAGCATCGCATCCAAGGTTTGCCACGGCAACGATCGGAGCATCGACTACTCCATCGGTCGATGAGGAGTAGGTGAACACACTCAAAGGATATGATGTGCCGCCAGCGGAGAAGGTACCGGATCCTTGTGAGTAGAGCTCAACGAATTCTTGGCGTCTGTACGTGAAGTAATCGTCTTCCTTCTCGAGATAGCTCTCGATGAACTTCAAGGTGTTCTCGTGACCTGCCGAGCCGAATACTCGGTTGCGCTCCGGAGTCGAGTATGCTGCCCTCTCGAGCTCTTTGGCCTTCTTCTTCAATGCAGATTCTTTAATCGCAGCCTGCAGCTTCTTGGAGTTGACATTTGGCTTGCCCTTGCCTGGGCCGTAGGTTGCCGCGCTGACTTCTTCTTGCCTAGCCTCGAGAGGATTGTTGTGGGCATTGGCGAACGCAGCGAGCGCCGTGCATGCTAAGAACAAAGATGACCGCACCATGATGGCAAAGTAAAAATTACAGTCAAGAGTGGACGTGAATCAACCAACCTTGATGGAGGGGCGCGAGACCAGTATATAACTGCCCTCGATCGTCATCACCTTTTCCATTTGTTTCCTTCCCAAGCGAGGGAAACTTGCGCAGCTGTTCCTGCATGTCTATCCCTCGTATGCAGCGATGCGGCACCTACGGAAGTTACCCAGAGATCAGTGACCTATGCAAGGCCTCGTATAAACTTCATTCGCCCCAGCCAAGCCCCAATGTTCGACTTCTGGTTGGATACCAGTAAGAGACTATGCCTGAAGCAATTGAAGCACGACATCCACGCCTGGCACAGCAAACAGCCAAGACCTTCGACGTTACTACGCTGAGTGATATCAGAACGCCACAGAAGCAAACAAGCGTTGTGTCGAAGTCGGCGTTGCTACGAAAGAAGAAGGTGAACGAAGATCATCATGGCTTGGAAGCTGGGCGCCCAGACATTTCCTCCAGCTGCGGAAGCGAATACACCTCCACCGTCGAACCAAGACTCGCATATCGCCGGCTCGATCTTCAAGGTCTTGCTTGTATAGGCAGGAGCTGGCATGCTGGTCGAAATTGAACCGCTTTGCGAATGCCTTCGTGAGCCTGTTCTTTCGTCAACACGACCGAGTGACTACTGCAGACTCCACAAGGAAGCCTTGATGCGAATGAAACCCGGTGGCAAGTGGTATGTTGCTGTGGGTCGAACCCGCGGGACTGAACCTGTTCGACTGCAACGGCGCTCATCTACCAATGCTTGATGCTAAGGCCACTGGGCACGAGGGTGCGCGTGGCGACAGCGTGGCAGCAGATGGTACATAGCAAGATGGCCAGCGCCTTTCGCCATGCCCGACTTCCGCGGCAGCCATTGCCCATTGCACGAGAGCGTTTTTCACAACACTGTGCATGATGACACAATCGCCTATCTGGATAAATGTCGTGTTCCTGGTGCGAGGTGAAAGCTCTGTATGTGGAGCCCCGGGCTACGCGAAAGATAAGAGCGCGGCTGAGTTAATATGGGATCGCGGCCGAGTCGCGAGATACAAGAAAGTCGTGTCAATTGACATTTACTCAGTAGTATCATGTGCATGTACATGCTGACGTTGATGGAAGGACAGGGAACAGAAAGGGCTACCTGGTCCGTCTCTGTAAGCGGAAAACTGGTGGGACAAGCCTGATAACCTACTGCCCCGTGGATGAGATATCCCATGAGTAACAAGACGAATGGGTGACGCTGTTACAATTGGGCATGCCAGCAGATTATCTGCCTGCCTCGAGAAACGTCAGAACTTGCCAGAAGAAATACTCTGTCGGAGTTCCGAGCTCTAGTTGAAGGCGAGCTCATTACACATGTTTGCATTACTCACTTCCTGAACTGTAGAGGGTTGATCCCAGCACACAACACCAGTGTCCACCTATGACCAGGAGATGAAGAGTAGGAGTTGGTCTCTCTCCTGCACATCTGCATGTGAGTCGCGATCACTACGCCCAGATCACTTGAGGCGCATCTCGCCGAGCGTTCGTGATCACACGAAAGGTCTTGCCAGACAAATCGCCCCCCTTTGCCGGAGCTTTGTCGATTGAGGATCAAGACACTCATGATCAGAGCGCTTCAATATGTTACGATACCGGTTCCTGTTCGCAAAGCATTTTGAGATCAGATGTCGCACCAAACGCTTTATCCTCGAAATTCTTGGTCATGCGATCAGCTACAATCGGAAGTGCCATATGGTAGAGCCAGTTAGCTCATTGCAACGCGACCCGGCAGGTACACGTATCAACGCTTCGCCACCAGGAACTAGAGATAGGATGCCCTGGATGCCCTGGATGTCGATGATTCGATGTTGTGAGCGTGACCTCAAGCCATATCGTCAACGCTGGTGCAACGGTAGCAGGATGACGCTCTGCAGCATGGCTGTAGTAGAGCATGGCCGATCTCCGAATGCCCTTGTCAAGCGCCACTGAACCGTCTGTCAACCCACGCGTGAAGAGATCTGAGCGCGATGCTCTGCAGATTCCTAGCAACGTAGCTCGCTGCCGGCGATGCTCTATTGTTTCCCGTCAGTGCCGAATGCCCGCTTACATTGTTCGTGCGACGCAGTAGGTCCGTACAACAATGGCCAGACTCACCGCCAACGCAGTCAAAGGTCATTCATTGTTGCGGTCAGAAACCTGGCAATGTGTCGTGCAACAAGAAACATGTAAGATGCTCGCTTGCTGAGACGTGAAGAGGCATGCTGCGAGGTTACATTCGAGATCATCTTCTCGAAAATCAGTCTCCAACATGTGCTTCTGGGGAGTTCCTGGAAGGCAACTCTCAATGCACGAGGACAGTTCGGAGAAAGATTGATCGTAAAGCTTCAGCATTGGCTCCGTCCCAAGGCAATCTCCAGGTGCAAGGACGAATGCTGAATCATTGCAACGCGGGTGTGTTCCCATCGGTAGCTGTTTTCAATCTCGTGCATGTAGTACAGACACATGGAATCCCTGCCTCGTGCAATGGATCGCGTCAGCAGCCGGTAAGAATCGAAGGGTGACTGCAGCGGGTCAGCGAAATGGCATGTTTGCCGATACGGCCTTTGTCCATGCGCAGGATGTGTGTTCGTTTATGCCATGGAAGCGTACGACATCAATCTGAAAGAACACGAATGTGTGCTTGCACGAGCGGCTGTACAGCCATCGGACACGAGAGCTGTCTCAAGATTAGACCCGGCGTCGTGATCATATCATGCACGATGCCGTTTTCTTTGCAGCCTCGGTTGGAGCGTTGGGTCGTGGTCCATACTGCGGGAGAGATGCGATGCCGATGGTTGGGAGATGTGATTGGCGATGCTCCATCTCCCTTGGGCGGTGCAACGCGAGGCAGACGAGCCCGCATACGACTGCATTATCCACAAACAAAAGGCCTCGGAAGAGCAGGAGCGCGTCGATTGGCCGAGCGGAGAGTGCTGCAGCATGAACAAGCATGGACAGGTCGCATGCGCTCGCATGGAGCAGTCTCAAATAAGCGTGGAATTGTGACATCTGCACGCCTCCCGAAGCGCTGCTGTTCAGCACACCATACCGGCCGGGGTGGAAAGCTGTGGCGGTCGAAAAGAGGAGGGCACGGAGGATATTGATTGCACTGTTCAGTGCGCTGCTGCTGCTGAGGCCTGGAGGACAGGTCGTGCCCCGCCCCGCCCCCGCCTGGGTGTGTGCTTGTTTGCCGCCGGCGTGTCTGCAGGCGGGCCAGCACGTGTCACATTGATCGCGTGGCAGGCGAGACGAGACGAAGTGATGATGAGGAGCTGTGAGCGGAGCGGGCAACCAGCGGCTGTGGAGTCGAGTTGAGCCACGCCAAGAATCCCGCGTTGCGACTGACTCTTCGCCTCTGCCCTCGTCATCGCCTGCTGCTCTTCTCCAGCACTCCAGACATCACGCGTTGCACAGGCGCCATCAGCAGACCCGCGACGGGCATGGACCGCGTCTCCCAGCCTATGCACCGCGCGCGCTGCTAGGGCCCTCGCCGTTGCGCTGCGGCGAGAAGGACGACGTTGACGGCGAGAGCGACTGCGCACTCCAGCCCTCAATCATCCATCGCCATCCCACGGCCGGCCTGCCTGCTTGCCTGCCAAACCTGCATGCTGAAGGCGACCGCATGACCAGCTCGGCCCTCTCTTCAGCTTTCAGCAAGCAGTCACGGCCTCTGATCGCCTCGCTCGCCCACCGGTCGGGCATCACTGAGGCCATCGACAACCTCGCCTTCCATATTCCGCTGCGCAGGTGCTGGTCATGCTGCTGCTCCTGCTGCCCTTGTCGCCTTGAGAGAACACGACCCTTTCTCTAGTTAGCGCAGAACGGCTCCGGCGATCCCGTAATATCTTCGGCCCTGTTCCCACGCAGGAACCATCTACACGACAGTATTGCCTGCGCCGACTGCGACCTTCTTTCACCCTCTGCACATACCACTGGCTCGAAAGGAAGATGCATTCGCGGTCCACCTCGTGACTCTTTGTTCCATCGGCTTTCATTGCCACGCTGCTTGCGATCCCTGTCTGCAGCCTGCACCTAGCCGTCGGCCTGGAAGCCGAAATCTACGGTTCGCCAGTCTCCAACGAGCCCTTTGCCGACCGCGCGCATACAAGCGCGAAACGATACTGAACATCTTTGCAACTCCCTGCGCCGTGGAAGTGGGATCGCTATTGCAGCTGTCGATATCCCGCCCGACCCAGCATCCTTACTGTCAGCTGTACATCATTTCACAAGATTGCATTGCAAACAGACGTGCCGCTCTCGCCGGCACGGGACTGTGACGAACATCGCTGACTCCATATCGCCGGCACTTCGACTGCCACGCACCATGGAAGACATCTTCTATTTCACAAGCCCCCGGAAAGCTGTTCCAGTTGCAAGGTACAGACCTTCTGTCCGAAGAACACCCAAAGTGGTCAGAAAGCGGCGCGCCGCAAACACAGACATGTTCAATCAACAAGCATGCGTGGCCCGGTTTGAAGAACCAACGTTCTGTCCGAGCAGCGTTTCATCATTGTTATTTCCCATTGCATCTACTCAAGATACCCCACTGCCTTCCAATTCGCAATTTGATCTAGATCTGGACGATGACGAGGAAAATGAAGAAGACGAACATGACGACAATGGCGGCGTGCTTTTACCGCCGTCTGCAGATGAGCCCATGACAGACGTGCCTTCTGCGCACATATCGACGCCCGTACGCTACGACGAAGTCACGCAACATGATATCAACACTTATGATAACGACACACCCATTGAACCATCCATACCTCCGAGCATATTGCATTTAACCTCACTGCACGCCCAGCCTCAAGGTCCTACGCAGCAGCGACGAAGAACCGCATCAGAAGAGGGCCACCGACGGCGAGCGACAGCGAGAGAAGGCCAATTGATCGCAGATGCCCTTCCTCCCAATGAGAGCACGGAAGCAGCAAATGGTGCATTTGTTGCATCGCTGGATCTTCTCAGCCGACCCACGGTGCCAGCTCTATCTACAGATACGACCCAGCTACAAACCTTTCCGTCTGATGCCTCATCAGTTCTTGGTGCACATACTACCCAGCGTTCCTCTGCGAGTGATTACACAACAACCGATCTGCAGCATGCCCAGATTATGGATATGGATGAAGATGCTCTACCTGTTGACGACCCCAGGAGGCATTATGATGTATTAGAATTTATGGACGATTGGCGTCTCAAGTCAATAGCGGACAAACGGCTCCCTCCCTTTGAGCCTGGGATCCAATCTTCCATACGACTCGGACGACCGCTTGAGCCTGTTGTCCGTACTCAGGTATTATCACGAGCTGTTGACGTACAAGGCATACGATGGCAACTCGTCGGTCCTGCTCGAGAGCAAGCCATGCTCGCTCGATGTATGCTCCACCCATCGAGCACTAGTTCAAACTACCTTCGCCCGCAACGACGGCAGACATCTTCAGGCATCGCTGGGGATGCGGAAAGCCACTACCGATTCCGTTCCTTTGCGCCCCAGCATAAAGGCAGCTTCGAGCATTATCAATTACGCAACATGCTTGTGGCAGCGGATCGCAACAACATATTTTATGGAACGGCGGCGAATCAGGTGATGCGCGCATCGCTTTCGTGTCCGAATACGCGGAATACTGTCATGGACTTGGCCAAGCCAGTGAACACCGCCGCAGCCTTCCGCATCACTTGTCTATCGGCTTCTCCAAGAGCGCTTGTGCCTGGCAGCCAGACCGACAACGTTCTGATTGCCGGTGGCTTTTATGGAGAATACGCTGTCTGCAACATAGACAGCGACAAGCGAGAGGCCTCCGAAGGTTTCGTTACCCACGCGTACAATGGGCTCGTCACCCATGTGCATAGCTTCCGGGACAGACGCTCCGGTCTCCTCCGCGCAGCCTTCTCCTCGAATGACCGCAAGGTCCGACTAATGGATGTGGGCACGCTCCAATTCACTGATAGTTTCACATACGACCACGCAGTAAATTGCTCTGCAACGTCTGCTGATGGTCGTTTACGAGTATTGGTTGGAGACAGTTCTGACACCCTCATCACCGATGCCCAGCGAGGAACGCCCATAGTCACACTACAAGAGCATACGGATCATGGCTTCGCTTGCGCATGGTCGCAGGACAATCGACATGTAGCCACCGCCGCACAAGACGGGCGAGTAATGGTGTGGGACGCCCGAAGCTGGAAGAAACCTGTACGCACGTTTGAAAGTACGATGTCTTGCGCGAGATCCCTTCAATTTACCGACAGCGGCGCTCTCGTGGCTGCCGAGAACGAGGACGTCGTGACCGTCTACGGTGGGCATTCCTTTGAGGCCAAGCAAGAAATCCGGTTCCTAGGTTCTATTGCTGGCGTTACTCTTCTTGACGGAGGAGCAGAGCTCGCCATCGCGAATGCCGATAAGACCGTCGGCGGACTTTTGACATTTGAACGAGTGCCACAAGGATTGGGAAACAATACTTATGGACGTGTTGTTGTCAAGCCCGGGGGTAGTTCGAGATGGCGGAACGGTCGAGCGCGGCGCGAAATGGAGAGCTTACCGGAGGTCTTGATCTAGACTTCTAGCTAGTCTGATCAAAGCACATACTTTCAGCAGCCCTCCACAGATACCAAACAGTCCACATGATGCTGACGAGCACATTTCTCTTGTTTATTCTTTCTCACTCTCCCTCGTCCAGCTCAGCCGATTCTCTCCCCGCCTCGACTACCAATCCACCCTGTCTGCATTAAGCGACAGTCCACTCATCTGTTTCCTTTTTCTTTTTCTTTTTGGTCCCTTCGCCTAATGATGACCGGATATTTCTATCAAGTACCACTGGCTGAGTCTTTACTTAACTTTCTCGTCTATCTTCGCTTCTTGCCAAGCGAAACGTCTTCCGCAGTACTTCCATTAGTGCTTCGCCAACCAGAATCTTCTGGCGCTGCGTTGTGTCACAGAGTTTCTTTTTTGGCGAGTGTCAGATGTGTACAGGGACTGGGGTGGTTTGAAGATATCAGAAATTGTAAGCAGTAGATTATGGGACCGGGATTGTTGTTCTTGGCTTGCCAATTTACAAGGCGATTGATAAGGGTTCGGAATTTGGAGGGTTTGGGGAACGATGGTGGTGTTTGATAGTGTCTTGAGACAGTCAATTATTCTCAATTCGTGAACATGATACGATGAAAAGGGAATGAAGGGCACAATTCGGGTCTTTCCTCGCTCACGCCCTCGAGGGCAGAGCTCGTGACAAAAAGTCTTACTTCGATGATCTCGCACAGTCTACCCGTGTCTCCAATATCGTACATGCATGCGCAACTCGAATCAATCTATTTTTCCCGCCATGCTTCTTTCTCATTCAGTTCCCGCCGTGTGCGTAGAAAGCAGTTCCCCTTCTCTCATATCACAGTCTGGTATCATCATCCTCAACCATTCTTCATGCAAAACCCAAAAGCAGTACGCCTCGCTGTAAACCTCAATTTGTTCTTTTCGCCTCCTGTCAAATGCAGACGATGTGCCCTGCCCGATCCTCTAAACCCGTTTTCGCCTCGCTAATATGTCAAAGTGTCGTGTGTCGAGTTGCCCTCCTGTTGCCGCCACTTCTACGTTCTCCTCCTCAGGTCTTGCATACCCCACTGTTCTTTCCTCCAAAAGATCTCTTTATGCAATTGGTGCTCCATTGATGTAGGCCGCAGCCGGTAGAGTTGCTTTGACATTTTGGAACATGGCCAATGCCGCGTCGAAATTGAAGCCAGCTTCGCGAAGGCAATCAGACGAGAACATCAACGTCATGCCGGTCTGCTTGGTCAATTCAGTGCACATCTGCTCGGCGAGCTCGATGGTGACACCTTCTGGGAGTTGTGGAAGACCATCATTGCCCGCAGCATCAGCAGCTAGCATTGGCGGCGTCGAAACTCCAGCAGTGGCTTGGAAAGCTTGGGCGCCACCGTATGCACGAATGGTGATTGTGTGGCTGACGACACGCACGCCAGTCGAACCACCTGGACCAATGTAGATGGCATGGTCGCAGCTGCGCTTCTTGCCCGTCTCCGGCTCGGCGAACTCTCCGTGTATCGACATGAAGAATCCATCTACGCCGCCCGGAGTATTGTTGATGGGATCTGGAATGCCCGGCTGCAGATGGGATTCAATCATCCACTTCTGCGGCTCGGTGGCAAGATCCGGATGTTGCGATTTTGGCATCGCGGCGAACGTATCGATGGTGGCCTGCGTGCCTCGTGCCAAACGCTTTTGTCGCGCTGGCAGTTGTGTGAGACGCTTGAGATTGCGACTACTCTGTATGTAAGATGCCCATTCTTGGCTCTGCGTCTTTTCAGTGTCCAGAGGATCTCGTGGCGCTTGCGTGTTCAGGGCATAGGAGAATTCGGAGTGCTCGTCGTAGTACATCCGAGCAAGCGCAGGCCGATCAGTGTCGAAGCCGGCGAACCAGTTGCGTATGAAACCTTCCACAATGCCATTTTCGTCTTGGAAATGAGGTGTGCGGATTGGAAACGGAATGTTCTGGACATTGTTCTGGTTCTTGATGTCCTCGTCGCTTCGCACTTGAATGTTGTTGAGGGTGCGCAGATTCTTGAACCATTTCATGATTTCCGGTCCAGCATTGGGCTCGTTCTGGTCAAGGGGATTTCCAGTGAGGATGAGATGCTGGAGCTTCTTGAATCGGTGTCGCCAGGCTTCTAATGACGCTAGAGTTGCAAAGTTGTTACCGGACAGATCCAGGCTGACCAGATTGGGCAGTGACTGGGATAGCGTAGACACTATCTTCAGATCTTCAAGTTCGTTATTTGCCAGCGAGACGGCCTCGATCGCTTCGTCGCGCTCTTTCGTGGTGGTGAAAGAAAGGTCGAGCACTTTCATCAATGCGGGAAAGAATTTGGCGGTTGTCGAGCTTGAGCCAAAAATGCCCGTAGCCTGCAATTCGGCGTCTGCACCGAGCGCCGAGAGATCCAGCATTTTCATCTCGGGATTCCAGCGGCGCTCAAGCACACCTCTGAGCATGGCCTTCGTTTCTTCCGCGCCAGACGATGGCTGGCTGCTATCCTGACCTGCGCCGCCCACGCGCTTGATGCTGAGCTTCGCACCTGCCCAGTCGTAGCCGTTCATTCGTTCGTAAGCCTTCGCGTCCGCCGATGGCACGCTGATGACCACCGCATCGGCCTCCATCCTGTTCCTTCGTATTCTGGTATCCTTTCTTCCCAGCCGCATACCTGCTTTCTTCTCCAGCCACTGAATAAGCGACTTGTATCCGCCGTCCGAGCTGCTCGCCGCTCTGCTTGCCTTCCATCCCTCGACAGTGAGCTCAACCAAGTCGGGGCGCTTCGTCTCTCGCATCGACACATCTCCCTGGGCTGCTGCTTTACGGATGAGGTCTCTCCGAGCCGTCGCGGAGGTCAGGTCCTTGCGCGTGCCTGCTGGGTTTCTGGCGGCGCGCTTTTCTGCAGCCGGTCCTGTGGGTGGCTTCTTGCCGATTTTGCTAGCGGAGGCACCTTTGACTGTGATGTCGGACATTCTGGCATCGCCGTCGCGGTCCGCACGTCGTCGCAGGGCACCAGCACCAGAGCTCCGGCCGGCGCGCGCTCTGGTGTCTGGACGCACCATCGTGGCGACGGCGGTGGTGAGTGTAGCGCGGTTGTGAGTAGTGACTATCTGCTGTCCGCGGGGGCTCGAGTTGGTGATGTGCGCGCTGTTGTGTTGCGGTTGTCTTGGGTCGCAAAGATGGATGCGGTGGAATGTGTGTTTGTGTGGGAAGTCCGTCAAGTGAATGTCGATCGATGGTGAAGGAGGGTGTGCGCGTGTCTCGGCTGGCGGGCTATTGTCTTTGGTATTGTAAATGATGCTTGCACAATAAGACAATCGCAGAGCTGAAGCTTGTTCGACCCGCGCTTGGCTCGGCCGCAGCGGAAGCGGGAGCAAGTGCCAGAGCCAGGCAATCAATCAGGCAGCCACGGCCTATGCTGCCTTCACCACTGATTCACGTTCCGACTCACGTCTTCACGCCGCCAACACGACTGTCACGAACTGCAATGATATGGCTCAGAGGCAAAGCGCCTCAGTCTACACCGATTCTTCGATGCGTGGGTTACTGCGGTTCTACGAGACACACTCCAACGTGTTTCGGCAGTCAACTCAGGCACGAGCACATCCGCTCGTGGCTCACTTTCGAACACGCCCTACAGCCGCATGGGCAGCGATATGATGCCAATGGCGTTCTCCTGCACGTGGCCTGCACACATTCTCTCGGCGGCCTGGCACATATCGCTGCAGCGCGACTACTGGCCTTCGGAACACTCTCTTGCGGCACACCGCTCGAAGTCGTGGTACCGCGACTCCTCCACGGATCTCGCCATCCACCTCCGCAGCGGCTGCGCAGGTCTCAGATCGCTCCAAGGAGGTTCGAGTGCCTGACTGCATGGCACATCACGCCGATGCCCAGCGCAAGCAGCCTGAACTGCGCGACCTCATAGGACGATGCAGCAACGCCTCGAAGGCATCTCGGTCCAGTCACTCCGAATTCCGTACAATTCCCCTCTTCACTGACCGCCGTGACCTCCGCAGAGTCGGCAGAGTACAAGGCGATGGTGGATCGTGGTCCTTTATGTGATTCCCAGTACCTGCAGCTCCGCCCTTGCATACGCTGCTACTCTCCTCGTGCCATGTGATCACTAACGGAGGACTTCTCCTCACACAACATGCCCCACGCGAACGAAGTCGCTGATCATCTCGCCACTGAGCAACTCCCAAGGCGATTTCCGTCGTCAGAATCTCCCTGAACTCGGATCTGGTAGCCCAAATGGCACAATCGCGCCGAATTTCCAGTGCCAAGCTCCTCCAAAGCCGCTGGTTAGCGCTCGAGCGACGTCCCGCGAAGGCTTTGCACAGGCCTTCCTGTGCCACAATTTCGTCCTATCAGTGCCGACTCTCCGTGGCGTGTCGCTAACTCGCAACATGGTGCAGAATTTTATGGACACTCACTGCAAAATTTCCTCTAGACCACACTCAACACGTGCCAGCGTTGGGTTACAGTCTGTTCCCGCCCCAGTGGAACGGAACCCACCCTCGACGGAGCCATTCTAGTTTACGTACAAATATCCTCTACACGATCGCTAACGGCAAGTATACACTACCTTCACTGTTTCCCCATCTTCGTTCACATTCTCTTCGTCACATCCTGCGCTTAACGGTCACACGTGAAACTTGCGGCGACCGTTCACCCGACGGACAAACACTGCTTAATTGAACTTCATAGCTACTGTCGAGTCATCCGGCACCGCGGCAACTAGCCTAGCTCGTACAAAGACAGAAGCACTATCCAACAGAAGAAAGCTCGTGCCTTTGTAATCCAACAACGGAATCACAATGGAGAGCGACAAGATCAAGGTTGCGAATACGGCCTCACCCTTCACATACGAAAAGGATGGAATTGCCGACCAACGATCGAGTAGCGACATGGAGAAGGGTGACTCAATCAGGGCCGGCGAGACCACGCAGCTGAAGCGTAAGCTGCAATCGAGGCATCTTCAGATGATTGCCATTGGTAAGTCTTCCTCAAGCGCCTTACTGCTGCTCTCTCGGAAATGGGCGGGGCCTCCTTGAGGCATTGGCACAAGCGCAGTGCTCCATCTGTGAGCATCAATTAATCTTCAGCAGGTGGCACAATTGGAACAGGTCTGTTCATTGGGTCAGGTCAAGCACTTGCGACAGCAGGACCCGCTGGAGCCCTCATTGCTTATGCCTTCGTCGGAACACTCGTGTACTCAGTCATGGTGGCACTTGGAGAGATGGCCACCTACATTCCCGTGTCTGGAGCTTTCACAGTCTACGCTGCTCGTTTCGTCGACCCTTCTCTTGGATTCGCAATGGGCTGGATCTACTGGTTCTCTTGGGCCATTACCTACGCACTCGAGTTGACAGCATCCGGACTGATCATTCAGTACTGGGCGCCCGATCTCAATGTTGGGATCTTCATTGGCGTATTCTGGGTGGTCATTACCGCTATCAACTTCTTGCCTGTGTCTTTCTATGGCGAAGTGGAATTCTGGTTCGCATCGATCAAGGTGCTGACTGTGATCGGCTTCCTAATTTTCGGCATTTGCATCAATGCAGGCGCGGGCCAACAGGGATACATTGGATTCAAGTATTATCATAGCCCAGGCGCATTCGCAGAGTACCTCGTCACAGACAACGCCGCTCTTGCCAAGTTCGTCGGCTTCTGGGCTGTCTTGATTCAGGCTGGATTTTCCTACCAAGGTACTGAACTGGTCGGTATTGCAGCTGGAGAGACCGCCAACCCACGGAAGACTGTGCCAGCAGCTATCAAGAAGACCTTCTACCGTATCCTCTTCTTCTTCGTATTCACCATCTTCTTCCTCGGCATCCTGATCCCGTACGACAACGATCAGCTTCTCAACGAGAACACCGATGCCTCGGCCTCCCCAATGGTCATCGCCGCGAAACTGGCCGGCGTCAATGCCCTTCCCGGAATTATCAACGCTGTCCTTCTCTGCGTCGTCCTCAGCGCCGCGAACTCGAACGTCTACTCCGGCTCCCGTATCCTCGTTGGTCTTGCCGATGAACACAACGCACCGGCTTTCTTCAAACTGACCACCGCCTCCGGAGTACCCTACGTGGCCTGCGCTTTCACTGCCGCTTTCGGCCTCCTCGGTTTCATGAACTTGTCCAACAACGGCGGGACCGTCTTCGACTGGTTCCTGAACATCACCGCAGTCGCCGGCTTCATCTCCTGGACGTGCATCAACATTTGCCACATTGCTTTCATGCGTGCTCTTGCCGCCCGCGGCCAAAGCCGCGATACACTACCATACAAGGCCTTCTGGCAGCCGTGGTTCTCATGGTATGGATTGTTCTTCAATGCGATCATCATCCTTACCAACGGCTTCACCGCCTTCATGCCATGGAACACCACGGATTTCTTCGTGGCGTATTTGAGTTTGATCCTGTTCGTGGTCATGTACGTGGGCCACAAGATTATATGCCGAACACGATTCATCAAGGCTGCGGAAGCAGACTTGGACACGGGCAGGAAGGAAGTGGAGGAAATGTGGTTCGAGGAGGAGGAGCCGAAGACACTTTGGGGGAAGTTCTGGAAGTGGATGGGTTGATTTTCGGATGAGGAAAGGCCACGATTTTTGCATGAAGATTCATGACTGATGATAGTGTGGATGACCTTTCTTGACTAATGCGTTCAAAGCGGTTTGTGGCATTCTGTAACATAATTATGAGACTTGAAAAGCTTGGAAAAACAGTCATGAGGCATGCTGTTAGATGGGATAGAGGCACGAGATTAGAAGAACGACTTGAAGCTTGAAGCGATAAGACCTTTCTACGCTGCTCTTGCCCACATTTGGTTCATCAGCACAGCAAAGACGTCATGTCTACTAATCGAATACAATGAACGGCTCGCTAGACGATAAAAATTCCTTCGCCACGCGACACGAACAGACTCGCCCAAATGCTCACGTGCCCCTAGCAATATGTTCATCCTCATTCTGCGGCTCCTGGAACGTACTCAAATCCTCCTCAAACATCGCTCGAGTTGTCTTCACAAATCCTGGCACCTTCAACTTCTCCTCCCTCTGATTCTTCTCACATACTCTTGCCCATAAGATATCTTCGTCAAAATTCAGAAACACAAGCTGACTTTCCACTCCGGCAGCTTCGACCACAAGTTTGAATTCCTCTCGCTCTTGCTTGAGCGAAAAATTGTAATCGAGAACGAGACCGGTTCCGGGTTTGGAAGTGCATAGCCAATTGAAGAGGTCTTTGCGAAATTCGGCTTCGGCCCACCAGACGTGGAGGAGATCAGGGATGGGGTTTGGGAACTTGGCGCCGGTGTTGACTTGCTGGGAGATAAGGATCCGGTCGTCGTATGAATTGTATTTCCATTTGGTGTGGTTGTCGGACACGATGGCTTTGCTGAGTGAAGTCTTGCCGGAGCCTAGGAGGCACAACAGTCAGATCTCCGTGGCGACAAGAGGACACAACTGGGTGAAGCTGTGGCTTACCTGGAAGACCGCAGAGAATCAGGACAAGTCTTTCGGTGGGCTGAATTTCGAGGATTGGTTGCATGGCTGAGATGATGTCTTCGATGGTGAGCAGCGCGCGGGGCATTTGACTGCCAATCTCCCTGCCTGGCATGTTGAAAGATGTTATGCTGTACGATTGTTGTTTTGGATCTTCGTGCTGTGCTCAAAGTACGGCCTATTCTCCATTTGACAGCAATTCGCGCTTTGGTCCTTCCCTACCTTACACGCCACTGCCGAAGCTTGAGTGACGTGAGGCTACTTGGTCAGGTGCGATCTTGGGCAAGGGCGAAGCCGCGATTCTCAAAATGGCACAGAAGCCGCAATTCTTCACTTCCAAATCTTGCCATCGTGCACTGCAACCATGTGCTTACTCTTGGGATCGTACATCCTGCCTTCCACATATGCAGTCATTCCATCACGATTGATTGCCCGCAGATTGCTTAGTGTAGGCTGTGCGACCCAAGCGGTGTGCGGAGTGATGAGCAGGTTCGGTACAGGCTCCTCACCTTTGCTCAAGTCCGGCAATAATGGAGTGGAACCCGGTCCTCCAGGTTCAGTGTCGAGGACATCGGCCGCAGCTCCAAAAATCCATCCTTCCCTCAAAGCTTTGGCAAGAGCTGCCTCATTTACGATGCCTCCTCGCGCGATGTTGATCACAATGGCTTCTTTCCGCATCGCTTTCAGTTCTGCTTCATCAATAAGATTGACAGTGTCTGGCTCACGGGGCAATACCAACACAATTGTCGAGCTTCGCTTGATGACCTCTTCGAAGGGAGTCCGACCTTCTCTGACTTGTGAAGTGCCTCTACGCTCAGCAATGAGAATCTCTTTGAAGCCGATCGCCTGAGCAAGCCGCTGAATGTTCTTCCCTAACGCTCCATAGCCCATGATTCCGAGCGTTTCTTGGCTCGCTCCCAGAGGTAAACCATCAGGAAAGACCGTTTTAACTAAAGAGTTGGTTCGTTGCCATTCGTCAGAAGTTTTCACGTGCTGGTCAAAGACTCCTATTCGCTTGCGAGTAGCCAGATAAAGTGCGAGAAAGTGTTCAGAGACAGCATCGATATTGGCACTTGGAGCATTAACCACGGAGATGCCTCGTCTGGCACAATACCCCTTGTCTACCCAGCCCATTCCGGTAGCCATGACCGCCAGAAGTTGCAAGTTGGGCGCATTGTCCATGTCCAAAGGCTTGACATTGATAACATTGGAGATTACTATTGTGGCTGGCTTGATCCTTTCTGCGATTTGACTTGGTTCGGTCTTGAGGTACTTGTCAATCGTGAACTCGAAGGGCAACTCAGCCAATGGCACGTGCACTGCTTCCAGGAAGACGATATGATGCTTGTCGTATCCTGGCGGAAGTTTCGGGGGGTCCTGGCGAAGCCATTCTGTTGTGCCATTGGGTTGCTCGGAAGTCATTTTGTTGAACTTGAATCGAAGTGCTCACTGTGATTACTTTGCTGTAGGATGATTCTCACTCTCGGCTTGGTGCTCATCAGCAACGACGTAGCTCGGTGGATGTTCGGACATGTTCTTGATGCGCCCTTCGGCCAACGCTGACATCCAGACCGAGACCGGAGATAAGATATGGCTTGGCGCGGATAAATCCTCGGCCACAACCGGCTTAACTTCACTGTATCGCTGACCAGATTCTTTGATCGAGGATGCGCTGTAGAGGTGGAAGTGTGGTGCACTTCACTTTGGATTTCGTCCAATAATCGCCATGAATCATTTCTTGCTTCGTCAAGGCTAAAATCATATCTTAGACATTTCCACTCGTAATTTGGCCTTCTCGCTTCTTCGAGAAAATACCTCTAGATGTGCTTTATCACGTTTCTGCTCTTTGTCCAACGCTCCCCGCAGTATGATTGCTCGACTGTGCTCCTAAATCTCACCCACGAAACCGACTTCGACAACCTTCTCCGCGGGAACATTCAGTTTCTCGAATTTACTTCTAGAGTTCTCGCGGGTCCAGAGGAAGATCTCCAGCATCGCACGCTTGAAGAAGTTGTACGAATGAGAGATCCGCATTTGTTGTTTGCCGACCAGATATAAGGTTTGAGCTGCAGATGCCGCTTCCAAGCGATTGACTCGCTCAGAGGTTGTAGGATCATCCAAGCCCTGCCGAACGATGAGGGATCGTACTTCTTGACAAACAAGTAGAGCCAAATCAGGCGTTATGACATGGTCGCTGTATCCTTTGCGAATGATCAATCGGTAGACGTCCTTGATACTGGTCTCGGAGATCTCGAAGCGGTCCTCTTCCGAGACGTGAGGCACGCTTAGTGCGCGCATATGCATGAAAACAACTGTGTCCATCTGAGCACGAAACTTCCTGAGCCACTGCTCATAAACCTTCGGAGTGAAGACGCCAGACTTGTCTAGAAATATTCCGAGGCCATCGATTTTGAACAGCTCACTGCCGCCATATTTCTCGGACAGCTTCTGCCCTCCATTTAGAGTAGTGGCCACCAGTGAGTTCAGGGACATCTTGTCCTTTGCCTCGCATGTCCACTGCGTTTCTTTGCCGTACCTCCAGAGTCCGAAAAACGCTGCTAGACAAGCAGCAAGCATCAAGGTGAACCAGGCTCCGTCAGGCACCTTCACGAGTGATGCAGATAGGAAAAGCCCATCAAAGGTGATGAGAGGCAGCCAGATCAGGAACGCAATGGCTGGGTGGACGCGCCATACGATGACAGCGACCAGGGCGACGAGATTGGTGGTGATGAACGTCACCAAGATGACACATACTCCGTATGCATGTCCCAATTTCGTAGTCTAACGAGTCGTCAGCATGGATCTGGCTACATGAGTGGGCTTCAACGATACTCACATTATTGTATACGGCGGTGACGATGACACAGCCCACCATGAGTACCCAGTTGGCGATTGGTATATAGACTTGGCCATGGTGCTTCGTGCTAGTGTAGTGCATTTGGATTTGCGGGAAGTAGCTCGAATTCATGATTTGAGCCAAGAGTTGGAAGCAAGCTGTAATGGTAGCTTGAGAGGCCACAATCGCAGCCAGTATAGCGAGGACCAGCGATGGCCAGAAAAGTCCGGGAGGCACAGTATTGAAGAACGGGTTGCTGTAAGCCTCTGGCGATTCTGCGAGATAAGCCGCCTGTCCGATGTACGCAAGCAGTAGGCATGGGTACGCGAAGCAAAGCCAAGACAGCTGTATAGCTCGTCGACTGAAGGCACCCATATCTGCAAACAAGCACTCCACTCCAGTGAAGCAGAGAAGAATACCGCCGAGGCTTTTCCAGCCTTCAGTCTTGGTGCGCATAAGCCAGGCTCCAGCAAAATATGGCGAAAATGCCTTTAGGACTCCTGCATCATGTTGAGCTAGGTTGTAGATTCCGAAGCAGCCGTTGAACAGTAGCCAAATGATGACAATCGGAGCAAATGCGGAAGACACGCGATGGACTCCGAGCGGCTGGACCAAGAACAGTACTACCAGTATGGCGCAGCTGACTCCCACAATGGTAGGTGTCTTGATGCCATCGTCTACAACTTTGATGCCCTGAATGGCTCCCAACACAGATTGCGCAGGGGTCAGGACACCGTCAGCCAGGACAAGGCTCACACCAAAGACTGCCAGCAATTTCAAAATTGCGTGAGCCACCCTGCTCTGCTCTAACCAGGACCTAATCTTCTCGTTGTGCACATGTAGGTCTTCGCTCTTGTGACGCTCTGTTTTGGCGAGCTGGTAGACTCTCGGATCCCGTTTCATAATGTCACTGTATCGAGACAGAAGAGTGTATATGGCGAACGTCCCACCTTCCCCATGGTCGTCGGCCCGGAGCACAACCAAGACGTACTTCAGAGTCACGATCAATGTAAGCGACCAGATGATGAATGAAAGCACGCCTAGCACATCCGTTCGGGTGGGTGGGGAAGAGAAGGTCGAGGAGTAGACGTAAAGCGGCGATGTTCCAATGTCACCATAGATGACCCCGGTTGCTTGGTAGGCTAGGAACAGAAGTGTCCATCCTTTGAAGACCTGGTGGTTGAATCAGCCCAAGTCGCGAGACAAGCTTGATGATTCTTCGAGCTCGCGACATGCTCGCACAGGCTCGTACTTGCCGCTGTCTGAGATCGCTATCACGAATCTTCAGGTCAACATCATCCGGGAGCGCTTCTGTGTCAGCGATGACAACGCCGGGCTTCTCTGTGCCGCGCCTGGCTGACGCTGGCACTGCAGCTGTTTGATCAACGGACTGACCAGACATCGCTGTCGCGGACAGAGAAAATCACAATACAACAGACGACCTGCCTTTGCAAAGCCAGCAGACTGAGTATTAAGATCCTACTGCCCACCGGGCGACAGCTGTTTTTGGAATTCAGCTTCGCGCCGAAATCTCGACGCGAGATTGAGGCATGTGCTCAGCACGTGGGCGTACACGTTTGCACGACATATTCGTGTTAGCTGAACCTGTGGTAGAACAAGCCTTGCAGAACACGCCTGCCATAACTGACCTATCGCCAAGCAGCAGTGACATTGGCTTGGCGTCGCATGTGAAAGCCGCTTTGCAACGCGCGATTTGTGCACCAATCCGAAGAGGAGCACCCTGGACACAGGCAGTGTTGGGAACACAAGTGGCATTCGGAGCTCCAAGAGAATCGCGGCCGTGAGATAGGGCGATACGTTACGAGATCCAGGTGGTCATATCGCAGTCTGGAAGCAAAGGCGATGTTTCTTCGGGTCGAATTCATGCAGGACGTGTCGCCACGAGGTGGCAGTAGAATATCCACAGCCTGATATTCACTTACAGGCGGGGTTTCGCTGTCTTGAGCTGACGGGAGTTGTGCCCACCACGCGCGAGGACGAAGGTGCTACTACCTCTGCAGTCCACGTGGCTGACTGCCATGTCTTTCCCGGGCACGGACGATGTTTCGGTGTTCCAGTTGGACCGCTATTTCCATCCGAGTGCGCACGTTAGTAGCGGAATCCATCATGAATAGTGCTCGACAGTTGCAGATGTTTCGCATGCCTAGCACGACAATGACTTGTGGGCCTCTGGCTCCAGAAGTTAGGCCGCGTTCCAGCGAGACATCGCTCTGGTCTCGTTGAGTCCGATGACGAGTATATCCCACGCGATACACATTCGGTCAAAGTACGAGTGCTTCACGCAGTGGAAGTGGAACAGCAAGATTGCAGGTCAGAGTAACAGAGGAAAGCAATGGTCACCGGAACGGATCAATGGTCTTTCCGCCCCCGCGTGACGTTCGTCTCAGCCAGCCAGCCAGCTTGCCTTGCTGCTTCGAGATCTCCATCGTCTTCTGGGCCACGCTCATCAGGTTAGCTGATTGTTACTTGAAGACTCCCCGAGAACTACCATCCACGCACGTCGTGGCCTTATAGAAACGCCTAATCGAACGGACCAGCACTCGAATGAGGACACCGTCTCAGCTCTGGTCTGCTCTCAAACAAGCGATCTCAGAGATCGCCAGTCTAGACCCAGAGACAATGAGCATGCACAGGACAGGATACTACCCAGAAACCACTGAGGATGTCTCTCGTACCGTACGATACTTGCAAAAGGCATCGCCATCCCCGCTTCCGGACGAGTTGGTGAAGATGATTCTCTGGCACGGCGATTACGATTGCATACATTTCGAAGCACACTACAACAAAGACGAGATGACCCGGAGTCATGGCTCTCAGCCTTCTCTCAGGGCTGCATACGTCGAGACCAGATCTTTGAGATACATCTCGCCCAGAGCTGACACAACCAGCTCGAACTCCACACGCGGCGGACGAGTACGGGCTGTACGTTTAAAAGTCAAAGGAAGGGATCAAGGTTGGGGAGGTGATGGAAGCGGGAGTTGGAGCTGGTTCGATGTCGCGAGGAGAGGCTCGCCCACGAACGGCAGGAGACGCGAAGAATTTGACGACTGCTATGTGACCTGGGCGCACAATGAAGTCGCTGCGAAGGATTGGCAGACACACGAAACGGACACTGAGACCAATCCGCAGCTACTGGAGTGGGCTCGTGGCCTTCGAAACGGAGATCGCGTGTCGATACTACCTATGGCGCAATTTCCAGGCTGGGCTTGCAATGCTTCATTTGGAAGTATAGACGTCGAAGTAGAGGTTTGGCGTTGAGTCGCAATGACATGAGGCTGTCCGTAACCTCCATCGCTTCGAAGAGATTGAGATTTGTCCTCCGGGTCTGAGTATAGGTGAGTTCGATTCGCTGAGGCCGCAGAATACTGGCCATTCAGCACGACGCTTGGAATTAATCTTATGCAAAACTTACTACGGGTAGCTCTACCATACTTCTTCGTGGAAGTGGCCTTACAGTAATAATCGTGAATGCTGTCTGGCCAAGTATATTATCTACTTGCAGTCAGAAGGTTTCCCCAACACAGCTGCGTCGCAGAACCACAGCGCTCGCCCATCAACAAGGAGAAAGCAAAGCGACAATCATCACTTCTCTGCCGCAGACATGTTGTCGACATTAGCAAACTTCTTCAAATTTACACGGCGCCGAACATACCCGTCCACAATCCTGGTTCTCGGAAACCCGATCGAATCCAGATTTACATACATCCTGCATATCATCCCTGAGATCGGAAAGGTTGAGATGCTCAGAACGAACATGCGGATCAAATCAGCCTTGTACTGCGCAGGTCGTACGAAAGAAATTTCACGAGAACACTTGGGATCCGTTGCCCTGCACAAGCGGGACGGCAACCATCCGCGATATTTTCTGGATGAGGTCAGCAGCTGGGCAATCAGAGATCTCAAGGAGCATATGCCGTCAGCTTCTGAGGAGGAAATTACGCAGCTTACAGACCAGGCATTTCGACCCATCGTCCGCCATTTTCTGGAGCAGAAGAAGGGCTGTGATATTCCGAAGAACGCTGCACAGGGCTATTCGATCTACCAAATTCAGGTTAATCGCCCTAAGCCTGGAAGGATCCTGCCGCTTAAAAAGCTCTTGAAACTTGCAGATTGAGTGCTGCACACCGTGTCTTAAGGCCACAGAGGGAGCGCTCGTTTCTGCTGCTGCGTTGATTGAAGCTGGAATCCTGCTGTGGGGCCAGTAGTCGCAGGTATGGCAACTTGAGGGCTCCACATGCCGCTTCTTGCTCTCACCGAGTCAACAAGATGTGCTACGCAAAAGTCGAGAGCGTGCTCTCGTGGGTTGGACATGCTTCGAGCAAACGGTCGCCGACAGCAACCATCTGCGAAGAGCTGTGTGAAGCTACCCTGGTCCACCGCCGTTGCTCGTCGAAGTTGTTCTCTAATGGCTGCCTTTGAACATTTCTTTTTTGAGGACGAGCACTCGCGGTCATGTACATGAGCAAGCATAAAGGTGTCAATACATACATAATGGAGTCTTATCAAAAAAATTCTTTCGAAAGACATTGTCAATGTCGTGGAACTGCATGTCAGGTTCTCTCATCAGACCTGCTACGGAAAGCAAAAGCTGTCAGAAAAAGCTTCAACCCTAGCCAACAATTCTTTACCAGGGTGCCACGCCACTCATCTGTCACCCGCACACTCAATCATCTCACCGCGTGCGTGTGATATTGTTCAACTGAAACGGCTATGCGGCTCGATAGACTTTTTGACAAAACTCAGCTACGCAGCGAGCTCCATCTCGAAGGTGTCACGCCCATACAATTCGCCAGGAAGACGTAACACTCAACATGGGAAGAGCAAGCCCTGGCACGTTGTGAGGCCGAGCATCGGTCTGCAGTTCGAGGTGATGATCATCATGTATAATAAGAGCAATGGCTCCCTAGCTCCGACTTATGGTTCGCGTCTTATACGCTTCCGTATTGGAGCATCCAAATCCATTGATTATTGGGCTGTGTCTGAGGCAGGATGAAGCAACATTTCAGCGAAGAAGATGGTATCGATAGGGACTTCTGGACTAAGAAATATCTCCAAGGACGTCCCAACCTCGCAGAGGCCACACTCCAGCGTATCTGGAAGTATCATGCCGATAAGGGCGGGAGTTTTGGTCTTTGCCACGAGCCTGGTGCCGGATCAGGCGTGCACACCAGACGCATTGCGGAAAAGTTTGAGAGCGTCGTAGCTTCAGACCTCGGAGCAGCACATGTGGCGCTGGGAAAGGAGAGGCATGCTGATCTGCCCAATGTCGAGTTCCGCGTTGGCAATTCCGAGGATCCGGCAGGCATGGGTCTGCAGAAAGCAAGTGTTGATCTCGTTCTGGCCATCAACTTTATTCACTTCGTCGACACGGATGCCATACTGCGGGCAGTGGACTATCAACTGAAGCCTGGCGGCACATTTGCGGTGCTCGCGTTCTGTCAAGTATTCGTGCTTGACCAAAACGCCCGACAGGTATGGAATCAGCTCTGGAATGCCGTGTGTCATAATTCCACACTGCGACAAGGGCACGACAGCGTGTATGAGACGCTCTGGTACAAAAAGGCCGCATGTGGCTACGACCATTTGCCACTTCCCGAGTCCATCTTCGAGCCTGGCGCGGTGAGGTTCAGAAGCGGGTCCAAGGACAACTGGCCTGATGCTTATTTGGCCAAGAATGTTTCGGATCCTTTGGAATCGGGGTGCGGGAAGAATGATATATTGATGACCGATGTCGACACTGAGGACTGGAAAGTCGAAGTTGGGGTATCGGAACTGCGGAAATTGCTATACTCTGTCATCCCATTCGAAGAGACAGACGAGGTAGCAGCCTTGTGGAAGCAATTAGAGGATGAACTGCAAGATCGCAGAGTAGAGTGCCTTGTTCCTGTGACTGGCATTCTGGCGACGAAGAAGAGATAGGACCGCGGGTGCTTGGGAATAGTGCGAGACCTGCCTGTGTCGCGGCTCAAGCCCATGCTGCAGGCATCTGATAAAGGTATCGTTAGCATAATTTCACAAATTGATACCGAGACGCGTCGTGGTGGGATGCTGAGTCAGAGAGAAGATTAGGCTGTCGACAGTAGCCAACCCAAGAGCTACAGCGGATAAGTGCGGGAGCCAAATCCAGGAGCAGTCACCTGTCCAGCTTTCCGTCTAAGGATGACTGTTTGTTTCATCATATAAAAGGTGCAGAGATACATATGAGCATAAACAGCATTCTTACCTTGTGAGCCGCACGGGACTGCTGAAAACTTCAGCAACAAAAACAACTGCAAGGTTTGGCCAAGCTGACGGTGGTGAGTCTAAGAAGTGATCCGGATATCTTCAATAATCCATCTCAATAGTCTCGTTCTGTTGGTCGTCCATCTCTCGAGCTAAGCGACGATGAGTGACAGATCCTTCGATCGGGTCTTTGTTGTTGATATAGCCTTCCCATTTACGCTTATGCCGCTGGTCGTACGGGACGTCCCGCGTTCGTTTGCGTTTTCTAGATCCAGTAGAACTCGAAGTTGCTTCACTGCGCCCACTCTGCGAATGCTGGCGTTGCTTGGGTGAAGGTGGCGCGAGCGCGGGTCGGGAGTCCTTGCGCTGAGCAGTTGCGAATGCAAGCAATTCGTCCTCCAGGCTGGAAACGTCTGAAACAGGCGACGCGGCTCTCCCGTCTTGCTCAGCGATGGCTGCCTTTGCTTCACGTTCTTCTTGTTGCTGTAATTCCTGGGCGCGCTTCATTTGCCAGAGTTCTGTACGTCGGAAAACAGCAATTTGCTCGTCTGTGAGCGTTCGCTTGACGCCATCGTCGTAGTAGCCCAATTCATCGTCTGGCTCTTCGTACTCTAGCTCAAAGTTCAGTGCCTTTTGTGCATCCACAAACCACTCATTGGGTTTCGTATCATCGCCGAAATGCATAAGCTGGAAATGAAGGAGATTGTCCTTACATGTAGTCAGTACTTACCTCTCTGCCCTATTGTGAAAGCGCCAAGTATACCTCGGTGATTTGTGGCAGTGATTTTTTGAATTTGTTGCGCGCCTTTGAAGCGCGAGATTTCTCGTTCTTTCTCAGCCTGCTCCGCGGCTGCTGTCGTGTATCATCACTCCCATCTGCCATTTGGTGCAAGCGGCCGCCTCGACTTCTGCAGTGCGCCAGATGTGCGTTGAATGTGTTTGATAGCTGTGGTTGTTGATTGCAGGAGCGAGCACGCGACAAGAGAGGAAAGGACTGAGAGCGCGAGTCATGAGCGCGCTAAGCCTGTTCCGTGCCCTTCTGCGAATCCGAGATTTAGCGTCGATCTTCGCGATGCGGTCTGCTTACAGGATCCATGACGTGGTTTGTTTCTTCATCACATGCGGCGCATTTTGGCCTTTCGCGCGCACCGGGGCATTAAAACCCCGTGCACTGCTGGGCGCGAAGGAAGTAAGCGTCATTGTGGAAGGCTTGCGCCTCGCGTGTCTACAGTATAACATTGCTCGAGAGCCGCATCTATCAACGCTCATAATCTGCAACAACATCTTCCTTGGAGCTGCACAGCAGGGGTGACTCTGCATACATCTGCCCAAGATGCCTACTCACGATCCAGTCCACGTGCTGGACGACTACTACCTGGCGATAACACTCCTGGTCACGGTCGCCTACCAGTTGATTGGCTTCGCGTTTGCTTTCACCTTCAAATTCGACAAGCTCACAGATTTCATGGGCGGCACCAATTTCGTGTTACTCGGAATCCTGACACTGGCACTTTCGGGGACCACAAATGCGCGTCAAATCATCACATCTCTGATGCTGATGCTATGGGCAGCTCGCCTCTCCGGATTTCTCCTGTTCCGAATCTTGAAGACCGGCAAGGACGACAGATTCGACGACAAGCGAGACAAATTCTTTCCGTTCCTCGGCTTTTGGGTATTCCAGATGTTCTGGGTTTGGACAGTCTCGATGCCAGTTGTCATCCTGAATAGCCCCAATGTACTGCAGTACCGACAGCCCAGCTTCGGCAAGGGCAGCGACATCTTTGCCATAATCTGGTTTGCGCTCCATTTTGGCCTCGAGGCGCTGAGTGATATTCAAAAGTATCAATTCAAGCAGGGTGCAGGAAGTCAACCCGGTGCAGTGAACAACAAGGGGTTCTGGAAATATTCGAGGCATCCAAACTACTTTGGCGAGATCATGGTTCAGCTTGGTATGTTGACTGCTGAGACCACGACCAATAATACCCTCTGACAGATACCAGCGATCTATATCATTGCCATTACGCCCGCATCGTACGGAACTGTGCCATCTGGTTCAGGAGCATATGCGGCCTTGTATGCCTCCATCGTAGGCTTCATCTTCCTTACGACACTGCTTCTATTCGTGAGCGGCTTGACACTTCAGGTAATGAAATCCCCCAAGAGACAGATCGAAGCCTCAATCGCTGACACGAACATACAGGAACGTCCTGGAGCCAAGAGACGCTATGAGAAGGGTACTGGCTGGCACGACTACGAGAAGTATCTGCAAGAGACCAGCATCTTATTTCCCATGCCACCGGCTATCTGGCGGAATCTTCCGGTCATTGTGAAGAGGACCATAGGATTGGAATTCCCAATCTACGTCTTCGACCCTGCGAAACACGCCGACCAAGACGCCGTGAAGCAGAACCGCGCAGAACAGGGACAATCCGGAAGTGAAGGAGGCCAGCACAGACAAAGCACCGAACCCTTGAATTAAACCCTGACGACTGACCCGACGATGTTACGAAGGATTTGAGCGTACAGCGACCACAAATACCCACATAGACACTAATTTCTGCTGCTTTTGTTAACTGTATAAGATCTGTAATTGTATTTTCCGACAATTTATTCGATGGCTCACCGCTCACCACTTCTCCATCATGGGTCGAATATCGATCTCGTTCGTGAAGCACCTTCGACTTTGAAGATGGAGGTCCCAGTAAGTCTGCGCAATTGCCTCGGGATCGATTGTCTCCTCAGGCTTCTTGTCTTTCAAAAAGTCCTTGCCCCACGGCGTATCAATCGCGCCATCAACAATAGCATGCACCACATGAATGCCCTTGGGCCCGAACTCCTTAGCAGCAGAGATGGAAAGTGCCCGTAGACCATGTCGAGGCACACACATGACCAGTGATCCGGGATTCGCCTTGACAGCAGCAGTCGAGCCTGTGAAGAAAAGGCTCGGAGGCGTTTGTGGGTTGCTCTCTGCATGCTTGAGCAAGAGAGGAAGGGCACTTTGCGCAAAGGATAAAGCACCTTTGCTGTAAAAGAGATATCAGTGAGAACACACGCATTCCACAGTACGGATAACTTACACACTGACGTTCAACCCGCCATCCAAGTCTTCCATGCTAATATCCAGCAATGGTTTCCGGATGAACCTGCCTGATGCATTGAAGACTGCGACTTGGGTAGGAACGTTCGGGAACTCCTGTTCGATCTTGGCGAAAGCTGCTCTCACACTATCTTGCTTCGACAGATCTGTACTGATCCCCAGGGCCTTCCCGCCGCTCTTGATGATTTCCTGCTCCACTGGTCCATAGCTCTCTGGTTTGCGTGCGAGGAGAACGACAGTATATTCCTTGCCAAAGCGACGAGCGACGGCTGATCCATTGCCACTACCGACGCCTGCGATGATCGCTAGCTTTTGTGAAGACATTATTCGATGGCAATATTCGGAGAGTATTGAGGTGCGATGGCAGCTCTTAGGCAAGGGTGGGGTTTATATGGCGCTACCGTCCGCGGTATACCACAGCTTTGTTCACTAATCGGTGATTACCGCTTAGGCTCTGAACATTTCGACATCAAAGGCCAGACTGCAGACAATCCCTGATTGATGGCCTCTTTTGGTAAGCTGACGAAGGTGTAATGCTTCGCAATGTGAGTTGTAGTTGTTGCTGCATGTGATGCCTCAGGCTCGGAAGTGAGCTGACTAATGCTTCGGCAGTCCGTTCCTGCGACCAGGATATACACCAAGGAACATTCTGACTTGTGGGTCACCCTCAACGTGGAATCCGAGTAAAGTCGCAAACAGCTTCGCACATATTCGCGAAACCGATCTCAAAGCTGACGACAGAGTGTCGAAAGTCTCCATTGCGAAATCATGACGTTATCAAGCCTGACCGCACCTCTCCTTGCCGGGCACAGAGGTGCATATTTGGAGACATATAGGCAAGGACCACGCGGCCGATGAGAATGCCTCCTTCTCCCGCTCCAACCCACGCAGAGATCACGACCTTTTTTCAAAGACTCCTTCCTCCTTCAGCGAATGCCAGAGAGGTACCCTTCCTCTGGCACAGTCCACGGCATCCCTTGTACAATCCGTCTCTCCGAAATACAACGACTGTTGTGCTGAGCATCACACCGACGGATGGCTTCTATGCCGCGAACAATGACCCAATGCGTCCGTCAGCACCATTGTGCTTTCTGCACAGGCCTTGGAACCTTGAGCGTAGAGCACTAAGACGAGGCTCACTTGTACTTGCGAGCCATGCCTCTTTCGATGAGCATTTGACAGTAGGCTGGAATGTCTCACTCGCTCGAAGACTCAACCTAGACTTAGCAGAAGCTGTTTGTATACAAGGATACAAGGACAATCCCGATCGGAAGATTGGGCTTGTAGCCAGACTCCAGCAGCCTTTGCCCGTTCAAGTCTTGTCTCAACAGCTCAAGCATGAGTTTCACGGAGCTGGAGAGCTACATCAGGTAGAGAGCAGCGATGTTGTTGCTCTTGAGACTGGATCAGCGTCACCTTTGCGCATAGTGGCCATCATGAACGCCTTTCATGCTGAAGAAATTCAACGTGTCCTACAAGCTGCACGAGAAAAAGCCTGGATTGATCCCGAAGCAGACGGGAGCTCGATTCTGTATCTGACCGGAGCTGCGCGCGACTATGGACTTGCAGCAATCAAGGAAGTCAGCATGCCAGCGTTCTGTGTCGGGCACCGAGCCTGCGAAGAATGGGGCATACGATTCCTCGCAGAACAACTCAGGGAAGAGTGGCCAGACTTGGACGTTGTTGAAGTGCTTGAGGAAGAAGAGCCCGTTGCGCCCAGAACGAAGAAGATCGACAGGCTATCCTCTGACAGTCCAGTCTCCGCTAATGTGGCGACAAGCTGAGGCAATGAGATATCCAGATATTCGGATCCAGCACGAGCTTCTTGAGAGGCGAAGAGCATCAAGCCGTGATCGAGTACACTGGAAGTCACTTACCGAAAGAACATTTGCACATTCTGATCTGTGGCCGTTGGACATGTACAACGCATCCCGCGCAGTCCTCAATCTACGCAAGCACAAGTCAACAACGTCATCGCGATGCGATAGAGAGACTTGAGCAACAACACTCTTCCCTCCACACCAAATTCTTCACCGGCATTCGATAAAGGAGATCGGACCAACCATCATGACCGATAATCACAACAAACCTTGCACTCTCTGCGGAACTTCTCGATCAGTCCTCGTCCGCTGCCAAATCGACGATTCACGCAAATGGCACATGGTGTGTCCCGGCGAGTGCTGGAGAAGCGTCTCTGGAGGACAAGAAGACGCTCGAGGATTCGAAAAAGAATATCCTTTCTACCGCTACGGTGGCATGTGGAAAGTATGATGAGCTGCTCTCTTGACCGGTTTTTCCGTGCTGATATCATATGGCTGAAGAATAAACATTCCGATGGACCCCTAAGCGCTAAGAAGCCAGAGAAGGTGAAGAAGCGGCAGAGAGAAGAGAGAGCGGGACGAGAGAAGGACGAGACAACGTCGCATGAAGTCAAAGAGCACGCGGAGTCGGAGGAAGGACCGTGAAGTAGGTTCACCATTCCCGGCAGGAATTTGTCACCTCCGGTTCTACCTCGAAGTCCCTTCGATGCTTTTGGGGGCGCAGCAGTCCCTGAGAGCCTCATCTTCGCGCAAAGACTTCCTGATATGCCATACAGTGTTACCTCGTTATATGCATATATGAATAGAAGCATAAACCGGCTATAAGCATGCAGCCCCTTGCAAGAGCCTTTTTTGGCAGGGCCGCAAGCATAATCTGGTTTGTAGCATTATGCTTATAGAGTTAGAGATTTTCTGTTGTGCATGCTTATAGATAGGTAGAAACCTCTATCGATTTGACATTAACCTGCCGCAGAAACTATCTCAGAACGTGTCGGCGCTATCGCAGGATGCGTAGATTCCGTCTTGTTTCTGTTTTCAAAGGGGATTAAGAGCCTTTCCGCTACCGTGCTACGACCCTAGAGCTTAATTCACCTCACCGGCGCCAAGACTGCCTTACTCAGCAAGAGGAGTGGACTGATCAGGTGGTTTCGACAAACCGCGTATATGCATAACCCCCCTATAAGCATGAGCCCTCTCGCAAAGACCCACATGCTTATAACGAGGTAACACTGTAGGTGTATGCGGACGAAGCTCCGATGCGCTGTCCAGGCTCCTGGAGACGATGCGATCCTGATGATCTTGATGGCAGGAAACCCACTGGTGGCTCTGGACCCAATCGTTAGCCAACGTGAATTTCTCACGTTGACAGGAGGCTGGAACAACTGTTAGAACCTCACCAGTCATACATCCATCAGTAACACATGCAAAGAGCGAAGATATCACAATGAAGATCTCTGAAGCGGAGCGGACGAAGCCGACATTATGAAACGCGTGAAGCAAGGGTCTGTAGTTTTACTACAAGCGGAAGCAAAATCGCTCACATCAGCACAAGTAAGCGACCACAACTGCTGTAAACGGCGCGGTGCAGTACATCCTACAGAGTACATCCCAGAGCCGCAGTCAGCTCATTCCCGCTTAGCCTCCTAAGCGGCTGGACCTTGATGGTTGGGCAGCTTGACCCTATGTCGTGAACTCTACCTTTGGTACAACCAAGCCACAAACGCAAAGTGCATATCCCGAGCCATCTGCACATAGACGAGCCGTGTCGCAGTCTAACCCAAACTTTCATCGCGCGGAGAAGTAACGGCCCCGAAACCCTTTCCCTCGCGCGAGAGAGAGCTTCGCGCGCGGCGCAATGTACACCAAAACCGCCAACGTCTTTTTTTCCTTTCTCATCATCAATCCAGATTGGTGGTATTGAACAAACGGTTACCTGTATCCGTGCCGCCACGGCCAGTGTATTTGTTCGCAGAGGTACGGAGCGCAACGATCGACAATCTACCGTACCCCAACAGTGCCTGCGTTAAGCCGCCTGTTTCCTTCTGGATCGCTTGCTCCTGAACCACACCGGCAATTATCACTATGCGTGCTGGAAGGTTGAAGGTTCGGATATGGTTGACGTGGTCGGCGATGCTCTTTCCGCTGTTGATCACACTGTCCACCACAATGATATTCTCTTGACCCTGAATGTGCCCAAGTTTGATGTCTGATGGTTGCGAGGCATGGAGGAATTTGGCTTGTGGGAAGGCATCGTGCACGCCGAATGCCATGGGTTCACCGCCGCGCATGAGAGCGATGATTGTCGTTTTGTTCTCGTTGTGAAGACGATGGCCGGCCGTGTAGCCGCCTTGTACATGAGACATTTTGAATGATTCTAGGCCGATGAGGTCTGGCAGGTACTGGGTAGCCAGGTACCAACCAATTTTGCGATGAGCTTCTTGCAGAGCACGGCCAGAGACTGTCGCGTCGCGTGTTGCAGACATGAGAATTTTGGCCGCGTTCTTATCGCCAGCATTGTGGAGTTCGAGGCTCCAATGCTGAGGAGTTGAGAGATGGAGTTGAGCAAGCGTGCCGACTTGCAAATCCTTGACTTGCAGCTTGTTGCCGTTGTTTGGGAGAAGCACCTGTCTGAAACCGCGGTCTAGCTTTTCTGCTGCAACTTCGGAGGTCAGAACTGCCTCCATTGATCTGCTGCGCAAGTTTGGAGCACCAACGACAACGAGGCTTTCATCCGCTTCTTGCAACATCTTGATATCGAGCGGGCTGTCTCCGATTGCAATGACATGGGTATGGTAATGCTGTTGCAGCCGCTGCACGATAGCTGCCTTCACATCGGGCGAGACAAAGTAGCCATTGTCGAGCTGTCCGCCTCCGATAACAACAATGTCGCGCGTAAGTTCGTCACGCTGGAGCACGAGTTCCCATACACGACGTAGACCACAAGTAACGACCACAACGCCGACGTTGTTGCAGCTCGCTGCCTTCTTCAACAGTGTCTCCACTTCTTTGTAGAGCGAAACTGTCTTGGCTACTTTCTTGCAAGTCTGCAAGAATGTCTCTGGGCTGTACTGTTCGTAATAGAGCATGGCTTGTTGAAATGCCGCATCAGAATAACCGAAGTTTGTTGGTTTGAACATGTCGTTGAGCGGATCTTTGTTGTTGGGAAGTGTATCCCAGAACATCTTACCCGTGTCGTGTGGACCAAGTGTCTTGTCAGCATCAAGCACGAGCATGATGTTGGGCGTGGAAGTGGCGTGCGCTGCCCGAAGTTGCTCGTCAAGTTGGGAAAGAGCTCGCGCGGTATTGACATGTTTGATCTCTTCTGCCGGAACAGCAACGAACTCGGTCAGCAGGCGCGCCACAGCTGGTCGCAGAGAGAATGGTTGGTCATCTGAAGCGCTGCGAGGCTCTTGCACGCTGGTGAAAAAGATGCGATTGGTAACGCACAGCTCACGTAACTTGGTCATCTCGCGCTGCATGTGTTGCTTGATGTGCTTAACCGAGTCATCAGCTCGATCTTTGCGGCTCGCATGTTCGCGGCGCTGCTTTCGAACACGCTCAGCCGAGACATCAAGATACACAATGTGAGTGTACGTCTCAAGGTCAGCTGGTGTATCAATCGAAGTTGGTTCGGCCTCCGCCTCTGCCCAAAACATCAGATGTCCGGTAACGACGCCTATTTTGCCACTTTGAGCACATTGCGACGCTATCTTTCTGATAGCGGCTTCGCGTAGACGAGACTTCTCCCGTTCTGGTAACTGCTTGAATGAGTCTAAGCTGCCATCAGTAACAAGTGCGAGGATTTCGGAGCCGTCGTAGAAGGCATATTGATTCTCATCCAATGAGGATTTGAGTTCATCCTTCAAGTAGGTCTTGCCGCTACCAGGAACGCCGTAGAGCCCGACGATCTTGGGCTTGCTTGTCGCCATGTTGCAATCGATGTGAATTGTACTATCGATGAGATGTGGAAGCGCCTCTCATCTGCAGATGATGGGGAAATATACCTCTCCAACAGCATGTTTGCTGTGAAGCTTGCTGGTTCTGCCTACAAGCGTGCATGGACCTTTGCGCCTTTGTTGAGACGTTGTTGTCACTTTCGAGTGAGAGGCATCCGCAAACACGAGCCGTGAATTGCGCAGGGACAAACTAGAAGGATCAATGTCACGGCGCCGACGTTCACGCGAGTACCAGCCGGCTGACGAGCTCCTTTCAGGATTTGATGACGCCGCGCAGTACCTCCTAGTTCCTGTGCCCTTGCCCTGACAATCCTGCAGACGATGGAGCTCAGAACAGGAATAAGGGAGGCGGGCAAGTATCGCTGTGTCACCAGGTGAAAGGCACATACTCGGTGCCGAAGCTTTCAGAGCTCGAATCGTGTCTCAGATGTGAGGGATGGATGATGATAGCCATTGACCTCCACCTCGATGGCAGAGACCCGTGGGCTCTCCGAGACACTATTGATTCCACGAAGGCATTCTTCGCGACAAAGAGGTTGGTTCTTCTGAGCGCCTGCTCGTCAAAAAGTACCGACTGTATGGATGCGCAGTGACTGCGCATACCATGGGGCAGCAACGTTGTCTGACAGCGATCTCCAGTCTAACGCCGGTTGGTAAGACCAATGGCTAGGCGTAGCAATGTGTGCAAGTGGACACCTTGGGGGGCGGGGAGCTGTGAAGAGACTCCCCCGAACAGCAGAAATCCTTCCCGTGCCCTAAGCTTCCGCCTTGCGACCCAAATTTCTGTCGACTTGTGGCGTTTGGTTGACGCCAAGGTCGCGATGTGCGCCCGATCGTTGGACAGATCTTGATATCATCGCCGTGCCTTGTCGCTTCCGTGAACCTCATGTGCTTGATACTGCGTTGCGGCTGAACTTCGCCCGACTGCGTGCTTTTCCATGCTGCCCATTGTCACTGGACCTGCTCGAAGATCGCCCAAGTAGCGTCAGAGGTATAAGCCGGATGTCGCGGAGCTGCCCAGCAAAAGCACCTTCACCCGTGCCTGGGCGCCTCGGCGAAATAATGCCGTTGTGCTATCTCGTTTGGACAGGCAGTTGGGTGTCGTTGTTGCGACAAGCGAGAGGAAAGCCAAACTCCACATCCGAGCCTCCGCAAGAGAGTTATTTGCGCGGTAAAGGCCAAGTCTGGAGGCGCGGTGATCGTACCACAGGTGTGACACGAGCTAGCGTTCGGAGCTGGCGATGTGGATCCTCCCTCTTCAGCGTTGTGGACCCTCTGCTGTCGAAAGGAGCCAGATGCGGACGCGGCTGAGGTGGAACACACCTGGCCTGCTGGTGACCAGTTGCGTGCTCCGTACCATTTGATGAGTGCCATGCCGTGCATGTATCCTCGTGGGACTGAATACATGAACCCCGTGTGCCACCTTCCACTGCCGACTCCAAACATCCCTTCATCTCATTGACCTTGAAGAATTGTTTGACCATGTCGCAACACTATCCGACACACCGCTCACGCACTTGTGAGCCGTATCAGACCTCGGAATATGATCGTGCCATCCAACAGGCTGCCGAAAGAGAACGTATTGCCAACGGACAGTCATGTCGTGCAAGTGAGTCTCGAGCTCACGACGTATCAAATCAACCACCACGCCTCCCGGGCTTCAACGACCTCTTCGCATCCAAGCTTCTCATCAATCCCGACCTGGGGGACAAGCAGGCTTTCGTGGACGATCGACGCGATTCCGTCGTCAGTCAATTCGATCGCAAGAACAGCAGACTCTCTCCAATCCCCAACCACCGCTCTCAGCAGACCGCACGAGGCAAACCAGGCTCCATTTCGATACAGAGCTTGTGCTCACCGCAAGACGACTCGTTGCCCAGCCCAACATCATCCCTGAGCACAAGTCCCACGGTATCGCAAGCTTCCTCTTCATCTCTCATGCAGCCAGCTCATCGCTCTCAACCCACATCACCATACGAGCTGCCACCAGGCTTCTTCGGCACATCAGAGCTGGCTCCAGCAACATATGTGTACCAAGCCGCCTCATCATATGAGGGTATTGCGTACATTCCAGGCCGAGGTTCCTGCCACATGTACAAGGGCGGCTACTCAATTCCCACGCACATCTTCCAAGACCCACTCAACCTCACCCAGAGCAAAATCCTTCGCAAGAGGCTGTCCGTTGCGTGCGTGACCTGCAGAAAGAAGAAAATCAAGTGTGAACCTGGCCCAGATGGTTGTCTGCAGTGTAAGAAAGGCCAGCGGCAGTGCAAGATGTGAGTTCTACCAGTTCTGGCTGTGTCTCTTGTGACCAAGCTAACGAGAGTGTAGTGAGCCAGCGAAGCGTCGAGCTAAGGCTGCCGCCGCTGGATGTTCAGGCTGAACCAAGTCCAGCGCAATATCTTTCCCGGGGGGGTCCTCTTGCCCGTCGTTCTGGGCAGAGCAAGTGACTTTCCGTAACAAATTAAAGCACATGACTGTGTATGCGGGATCGCAGGCGCCGCGCCGCAACACGCTCCGGGGCTCCTGCCTCGGTCTGTCTTCTGTTCGGCCGTATATCCATCGCGATCTTCTCTGAACAGTCGACACTTCTGCGCGGAGCACGCGCATGGCTTGCGCATGGTCATGGCGATGCGCCATCCCCACCGTGGTGTCCGGGCCGCTCGAAGCCATTCAAGCGTGATGTGAAGCCTTGCGCAAGCGCCCGATGGTGGCTGCCCGAGAGCTTCGAAGCATAGTGGTTGTTGCAACGAGCGAGTCATCGAGCCCGAAGGATTCGGGCCGAACTGCAGACCAGTAGATCATGCTTGGAAGCGTCGAAGTGCTGCGTTGCACTCTTGTCACAGAGTGCAAGGCGTCGATGACATACAGGATATGATGGCCCTCTTGGTCAACAGGGCGCTGATGGAAAGGTCAGCGAGGCCAATGGAGGTGAAGGGGTGCTATTGGTTGTGCCGTCGCAGGACTGAAAGGGGTAGAACGAAAATCTTTTGCGGTGGATCAGTTCAGTTCTTTCAGAGTCCAAAGGAGGCCGCATGTCAAGTAGAACGCTGGGAAGACAATCCAGAAGCAACAGTCTGCGCCCGCCTGCATCTTGCGCTCAAGCTCGCACAGTCGTGCGATACCTTGTCCACTGCATCTGTTCCGCGCTTTTCGTTTCTCCCATCGACAGAGCAGATACGACCGCATCTGACCTGCTCCGTCGAGTGCGGCGCGTCTCACCGCCTTAAGATAAGAATGCATGATGCTTCCTTGTCGACGAGTCTTTGCGGTCACCGAGCAGTGTCGCAAAGATAGGAGTGTCTCCTGATGGACCTGCTGCCATGACATCGACACGCCTTGTCGCCACGGCGTCAACACAAGCAGGCTCCTCCCATCCACGACCTGTCACTCGCGGACGCAGCCCGCCTTCTCATCACGTTTGGCCCTGGCCCGACCGATACCACGCGTTCCCGTCGCCGCTCGTCCTCGTAATGCCTAGCTGAAGAGTCCAGGCTGACACGAAGTGTTGACCAGGTCCAGGAGGGTGCTTCTCCATCGTCAGCAGTCTTCAGGGCGTATCTGGTTAGGAAGCGTCTTACCTTTGCACGATCTGGACAGACCTGTCGCGGTCAATACGTTATTCTGGAGGAGCGGGGGATCATGGTCTACGTACTCCGTTTGACTCATCGATGTCCGTCGAGACTGGGGCAAAGGCGCTGTTGCAGAACTGCGGCGGCGTTCTCGCGAGGGCATCTTCGCACATTTCTCGTCGAACTACGAAGTGACCGCACTTTTTCCACGTGATTATGTTGCTGAAGCACATGTTTGCGAGGGTGCCGACGGTGCGCGACGTCGACGTAATTTAGTTGACACTGGGCAGGAGACCACGAGGCAGATCCGCCACATGTAGAGCTCGGCTCTTGAAATTGCAGCACCTGGGATTGCCGAAGTACAAGCAGCGAATGCAAGTCAACGGCACAAGTCAGCGCCGTGCCGCATTCAGCAGCGTAGCACGTCCGATGCATCGCTCGAGAACTTTGGCTGCGATCAGGGGGCTGGAGCCGCGATCACGACGGCTCCCATTTGCAGAGGTTCAGCAGCGTGACAAATGCGTTGAGGTGGCAGTACACACGACGTTGGGTGTGACGAGCGTGTCCAGGTGGTGGGAGCGAGTTGATTTTCGTAGCAGTACTTTGCGGCACTAGCTGTTCGTTCGGCTTTGCCTGTCATGATTCAAAACTTGGCCAATAGACCTGCCGTTGATGTGTCGAAGTGCACAGGTCGGGCATGTGCACAGTGGGCGTGCTATCGCCGCGCATGCATCGATCCTTCGTGGTGCTGAAGTGTGCTGGAGACAGAGGATGACGTGCAAGCCCGTGGCCCCGTCGGTCGAAGTGCCCGCGCGCGCGTCCGCCAGTGGTGGGATGGCCAATCCTGAGGCGTGACGAGCGGCCGGCGAGGTACAGAGTACGTCGCTCCTCGCGGTCGCCGGTCTGGTCTGGCGAAAGGACGACGGCAGACGTGTGGACTGCACCGTCGGTGAGGAGTGGATGCGGTCTGGCGGTGGCTTCGACAGCACGGCCGTTCTCCATGTACCGCCAAGGTTGGTGCGCAGCAGCTCCGTTGCCCGCCGACCGTGCCTGTCGAGCTTAAGATGGAATACATAGCGCCAAAGCAGGGGGAAGGGCTCCGAAGGAAGGGAGGCCGCGGCAGGCAGGCCAACGAGTCGAGCAGCGTGATGGACATCGATGCAAGCCTCTCGCACTGCGGTGCTGGCGACGGGCAGACGAAGGTGCAAGCGGCGCCAATGCAATCGCGCCGTCGCTCGTGCTCCACGATCCGCGATATTGCCCGGCGTTCCAGGCACCAACATGATGCTTATAGGTACCTACCGGTGCTATCGCCGGCTGCAACGCGAGACGCGGCACAGCACTCCTACTGTATCCGGGCGTAATCCAGGCACAGATACCCGATACCTGGTTGTCATTCTCCGATGCTCCATCGTTGGTGGTGCATATCGCTGCAGCTCGTCACGGCACTTGGGCTGCTCCAGGGCAACGGCGCATGGATGCTTGGTGTCGGTGAGCGGAGGCGCGTGTGCGAGGAGACCATGCAACGACGACGCTGCAGAGACCGTGTTGGGCGATGGCGCGTCGTTCGCTCATGTGGTGGTTGCCAAGCACCTACAGACCCAGCTGGAGCGTCTGGCCTGCTGGAGGAGCCCCGGGAAGAAGGAAGGAGCGGTGTGGAGCAGCTGCCTACTTCCGAGAGCCGTCTGCCACTCACGCCGCAGGACTTCAATCCATCTGCATCTCGCGGACATCGAACATCCTGGTTGATCGATTTGCGACGGCGACATGTTCACGCCGTGGTCCATGTTGGCAGCGCCTGGTGGAGGACGGGAATGGTGGCACGAGTGCGCAAACGGGGATCACTGTGCTGCTGCGTGTCTGCACACACGCTCTGCGGGCAAGGCTTGACAGCGGCAGGCAGGGCAGGGCAGCAGTGGCGGCACTTGTCGCCTGCACTTCCCTTGCTCGCTCGAGGCCGTGGCGAACCCCTCCCATCAGCAGAAGAAATGCCACCGGGCGTGCAGCCGGCCGAGTGAAGGCAGCACCGTCGGCGGTGCATGACTCGTGCAACACGGCACCGACGCGAGTGTGGCCCTGCCCCGATTCACCGATGCACCATGCGTTGCACTTCACAGCAGCAGGAACCGTGTGGCGCGGCTGCGGGAATCGTCGGCATGCATCGAGAGTGGAGGGCGCTGCGGTGTGTGCTGCTGTCGCTCTGCCGTCGTATCGACGCTTTCGTCCAGCCTAGCGACGCGCACATGCGCATCGCTGCGAAATCCTCGCTCGCACTGGCCCAATGAAGAGAGTGCAACCCCCCCCCGGAGCCTGCCATACCCTACCCTGCACCGCGCAGCTAGCCTTGTCGCCTGGGGACGCTCAAGTCTGACGAAAAGCCAATCCTCTCACCACCAGCGACAGCCTTTGGTCTCGATGCACGACCTTTGCTGCGCTTCCTCTCCACGGCTTCTCTTGTGACAAACTCCTGTAGCTATATAGCACGCTCCGCGAGCCACCGCACTTGGCACACCTGCGCTCCGCCGCGTCGCGAGCGCCAAGTCATGGCTCCGACCGCAGGCTTCCTGGCCCAGTCCGAGTCGAAGAAGCGCTTTTTCGACCGCCTGGGCCTCGACGAGCGCAACAAGCTGCATCGCCACCTCTACTCCAACATGAAGGTACGTCTGCCTGCGCGACGTGCCAAGTGTTTGCTCGCTCACGCTCACGCTCGCCGCCCAGGCTGAAGCGGTCGAGGGATGGAGCCGCATCTCAGCGAACCGCAATGCCCTCATCCCACAGCTGCGCGACGACCCGTCCATCGAGCCGCCCTACTCGTTTGGCCAGGTCGACGAGGAGGCCGTCCAAGAAGAGGTCATGCACATCTTCAAGAATGCCCGCCGCGACACCAGGATCATGTACGAACTCGGCCGTGACCGCGAGGGCGATGTCGAGGAGAACTGGATCATCCGATGGCTCCGTCAGTGCTGCAGAAATCCCTTGGCTCAAGTCCCATGCACCACCCGCTGACCCTCGAGCAGTATGGCACGTCTTCCGCTACCGCGACGACCGCAACGTCGCTGCCGGCCGCCGTCGCACGACTGCCGATGGCGATGAAGTAGATGCCGCCTCCGATGCAACTTCCGAACCTGCATCTGCTGCCGACGTCGTCCAAGCCGCCACCCTGCACGCTGCTGCCACGCGCAACGCTCGCTCACCACCAACAACAACTCAGCATGTACCGGCACCAGCACCAGCTCCAGCACCCGTACCACTCTCGGCGCCGCAGCAAGCCATCACCGAATCCCCGGATACTCCCGGATCGGTAGCGGGGACCAGGTTTTTCGATCCTGTCCGAGACGCCTTCCGCACGTGAAGAAGGCAACCTCGATCCAACATCCAACTGCCAAGCCATGCGACACCTCACGGATACATCGAACGATTTTGCCAAGAGGGTCAGCTCGGCTCGGCCGGCGGAGACTTCACGTGCTGCCGTCCGCTGTTCGACCGTCCTTATCACCTTGCCAGGACTTCGCCCTCTGCGCCGCTCCACTTGCTACTGATAGTCACGGTCTCACCTGCAGACGCGTAGCCTCACGGTGCTCCTTTCATCTGCTCGGACCTCTCACTACCAACCTCAAGTCGAGTACGCAAGAGCGGTTTCCACTCCGTGGCTCGCAGCAATGTGCGATGTCCCCATGCCGGCCCTCGCATTATGCATACTTCACTCTCGAGCTTTGCGATCACAGCACGCAAATTCGGGCCGGCGTCACGTTTCCGCAACGGCGCGATTTTGCAGATGACAAGCACTTTGTTCCATCTCTTCCGTGCCCACCATCGACTCCCACCTCGTGGGTTGAAGAATCCGGTGAGAACGGTGGCGACCAGTCATGGGCGCACTGCAGCAGAAGCCAATGGCTAGGCAGGCGATTGACAGCAATGTACATTCAAGCTATGTACAGTCACTGGCACATATACGTTCCGACTATCTTAAACTATTCAACCCGACAGGATGGTCAGGTCTCATCCTCAAACCTCGATCTGTAGCTACTCTAGATGCCCGAGGTCGCTGACGATGCTTCTCACGGATTGCCACTGGCAATTGCCTGGAGAGCGATCTCGTACAAATACGAATTGCGCCATCACAAGAGCTAGCGATGAAACTATGACCGGGACAACCCTGGGCGATTGTCACAATTTACAATACGGCAAATGCGACGCGAAGCCCAATATGAGCAATGTCAAGAAACAAGAGCGCCTCTATGCCCTGCTTTATGCGTGCAATACGTATGTGTGCGTTTGCACACTCATTGCACAACTGCGCCGATCTTGACTCCCGGAGCAGCCGAAATCCGTGTCCTACACTCATGCGGTTCACCTATGCATGTTTGCCGAGACATTCTTAAACGTCATGGCACTCGATGTTAGTTTCGACTGAAGCCTTGGGGACACAGGCTGCACCGCACTATCCGCGTATTGGGTTCGGCGGCGACTGTTTGATGATGCACACCTCTCGGCGCCAGAGAGTGCTGCAAGTCGAACAATTTATGCAAACGAGGGTCGGACCAATGAAGAAGATTCCGAAACCAATCCATATATATTCAAGCACAATTCGACGACTTTGTGGTAGACAATAAAAGCACTTCTCATTCGCGACTTTGGCCTTCTGCAATCATGGCCTCACTAGACCAAATCTCACAGCATTCTGGCTCGACTTCTGCCACTCTGCAAACTTTCCTGGGCGCAATACTACTAGCGGGCATATACGTAAGTTTCTCCAACGAACATTCACTGTCTTGCTATGTCTCCATGACACAGAGGCGTCTTTTGCCAAGTTCTGGCTGGAGTCATCGCAGCTTTACAACAACGTGCTGCGAGCGCATGCTTATCAACACCGACTCCTTGTAGTGGGTACTCACAGGAGGCCAACAGCCAGTGGGAGGCATACCGATCATCCAAATTGACCGCAACAAGAATGAGAGATCGTGGCGAGCATGGCGATCCACCGCTTCCGACTTCCAGGTGCGTCCCCAGGAGGTTGTGGAGAACGGTGAAAAGGTACCTGGCGGCATTTTCCAGGTCAAAGCTGGAGCTGGGTACAAAGTTGTGCTGCCAAACCATTTCGCCCACGAGCTCCGGAACAATCCAGATTTGGCTTTCGATCAAGCAGTAGAGAATGATTTCCATACCCACTTACCTGGCTTTGACGGAATGAAGGAGTCATCGAGGCGGGATGGCTTGATGGCAGATATTGTACGCATCAAATTGACGCAAGCTCTGGGCCTCCTCACAACAGACTTGGTCGATGAAACAGACTACGCCGTTAAGCTATGGCTTGGACATAGGGACGATTGGACCAATACCGTGCTCAAGCCCGGTGCTCTCGACGTGATTACCCGAGTTTCATCGAGAATCTTCGGCGGTAAAGAGCTGGCACGCGACGAGCAGTGGCTTGAGATCACAAAGAACTACACGATCTACGCCTTCCAGGCAGCCTACAAGCTTCACGAATGGCCGAAGGCTCTGAGGCCAATCGCAAACTGGTTCTTCGAGGACGATGCTAAGACGGCTCGTAAATATGTTGCTGAGGCAAGACGCTTGGTGACGCCACAAGTTGAAAAACGTCTGAAAGCTAGAGATGAAGCCATTGCCAGCGGTGTCTCAAGCAAGGCCCTTCCCGATGTGTTCTCGTGGGCACTGGACGTTGCTAAAGGTCGCCCAATCAATTTCGCCGAGACTCAGCTCGCCTTATCCATGGCTGCCATCCACACTTCCACCGAGTTGACTATGCGAGTCATGATAATGCTCTGCGAGCATCCCGAAGTCATTGAGCCGCTTCGACAAGAGATGATCACTGTGTTGAAGCAAGACGGATGGGCAAAGACGTCTCTTTACAAAATGAAGCTGCTGGACTCTTTCATCAAAGAGTGCCAGCGCTTCTCGCAGATGGCTATCGGTACGTGTGCATACCTCCCCCATTGCTGAACTCTCTGATTGCTAACCACCTCATCCAGCCTCAATGCACAGATACGTCACTAAACCCGTCACTCTTTCAAATGGAACCAGTAAGATTCCCCACTCACAGCCCAATGTATCTAAGCCAAACTAACTCGCATCCCTTTAGCCCTCCCAACAGGCACCTGTATCCTCGTCCTCGACAACGGAACCCAAAACCCCGAGTACTACTCCTCTCCAGAAAAGTTCGACGCCTGGCGATACCTCAAAATGCGCCAACGTCCCGGCGAAGAAAACCAACATCAACTCGTCACCACGGGAACAGATAACTTGGGTTTCGGCCACGGACAACATGCTTGCCCCGGAAGATTCTTCGCTTCGAATGAGATTAAGATCGTTCTGTGCTATCTTCTGATTCAGTACGATTGGAGGCTTGAACCGGGAAAATCTGCTTTGCCGGATTTGGAATTCGAGCATGTGCGTAATGCGAATCCGGGGACGGTGGTGCAGTATAAGAGTCGGGAGGCGGAGATTGATGTTTTGGATCCTACGGCTTGAAGGAGATTGGGAAGCGGGGAGGTTGGAGGCAGGGAGAGGATCTTATCGTGAATAGACAGAGGGTTGATTCAAATGCAAGTAATCTCTTGCCAAATTTACAGACAATAAATGTCGCTGGCGATGGAAGAACAGTCTACCGCCCGATACTCCCTCCCAATCAAATGTACCTAATGGCGAAAGTGTGTATCGTAGGCACCAATCAACTGAACGCCCCGTTTTGTCCCTCGACCAAACAGCTATCATAGCGCTACAATTTCTCGGCTATGCCCACGCCATACCCGTCCGAGGAACGCACTGAATACTGTTCCGTCGCGCGATGCGCGAAAGTCTGCGCTTGTTGCCAGAAAGCTGTTGAGGTCGAGATTGTCGTACCAACGATTTGTTGTTGCTCCGCAGCGAAGCCGGCTCCTTGTTACCAGCAGCAGCAGCAGCTAGGTTGACAATGTGTTGGTGGAACATGCTTAGTGGGTGATCTTGGAAGAAAGCTGGACTAGGAGGAGGAACAGCAGAGGATTCCTCGGGGACGCTCGAAGGAAGGTGGAAGTGAGTGTTGATGTGCATTCGTGATAGAGGAGTGGTTGGTGTCTTGATGGGCATCTCTTCGATTTGTGTTGGAACTGGTGCTGCCGAGACTGATGAAGACAGTACAGGCTCGTTGTTGCCGCTTTCGAAGGCGCGTTGGATAGCTTCCATGGTCGCTACGGTCTGCCGGTGGCTTTCCAATGAGCTTGCGTATAATGAGGTATGCCCTTTGACATAATCGCCAAATCCGAGAACCATGTCGCGGATGACGCACTGTTTCGTCGAGGTATCATCAATGCTTTGGCACGGGTTGCCGTCGTTGTCAAATAGCGTGGTCTTCTTCTCGTCCACGACAGCTGTTCCATCCGTTCCCGTCACGAAGATGGACTCTTCATCGCCGGCTACGCGAGACAAATGGATGTTGCCGACAAGCCGTTGGTTGCGCCATTTGAACGTAATGTCGGCGATGTCGTCTCCAGAATAGTCTTGCTCTTCGCGAATGGCCTCTATTCGGGATGCTTGGAGAGTGTCGGGTGCGCCGAACAATCGCACTAGGATATCAATCATGTGAAAACCCATGTCTTCCTGTTGAAGCGAACGTCAGTGATCAGAGCTACGGGGCAATGCTTCCGGAGGCTTACAGTAACACCAACCCCTGATGATCGCCAACTTGACCCAAGTTGTGGTATGTTGCGAGCCAGAACAGCGCGAAACGAAACGATCCGACCCAAAGCAGGCAGAAGATTCTGCAGCGTTCGATATCGAGGTTCAAACCGTCTTTGACACATAATACCAATGGGTACCGGGAGCTGCAGCAGCATGGTAGTCTCCTCCAGTGTCTTCGCGGCAGGCTTCTCCTTTAAAATCGGAATTCCAGCTTTTGAAAGAAGTGCAACGCATCTTGGATGCGCGTCGTGAGGCAGGGCGATGATTGCAAAGTCTGGCTGGGAACATGCTATCATGGCTTCGATGGTGCGGTATGCTGGAATGTCCGGATGGGCGGCACAAAATCTTGCCAACGAAGCTTCATTGCTCTCGCAGACGGCGACAACGTTGGCTGAGTCCGACCCATGGAGGCTGAGAAAGTGAGTCTTGTAGCCGCGATGGCCCAGTCCAATGATCGCAATTTGGTGTCTAGACGACATTTTGCCTTCCCGTGAATTGGATTGTTTGGTGTCCAGTGTTCTGTGTCTTCGTTGTCACTCGAGTTGCGCTCTTATAAAGAGGCATATTTGACTATGCTGCGCAAAGCCTCGTTCGTGACATCCGCAGACACATTGGCAATGTATTCATTGCAGCGACAGTCTCGTAATCCGCTCTGGCAGAAGATCAGCTTTTGTTGTGCAATCGTTCGCGCCACTTGATGCACACAGCTTATGCGAGGCACTCATGCTGACAGTTCGGCGCCGCCGCAAGTGGCGTTTGCCAAGACTGCTGTTGCTTTGCGCTGCCTTGTCAATATGGTTGTGTCGTGATGAATCGTACGCGAGTGCCGACGAATTTCAACGTGTTGCATTTGTTGCACTCAGAATCCCAGAGCTAGTGTACCACTCCGAGATCGAAAGGGAGACAAAATAGTAAGTCCACACGAGAATTGCACCGAGACCGCTGACCACTAGAAGTCCCTGACCGCCAGCCCTGGGCATCGGTCCTGTCACCAGAAGAACAATAATACTTGCTGACATGGAAGCTACAAAGAATCCCGTTAGTGCGAACGCGCAAAACGCAATGCTGAAGACAGCTTTCATGCCAGATACAATGAAGCTTCGGCCTCTCCACAACAGGAAGAGCACTGTCAAAAGAATACCAAGCGTAGCGGCGGTGGAAAGATAGAGACCGTGTTGAACATTTCCGAACTTGTCCAGTGTCGAGATTCTGGCCTGATCTGAGACAGTCGCCAAACCTGACACAATCTGATGAGGAATCGACAGTATGCTTTCCTCGTCAAAGTGGGGTACAGCGCCGGAAAAGAGTGAGAATGTCCACTGCATGCTGTCGCTGATTATAGTTGCCACAGATGAGCCCTGGATGTTGTAGATCAAAAGACCGGTGGTGACTATAGTACTCATGGTGATGCTAACGCCTTTTTTATCCTCTTTGGCAGGGCTGGAAGCAGGCACGGCTGCTGATGAGACCGGAAATGTGCCGGGAAGATCACGCCGGCTCTTCTGATGAATCGCAAATTTGAGCGTCACCATAGCACGATCACGCTCACCGTAGGTCGCTGGGAAGTAAACATCAAAGATGCCCATCAGGCAGTACGCTTGGTCCTCGATGCGTGTCGTCTCTCTTCCTGCAGCCCAGGAGAACTTCTGATCATCGCTGTATGAGGTAGCTTTTGAGTAGTCGTCTAGAACTTCCTCGGGAATGTGGGTGACGCGGCTGAGTTGCTTGTTCAGTATTACAGAGATCGAGATACTGGACGATGGTTGCCGACTGCTGACTTTCGCGCCAATGTCTCTCCACGTTCGTTCTCGGAACAACACAGTTTTTGGCGCTAGGAGTTCTTGTAACGTCCAGCCTCGCCGAAACCACTCGCTTTCAGCGAGTTTTGAGGCACTGATTGCTCCAGAACTAGGCGGAAAGGCGTCGATGTCGTCCAAATAAGCTAAGCAGACTGCGGACTCCCGGTACCAAAAAAACATTGAATTGATGGCTTCCGTCAGCTCAGCACTAGAGCTCTTGTCGATGCAATACGAGTCGATCCATAGCCACGACAAGTCCAATTCTTGGGCCCAAGCACAGAATTTTTTGATCTTCTCGAAGCCCGACTTCTTGCGAAACCATTCCGGCTTCTCTCGGAAGGTGGCCTCGTCTTTGCGCCAGTGGGATGCTATTGCATAGCGCGGCCGGGTCTTGTCATCGGTAAACTGCGTAGTCTTGAGATTGTAAACGTTAATCAAGCGCATGATGTAGTAGCGCGCAGGCATATGCACGCAACAAAGGACAGCTGCGAGGACACAAGGGGAGTTCGTCAAGTCAGTCAGGCGGAGACGTGCATGTTGGTGAACTCAGCTCGCTAAAGCCAATGGAGTGCATCCTTCAGCGTGGCTGTGGGCTCAAAGCGCCACCAGCTCGCCATGCAGACCAAATGCAAGAGTTGCGGCGGCGACATTTCTCGTCTCGCGTGAGGGCATTAGCTCGTGCATTGCATCGTGGGCCCGAGACCGCCGCATCAGGGAATACTGGGAGCCGGCTGCTGCCGTGAGGGCAGAATATGGGCAGAGATGAAGCCGAATCGTGCTGATTAGACTCATGTAAATGGCAATGTGGTGGTCCATATACAATGCTGCTGCCTCAGGTGCCGCCCGGATTGCATGATTATGATTGTGCCCGAGAGAGCGGTGGTCGGGTGATGCCTGTCCATGGGCGGTGATCGTAATGACCAGCAGGCAGATGATGAGGGCGGAGGGCGGAGGTCATGTCCGCAGAAGATGAGATGAGGCGAGCAGAAAGTGACTGCCTGATTGCTGCTTGCGCGTCGTCGAGGCAAAAAGTGGCGTGGCAGTGCGACTTGCTGAGACGCCCGGCGGAGCATCGGCGACACGACTGCGGCCTGGGCAGCAACTCTGACCGTCCGTCGTCATCGCGCGCTGGCCAACGACCGCCCGTCAGATTCCGCCGCAGTACATCTTTTCTCACACGCTCGTCCACACCTTTTGCGCCAATTGTCCTGTCCATTGAGGTGGGAGGGTCTCGCAACAAACACACAGCGGAACGCGCAGAGCTGGCGGAGCGGAAACAGCGGGCCCACTAGCGGGCGGACTCCACCACCCACACCGCGAACATGGTGAGAAGGACGCCGCGAGCGAAGGAACATGTCCACCGCTAACCGACAGTAAAGGGCGTCACGAAACGCGCCGGCCGCAAAAAGGATGCGCCTGTCGCAGCGCCTGCAGCAGGAGGAGCACCACAGATTCGCAAGGCAGCCTACGAGACGGGCAAGAAGAAGGAAGTTGGCGTGTCAGATCTCACGCTGATTAGCAAAATCTCCAACGAAGCCATCAACGACAACCTCAAGAAGCGATTCGAGAATGCCGAAATCTACACATATATCGGCCACGTGCTGGTCTCGGTCAATCCATTTCGCGACCTGGGCATTTACACCGATCAGGTGTTGCACAGCTACCAGGGCAAGAACCGTCTGGAGATGCCCCCACACGTCTTTGCTATTGCAGAGAGCGCGTACTACAACATGAAAGGATACCATGAGAACCAATGTGTCATTATTTCGGGCGAATCAGGAGCAGGAAAGACTGAGGCTGCGAAGCGTATAATGCAGTACATTGCAAATGTGTCGGGAGGCAGCAATTCGTCGATCCAGGAGATCAAGGACATGGTGCTGGCCACCAACCCTCTTCTCGAGTCTTTTGGGAATGCGAAGACGCTGCGAAACAACAATTCTTCGCGATTCGGCAAGTACTTGGAAATTCAGTTTAACCAGCAGGGCGAACCGGTCGGTGCGAATATCAACAACTATCTCCTCGAGAAGACTCGCGTGGTCGGGCAGATTCGAGACGAGCGCAACTTCCACATCTTCTACCAATTTACGAAAGCGGCGAGCCAGGAGCATCGAACGAACTTTGGAGTACAGCAGCCGACGACATATACATATACCAGCAAGAGCAAGTGTTACGATGTGCCGGGCATCGATGATGTGGCAGATATGCAGGACACTCTGAACGCAATGAAGGTCATTGGAATGAGCAAGGCAGAAATCGACAATGTGTTCAGGATGCTCGCCGCCATTCTGTGGATTGGCAACATTTCCTTCCGAGAGAACAAGGAAGGCAATGCCGAGATCGCTGATGCCAGCGTAATCGACTTTGTGGCATATCTGCTCGAAGTGGACGCTCAGCATGTGAACAAAGCCATGGAGGTCCGGATCATTGAAACGAGCAGAGGCATGCGACGAGGGTCCGTCTACGAATCTCCCATGAACATCCCACAGGCTACTGCAGTGCGAGATGCTCTGAGCAAAGCGATCTACAACAACATGTTTGATTGGATCGTGCAGCGTGTGAACCAATCCTTGAAAGCACGAGGCGCAGTTGCGCAGAGCATAGGTATTTTGGACATTTATGGGTTCGAGATTTTTGAGAAGAACTCCTTCGAGCAGCTCTGCATCAATTACGTGAACGAGAAGCTGCAGCAGATTTTCATTCAGTTGACGCTGAAGGCTGAGCAGGAAGAGTACGAACGAGAGCAGATTCAGTGGACGCCAATCAAGTACTTTGACAACAAGGTCGTATGCGAGCTGATCGAGGAGAAAAGACCTCCAGGAGTCTTTGCTGCGCTGAACGATGCCTGCGCCACGGCCCACGCCGATCCAGGCGCGGCTGATCAGACCTTCGTCCAGCGACTCAACGCGCTCTCAGGCAACCCCAACTTCGCGCCAAGACAAGGGCAGTTTGTCATCAAACACTATGCAGGTGACGTGAACTACGCGGTTGAGGGCATGACAGACAAGAACAAGGACCAGCTGTTGAAGGATCTCCTCAATCTCGTCGGCCAAAGTTCGAACAACTTCATTCACACATTGTTCCCGCACGAAGTCGACCAGGATAACAGAAGGCGGCCACCTACTGCAGGCGATAAGATCAAAGCCTCAGCAAATGACCTCGTTGCAACTCTGATGAAGTGCACGCCGAGCTACATTCGAACGATCAAGCCAAATGAGAACAAGAGCCCGACCGAGTACAACAATCAGAACGTCATGCACCAGATCAAATATCTCGGACTGCAGGAGAACGTCCGCATCCGCAGAGCTGGATTTGCCTATCGACAAACGTTCGACAAGTTCGTAGAGCGCTTCTACCTGCTCTCACCGAAATGCAGTTATGCTGGTGAGTACACCTGGACGGGTGATGCGAAGTCTGGCGTCAGACAAATTCTCAAGGACACTTCTATACCGGCGGAGGAATGGCAGATGGGTGTGACAAAAGCGTTCATCAAAACGCCGGAAACCCTTTTTGCACTTGAGACTATGCGCGACAAGTATTGGCACAACATGGCAATTCGTATTCAAAGGGCTTGGAGAAATTACCTACGATATCGCATTGAATGCGCGACCAGGATTCAGCGCTTCTGGCGCAAGAAGTCTGGTGGTGAGCCATTCCAAAAACTGCGGGATGAGGGACACCAAGTACTTGGAGGCAGGAAAGAACGAAGGAGGTTCTCTCTCATCGGCTACAGACGCTTTCTGGGCGACTACCTTGGAATCGACAACAAGGGTGGCAGCGGAGAAGTGCTGCGTAGCAGTGCAGGCATAGGCGGCGGTGAACAGACGTTCTTCTCATGCAGAGCTCAGCTTCTGGTGTCCAAACTTGGCCGATCGAGTAAACCGGAGCCCCGTTTTCTCGTACTCACCTCGAAAGCTGTTTACATCGTCAAGCAAGCTCTTGTCAACAAGCAGGTGCAGATCGTGGCAGAGCACACCATTCCCGTTGGCGCAATCAAGTTCGTGAGCACGAGCTCGTTGAAGGATGATTGGTTCTCACTGGGCGTTGGAAGCCCTCAAGAGCCCGACCCACTTCTCAACTGTATCTTCAAGACCGAGTTCTTCACGCAGTTGAGACAGGTGACGCGTGGAGCAGCTCAGCTTCAGATTGGTGAAACGATCAGCTATAACAAGAAACCCGGGAAACCAGCCACTATCAAATGTGTTCGGGATCCGCAAGTGCCTCGCGACGACGTCTACAAGAGTGGCGAGATTCATACCGGGCCCGGCGAACCTCCAAATGCTGTGTCGAAGAAAACACCGAAAGGCAAGCCCGTGCCTGCGAAGGCCATCACGAAGGGAGGACTGCTCAAAAAGAGTACTGGAGGCAAGCTGTCGCAACAAGCCGCGCAAAGGACTCATCGACCTGTTCCCGCCACTCAGCCACTGCCTGGCGCTTCCGCTCGGCCTACAGAACGCATCGTACCCCAGCCAGCGCCAGTTGCTCAACCACAGCCACGTCCCGCAGCAGCTTCTCAGTCTGTACCCGTGGTACCATCAAGGCCGCGGCCAGCTGCTGTACCTAAGCCAGCTGTTCAGTCACAACCAGAACCCGCTACAGTCGCTCAGCCTGTGGCCAGAACATCGAATGGAGGTTCGAGCAATGATACGAACGGCAGCTCATCTTCGAACACATACAAAGCAATGTACAACCATGTTGCAGGAACCAAGGATGAAGTCAGCTTGACTGAGGGCGAACTTGTCACGGTAACTTCGCAAGTCGAAAGTGGCTGGTCGTGGGCGAAGAAGAGTGACAACACGGCGGGTTGGGCTCCTACCCTTTATCTCAAGCAGGAAGAAGTGAGAAAGGCGCCGCCTCCTCCACCTATGAGACCCGCTGGCAGACCGACTGGCAAACCCGGTCCTCCAGCGCCGCCCACGAAGAGGAACACGCCCGCAGCTACAGATACGCCTAGAGACAGTGGGTACAGCACAGCCAACGGAAGTGGAGGTGGAGGAAGTCTGGCTGGCGGGTTGGCGGCTGCGTTGAAAGCGAGACAGCAGGCCATGAATCGACCCGATGGGCGAGATGATGATTGGTAGTTTATAGATTTTTTACACCTGATAATCAAAATCGCGAGCGAAGAGTGGGCGATTCCTGAGTTCAAGTGCCATTTTGTATTGCTCGTGAAACCTCCCGCATCCCACGTCAGAGCCTCGAATCGGATGGCAGTGTCTTGCTGCTTAGTCTATTTTCCACCGTCTTCAATAGCTCGAACCAGCTCAAGGTGCACACCTACGAACTTGTCCGCGACCTTCCCGCTGTTTCAATCTCAGTCAGAGGCTAGGTGATCTCCAGCCTCCGCGCTAAATTCTTGCGAGCGCGGCTCTCTTCGTCAAAATTTTGCGACGATAGTTGTGGCTTTATATTTGAGGGCGATTTCGAATGGCACATTCTCCACTTGTTCGAGAGGGCATCACGCTGCTGCTTGAGATATTCCCTCGGCTGGCGCTGATTCCATATATTACTTGGCTCCGGATTCACGCTACAGTACAACGTGTGAGCCGCAAGTGAGGATAGGTTATCGACCCGAGAGACATCCATGACTATTGTTACTCTGATTAGATTGGTAGTCATTACGAGCCTCTGTTTCTCTGAATTTTCACGTACTCGTGCACGGCGAAGAGGAGTTTGTATAGTCTCTATTGGAAATCCACCCCCGAGAGATGGCTGTCTCGACCCGCCTCGGGATGTGTTCTGCGGCAGTCACGGTTCACTCTGTGTATCGATTGCTCAGCAGCAGCCACTTGGAACGTCCCGTCCGTACAGTAAGACTCTCGCGTGATCAGGTCTGCTGAGCTCACGAGATTCACTTACTTTCTTGTTGGCTGCAAGCACGACGGCAGCATACCTTCGAGCTTCACTGTTGATGCATCACTGATGGGCTACTGCACCCCACAACGTACTGTTCCCGGTTCCCGGTTCCTGGTTGCCCTGCTTCCATATTTGGATTCTGAAGACGCCAAAACTTTGATCGTCTTTTGGGAAGTAGCACCAGGATGTAATGGCGGTATTCGGATTCCAGAGGCATGGTTGCTCATGCCCGACTGGTGGATTGTGCTTTCGGCTCAACACTTAAATCCCGTGGGAATGAAGCCCGTCAAAGAAATCTGCGCAGCCGTAGGCATTTGTTCGATCCGACGAGGTTGGGTGCTCTCTGTGGCACACTTTTTATCCGCTGCTTCACTGCTCATTGCTGACCTGTATTGTGCTGGCAGCGTGGATGAATAATCCCTCATTCGCGGACTTGGTGTAGCCCGATTCCGGCAGAACCGTGACAGATTGAGTTGTCTTCAAGGTGGTAATGAGCTGGATCAGTCATCCTCATGCGGGACTTGGTGACCATTGGGAGCACGTCAATTGGAGCATTGGCCGATTCCGACTTCATCCATTCACTTGCCAGCAGCCGGGGATGGTCGACGACGAATAGGCTCTTCAGCAAAGCCCGGAGAAGCTGCATCCTCGTCTGCAGATGCCAGATGGGGTGCCGCACATACTCCGAACGATGCTCTTTCCCAGAGGTACTGTATCTTCAGTCGTTACTATTTTGACAAGGTTTTTTAGGGCCAGCTAGCCACGCAGTCTGCAGAGCGCGTGGAGCTGTCGCAAAAGTGTATACCATTGCGAAGAATATGACTCGTGATGATTTCTTCCAATCTCGTGGAGCTTCTGCCTGTGGGAGCTTGTCTAGAATTGGCAATGCCTGTTCTCGGGACATTTGCAGTTGCATGCATAGGCCCGGCAGCGGAAGGGTGCATGCGGTGCTGCGGAAAATGGCCATGGAGGCGAGAGGCATTTGTCGTCGCTGGAGGAGTCTGGCACAAGCTGGTCTCAGATCGGTGAAAGCGGTTTGTAGGAGGCGCGGTTTGGCGTGGTGAGAGTGGAGCGCAGCGCGCTAACTTAAGCCCCAAGGCGGAGGAAACACCGAACAAGACGCGAAGCACGTCACGGCTCCGGCGTTGCTAGGGGCAGTTTCGGACTATTCATCTATCGTAAGCGCCCGCCAAGCGACCTACTTCACCTGACCAAGACGGCTTGCCACTCGTAGCATTGCTGCGACTGCGCGGCCAAGCTGCTGTGCGGGCGTGATTGATTGCGCGCCTCCACCGCGACGACCTCGTCGGCGGTTCCACCACACACGTGCGGTCCATATTTCTCGCCCATAAGGGTATCCTGGGTGCGAGCCTGCTCCCCGTCTCCAACATGCACACTGCACAGACTGCTATTCTCTGCCCGTTGACCGGGCTAGGGCCAATAGCACTCATGTGCCCGTGGGCATCTCGCCGCGGCCAAGCACTTCAAGCACTGCGCACACAGCATAATCACCACGTGCCCAAGGACATTCGTCGCCTGCGACCTCGTGTGCTTATGCATCCAAGCCCTCAACGCTATAGAGCGGCAGCAGCGATAGCGTGACTACGGAGAGAACGGCGCTCGCTGCCCATCTACGGCCACGGCTCGTGCGGTCGTGCGCTGATTGCTCACAATCTTGTGCAGCCATCACTCCCTGCCCGGTCCATGGATCTTGGCTCAAACTAACGGTGCTGCCAACACTAGTAGGGATGAACTTCACATCTGGACGAACGCGCCACCGCGCAGGCGGCACTGATGTGACTTACTTCACTGTTGTACCGAATCACCTTCCCATCCGGCGCCGGCAAAGTCAACCCTCGCGTGTGGTTGTCTCTATATATTCCGGCATTGACCTGATCAATCCCTCTACGTTGTTGGTGCCTCTGCCAACACTCAATTGCTCGAGTACTGCTTCCTAGACAAGATGAAGGTCTCCACTCTTGCCTTACTGGCGACGCCTTTACTGGCAGACGCTTCCCAAAGCTCTCTGCGCAGAGTCACACAGCCTCCTTCGACCGGCCCTCAATATACAACAGACCTCTTTGAGGGTACGAGACTCAAGGAGGAACAATCAGTCCTCAACAATTCCGACCTCACCTACACCGACCGCAATGGCAAGAAGAACTGGTCGCCACTCAGTGCTCTGCGTGCGGGCGAGAAGGGTCCTTTACTACTTCAAGATGCCGCTCTGATCGATACTTTGGCAACATTCAATCGCGAGCGTGTGCCGGAACGTGTCGTCCACGCTCGAGGTGCTGGCGCCCACGGTTTCTTCGAGGCCACTACCGATTATGCTTCAAATTTCTCAGCGGCCAGCGTCTTCCAGAGGGGTACAAGGACATCGGTGACGATGCGTTTCTCTACCGTTGGTGGCGCAAGAGGATCGGCAGATCAAGCACGAGATCCCAGAGGCTTCGCAATCAAGTTCAGAACTAAAGAAGGAATCTTGGACTGGGTGTTCAACAACACTCCTGTGTAAGTTTCACATGATCGATTCACTGCTCATCTGTGATACCGAGTAGGCATACAGGTCGAAGAATGATGCTGATGATGGAACAGTTTCTTTATTCGTGATCCTGCGAAGTTTCCACGCTTCATCCACACACAAAAGACAGATCCAGCTAAGAATGCGCGCGACTGGAACACTTTCTGGAGCTGGCCGGCGCAATTCCCAGAATCTCTGCTGCAGTTTCTGAGACTCTTCTCCGACCTCGGGACTCCATACGGGTAGGCAGCAGATGCACTCTTCATGGGTGATAGGCACTAACATCATCATTCAGATTCCGCCACATGGATGGATGGAGCGGCCATACCTACAAGCTTGTCAAGGATGATGGCTCCTGGGTCTACACTCGCGTGTACCTTAGTACCGATCAAGGTGTCCGTAACATGACTGCTAGCGAAGCAGCTCAGATCTCTGGCGAGAATGACGCCTGGGCTACTGCCGACCTCTATGACCACATTGAAGCTGGCGAATACCCATCGTGGACTGTCGGCATCGCCACCATGACTCCCGAGCAAGCCGAAGAATACCGATACGATGTCCTTGACCTGACTAAGGACTGGCTTGGAGTTGAATATCAAGAAATCGGCCGCATCTTCCTCACCCAGAACCCAGACAACTATCACGCCGAGATTGAGCAATCTCACTTCACACCAGCCAACATTGTTCCAGGCTGGGAGCCGTCCAACGACCCAGTCCTCCAATCCCGTCTCTTCGCATATGGCGATGCTGGACGATACCGCATCGGCGTCAATGCCGAAGACATCCCCGTCAACTGCCCCCTCACCTCCGTCGCCAACTTCGACCGAGACGGCCACTTGAGCTCAACTGGAAACCAAGGCTCACGCTTGAACTTCCCAGCTGAGTACCTCGACCCAATCAACGTCATCGACCGCCCAGGTACTGCCATTGAGTCTCCTATCGAGGGCGATTCAACTGTACAATGGCTCAGCACCATCGACGAGGACATTGATTATGAACAACCAAGACTCTTCTACCAAGGTTTCTCGCAAACGGACAAGGACCACTTGTACAGCAACATCGCAGGTACTTTGGTGAACGTCAACCACCAGGAAGTTTTGGACGCTCTATTTGTGCAATTTGGCAAGATTGATCAGGCACTTTTGAGCGGAGTGCAGACTGCTTACGAGCAGGCCAAGCAGAAGAAGGCTGCTGGCGGCAAGTAGGACTCCACGAATAATGAGATAATGGCAATGGCAATGTGAATCGATACTTCGCAGATCTCTCACATCACGATGATACATGTCATCTGGCACATCACGATCTGTATTCTTTTCTTCACATGTGCATAGGTTCAATCGGCAGTTGCTCAACAAGCTTCTCAATCTTGCATAAAGCAATACACTTACTCGTTCCTGAAACTCGCCTCAATACTGCTTAGAGGCTGATCACTATTCAAACACGCCGATGATGACAGTAAGCACCATTGACCTGACGAAACACCTACCGACCGCGATTCCCCGACTACCAAAACACTACAACCTACACAACCTCTCTCTACACAAAACACCGGCATATCGCTCATCGTCAGTGGCGCCATCACTCCCAAACCCTAATGATGCAATTCCAATAATAAGGGAGAGATCCAAGACAAGCCACCTGCGCCACCATTATCCAATCGTGTAACATCTATTATCCACGACTATAAGCCCTAGATTTCTCCACAACGACGGCTACTGCTAGCTAAACACGTGCATTCTCTGCTAGATATTTTGATTCACCCTGTCGCAGATCAGGTTGGACACTACTTAGTTCTGGAACATGTGTGGGCAGGGATGCTGCACTTAGATGCAGGGTTTGAGAACGGTGTGTATGTAGCATGACGCTTAGGATTGTCGGAAGCTACTGAACGAACAGGCGGCTGACCCTTTGCGGTGAACGAAGTTGTTTTTGAGAGAGTACCAGTCGGCCCCGAGTTGCATTAACTCCGAGATGTCATGAGATCGAAAGCTGTCGGCAGTTGTTCTCGTTGAGCAAGTGATGTGCTTTCGCGGCGGGCTTTTTCGACGCAATGTACTGGGTTAAGGTGTTTGCGTCTTGCCGGTACGCGAACTTGCTCATATCGAATCAAGGATCTGGTGGATGCAATGCATCACGCGTCCTGCGTCATCTTGATCGCACTTGGCCATCTCCATAAGACTGAGCAACACAACGCCAACCTAGTAACATCATGCATGCCCAGCAATTTCAAGAGTGCTGGCAGAGAAGGTGAATTCAACCTCCCGCTCTCAGCCAAGAGAGCGCTTGACTGGTGGACTTCTGACTCCTTCGACAGTCCGCTGCAAAGCTCCAATCCAGCTTCTCTGACGTTTGTCTCGTCCGAGACTGGGGAGGAATAGGATCGACGTGCGTGAGGACAGTCAACTCGGACAGCTACGCTTGGTGCAAGCTATACGGACTAGCTTCTCTGGAGGCAAGCCGACCACCATGCTGCGTAAAGCCAGGACTGTCTGGATCGAGCTTGCGACAGACCTTCGGAGCAGAAGAGCCTGAGGTGAAACTCGCTCACGGTTGCAAGGCCTTCATTCTGCGGACCATCGCACGCTTCCTACTATGCTTCGCGATATGTCGTTGCCTCTAGAATGGTCGCGGCGGCCGGTCGCTTGGATGGGAAGCTCGTGTTCGTACGACTTGAGGCTACTGCAAACGCTCAGTAATCCTCGGCAAGAGACTTCGCGGCTTGACCATATGTACGTGGACGATCTCCGGCCTTGCTGGTTTCCTGGACAGGTTTGAGGCACGGAATGCCAGCTCGGAATGTTAGTCTGATCAGGACGCCAGAGTCATGGCCATTGGCGTTGATGGCTTGCGGGTAGAAGAAGGCGATATAGCACAGCCTGATAATCGCCGAGTGGTGGAACAAATGGTAGAAAAGCGAACGAAGGACGACGACGTTCATGTGGCAGCAGGATGAGGAAGGAGGAGCGGGATGGGCGGCCCGAAGTGGATGTTTTGCCGAAAGCCAAACCAGACTTGGCGGCCGTCGCTCATGACCCAATTTCCCCTCTGCGGCCACTCGTTGTCGTCCGCTCGACGTTGCATGGCCGGCGATGTGCAGTGTACGACACCTTCCTAGCTGAGACAAGCAAACGCACGTCTGCTGAGCGCCAGTTGTGCCTGTCATCCATCGAGCATGAACAGCAGTAGCGCCGAGCGATCAGCACGAAGAGTGGCATAGTTTCAGGAACACCCGCGCTGTCAAGTGACCATGACCGAGCAGGAGCGTCTGCTCTGGTTCAGGGAAGCGTCGGTCTGCTGATGGGGGAGTATATGTACCGCCGAACTGGCCCTCACTTCACCTCACATTCCATCCCTGGTCTCCGGCATCATGAAGACCTTCCACAGCATCCTCCCACTCATCAGCAGTGTCCTGAGCTTCCCAGCTGCAGACGCCCTCGAAGCCCGAGCAACAGGCTCGCTCGAGTCGTGGCTGGCGGCTGAGAGTCCAGTTGCATTGCAAGGTCAATATGCTGACCAGAAGGCTGGGCTTGGCGTGTAGTACTGACATATCCGGTAGGCATCTTGAACAACATTGGATCTCAAGGCAACAAGGTGCAGGGAGCATATCCGGGCATAGTAGTGGCCTCGCCTTCAAGAAACGATCCTCCCTACTTCTACACCTGGACCCGTGATGCTGGCTTGACCATCAAGTGCTTGGTGGACCAGTTCCTGGCTGGTCAGACGAACCTCGAAGGCACCATTCAGGATTACATCAACTCGCAGGTCTCGCTCCAGACTGTCAACAACCCATCCGGCGGCCTCTGTTCCGGCGGTCTGGGAGAGCCCAAGTTCGAGGTTGATGGCACTCAATTCACTGGAGATTGGGGACGCCCACAACGTGATGGTCCAGCTCTGCGAGCTACCGCCATGATTGCCTACGCACGCCACTTGATCTCAAAAGGCCAGACATCACAGGTCCGCGATATCATCTGGCCCATCGTCTCGAACGACCTCTCATATGTATGCTGATCGAACACGTGCGAAGATCGAGCTGAAGGCTGACATCGCCATGAAGGTATCGAGCAATTGGAATGCCACGGGCTTTGACTTGTGGGAGGAAGTCAACAGCTCGTCTTTCTTCACGACCGCCTCTCAGTATCGTGCACTGGTCGAGGGCGCCGCGCTTGCTTCCCAGATCGGCCAGTCGTGTGCACACTGCAGCTCACAAGCACCGCAGATCCTATGTTTCTTGCAGAGCTACTGGACTGGCTCTTATGTCCGCTCAAATACTGGTGGCGGTCGAACTGGCAAGGACGTTAACTCGATCTTGACCAGCATTCACCTCTTTGACTCTGCCATAGGCTGCAATGCGAACACATTCCAGCCCTGTTCTGATAAGGCTCTGGCTAATCACAAGCAAGTGACGGATTCGTTCCGATCCATCTACTCCATCAATAGCGGTATTCCCCAAGGCAAGGGCGTTGCCGTGGGCAGGTACTCGGAGGATGTGTATCAAGGTATGCACTCAATCAACTCGCTTCGTGTTGCCTGCTTTACTGACTCTTCATGCTTAGGTGGCAATCCTTGGTAGTAAGTGAAATGCCAGCTTACGCCTAATAATGCTAACATGGTATAGCCTTGCCACATTTGCTGCTGCCGAACAGCTGTATTACGCGGTCTACCAATGGCGTCAACAAGGATCACTCACAATCACGGACCTCTCTCTGCCATTTTTCAGAGACGTTTATTCCTCAGCCGCAACCGGCACGTATGCGTCGTCGACCACAACTTTCACTTCAGTCATTAATGCCGTCTTGGCATATGCAGACAGCTACTTTGCGAATGCTCAGCAATATACGCCACAAAATGGCGCTCTAGCTGAGCAATATTCACGATCAAATGGTTCACCATTGTCCGCCGTGGATCTGACCTGGTCTTATGCTGCTTTCTTGACAGCGCTGAACGCACGGAAAGCCGTATTGCCGTCAAGCTGGGGAGCCGGCTCTGCTCAAGTGCCAAACTCATGCTCCGGCGGCTCTGCAAATGGTCCTTGTGTGGCAGCCACAAACACATTCTCGCGACCCGGAAGCACGCCCACCTCAACAACAGGCGCCTGCTCTGCAACTCCGACCAGGACAAATGTTCTTTTCAAGGAAACCGTCACCACCAACTTCGGCGAGTCCGTCTTCATCACCGGAGGCATTGCCGAGCTTGGTAACTGGGACACGAACAAAGCAGTTGCACTGAGCGCGCAGAACTACACCAGCACCAACAACTTGTGGTTTGCCACTGTTGGCTTGCCAGCTCGCGGCGGTTTCAACTACAAGTACATTCGCAAGCAGCAGGACGGCAGCGTGCGATGGGAGAGTGATCCAAACAGATACTATGTGGTTCCTGCGAATTGCGCGGGTTCTGCAACTCAGAGCGACACATGGAGGTGAGGTTGCTGAAGGAGCCACCGTGTGGGCCTTCGATGTTGCAACACAGTATGCATCGTACGTTCGCGAACGAAATATACGAGCAACGGCTTTTAAATACACGAAAAGCGCGTCATGTATACATGCATACGCATCTAACGAGCATAGCATAGCCTAGCCTGCCTTAATTTTGAAATTTCCGCACCTGATGCCACAGCCCAATCCCAATTGCTGAAGAAGTCAGCTTGGTGTTTCTTCAGAATTGACTCGTTGCCACATTTGTGAGGGCAATATTCGTTGGCTCCGAGTTGAACTTTTGATCAGAGAAAGGTCGTAGATTCACAGTCCAATACCAATGCGAGAGGAAAACACACACGTCACTCAAAAGCTTCAATATGTTGAATGCAGAAGGCTTGAGAGTGCACACTGTAAGTGTTGTCCGCTCACGCCCTTTCTCTCCATTCTATCCTATTTCTACCAACGCCAGAAAATCTACCCATCTTGCCGCAGTCTCTAAATGATCTCGGAGACACTTAGCTAGCATCCTTCTTGCCTCCACTCGAGCAATCTTTGAAACTGTCGCGCGATAGCCGAGGCCCACAGTATTGATTTGCATCAAAGCTGGCGGACGGCCCTATGAGAAGATAGCCATCCCACGTACCACCATGCGTGAGATCGAGGCACTCGGTGTAGCATCTGTAGCAGAGTTAGTCAGGAACTGCCACCGGAGTCACTTGATTTGTTGAGAACTCACACTTTGGAACCATCTGTAGTTTTAATATGATGCAAAACCGCTCTCTCAATCGTTTTCTCTTCAGCAGTCGTATCGCAGTTCTTCCCGTTGGCTTAGTATCTGTAGGAGATACCTCCCATAGATCCACTGAAAGTTCCACAGCTTCTCTGTTTGCTGGCACCACTTATCACGCCCGCTGCCCATTTGCTGAAATCCTTGATGGCATTGATGCTGACTGCACAACCCGCGGCAACAGTTATGATACGCTCGCAAACGGTGACTGCGGTTCTCCTGTATGTTCTCAGTTTATCATTCAAGTCCGAGCAGAACTGCATAGCGACATACCTCTCCACAGACAGCTCCGTACTATTGGAAGCAATCAGAGGACCAAAAGGTTGTTCTAGATCATACAGTATCCATCGCTCTGGTTGTGGGTGGCCGCTGTACATCACGACGGGGGCGCTCTCCAGCGGGACGGAATCGACAATAGAGCAGGAAAGCAGCAGTAAAAGCATTGTGAGCAAAAAACCCGCGGTCGGGACACTCATTTTGGCCTTGCCACAGGAAGTAAAGATTGTTGACGAGGAGGATGAATGGTCCTATATCGGCTGCGAAGCGTGTGATCCAGTCCGAGATGGCGATGAAGGCTTCCATTGGCGTGTTGGCCATCTCTCTGAGTAGCAAGATGGAGGCTTATATGCGATCTTTCCACGCTGAAAAGCGCAGTCTGATCGAGTCGAGTAGAGAGGCACAGCAGTTGACAATGTTAGAATCGCAGTGTATCCACAGCACTAGCTGTGCCGAGTCCACCCAATGCTGTTGGAGTTTCAGATCGATGCGAAGGAAAGGCACAACAGTGTTGGGGCTTTTCTTGATTCCACCGCACTAGCTGTGCCTCACCCACCGAGAATTTCCTTCTTGTATGTTGCCCTGTTGACGTGGAAGCTGGAGTTCTTTGCCGTTCTCACCACGGAATTTAAGAGGCTGCCAGTGCTGATGAAAACGGCTTGCGCACTTGGGTACCGTTGAGGTAGGTAGTCTTACTTCTGGTTATGACTCTGTTCGCTCGAATTAGAAGAAGATGTTCTGCCAACGAAGCTTAGAGGCGCAGGCGGCGTATTTAGCATAGAGAACAAGGTCTTGTTTGAACTTAAGCGCTGGCAAGTCTGCCTTGTCCCGGGAGCTTATGCATCCACAGGATGTGGGGAGGATTGATCCAACATGAGGATGACGCATGGTCTATCCCTCTTGATTGCGGCGCGCATAGTGAACGGGCTCTCGTCGGAACAGACGGGGCGCGTGGGCGGGCGCGTGGAAGATCCGGATGGCAGCGCTGTTTCCCCGTGTTTCGAGCGCGCAAAAGCGTGCACTGCTGTTGATGTGAAGAGTCTCCGTCCATAAGGCTGAGATGAAGTTTGGAGAAGAAATCTGTACGTGAGTTGGGGAGAAGTAAGCCAGGCAGGGAGGGCATCGACTATGACATCTCCGACCCTCGGACTCGAGTCCGACTGCACGTAACCGTGTGAAATGAACGGCTTGGATACCTGCAGTTATCCTCTGAAGGACTCGTCGAATTGTTACATCTCACCTACAAGTTGTATATCAGTCGCTCTCCCTCGTCAGTCAAACGAATGATTTTCGCAAGCTTTCCATGTTGATCAATCTGATGCATCTCCCTACTCCCAAAACAGATAAACTCGAGTCTCAGAGCTCTGTCTGATCTCTTCGTTCTCAGTGCCTGGCAGAACAGGACTGACATGCAATCCACAAGCTGCGATGTTGGGATCGTTTTCCGCGGCCGAATCGGCGAACTTGATGATGCACACTTCGTCGGGCTTCTGCTCGGGCACCCAATACCATTTCTGCAGCTCTGGCCGCTTCGGAGGCTGTGCCGTGTAGGCTTCGACGACATAGTCGCCTTCTGGATTGATGCCGCTGGGAATTCGATTCTCGGTGGGAATGAGCTCCGACATGTCCAGCGAGCGATAATCGCAAACAGAGATCGGATCACGCTTGACCGTCTGCAACGGTCGCTGGGTCTTTTGTCAGCTGTCAGTCTTTGGTCGTTTGTGGCAGGCTTCGATACCCAGATACTGTAAGAAGCAAAACGAGGCACTCTGACATCTACGCCTGATGCGCGGAGATCCTCTGCTTCGATGACGTTTCGTGCTGATTCTGCGATCTCTGTTGTTGCAGACCGCAGAGTCGTGCGGAGCCCTTTCAGCGTTGTGTCTACGTGGCACTGGCGTGCTGGTTCGCTGGAGGACTGCACATCCTTTCCATTCACTACGAGCGCGATGAGCTTCGAGCTAAGGCCCTTTCACGGATCACACCCACCTAGAAGTTGGTTCTTGGGCATCTTTGCAAGGATCTGGTCCAGCTCATTGCCTCTCATGGGAATGAAGTCCAGATTCTCCTGCTTGGCTGCAGACTTGCGGCGGAATCCTACGTTGTGCGCAACGCCGTGTTTAGCTCCAGTCAGTTTGAGCATCATGTCGATGGTCTCTGGAACCAAGACATCTTCCACATTTCTGCCCTCGAACACTTCATCTGCTGTCAAGGACGAAGCATGCTTGATGTATGTGAAGCCTTGAGTGTCGAGACCTGCATTGCCTTTGGCAACTTCGTCAGAAGTCCAGAAGTTGTGCAAAGGAAGCTTGAGCTGCTCGAGCCTTTTTGGCCGCGGGTTGGCGAAGATAGCTCTATCGTACGCCGATACTGACAAATCCGGGTCTACGAAGCGGAAGATTCCATATGTCTCCTCGATGGAGCCCATCTTGATTGAATGGTGTGGTGATGGAGAAGCTCGCGATGAAACTTGAGCTCGACTGCAGTGTCAGCTCCAAGGTTAAGTACCTGGTATGCTGTGCACACAGTCGGATCGGCATCCTTGAACATGACTGCGGGATCTCCAGGGAGCTGCAAAGCGCGTCGCTACGGCACGCGAGGACATTTCTTCAATCGGCGAAACTGTCGCTGCGAACATATCTTGAAATCGCGTTGACTTTCTGATAACACCGCGCGAATGACGACATGATCGGTCTCTCCATTGTGTCGCCAGAAGACCACAGGCAGTGCCCATTAGTGTTGATATCCTTACTGTAACATCTGGCAGCTGTACATTGTATCGTCATCGCCCAGGAACCCCGGTCTCGAACATTTTGTGCCCGAATGTCCGAACGACACAGTCAAGGCATTCGATTGGGAGTGAAAAGCAGAGTTCCTCGGAGTTGTCTTGGGTAGTTGCGTCGATGAAAGTTGATGAAGGAAAGTTGGAGGGGGAGGGTTTGGAAGGGGAGAGCGAGGGCGGAAAAAGAAGCGGAACGGGAAGTCACCAAATGGCCTCAGCGCCTGATGGATAATGCTGGCTCTTTCTGACGATCTCAACATCAGTCCTTCCACTTAATGTTGCAAGAGACGACAGGACGGCCTGTCCAAATTGCACCTCGTTACAGAGACTTGGGGCAGTCGAGAACTGACTGGAGGAACAGCAAGGCACAAGTGCATATACTCGCAATAGACACTAAGTCTACACAGCTTCTTTGGCAAATGTTATTCTCTGTATCGTCATATTCATGCTGTACTCTGTTCATTGTTCCGCTCTACTCTCTTCCAACCCATATCTTTCAGCGTCTGTTAATTCATGTGCAAACTCTTCTGCAAGCACTGCAAATCACGAGGTAAATGTTCTCGTATTTCCGCTGCGGCATAAGAAATCCTGTCCCGATTGTGTCAAAATGGCCAGTCTAGCTTCGGCAGTAAAACGACGCATCCTCATCAATGCACTTCTCACCAACCCATTTGCGGTGATGTCGCACGATCTTATGCTTCCAGCGCATCAACGCCCGATCAGGAGCCGTACTGACGGAAGGTAGAGGTTTGTTGCGAGGTAAAGGCTTGCTCGTAGGGTGAGTTCCGTGGTGCCATTTCGATAGCTCCGTCGTCGAGGAAGATTTCGTTTGTGTTCTGCCGAAATCCTCTTTTATCAGGCCGCCCCGCTCGTAACGAATCGACATGCTCGGCAGAGATCTGCTGTCTGAGGGATGCCTTAGTTATTTCCGGAAGCGTTATGCTGTGGTAACGATAGGCCCCACCTTCGTCGTAGTATTGTGCCGGCGTGTGTAGTGATGAGAGTCGCACGTTGTCGATATTGGTGCTACCGCGCCGTGTTGACCAGTTCTTGCCTTTGCAGGTGTGATTCCACACCTTTTGTATCAGCCCAGCCATGTCCGGCAAGCAAGCGCAAATTACAGCTAAATTGCACTCCAACGAGGTCCAGGTAGCAACAGGAGCGAGCCAGAGACTGAAGTTTGGAGAAGTCGAATCTCTAATGAGATACACCAGCCTGACGATGCTGGCTGCCGTTGCGAGTAAGCCTAGCGCGAAGACGAAACATACCCCAAACTTTTTCCCTCTCGACAAAGGTAGGTTCGCCAGTTTCCCAATCGGAAGCATAAAAGTGACCAGGTCGAGGATGACGCTGATGGCCGATATGGCATAAGATTGGGCTGAGTAGTCGATACATGTTCCTTGATGCTCGCCGTCCCAGCCTATACGAATGTCAGTGCTTGCGTACTTTATGCAATCCATCAGTGTCCAAAACTCACGCGTCCACGCATAACTGATTGGCATGCATTCGAATACGACACTCAATGCGATAGCTATTCCGGCCGCAATGTTGACGCCGATTAGGATGAAACAGACTCTCCGAAAGGTTAAATTGTCGGTGGACCCAGATCCGCAAATAGAGCAACAGGATTGAGACTTTGATGATCGTCATCAGTACTGCGTACAGAATGCCCTCCATCCAGAACGTGTGAAGCAGCATCGTGATGTTCTCGGGTTCAAGAATCCATATATCGCGTCCCGTCCCCGCCTTCGCCATAAGGTGGACGACGGCATTGAAGGGTATGAGGAATATGAGAGCCAGAAGCATTGTCCAGTCGTCGGCTCCGTAGCCATGACCTCTAGCATAAGGATTCCGGAAGATGAGCCGTGCCACGACCCCAATCGCTGCAGTGGCGAACATGGTCCAAACTACTCGCGGTGTTGTGGTATCCTCGGACCGCACGGGTTCGCCGCAAGCTGTGCTTTGGTACCTTCCTGCGACTGCACATGGTCAGATGCATGAGCGGCCGGATTGATTGTTGATGAACGTACGCAGCGCCTCTTTGGCCGGACAACTCGATTGCAGACATTTCTGAACAGCATTCTTGTAGACGGTGCTATCGCACAGGCACGCAGCATCCGCACCACATCCGGAGGCCGGGATAAATTCGAAGATGCAGTTCGTCTAAGCATCTTCTCAGCAGTGTGTTCGGATGGGTGCAGAAAAGTTACTTACCACGCATGTGGACAGCGCCGGTGCCGAATCATTCGCCTGGGCGCTGACTCTGCATAGCCAAATGGCACATATGGCAGAGAGACTTGCAAGCCAGCGCATGAGGTCGAGGAGATCATATGGATATGAGGTGGTGTGTTGTTGGTGGCATGCTGAGGACAAGTTAAAGCTGGCAACATTGGTTCCCAAGTCACACAGAGGTACTGGTTTACATGCTGCTGAACAGCCGTTTCGAGATCAGCATCGTGTATTTCAAGTCATTGTGCCGGTTTATCAGCTCTGACAATGACTTGCAGAACCTACACGCTAGTCCTCTCTCTTCGCGCTAACGCCGTCTTGACTCGTGACCGGTGTCTGAGGATTGTACAGGCTACGAGGTGATTTACCAGGCAATCCTCGAATTTTTCTTTTGGACTGCGACATCTTCGGGTGGGCGAAGCCATGTTCGGAGTCCACGTAGGGTATAGAGCATCTTGCGCGATATGTTGATGCGTTCACAGGCAAAATATGTCGCTCTGCGGCTGGTGAGCCAGTAGGACCTCATCCGACTGATTCGCATACGGGCTGCAGAGCGCGCACTAGTAACAAGTCAAATGGATACACGAAAGAGTAGTGGAGTGGCCTGATCTAAAAATGCCACAAGGCTTTGTTAACATGTCACTCGCGGTGGAGGTTACTCTGCAGGCAGCTGATTCGTCTTGATATCTGGCGTCACTAATTCTCCGCTAGGAGTGAGCTTCTCGAAGATAGAGTGTTGGCTCTGTTTCGGGGTCTTCTCAATGAGGCAGAGAGTCGTCGAACAGCAAAGGTTTTGCGGCATCCAGCTTCATGTACAGTGTTGCCAGTCCGGCTGGCTGTTGGGAAGAGATCTGGCTGCATCGTCGGAGGTGGTGCGTAGCTCAATACACGCTGTGCCGCTGATACATTGCAGAGACAGAATGCGTAGTCCGGTAAGGGAGATTGCGCCGCGTTGATGGAAGGAGATGATGAGGTCGCCGTGGTGTGTGCGGAAAGGAGGATGCAAAGCTCCTCACCAACTCGGCAAATGGAAGGCTGCGCGCCCCACTTCTCCAGAAACACCTCCACACGCCATGTCAACAACCACGTCTGGAGCATATATCTCTTTTTGCGAACAATGGCATACTCGTCACGGTTGGCAATCATCGTGGGTGGCATTGGTAAGCTCCAGTTGCGATTTGCGGTGGAAGTCGTGCTTACTCCTCCACAGGCGGTCTTGGCTCCGTCACAGGCAAGCTGCTGAGGTCCCAGGGTGCTCGACTGGCATTGTTGTACGCCCCTTTCGAGCAATCGCGTGTCGGGCCAACTATATCACAAGTCTTCGGCAATGACTCCAAGGACATCAGATCGTACGCCTGCGATGTGACCTCTCACGAGTCCGTCAAGGAAGCCTTTGCTGCCATTGCCAAGGACGATGTTGCTTTTCCGAGTATTCTCGTGAATGCTGCAGGCTATGTCAATCTGCAACCTCTGGAGACATTCGATGTCAATGACATCTTGAAGCACTACATGGTCAATCTTCACGGACCAACACTGACTGGCCAGGCATTTGCAAACACCTATTTTGCCGCAGTGCAGCGTGCCAAGGGGCAGGCGCCGGGCGGACGGATCGTCAATATTGCCAGCCAGGCTGCACATGTCGCGCTCCAAAACCACGGACCATACTGTGCGAGCAAGGCAGGTCTTGTTGGCCTGACGCGATCTCAAGCTTCGGAATGGGGACCGAGGGGCATTACTGCCAACAGCATAAGTCCCGGCCCAGTGTGGACAGAACTGGGCAAAAAAGCCTGGAGCGACCAGAAAGCGCGAGAGGAGTATCAAGCAGCTGTGCCAACAGGCAAGTTCGCTGAGCCCCACGAAGTTGCTCGGATAGTCGACTTCCTGTGCAGAGACGAAGCACTGAATATCAACGGAGACGACATCAGGCTTGAAGGCGGGTATACTGCGCGTTAGATGACTCGAATGAGGAGCATGTCGAACAGACAACAGTCTCCGGCATCAGAAATGTCTCCTCCAAGACTTGAACGAGTTGCTCCATCTCCATGACTTACCCTGCAGTTTCGGATCAATGCCGCATCATTCCGATGACTTCTCAAGAATGACACACTCATGCGCAGGTCTAAATGTATACATCTTCTCGACCCGAGATGGTCGCCCATATGGTAAGCATCACGACACAATGACTGACATGTAGCACAGCAGATTCAGCAGATTCAGCATCACAAATAGTGTCAAGGCAGTCGAACTGGCCAGATTGGCATTCGACCCAAAAAGGGCTATGATCGCGAACAACACATTTCAAGCATCATTTGATGGGCGGCGTAGCCGACATTCGCCAGAATCGCGAAATGCAATGCCCCCATTCGGCTTGCCGAAGTGACACGCTCACATTCCTACACAGATTCGGCACCCGCAATACCGGCAACCATGCCGTGCCATGCCTTCTCACTGCCGATGAGCCGACCAAAGACCGTCCTCTACGGACGTCGCGAGTAACGACTTCGAACATGCTTGCAAGCAATGGCGGCATTGCTATGTGGTGGTTTGGGACTTCCCTTGTGCCCGGTCACAAGGACGACAAGCACTACCACCACAGCTCTTGCCAGCTCATCTTCACAGTCTTCCTCAAGAATAATTACGACCACATCACTTTCTTCTGTCTCCTTCGGGACACCTTCGTTCTCTAACACATTCTCAACTTCGTTTGTCGCATCTGCGAGCTTGATCGCTTCGTCGATCCAAACATCATCTATCTCATCTTCCTTCGGCTTGAGTCCGACATCGATATTGACCATTCGAACCACGTCTACTTCAACGACTCCGAACTCATCACAAATACCGAGCAGTACCACTGCTGCTTCGCCAGTCCCAACTGGCCCGACATGTCCAGCTGCTGATGGACAATCATTTACGGCTCGTACGCTCACACATCTGACGGAGAGATTCACTCACTGACCAAATTAATCTCACAGAAGATGGAAGCCAATACCTGATCGTGTGCAATCAAGGCTACTCATCGAATAGCCAAAACGTGTTCGGACTCATCCCTGTAGCGGTCAATTCTTATCTCGACTGCCTAAACCTCTGTTCCAACCAAGGCTCAATCTGTGCTGGTATCACATATGGCTACTTTGGGAGCGACACGCTACAATGCAATCTCAAAACCAAAATGCTGCGTGACAACCAGCCAAGTGGCTACAATGTAGATTCCGCGTTACGCATGAGTGGACCTACGGTGTCCGGCAATCGATCACAGCTGGTCACTAATGGCGACTTCATGGAAAATATGGGGTCTCTTAGCCCTTGGACCACGGACACTTTCAGTATAGAAGGAATTTCTGGTGTACCGTAAGTTATGTTCACACCTTATGCTTGATGTGATCTGACAAATGTAACAGCACTTCTTACTGGGTCCTGGCCGATTCCTTTGGTTACAAAGCAGGCGAGCTGATACAAGCCGTGAACATATCCGCCGGACTCTCATACTACATGACTCTCAGCCTTAGCTTCAGCACTTCAGGACCTATCTCACCAAACAACTTCTGCAACTTTTACGCTCAGACCGACTACGAGATCCTCTTCTTCTTCAATCCAAATCTCACCAGCTTCACCTCAGCCTTCTCCAGTACTTTCAATGCCAGCGGAACCACAACGCGAGACGCCAACCGCTTCATACTCTTCATGTACTGCAGCGGAAACTTCAACATTACTTGGACCATCGACTCTGTCGCCTTCTACACAAATGTCCCCTCACTTGGGGCCAACCCTCTTGTCCCTCCCCCCAGCACCTCGATCCTCCGCGATGGAAACTTCACTTCAGGACTCCAGTACTGGCGATGGCGACCAAACCCCAATTTAAACAACAACGTTCTCTCCCCTTCTAGCATCGCCACTGTACTGCTTCCGCCTGGAACATTAAACAACGTCACGGCGCTCATGAATTACATGATGCCCTCTTCTCTAGTGCCTTCAACACCTGGCCTGACTCCCCAACAACAACAGCAGCAGCAGCAACAGCAGCAACGCCTTACCGTCATAACCTTCTCTACCCTCTCTCCGGTGACACCGACCTTCACCTCCGGCTACCTCACTCAGATCGCACCTCTGCCGATCTCTCTCAACCAGACTTTCCGACTCACAGGGACAGTCTACTTCAATGTCTCTTCGTCCTGCTCATGTGATGCCGGGATTTACAATACCTTGTATCGAAATTCTGGCGTGAATGGATGGGCGTGGTCTGTGTTTGGTGTGAGGGAGAGAAGAGTCGTAGAAGTGGATGTTACTGGGATGGCGACGGCGGGGAATGCAGAGTTTCAGGTTTATGTTGGGTGTGAGGGGACGGATGCGGGTTGTGGAGTCGGAGTGGGAGGGTTGGCGATGAGGGTAAATGTTTGAGGGCTTGAGCTTCTCATTCAGCAGAGGGAATGTATTGAGGAGAGTTGTGGATGATCCGTGACCGTTGTGAAGAGGAAAAGTTTGATGTGTGTATGGACTGATTTAATTCTCTAATGCTCCTCGAGTAGAACTTCTCGTTCCCGGCTTGCGAGTCCGGACATACTTGACACAGATTCTTGCATTGCTTCAGAAAGTTTCGCAAGGACATACTTTTGAGGACATGCATCTAATGAATTGAATTGAGACTTGTGAAGGATGAAATGAAGGTCTTGCCGTTGAACAAAGGTGCTTCTGGTGGTATATTTCTGGACACCAGATGAGAATCATCCGAGCTTTACCTTACCGTTCATGAGCTTCCGTCACTGCATCAAGCAGTCTTCGCAACGAAAGCGAGATGCTCTGGTCCATGATGAGACTGATACAGCAAATACTGCAGCTCAATTCTCGCCATCACAACGACCTCCTTGGCAGCAAGGCAGCACTACCGGTTTCACTTCAAACACGTCGCCCACCTGGGAGAACGGCCAAGGCCCTATCTATTGAACAATGTCAGCACATGCTTCAATGAGCGTGATGCGTAGATATGGCAGCGATATTGTTGCAAGATTTCAGACACCTAAATTTTTAAGCACCGACGACAGGTGACCGCGAGCATATGACGATGCTGTTGGCCGCTACCTGCCATGCCTTTTCCGGCTCTTCCTAAAGCTACTAGGTATGTCGTCGCAAAGGACAACTTGATCATCATGTAGGGGAGGGATTGTGAAGATGAGATGATAATCTGACGTACCATATTCACTACGAGCTCTCGTAGGGAGTCGTGGCTCAGCGCACGGCTATGAAGGACAAGTGACAGGCCTCGCGTGACATGTCACGGAGACATGGTGAGGCTGGTGGTGAGAGATTCGAGGGAGATGTCGGCGGCGAAGAAGCGGGAGGCGCAGGAAGCAGAAAATTGAACTTGGTGGAACTGGGAGCGGAGTGCGGGCCTGGCCGTCAGTGCACTAACTTAGGGTATTCTTAGAAAAGCCACCTTTCGCCTGCGTCACGGAACGGGCGTGAGGCAATGGTCTGGTCTGAGCCCGCTCACTCCCACCGGCCTGCACTCTGCCTGAAGCAACTTGGACTGGGGACAGAACACGTTTGCCGTTTGCGTTGTAAGCATGCTACTAATTGAGTAGCTTTCCTCATCCTCTTGTTGTTGTACATACGTATCCTCCTCCGCCTCCGCCCTTCCTTTGTCTGTCCTCTGATTATTAAACCTTCCGCATCAGACTGTCATTAGCCATATCCTGGGAAGCGGCCGCCGCTCGCAATCAATCGCACCTGCTCGCTCATCTCTCGAGCAGAGTGCTGCCGCTCATAACCTTCCGACAGACTCAGGCACCGCTCAAGCCTGAACCGGACACAGCACTTCCACCATGCAGAGACACTCGCTGCTGGCGCTGGCAGCCAGCCTTTTCCTGCAGTCTGGCCTCAGCGAGACACTCTCGTCCGAGCAATGCGCTTTTGAGCCCGATGCAAAGGTATCCGATGCCTGCGCCTCCTTCCACGACCTCGACACTCTCAATATCAAACTAAACCCATACGTGCGAAATCTTGCCAACAACACCGACTTCTTCTCATACTACCGCCTCAACCTCTACAACAAGAAGTGTCCGTTCTGGAATGACGACAATGGCATGTGTGGGAATAGAGCATGCGCTGTAATCACACTTGACAACGAGGAGGACGTGCCGGAGATATGGAGGGCTGCGGAACTGTCCAAATTGGAGGGGCCGAAGGCGAAACATCCAGGCAAACAGACGAAAGAGAAGCAAAAGCCGTTACAGGGACAGCTTGGAGAGAAAGTGGGCGAAAGTTGCGTGGTGGAGATCGACGACGAGTGCGACGAAAGGGATTACTGTGTACCCGAGGATGAGAGTGCCACGGCGAAAGGAGACTATGTGAGCTTACTCGATAACCCCGAGAGGTTTACCGGCTACAGTGGAGAAGGCGCACATCAGATCTGGGAGTCAATATACCGGGAAAACTGCTTTGCGCGCTCGTCACAAGGGCCGAGTGATGCGCAGAGTGAAGCACAAGCGGCATTGCAGCTCAAACAGGTGATCAAGGACCATGATCGCCAGCAGGCCGCGAGTTCTGGAAGGCCACAAGATTCTCTCGACTTCGAGGACGAGTGCCTTGAGAAGCGTGTCTTTTACCGCGTGATCTCTGGAATGCACGCTTCCATCTCAACACATCTCTGCTACGACTACCTGAACCAGCAGACAGGAGAGTGGGGGCCAAACTTGACATGCTACAAAGAGAGACTGCACAATCGCCAGGACCGGATATCGAACATCTACTTCAACTTTGCTCTGGTATCGCGAGCCGTGGGCAAACTACGGGACTACGTGCAAGATTATGTCTTTTGCACAGGCGACGCTTCGCAGGATGCTCTCACAAGAGAAATGGTGACCACGGTCGCAAATGCCATCCCACCCGGACCGCAAATTTTCGACGAGAGTGTCATGTTCCAGGATCAGACTGCGAACGGCATCAGCCTGAAGGAAGACTTCCGCAATCGGTTCCGCAACGTCAGCAGAGTGATGGACTGTGTTGGCTGCGACAAGTGTCGCTTGTGGGGCAAGATTCAAACGAATGGCTTCGGCACAGCGTTGAAGGTCTTGTTCGAATTCGGAAATGGAAACGATGAAAGGGGCGAGGAGAAGCCACTTCTCAGGCGGACAGAACTGGTCGCATTGATCAATACGCTCGACAAGATCTCCTCGGCCATCAATCATCTCAAGCATTTCCGTGCCATGATGGAGGCAGAGGCTTCTGGCAAATCGGTCGAGGCTGCGGAACAACAGACGCCATTACCGAAGAGCCAGGCCGAATCCTCATACAAGAAGTCGAAATCGCAGGCTTCCTCGCTCGACGACCTCGATGATTTCGACACGGAGCCTGCCACCCCGCCGCGACCGAAACGCACCTCGCAGACCGTGTCGGAGATCTTTTGGGAAGAGTTCGACAATGTGTGGACGGCGTATAAGTTCGTGCTCTGGTCGTGGTCACAGATACCCTTGATGTTACCCTCGATTGTGTTCAGTGAAGTTGGACGTTTGTATGATTTCTGGTTGGGTTTGCCAGTGAGACCACGAGTGTGGGAGATAAGACCGCCCACGCTAGACAACATCAAGGCTTGGAAGAAAGGAGAGATGGGGAATGGCAAAGTCGGGAGAGATGAGCTTTGATGTTGATGCTCTGACTGGGAAAATTTTTGTGTCGATGTGTTCGTTTAGCGGGAGTTTTTATTGCATGTTGGGAACCTTTTCGATTGTACATGCGAAATTCGTGTGGATATCCTGTGTCAGAGTTTTAATTCCACGCTCGCCTGCTGTGACTCTTTTGCTGTTTCTACAGTGTCCATCTTTCGTTGCCAGGTGGTGATGAGGCTTTGGGGCCAAGAAGTCGGCAGGCCCGGTGTAAAGGAATGACGAGTTAATTGATTCAAGCTGACTCTGCTACACATGTAATATGCGATTAACGATCGAATAGGTCCTGCTTTTTGTGTCGTCGTGGCAATGAAGTCGTTTTGAGTTGACGGGCCTTCTGCAGAGCAATGACATTGTTCTGATATAGCATGCTTCGGCGATACGACTCTCGCCTTCAACTCCACTTGGAAGACTATGCATTTGACAATTAGTGCAGTCGGTGCGGCGGCAGAGGACGAGCAGATGCTTCTTCGGACTCCGCCACGATGATGCCGGAGTCCGTGGTGATGCCACCTGCTCTCGGTGCAACAGTGTGAAATTGTACCTACGAAGCACGGTTCACAAGTTGCAGTTACTGCGTATAGATGTTGCAGAGTTTGTATAAGTCGTGCAGTCGGAGAATTGGCGAGTCAAGTTTGTGCCAAGACGTATGATCGCCACGAGGTCTGCTTCATTACCAAAGATCGTTTTGAGGCCAGTGCTTTTGTGTGCGGGTTTAGGTGGACCAGGATTGATGAACTGTTGGTTTGAGAACTTGTTAGCTTGTCAGAGATGTTGGATATCACGGTATCAGGAATGGTCTGGCCATGAGGTGATGAGGTGCTGAGAGAAGCGCAATTGTTTCTCGATCGATGCTGCTGGTTGGAGAGTGCTTCAATCGACAATGCGAATGCCAGTTGGGAGTCGAAGTTCGGAGTCCGTTGCGGGCTGGCTTCTGACATGTTGGCGCGACTGCGCGATGGAGGCACGCGTGCGTTCTTCGATAGTGTCGATATGAGACACGGGCCGAGTTGCGTGAGGCGTGTCCGCATCGGGGGTGGTGGTTTCTAAGTCATACCCAAACGGTGTGGGATTGATCCCGTCATCAGCCACATTCATCAGTCGCGAGGCATCCTGATGAGCATGTCTGAGCGGGACCATATATCGACGACTGCGCTAGCAATCTGCGGAGGAGCAAGGCGCTCCGGGCGGCCACGAATGGCACACAGTGCGATGGACGGGGAGAAGCAGTGGATGAAACGTCGTGCAGCGAGCGAGGGACGTCAGGAGGGCAGTGGAGGGATGTGGAGGACAGGGCGCTGCGAGTGGCTCGCGAGCGTGTTGGTGAAACAGGATCACAGGCCTTGTCACACGGAGTTCTGGCTTGCTTCGGCAGTGACGACCTGGCGCCGGCGATTGGTCGCGCCTGCCAGCGCTGACTGCCCGCGGCAAGTGTGATTCGCTGGACGGGCTCCCTCCACGCACCAGAAGCTCAGCAACTGCTTAGCGCGTGGCCCGATCTCAGAGACTTTCTCGCAGTCGCAACACCTCATCAGACTGCGCTTCTGTCTCACTCGCTCCAAGCGCCAGTCTTCCCTCTCTTTCCCCCTCACTCTCTCTTTGACAGACGCGCCTGTGGCAGCGAGCGAGCGTGACACTCACTTTCACCCCTCCCACACTCTTTCCATCGGCGGCACTGGACATACTTCAGCGAAGCTTGCCGCCAACCCACTCCCTTGCGAAACTCGCTCCACCACCACCACCACCACCACCACCGCGCATACTGCGTCTCGTCGCCCTCTACATTCCTTCATCTGCTCGTGCCCCAGTCGGCCAACAGATCGATTACTGTCCGTGACAGTCGCACCGTTGATCGAAACGCGCCTGCTATTCGCGATTCATCTTCGACGAGAGAGCTATTTCTGGTTCTCTGTTAAGGTCGAGGATCCCACGATTCAGCTTGCTCAAAGCCAATCTGCAGCAAACTCTCAAAGCCTGACGACCCTCATTCGAGTGACGTGCCGGGCACTTCTTCACAACACACGTGAATTTGATCGATATCGCGAGCCCGGAGGACCTTCTGCGTTCTGAACGTTGCAACGCACACCAACGGCAACCACGATCCGAGTACCAAACGATCCACCATGTCGCTCGCACGCGCTTTCACCACGAAGCGCGAGAACAACTCGACGCCCAACTTCAATCTCGGACGCGCAGCCACGCAACGAAACGCCAAACCGATCAAGCGATCTCAGATCTCGTCGCCCGTTGCTCTCATATCCACGACCAATCCGTTGTCATATGATGCACCCAACATTGCTGGCACAACACCCATCCGCGTGCGCAACATCACACCGGCGTCGGCCACGAGTAGCACTGGTGAAGACAGCGATGCTCCATCCTTGAGCTTCGATGGCACCGACACGTCGTCGATCGACGAAACGCCCATGACCCCCGAGCCAGAGCCCAACCACCTCAGCTGCTACTTCAAGCCTGGTGTCGACCCCAAGACCGTGCACCGGTCTCGAAGCGGAACGACATCAACACCGACCGACGCTCCTGTGATCCCACAGCGAGTCCCTTCGCACTCCAAAAAGGCCCATGAGAACGTCCACCGTAAGCGATCCGTGCAGCGCCTTATGTCACCACCAGCAAGTCTGGTGCGACGCAATTCGACTGAATTTTTCGGGATGGCGAGCCAAGGCACTGACGTATCTCGGGACGACAATCCATTTGGCAATGAGCTGGCACAGCTGGACGCTGTTGCAGAGGAAATGAGCCATGCGGTGCGAGACGCCGAGGCCGAGGAGGACAAAATTTTCATGAAGGCTCACGGACTGGCCTGCTTTGGTATTGACGACTACATGTTGGAGATCAAAGGTCTGGTCTACGATTACCTGGTTGAGGAGCCGGTCGAGCCAGTCTGGATCTAGATGATCAATGCGACGGATCATGCGGTCCCACGCAATCGAACGCGTCGAATCTTGAAATCGACGAGTTGCAGATGCGGTGCTTCCGACTTCGCCCACCTGAAAGCGGATTGGCAGCATCCACTTGCATGGCCACCAGCATGCACATGTCACCGACGCGAAAGGAAAGACATTACTTCTTGCTCATACTTCTTGGCTGTCACCCGACAACATGCTCCAGCTTTCCGACCACAGTCTCTCGTTATTTCTTTACATTTACCATGAGCAACCACTTTACCCTGGCGGGACCTCTCTTTGACGAATCTGACGACGATCACATGGGGATTGCAGTCCTTGCCGTCCACTCTTTTGACGAATTTTCTTGATGATGACAATGTTTATTGGGAATAGATGAAGGGCGTTGCTGTCAGATGTTCTTCACATGGCGCGAATACCTGCGGAAGGGCAAATGGGACTCTGCTTCGACAGCGCTCTGGCGAGTCTTGAGATAGGCTTCATCTCTGGCTTAGCCAGGGCAGCTTACTTGTACATGAACATTGATATGAAAAGTTGCATACACTACCATCGTGCTGCATCCACCCCTGCCGTCACTTGTGCGTATTGCTGTGTGCATGTGCGTGTCCATGTCTCCGTCCTGCCGAGCGCGACCGGGCCGAATTAGAGCATTGTGGCATCATGAGTATTTCTTGTTGGCGTTCCGGATGTCGCCTCTCGTTCCGCACCACTCGTGGGCGATCGTGGTCGTGGCACAAGACTGCACAGCTCACGCACGTGAGGCCGGATGCAGTTTAGCGCGGGGTCGGATCGCGCTTGCCGTCGCATTCGGGCACGGCCGCACGTGCGCATTAGTTCATTTGTTTACACGCTCACAATAATCTTTCTGGAAGTTGCTTCTCTCTGCTACCAAAGACTAACGCCCATTCGACGTCTTTCTTCATTTCTCCTCTGCTACGCGCCCACGCCACGTTGGAAGCGCAACTTGCTGCCTGGTGCACACGTCACCACCTCCCACGACACGACTTCGGCAACGACCGACCTGCCGTCCAACGCGAAGCTTGCACGTTAGACGCGGTGCCTGCAGTAGCTTTGCACCCCTCCACTACCGGCACCGCACCACACCGTACGCACTCTCACCACCCGCTGGCCCTCCGCCCCCCCCCTGCTGCGTGCTGCACCACGGACGCTGTGTCACCAATTGCCCTCTCTCGTTCCATCTCGGCCCTCCGTTGCACCGCGACGCCCGCGGTGAAGACATCGCCAAGAGCACTCAGTCTCCGCGGTACCGCTTCAGTGGGGTGATCAGCAGGAGCACAGGATACCTGCGAGCAAGTCAAAACAACCACGACAGACACAATGGCCAGCATGGACATCGATTTCACGAGGCGGAACAAGAAGCCCCGTCTGCTGACGGATTCCGAGCGGGACAAGCTGGACGAGTTTATTGATGCCATTCACTACTCTTCGCGGTGAGTCACCCATGAGACCACTCAAAGCGTTTCACTGGAGCGTCAATGGAGGCTAACGTGACATTGTGCGACACAGATACAACGACGACCACTACGAGTACCGTCACGTCCAACTTCCGAAGCAGATGTTGAAAGCGATACCCAAAGACTACTTTGACGGAGCCCGAGGCACACTGAAGCTGCTGTGGGAAGATGAATGGAGAGGATTGGGTATTACGCAGAGTCTTGGATGGGAGCACTATGAAGTGCATGAGCCCGAGCCACACATTTTGCTATTCAAGTGAGTACAAATTTTCCTGGCCGCGTGGAATGGTCACGAGGATGAGACAGTCATGCTGACATGTGCGCGTCTTCTCAGGCGACCGATGAACTTTCAAGCGAATCAATGATTTTAGCACGTTCAAATCAGCATTGAGATTACGCCATCACAACGAGCGGAAGAAGCAAAGCGGAACATGACGTCCCATTGAGAGCAACGAATCCCGACATGGTGGCGTCCTTCTGGATCGGATTGACGAAACTTGCTTCCGTGGTTACATCTCCGATGCAAGGCCAGTACCTGGTACGGAGGCAAGCCTTTGGCATACGGGGGACCAGGGAGACCAACCGGCGTGGTCGGCACCTTTCGCGGGATACCTCATGACTTCGCTTGGGATGAAGGCTGGAACGTTTTGCTTGCTTGCGTACGCGCCCTGCTTTTCTCTTGCATCCGGAGATGGCGCATCGCCGCATTTACTTTTGTCACGAGGTTATGCATTAACGGTCGGTCGGTCAGTCAGTCAATTGCAAGGTGTTTCTGTTGTTGCCATGGGGATCTGATCTTTTTCGTTGTTTTCTCTCTCCACTCTGAGAGTACACAGCGCGAGCCGAAGGTTGTCATCCTCACACCCGGCGTCCTCTCAAGCAGCTGCCTGTCTCATTCCAAGCATAGTGTATAGGTAATTTTGAAAGGGGAAACAAATACCATTTCTTGATCATGGCGCCCTTCCCTTTACCCTTGTCTTTCCTCTCCGTGCACATATGTATCCTTAGGGGCTGCAACAGGCCATCTCCAAAGAATTCCATAGTGACTGCTCATTGGAAGCTGCTCGCGCAAACACAAGCATGGCAAATGACACAGCGAGAAAGACAATGATTCATGACGCTGAAATGGAGAACAAAAAGTCTATATCATTATCAAGTAACAAGTCTATATCGTCGTCGTAACAACATGGTCATGATCCTCATGTCATACTCATATTAGACGCCAAACCAAAATCTATATCATCTCTTCACACATTCATTAACTTCAACGTGATCGGCTCACCGCGGCTCCTGTCGCTGCTGCTGCAGTGGACGATGTCGTTGCTGCACTAGTCGCAGGGGCAATAGCCGCGGGTGCTCCGACAGGTGAACAAGCGCAATTGGGCGAGCAGACGCAGACAATGTTTTGCGTTAGGGTGATTTGCATTGTGAGGGTGGAAGTCACTGCTGCGCCGCTGGGTGTTGTTGTGGGTGCTGTTGTTATGCTTGAGCTGGGGATTCTGGTGGTTGATGAGGAGGAAGAGGCGGGGCGTGTGGAGGTCGTTGACGTGCTTGTTCCGGTGCTGGTTCTACTCGTGGTGGAGGTAGAGGTCGAGGAGGAAGCAGGGATAGTCGTGGTGGAGCGGGTGCTGGTGGTGAGGGAGGATGTGGACGTGGAGCTCGTGGCAGCCCTGCTTGTCGTTGTTGATGAAGAAGATGAAACTGCTCCTGGGGCATTGCCCACAGCGGAACCGACCCAGGCATTCCAGTTCGTGACGCCGTTTTGACAGCTTGTCGAAATTGGCTTTCCTGTCTGTTGGATCACAGTGTTGCCATTTCGAACAACGCTGATCGAAACTTGTCCTGTCCTTCCATTGAATGGCACGCTTCCGTGATAGAGCCCTCTTCCGCCCGATGGCTTGTTCCTCCATGTTGCCGTGGTGTTGACTCCGCCAATGGTGACGATCGCATCTGCTGGCGAGTCTAGCAGAGCAGTGAAGAAAACGTTATCTTGCACGACTTCGGCTGCTCGATATTGCTGTTGGCCGTGGCTAGCGGTGTTTCCTGAGGTTCCTCCATCGCCACATGCATTCTTTGGGCTGAGACGGTACCAGTACTCGAGGGTCTCGTTGGCCACCGGCTGGACGCCACCGTTCTTGTAAGTGCTGATCCAGTATGGAAGAAGAGCCCGCCAGCCATCGTGAGGCATATCTTGAGCGTAGTTATAGGGCGCTCCGCCTGGGGCGAAAGCACCGAAGTCGGCGTTACGCTGAGGACCAATGTAGTGCGATTCAGGCCTACGTTAGACGACTGTGTCAGCGTGAGGTTGGCATGTCCTAGGTTGAGATACTCACCAGTCATTCCAGGAGATAATCTGAACCCACTCAGGCTGCAACTGCAAGACCTGACTCCAGCGGTCGTACCACAAATCATCACCGCGCCACAGCCAGTTCTTGCTCCACGTAGGAACGTTTGCGTAAAACCATGGCGACACTCCCATCATATATGGCTCCCTACCGGCAGCGCTAATCCACTGCTGGTCTCTGCTGGTGGTCATGTCATTTGGTCCGTTTGGCCAGGCCTCCCACGAGAACAAGCCATCGGCAACGCCTCCAGACGCTGAAGCTGCGGCGGAAGGTCCGATGGAGGCCCATTCGGGAACAAAGAAGCAGTTTGTTTGACTCTTGATGTTGGCCCAGTCTCCTGAGTTCTGTGTTCCTTCGAAGCTGCTCGGTATTAGTGCTACTGATCATGTGCATATTGGAGTTCTACATCTCTTACGTTGTTGCGATGGGTTTGCCGTTGTAGGTCATGTGGGCTGAGTTAGGACCATACTGCTTCATGTAGTTGATGACAGCAGATGCTGGCCAAGGGCCGTTGCCAGCATAATCGAAGCTGTGGCAACTGTCAGCATTCCGCAGCGCCTCTGCGTGTATATGAGTCTCACCTGAAGAGAAGCTTGAAGCCCAGAGAGTTCGCGGCTTGGAAAGCGTTCGCAATAGATTGGTCCTATGTCTGGTCAGTCTGCCTGCTAGTCTGATTGTCCCGGTCTATTCCGTACCAGCTGACTGCTTGGGTTATACGCCATGTTCAGCGCAAAGGCGTCGATGCTAGCATCTTGAGCAGCCTTGATGTCGTATTGCCAGTCGGCAAGCGAGTAGCTGTAGGAGTTGGCCAACATGAAGTGTGCCATGACAGCCTTGGCCTCGACAGCGCTCGCGCCAGCAAGCGCTGCCATGAGCAGAGTGAACCAGCTCATCTTGTCGAATGTCGCTGCCGATGGAGTGCGAAGGTGGAACAGAGGTCAGGGAAGGTTACACAACATGAGGGAGGCCTTCTTTTGTGTATGTCGCGCCACGTCCTTTGCGGCAGCAGAATACGCCTCAGGGCGTCGGACATGTGCGTTGAGGGCTTTCATGGCAATCCCATCCGATCATTCAGCTGGACGCCATGCGTTAGACGCCGGCCGTCTGGCCTCGTCTCGCAGCTCTGCACTGACGATTCGGGGCAAGTCTGGCCATGATATCAGCCTCAAGTGCAGCCAAAGCACAGCCATGGTCAGGCCACGAGTCGATGTATTGTCCCGAAGCGTGTAGAGCACATGTTGAGCGTCGTGGGAAGTGCCTCCACAGGGCTGCGCGAGAGTCGTGTCATTGGAGCGCCGTCGACGCCAAGCAGGCCTGGACACGTGGGAAGAGTCGGGAGGCGTCTTTTGACTTCTCAAAACTTCGTGACTTTGACAGCACGACACTTTCTCGCCGCCGCGTCTGATTTTACTGTGACCGCTCCCACCCGGCGTGGCATGCTCCTACGCGAATGCGCAGAATCATGTCCAGTCACGACCATACTGCCGCTTCCACGTGGTCTTGCTTCTGGCCGCCCCTTTCGCCTTCCAGAGCGACGTCTTGCCCTGGAAGGCATTTGTGGCAGCAGCAGAGTTTGGCTCTTGCGTGATTACGGCGGGAGCATGCTCGACGGCTTTATCTAAAGCGTTAATGCGGCTGCTCGGTGCCTTTCGCCGGTGATGAGAAGAAAGACATGCTCTGTAAACGCTCCCGCGTGAGAAAAGGCCGTGGCAGCAAAAGATTCGGACCTGGTACCAGACTTGCTCACTAAATTGCACAGGTCATTCTGTCGCCTGCGACACGGAAGGAAGCAGCCCTCACATCCTTCTGTGATTTAGCGGAACTCTTTCCAACTACTTGTAAAGCGGGCTCATCTTCATGTAACCCATACACTTGTCAACCAGAAGGCTCCGACGAAGCCTTGACTCCACGCCCTGCGAACAAAAGAGCAGATCGGCAACTGCTCTCAGCGACCGCAAGGAGTCTGGGTCAAGCTAGCTGATGCCAGCCCACCATAGGCTGTCGAAGGGACATGGAAACATGCCATGAACATACCCGCAATTCACGCTGCGTGTCGCAACGCCGACAGCAGTGCTGCGAGATTTGCGCTGCCGGCAATCATGTCACCAATTGGTAGAACACGGTGCGAAGCACTGGAGCAAGAACGCGAAGCAAAAAATCCGAGAAGGACAAACCGTAAGTCACTCTGCAGCGACAAATGAAATCGAATACGTCTGTAGGTACACACCTGTGCAGTGCAGGGCATGATGCAGTTGTAAGGCGTTCCGGCAAACAAGCTCTCATCAGCACACAGACTATTCTAGAGCCCAATCTGGACACCGCCAAGGATTTGACTCTGGCTCAGCTCGAAGCTATACGCCGACACATAGGCTCAGCTGAGGATCATCAGTATATGACAAGGTCTCGAGAGAACATTCTCTCATGGACTGATTATAAAGGTACTGCAAAGATTCGCATGTGGTTTTGCCACCAAGTACAATTCCAATAATGCCTGATTCACCCTCATCTGCTCAAGAGTTCCCCCAGATTATCAATCTCTTCAAATCGGAGCCCTTCAAGAACCGGGTGAACAACCTCCTCGCAGAATGGCACGTTCTGGGTTTCTCGATAGCCATTGTATCGAATAAGAAGGTGTCTTCACAAGGCTTCGGCTTGGCTTCACTAGACCCGGAAATTCCGTGTACACCAGACACAATCTTCGACATTGCTTCTTCGTCAAATCTCTGACGGCAGCTGCTGTGGGTCTCCTCGTAGAGGATAATGAGAAGTATGAAGCTGTCAAGTGGGATGCGAAGATGCATGATCTCTTGCCGGAGGACTCCGTACTAAATGAGGATAGCTTCACCGAAGAGGTGACAGTGGAGGACATCCTGAGCCATCGGAGTGGAGTTCCTGGGTAGCCAAACTCCGCATAGAGTTGTATTGTCGAAGAATGCTGATAATCGAATCGTAGGCATGACGATGCATTCTTCGGTCTTCGTTCCAAAACCCCAGATTCAGTCAAAACGATAACCAGGAAATTACGACATCTGCCAATCAGCAAACCATTGAGGACTGAATACCAGTATTCCAATACCATGTTCGCTGTTGCGACACACCTCGTCGAGACATTGACGGGAAAGACTTTTGGAGAATTCATTGAAAAGTCTTTTCTGCGGCCTTCGAGAATGAGTGATACACACCTCCAACCTAGCGCTGTCAAAACCGCGGGGAAAGAGGACCGCCTTGCGTTGCCGTACCAATGGAGCCAATCTGAACAGATTTTCGAGCTCAAGAAATGCCAAGAGGTGCCCGAGACGCAAGGTGCAGGTTCCATTCAGACTTCTGTGAACGACCATATTAGATGGGTGCAGGCGCTGATGCATCAGGAAGGTCCCGTTACGAAGGAGCTCTACGAGGCCCTAACTCGTGTGCGTATCGTGCAGGATCCAGACAGCTCACCCGAAGGACGAGCGCCATTCACTTCTTTCACCGGATACGCAGCGGGACTGGAAGTCTCGTACTATCGTGGCCACCAAATTATAGGGCATGATGGTATGATCACCGGATACTCTAGCAGGCATTTCTGGATGCCCGAGTTCGAGTTCGGTGCAGTTATGCTGGGCAACTCGGAAAGTGCTGGTTCGGTAATAGACGTCTTGTCCAAAGAACTAATCGATGAAATCCTCGAAGTCCCCATGGAGAAGCGTGTCGATTGGAATGCTCGTGCGCATCAAGTCGATGAGGAATACCAGGCAGAAATGGATAAGTCTATCGCGAAGGAGCTGAGACCTGACTTGGAATATCCAGAGCTGCTCAAGATTCCATTGAGTGCATATGTTGGAGAGTACTGGAATGCTGGGTACCGTGGTTTCAGCATTGGAGTCAGAGATGGGAAGCTGTTCGTCGATGCGACAGAACGGACAATGGGCTTCTGGCTTGAATTTGAGCACTTGGCAGATCAGTCCGTGTTCGTGGTCAAGCTTAGGGACTATTATGATGGTTTGTCTGTGGAGCGAGCTGCCGAATTCCGCTTCCAGAATGATCGGGTTGTGAAAGTCGGCATTGACTTCGAAGATGACTTTGATGGGTATATTTGGTTTGACAAGGTCGAGCAGAGTAGCGAATGACAGCTCTGCGGCTTCGCATAGTCGTCACTGCGTATCGTATGTCCTCACAAATAGTAGGATGGAGGTAGCTTGCAAGCTGGTCAGCATGGCATAGGACATCGGGCTCTTGAGACGACATACAGCACTGTCAACGGGGCCGACTGTGGACACCGAATCTCGAAATCCATTTCCATCACCGTGTATTCGACGGGAGTGGTAGACTTGCAACGGAACCTCAATGACCAGAGGAGGGTGTGTTACTTGCGCTATGCGAATGTCCACCCTCACTGCATACCGAACCGTCGCGAGCGGAGTTGCAAAGGTAGGTATGAGCTGTGTAGGTGGCCTTACAGGCATTGGTATCGTGGCTTCGGAAACAATGCCTGGGGCGTCTGGTCGCGTGTGGGTGTGTTCCCACCACAGAGGGTCGACTGACCACGTGGTTTCATAGATAGTCTCTTTCCGCAGTCGCAGGTATTTGTTCTTCTTGAGCAAGCGACTACACGCAACTTCACGTATCGGCATTGTAGTGTAGAACGTTCGTCGAATCAGCGCCATTTGGACCTCGCATGTCCATCGAGGCGGCTGTATCTCCGCGTTCGTCAATCTTAGTGTGGCCAGCGTTAGCGTTACCATGCCTTGCGTATGGCCAGGCTTGCCATCGTAGAACATGGGCAGTGGTCGAAATTCGGAAGACGAGACTGTGACATCGCCACAAACAGTCCGGAATAATCCTTTGCGTGCTTCTTCGGTTGAGGTGAGCTTGAATTCCCCAGGGAAGTCTTCCACGCTAATGGGAGGCTCCGGCTCTGTCAAGGGAGAAAAGTCAATTGTGCGTGACCTCCGTATCTGTCGAAGTCGCGGTCCGGTCCCGGACCGGTAGAATATGGTGACCGCAATACAGTATTCGATCAGAGGTTGCATGCATTGATTGCCATGTTGATCTCTTGATGTCGGACCAGCTTTGAAGCTCGGAGGTAGACCAGATAGATGAGGACTCAGATCTTGATTTGGTAAGCATTGCGGAGCGATACGAAACTTGAAAGGCATTATGCAGCGACGTTCGTTGGCATCCTGCTGTGGTATTCTTTCTGAACGAGGTATGTTCTGCGACTGCTTAAGGAACTGGCCATAATGAGCGCAGGCATAGTGATGAGATCTCTCAAGCACTCACGTCGTATCTTGCCGCTGAAGCATAATATTCGTGGTCGACCCAGGTTCGCATAGTGCCTACAGAGTTCAGCATATCGAACCGGATTTAGCTGAGGCTGAGGCCAAGCGCACCTTCTAATGTCACGGCGACATGGACAAGCTCTACTGCGTTGACGTATTGAGCATGTATACTTCCTGAGATTAGGTCTTCGGGATGGTACGTGTGGTTGCTGATGCCGTCCGGACCGTCGTTTCGCAGGCTGATACTGATGTCGTATATCGTCTTGGGTGCTTTTGTCTCTGCTGGTGGGGTTTGCGGGGTGAGACTCTGTGTTGTGCTCAACGTCAAAGCCATGGTCTTTCTGCTGCACGATTCAAATGAACGATGTCTGCTGTCAGAAGGATAGATTGCTGGACGGCACAGGTGTGTGCTCGCGAAATTAGACCAGACTGAACTTCAATATGCAAATTTGAGGCATGGATGCTTGATGCCCAAGTTCTCTCAGGATTGCTCGAGCGGCATCGTCTCCATTGCGAGCACTTGTTTCCACAATGCTTGCTGGAACGAGCACGACTCAGCCCTTGCCTGTTGTCGTCTATCTGCCTGGTAGTGTGATCGCCTCACAATCAACGCTGGACGGCACTACTGCCCGGGCAGCCCGCCGACCGCCTTCAGATCACATGCGGCGGGGCCGTCCAGCACAGCGCCCAAATATTCGCGCTCTCGCGAAACCTCTTTTCATGGGTAGAATCAGGATTGTCCTAATGTGCCAAGAACGTGGGTTATCTGCGCATCGCAGAAACCAAACCAGTCAGCCGAACATTGGCAATGGCGGTCCAGAATGCAGCCTGCAGCATCATCGCAGTGCAGCCAGTCCTCCAGAATCCTCAGGCGAGCGGTCGAAACAAAGTACAGGGATACTTTGAGTCAGGGTGGAGTGGAGTGAAGCCTAAATTGAGGGTGCAGATGATCAGGCCAATGAACAGGGCGCCGGGCAGAAGCACCCGATCCCGATCTGCCAACACCACAACACCTCCTCACGCGATGCACGAATCCAGGGAAACGCAGCCTTATCAAGCATTTTCGTATACTCGTACCCTCTACAGTCTCGCAGGTGGCGCTTTGCTCGCCGCGGATACTGGCTGTGTTGCTCGATGCTCGTACGAGATGGCATTCTTGGCTGCGATGATCTCGAGGGATAGGTCGACGCAATGCCACAGCATCTTAGGACGTTGGCTGTCTGGGCGACGTAAGAGGTACATACCTTGACAGCTGCCACACCGAGCACCGCTGTGAAGATACCTTGTTCATGACTCTTGCGTCACCCATGTCGTCCATGTGAGCAGCAGCATGGCTCGATCAGATCACTCCAATTTCTGCATGCGGCTAACTGGTCCTATAAGGTGAGCAAGGACACTCTAGGCAATGTAGCACACTGGCAGATTACCGCATCGAGACAGCGCGCCTCTCACGCTGCCTCACTAGCTGCAACTTTCCCCGCGAATTGTCCTGCACGGTCCGCGCCATTGGCGTCCTCTTCATGTTTTCTTGTTGTGAAAGCTCAGGTCCAATAGCAGCATGGCTTTCGAACCTAACCGGCCACCAGCCCCTGTGCAGAGAGGACGATCAGGTGCATCAAGTTCGTCAAGACGGTCAATTGCCGTATCCATTGACCCGTGCACCTGGACAAACTTCACCATGTCCCCTCACGATGATCGGCCCAGGCCGAATGTGTAGCAGAGCAGTCAACTCAAAAGCCCACAAGATCCAGGTTAGAGCGCCTGCTCCATTTTCCTCGTACCTTGAAGCTGCGTGACAGAAGCTCGAGGCAGTTAATCCGCCATCATGTCGGGCAACGTAGACACCAACAGACCTGCAGATGCGCCTGCGAAGAACAATGGGCTTTACTATGCCGACAACGACAAGGACTTTCTGCATCCCAACGACTCACGCGACAATGCCTTGACCAAGATCAGGACTGCTGGCAGCATCGTCATGCCTCCAGAGTTGTTCGAGAAGCTGTACTTGTCGCCCGAGAATAGAGTCAAAGGTGATCTGAGAAAGACATTCGGTAACCCAACGCCCATCGGTCTTGGAGGTTTCTTGCTCTCTCTGACTCCATTGTCCTGCTTCTTAATGAACTGGCGAGGGACCTTGACTGGACTTGGCGCCTCGGATATCGCAGTTTACATCTACTTTGGTGGCGTATTGATGGTCGTTGCAGGTTTCTTCGAGGTATGTGTAATCATCATCAAGGCGGCTGAGGTTGCAACTGACGTTGATTTTCAACAGCTGATCCTCGGAAACACTTTCCCCGCCGTCGTCTTCACCACGTTCGGCGCTTTCTGGTTCTCGTTCGGCGGAACTCTCCAACCGTTCTATGGCGCTTGGGCTGCCTTCGCAGAGGATCCAGTCGGAGCACCACAAACAGGTCTTGAGAACCCAGCCTTCTTCAACGCATATGCATTCTTCCTGCTCTTCATGGGTCTGCTCTGCTTGGTCTACCTCATCTGCTCCATTCGTACCAACCTGATCTTCTTCTTGATCTTCCTGCCTTTGCCCCCGACTTTCGCGTGCTTGGCAGCCAGCTTCTGGTTCACCGGTATGGGCAACATGGCATATGCGCACACGCTACAAGAGGCTGGTGGAGCGATGGCTTTTGTTGTGTGTCTGCTCGGATGGTATCTCTTCACCGCACTCATGTTGGCCTCCGTCGACGCGCCCTTCTCTCTGCCAGGTAAGTCGAGATCTCACCATACGTTCTGCTAGACCTTCGCTAATGTTTATCCAGTCTTCGACCTTTCCACTCGCATCAAGGGTGCGAGCGATAAGCAACTGAAGGGATCTCTTGAAGGCGACGTCTAAATATGCTTCGAGAGATACAGACTTCGCTATGCATGAACAAGATGAGAAAGAGGTTTGGACATGATGATATCCGATATCCGGCAAAGTGCCGGCAGTATTGCAATAGCGCGCCTTGCTGGGAGATAGCGATAATGCAGAAAGTTTGATGATGCTATCGTGCCTCCGCTCCAATCTTCGCAACGGCAGAAGCCAATGTCTCTCAATTGGTGCTTTGCCCAGACGGTTCCTGATCTGACCTTGGGTTTCCTGTGGGCTTCGAGTCCTTGGTTGAAATCTTCGGATCGCAATTCTGAGTGACAAGAGTCCGCTAATGTCGTCTCCTAACTTATACTGGAAGCGTCGGTAATGCTCTAAGCACTCGTCATTCCTCGATGCGGATCCAGACCGTCTCAGAACTTCTTCGCAGTGTGTTGCAAGAGCCTCTTCCTGCGTGTTTGGTGCCCGGAGAACGATTGAAGTCCAGAAACGCGTCTACGCTCAGCCTGGAACACTCCAAAGCGCATCAAAAGGATAGTCAAAATTGTCCACTGGAAGAAGGAAATCCGAGCTCCAGCTCGCAAAGTCGAAGTCCAGCGCAGCATCCTCGAGCTCCGACTGCTGCGAGCTTGTGGCGGTCCCTCTCTCCTTCGACGCAGGTACGGCTACCGGCAGTACGTCTCGCATTGATGCGCAGATCTTATCAATGGGCTCTGCACACCTCTCGAGACAGAAGTCGGCGAGGTCCCAATTCGACTCTGCCTTCGCTTTTTGCAAACGATCTCTGAATTGAGCCAATTTCTCCACGCATGTACGTTTGGTGATTGTGTCTGTAGATTCCAGAAGGCATCGCAGAGTGATAGTAGCTGCCGTCACCAGGAGATGTGCAGTATAAGGCAACCAGAACTCGCTGAGCTGTGTTTGTGTTAATGCTGTCACAAAGTCAATAAGAAGGAACGCAGCCTCGCGCAGCATGCCTAAGCGGTAGGGACGAGCTTCTGCTGGGCTTGCGCTCACATCCGACGTGGTGGTCTTGAAAGCAATACGACACAGGAGCAGCTTGATCGTCAAATGGCAGAAGCGAAGATTGCTAACTCCGTTCGTTAGACAATCTCCGGATCCTGCATGCTGCAGAGAAGCTGGTAACTCTGTTTCCCAATCGTCCACCAAGCATTCGACGCGGCGCAAGCTCCGCATTGTGTCAGCTGGATCGTTCTTGAGCGTGTAGACGAACGGTAGCAACTGTCCCAGGATCTGCGAAAGCTTGCATAACTGCACAAACAAGGACTGTGAAGACTGAGTGTCGCTTATGTGACTTTCTTCTGTGTCAAAGTTAGGCAATGGCACATCGCAGTTCTGAGATTGGATCAGTGGCGGAGTTCCATGAGCCAGACTTGCCCTGCATAGAGAAGGTCAGCATCTCAGAACGATTCTCCTGCGTGATGCCAGCTCACCAATGGTCATGAACCAACACTCCCCACCACAACCGGACGCGTACGTTTTTCTCGTGCTCTGTCGCTCGCCAATTCGCAGGATTGCGATGGAGGCCTAGACTGTGCGCAAGCGTCACAGTACGTCCAAGCGTGATTATGTTACCGGAAATGGACATCACAGGTCTGCCTACCAGATCCAGCAGTGCAGCATGCACCGTGGTGATGGTGGACTCCAGGAAGTCTTCTTGGAGAGCAGAAACAGCCTGGTTGTACATGAAAGAGAGGTCCGGTTGCGGGTATGGTTGCAAATCTGGCGATGTATGCCAGAAGTGCAATGCGGCAGCATAGATGTCGCAGAGCAGCGGGGATGAGATTCGAGTTCTGTCTTGGACCCAGAGCTCTTTGAATGTCTTCTCGTCGATTATCGGGAAACAAGGATGCATTTTAGTGAAGTATCTAGTCTTCCGGTTAGCATGCCTCGACTTCATCGTCGATGTTTTTCCATACAGTTCTACAACATGATCGCGGAGCTTGCCCAGTACGTTCTCCATGATCTCTCTCTGTTTTTGGCCTGGTTCATTCTCTGTACGAAGCCCTTGCCGGCGTCTTGGAACTGTCAGATATACAATGGGCTTACCTGGCGCGGTTGATATGACACTGTATGGCTTTGCTACCATCGATCTTGCCGCACCATGTGAGGTAAGATAATGCTCAAGCACTTCTATATCTTCCGCCATTGGAGGATTGAGCATGAGCGAGGATTCATTCGGCGATGTGCCGGCGACGCTTGGGAACTGTGCAAGTGATTCACTTGGCGTAGTAGTCCCTTGACCCAAGACTGTCGGCGATAGATGCTCATTTCTCAGACAGATTCCTTGGGCATGAATTTGCCCCGGAGACAGGTCGGCCGGCAGTGACCGCTCACCCTGTTTGGAGAGAGTGATGCCGATAGTGCTGCCTTTCGAAGAGATCTCTTGAGGAACATTCCTGTTCTTCGTCAAGCTCGTTAGCCAGGACCAGCTCCTTTCCTGGGAGAAAGACATGCCTCTGAGCGGTTGGCTCTCGAACGCTTAGCTGGGCGCTGTTCCACGGCATCGCTCGCTCGCTTCTGTCTGAACTCGCACGTCAAGTCACGCTCCCTGCAAAATCGACACGATTGGCCAGGGACGTCAACATTGCAGTGAATCTTTCGGCGTCGGCACAAGTCGCATGCAGGAACTTTGTGTGATCGATATGGCCGACTGGCGGATGCTGTGCTAGATGATGTTGGTGCCATTGTCGCCAAGATGGGAAATCACAAGCGGGAAACATCCACTTTTATCAATGTCTCGTAGCGACCTTGATCCTGCGCCCATCTTGCTTGGAGAGATAGAATGCCCTGGGCCGGCTGCACAGGGCAGAGATGCAAACAACTTGGTTTAGTCGGGCAGGAGAGATGGAGCCATTTCACCGAAAAGTCTAGCTACAGTGGAGGATTCACATGCGTTAATCATTTCCGATCCGATCCGATCCCATTCCGTCCCGTCCCGCGTCTTCCTTGGCGCTGTCTCCTGGCGCTCCGCTCCTTCTAACTACTACTCCTCTCCATTTGACATTCAACATACCTTACAGCCTCGCTTCAACCACGCTCTCTTCTCGACGAGGCTCATCCTTCTGGTACTGTGGCTTGGTCCCCGGCGTCGTCGCAAGAGCCTCTTCAATGATACTCAGCCCCCGCTCGAGCTCTTCGTCGGTGGTCGTCAATGGAGGTGCCAACCTAAACACTCCGCCGAAAGACGGCATTGTGCTCAACTGAGCCCACAAACCTAACTCGCCCATCTTGTCTGCGATCGCACTACCAAGCTCTGGATCACCTACTTTAGTCTCGCGGTCTGCCACGATCTCCATGCCTGCCATAAGACCTCTCCCGCGAACATCGCCAATGCAGCCATAGCGAGATTGTAGAATGCGCAGTCTTTGTTGAAACTTCTCTCCCAGCTCGCGAGATCGTGCGACCAAGTTGTCCCGGACGACGATCTCAAGAACTTTGTCGCCAACACTTGCCGGCAGCGGATCGTTGATGTGCGTTGTGTAGAAAAGATAACCATTTTCCTTCGCGAACGAGGCGACGCGATCGCTCGTCACAACTGCACTGAGAGGAAGGCCGTTGCCCACTGAATATCGAGAGTCAGCGAATGGGCTTATGCTGACATGAGAAGCACTTACAAGTCTTGCTCAAGGTCAAGATGTCTGGCACCACACCCTCATCCTCCGCAAAGTGTTGAAAAGCGAACATGTCTCCTGCTCTACCAATGCCCGTCTGGGCCTCATCAATAATAAGGAGCATGCCACGCTTCTCACAATGCTGTTTCATCGCTTTCAAGTAGCCAGGCGGAAGGACCAACATGCCACCACTGCTCAAGATAGGCTCCAGGATGACTGCAGCTAGGCTACCGCAAGATTGCTTGTCGACAAGTTCCCATCCGTAGTCGAGCTCGGTCTTCCAGTCATGCGATCCATCTGGGTGACGAAAGATGGATCGATAGCTGTTCGGTGTTGGCAAGCAAAGGTTGCCCGGCATATTGGGACCGTAGCCTGCACGGCCAGAATGGTACTGCGCGGCAATTGCACCGCTAGTAACACCATGCCAGGAAGAGGCCAGACCAACAATCTCGAACTTCCCTGTGTAGAATTTCGCCAGCCGAATAGCGCATTCGTTCGACTCACCCCCTGTGGAAAGGAAGAGGGCTTTGTCAAGACCCGGAGGTGTTACCGAAGTAAGTCTCTTCGCGAGATTAATGACAGGAGGTGAGAGCATTCCCGAGAACAAGTGGTCCAGATGCTGAGCATGTTCCTGGATTGTAGCGACGATTTCCGGGTTTCCATGCCCGATGAGAGTCGACATCTGTCCTGAGGTCCAGTCTAACATGGTATGGCCACTAGCAGTCGTGATCGAGCGACCTGACGCGTGGGCGATTATCGACGGATGGAATGCTGTGCCCTGATTGTTTGTCAGACAAGCAACGGACTATTTCGCATTGCTGGCTTTACATAGTGAAGTAGTGAAGCATCGGCGTCTTGTTGAAGTTGTTCTTCGTTGACATTGTCGTACGGCTTAGCCATGATTTCTGGAAATTGGATTGGGACGCTAGAAGCAAGACTGTCTGTTGAGATGAAGTATGAATGCTCTCATGCTCGACAAGGGACGAGAAGATATATGTGCAGGGACAACACTACTCCTTCAAGCGAAGGCTGATGATGCTGATGCTGATTTTCCCAGTTTCCCGTCGGGAAAGTAGAACATTCTCCGTGTCCCTCCGTTCGTTCAGTCATCGTGCTCTGCACCACCAATGGCTCAGCACTAAATCGGTGCGATGAAGCATCTGTATCCAGTGATAAACGGCCTCCATGATCAATTATCGCCAGAGCCCGTTTGTGCTTGTGCAGCAAGTGTTGAATGCCGAGGCATACCAGAAGCTTACTCAGCAAATGGCGGGTACCAAACTACAAAATACCAACACAAGTGCTATTGTTACGATCGACGAATTGTATCATTTGAACCAAACGAAATGCCACTCTTGAATCGACACGGCGTGTATCTCTATTACGAGGTTCATGGGAACGGACGTCCGTTGCTGCTAACTCATGGCTATTCTTCCAGCTCTGAGATGTGGAGAGGACAGGTCGGAGCACTGTCAAGACAGTTCAAACTGATAATTTGGTAAAGACAGAATTTCGTGTCTTCTCAGAAGATCTGTAAACTAACAGGTTGTCACCAAAGGGACATGCGAGGCCACGGCAAATCCGACTATCCCAGAAACCAACAAGCGTATTCCGAAGCACATACAGTAGCAGACATGAGCGCTATTCTCGACCACGTCTGCGGCCGTGGCACAATGGCCATCATCGGAGGCCTGAGCCTTGGTGGCTACATGTCAATGGCATTCTATCGAATGTATCCGGATCGAGTCACTGCACTGCTCATCATCGACACTGGACCAGGTTTCAAGAAAGACTCTGCACGAGATGACTGGAACAAGTACGCCAACAGCACGGCCGAGAATTTCGAACGCAATGGTCTCGCGGATTTGCAGTCGCAAAGTGCAGAGCGATCGCAGAATATGCATAGGAATGCGGAAGGTCTGGCTTTGGCTGCTCGTGGCATGTTGGCGCAGCGAGATTCTTCGGTGATTGATTCGTTGTCGAAGATTGTTGTGCCATCTTTGGTTATTGTTGGTGCTGATGACAAGCCGTTCATTGCTGCGTCTGATTATATGGCGAAGAAGATCCCAAATGCGAAGAAAGTGGTTGTGCCAAATGCTGGTCATGCTGTCAATATTGATCAGCCGGGAGCGTTTTTGGAAGCTATTAAACCGTTCTTGGATGAATTTGGTTCACCAAAAGCTGTACTCTAGTATAGTTCTACCCAAGGGAAATCGATCAGCGCGCTTCTCATGTACACTCCCTGTGATGCACTGTTCGCACCAAGCATTCGACTCTAAGCTTCGTTAAAGCTATCGGCTCGACCCTTTGGAACGATGGCTTGCTTGAGGTAGGGCGGTTGAACCAGAAGGTCAACAAGACCCGTTTCACGCACTTCGTGGTTGCGTAAGCCAAAGTAGCGGTGACTGCGATAGCTCCAGTGCACATTTGCAGCGACCATGAGTTCGATGCCGCGGACGTACGCCTTGACCTGCTCGGCGATGTCCTTATCACACTTCGGAAGTGTGGCGAAAGTCTCGTCCATGCGGTTCAAGCGGGTGTCGATCATGATTGCGACGTGATCGTGCGCTTCTTGTACCTCCATGCCGTTCAGTCGGCAGACTGCAATCATGTTGTGCGTGACCGACTCGGACTGGAAAGGGTTAGTCTATATAAACGTTCGCTCATTGCAGTGGCTTACTCACCTCTTCCTTTCGATATGACACCACATCATTCTGTAGACCGCACAGCTCGCAGCTCAGCTGCTCGAGTCCTCGGATTTGCTCACTGAGCATGATCTCATCTGGTATCTCGAGATCATTCGCGAAGCAGACCATGGGATAACAAGGGTCCATTCCGACCGAGTCGCTGCGGCGTTCCAAGATCTCATCGAGACTACGGTTGTAGTCTTCGTGGCAGTCCTCGACGTGCTTGAGTGCCCCAATCAAGAACTTCTCCATAGCTCTTCTGTAGAACTTTTGCTGGGGAAGGAGAAGCCAGCGCACGGTATCGACACCAGAAGTCATCGTGGGCAGCTTGGACCTTGTCGACATAATCTAGGTCGGGATCGTTCTGGTCTGCAGGCGTAATGTCGCCATCGATAGCTTCAAACAGGCGATCGATGAAGGCCTTTGTGCGCACAGGATCTCCCTTGAGGTCGCCGTTGTCGAACAAATCATCGAGATAGAAGATCAAGTTGGTCCAGTCGCTCACGATGCGGAAGCGTTCGTAAGGAGTGTATGGAATGTAGACAGCGCAGAACCAAGTGAAGTCCCCAGCGGTAAGGACTCGAGAAGCCTTCTCTGTCATACCGAGCCTGTCAGCGAGCCATTGGCAGGAAGCAAGCTTGCACTGCTCATAGTCAGGTCGCATGTCGGGATCGGGTGCGATGAATGATTTGAATAGGATGGGTAGTCGAATAAGGAGTCGACTGGACTTCTCGTGCTGTGGACGTGGGATTGTCATTGCGAGGTTTTGTCCGTCTCTGTTTGATCTAATTTGGCTGAGAGGATGTAGATAGCTGCAATTGTCTCGAATTGCGCGTGCTCAGATTTGAAAGTGTTGAAATCGTGGACACCGTTTCTCCTTTTTATGGGCATCACAGTGAAGATGGTGGGTGAATGCTAGGCAGCTGTGAACGTTGCACTGGCTGCGGAGCATTGAGCACCATAACGTCAGCAGAGTGGTGAAGCTGCAAAAGGAAGGCAGTCCCTCACTTATGTGGAGATCGCTATACTACTTCTTTCTCGCATGGAGCAGAGTACGATCGCATTCACCATCAGACCGTCCAGCTTGTTGCTCTTCTCCTCGAACCACGTGGCTGGTATTACGTGATCCCTCGTGCGTAAAGTATTCGGCAGCAGTTGAAGTGGTTTGGCTGTAGCACAAGCCACACGCGCTGAAGCGAAGTCCCTGCATACCACATCAGGAAGCTGGTTGTGTCATTCATGGCTGCGGCATTAGCTGTGCCAATGCCCGGGATAAATGTTGCTCATAGAGTCTTCGAATTTCTGGCGTCGGGCGCCATGCCGGATCCCGTGGTAGGCTGATATTGGGGTTACGATTGCGGTGGCCACTTTTCACTGGGGGCTCTTCCATCAAGATGATTTTGTCTACCACAAGCTCCGCAAGCTCGGCAGGCAAATTACGCCCAACCACAAGGTGAACACAGAACCGGGCTTCCCGGCGAGCTCTCTTCCGAAGTTCATCAAACAAAGTCTTGTACTGCATATGAAAGCATCTGAAGCGTGAAATTCCACGAGGCGGCTTTTGCTGGCTACTGACACGACAGTAGTGACAATCCTGGCCTCTCGAACAGAGCTCGCGCCATGTAGCAGTGCAAAACAACCAGCTATCGTTCGTCCGAATTACATCGCGGGCGTTTCGACTGAGCTCGCGTGCTGAGTCTTGCGAGAGATCGTATCTCGAGAGAAGCATTACATCGATGCGAAGAGCCACAGCTCCAGCTTTTGGGTGGGTCGAACGGCGCAGGGCCTCACGAAAGCATATCAGGAGCGGCGGCAAGGTCCCAGAGCACGACTTTGAGCTGTGGAGTCCATCCTCTGCCGTCCTGAATAGTTGCGCGACAAAGCCTGGCGAGAAGCAGCTGGATCCTTCGTCCAACGAACCCCATAGCTGGTCGACCTTAATATCTTGGTACAAATTAGTAGTCTGCGACTGCAGAGATCACGTGTCACGTACCGTTCATACCACCGTAACGACACCAGAAGTCGGACCCCACAATATTCAGCCTCGCTCTGCGAAAACGCGGTCGCACTTGGCCCATCGACGTACCAAAGCAATCTACAATATCCACAGATGAGTATAAAATGAAAAATTCGGCATCCATGATCGTCCGGAATAGTTCTTGCACATGCTCGATCTTCTCCTTCGATGATGCAGGTTCACGTAGACAAGTGTCGAGCCCATCAAGTGCAGCGACGATCCCGCTGAAGTCCACGACCGGGCGAGCCCTTTTCACTCGTGTCTTGGTGCGCTGAGACTTTGGTGGAGGCGATGAAATCGACGCGCTTCGTTGGGCCTGGCCAACGAGAGCAGCAGCTAGCTGTCCTTTGGCCGTCATCGCAACTTGAATGTACGCTGAGCGAATGGGTAACCTTGATAAACTCAGTATGAGGTAGAAAAGAAGCTGAAACCAGATCAGGTAGAATGGCAAGAGGGAGGGGGAGGGGAATGGAGATTTCAATGAAAGCGGCCCGTAATGTTGTGCACACTGTGTAACACAGCATTTTGTGCCACCATTCTCTTGCAGCGTGCACATTGCATGACGTGGTAGCACCACGATTGCTTGCATACATTGGGCGCTTCTGCACTTCTGATGGCAATGATATGGCAAGCCATGGTGATTGTCATCGCTCTGACAGGCGCAGCATCTTTCGAACAGGTGTCATGCCGGATTTGCGTCGTACGCTTCTACGATGCATGCATCCGTCGTCCTCACGAGCACTCGCAGTGCACACGAGGGGGAGCCGGTCACTCAGACACGTATTAGGCGATCCGGAACGGCTTTTGCCGTCCAGTCGGTGTGTGCAACATTGAAGGTGCCATGAAGGTGATGTATCGCAGGTCTCTGTTCGCTGATGTGGTAGAGATGCACGCGTCTGATGCCCTTTCGCTTAACCCGGTGGATTGATCGCAGGAGTCTGGGGCATGGCGCTCTAGCAGAGCTAATTCACTGTCAGAGGCACAGCTAAAGCGTGCGACTTCCATTCTTCCGCTGTTGGACATATGCAAGGCCCTGGTATCATTCAGCCACCTTATAGACTTCATTCGGCCTCATCACACTGTCTGCGAATACTTCACTGCCCTTCGCTGTCCTTCATTTCCATCTTCCGCCTCGCGGCCAAGATCATCTCCTCCCTCCGCCTCTTCAACGCCTCGGCTCTCTGCGCCTTGTCCGAACTCCAAGCACTCTTCTTCTTCTCTCTTTCTTGCTCCTCGCTCAAAACTGGTTCCTTGCCTTTTCCGCTCGTCGTCACCCTCCCTTGCAGCCCATAGCGACTGATAAGATCCTGCTGTGATGGCGTGACCCTACTGCCTGAAGTCGCTGCGGTGTTCCCAGTCCTATTCGGTGCCGCGGTGGGTATGACGGGAAGATCGGGTTGGAATGTCGGAGGTGGGTTATCGAGCCCTCGGCCGTCAAGCACTCTTGCAGTCGTGGCCTCTACGCTACCGCCATTGCGTGACAGATCCCAGGCTATGCTTCGGCGATCAAGTTGAGGGAATATGGCAGAAACGGCGTTGACTTTGGCAGGATCGATGCGGTTTCGTGAGGTGGACGATGTGCCGGTCGAAGGTGTGGAGGGTTTGCTCATGTACCAACGGACGGCGAGGAAGCCGACAACGACTACGGCGACGATTTGCGGAATGTTGATTGAGTTATCAGCGGCCATGACGCTTAGTCTTGGTTGGTGTCGCGTGGGCGATATGGATGGCAGCAGCGGCCTGGGAGAGTCGCTTTTCCGGTGAACCTGTTGTTGGTGTGCTACGAGACAGCTGCAGACAGTACGGATTTCGGAGTTCGAGGATTGTAGGTGTGTGTTCTGTACAAATGTGAGTTGTGTCAGCGAAGAGATGCATCCATCCGCGGCTTCCAGCTGTCACAAGCGCGGGTCCGTGCGCATCCATACCACTGCACAACGAGACCTCCTTGGCAGTCCTTGGGTGCTTCCATCATTAAACGACCTCCGTAGGCCGGCCTCATCCAGATGGGAGATTCGAAGCTGCGTTCTGAGGTCGATGCAATCCTCCGGAATCATATCACCGCGGGCGGGGCATCAGTGGCCATCGCGTCCAGCCAGGCAGAGCCTTTCTGTTTCCATACAGGCCTCGCAGACATCAAAACGTCCAAACCCGTGGACAGCACGCATCTATTTGGCATTGGAAGTATCACCAAGGTATTTGTAGCAGTCGTAGTCTTGCAGCTGGTGGAAGAGGGCAAGCTCGCACTTCAAGACACTGTTCAAGAACACCTTCATCCAGATATTTACCGCGATATTGACGATGCGCAAAATGCAAGCATATTGCAGCTTCTAAATCACACAAGTGGCATCGATAGCTGGGAAGATGATTCCACCTGGCTCATCGACGCAAGAGGCGCCAGGATCCAGCTCGACCGGATCTGGCAGAAGACTGAGCCATTGGACTACATTTGTCGCCCAAAGAAGACAGCTCCAAGTCCAGGGACATGGTCTTATGCAAATACGAATTATACACTACTCGGGTTGATTGTTGAGAAGATCACAGGAAGTTCAGCAGAATCCGAGATCCGCCAACGCATCTTGCAACCTCTAGACCTGAAGCTGACGTTCTTGGATGGATTCGAGAGTTGTCCCGGAGGCGGTACCGTTGCTAGCCGATATCACTACGCTTCTCAGCACTTTCGAAATACGGCAGGAGTTTGCAATGCATTCTCCTCAGTTCAAGAGGACATCATCGACGTCACAGGCTCGAATCTTTCGGTTTTATGGATGGCAGGTGGCATGATCTCGCATCCTTTGGATCTCGTCAAGTTCGCTCTAGCGCTGAAAACCGGGGCGCTGCTGAAACCGCCGTCGATGGCACTGATGCACGATTTCGTTCCCTCGACTTTGCCTGGTCATGAAATGGGCCGCGGTGTATTCAGACAGATCATTCCTGGTCAAGGAGCCTGGGTTGGACATTCTGGGGGTGTCCTAGGCTTTTCGGCTCAGCTGTGGTGGAAGGAAGATGGAGACTGTATTATGTGCGTGCTGGCTAACGTCGGTACTGTGAATGCAGGCAAAGTGGACTTTGGCACGAGCCCTATTGTGCAACGATCGAACTTTCTCGGGCTGGCCTACGATCTGGTCAAACGCTGATTGCCTGAACGACCCCTAAGCAGACCGCCAACCAGCAGGTGCTACCTCCCGCCTGCCTCATGGGTAAGATCGTTCCACTAGTGTGGCAGCATTTGTGAAGAGTATGCCGGCAGAGCTAGTCTACATCACAAGGCTATTTAGAGTGTCCGCTTGGCATTGCTCAAACTTGCTCACGATCAGCTCATAGCCGGCTTGTCCTGTGCTAGATCGATCGCAGAGGCTCGCATATAAAGGTGCTGATGGTCCTCGGGGAGGAATCCTTGACACGTTCTCACCTTCTGTATCCTTTGAATGGAGGAGCTGATTCAGCGGCATCGGCATCGGTATTCGACCCTCTCTATTCTCGGCCTACGATGCATCGATCTTCCCAACCTAGGATGGCAGGGCGTCTACAATCAAGGCGAAGCACGGCAACCTCCGAGTGCTCGACTGGAATGCCCATTGAGCGTCTGAACGCCAGAAGTCCATCTTGCCGTGGCGCATACGAGACGTACCGGCGTTGATCACGAGTCTCCAGCTAATACGAATGCCCAATCTTGGTACCTCGATCACCACTCGCTCTGTTCCTTGCATGCCATGGACACAAGCTGTGCAGAGACCCCTCCCATCAAGTGGGTGCTGTGGGTGCTTCGCTGACCAGCGCTGCACACTACTCGATAGCGCTACCTTGGCATACATTCCTGCAGCAAGTGTACGATATGACAGCTGCCTGTTTCGGCTAGAGCTCCGCTTCTTTACGCGAGAGATCCCAAGACTGGGTCGGCGAAGTGCGTGGGGCAGTGGCGTTGCTCTCAACTTCATGTCTTCGACATCTAGTTCACTGGTCTCAAAGCACGCGCAGCTCTGGTTCACAATCTGACGACCTGCCACTCACAGTCTCTCTATTTGGCAAGGCAGGGATAGAGTGTTTCCAGAAAAGGGCGATCACTGGTTGGGATTATTCTTTGCAGCTGCCCGCCAAGCCGGCTTGAACGTACCAAGACGCATTGCAGCAAATGAGATGGCAGAGTTGTCACTGCACCCAAGACTTGTCCAAGCACGCCGCCACAGCTTGTTTCCTACCTCCACCAAAGACGCTATCGCAACCTCGGGGCTACCCTATGATAGGAAGGTATGATTGAGTGTACACAGATTGCAGCGGCATGGTGTCGCGTGCAACAAGACCAGTACCAAGCATGGCTGCGACAAGATCTCGTGCAACCGCTAGTCTGCAACGACCCAGTATAAGGGCAAGTGAGCTCCCTTTCACTCGTAGCTCCAGCAATCGCAACTTTCTCTTCACATTGCCATCATGAAGTTCGCTACAGTCGCGGCAGCTATGCTGCCTCTTGCGGCCGCATACACCAAGGAACAGTACAGATCGGGAGCTGTCATGCAATGGATGATGGAGGCCAAAGAGGTATGGTGATTGTTTCAGAAGATTCATCGAATCGTATTGATGGAAGTAGTCTGCCTGGGCTGTTGCCAGAGCTGCCGGCGAGTACAAGAGCGAGAGATACAACGGATTCGAAAAGAACAAGAAGGGCGATCGAATTCGATGCACCAACGGCAAGGCCGAAGCCGTCGCAGGAGACGCCAACCAAACATACGCCTGCAACGGCATCGATATGTACGACTTCAAGACTCACGCAGAGCTCGGTAGCAACGGCGGCGAGGGCTCTGGATCTTGGGGTGTCACACTGCAAGGCCGAGACTTCATCGCCATCGGACAGACAGACGGCGCCGCGTTTGCTGAGGTGACGAAGCAAGGCAAGCTGGTGTACCTTGGCAGACTTCCTGCGCAATCGACACCAATCATCTGGAGAGAGATCAAGGCGAATGGTCCTTACATGATCATCGGCTCTGAGGCTGTTGCACATGGCGTTCAGATCTTTGACGTGAGGCGCACCACGTAGATATGTCACACCACTTGCTGACAGTGACTTCAGATGCGCAAACTCCTCAAGGTCGATCCGAAGAAGCCGAAGACGTTCAGCACTCTTACTGATGTCACTGTGTTCAATGGTGAGTCTCGAACTACAGCACCAACGGACTTTGCCTAGCGTTCCCAAACACCTGTGCACAAGGCATCCACGACAATTAGAGCTAACTGGTTTTCTCAACAGATCCCATCGGTCTCCCAACTGGCCGCTCGCACAATGTCGTGGTGAACGAGGAGAGGAACTACGCCGTCGCGGTCGGTGCCGCACCAAGGAATACCACATGCAACTCTGGTCTGGTTTTCATTAACATGGACAATCCTACCAAGCCATACATGTCTGGCTGCGCGCCACAGGATGGTGTAAGTCTTGTTGTCCCGATCTGGGTTGCTGAGGGACCAAAATTTGCTGACCCATGCTGCAAAGTATGTCCACGATGCCCAGTGCATTGTCTACCGCGGTCCACACAAGAAATACTACGGAAAAGATATATGTTACGGCTTTAATTTGAGTACTCTCTTCTTCCGTTAGATGTGACTGCATTCTAATGATTTCTACAGGAAGATACGTTAACCATCTACAACGTGGAAAACAAGAAGGGTCTCACTGCCGCCGAGATTATTTCCATCACTCCTTACAAGGGTGCCTCCTACAGCCACCAAGGCTGGGTCCTGGACCCCAACTGGCAAACTCATCTTGTTTTGGACGATGAGCTCGACGAGGGCTTGGTCGTGCCAGACGAAGTGAACCCAGAGAGTCCTGCATTGGATGGTTTCCCGGTGACCTACATCTTCGACATCACAAATCTCGAGAAGCCAGTCAACACCGGATTTTACAAGTCCAAGGTCAAGTCGGTCGACCACAACCAGTTTGTCGTAAGTCTTCTCATCGCACATGAAAGGCCTGACTAGCGCTAACACCGGTACAGCACAACGGTCTCTCCTTCCAGTCCAACTACCAAGCTGGTCTGCGTGTCCTCGATGTCAGCAGCATTCCACGCGATCCTTCGGGAAAGAGTGTTCGCGAGATCGCCTTCTTCGACACATATCCACAAGACGACTCGCTACCTGGTGGCGGACTTCCTGACTGGACCTATGGAACCTGGAGTCATTACAGCTTCCCCAGCGGCTGGATTGTCATCAACACAATCGATCGCGGCCCATTCGTCGTCAAGTTGAACAACTTCAGGAAGCGCGGTTTCGGCAGCGAGTATGTCAAGCGTGGCGCTTAAGTCGACTGTAATGACAGTCATGATATAATGAAGAGAAAACAGAAATATGATGAAGTCGGATAGCGCTTGTACGATTTGCCGAGCCAACTCTCGGTTCATTTGAGTTTCCGTTCGGGCTCAGTGTTCCATTCATGTTGTGACCCGCGCCTGCGGTATGCCAAGGCATGGTGATGTGGCCGTCGGTCGGAAATGTGGGCCTCCGTAGAGTAACCGACGGTATGGTCTACGCCACGGACTTATAGGAGGCCTCTACGCGATTCTTCCGGCACTGAATACTAATCAATAGTGATCAACTCTGGAACAATGCTGAATGCGCTCAGATGTGGATTGGAGCCATTCCTCAATCCGTGACTAATTCAATGGGGCATACAAACGAATGTTAATTGCCAACCAGGACAGACCTGTCTTTGAAGACAAACCCAGTCGGCCACGTATCTCACACCATTGCGTCTAGTTGGGCGACGAGGACTCGGGCGACAGAAATGTACGGGCTCATCCATGCGGTTACCGTTCACTGTAGTCCAATATTGTGGGGACAATACGACTCGGATATCCACAATGCTTGCACGAGGCTGAAACCCTATACCAGTTGGCTTGATTCTTAGGGCATAGTCAGGGGAAGAAGACTAGGTATTTCCGTCGATACTAATCGCCTTATAGGGAGAAAGGCGATAGTATATAGCAGAGAATTCAACTTCTTTGATCGGAAAAGGTTAGCTGCCAGAAGTTCTTCAACATCCACTGGAAGAGCCAAACACGTCTCTGTAGCTCACTTCAGATCAGTCCGACAAGATGCAGTTCTCCATTTACATCACTTTTGTCCTGGGCCTCATTGGCTTCGCAGCTGCTGGTAAGCCACATCTTGTCCCAGGCTCTACGCGATCAGCCTACACAGCACAAAGCGGCTGACGAAAGCTGTGTACATTTAGACTTGGGCTGCGATGCGCAGTACTGCGATTGCATTAGGGGAGGCTCATCACAGGGCTCATGCTTCAACGGTCATTGCTCTAATGCATTTCCTCCTGGTAGCACTGTTCCGAGCTGCAATTGATCGGAGTGGCACATAGACGTCGGGACGGAGGAGAGGACTGTCAGCGACGATATGGGTTTTGGACCTCACAGCTTGTGTTGAAAGAGTATCTCCCAAATATACTCAACGGCATCACAAGATGGGGGTCTACTCGGAGTGCCATGCTCTCCACCAAATTTTCTGTGCCAATACTGCGAGCAGCATCGCGCTAGGACTTTACAATAGCAGAATCACAAGCACCACAAGGTTACCACAAGGTCGCCATGTTCCTGCAGCTTTGTCAAGCACCGCCTACTCACATTCTGCACAAGCCCGTAACTCTCGAGTTGAGACGTCATCTGATCCTCCATCGACATACTTTCCGATTCGCGATTGCAGAATTCGGAAGGTGTGATGTGCAAACCAGATTGCCCATTTCAGCCAACACGAAAGCTACTTGCAAAGTTGGACGAATGGCGTCGAAGCAAGTGTGGCTTGTGTACCTTGCAGCAAGAAACAATGTGAATCCTATTACAATGATCAGCAGAGGCTGTGTATTCTCGATATTTCATTTATATAGCGTGATGCACAACGAGGTCATGCAGGATATACCGATACCGCTACAATGAAGTCCATAACGTGCAGCATACTAGCAACAGCACTTACAGCTGCTGCTCAAGGTATAGGGCTAGTAACTGATGATTTTCCAATTGTGGATCTGGTGAGTGCGAAATGTGGTCGTTGTGATATGTATGCCTGCTGACTTTGTTCACAGGGCTATGCTCGGCACGCCCCTACGAAAATCAACCAGACTACACTGAACAAAATATCATACGCAACCTATTCCAACATTCGCTTCGCGCAGCCTCCCGTCGGTGCACTGCGTTTCCGGAAACCAAAAGTCCCTCCACCATACGCCGAAGGAGTCCAAGATGGCGTGATATCACAGAATGAGACGAATTGCATACAGTCCGTACCAGGATACTTCACGTCCTTACCAGGCTTGAATGGAACCTCATGGGGACAAGAAGACTGTCTGTTCCTGGATGTCATCGTGCCCGAAGGTGTAAAGCAAGGCTCCAGCGTGCCAGTGCTCCACTGGATTTATGGTGGTGGCTTTTTCTTCGGAGCTAAGGATACTGGAGGAAATCCGGCGGCGTTGTTCGATCGCATGACTGCAGACGACAAGTTTGTGATTGTGGCATCGAATTACCGGCTTGGAGTCCTTGGCTGGAGTGCTGTAGAGGGAGAGTCTGGCATAGATGCGAATGCAGGTTTGTACGACTCCCAGGCTGCGTTGGAATGGACTCGCGATAATGTGCATCGTTTTGGTGGGGACTCAAATCAAGTCACGGTCATGGGCCAAAGTGCGGGAAGTGGCATTATCGAGCATTTGCTAGCCGCAACTAGCGAAGGCCAGAGACCATCTTTTCAACAGGTAAGTGAAACGAGCTCCATTCTCATTGTCAAAGACTAATAGCTGCACGAAGGCTATTCTCTCCTCTCCCGGCTATCGCCCACATGTCAATCGCTCCATCGAGACACTCGGCCTGTGGCGTGAATTGTTGAATCAAACCAAGTGCACCGATTTCGACTGCGTTAAGAAACTACCAGAGACAACCATCGCTGAAGCAAACCGGTATCACTACCTCGAAGCTCCGTCTGGTGGATTTCCTGGTTCCTCGATCTCTTACGGGCCAGTCATAGATGGAGATCTGGTCAAGGACCTTCCCGAACGCGTCCTGCAACAAATTAGTCAGTTTTCACCAGCTCCACCGAGCTATGTGAAACGAGTTATTGCAGGTGATATGAAGAAAGATGGAGCAGCTTCCACGATCGGCGACTTCACTTCTTGGGCAGAGCAAGTTTCCGTGTTTGCACGAACGCCTTCGAATGCGACCATCTCAGCGATCGAGAACCTCTACGGGCCATTCAATGGATCCGGATCATCGTTTCGCGAGGATGGGTCTGTCGAAATGACTCCATTCGATACCTTCTCGGGGGACGTGATCTTTGCTTGTCACTCCCATTTCGTGGCCGAAGCCTTTGCTGCATATCGTGCAAGTGGTCACTGGCCAGGGCTGGACAGTGAAAGCTACCGCTACGAGATGTCAATCCAGCCGGCAGTACACGGCCAGGACATCAGCTATTACTTTTTTGATGAGATCGTGGCGGCCCTGGATCCCACCGTAGAAGAATCTGTTGCAACAGACTTGCAGCAAAAGTTTCGAGACTTTATCATGGGTCGAGAAATGGAGGGTTGGCCCGAGTCTACCTCGAGTGGGGGCGATGCTCGAGATTGGCTGAACATCACTGCAGATGGCCTTGTTGCTGTCGAGCAGGCCGATGAGGGTGATCGTCGGAAAAAGTGCCGAGAGATTGTCTCATTGTACGGGAACGAGGCGGATGGGTGGTGAGCTGAGCGGACCGGCCATAAATAGTGACCGCGATATATAATTCTCGATGAAACTTGCCCCTGAGCACAGTGTACATCTCGAAAGAGAGGGCACGTCCCAGGAATAGACTTTTGACAGGAGGAAGGAGGAGGGAGAACTCCGCACATGGCGGCAAGACGGGGGCCGAAACCTTAGTGGTTGCCACTACGAATTTCGATCAAAACACCTACGTAAACAACGCTATTACCACCTCTATCACCACCTCTATTACGCCCTCTATCACTCGCAACACACTCGCAGCATGCCTCGCTATACTGTCGATTATAGTTAATAGTATAACTTTATTAAGGAACGCGTAGAGGCAGGTATACCCCGAGCTACTATCGTTTCTAAGCTCGCTGCCGAGGGCATTATAATATTAACACGCACTCTTAGCCGTACTATATCAAGCTGGAACGTTTTGTACGGCAGTTAAAGGCCTAATTAGCGTCTTAATAATAAAGAGAAGCTGCGACTACGTATTGTTTAGTTATATTACTTTATACGTACTACCGACGCTAAGGCAGCGGAGATTCTTAAACTAGAAGGATTCGTAATCGGTGCCTACCGCTATAGTATTATACGCAAAGAGATAGGCTTATAGAAGCGCAAATATAGTACTAAATAAGAAGAAGAAGAAGACCGGATTATCTAGCTACTATAGGTTAAACTATAGAAGTCTATAGTAGAGTCGTTTAGTAGGCGGAATCTATATACGTATATAAGGATAAAGCATAATATTATTAGACGGTTTAAGCCCTCTGTACTACTATTATAGCGTTAAGCGCACCGCTAACGATTCTAGTAACCGTATATACGCCGCTATCCGCGACTTTAACTCTAAGGGCCTCCGTAAGCGTACCGAACGAATCTGCGAACACTATAGCGCTATTATTACGCCTAGACTATTCTATATACTATTAATAGACGCATACTATAAATTCGAGCATTAGGGTATCTAAATCTATACTACGATTAATATTTATTTATGCTATATCGTATAGATTTATATCGGAATTACTAGCCGTATAGCTGTCTTAGTTCTCGCTTAATACGTCTATACTCTACGCGCGACAAGAACAGTACTATAGATAGTTAAATCTAATCGTAGTATAGAGATAATCCTAGCTACTAATACCTATTATATAGTTCGTATAGCCTACTACGAATAGGAGCAGAATCCGGACGATACGCCGGTATACCTAACATTTAACGAGGTGTTTAAATACGGCACTAGTAAGATAAATTAGCGTATTAAGGCATAGTAGAATTAATAGGCACCTGCGCTAGAAGGCTAGAGGGCGTACTTCTACGAATTAACCGATAATAGACACTTTAACGACAGATCCTTAGCGGATAAGATCGCGTTTCTCGCGATATATATACCGATTATACGGCACGAGGTTTATTAGTTTGTTAAGGTTTAGAACTACTATCGTATTCGGAAATAGGCGAAAAGGCCGCATAGTATTCTAGGTATTCTATATAAGCTATTTAACTACTCTTAGCTTTATTAGGCTAGCTACTAAGGGCTGCTACTACCTAAGGGTATATTAGATAGTATTAAGGAAGAATTGAAGGATTTTAGTAAGGCTACTCGTAGTAATAGTGTTAAATACTCGCTAATCCGATATGTATAGACCTTAACGCCTACCTACCCTAGGATATACTATAATAGTACTACGAGGCAATACAGCCGCACGGCTTTAAGCTGCTAATTAATAGTAGTGCGATTAACTCTAACGGTAAACGCCTTCACCGCCTTGCTTATATATAACTACGTAGTTTAATTGCTAATTATATAGCCTCTAATTAACTTCCAATTCTAGCCGAGCTTAATAAGCCGCTAGTAGCTCGTAACTAGGTACCTCTACGCTACGTTAAACGAGCGTTTAGAGCCGCTAGTAATTAGCCGATTATTAATAACGATATAGGGTTAGTAGAGTTCGCCGACTACCTATAATATATATCTCCGGCACCGCGAGCTACGATAGTTCTAGCGTATAAGATAGCGTAGAAATCTCTGCGTACCCCGCTATAAACTAACGCTTCTATAGCGCTACGGTATATTCTATTCCTCTACTATTTCTTAATCTACTAGCGAGCCTCTAATACCTTACCCTATAACGCTAATACTATAAGCAATAATAGCGGCATATAGGGTACCTTCTATGCTATTAATAGCAATAACTATACTAGGCTATATAGCAACTATGCCTTCTGCGGCGTATACGGCTTAAGGAATCCAAATCTGCTAACTAAATAGTTCCGACGCGAGGCTTCTACGTACCTAGGCGCTAGCAACGCTGCTAGTAGCGCTATAACTATAAGTATACCGGAACCTCCGGGGTATTAGTTATTTGCTAGAATTCTATTATACGCTAACGACGTACGCAATACTACGAATATACGGTATAAACTACGGCCTTCCGCGAACGCTAGTTCTAAGCCTCTGTCTTATCGTAAACTAATACCTATAGTAGTAGCTTAACCGCAGGTAGGGCCGGTTAAGAGGTATAGCTACGGTATTTAGCTATATACGTAGGCGATTAATATTAAGCTTAATAAGGATACCGAGATATAGTACTACGCTAAGGTTAAAAGCTATAACTTTATAATAGAAGACCTATTTACTAATAAGGAGTTTAATAATACTAATACCGACCTTCTAGCGTTTATTATCGACCGCCTTCCGCGAGAGGAGTTTAAGGCCTATCTACTATAGAGTATTAAGGAGTTCTACGGTATTATATTCTTTAAGGATTTTAACGACGATACTACTAAACTAACTATAATTAATATACAAGCCTAGTAGTATAAGGATATTAAGGAAGCAATATACGCCTTTAAAACTCCGAGGACTACTATACCCTATACCTTTAAGGTGCTCGTTTAAACCTTAACGATAGATAAGCGTATAAAGAAGCGCAAAGAACGTACTACGAGTATAGTAACTAGCGAGCCTACGAGTCGTTATAGCAGCGTTGTTCTATCTATTAAGAACGATACGTTTATTAAGACTAAGAAGCCTTCCTTTATAGAGATAGTTTCGAACTATAATAACCTACCTACGACAATTAATTTAACTAGCAATACTATAACGGTGCCTACTACGTTGCCTACTACCGTGCTAGCGGTACTAGTAGTGCTAGTAGTGCTAGCGGTACTAGCGCACGATATAGAGGCCGATAGTGCAGTTAATTAGAACGCTAATTAAAGCGTTAATTAAGAGGCTAACAAGGTAGCTAATTAAGAGCCTAACTAGCAAAAGAAGGGTAATAAACAACACTCTAAGGTAGCCGATTAAGAGGCTAAGAAGAGAGCTAATTAACTAGCTAAGCGTTAAAGGATAGAGGTATTACCTATATATATATCTACTAGGAGTACTACGAAGAAGAACTAGTATAGCTTAATACCGTACCGTAGTATACTTATAGGTAGAACCGTTGTTTAGAGGTATACTAGGGTTTATTTAGAATACTAGAGGCTGTATTTAATAGTATTTAAGACTAGGGGAATAGTTATAGAGGCAGAAACTAGAGTATTAAATTAAACGACTCGTAGTTATAGCGTTACTATTTAAATAGTAACTCGCTATTAAGCTATAGGCTCTTTACGCTCGCTATTAGGCTACAAACCCTTCTATAACGCGTAAATGTCTTTAGCCTTACTATTAGCCTTAGTACGTAGCTATTCTAACTACTAATCGTACGTCTTAATCTATTTACTATATCTAGCTACCTTCTCGTTTAATATAGCGTTATTAGCCTCTAGCATAGTTACCTTATCCTAAAGCTTAGCTAATATACTCTCTAGTATAGCGAGTCGCTCCTAGGTATTAGTAGTACTACTATCTTTACTACCCTCCGTATCCTTAGGAATAGCGTTTCTAGCTTAATAACTACCTTTGTTAGAAAGTGCAGTCTAGTTAGATATTCTAAGAGACACTTTAGGAATTAGGATTAGGTAATATAGGTTATATAATACT